AATTGCTCGTAACATAGCACGCTTTGAACCTGAGCACCAAGGTGCTACTGACACCTGCACCTACTTGAAAGACATTGACTTTTACCTGAGGAAATTTCCAGGTGCAACCATTGATGACAAAATCTACCTTATTAAGGCGACGTCAAGTCGAGAGGTTAGCAGTTTCCTTGAACGACAGCCTTATCATGTCAGAAATAATTATGACTTGCTCTGCCAAGCATTAATTGAAGAGTTTTCTGACTATTTGACCCAGACAGGCCTCTCTGCTGCTCTGTCTATTAAACAAGGGAGATCAGAATCTCCCCAACAGTATTACAACCGCTTACGCGAAGCTTACTTTGGTTTCCGAAATGAACCAGAAATGGAGGAGGACTTGAACTTCAAAACGCTGTTCGTCCAGAACCTCCACCCTACCACCAGTCATCACCTTGGCGTCTTAGCTTGTCCAAACACTTTGACTAGCCGACAGCTTCGTGAACTTGCCGTAAAAGGTTTTGCCAAACAACGACAAACTTTGGCTAAGAAAGCAGAGCCCGTTCCTCTCTTGGCTATGGGGACAAAATCACTGCCCATGGAGCTGAACGAAGCTTCAGACTGTGTATTTTCAGGCTCCGATAAGCCTCCAAATGAGTGGTTAACCAGGCCTCCAAAACCTTTTCGACCTCAACAAACTCACAAAGGTCAAAGTTACACACCAAGGCCCAGGTCTGACCCAGACCAATGCCAGGTAAACTTTGAGACCAACTGTTGTTATTCAGACTCCCGTCACGGTGGGTTTTATCCCAGACAAAGGAAAAACCATCAACACCGCCAAAGTGGGGTGAATGACTGGCAGAATCAGAGTAAATCACACTCTCAGAAACGACGATCTTATTATCCACCTCAATCGGTTTCATCCACTTTGAAGGTGAATAAACATGACTACTCAGCTAACCACTGAGATTAACACTGTGGAGTCATGAAGGTGTGAGTCCTGCGAAAGCAGAAGTCACCTAGCCAAAGCTAAATGACTCCAATAAGATATCCAACTGCTGTGGTGATACATTGATGACTGCAATCCCAGTTGCTGCTTTCTTTGTTAGCATTTGTCTCTCCTCTGTCAATATAGTCAGCTTGTCAGCTGTCAAATATCCCATGAACAGATTAAAAGCTGAAATTTCTGTCACTAAGACTCAGATTGACAAATTTCAGACTCAACAGCAGATAATTAGTCAAACCGATAAGAGCATCATCCCCAAGTTTAACAGACAAAGTTTAAGAGAAACTCTGTGCAGTAAACTTTTGATGTTTGTGATTCAGGTTGACTATGCTCATACACAGATGGTTAATATGTCTATAGCAGACATTTCTTTTCCACCTAAGTCTTAACCATTTTTGAAACTGAAATTGAACTTTCAGACTTCTCCAGCAAGCATGAAAAACAGCTATATCTTTAGATCCAGTTAGCATTCAGACTAAATAGTGCTTTCCTAAATCTCATTAATACTGAAAATTAGGAGATTTTCTTTCACATTAGTCTACCAATAGTTAACTGAGAAAAGTCTAACAACAAGACTATTTTATTTGATAGCTTAATGCATGCTTAATTTTATCTCAAAGCAGTACTAGTGATTCACATAGTGATGACGAGACGCATCAGTCCTATTTGCATACACCTGCTGCTGCTGCTGCTGCTTCATGGTTGTCTACTCGTCGTCCCGATGCTCCATGGACAGGACCACCGTGACGAAGGGGGGACTGTAGCAATCAAGACAACCCTGGATGTGAAACCCACACATTCCTTACAGGAAAGTTTCCTTATCTGGTCCCAGGAAACAGGATATAAATCTTTCCAGACGTGTTTGCACTTTCAGGTTAAATAAGTGACCCAACCGGAGGTTGACTAAACCTCTGACTCTTCAGGATTGGTCAGTTCGGCGAACAGAGACAGAGTTTTTATTACCTTTCAAACTGACTCCATTACTGACCATCTAAATAAACATTAACGTCTCAACCCAGATCTCCCATTTGAGATTTAGCGTCTTAAAGTGTGTGAACATACGGACCCCAGGATAAAGGGGGGCCACTGACCTCCAGACCTCGGTCGTAAAACCCTGCTCGACCATACACTGATAAAGACTGCATTCCTTTGGTGAAAGAATACAAATGACTGATCATGACATCTTATGCATTCAGCAATGTACTAATCTGTCTAATCATGAAATTTGTGTTAAAATGAGATGTTTCCCGTTTTTCTATGTGCTTCAGAAGCCAAGTTATCTTATCTGACAGAATAAATCCTTATTCTTTAGTTCTTTAGACCAACAGCTTTTCAGACTGTTTCATGAACTTTTAAGAGTTAAATTTATTGACTATGAATCCTAAGTTTACTCTAAGTAACAGAAATAGTTTAGAAATGTTTGGTTTATATTTTAGTTATTTATTTAGTATCTTAACCATCAGGTGGTTATAATGTCACTGAATAATCTGAATGTGAGTATTTAGAATCCATTATTAATCATGATGACGTTCATTCACATGTGTTTACTCTTTTGTTGTTCACAGTTTCTATGTGTTACTATCTGTTTCATTTCAGAGTAATTTAGCATGTTCAATGTGATACTTAAAACATAATGAGAATGTTTGATGTGATCCTACACTTCATTCATATGTGTTTAGTATCAAATTATTTATCATGAAACCAAGCATTCAATGATATTAATCATAGTGAGTGAGTATCAGATCTGACTCTTTTACCAGCCAAAAGAATAAGTTAGATCAAATAATCAGAGACCCGATGACCCCTCCTCTTTCTCCTCAGACACTCCCAGTGTGAGAAGATAAAACCAGTGGAGTGGGGTTGCTCACGCTCTCTTCTCTTATGCTCCTCTTCTCTCTTATGCTTCTGCTCTTCTGCTGACTCTCTTGTCCCCGGCTCTTATGCCCCTTCTCTTCTGCCCACACCCTTCTGTGGTGCGTTTCTTTGTTTTCTCTTAGAACTTTTTCTTAGTCTTCTAAGTTTTACGCCACGTGTTGATTCACGTTGATTTTTCTTTAACATCGTCTTAGTTCAAGTTTTGAAACTTCAACTTTTTGTGCACATAGTAATTCAAGATTAAGCCTTTGATTGATTTTCTTTAATTTCGCGAAGCCATTTTTGAAAGTTTTCTCTGCTCTTCGAGCCTAGTTTTTCTGAGTTTTCTGCGTGATTTCAAAGTCACCTCTGAACGCAACCCAGCAGGCCCAGGTCATCCTCTGTGCCAGAGTTTTTGAGTGAGACCAAAGAAGTACCCAAACGAGCATCCACAGGATCCACAGGCGCTGGCTTTGCTTCGGGTCCTGGCTCATCCTTCGGCTGACTTCAGTCGTCTTCTGAGCTGAACCGCTCGAACCGCCAGTAGCCCCGGACCTTCGGAACCTGCTCCATCTTCTCCAAGGACCAGTCTCACTTAAGTATGCAAACCTCCAGAGCTCCAGACAGGGCTGATGCTGTCTCACGCGTTCATAACTCAGATATCCACCTATTTCTGGTGATCTTAGATTCCTCCAAATCTACACCCGAGTTTACCTCGACACCAAAGTTAGTGTAGGTTAATATGTTAGCGCATATTCACTCACTATCATTAACTTTAGTGCTCCTAGCCTGACTCAGAATCTTTATTTATTCACCTATTATTATCTATCTTCATTATCTTATCATCATTTATTGCATGTGTGTTGTACCATCATTTATCCTGTAATAAACAGATCATTATTTTTCTAAGTTCCTGTCTGTTAGTGTTCTTCCAGAAGTGGAGTCCCTGAAATTAGAATTTCGACTTAAGATATGAGACTGATTAATTAAGACTGATTAATTAAGACTGATTAATTAAAACTGACTTGATGTTTGATTTCTGAATTAAACTTTTGTTTTCTTTATTTTCCCACCATTAAGGGTGGGTGGTGCCCCTTTCAACGAGTGCATAAATGTCATAATTTGAGATTATTAATCTTCAGACATTTATTATAAATTCCAATCGCTACAGTACTATTTTGGTACGGCCTTGTGAGGCTCATTTCAAATCGCTACAACTCCAACTTTTAATCTTGAAGATCCTTAGACACCGGGAACAACGTAAATATATGACGTGAAATTACAAAATATTCAGAGGCGAATTTTGATGCGCCTGACTATACACATCAAGCGCGATGTGATTTTGTGACTTTCCAGTGGAAAAAAGACGTGTCCCGGGTGAAAGCGAGAAGACTGACACAAAACGAATAAATAAATGCTGCAACATCTCAGGACAGGAAAAGGTCGCTGATGTGAACGCTTGTATTGACAGGATACAGGTTCGAAAAAAAATATTGGCTTCCGAAATAATCACACGAAAAAAACGCTCCTGGTGAGTAAGGACCTTTAGTCCCTCAAAATTAAAATTCGTCCACTACTGAATGCTTGCTAGATAACTGCAACTTCAGGTGTTGAAAATGTGGCAAACTCCAAAAGTTTAGGCAATCCTGTAACTTAAACGCAGAAAGCCTTTATAGCAGAAACATCATGTTCACAAGCAGGAACACATCACTTTCAGTCTGAATGGTTCATTTCTTTACTCCTAAACAAAGTACAGAGGGGGTTTACGAGTATGGTTGCTGACAGACAAGTGGAGGTGTTTGACTTGAGGCCTTCTTATCTTCACTTCTGTACCTGTGCGATTTCTCTGACACATAATCTGCAAATTTCTTGTTTTGTCTGAACAACAACTGAAAACCAAAGTAAATATGACATTAAAAACCAAGAAAATACTCAGAAACTGTTTATTTTTGAGAATTCACTCAAACAAGAACCAGTGATTTTCTAGTAAAACGGCAGCTTCGACCTCCTAAAAGTAGCTTTTCTAACCTCCATAAATAAACGAAAATGTTATTGAGATCAGAGTAAAGCTGAAAAATCAGATCTATTCTCTCAGGTGAAAGCAATCACTTGAACTTATCATGAAGAAGCAGCTGTTTTTTTGATCAATAATATGATTTACAATGGCCGTGAAATACCAAAGGGCAGCAGTCAATACAGTATCACTTTAATCTGGCTCCCCTCCCAGAGTGATCATTTCAGCGCCGCACTACAGACAATAGGCGTGGAGATGACAGGCCCAGGAACGAGAGAGACGCTCTGCATTTTGAATTACACAGCCTTAGTCAGTAATTGATTTCCGCGCTTGTAATTTTCTGTAATCCCGGTCTTCACTGTGAGGGGAGAGGAATTCATTTTCTGCAGGAAATAAATTAGGGAACGCAGAGAGATAAAATGGATGTTGGAGAACACACCTGAACAAAAGTGCAGGGGCTATAATGAGACTGCTTTCACAGAGCCTCCAGACAACTGATTTGATTGGCTGAAGCTCGACCGGCAGCTATAGCCCCGCAGGCTTGTCGAAGAGGAATTTATTCCATTTTGCTGCAAAGTGATGAAGATGAGGCCTTTCTGGCCGCAGAGAAAGTACGTTATTGAATGAAATGATGGAGCGAGAATGTGCGGCAACATTCATGCGTTCAGAGGAGGAAGCTTCGCGGAAAAGCAGGTGAAGAGGATGAAATGATCAACAAGCAGACTGAAAACAAAAACCGACGGAATCATAACACTTAAAATCAGACGTATATTTATTTACATCACATTCACATTACAGTTGGTCATCATGACAGTGCCACAGCAGGACACCGTAACACACAAAAAGTGCCGCTGCAATTAACCTCCAGAGTCAAAGTCAACTTCCTCTGGACCTTCAGCTCCAGTCTCACACAACACAGACAGAAAACACTAAACCGTCTACGTGATTCCCTTCCAGCAACATCACAACCCTTTGTTTCCAGTAAAATATGCGATTTAAATACCCCCAAGAGACGCCGAAATCTTAACAGCAGTGCAAAAACTCAACACAATTCATAAAAACGTATTAGACACCTGCCTCAGTTGGGATGATCTGAAAGTTTAATAGTTTGTAAAGGTAATAAAACGAGAACAGCCACAGAGTTTCATCTGACAGACCCAGACTAACAATATAATTCAAGTACAGTAATAGGCTTCGGGTTTAACGGCTCTGCTTCAGTGTACAGAATCAAATTCCTCAAACAGAAGTGATATTAAAACTCTAAAGACTTCTGCTAGTGCTGTCAATGATACTGCACACTGTGTTTGATAAATACGAGCCACTTACTAAAAATTTGTTGACTTTTTCTTCTGTAGAGCTCCAGGACAGGGATAGATACTTGTTGATTAATGCGAACCAAAGTCCAGATCTACAAAACCTTAGAATGAGAGTCAGCAGAGTCAAGGAAACGAATGTTAACACATTAGGAAATGCAGAATAAAGACTAATAAATACAGAGGGATCCAGTGTTCTTGATATCCTTCCTTCCTTCGCTCACAGTCCAGGGTGAGAGCCGATGATGATTTGTTGTTCATTTGCTCAGAGCAGATCAGGCAGTATGAGTCCAGGGGGTTTGGGCTCCACGCAGTTTATCCAGAAGTTGGCACAGCTGGCGTGGTACTGATGACCCCCGTACAGCAGCTTAAAGTTGTCAGTCTCAGAGTTGAACGCCTGTCAGAGAAAAAAAAAAAACAACAACACTGAAACTCTGAGATATGAAACCTGTCTGCAATCAGGAGGAGCCAAAGATGTACAATTACAGAGTCACAGCTGTGATTAAGTAATTCTGTATGTTCATTTTATGCGCAATCTCATAATTTAAAGCAAACATACTAAAATGTTTCACATGTATTTTAATCGTGGATCTATGCAGCATAGCTCAGTTGTTGCACACAGGACCCTGCTGTGTGCTGCAGCCAAGTCACGCATCAGAAAACGAGCCTCTGGCAAGAAAAATGGATTTTAATTCACAAGAGTTTGTATGCATACAATACCTGCACGATACGACTCTGAACTGTCTCATGTATTTTAAATGGCTGGCATAAAATTGAATCTGAATTCTTATGCAGGAAAAAAAAGACTGCCGACAAAAATCTTCCGCCGCACGTAAAAACAACACGAGCTGAAAACAAGCAGAGCTGCAGATCTGTATTAACATACAGATGCTTGAGCTCGCGGCCGCACACGGTGAAAATAATCACAGATCTCACATCTCAATCTGACGTACTGTTTCTACATTCACTGAGATAATGTTTTACGATGCAAGCTGCTGTGTTGGAATTCAAAGCACGGGTTTACAGACCACTGAGACACTCTCGAGCTCTTGTTGAGATCTGTGAAGGCCAAACAGTCTCCTCGGTATCTCTGTGGCTGCGGTCTGATAAATAAACATACACCACATGACACTGAAGACATGAGATGTGACAAATGAGCATCTCTTTTAAACACTATCCTCACACTGTAGATCTGGTTTTAATGGCTCGAGTGTTTGAGAGTTGCAGTTGTTCGTGGATCAGCGATGAAAACAAGATTTTCTTTGCGTTAACAGCCAGTTTAGAAACCCTGAGAATGTGGAGGAGGAAAACCCCAGTTCCCGATAAGGCTGTAAGGATGTCAGACACTCTCCTCTCAATTACTGGAGAAAATAAAACAACACATTCAGTAAAAATGAAACAGGAAACACATGTAATATAAAAGCAGTATGACTCTGTTCTTATTTATAGTACAGCTTCAATGTCTAATATCAATATCGGTAAGTTGTGACAGCTCTAGTGGTCCCAGACCTGGAGGACCAATTAAAACGGTACTTGGCTGGCTATTGTTGGTGCTTTGTGCTATCCTGTTCCCTTTAGACTGCTTCAATAATGAGGGTCGGGTACAAAGCTGGTCTGGGAATCAGCGCTGACCCTCATAAAAGGATCCTTACCAACCGTCAGCAGCAGAGGTTCCAACAGTAAGTGACCTGGTGAAAATATTTACAGATTTTTTAGGCGTGGGTTCCTTCTGGAGCGCTCGCCATGTTTATTTTGGTGTTTTTCCGCCTCTGCATCCGTCTGCACCCTCCCCCCCTCAGACGACATTCAGGCAGCGAATTCAAAAGGCGAATAAGGCATGTTGTAAAAAAGCTAGAAGAGACTTCTAACTCTAACATTTCCAACAATTTGGTTCATAAACTGAATTAGAGGTCACTACCTTTAAAACATTTAGGGACATCTTGATTTGTTTCCTTATCATTGCTACCTCTTATAAAGCCAATCGTTAATCAGCATGAGGAGAAAGCACACAGGTCTTTTTAAGACCTCTGTCTGGCATGAGTCTGGTCCTACCCAAGGTTTCTGCCTGTCAAAAGGAAGTTTTTCGTTGCTATTGTTACTCATGTTAGATGAGATGGGCCAAATCCCATCTTAGGTTGGGTTTTCAAACAATGAGTGTGGTCTAGACCTTCTCCTTTTCTTTGGAAAGCGTCTTGGGATGAGGACTGTTGTGAATTGGTGCTATATATATAAAATTTGATTGATTGATTGACCTCTGTGCCCATCAGATCTGTTATTTTATGGTAGATGAATCTAGAAAAAACAGTCCTCAACATCTATACTTGAACTCCCCAGAAATCAAAGCTCACTTCACCTGTAAATTTGGTCTCAATAATAACTTAATAAAGAGTGAAATATCATCTTCATGTCACTAAGATCTTGTTTTGAACCCGGCTCAGTCCTGCGTCCTTCACCGTCATTCTCTGTGGCAGCAGAAGTCAAACGTGTTGCTCCAAACCTGAAAGGTTGTTCAACAAAAACACTCCCACCTGTTCCACGATCTGACCCCCACATGAGCGCTGCTAATCCACAATTTCAATGGGTCCAGCTGCAGCCCTGAGTGTGTGCGTCTGTGTGTGTGTGTGAGAGTGCGTGTGTGCAATAGGGAGATGCTAATGTGTGCGATGTGCGGTTAAAGAGTTTGCATCCCTGGTGAAATACTGGGAGCTGAAGCCGGAGAGAGGAATGAGTCATGTGCAGTGAATCACAGCCTCCCACGCAGACAGAGAGGCATGCAGAAAGCAACTACTGCATACAAAAAAAATACCCACACCAACCCAACACACACACACACACACACAACACTGAAGTCAGATATATCTCCACCTGCTCGGATGCAGTCTGCAGCACAGATGCTCTGCGGGATGAAGGGCTTTCTCACGCAAACTGAATGACACATCTCCCGTTTTTTTTCTCACACGCTCGCGTTTCGCAGGCAGAGCCATTTCCTCTCCGAGCTCTTTTGTGCCCCTGGCCTACTTGTTTCCACAAACCTGCACTTACGGCTGCCAAAGATGGAAAACGTTGGAGGGGGAGGATGCAGAATGAAAGAGCGGTCGCACAAAGATGCAATGAAATGCTTCCTCCTTTCAGAGCAGAAACTTGACCTCTCAAACCTGCACTTTTTTTCTTTAGATTTCACCTGCATGGAAGTGAATGTAGGTCCGTTTAGTGTGTCTTAGACAGAGGAGTGCTGTGTTTTGGCTTTTCAGACACGCTGAAACAAGAACGAGGTAATGTTTTTAAGCTGCGGCTGCACAGATAAACCAGTGACTGATAATTCACCTGCCCTTTGTAGCAGCATGTAAAGGTTACAGATCCAGACAGAGGCTCCTTCTGGTTGAATAACCTTCAAAACCCTTCCAGAGTAAACTATTTGATTAAACTTTACTTTCTAATATATATACATGAGAATAAAAAAAAAAAGAAAAGAGATAATTACCCTTACTCTCCTGTCACTGTCTTTAGTCAGAGCCTGTAAGCACAAGAGGAGTCAGCATTTTCACGCAACGCCCAGAGCGAAGTAAAGTGTGCATGAAAAGAGCGGCATGCAGCTGTTTCACCAGGACAGAGCTCCACATTCCCAGTAGGTGGATGAAAACATTAAAGAAGTCAAGTTATTACTCTCAGGGCTCCTACACATTGACCTCTACAGGATTTGAGGGATTCTGCTGAAGAGTTCGATCAGTTCGTTCGATAATCTCTTCGGCTTTTGCAGAGAAACGTGTTTGGCCGATTGTGAATTTAGCAAAATGCTGCCTCCTGTGTTTTTCCTCTGGTCCCGTTCATGTTTGCTGTTTGGGATCATTAGCGAGGCTGTATCGCCGCTGGACACGCCGCCACATTCAGAATGTGTCATAACCAATTTCAGATTCTTGCTTTGACACTGAATAACTCCCACAGTCACACAGACTCGCCTCATCTGCTGGAGGATGTGACTCTGAATATCCTAAACATCCCTGATCTGACTGTCAGTGAAGCTAAATCGTGTTCTGTACGGCGAGACAAACACACAAAGATCTGAGTTCATTATCCTTTAGGTTTGAACTTTTCCAGGCTGGTATTGTTGTTGGTATGTTGTTGGAATTGGACTGATTTCTCCTCTCTTCCTCACTGTGCTGTGTAGGAACCCTGCTAACCCGGGGCACAGAAAAACGAGTTATGAAAGAGACGGGCAACCAAAACTCAGATTTACACGCTCTAAGTTGAAGAGATGGGAACATTTGAGAAAGTTCAGATCCGAACTTCCTGTAGCACTGCTGTGAGGTAAAAATCTGAACACTATAATCAATCCACATCCTTCAACACTACAGGAAGTGGCAGTTATATAAAAGCGAAATTATTCTACTTTTGGTGCTTCTCTCTGTGATTGCTGCAAATGTCAGTTAGAAGAAGTGGATAAAAGTGCAGTTGTTTCTCATAAACTGAGGTGAGAGGAAGCTGCGGCTGGTTGCCCATCTCCACTTCCTGACTTGGAGAAGGAGACGCGTCACATCAGCCGTACGATCACCGAGGACAGATGTGACCGAGAGCCTCTGCGGATGATTCAGCTCTGATTGGATTTGTGGCTCCGACTGTTTTGACAAACTGGTAACAAATTCTGATTTAATTCTCTGAAAATATTAAAATTCCTGACAGGATTGAACAGCAGCCATTAGGCTTATCAGCTGTGGAGTGTTTCTCCTGTTTTCTTTGACGCCTCATCAACATCCCCACCCCTCTGTGCCTTTGCTTGAAAACAGATCAGTACCTCTTCAGTAAAGGACAATACAACAATCAGTGCCGTCTGTGGTCGCCAAAGCCGTTCTTTCACTTCATTATGCTCTGAGGAGACTCTATTCTCCACCCGGCTTTTGTGCATTCTTACCAGCGTGGCTCTGCCAAAAATGTAATTAAAAGATGGGTTATTAATCTCATGCTAGTGGCACAGAGACAAAATAAAACTGCATTAATTTGCAGCCTGCCTCTGCACACACAGCGACGAGAGAGAGCGAGAGAGTCTGCAGGTCTGTTATCAGCTTTACTTCCTGCTTATGACTAATGTGGAAGCCACATCTGCTCGCGTCCTGGATGCCTCTCAGTCGGCCGTATCTCGCCCGTTCCATCCATCTGGCCCTGGCTGAGCGGCAAAGGGACCGCGAGGAACGATCAGAGCCACTGTCCTGCCCTCTGGGAATCCCATTAAGAGCCCACGTTGATGAAAATCACAGCCACCGCAGGCGAGGAAGCGGACATACAGCAATTCTGCTCAAAGGGCCACAGTCAGAGTTAATAACTGAACGGCTAACAGAGACACCAGTGATTGTTAGCTGAAAGTGGCAAGGTGAGCAGTTCCCTCCACACAAAGGTGACAGAACAGGAAATAAAACCCTGCCGAGAGACCGCTCTGACCTGGAGAACCAATCCCAGAGTGTGAAAACGCACCTGAGGGGCCAAAGTGACGACTCTGCTCTCTGACTTATTTTCAGGGTGCACATCATTATTCTTTTCCTGGTCAGCCTCGGTGTTTAGTTTAGGAGACGAAGCGACAACCTCTGACTGTTCATTAAACCCGGACTTCACTGAAAACTGACTGATCATTCAGAGCTTAGCAACCAGAGCAAGGTACTGGGATAAAACTCTGATAGCAGCTCCACCTGATGTTTGGATATTACAGAAGATGGCGTTTTCCAAACAGTCGATGTATCTGTCGAGGTTTGGAGGAGGTTCTTTCTATCTGTTTGAGTTTGAGTTTGTTGAGACGGCTGATGTTTGCCTGTGAGAGAGGAGCAGTGGGAACCTGTCACTTTGGCCCCCCTGCTGGGCTTGCCTAAAAAAAGAGGAATAAGCCCCCCCCCGAAGGCCCCCAGAGGGAAAGAGTGGATTTAGTCGACAGTCGACTGTCTCATACTCGTTTAAAGAGACGTCCAATAGAGCTTCTGTCTTTGTTCTGCAAAACGTTTCAAAGTCAAACAAATGTCAGTTGTTATCCATGACAACATTTATGGTAATGTGCATTCACACACACACACAGTATGTGTATCTGTTTGTGTGTGTGGACAAACCTTGCTGCGAGCGTCGACGTTGAGCAGACACACCCCACAAGCCAACTCCTTGGCGTTTTTGATGCCGTGCCTCAGAATACAAGAGGAGAAATCCAGGGAGCTTTCATCAGGCTGCACACACACACACACGAACAAACAAACACAGACACACAAACACAGACACACACAGAACAACAAACTAATTTTACTTATTGCTTCGGGGTACAATGTTGCATTTCTATTCTTATAATAAAAACAAGTCTGCTCATAGTAAACATCTCCAAGCATCATCAACTTTGTATAAATGTTCTACTTGACTTTTACTGTGTTGAGTAAAAACAAACAAGAGCAGCAGATTTTTCCTGCTGTTTCTCAGGAAAAAAAGCCGCACACACACTCACACACTCTGCAATTTAACAGTTTTATTTTTTTCCCTCTCTTCCTCCTCGGCACCGACTCAGTTTATGCTCCTCAGTATAAAATAACAATAACCCTGTGGGCAAGGACACTATTCTTCCTCTGTGTTTCTACTAAACAGTCATCAGCAGACAGCTGAAGGAGTGAATCTATACAGTCTTTTTCATCCCTGTTCATATAAACACACATCCAGGTTCCTGCTGAATCAATGAATCATTGATTGTAACCTAATGGACCAACAATGCTGATCTGCCAACATCTCATAATCCTATAGGCAGCCTTTCTTATTAGAAATGGTGCCACATTGCTTGATTGTTTTGTGTCTTTGTGTATCAGGGTGAAATGAGAAGCCAGTCAAAGCAGAAATATATAAAACACTCTGACTATGTTTAAAAAGTTGACAACATTGTGTTGATACAATCTTCATTAACCAGTTAACCAACTTGAGTTTGGCTTTGGCAAAAGTGTCCTCACTAGATGTGTGTGTCAGAACAGGTCCTTGCATTGATATGAAACCAAGAATGTGAGTTATTAGATGTCTCAAAACCGCAGGAAAACAAGAATGTGTGTATTGCAGAGAAAGTCCCCATGTCTTTATTCGAACCAGAAAATATGTGTAAAACAAGTCCTGGCATAGCTATTTAAACCAAAAAGTGTGTGACTCTCCTGAATGTTAAAACAGAAATGCTAAGGGTCAGACAGAGTCCCTACAATGATTGTAAAACAAACATGAGTGTGTCTGGAAATATACCCAGATTCATGTTAAGATTCAAAGTCCCCTAAATGCTACAAAAACAAGAAAGTGTGTGTTATGATAAGCCCTTGGATACAGAGAAAACAAGAATGTGTGTGCGTGTGAACGTGTGCGTTTCATAAAAGTCTTCATGTCTACAGCAGAACGTGTGTCCCCACAATAAATCAGAAGCGATACAGTAAAGGCCCTTTAAAAACCAAAAACAAGGAAATGTGTGTCAGGAGAAGTCCTCACGGCATGCAGCAGACTTTATTTGTTTTCGACTTACAGCGAGCTTGGCCAGCGACATGAAGCCCATAAGGTTGTTCCAGACTCGGCTGATGTCCTTCAGCAGCTGCTGCAGCTTCTCCGAGCACACGGCCGTGGCCTTAATGCCCAATTCAACGCGCCGGGTGACACGATACACTTCCACTACACCTGAAAGACGAAAAACACAAGAAGCGCAATGACAAAAACATGTTTTCGTCTTTCTCTTTTGTTTTCTTTTCAAGTGGCACACTGCGTCTGATTCTTCGCGGTGACACGTTTGCCGCTCGCAGCTCATTAAAAGCCGGGGGAACACAATAAGGGAGCAGGGACCTTGTCAGACTAGGCGGAGATAAGCCATCGCACCAGAGCTCCTTCTAATCTTGTCCTGTCCGTCCTTCAGAGCGTATGAAGCCACACACAGAGTCCTCAAAGGCTTGTTTATTATAGCGTGTGTGTGTGTGAGTGTGTTTGTGATCCCTCACCCAGCAGGTACTCCATGCCCTGTGCAGACTGGATGACCTCTGTGCAGACAGTGGAGCTGCTGATGCCGTTCAGGATATTGTTGGCTTTGCTGATGACCTAAATGTCAAAAACAAAAACTGACATTATGGCAGGTATCCTCCTCACATCTCATTATAATCAGATGACCAGAGTTTCCTTTACAAACACATCTTCTGATAGTACAATATTCTTGTTTTTGTATTCAGAATCACTGTCTACCTCTCTCTTTATTGTTTTTTAACAAATTGATGTTAAATCATTAGTTAAAGAGACTTTGCAGGAACTTTTATTAACATTCAAGGCATGTTCTCCTCAAACCTCGATCCTTACATTTAACTGTGTGAAGATTTTAATGTGAGCAACCTTAAATTCTCTCGATTTGAATCCAGAGGGTATGCTTAAAAATTAGAAATAATAAAAAAGTCCTCAGGCCATAACAATCCTGCGTCTTTTGGCGATCCCAATTATCCCTCCATATTTGTTCGGCCGCTCTAACAATTAACTCTCGCCTTGAGACGAGGTCAGGAGCAGAAAGAAAATAGACACGAACCTCCAGAGCGCTTTCCAGACACCTCTGCCACTCGTATGCGTAGCGCTCGCTCTCCTGCAACGACACAGCACAGCGTTATCTCAAGTGACCACAAAGACTGAGCAGAGCAGAGGAGCTCAGGAGCCTCCAACAGCCCTGATTTAAAGCGGTCGGAACAAATCATGTGGAGGATAGCTGAGCTGACAAAACTGAGACCGTCCTCACCTCCACCTCCCCGGTCAGGTCCTTGTACTTGTCCCTGATGACGGGCAGGACAGGCTTTTCGCTCAGGGTGTTGGATCGGTCTCTGAAAGGTTGCTCTGGAGCCGGAGAGGGGGGGGAACGTCCGATCTCCTTGTCACCCAAACTGTGACTGCGTTTGTGGGAGCCTGGAGTGAAGAGAAAAGAAAGGAGCTGATGAATAATAATATAAACACCTTTACTATAACTACATCAGCTCAGCAACCCATAGAGATGACTCACAGTTTGCATCACTATATTTCTATCCCATGGCATGGAAAACACACATAATTTGAGACAAACTACAGTATAATTATGTGCAAAATACAGGCACAAATATGCTGGTATGAATTATTCATAAGGACCTGCAGACGGACTGATCCTGGCAGGGTACCACAACAAACACATGCTAAGCCTCAGACTATTCCAGTGGGGCCGCCAGTCAACTGATGTGCACGCGTTTGTGTGTGTGTATGTGTGAAGGTTGTCCAGACACAGGTAATCTACCCACAACCCCCCCTCCTCCAACTCCTAGGCCCCCCCACAGAGACATGCGTCATCCTGCCCACAACATCAGAAGCCCCACCACGATCAGATTACTGCTCCGCTGGGCGAAGACGAGCGGTAGTAAAGCCTCTTCTTCTTCTCGCAAATTAAATCCTGCATAAAGAGATAAATCTAAGACGCAAATGGGCTTTTATCACGGCGCAGTGAAACAATCAGCGATGATATGTGGACCACGACAACAGCAAACAGCAATTTGGAAACCGACAGCCTTTCGGTGGATACAGTTAATTTCTGCTTATGGATTTGTTGGCCTCCTCTCATCCATCTCGCCAGCCGCTGCCATTAGAGCAGGGCTGTCATCCCAACACTGCCATCTAATGTCTGACAGCTTTATTACAGATCTGATGGACCTCACATGTGGGAGCAGGATAGGAGATGATGCTCTGGGATAGTGTGGGCGCACTGTTTCAGACCTCTATATTAGCACAGCACTGCTGTTATTGCAGTTTGATTGATTGTAAGATTCAGACTTTGAATGACTTTGGAAAAAACAGGTTAAATTTATGATTCTGACTCACCTTGGACAGAAAGGTCAAACGTTGCCAGCTCGTTCTTGATCATCTCCTCACTGGACTTGACTTTAGGCTGAGCGCTCGCTTTCAGGAAGTCAGACTTGCCAAACTTAGGTTTGTCTCCCTGGAAGGCTCCAAACTCATCTGAGGCCTCTCCCAGGTTTCCCTCCGAGCCCGCCTCAGTGCTGGCAGGGGGTGAGTCGGACTTCTCTGAAACTGTGCTCGCAAAGTCCCCAAAGTCGTCCCCGTCATCCACACCCCCTTGTTCACCGGAGCCAAAATCAGCGAAGGCCTCAAACTTGTCGTCTGTGGAGGAGCCGTCGTCCGCGGGGAAGGAGGTGGTGATCTTTGCTGCGGCGCTGCCTGTGATGTTTTCAGTGCTGCCAAAGGTCAGCTCCGTCCTCTGTGCCGGAGCTAAAGATGGAAGAGGAGCTCCGTCAAAGCCCTGAGACTTCTTGACCTCACCGGGTAGACATTCCTCCCGGTCTGACCAGTTGTAGCTGGTCAAGGTGCTGAGGGCCGACGTCCCAAAGGGGTCAAATTTCATGTCGTCTCCTTCTGTAATGACAACAAAACATACCAGTGGTTCCTAGACACAGCACCCATGATAGGCGGAAGATAAAGGAGCCCAGATGATGGACTGCTGGGTTATAACTTTAAGGTCTTGACCCAGGAACTTTCAACATTTAAGAGAGCTTCTCATCACCTCATCTAAAAACTTCTCAATATTAAGATATGTTTCCCGCTGTGATTAAAGCTCCTGTAAGGAACTTTCTGTTTGTGTCTATTATGGTACCCCCTGTGGATAAATCAACACCTCTCAGTACCTCGTTGCTGATTCATCCCATACCTGTGTGAGAGGAGCTCTCTGACTGAATATCTCATTCTTTTTTTCTTTTAACTGTGACTTGTATCACTTACAAAAGAGCATGCTGTACAGTTTCTGATTGGCTCCTCCTTCCCTTTGACTGTTATAGAAATAAAAAAGTTACAGAAACGGTTAATCCTGTCTTACCTTTTGAGGTCATAAGTGTCAACATTGTTAATTCTAATCTGTTTTTGTGACGGCCAAATACTCCTCACAGGAACTTTTGGGGACAGCAGATCACAAAAAACAGACCTCTTTTTATTCTAGTGCCAGAACTATACAATACCAGGAGTTTTGTTTATACCTTTAACGATGATGATCATGATAACAGATCATTTAAAGGCACAGTAAAGAATTTTGGGTTGTTTTATCTGCAAAAACAGCAGTTGGTTGGCACTCACCTAGAAGTGTCTACATTTAGGACTCCTCTGGTAAAACTTCAGCAGTGAGAAGAATTTTTATTTTCCTATAGTTTTCTTTTTACATTATGGTTCAAACTCATGGCTGATACTGGAGCAGCATTATCATAAAAGGAAAGTTTTTGACTCTGAACAAGGCAAAGCTTACTAAAAGTGGCCAAAATTACCATGGACAGGATTTAATGTTAATACTCGTCACTAATAGAATTTTTATTATTTTTTTGCTTAATACACGAGAATTCGAATGCCTGAATGTTTTGTTTTGACTTGGTTAACTTGTACAAATAGCTTGCCCTATTTGCGTGCCATATCAAGTACCCAAACATGCAAGTTAATGCAAGAGAGGGGGCTTTCTTCATGGGTAGCCACACACTATCATGATTAGTTTGTCCTCTTTTTTCCATTGGTCAATAGTTGAGCTTTAAGGAGATCTTTAAGCTGACTGGCTATCACAGCATTAACTGACTGATTGGAATTTAAATTTTCAACTTTTGCAAATAAATCTATTTGTGTAACCTACAAAACATGCTGGAGTCAGCCAACAAGAACTGAAGTCTAATCACGTGTTTGCTTGAGCTTGTGTGTAATTTACACGTGTAATTTACTTGTGCAAATAATTCTAGTTGCGTCCTGAGTGAAAACATCATTGAACACTACAGATTTCTACCACAGGGGTCACTAGAATCAGCACAACATAAAAACTCCTCACTGTGCCTTTAAAAAGCGTGCTGTTTCATTGTCCTGACCGTCTTACTTCACTGTCGTTACCTGTGCTCTGTCATGTCAAGAAGTGAAGTTGAGTGTACAAAAAGCAGCCTCTAGGTCAATATTTTATACCTAAAGAAGAAATCTGGAGTTACTCGTTATTAAAATGCCGATGTCTTTTTGTTGTGGCATTAATCAATAAAGCTATTTCAGAAATAAATATCATCTCATATTTTTCTGCAGCTAAAGAAGCTGCTTTCATGTTTCTGCTCAAAGAATTTCTGCCACAATTTGGCAAAAACTCCATGAACACCAGCAGTGATTTTTGTAGGAGGCCCTCCGACTCAGTCAATAAAATGCTTCTCTCTGTTCTGCCTGATGATGAGCTCTTTCCATGACAATAACTGGAGTTGATCATTTTTTACTCAGTGCAACCTGAAACGGCTTTGATGCTCAAACAACAGATGAACAAAGATATTTCCTTTCATTACATCTGCTCTTTTGTTGACAGTACACTGTTTGTCCTCAAATTTTTATGACTAATACGAGCTGATAGAGCTGCGCAGCTTGCAGGAATTTGTCAGCACTTAAGGATTCAGCTCTCTCTCACACACACAAACGCACAAATCGACCTTAATGAACCCTCCCTTTTTTTTTTATCAGAAAGTAACCTCTGATGCAAAAAACAATTTGTGAAATTGACAAGGACCCTAAAGCTGTAAGCTTCGTGTCATTAGATCAATCTATACAGCCTCTCAGGAAAAGGAAAAGGAAAGGAGAAAATAAGACCGTACGCATTTGAGCAATACCAACAGTAATATTTATTACGACAACATGAGTAGAGAGAAAGAGAAAGGTCACAAAGTACTGTGAAAGAGGTCTATCATTACAAGAGGTTTGTCAAACTAACACTTGTAAAATTAGAGTTCAGTCATTTAGAGTACAAGGGCATGCAGAGTCAGGAGAAAAGGAAGAAAACAAACAGCGAGAAGGTAAAACAAAGATACTCCGAGGATATAGAAGCAGAATGAGAAGGCACATTCACAGACTAAAATCAGTAATTCTGGGGAGATGACAAACTTCTTTTTTTTTCTTCTGTACGATCAGGTTGTAAAGCAACAGGTGTTTTTGGAAAAGTACAGAACACTCTGGAAAGCCAGGTTAAAAAGGTAATCAAAGAAAAAGCTGAAGGCAGGAAGCATTAACCCTTTGAGGACCTGAGGGGGGAGAAATACGTACATACAGTACCCCAGAATTAATGCTTGTTGTGAACAAGGACTTAAGAGCCACCATCGAGGGGCTGCTGCCAATTTTGTTTTGTTTTTTTACATTTGTAGTTATTTCCAGGGTATTCGCATTAATCTGCCCGTTAAAACATGACGTAAACTTGATTCAAGCACTCAAAGGGTTACAGAAAAACAAAGAGGGCCATCCTAACACCTGACCTCCCAGACAGGGCTTTCATTTACATCCAATCACAGATGTAGAAACAGATTTAAAGAGACAGTATCCTTTTTCTCTTGCTACAGTGATTGTTTGTATTAGAGAGGGCAAATGTGCGCAAACTTTTACGATCCTCTAAATAAGAAATTTACATCGATACTACCGAGGACAGAAATGTTTCGTCTGGAATGATAACCTAAAATATCTGAATGAAGATCTGAACCTTATTGAACACCGTAGGCTACATTTAATTTACACTGAAGGAGAATCATATCAAGATCAAGAAGTCTTTCAGAATAAGAGCTAGTATTCCTGTAGTAAAAATACACTATTAAATCTGTATACATTTTTTCCTTAGATAAAAACAACTTGCAGTACTAGTATGCATAAAAGGGTATTTAGTATAATGTTCTTGTCAATTTCACAAATTGAAAAAGGCAGGCACACTGCAGCAAAAAGCAAGGCAGGAAGGGTTATACTAACTTCATTATGTTCTCAGAGAGCCGGTCCAATGAGCCACACGTGATAATTCATGCTGCGGTTATCACAGGTAACAGTAAGAAATAAAAACAGAAACAAAGAAATCAGATTCCTTTTGTGCTCAACGACTCAAAAGGAACCTCGTGAAAGAAATACTGTCTCTTTAAGGTTTACAGAAACACAGTGCAAAAGCCAGTTAGGGTGCTCGTACTGCTCGGCCTGCTACACTTTTACAACAGGTGAGTCCCAGAGCTCTCCAAGAACATGGGAAAGATTCAGTTTGAGGAGAAAGGTCGAGCGGCTGTAACAGCAGCAGAAAAAACGTCATAGGAATGTACTGATGTTGACCTGGAGACTGTCAGCTGTAATAACACTTAGACTGCAGCTCCATGGACTCTTAGTTTGAATACATCATCTCAGTCAAGACAGGACAGACGAGCCTGTTTCATATCCACTGCTGTACACAAACTGAAATAAGGCAATGGGGATGTTTACATTTAAGCTTTCTTCTGGTTAAAGAGGAGAACGACTCGATACGTCCTTTTTCATGAAATGATGATGTGTTCATGTTGCTGCAGTGAATACTTGTAGATACGAAAACAACTTGTATTCATGCAGAATGGGATGTATGACTGAAAAAAGTTGCTGTTGTCAGGGGAGGACTTTTTATTCACTGGATGGTATCGACTCTACTTGCTTTGAACTGGTACTGCAGACAAAACCAGGCTTAGTTTCCTCAATGCTGCACAAATTTTGGCTTGTAGGGCTAGGGGATAAACCGAAAATTTACAGAAAACGAAATTTACAACATTAACCGATGTCATTTTGCCCATGTCAATATATTCGGTGTCAAAAAATTAAATAAATAAATAATAAAATAGGTAGGCTATGGTCTCATGTCCCTTTAAGACGCTGTCCTATGTCAGAGACGTGACTCCACCCCATCCAGTCCGTAACAAAGAGGGAAAGACAGGTGAGGAGATTGAAGGCGGTTCAAAAGTTCTAGCGGCTGAAGTAGATTAAGTTAATATGGGAGGGGGTGAGCAGCTTGTGGAGTAGTTATCGTCCATTTATCGTTATCGAGGTCAACTGCTCAAAATATCATGATATTGATTTATCGCCCAGCCCTATAGGCTTGTATTCAAAAGTTCTGTCTTTTCAGGTCTTTCTTAGAATAAAAAGTTCTTCCTTTTTCCCCTCAACCAAACTACTTGTTTGAGGGGTTGTCTCTCTTGCCTACTGGTGGATCATTAAACTCTTCTCCTTTTGTTTGGTCCATCCACAACTCTTGGAAATGTAAAACCAAACCTCCACTTTAAAGCAGAGCAAAGTTGGACCATCCAGTGAAACCAATCCTTCTATCAACTTCTCAACCAGCTGGATGCTTATCTGAGCTTTTGATGAAATCACGTGTTTGAGTTGCAAAGCTTTCCCCTGACAACTATTTCACGTTTTCTCGGGTTACATAAATAAAAAAAAAAGAGCTTTGAATGTTTTCAGTGAAACTTGAGCCATGACGTGGAAGGTGAGACGCTCGATGAATAAATGATGAGCAAATGAGAGAGGAGGGGAGGGAGTGCTGATGAGGTTGTTACATGATTTAATACAGAAACTGGGTCGATTTGCCTTGAATAGGGGCTGCGACTCCCTGGGTTATTACTGACTCTGCTGTTGAATATTTGATTCATAAATTTACCATAACATCTCAGTTTTGGATCAATAAAATACACCTACCTTTCTATAAATCTTCTATAAAACTTCTAAAATATGACCTTCTCCCAGAGCTTAGGGTGACAACTCCAAACTGAGTTGGTTCAAAACACAGAGGTGTTCATTTTAAGGGATGTAGCCGGGAAAGACTGAAAAGTTTATCTGTTATGGCAGATATAAAAATTTCCATTGACATTTAAAGCCTATAATGTGATAATTAGGCATTAATTATGTATGCCAAAAACAAGTCCCAGCATGTCCGCTGTATGGAAGTATTCTAATGTAAACAGGCTGTTGCTTATAAAGTAGTACAACCCTCTTTATCAATACTGGTATTGGCCAAAATGAACAGGTTAGCTGTGTGGAAGTGAGGTAGGGGATGAAAAATCTCATAAATAGATGTCCTTTTAACTGGAATAATACTGCATGGTAAGTTTGAGATACTGAAGAGTAAAGCGGACAAATCACATTCATACAGTCTGACCTGATGATGCACCGAACATCTCAGCATCTTAGAATAGCTTGTTCCTGGTTGTGCATGCAAAATCTCATACGTCTGGATTTGATATTCAGGTGATGTACATTATAATATCTGTTTCGCACAAACCGCGTGAGTTAAGAGGGTGAGTAACGGCTGACAGATTGTGCATTTTTTCCGAACCGTCTGTTGTGCAAAACCTGTGACGAGAGCAAACGAGAGGGTCGTAACTTTAACAACTCCCCCGGACTTATTTGTATTCGGCTCAGCCTTTTTGTGAGTGTTCAATGGAGAGTCAACAACACACACACACGCACACACACAAACATGCACACACACATTTACACATACAGGTTTCAACCTGCAGAGCTACACTGAAGGGAAGTGTGATTTCTGCTGCTGCGGTATCTGACTTCTTTTAAACCGGGACTGCCAACACTTTACTGCCTGACTTCAATCCTCATTCATGGGTAAACAGAGGTACAGACCTCCTTTAGTTGAGAGTAAATTAACAGTAATATATGAATGTACAGTAGAGGTGATGATGAATATGGAAATATAAGAAAGGAGGGAGAGGAGGTGATCGAGGATTTAAATAAATACATGAATAAATATTAAATAAATAAATGAGATTAATGATGAGATGAAGAATGAAGATGTGATGTGTCTCATCTGATATGTTACTCATAAAGTGTTTTATCTGTTTGCAGTGTTTGATCATATTCAATCGGACAGGGACCGTGCCCTTTGACCCCTTAGTTTGTGGTCAGCGTCGGCTACTGCTGGCCTTGGAAATAATACTGTGTGTGAATGAGCGAAGGGCGGGACCTCACCAGAGCAATCGCACTAGTTCCTCACCTGTAGCGGGGGGCTGGTGAGCCGAGAGACCCGGCAAATCCAGCGAGCTGTCCGACATCACGTGCTTCAAGTCTCCGCCCATGTCCGACAGCTTCATGTCCAGCTGCACTGAGAGGGCGTCCTCAGAGTCTTCCTTTCCTACGCTGCTCCCCCCGATGGATGGGAGGTCAAGAGACTTGACGGAGGCGGAGTCCTCTTTGCCCTGTTTGAAAGCAGACACCTTGTCCACCAGAGTCTTTTCTGAAGCCCCGAGCGCCGTGCAGAACTTGGAGGACTGAAAGTCGGCAAAGTCATCTGTGTCGCTCTTGAGCGAGGAAAAAGATCCACCGCCGCTCTCTTTAGTGTCATCGTAGGCCAGTCCTCCCTCCAGAGACAGCTGTTTGAATACATCGTACTTGTCTGAGCTCTGCTGAGGCCGCTGCTGCTGAGTCGAGGTCTCCCCTTGGACCCCCACACTGCTCTCACCTTTAGGCTCCCCGCCAGAGCTGCCGAACGCCATGAAGTCTGCAAAGTCATCCTGAGGGGCGGCGACGGCTCCTCCGGCTGCTGACGCCTGAGCGGCATCAGAGGAGGAGCCGAAGAGAGCAAAGTCGCCAAAATCATCTGCTCCTCCCCCTGGAGGTTTGGCTCCACCTGGTAGGAGAACTATAGAGGGGGGCACGGACACTGAGGGGAATGTGGTGGGTTTGGTCTCAGAGGGGGCGGGGACAGAGGGAGCTATAGAGGAGAAAAGGTCCAGGTCGGCCATGTTGAGAGGATTTTTGGGCTGAGATAGAGACACTGCTGGCTGCTGCTGCTGTGGTAGCTGTTGTAGAGACTGAGAAGTTGGGAAAGCAGAAGGAAAGGCAGGTTGAAAGATCTTGGCCTGTTCTGAGGGGTCTAGTGGAGAGACGCTGTCGGCGGTTTTAAAGTCTGTGAAGCCATCATCAGCGCTGACAGACTTGAAATCTGCGAATCCTTCCCCTGTGTAGAAAAGAGAACCATTTGAGATAACTCGGATAAATTTTACATTGCAGAGAAAGAAACAGACATGCGAGTGTAGAGCCTCAGCTGCACCGCAGAGTTCAGTCTTTATCAGTCCTATAAAGACAGAAACACACGGATTCACATCATGAACTGCTGACCCAGAAAAGTCCAGAGACCAGCACACGTCACTGCACAAAAACAAGAGACACGTCATTCTGCTCCACCATGCATTGATCAGAGTGACTGTGAAAGAGTAGAGCAGCTAAAGATCCTAAAAATCTTAGTAGAGCGTCATCAGCATTCCCATATTATGTTTACATTGTACATAATTCCTGTATTGTCACAAAAGTTTTGAAACACAACACCGCACAGAGAGAAGAAGGCGCTCTTCACTTTCAGCTGGTTGTTAAGCTGCTGCTGTATTATATTATACATGCATGGACTGTAACTGAGAATCTGTTCAGACTGTTGGTGTATGCAAAGGGGAAGAGGAAAACTAATGGGCTCATTAAGGAGATGGAGCCTGACAATGCCGAGGAAAGGTCACCGCAAAAGCATGACTTACTGGAGTTGTAAAAGCGGTCCCCGTCGGAAACTGTTCTAATGAAACAGGGAGGGGAAACATGCATATCAACACCGTGGGCTCGCAAAACAAGATACAGTGGAAAGACGGGAAAACTGTAATTCGGCAGTGTATAATTAGGGGAATCTAACACTGAAACTTTACTCCCTAAAAAAGCTTGTTCTCTAAGAAGGTTATGATCTCCATCTTTTGGGTCCTCCAGCTTGTAAAAAACATCTTCAAGTCTAAAATATTATCTTTGGTGTTTAATATATTGAAGGACTTTTTGAGGGATCAGGCAGAAAAAACAGATTTGCCACCATAAGTTTGCAAGTGTGTGTGAGACTCAAATGTGTGAAAGAGGCCAAGTTTCTTCTTCTTCTTCTTACCGACTGGTTTCTTGTCAGCTGGTTGCTCAAGCTGTCTGAACACGCTGTATTTGTCTCCAGAATCTGGGTAACAGAGAAAAAAAAACAAGTGTGGGTTTAGTAAAAGCAGGAATTACACCACATTTCACAGGCAGGCGGGTGTTGGTTTAATACAGTTTGCTGTGAACTCTGCAGATTTGTTTCTTAAATCGGATCTTAAAGACAGAGTGTCGGCATTCATTCTTATTTGCAGGTGATGTAATTGGATTTGTGTTTGCAGGCGTCGCCAGCCAGACCACCGACCTATCTTCATGGGTTGTCTGCATGCTGGTGACAAGGAAGCATGAGAAAAAGGAGAACCACAAAACCATCTTTCTAATGAATGTGCAGGCTAAGTATGATCAAGAAGTCACGGTAAACATTTGTACGTCTTATGTTGGCATTGTTGTGTTGTTGGATTGTTTTTTTACATCACTCACAAACCAGATTTAAGTGGCTGGATGATGCATCTAAAATAATCCAGCTAGAACCAAATACTTAAACCACCTCTAAATGTTGTTGGTGTCAAATTACAGTAACTGGATAAAATCGATATTTGTCAGAAAGTGGTTTAAGCTTTTTAAAGCTGTTTCAAATCTATTTTTCATTCATTGCAACTATAGTCGAGTTAAAGTCCCACTGGGTAACTTTGAGTGCTGAACATCAGGCTAAAAAGTGATGAATATGCTGCACAATGAGGACTGAAAAGGATGATATTCCTGAGATAAGTCACGGTTGAAATGTGTAGAAACTCAAATCTGCGGCGACACCTCTGAGATGATGTGTCGAGAAAAGACCCGCAGGAGTCAAGATTACGTGTTACCCTCCCTCACCTACTTCTACAATCTTTTCTTGCCAGGATTTTACTCGTCTGGAGCGTTTCATGAGGAGAGGATGATGTTTCTCACATAATATGCGCACCGTGTGAAGTGTAGCAGATACCTGATGTGGGGGCTGCGGGCTCTGCAGGCTGGTCCACAGACAGCTGCTTGAACACAGCGTACTTATCGGAGGACGAGACGGAGGCGGAGGAGGAACCAGACACTGGAGTCAGCATGGCAGGAGCGCTGCAGGGACGCAAGAGTCAGACTTAAGAGGGAGGCTCAGCGGTGAGGTGTAACCCGATTACACTGTCTGAGACAATTGATCATTTTCTCAGGTAAAGCTTTTCATACTGAGTAGTCCTAACCGCTGGAAACTACAATGGGAATCTGTATTTAAAGCCCATGTAAGGAGTTTTTTAATATTTTTAAAACAGCTTGGAATTCATATTGATGCCACTGATTCTTGTAATGGGTTTGTAGGCTGAATCGACCAATCATGTACCAGCAGGCATTGTGTGTGAGAGCAAAAGCAGGCAGAAAACAAAGCATTTACATCTGTTAGGCACACACTGAACAGAAAACCAAATTTGCAAACAGTTTAAAATTTTCTTAATTTGTGTAAAAATGACAAAGCCTCTCTACTAGTTCAGCTGCTACAATAACATTCAGCCCTTTGTTTGCTTTCTGTGTTAAAAACAGAATTATATGTTCATGTTTTAGGGCATGACTAAAGGCTCTAAATGCAAAAAAGGCTTTTACACATTCGTACAGCAGGACATGGCTTTAGCTGTAACTGGTGGCTGTGGACTAATGAGGAAAAGCTCTGAGTATGAAATCCATCACAAAAGCATCTTTTCAGACCACACATGAAAGCATGAATAGGTCTTATTTAACACTGTAGAAGGAGCAGATCTGATTACACACTGGGACTAAGCACTACGGAAAATCATTATGCTGACCTTCCAGTGAAGTTTTTCCAAAGCCCTGTCTTTCAAAGACCTCCATCTTTAAATTATGCCTGCTGCCAATTCACGCTGGCAACCATACATGAGCTTTTCAGCCGCTCATTTAATTACACAGAGATCTCAGACTGTGGGGGATTTTTGCTACACAGCTGAAACAGTCAGGAGTGGATGTTTTCAGGGCAGGAATAGGACAGAATTATTAAAAACCTTTGACGCTTAGATGTGAGATACTTGTGCTCAGGTTTTCTTTGTCTTTTAATGGGATAATTGCCTTTCAGCTTCCTGCCGGTGAAAGTCAGTCTCTCCACATGGGATTGGAAAGTAATATGAAGAAATGAGCTTATCTGGTGTCCACTGAAAAGGAATTCATTAAGAGATGACCCACGCTCATTGTTATTCTGGGGAGATTGTATGGAGATAATAAGACAGTGTGTCTGACTCTTTAGTTTCAAAGACAGACAATGAGAGATGCAAAAGCTATGCAGACTAACTCGGCTATAAATAACTAACAAGGGCTGAATATTAGAGTCCTAATCACAGCAAACATTTCTTCATAAAGGTGGAACCAGGGAGCAAAAGGCGGCAGAAATAATGAGGAATGAAGAAGATATGTATAACCACAGTCCGCACTAATTATCCAAGAGAGAATTTAAAAGTATATTTTGCTCCATTTAAGTGAGGGATGAAAACTGTTTCTCCTTTCCTCTGTACCTGTTTTGGTGTTGAGGTGCGATGGTGGTGGAAAAATTTGAGCCTGAATCTCCCTTGAACTCAGTGAAAGCCAAGTCTCCCGCTCCTGCTTTTGGAGCCTCCTGAAAGTCCTGGAAGTCATCATCATCTGTTTTGTTGACCTACATCAACAACATGTTTGTCAGGATGAATTCAAGTACGATTGACTGGAGTGGGACACACAACCAAAGAAACGAGCTTTTTACCTGTGCCGGAGGGAAACTGGCGATGAAATTAGTGTTTGTAGGCGCTTGAGCCGGCGCTGCATGTGTCATGGCCATAACCTGTGGTGGGGGTGCTGGTGTGGGCATTGCCATGGAAACAGGAGGTTGGGTCATCATGGGTTGCTGGTGCTGCGGCATGACGGGGGCCATGGCCATAGCCAGGGACCGCAGGTTGGGTACAGGCGGAGAGGGGAACTGACTGAGGATTTCAACATTCATCGCAGGGAGGCCGCTCTGAAACGAAGGACAGCAGGATTAATATTTAGTCATAACTCCGGATTTTTTTTTCATGTCAACAGATGCAGGAAACAGATAAAAAAGAAGAAGAGAAACAGATCCTACAAACTAGATCTGCCTCTGCAGCTGAAGCCTGGTACATGTTTTAATATAGAGCTTGATCTCTGCGAAAAAATAATAGAGATGCAACATTTGATCTCCCTGAAACTGGAGAGACTTTCCAGGACATGAAATATGCATTAATATAGTTGTGTGTAAGTGATTAGGCTATGAAATAGGCTGGTGAAGATGTCTGACCAGAGACTCACAAAACAGATTTTTAATTGGGACTTTAGATTTGGTAACTCCTGGACAACCGAATTGAGATCTTTATTTTATTCTAATGGTTTGTTTTTTATTTTCCAAAATAAACTACAATGTGATGTAAATGAAATAAGAAATACAATGTTTTCCAGATAGAAAGAAAAGTGGAGTCATGATATTTGGTATAAACCTAAGTTGCGATCTTATTGTCTCATAAAGGACAGGTACACTGCCGAGCCTTATGTGAAATATAATTAAAGCAGAAGACAGCAATCTCTATGTGCAAAAATACGGTCAGGAACATTACCATTAGCCCTGGAGACAGGCAGGTTTAATGCCACTCCAGAGGAGGAGAGATACTGTATGTTATGCGAACTAGGTGAAATCGAAAATGAGGTTAACTTTTTGTTTTACTGCCCTAAATATATTGATAAAAGAGAGGTATTTGTTTGTAAAATATCTTCTATCTATGTTGAGTTCCTTGAATTAGGTGATTATGAAAAAATCTGTTTCTCTAAGGGAGCCTTTATTGTAGCAGACTATATCTGTCAAGCTTGGGAAACGAGACAAAACATATATGGCTATGAGCTGTAATGGAATGGAATGTATTGTAAAGCATGTTGTAAACTGGATTTGATGTCTTATAAACCCATGAGGGTTGGGAACTTTATGTGCAGGACATAAAAATAAACTATGTATCTATCTATCTATGTATCTATCTATCTATTTATCTTTGCAAAAGCTTGTCATTTTAAACCCAAAGCTTAAAAAAAAACACTGTATTTTTGTGGTACAGGATATATACTCTAAGTGACAGAGATGGAAGCACTGAGGGAGAAAAACGCACACATGCTTGTCTCTTACATAACAGCTCAAAATGATCATTTACCATGTCACGCCACGCTGTAATCACTGAACTATAAAAAAGTCTGGATGTTTTCGTGCAAATTATTCAACACAGTCTAGATCCTTCTGCACAGATGTCACAGACAGACTGAAACCTTTTCCCCCCTCCCCTCACATGAGAGCGTAGCTTGTTGTGTCTGTGCGCTAAGCCTTGTGAGGATTTACATCACCAAAGGTTTCTTATTATTCTTCGCAGGGAAGAGGTGGCACGCCGTTTCGTGAGCTGCCTGCAGATTTGCATCCTCCCAGGGGTGGTGGTGGTGACAGACCCGGGCTAGGGATGATAAGAAGCCTCCTGCCAAACTCGGCTGATGGGGACTCAGACATATACGCGGCTTACAATGCTTCACAAGCCCTGGGCTGATTCACGGAGCTGCCTCTTTCGCTCTATTTCTAGCTGAGCCTGTCTGATTTCAGCGTGGAGTTTATGGCGAGACTCTGCAGCAGCCGGGGAAGGGATGATTAGTGAAGTCATTCTAAGTGGATAATTTGTCTTGACTCCGGTGTTTACCTGCGCCACACCAATTAGTGAAAGTACAGTGTAGAGCTCCTCCTTGGTCAGCATGCCAGGTGTTGTGCGGTTGGCGGACGCCCAGATCTGCCCCAGAGCTTCCCTTGGCAGACCTGATGACATCAGGATAGGGTAGAGCTTGGCTGTGTCTATCCCTGCTGGTGTCATGGTGAATTCGAGAACTTTCTTGAACATCTCTGCAGAAAGAAGGAACATAAAGGTAAATATTAAGTTTCGCCTGAAAAAGAGGGGATGTTTTATTTATCTTTATTCTTTCAAACTGGACTATCTGAACTTGATACTTGATGAATCTTTGCACAAATGTTTACCTGGGACGAGGCTGTCGTTGTAAACCCAGGCAGGCAGCATAGGCTGAATGTGCTCTTGTTGTGGGTACACGCCAACTCCTGCTGCCACAAGCACAGAAACACACACACACACACACACACACACCAAACACACAAACACAGTGTGAGCAGTTCAAGCAGAAGACTTGTCCAGGTTTACGATTTGCCAAGCCTCTTGGCAGCTGAACCCCGCTGGTATCAAACTCAACAAAATCATACACCTGATGTCTGGGAGGCTGGCTGCAGATATAACGGCCCCCCCTGCACTGAATCACAAGCATGCTGCCACATCAGACCCCCATAAATCAGCCTGTGAGCCGTTTCCACCTTCAACAGAGGGGATAGTAGAAGCTGCACTATAACAGGAAAAACACAGAGCTGCTAATCGAACTGCTTTGACTTTCTTTTACAACTTTTCCTGAGAGAAAGCTAAAAAACAGTTTAAAGACAGAATAATTTGGCTCGTTTTAAGTTCCCCACACTCTGTCTGCTCGGCATATGTTTACTCAAGCAGGCACTCTGCAGCTAGCACTCCCTTTCATCAGTCTTGGGCAGTCAAATGAATCTCATTACAAATCTCCCCTCAGTCTGCATGATTAGCCTTTGTATTTCCCTTGATGACACAGACGGCACAGACACAGACAAATAACAGCGTAGAGGAGAAGCCCACCGGCATGCACAATCAGCTTTGGATTATGTTTGGCACCGTGTGGCACCTGCCCATCCATGCACATCTCTGTTAAACCAAAGCAGTCAGCATGCGCTGGAGGTCGTTCTGAGAGTGTTGTTTCACAGCGAGGGAGCAGACGGCAGCTTATTGAGTCAGCAGGTATAACCCTCTGACAGACACAGTCCATTTTCTACCGTGTGTGCACAGAGCGCCAACATGAGAGGGCCCCTCTAATGAGATTTGGTCTGAAGTGACAGAGGTTTGAAGCAGGCAGAAATAAGAGCAGAGACTCGACTAAAGACACCAGAAAAAGACACCAATGCTCAGGAACGATCTCAGAGGAGAAGAAAATGTCAGTGGGATTTCATAAAACAGCACGAGAGCTACATCAGTGTGATGCCCAGTCCAGAATCAGGTACGAACCAGAGAAACAGAAACTGCAGCTAAAGTTACTGATTTATTTTTCAGGGTTAGAAAGAGAGAAATATTTTATTAAGGACAGAGAGAAGACCGCCGCCTTTCTCAGTGTGTTAATACTGCAGCAAAGCACAGGTCAGGAGAAGACGCTGAAAGTCCAATAAACATTCACTTCTCTCACCACTGTCTCTACCGCTCTGAGGAGACGAGTCAGCAGCTGGTAGTGGGGCGCCGGGTGCTGACTTGGGTGCCTCAGGTAGCTTTTCTGAGACGAAGACAGAACTCAAGTCCCTGGGGGCTTCGGCCCAGTTCCTGGCTTTAACACTGGACTGAAACAGGGTCGAGACTTTAGCTCTGGGACCCATTTCAGCCAAACTCTGCTTGGGCTTAAAGCTAACCTGGGCCGTCTTATCAGCAGTAAGATCGCATGAGGAGAAAAGCTTTTCTTCGAGGGACGGGCCTGGAGGAGTGAATGAGGGACAGGATTCTGGATGACAAACTTCTTACACACAGAAATTAGACTTTTTTTTAACCACACATCAATGTCTCTATAATATATGTTCCGTCTCATGAAAGTCTGAGTTTTCTTTTGATATGTGAAAATTTTGTAAACTTGGTAAAAAAGAATTACAAAATTAACATCTGAGACATTTCGGTATAAAACACAGAGAGCAAACATGTTGCTAGGACAAACTAATAAATGTAAGAGATAAACAAACAGCATGTTTCAGCCCTGACCGGAATAACAAAAGCAACAAATTTCACCTTTAAATCCGTGTTGTTGTATTTTTCTTTATAAGTGATAAGAAAGTCATTTAGGTCAGAAGATTAAATCCGTCAACTGTATAAAATAAGAACTTAATCTCAGTGATGTCACTCTTATGAGGCATTTTGAAGTCGACCAATAGTCCGAGATATTGACTCGAACAAACTTGTGAATGAGCTGCGATCGTCCAAAAGGCGGGGTTAAAGCGTGCTGAATAAATGAAGTTCAATTATGTGCAAAACAACCACTAAATATTTTATCCTGCAGTTTAAATATCATCTTTACGGTCTCACTTTAAATAATCAGCAATGCAGACAATAAGTTTACTTAATTCTGGGTACTGTAATATGATTTTTTGGTAACCCTTCCTTTTATGGTATACTTATTACCAGGTAATTACCAGGTAATTACCTAGTAACAACATGAAATTATCTTGTAATTACATGATAACTACTAAGTCAATACTGTCTAGCTACCAGGTAGGTAACCTTCCTTCATCATACAAATTTGAAGCCGAATTGCTCTGGTATTTCCAGGATTTTCTCCGCTTCCTGGAACCACCGCTTGCGCAGTAGCATTGTACGCATTCAGCAGGTGAGTCGCTGTGATAATGCTCGGCTCAAACAGCGTATTGCTACGCAATCGTTGCACGCCCATAGGCTGTATCAAGTGTTAACTATAGTAATAAGAACCCCAAATAGTTTTTGAAAATGGAGCTGCACAGAAAAAAGAAAAAGTACACAGTAATGACTTAGTAACAACATGAGATTATCTGGTAATTACATGATAACTACTAAGTAATTACCTGTTAATTACCTGGTAATAAGTGTACCATAAAAGAAAGGGTTACAGATTTCAGAGGCAGTGATCGAGAGGCCTTCTAATCTGCTTATTCCAGATGCTTAACAACTGGGTCAGAAATGTCTCAGAGGATTGGAGGATGACACTCAGCGGAGGGCTGGCTGTTGCATTTATCTGGACAGCAGCTGATCTCTCCGTCCACTCTTTCAACGACCCTAAAAGCTGCCACCCAGCAGCTGCTCGGCTCACAGATGAGACGACAGATGACACAAGAGAGTCATCAGCGCACAAAACATGTATCAATGGTGGAAGAGGGCATGGCTACTATTCGGTTTTAACCTACAGGGTATAAGTCTCTCTCTGTCCTGTTCGCTCTGCATCCTCGTTTGCCTTGTTTGTAATGTGTGGTAGCTTTAAAGGTTTTAGGTAATGAGGTCAGGCCATCTGTTGTGCTGGCTGCATGCTCTCACACTGCATCTCAAGCCAAAACCAACAGAAAAGAGTCAAACCAGTCCAAATATTCAGCATCAGCAACAAAAGAAGCTTTAAAAGTAAAAAAATAAAATAAAATCCTCCAGATTCATTCAGAGAGGAAATGTCGAGTCTAAATTACGAGGACGGGAAGGGAGGTGTGAATGAAGCAAAAAGAAAAGTTACCTTGAAATGTAGATTGGGAGCTGGTGTTGACAGCAGAGTTTTGGGTGACAGTGGGAATGGACACAGAAGTTGGGAGGGACTGAGGAAGTGGGGAGGGAGAGGAAGAGGAAGAGGACAGACCTGCCCTCAGGGAGGGGGGCGAAGGTTGGGCCTGTGAGGAGAGGTTCGAGGAGGGGGGAGCGTTTACGGGACCCTGAACAAAGTCACTGAAATCGTCATCGCCCTCAGAGAAACCTATCTTTGGGACAGAGGACGGGGGCTGAGCGGAGAAGCCGAAGGAGGAGGAGGAAGTGGAGGAGGAGGAAGGTGGAGGGAAGGAGGCGGGAGCGTCTACAGGCCCCTGAAAGTCACTAAACTCGTCATTGTCCTCGGACAAAGCTGGGGGGAGGGAGTGAGTGGTGACAGACGCGCGTGATGGCGATGAGTCTGCAAAAATGAAGAAATAATAATGATGATGGCACAAAACACAACAAAAACACACTGCAATGGAGAATGAATTCAAGGCTGCACACTGCAAGAGTGAGATTAAAACTATTCAGTGCAAGACCAGAAACTGTAGACCTGCAAACGTAACCAGAACATCTTCACATGCAGCTCATATTAAGATGTAGTCCTCTCTGTTTTTCAACGCTCAGGGTCGGCGATAGATTTTTCTCTTCTGGGTTGCTATAGAAACACGACTGGGACCTGCTGCTCTTTATACAGTATATAAGGGGTCATTCCAAGGTCACAAAATAAAAGAGATGATACAATAAACTTAACGACTTTTCTCAACAGCAGATTTAAACTAAGAAGAGCAGCAAATACAGGGATAGCTCAAAAAAAGTCTGAATACCTTCAAAGTTCAGTTTTTCATTAGTTATGTAGGAAACTGATCATGTGATGCATCTCAGACCTGTATACTCTGCTGCTGCCTTTTCACAAAGGTTGATAACTTCTGCTGTCAAGCTTCACTTCAGGTGAAGTCTTTTTAAATGCATGACTACAGGTTTTGGAAATGCACAGAAATAGGTGTATTCAGGAGAAATGATACTTCTCAGTGGATGATCCATATGTAACGCTGCGGTTCATACACAGATGCTGTATTGAACACCAATGTACATATTCAGACTTCTAAAAAGAAATGAGGATTAATAATACTGGCAGGTGTGGGGATGAGGTCATGGGGGGAAACATAATGTGATTAAAGAAATATGGTGGGAAAAAAACAGTGTTACATATTTTGTGCTCAGACAGAAAATCCTTATTTTGGCTGGTCTGGCTGCCAGCTGTGCGTTCATCATGCTGACCTGCCTCTAATCCAGCTATTATTGTCAGACGACAGCTCCTCAACAAAGCCACAGAGCTCAGATCAGCTGATGGAGAAGCACAACAGGGATTACATTTTAAAGCTTAGAGGTGGAGGTACCTGGCTTCTTGGTCTGTGATGATGGAGTTGGGTGCATCTTAGCGTCTCGGCTGAAGCCGTCTAGGTTGCCTTTGATTGCCTCTAAGGCATCGTCACGGCTCTTTTCTCCTGTCTGAGTACAGAACGATAGAGGATTGAGAGCCCAGAGGGTTACAAAGGCGAGCTGTGGAGGGGCTGAAATAATAGTGAGGAATAATCAGGATGTGGAGAGACACTCACCTTGGGTTTGACACTACTGAGCAGCCTCAGCTTCTGTTTCTGCTCCTCAAATTGTCTTCTTTTCCTGTCCTCCTCCAGCATCTTCTGCTGCTGCTCCAGACGTTTTCTGAAGGGCGAGATGACAGCAGACGCTTTACAAACCTTAAATATTAATATTCTTGAATATGTAAGGAGGAGGACACACTGCTCAATAATTCAGACACTTTTTGATTAAACGCAGGCAGGAAAAGGCCTAAAGTAAATCAATAAATAAAAAGATGAAAGAAGGAAGAGAGGACAGAGGAGGGAAGGAAGGAGAAAGGGAAAAAGGGAAAAAGAGGGAGGAGGAAAGGAAGAAAAAAACAGAAAGAGGAGGGTAGGAAGAGGGAAAGGAAGAAAAGCAGGAAAGAGGAAGACAGGAGGAAAGGAGAAAATGAAGAAAAAAATGAAAGAGGAAGAAAGGAAGGAAAGAAGGAAGGGAGGAAAGAGGGGAAAGAAGAAAAGAAAGAAAAAGGGGAAAGGAAGAAGAAAAAAGGGGAAGGGTAGGAAGAAGGAAAGGAACAAGGAAAGGAACAAAGAAAGGAAAGAGGAAGGAAGGGAGGAGGAATGGAAGAAAAAAAGGAAGGGGGGCAAGAAAGAGGACAGAGGGAAGGAGGAAAGGGAGAAGAAAAAAGAAAAAAGGAGGGAAAGAAGGAGGAAAGGAAGAGAGGACAGAGGAGGAAAGGAAGAAAGGAGGTAAGGAAGGAAAATGGGAAGAAAAGAAAGAAAGAAAGAGAGAGGATAGGAGGAAAGAAAGAAAGAAAGAAAGAAAGAAAGAAAGAAAGAAAGAAAGAAAGAAAGAAGGAAGGAAAGAAAGAAAGAAAGGAAAGACGAAGGAAGGAAGGAGGAAGGAAGGAGGAAAGGAAGGGAAGCAGAAAAGAGGAAGAGAGGGAAGAGGAAAGGAAAAAAGACAGGAAAGGAAGAAAAAAAGGAAAGAGGAAGGAGGAAAGGAAGAGAAGCAGAAAAGCGGAGGGGAGAGAGGAGGAAAGGAAGAAAAGGAGGAAATAGAACGAGAGGAAGGAGGAAAGGGAAAAAAAAGGAAAGATGAGGGAAGCAAGGAGAAAAGGAAGAAAAGAAGAAACAGGGGGGAAGGAAGGAAGAAAGGACAAATGGGGTCGGAAAGTTCTTTTGAGTCCCCTCACTGCATAAAGACAATCCAAATCACTTGTACAATTAAAATAATCTTTAATCTACATTTGATGATAGCAAAGTATGGAGTTAGACTGCCTGTTTCATCCACATGCATACATCAGAATTCACAAACAGCCACACAGAAGAATATGTAAGCATAAAGACGTCTCACTGGTGCTCCTCAGCCATTTGTTTCTGCATGTCAGCAGTGTACTGAGGTCCAGCCGGTCTCATCCCCATAAACTGTGGCTGACCCAGGAACTGCATCCCAGGGGTCTGCATACCGAGAGCCATCCCGCCCTGTTAGAAGACAAAAACACACACAGCTGCTCAGATATCTCATTAGCAGACCGACTTAAACACCACGCTAACTTTGTATTAAACACTCAGACAGAGGGACAGCACTGTAACTCAGAATGACGCTAATATATTTAAGTCTTGTTAAAAATCACCACGCTGCGATAAATTCCTCTTAATGTGCTGATGCTTAAAACAGTCTGGGGTGAGATTGATTTGGACAGAAAAAGGACCACAGGGAAATCTTAATTCAGACCTCCACTTGAAGGAAATCAGTTACATTAACTCAGTTCAGTGTGTTCAGTCACAAAAGCTCACATCAGCAAGTGGGTGATCAGAAAGTCAACAAACTCACCTGCATTGGCATGGCCCCCGGAGGCATCTGTCCTCCAAAGTTCATTCCCATCATGCCTTGCATGTTCGCCTGCATGACAGGAACCATAGGGAAGCCCTGCTGTTGCTGCTGCTGCTGTTGCTGCATGGGGACCATGCCTACAAAAAAAACAAACAATGTTAAGATGGATTACAGACATGGAAAATAGAGTATTCAATTTCTCTCTTTTTTTTTAAACATGGCCGTCAGCTCAATTTAAAATACTCTGAAGAAAACTTAATACAGGAGATTTAAAAAAAAAAAAAAAAGCCTCCGGAGTCTGGACATGATTCAGTGCTGCAAATCAATTTCCTGGACAGCTGGGAAAGGCGCACGCTCAGCAACAACCAAATCTGTTTTTCTGGTGACGACTGTGACAGCTTGGAGCAAAACAAGAGAAGTGAGGAGAAGGAGAGAAAGTGTCTGTTTGTTTTCACAGATGCTGCGCGAGCTGACAGCCAGCTCCTCCCGGAGCCGCCAGATGATTCACTTTGTTAGGACTCACCCGCGCTGAATAAGTGGCTTGTTTAGGTAGCTGCACACAATCTACTTTGTCTATAATGATGCAGCAAATGGGAGTCAACAGCGTAAATATGACAAACGCACACTAGTAAATGATGCATCTGAGGCCAGCAGTGTGCCGCTATCGTCTGGACACCAGTGATAAAGGTTTTGACTCCATTGTGGTCAAATCTGTGTGCCATACTTCCATCTGCCTAATGATTAGTGGTGGGATTAGGAGGAAAGGTCAATGACAAACTTAAGTCTTCATGAGAAATAAACCCTGATTATTCTGGCATATTTAGATCGGCGTTTGAAGTGATTTGGGCGGGAAAAAAACACATTAAAAACAAAAACCAGATCAGGGTTAAGATTAAACATAGAGAGAGTAACATCATGAGTATCAGCTGATTAGAGGTTGAAGTTCTTACATCTGGTCGTTAAAAATCAGTTTTTTTCATATTTGCTATAATTTCAATATCATATCCCAAACTAAATGCACCAAGGCCAGTATTTTTAACAGTGTGATTTGACTTGCAGCTCTTATTTTCTAGTTTGATGGGAATAACAATCACATGATGTAAGAGCAGGTCAATCGTCGGGTCACCTTTAAAATGCAAATCAATGCCGGCGGAATAGAAAGCTTTATTAATCAGTACATTTAAGAATGTTTTGACAACATGCAGATCAGGACTTGCAGGATGACTCACCTTGTGGCGGTCCCAGGCCCCCTCCGACAGGATACATAAAACTAAAGAGAGAAAAGGGCGACATGTCAGTCATGAGGTCGTAACTGAAGGTGTTTCTAAGCAACTGAAAATCCTTGTCGTTTAAGAGGAAATTTCAACTCAAACCCAAATTGGTTTGCCAAAATGTAGTAATTAGCACCCGCAGTCTTGGGTCCTGACAGGTTAATTTGCACGTCTGTCCTGGTTAGAAATTACCCCTGGATTAATTAGTACCTCCAAATTTATCTCTATTTTCAGAATCAAAATCCCACGATAAAGCCTCTCTCAGCTGTGTTTGTTTACATCCTGGTAGTAGAGCTTTATAGCATCATGACAGTCGCCATTAACCTGAACTACAGCCTCAGCAGGTGGCGGGCAGCTGCACTTTGATGCGACAAATTACCACATTTCAGGTTTGCAATGAAGAAATATATTCATTGATGAATCCCACATTTGTAGCTGATACAAGGACAGCTGTGAGTTAATGTGATATTTGAGCAGAATGATTTCCTCTGCAGCCTTTAACAACCCAGCTGACTGTATCCTCTCAAAGCTTCAGTGCCAGTGACAGATGATCACTTTTAACTTCCTTTTTTGTTTTCGATTATTGAGGTTTTCAATAACATGAAAGCTGGTTTCATTGCAAGCACTACAGCTAAATAATTAATAGGAGGAAAATGTTTATTTCATAAGCCCATAGCAGGCATTTACCAGTGAGTAGACAGCAGCACCAACAGAATCGTAATCTTTTTTATAAAGATATAATTCCAGTTCTTGCACAAAAGGTGAATTTCTTTACTAATTCAAACATCAATCCCCAAAAAAGCAGCCTAAATGATGCAGTTTAGTTTCCACAGGCATCTTGGCCTCTGCGCTGACAAACAAGCCTTTAAGAAATAATCCAAGGAAGTCTCTAGAAGCCAGCCAAGTGTCTCCTCACCCAAGCCAACACACATAGGCCTCCAGCTATTTGTCTAATAACTTATTACAACTCGCTCCTTCAGGCAGGAGCTGATGACGCAGACACGAGCAGAAGACTGAAACAGCCGAGTGTCTGCCTCCCTCACCGTCTGACTCTGAGCATCAAACTAATCCAGCGGGAGAGTGACATTATCATACTGATAACTTCGGCACCAACACAACTGTGCTCACAAAAGGGAGGCGGGGGGGCTCAATGAAACACGGTTCAAGCATTTGCCAAAGCAATTATCAACTCCCAGTGGCAAACAGGGAGTTATTTTGACTCCAGTTTGATGTCTGAATGCTAAGTTAACTTTAGGAAGCTTTCAAAATTCATCCTCACATGCACTGTGTGAGTTTGTGTACAGTACTTAAGCAGTAAATAAGGGCAGTAAATCATGACTTTTCACCTTTTATGACATTGTGAGATATCATTTTGTGTCCTATAATTACTCAAGCTCAAAGTATTAGTCATGTTATGAAATATAGAGCACAACATGATATATTTTTTTCTAGTGTAAGAATTAAAAACCTACCTAAAAGATGTTACCAATTCAGATAATCATGTCTATTTGATGGTAATGTGCATGAAATACTGAGCACTGCTATTATAAAACTGTAAATTTGCATCAGAAGGAACGGTAACTACAACTCTGAACAAGAACAGCAATGCCTCTATCTCAACATGTCCACTACCAACAACCACAGCGAGTCATCTTCTGAGAGACGACCTCCACGCCTGTGCTCCTGAACAGATCCAGCTTTATGGGTTTTCTGTGGGACTACTTTAGTGACTCTGATGGAAAACTCATTAAATTATCCAAAACCTGTGAGAAAAAGATGCTAAAAAACTGTGTCATGCAACAGGGATTGGCTTGTTGGTCGATCAGTGTTTAATGAACTTTTAAACCCAACATGACCAATACTTCAGACAATCTCTTACTAATCCATCATGTACTGAACTAGGATTGTTCCAGTTCAAGATGCCTTTTCAACATTGAGTATTTTGACTCCAAATTTGGTACAACAGTCAAAATTATGGTATCGCATTCACATCAATGCAAACAAGGAAACCTGTAATTCACAGAGGTACTAACTCATGTTGTTGTTTTCACACCTTTTGTGCCTGCAGATAAAACACAGCCTGGTCACACTGATTTATGTCCTTTGTTTGTTGTGAACGACAGCTGACAAATTCATTTTTCTGTCAACACTGACACAGCTGTGGTTAAGAATACAGTATCTGTGTTTATATAGAGAAAATATTGATGATACCTGCTTTACCAAGTGATAAATTGTAAATATTTAGCTTTCAAACTGAGAAGAGGATGCCGCTGGTGAGGCATGACTCAGTTTTGACTTCAGGGATGATGCTGCTTGACTTCATGGCTTCAGTCCGTCACATCTGCTCCCTGTAAGATTTGCAGCTTAACGGGCTTTTATAGGAGCGCTACAGCACTGCTGCCCACCACCGTCCTGCAGTGAATAACAGGTCACGGCTGGGCAGATTAGCACAGGAGGAGATAAGCAGTAAGAGCAGCTGTGGCTCGGCAGGCTGGTGTCTCATAAAAAGACTGTAATCATCCAGCAGCTATCATCGAACTGTTGTTCAAGCTGGGAGACTGACGGCAGGGTCGCTGTCAACATCACACAGGAGAGGGAATCTAAAATTACTTCATCTTATTTAGAAGCTGCTCTTGTATATACAGTGGGCATCACCTCATGATTATCCAAGTAATAACACTATAAAAATTCAATTACAGTGAATGTTTCATTGTCCTTTTTCTTCTGTACATCTCCAGTTATAAACACTTTATACAAGTATCACGCCATAACAACAGGTCATCCCAGAAACACATCATCCGACACCCATGAGGACAAACCGTGTCACAAATGGAGACCGGCGTCATGCATCTTTGTCAGCATCCCCGTGGGGAAAACAGGACCTACTTTGACTGAACTGCTGAGCGTCATAATGTAGCGCATTCATCGCTTCATTTACCCCACACACCTGCAATGGCTGCTCCACCTGTCAGGCAGGATAAGTAAGCTGGACGACTGCTCCACCTCCTGGTTTATCACTCCCACAATCCTGCCTCATTTTACTTAGTTATTATAATGCCCTGTCATCATATACAGTACACTAAAGCGACCTTTAACTGCATATTTCATACTTTAAAAGCGACTAACATTAAAAATAAAAGTTAAAGATTATGAAAACATGTGTATACTGTTACTGAAAAGAATTACAACTATACCTGCACACAGACCGGTTGCATTATGTGAGTTGTGGGGCAAACAGGGATAAGCAGCATATTGAGGATAACTATAATTACCTCCAGGTCCTCAGATTACATCTACTTTTTCCTACCTTCACTCATTCATACAGGCTGGAATGGCTTTGGTTTCACCTGTCAGATCAATATCACCTGGCTGGTCAAGAAGCTTGTAACCAGAGTGTATTTATTATTAAAGCTGCTGGAGCTCAGTGGATGAAAGAATCATGAGGCTGGTAGTTTTATCTCCTAGAAGACCATCATGAAGCTGCTCTATTTGTCTGGTCAATGTAATTTAAATCACTGTTATATGTGTAGCTGTTACTGTCTATAATTGTGGATTAAACCTGTAAGAGAGGTCTGACTCTGTATTTCAGAGACATATCAGTCATTAAAAGATGATAGACCACCTACAAGAAGAAGAAACATCAGCTGTCTTTGCAGCTCTTTTTGGGATATTTAACTCAAACCTACTACAACTGTTGTATTTCCAACAGCTTACTAATGTTTTCCAATACAAAAAAACACTGATAATGATAAACTGGTTTAAAATCAGAGAATAAAAGGTCAAATTTTAACACTATGAGCCGTCAACAGGCCTGTCAGTACAGGTGCAGGCTGTTAAAAGACAATGCTACAGGAGTAATAATGCAATTCTTTGTATTAATATCAGGATTTATCGATGTGTACGGTGAGCTGTAGGCAAACTAATGGTTACAGAGGACATCACATACGTTAGGTTGGATTTATTAGTCTTATGTCGTTATTTTAAGTCCACCCTGGGCACAGGCAGACAGCAGACACGGATAGCTAGCTAACGTTAGCTGTGACACCTGACAACCAGCCATCTCATCTCATCACCGAGCATCGACAACAAAAACCAGCCTCCGTTGACATCCTTAAGCGCTTTCAGTGTCGTCGACGTGTTTCTAATCGGCGCTAAGAGGAGCGCTTTTCTCAAAATGTTAACATTTAAGCGACAGAGTTGGTTTTAAAAGGCTAAAATACCTGCTGCCTCCCCCAGATCCTGGCCGCAGCGCCATCTTGATAACAGCAGTCACTAGTACAGAGATGACGTCAGCAGTGACGGTTAGTAAACACAGGGACACCGAGCCCTGGGTGAGGTCTGTCAGGCATTACTCACGACATACATAAACGAAGGACCTGTAATGTTAGTAAATCCCAGTTTTTATTGCCGTGTTACTTGTTTTGGGGGTTTTGTTTTGCTTAAATGAACGATAACCGTGTGGGGAAAAAAAGCAAACTCGTCAAAACTAAGATTTAAGAAGGCCATTTCTTGGTTTCACCCATAGACTGTATATAGAATGGACACCTACCTCCTTGCTGGGTGAGGCCACTCCTAGAACAGCACCCTCTGTTGACGGGCTGCAGTATAGGTCATAAATCCCGCCTCCGCTAGCAAAGCGTACAGGGCTGTGGACAAACTCTTGAAATTTAATGTAAATGTTTCTCCCCTCTGCTTGCAATGTTGACATGTAGTTATTGTAAGACTGGTTTGTGCTCAAGTCCTCTATTTTCTGTACAGCTCAGTTTTTAAAAGTTATTTTGGGGGTCATGTTTTCTACGATTGACAGTTGATACAGCCTATGGGCGTACAGAGATTGCATAGCTCACCCGGGGGATACGCGGTTTGAGCCGAGCGTCATTACAGCAACTCTCGGGGACTCTCCTGCCGAATGCATATGAGCTTTTCAGCTTCATACCGAAAAGCTCTCGGTAACTTATACTGGCGGAAGGCCGAACCAAGTTGTTTGTAGTATATACAGTCTATGGTTTCACCCAGAATTCTCAAAAATTGCACCTTATTACAGCCCAGCAGCTATGGCTATACATTTAAAGGCATTGTGGCCTGTCATAAGCTTTATAGAGCTGAAACTTTGTTTTAATCTCTTATAATTAAAGATAATTGTCTGCACTGCAAATAACACAAATCTTACATTTAGCCTGATATACGCAGCATGGACTGTGCTAGTCCAAATATAAGTCTTAATTTTGAAAAAAAATAAAATTAAAGAGTAGCTAGTTTTCAGTAATATGAGAGTCCAATACCCAATCCTAGAGACAGGACTACCTGCGAAACAGCAAACAGGGCGTTGAATTCCCATGCACAACACTGCACCCAACACAATAGATACAAGTGTCCAGCAGATGTCAGTGTTGCACTTGCAATTTTATACACACTGCCCAGGTACTGCTTACACACACACACACACACACACACACACACACGCACACACACACACACACTAATCTGCAACACTGTGACTGTCTTCCAGACAAAAGACCTGTGACTACACAAACACTTCTCATTTGGGACCAGGAACACTATTATGGAAAAGTTCTGGTTCAGTCATAATTCAAAAAACTAAATTTCAAAGTTTTGAGTTTTGTTTTTTTTTGTAAATTCATTATATGAATTTATACTTTCATTTCGACTATTAGCTGTTAATTACTTTCCAACATGTTTATTGGCTGTGTGAAGTCTTGAGGCCTCAGTGGGTCTGAACTAAAGTGATTCAGTCGGCAGTTTCATTGTTACACAAGGTGGAGCAGCAAGGAGAAGACTCTGTGCCATTGTGTTGGTGGGTGTTGTTGTGAAAGATTTACAGCTTAATGAGAGCGAAGTAAGGCAGCGAATGACAAGCACCGCTCCTATCCATCACCTGGTCTGTCCTCAGCCTCTACTGTACCAGAGTCTATATGCATGACAGAGGACTGAAAATAACCATGTAAGACTCAGAGGGGAGAAGAACTCAATGGAAGACAGTGGCTTCACTTTTAACAGTGAACAAATGGAGAGCCATTTCACCAAGAGAGGGTTAGAGAGGGGTAAAGCGAGGTAGCTCTAGGAGAGTGCAAGACTGAAGGAAGGAGAAGAAGGACAGCTCTGTTGCTCATGCAGGGACCATAAATGAAGAAAAAAAAGTCTCTTCATATCTGTGATGACATCTCAAAAAAGATCTCCCCTTCCAAAAGGGGTGGGAGGTCACTGTCAGTGGTGCATGAGCTGTAAGCTTCAGGTTTTTATGTCACTTTTTTCCAGAATGCACATTAAGCACAAAGAAACATGACCAATGACATATCAGCCACAAATAAACCAATGCACAGAGATCATTTTTGCAAACCTTAAGTGTGACTAGTCATCACTTTCATGGTTAGTCTTTAATATAAGCTCATTCCAGCTCTTTGTATCATTTTTGCTGCTGCCTGTCCATTGAGCTTCATGAGAAAGATACCAGGCTTCTTTTCTGTCCCCTCCTGACGCCTGTGAGAACCAAGCCTGGCCCCCTCCTTGCCGTGTAGGCCCAGTTTAGCTGGAGGCCGGCCGAGTCAGTCAGTCAGTCAGTCATGTGCCCCTCTGTGGGTTTGGATCTGTTCAGCCGTGGGCAGACCCCCAAGAGAGGAGGTGAACATTAACCCAGGTCCCTTTCTGGGTATCCCACTACCCCTCATAAATCATTAACAGTGCAGCATCAAGGGTCTGACAGCATCAGCATGACAACATCAATCCATCAGGACTCCTCTGAACTGAAGCCTTTACGGGTTTTTAACCCTTACATGTGAATACAGCAGGTTTAGACTCTGATTTTGGTGAATTACGACTTGCACTGTGGCTCTGCTTGTATCACCTCATATGTTCCTAATATTTAGACTCACTCTTCATAATAATATGCTTTCTTTTAGATAGAATTCAGCCTTTAAGATCAACAAGTGCTCTATTTACACAGTTATTCACAAACTGGATTCCCTCTTATATTAAAAAAAATCATTGAAGGTAATTATATGTCTTTGAATTATAAACACAAGAGCTATTAGAGTCTTTGTATTATTTATTACAGACTGAATCACTGAAGAGCATCTTTTTGCTAAATTATGAGAGAATATTGAGTTTTTCTCAGTTTGTTTTAAGAATATTTTTCATGTTTTAGAAACATTTTATTTTGTAATACCTTTTTACTAGTTGAAATTTTGATCATACACGTCTTATTTTGAGATTATGTGGTTTAAAACAGGCAAAACCCCCTACAAATCATAGATAGATAGATAGATAGATAGATAGATAGATAGATAGATAGATAGATAGATACTTTATTAATCCCTGAGGGAAATTTAAAAAACCAGAGGCAGCACCAACAGTACACATTATACAAATACTGTAACAATATTTACATTAAATAAAGAATAAAAACAGTCTATGAACATGACCATAAGGCAGTAGTGCAGAGTTATGAAGGCAAAATAAACAGTGCAAATGGATGCAGTAATGCAAAAAATGCAGATGCTGATTGAAATAATATCAATAAAATCAAGAAGCAGAAGAAATTTTTTTTCATTGTTAAAAAACTTTGATTTCCTCTGAGCATTAAATCTGTTTGATTGACAAACATTTAGTTCAAAATCAGACCCTTTAAACTTTATTTTGAAAAATCTAAGTTAATTTTAATTAATTTGTCTAATCATATCATCTGTTTTATTTAATTTAGCTCTTTTACGCAACATCATCTGCAGTTTGACTGTGACTTGGATGAGTTTAAAGTGTATACTGGCACATGATGCATGAACATGTTTCGAGTTGAATGGTCATGAGTGAATGCTCCAAACATGAAGGTAAATTATGGACACGTCTCTGTTGTCATTTTCCCATTAAAGCTAAATAAGTAAATGCAAACGAGTCTAAGATCAAAAGCCCTCCATCTTTTCTTGAGTGTAGCCTCGCTGTCATTGTAGGTGGTGCTGATGGCGATGTACGGTGAAGGCTGCTGATTGTTGCCATGGACACCTGACTGATCTCCATGACTGTGTTGAAGCACAACAGAAGCATCGTTGATCAGCCCGTCAGAGCAGCTCCATACATGTGTATGAATTTCTCCATAGAGAAGTTGGCGTTAACTCTGGTCACAGTGACCAATTAGCCCTGGCAGAGAGTGGCCTACTGACCTTTGACCCCTGCTGGGTAGTCCTATCCATTAACCCCTCGGGCCTCAGCTGGAGTTGATGTAGTGTCCTTTCTTCTGGCTCTGCTAAACACACGGGCACATTCACCCTGCAGCCTCCACTTTCTGTCTCTCTGAAGCCTCTGCTCTGATCCCCGGGTGTCCGCTCGCTCCTCCGGTGACCCCTCCAGCCCTCGACCTCACGGACACTTCTGCTCTGTCCCCGCCACACAGAGATATGTACTTAAACCTCTGAAACTCACAGGATCTATATTATTGTATATCTTATCCTCTAATATAAAAGCATGAAACCACAGGCATGCTTACACACAAAACTAAATTCTTTATAAATAATTCCTGGATTTTTGATCTATTATAGAGATTTACCGTCATACAGCTGAATTTTACAGCTAAAGAGCCCACTGAAAAGACACCAGAGCACATATAAGTAGTAGCAGTGCTTGTTATCTTAGTAGCTGTATTTATGTTTTTATTACAGTGTATTTATAACAGCTGTTTAACAGTCTTAATGCTGATAAAAAGGACTCAACGTGGCCTGCGTGACATTGACGGGAACAAGAGTTAGATGTATGTCCTAAATGAAACAAATAAATAAATAAATAAATCACCAGGAGATGTCATTAGCTCTTACTTGGACACTCAAGTACCAGGCTTTACCCAAACAGTTAACCTGATACTAAAGTGTTAATTGTTGAGCAAATATAACTTTCATTTGCAGCCTGAAAATTCCTCCAACTGTTTTTCAAAGCACCTCCTAATGGATCAATCTTGTATTCAAACCCAAATTCCCAGCTGAATTAAATGTCACATCTAGAGTGTTTAGTGTTGTATTTCAAACTCTAACAGATGCTAATGAGTCCCCCGGTATTTCAGTTTCTTTAGGTTAAAAGACTCAAAGAGGCTTGGTTAGATCTTCAGAGGCTTCCTGGGTCTGAAAATCAAAGGCCTCATTGAAAACCAAATGGGGCAACATCAGTGGATTACAAGGCTTCCCTCAGCAGGGCTTCACCATGTAAACTGCAGGTCAACACAGCAAGGGTCAGGGCACCGCTGAGAAGTAGCCCGACAGTAGCTGCGTTTACATGGGCACAAATAATCAGAATAAATCGGAAGATTCTGATCCAATTCGGCTCAATCGGGAAGAAATTGTATTACGATAGAGAGGGGTGGTTTATGCCGATTGTTATACCAAAACACGTCCATGTAAACACTTACCCCCAATTTCCACCGCGTCCGGAACGGCTATGAAAAGGCTGTATCCGCCGATCATCCATTTCCACCGGCTTCTTTCTGTTCCTACTCCGCAAGCGATCGCAGGAGTTCATGACTGTCTTACCTGACTCGATCTTCACTCTAAGGCCTTTGGCTTATTAATTGAGGCCAGTACAGGAGGTTTCATTAGTAACACTCTGGCAGAAAACACAACCACAAGTGTCGTGTCTCCTCCGGTAACATAACAAGTCGTACATACAGCGTAATGATGTCACATCTGCACGCACAGCCCAACCTTTGATAGAACAGTAAAATAAGTACGGAAGGGCGCCATCTAATGATATTATTTAACAGGGGGAAACTCCTGATCTGGATGGAGTGAACCACTACCACGTCTGCGCATGTCCAAATGCTTCTAATCTGAATAAAACTTGGTGGATGTATACGCACGTCATGATGGGATTATTTGATTTTGCAGCCATATAAACCGTGGATTCTGATTACCAATCCCTCAATTTTTAATCGGATCAAGAAATTTTGTCCATGTAAACGAAGCTAGTTTGATAATGTTTCAATAAATGCTACAGCTTTATTTTTTTTAAACAGCACTGTAATTTAAAGTACTGTAAAACTGCTTTAAGGCTGCAACAATCTGTGTTTTTTCTGCAGCTTCAATGTATGAACGTGCAACATTAACCCAGTCCTAGTGGAAATAAAACTGAATTCAGTATTTACTCAATAAACCTCTTTGCACTGAATATCTGAATTTTTACAGGAAGTGCTGTTAAGATTAAACCATGCTCTAACTTTAAAATGATCCTTATCTTGATTCGACCCCAGAGAAGCTGTCATTTCTTGTAATAATAAAACTATTCCCACTAATATCAGTATCTGATAAAGCTGAAATGACCGATACTATCAACACGTGTGGTTCGGTGAACTAAAAAAGGTCTCTGAACTTCAAAGAGGCTGTAAACTCATCACACAGCAACACCACAACATAACAATGGAGGCAATAAACAGACCAGCAGTGAGCTGCACATACAAATATCCTTATATAAAAAATACACAAAATAACAAAGACCATGGATTCATTTTGGAAAAAAAAAACTTTTACTTGAAATATCAATATTTTCTCAGAAAGTATAAATAATGATTTATGATTGATTTCAATTTTATACAAAAATAATACATTAGAAGAAAAAAAAAATCACGTCCTGTCACACAAGTATGAGTGCCCTCTGATCTGACGGCAGATGTGCCTATAACAGTCACCAAGCAATCAACATATAAGTAAAAACGTACTGACCTAATATTGAACAGGAGACTGGATCTGCCATGCTTAAGACACACAGGTGTGGTGGTCAGGTGTTTTCAAAGAATGTGTGTAACTTTAGTATTTTTGAGGTGAAATTATTCTTGTTGCCAAATGTGATCCCAATGGTCGTCATCTAACTAAACAGATGACGTCTTTCTGCTCTTTCAGGACCAACAGTTGAATTTCCAATAATGTCCCCAGGTCAGCACTGGCCTTATACTCTGTCCGAACACATTTGCACATAAAGCGTGGGTGTCTAAACCCACAGCAGCTGCTCCTCTCCCTACATTTCTCAGCCTTTTTAGATTCCTGTATGATTAGAGCCGCTGCTGTCACAACATTTCCCTCTTTCATGTCTCTCTCCTGTTTTGTTTCTGAATACTTGTCAATGTTTTCATTCTACGCTGAAGGGGGGGGAGATTTATAATGAGGAGTTATCAATAATATTTGTCCTATTTTGCTTTTTTCTTCACATTGTAGTAGGAAATAGAGCGAGGAGGAGGAGGAAGAGGAGGGTGAGTCCCATTCCTGAAATTCACCTGAACCTGTGTGCAAACAACATGGAGGGGAAGGGCCGTATTTAAAGTGTGTGAGTCAATCCTCCCCCTCAGGGCAGACCTGGTTTATAGATACGACAGGCTGACTTTTGAGACATGACGACAAATAAAACCTGCACTCAGCTACACTCTTTTTCTTTGGCGTATTTGTCACACACACACACACACACACACACACACACACACATCAATCTGCGTTTTTTTTCCTAATGTTACAGGCAGCTTTTCACAACAGAAACTCCAGTTTATAATAATAGTCGGTGACTTCACTGATAGTGCATATTCATTCCCAGTCTCAAGTGTGCAGAATCCAGTTATACAAAGCATTGCAAACACATATAGACGCATTGCATAGTCCTTTCAAGATTGTCAAAGTCTCTTCAATCACAGTATACACATTGAAAAACTGCACCGTGCCGGCGCAGTAAACTGAGTGTGAAAGAAAAACATGGAAGACTCCTTTAAAGCCGATGCACAAGATCAATAAGGGTGATTGTGATTGTCACACAGTTCTGCTCACGTGCGAGGCATTTAGTGTACCGAGTCTCTCAGCCTTCACAGAGGCTGCTTCGTGTCTGTTAGATTCAGCGTGTCTTCATATTTCCACCTTTAATCACAGTGTTTTCCCAGAGCCTCTCGTTGTGGGTGCATGGTTTTTGTTCCTTCGTAGTGTCTCTCTCATGATAGGGGCTTTAAAAAAACTGAATACTGTTTAAAAAGATTGAGTTAAAATCAGACGTCCTTGTTGATCATATGTGTGCGACACAGAGAGGAAGTCCAGTCTCCTCACTTTCAGGTGCAGTGAGTTTTTTTTTTCCTCCCCTTCCTCGTGTTTTAATTTTTTCGCCACCTGGCCCACCGCCGTCACTCCCTCCCCTCTGTTAGTTTTGTTGACCGACTCATCATCATCCAGCCATGCTGCTGCTGGTTATTAAGAGTTGCCATGGTTACCGCTGTAAGAGGGGTGGAAAATGTGCTTGGGTTGCTGGGAACCGGGGAAGTCAGGTGGACGCTCTCACCAGGCCTGAAGAGGACACTGAAAGGACAAGAGGAGGGAAATGTGAGACACAGTCAGCTTTACATAAAATAGTAAATACAATCTGTTCAGAGACACAAGTCTGCACAGTCTAATAGGAATCAGGATGTAGAAGTTTTCTTTTCATGGTGTTTTGTAAGAGATGAAAAGATGATTTAAATATACATAACTAAAACATTTTTATAACTAAATGGTGTAAAAATGATAAATGCTGCACTTTTATTTAAGACAGATTTTTTTGTGTCTCAATCCAAATAATCAGTGATTTAATTAAATACTTCATACTGTTTATTTCTGGTATTTGCATTTAAATTTTTAAGAGGAACTTAAGTATTTCAGAAATGATAATAAAAACTAAAACTTATTTAATATTTAAAAATCTTTAAAAAAATTAAATAGTCTTATTATTAGTTTTTATGGCACTGCAGCATTTTCTAATATTTCTTTTAAATCCTAATACACTTTTTTTTAACTGTTAGTAACTCATTATTTGCAGCTCAAGACTTAAAATAGGTTAGAAACACTCACATAAAATATGACTTTAAAAGACCAAAAGCTCTTATAAATATATAACCTAACATCTTAAAAAATAGAGGAAAAGATCAAGTAACCCATAATTTGATTATTATATAGTAATCATTGGACACATTAGTTATAATAATAATAAAAAAGTCTGAGCTAAATAGTTAGTGGCCTATTTATGTTGACGTTTTTGGTGCTTTGAATCTACTTATTCTATTTAAGCTCAAGTTTTAGATCATAATTTTTAATCAATGTTTCACAAATATCTATACAAAGTGTTTTGGTCAGTTTCTATAACTATATTCCTCTGCCATGAGTCCCAAAAAGCACCCAGCAGAGGTATTTGCATACACAACAGAGGAACAAAAGTAGGAAAAGAAAAGAAACTCTACACTCCTCCATGCTTCCTCATCACACAGTCATTCCTTTATGGAGTAAAGTTTGAGTCCTTTTCTGTCACAGTTTTGCCGCTTGTGTTTATATTTGTGTTTTCACCGCCTGATAAATGCTATTCATCACCCCAGCACCTTAAGGTGCCACACCTGACCAAATACATTCCTCATCCCTCTTCTCCTGACTCCTTGAAGCTCGTTTCCATTGAAAAGCTCTCTCTCTTTCTCTCTCTTTCTCTCGCTCTAACTCTCTCTCTTTTTTTAGATTTGTTTGTGGAATTTATTTTTCCTCCTGCGTCTCGTTGGGTGGAGGCAGGTGACCCCGCTGTGACCCTGCGGCCAGCAAACAGCTTCACCTGATAAAGCCGACCCGAGCTAAGACCTGAGTCATTAGACGCAGGGCTGCGAGCAGAGGTGAGTTTTAAACAGACTCAGGTATAATGGAGGGTTTCTCAGTAAACACTGCGTGTTATAAAGCCTCAACATGCTGCTTTGAGTCATGAGAAGAAGGCTTTCCCGTCCAAATAAAGTCCTGATAAGAAAATACCTGACGGCTAATTACTCGCTAAAAAGCTGAGTCGGTGAAGGGCCACGAGCCGACGACACCGGTGCTCGTAACCATGAATACTTTTAGGAATTTGCAAGAATTGCTTTTTTACTTTTTATTTGCTGCCATAAAAGTTTAACTTGAAGACTCAAAGAACTGCATTTTACTTTGTACCCCACAAAAAAAGCTTTTTATTTAAAATGCTTTGAGAAAATTTGTCTAGAGTTTTGTAAATAAAGTTCTTCAAATCAAAAATTGCTGTAATATTTTGGTTTTACATTTCCTGGATTAGACATTTTGGATTTTAAATTATAACAGAGAAATTTCAGGTATTTTTTCAGATGTTTTCCGATGTTTGGAACATAAAAATCTTCTTTTATTGACTTACAATAAATCAAGATAGAATCAAAGAATACAGCTAATGTTGGTAACAGCTCTCTAATGTGTGTTAAAAGCAAAACTTGAGGCCCACTTGATTTTAAAAGTCTGTGAATCTGTACTAACGGCAGTGTTTTATTTAGATAACAGTCAGTTTTAGTTAGCACTAATGATTTTTATCATTGTGAGTCTATAAAATGTCCTTAAAAAAGCCCCTTTTGCAAAATAATATTAAATCAAAGTGAAAAATTATTGTCACCTTCACAAAGATATGTCTTCACATTAGTTGTAATTAAGTTTTTTTTAGGTGTAAATGGAAAAAACTCAAGTATGAAATAATAATAAAGGAGTTTTCCCCGTAAAAAAAATTTGACATAACTTTTTAAATGAATTATTAAAGCAAATAACGGCAGGTGGATTAGACTTAGATATTCTTACTTTAGCTTTTAAATGTAAACTATCTTTTTACTCTCTCAAACATCATAAAACTGAATAATTTTTGCGAAGCGAGTCAGTAAATAGCTGACTGCCTAGTTTCATTTTCCTCTCTCTGTCTCCTCGCAGGACATGTTTCGCTCTGAGCTCCCATCCCATCAACCCATCAGTCCGTCAGCAGTGACGCTGCGGTGCGAGCGCTCGGCCTCAGCGTGGGAAATTGAGCGTGTGAAAGCACCGTGGACGACATTTCAGGCAAGAGCGATCACCGAGAGCAGGGAGAAGTAGGAAAGAGGAAGAGGTGTAATTACTAGAAGAAGAAAAAAAAAAAAAAAGGAAAAAGAAACACCCCCCTTCCCTCCTGTCTCATCTGCTGCCTCACTGTAGCACAGAGGCCACGAGGGTTTGATTAACAGTTAGGCTCATTTCCTGATCGCAGAGGCAAGAGGAAAGTGAAAGGAGGCGGCTTTAATCAACAGGCGTTCAGGCTGAAGGATCGGGTGATTGATTAGACGGAAGAGGAGGAAATAGAAATTTAAGGGAGTTTACTATCCATATATCTGTCTCATTTGTTAGTTTAGAGCCAAACAAAAGCTCCAAATGTAAAAGAACTGAAAGAAAAACTCTTTGAGGTGATTTTTACTCATTTTATCTGTGTGACTGAACTGATAAAACAGTATTTACCCAGGAGAGACCCCCGAGTTGCACCATCTTGTTTACAGGAGCGTCCTAATGTGACAGGAATTAAACACACAGTAATTACACACGCACTTCTCCTGGTCACAGTCAAGTTCCTAATCAAAGTGTGTGCTGCTATTGTGCAATGTTTCTCTTATTGATCAGCGTGAGGGTGAACTTTGGAAATCAATCCATGATAATCACAGTGTGACAAAGATTTCCCGCAAGGATTTTACAGCAAAAATGTGTAAAAACCCCTTCAAATAACAGCTGATTTGAGCAGGAACCCCCTTAATGATTACAGGAATTTACTGACCGTCTGCATGGTGGCAGACAGAGGTGAAAACATGCACCTAAAAGTGACTGGATGTGTGTTCAACACTCACCGTCTTGCTCGAGGACATGGAGCTGAGCGTGCTGATGCTGTTGGCGTCTGTGACCACCATGGCTGAGGGGAAACGTGACGGGTGCGAATATTGCGGGGGTTCCTGCTTGTGAGGATACACTGCAAAGAGAGAAAAGGACAAACACATTCAGTTTCAAGAAACAATGATGAAAATAATAAAGACAGGAGTTGAAGTGTGTGTTACTGACTGTGTGAGTGTGTGACTGTGGCCATGAACGGCTGCTGGCTCATGTGGCTGGGCGACTGCTGCATCAGGCTCTGCTGGTGGGGGCTGTGAAGCTGCTGTGAAAACTGCACAGGCTGCAGCGCCGCGAGGCTCCCGGCCACGCTGTTGATCACCGGCACCGTCTGAGATTGCGACGTGTTTAAACCTTAAAAAAAAAAAAAAAAAAAACAGTCACACACCATGCCTGATTAGTCTACAGCTTTCTTTTCTGAGTGTGCCCTGTAGAGGATTTGAGGAGGAGGACTCACTCTGTGCGATAGCCATGACTCCTGTTAGAGGCATGATGAGGTTCTGTGTCTGCTGATGGCTGTGATGGGAGCTGTGGATGTTTGTCAGCGTGCTAACAGGAGGAAGTCCTCCACCTGAACCAGAAATCTGCAAGAAATGGTGAAGAAACAGATTAAATAACTCCAAAAAGTTATGAGCGTAGCTGTTATGTCAAATCAGGTATTCTCAAAGTGAACAGATGTGAGCAGCTAAACAAACTAGATAATAACACTACGCTTCTCGCACAAAGCACACAAGCAAACACTGATAAACAAACGGCACAGAGGAAATAATGTTAGCAAGAGTTTGTGGAGTAGATGCTGGTTTTTCTATCCTCACTCCTAAAGAGAAAAAAAACCCTGTATGTGCAGTGATGTCTATCTGGACTGGGGTCCTCCCTCTAACTGAGTTTGTGTTTATTTGACTACAGCAGCTGCACACAGAGGACAGAGGGGCCGAACGCACATCTGCAGATAACTGTTGGCTCGGCCCTGCTGCTCAGTCAGGCTGCGGTCATTTCATTAAACACTGCGACAAAAGACAGAAGTATGCTGATCTGACAGGGAAGTAGGTCTGTAGTTTTGGATATTTCAGTTGCACGACTTTGTGTTTTATCTGACCCGGGTAGGATAAGTGGTTTAACCCTTGAGTTACCAGCATCATTGAAACACAAGAAGCAATGAAAACAAGTCTGCTGCTATAAACAGCTTTTCTTTTCTAGGATTTACTTCCCAAGTGTTGTTGCACACAGCTGAAAGCTACAGGTCTGCTCAGGTTTCCTTGTCACTGATCAAATATTGAACCAGGGCAGAAGGGAGAAACCCAGAGGCCGAGTAAAAAAAACACACTGAATATAATCAAATGTTGGCGTCATTTCTCTGGCAGGACAAGCCCGAGTCTCCTCTCTGTGAGGCATTTAATCAATACAAGCAGAATGTTTCTTTGTCAGGTTTATTGGCTGAGCGATGAACATGCTCGATGCACTCCGATGAAGCCATCATGGCCTGCCACCCCCAGCTCCACCTTCCAAACACAGCAGCACAATGTGCTAATTGTTGGCTGCTGCCAGCGAGTCCATGGGAGAGCAGAGGTCCAGGAGTCTGCTTTGTACTTTATGCTAAACTCAGACTGGGGCTTATCTAATCTGAGGCTGTGAGGGCCCAGGTGTGTTCACTCACCATCTTGGCGTCAGGTGACAGCAGACTGTGGCTGTGGTCCAATCCTCCCGGAGACACCTGCTGGAGCACAGACTGGCTGCTGGGCATTGAGCTGCTGCTGTGGTGACTGATGGTGGTGGAGGAGGTGACCTCACCGGGGCCTTGGCTGTAACGCACTGAGAGAGAGAGAGAGAGAGAGACAGAGAGAGAGAGGTTAGTTTCACTTGTTCTGCTAACAGTTATGTAGGGCACAGAGATAGCAGCGTCGGCCTCATTCTTCACTCAGCTACACCAGAGTCACTCCACCCAAACAGCTCACCTACTCCTTTGACTCAGACAGGAGAGGACAAGAACAAACAAACACGCCTACCCGTCACTGCCGCTGCCACTGACGCTATCTGTGCAGCCCAGCCAAGGCCGAGCACTATGTACACGTACGAATATGCAGCCAAAGTACCAGCAGATGCTCTCATAGGAGCTCTTGTTCACAATACACCAGTGTTCAGTTTTAACCACAGGTGGAAGAAGTTCCCGGGTCTTTTTATTGTTATTGACCTGCTTACAGCCTCGGGGTTAATGCTCTTAAATAAATTATGAGGTAAATCTGAGGTTGCATGGACATCAAAGTGGAAAAATTGAAGAAAATCTGTGCTTGTGGTTGCAAAAAGGACCCAGAAAGCCAGAAGTCCCACCACAAGGACCTCTCACGTAGTAAGATGGATCACAGACAACTTGAGCAAGATCACACAGCCTATGTAGATTTTAAGTGGATCTTTATGGGTGTTATGTGTTTGGATTTGAACTGTAGTGGGGGTTTTTATTGCAGCAGGAGGGGTGTGGGCCGCTGGATTTTAAAAGGTTTTAAAAATCAAATCAAAAGTTTTTCCACATATGATTATTCCTCATCCTAAAGCGGTAATATTCTTCCTAAATATCTCCTCTGGGCAAAGAACCAATGTGCTTATAGATCTGAAAAGTGCATGTACATGGTGTTGTAATTTTTGCTTTATAAAAATAAAAGAAATTTGAATCCTTCGCAGCGGAGAATAAGAACTTTTTAAATTGTAAAGTGCCATCGCTTAATCTCAAGTCCAGACTTCTCCTCGTCTCTCACTGGAGGCCCACAGGAATGCTTCACCCCACCGCAACCAACAATCAGATGCCTGTTTGCTGATGCAGGCCCTCTCTGATACCAACAGAATAAACATTACACAATTACAAACAATGTCAAACACATTCTTATCCTGTGGTCTCAGCCTCACACAGACGCACACACACGCACACAGACCCCCCTCCCACAGTGACAGTGTAGAGACAGACTCTGTTTGCGCTCAGATCGCCCATCTCCGTCCCTGACCCAGGTGTGACAGCCTGAACGCCCTCCTGAAGCCGGTCGGACATGACAGGAGGCCCTGATATACTTCAGCCGTTTTGAGATAAAAATGAGGGAGAGGTTCTGACACTGAATGTGACCGGAGAGGAGAGCATTGATTTCTTGTCACTGATGGAAACTGGAGCAGGATGTTTGTGGAGATCTTGAATTCCAAATCAATCATTTCCAAACAATCCCCCAAAATAAGTTGAGCTACGACTTAATAAGGAAGCCGCACTGCCATATTTTAGATCCTTAAGTACCTGTCCTCCATTTTATTCAGCGCACAGAATTCATATTGTCCTGTGGAGTATAGTAGCAACACTGTGACACCGCACTGTGCCTTGTAAACACTGCTGCAGAACAATAAAGCACTCCATTGGACTCATGACCCCCATTGCCTCACAATAGAGGAGGTCTCATAAAGAGGCAGTTATCTCGGTGCTTGGCGACCTCTTAAAGTGTTCGAGGGCGGAAAGATGCTATTCAAGACAGTTTCTTTGACCTCGGCAGTAATTCTAACTGCAGGGGACCTCGAGGACTTCCAAGAGCAAAACTTCACCAAGTTCACGCTTAAAGTGATATTTTTTAAGTTCTGATACAGCGGAAAAAGGGCTGATCCATAGTTCACCAAAGACCAAAGAGCAGGGGGGAGGGCGAGAACTTCAGGAGGGAGGTGGCAGCAAGGATCTTCAGCAGGTTTAAAAGGCTCCCGCTCTCTGTGTGACCCATGTAATATCAAAGCCTGCCTACCCAACCCCAGGCAGCGCTCATTGTACTTCCACTGCATATAACAGACCTCCTGGGTCTCTGCAGGACGTATCCAGCCTCTTCTTTGTGGCTCTCTGGGAGATACAGAGCAGTGGAAAGTGCAGAGTTAGGGTTCGTGGGTTGTTTCCTAGTTGGCCTGGGGTGACGCCTCCCACAAAATAACGCCCCCTACCACTGTATCCGATCTGGAACTTCTGAGTCTGCTAGTTTTATTTAATGCGAAAGGATGTAGCTCAGCAACTGTTTAATTTAACGGTGCCAAAACGTAGAGCGATGGAAGAGGGATTACTTTTGACAACTTTGGTAAAAGTACCTGAAATATTTCCAAATTTCTATTAAAAAAAAAAAAAAAAAAAAACTATGAGGCAAAAACTCAACCGTGGGAAAGATCTTAATCACGCCATTTTTGACTGATATAACATCGCAGAACATGCATTTATTAAACTTAAAACTCATAATTTATTAGGATATGGACCAATATCTCTCACTGTCAGGACTGGCTATTGTTATTATCAAGATATGTTGTCCCTCTGTCCACGCTCACTCTGTCCCTCTGCTTCACTAACACACACCTGCACCTCGCAGTGCCACACAGCTCTCATTTCCCTAACTGTGGCTGCATGATGGCTCTAGCACAACATGTTAAAGACACAGCATCTACAAGTTTTCCACACTTCAAAACGTTGTGAATAAATCTGGATTTTTAAGTTTTATCTCGTTGAGTCTCTCAAAGTTTAACTGAGGAGTTTCTAACTTTTATAAACTTCTATAACTATAAAAATTGACAATAATCCCCCACTAAACCCCGATTTTTGTATGAAAAAGGTTTAAAACCAATATCCTCATTTGTCGAGACTACAACATACTCTTTGGTTTGGTTAAAATCTTACTTTTAAAAAGTTTTTGTTGATTTAAATTGATATAGTTTTCCCTTGAAATCTAAAAATAAAGCAGATTTAATGACAGAATTACTCCAGCATCCTCATTGAGTACAGTGCATTCCACAGTCAAGCACAACAAATAAGCTTTTTCAACATCACTACTCCAAGTGAGATGGATTACTAGAGCTAAGCTAATGTTATTGGAGGAAGAACGGTAGGCAAATATTGTGTAGGAAAACACAGGTGCATGCTCACATCCACCTGCTATAACAGACTTAGTAACCTGCTTCAAATCAGTTTCATTTCCAAATGTAAAAAAAAAAGAGAGAAAGAAAAAAAAAAAAAGGGTCACCGCCCAAACTGTGCATCACACTGTTTGACTGTCTATCCAGTTGTGACCGGCTGGCCAACGAACCGAAGCAAAATCAATAAAAACTCCCAAAGTAAGAAGAGTTTCTTTGATCTGACCTAGTAGTGACCCTCTCTCCTGTGACTGAGGGTGCAGCGGTGGTTTAGAGAGGAGGAGGGGGGTGACTCGCTTTCTCTATAGGCGAAGAAGGGGTCATCAGTCCTGTCTGGCCAGAAAGGAGCCAATACTTCAGCGGACAGCTCCTGCTGCTCCAAGTCTGCACCCAGCCTCTGCAACTATACTGGTGCCCATAAAGGTGACGGGGGAGGCTTTAAACTCAGGCCTCCTCAAGGCCCAGCAGAGATAAATGAACCTAGGTTACAGTCACTGCAGTCTTCTAATACACCACAGACAATAGGGCCTCCTGCTGAGGAGGAGTATAGAGAGGAGAAGTCAGAGGAGCCCCTTATCAAAGGCCTGGGAGATGTAGTAGCAAAGGATTTTAATTGTCCATTAAGCATGCATAATACAGGCCGTGCCCTGGCAACGCAATGAGACGCCCTGCTGGGATATTATTGTCAGACTGGGGGCTGACACTGAAAAACAGCTGATGCTGTCGGCAGGATGCCAGCAGGACACCTTGTAAGCAGCTAGCTGAAGGGGGGGGGGGGGGGGCCTCGGCGACCCTTCCCTTCTGCAACCTTATCGCTGACCTCTCTGGCTTTGCAACCTGAGGTCAATGCCTGGTCAGGTGTTCTGAGCAACGAAAAAAAAAAAGCAAATAGGCAATCCACTAGCGGGACCAGTTTATCCAAAGGTAAAAGAGCAAGCCAAGGCAAACAGTTTGTTTTCCCTTCAAAGCTCGCCTCGTGTCTGAACACGAGAGGACAACAATAGGCTCTCAAATCATGGTTTTATGGCGGGTGAGTGATGGCGTGGCGGAGGATAATGCACTGTGAGGCCTATCAGCTTTGTTTTTATGTCGTATATACCAGGTAGGCTCAGTCAATACTAATTACCCCAAATGCAAACATCAGGTCAGGGTGAAATGGTCAGAGCAATAGCACGCAGCGTTTCCTTGTTTTGGCGACTCTCTGAGTGGAGTCATTAGCAACAAGCGAGGGAGGAGGAAATGTGGAAATGACGGCGTTATGTCGAGCTAATCTGGAGGTGTCTGTCCCCCCTCCCTGACCCTGGCCCGACCCTGGCCTGTCACAGGATCGCTGCCCTTTGTGTCATGCTTCTCCAAGCTGACTTTGGAGTGGAGATTGCAGGTACAATGCGGATTGTTCTCAGTGTGTTTTCTGAGATCCGAATAACAATGGCATTTGCTCAGCTCACTCACTCACGCTCATTGATCACTTGGCCCGTCTTTCTCTGCCGCTCTGATCACATCAGCTGTGCTTGTAACGCTCTCTGACAGGATTTTCATGCAACAGGAACGAAAACTTTGGGTTTTTTAAAAAAGTTTGGAGTTAAACACTTCAGACTTATAAATCTTCGTATCCCCTAATTTGTGTAATTTTGTTAACATAAGAGAAGAGTTTACAAAATAGTCTAAATACAGGAGGGGTGGATGTAAAGCATGATAAATTCCCAGTTTGTTAAATGTTTTAAGAAGAGTTTCCTGCCCTTATAATAAAATATGTTTGATTTCTATAATGCTGAATGTAGAGCAGAGCAAGGGATCTTACTTGGAGGTGACGCACTGGTCTGGGGATGATGCGGCGAGCTGTGTGACAGCAGAGGGTTGAGGCTGTGAGGCGGACCTGAGATGGCGTCCATGGCTAACTTCTGCCTGAAGGCTTCCTCTTTGCGCCGGTTGGCGAACCAGTTATAGACTCGCACTTCGGTGACCAGATTAGAGCCGAGCCCCTGAGCTTTGGAGGGGGAGACTCCTCTTTGGAGACACTCAGCTCTGCAGGGAACAGAAGGTCAAACTTTAGGGTTTGGGAACTTTTTCACTCGAACGGTGAAGGAGGGAGGGAGATTGATTTTCTACCTGTTACACTCCTCCACCAAAGCTTCCCGCTCCTCCTTGCTGGGGTTCTTCTGCCTCTCATAGGCCTGGTACAGGATTTGCTGGGACGCGGGCCCCCATTTGAATCGGTTACGTCTCATTTTCTTGCTGGATGGTTCGCTACCGACCTCGTCACCGGGCTGACCCATGCCCTGACCAGACGGGTTGAACTCTGGGAAAAAAAACACCGGATCCTGATTGCCTTTGTCTGTCATTATGCTGCCAGAACCTTGAACAGCCTGGTTGAACTCTGCAAAATAAGAAAAAGCACATTTAATAACTTTTCCACCAAAAACAGAAACATGAAAACCAGAAACAATAAAGTGTGTTTTCATTTTTTAGTTTAAGTTGTTTTCTTGATTATTTATTATGGCAACTTAAAATGTCATGGTCTTTTCCAACTCATGCCTGCAAGTCAGAAACCAAAATAAAACACCACGTCGCTGCCAACTACACACCACAGGCCGAGGCCAAGCTGTGAGAAACTCAAATATTAACTTACGTCGGAGAATTTCCCGCTGTTTCCTGACATACCAGGTGTAGAGAGCCGCTCGTTTCTGTGTTTTCATGGGCGTGCCTTTGTTGAGGTGCTGCGAGAGGTGAGACTGGTTCAGCCCCGTGATGTCCACCACCTCCCGTTGGGGGATGTTGTGCTGCTGCATGTAACCTTTGATCATACGGGCAGCGCGCCATGGATCCTCTCTGGGTTCAGATGAAAAACACAGGAGCAGAAAACACAATCAAACCACTGCTGAACTACGTGCAGCTTTAACAGGGAAGTAGTAAAAAGCAAAACCAACCTTTACACACATTTTATAGTGGAAATAAAAGTTTTTAGTTCATGCCACGCAAATAAACTTAAGTAAGTACTCTCAGGAGGGGATTTTAAAAAATTCTCAATGTTAAAAGATTTTTAAAAATACATATGAAGAGTATAAAAATATAGTTATTTTATCTTAATTTGTTTGTCAAGGCCTCAAGTTTAAAGGGGCTGTACTGTAAAAAAGTCGCCTCACAGACAGCCTGTTTATCACTGTAGCCTGTTCAATAGGCTGTAAATATTTTCAAAGGTTAGTTCAAGTGGATCCAGGCCGGTTGGGAAACTTGGACTTAGTATTCGTAACTTTAACACATGATTCAGTCTGCAAATCAGGACATTTAAAACAGAAATGTTGCACTAAAACCTTCATGAAACAGACCCTAAATAGGCTGTGATGTTAAATTAACCCCTGGTGATACTTCAGTGAATTTAAAGCAGAAATGTTGCACTAAAACTTTAATGAAACGGAACCAAAAATAGGCTACCATGTTTAATTATTCAGTAAATTTAAAGCAGAAATGTCACACTAAAACCTCAATGAAATGGACCCAAAGTAGGCTACCATGTTAAATTTAACCTTGACAATACTTAAGTTAATTTAGGATGATTGAAACAACATAATAATTTGCATTAAACTTCAAGTAGGAAAAAAAAATGACATGGAACTTAAATATTAAATAGATAAATAAGTTTAATTTTCTTTAAATGATTGGGCTACTCATAAAAAAAATTGGTTAAATTGAAGAAATGTGACATCAGTCAAAATGAGTATTTCACAAGTTATTTTAACCACTTAAATTCTGACCTTATTTTAAAATGAAGCATTCAAAACGTGCATGTCCTTACCTGTTTCACTCCCTCACTCATTTTTATTCCTATCAGTATTTCTCCAGTCATAATAAAAATGAAGTCTGCGGTAAAATAAAACCTCCAGCCTACAGATCAGAGGCCCAGACACAGTGACACCGGTAATTATAGCAAATCTCTACACGTCTGTTTGTTTTGGAGAATGTGGAGGCCTGCATCTCAGTCTGCGGGTTAAGTGGGAGATGTTAGTTTATAACTTTTGACAATGAATAACCAGATCTCCATTCACTCTAATCACACGCCACTGTGTATCTTTCAGTTGATGATTTATAGAATAAAATTAATAATAACTTAACTACACGTGGGTTAGTTTTGATTTTCTCCCGCTTGTGTAAAAGTCTCATTTATTAGTTTTACGGTAAACTGAGAAGATTGGAAATGTCAATAATGTCAGGTTGGTTTAATGGTGTATTCACGGACGCGTAAAAATCGGAAAATTAAAATTAAACTATACTGAAATTTATTTTAATCAACAAAAACTCTTAAATTTTTGTCCTAAATTTGCTGACCAAGTTTTCCCCACTTCACTTTCTCCTCATGTAGCCTTTGCAGGATTTTATCGTGAAGAGGTGGAGTAAAGTTAATAATAAATAGCCTCGATCTCGGTTCAGCTGATATTTCGCGACTAAGGTAAAGAAATAATAATCCATGTGGATAATTAGTAACCAGAATGTGAAAACAGTGTCGTGGCGGGTTAATTTAAAACTGTAAACAAAAAAGGTAAAGAGTTTTAGATTTGTAAAAGTTCGTATTTTACTTTTAAAAACTTATTTTCTTATTGTTTTTAAAGTTTTGAGATGACCCGAATTTAGAAAGTCTTCTCAATGTGTCAGCGCTTGTTTCGCCTCCATCTCATGGCACCAATTATTTTAACTATTTTCTTCTTTTTTTTTTACACTTTTTAAATATAATAAATGTAGATCCACTCACGCCAACATGCGCTCCACCTCCGCCCTCTGCTCGGCGGCCTCCTCCGTGTTCAGTGACTGGAGCTCCTTCAGTATCGGCGGCGTGTCGTAGTCGTCCCCGTCCTCGGAGCCTTCGTCCCCGGACAGTTTGCCCTTACTGTGTCCGTTGGTGAGCGTGTGGAAGACGGGCTTGGAGTCCACGGCGTCCGCTCCGTTCATCTTCTGAGGCGGATTAGGCGACAGGGGCAGATTTTCCAGTTTTACTCCAAATCCCGGCGGACTCGGGTCCATGTCGTCCAGGGCCTGGATCAGGACATCTTTGGTAACTCCAGAGTCCAGCAGGGCGCTGAGGAGCTCCTGCTGAAGGGATGTCAGCTTGGATACCATTTTAGAGAACATCAAAAATACAACATAGGCCTGCTGGGAGGGGAGAGGGAGAATGGAGGGAGGTGGTGAGATTAAAAAAAAGTCAAAATAAAGTTCCTCTCTTCTTCTCCTTCCTCTTCTTGTGTGCTCATGTGTTTCTGGAGTTTTCTGCTGCTAACACCTGCTCCGTGAAGCCACTTCCCTTTAGACGGGGAGGATGGAGCTACTTTGCCATGATGCTTTGTGAGAGCAGGGGGATATAAAACATGATAATGAGTGGGCCGGCTGCCTTATGTAAATCCGCAGAATAAGGCCCTGCTCTGGGCCCAAAGAGACATGTGTTTACACTGCTGCACTGCTGCTTTTATTGGCTCCCCTTATCAGCTCAACTTTCATGGACTTTGGACTCTGTTGTATATGCCATAAAGACTTTTAAGAAGGGCGATCTGCATACATTCACATCTCTAGATACCTTTATTTTTTAATGCATGTTGAATCCTTCAGTGAACAAACTGTTTAATCACGATATTTGACTTTTACTCACTTTAATGTAGGGGTCCTTTTAAAGGGATAATCATGCAGGTGTTAATGAGGTGATTGTCCTCATTAATTCAGCTGTTTGTGTCCTTTATTGTGCTTCATTATGTTAGTGTCAGCCTAATTTTGGCCTTTTGTAGTAGGATGGTTTTTAAGTTTCTGTTAATATGACCAATAAAAATCAACCAATACCCAGAGTTTTAAAAATATAAACAGACTAAATTCACTGAAAGTTTCTCAAAAGGCTCCTTACACTGCCATATCAAATGCCTGAACTTTATCTGACTTTTAAAATGTAAAAAGAGAAACATAAATAAACCCTAAATTCACTCAGTCTTTGTCAAACACTTAATCATTAAAGAGGAAGCAGAGTACGTATTTTAGGGATGTTTATTTTTACGCCTTTGTTTCACTGCATGTCTGTAAATAAAGCAGTAATAAAGCAGAATTTGGGTGTTTATCCTCTTTTAAACAGTGACAGTGGTTCAGGTGAGAATAGGGTGCAGGTGCAGTTCGCTGTTAATGGGCTGAAGTGTAGTTTCTGTCAGTTTAGCACAGATTATAAGGGTAAAAAAAGTGGATTTTTTTTTATTATGCAACATTTATTTGAGTTGAATTCAGGCCTAACCTTTGATTTCCACCTGCAACACAATGACTACTTCTTAAAACACATGAATATAAAGGGAAAAATATAAGACTTAGTATTACTTGGTCTCCTCATAATGATAAATAAAAGTTGTTTTGCCCTGTTGACTATCTGATATCAAGGGATTTTCACGCTCAGAGTTGGATTTTACTGTCACCAAATGGTTGAAGTGCATGTTAACGTGCCTTCTAGGTAAAATGCTAAAATATTAAAACCCAAATTGCATTATAATGACAGACAGAAAACACAAAATTTCACATTAATTCAAAACGTGATCCCTACACTTACTTCAAGCTTCACAGATAAGACTGTCTTAACCTTCCATCCAGAACTGTGACGTTTGCATACACTTTACTTAAATTGCCTACTCAGTCAAGTCTTGAATCCAGAATTTTCTAGGTTATTACATAAAAATATTCTTTAATCTGCTTTTCAATTATTATTACAAAGGGCAAATATCAACCCCAAATCTGATGTAAACAAACCCACCGTGCGCACAGAAGCCACCGTGTGGATCTGTATGATGGTTTGCAACAATAACTTAGCCAATTATTGGTCAGACTTGTAATCAGCCAGTGTAGTATCAATGTGGTTGATCATTAGTAATATGCAGGGTTACCCTAAACTTAATAGCACGACACAGTGAGACTGTCTGTAGCACAATGGCCTCATGGAAAACACTCCAATGAATTTTAAGTATGGTTGAAACAACTGAAATGTCCAATCTACAGATCAGTCAGAGATAAAACATGAAAAAGTTCAGTCGGGTCTTTAACGATCACCTGCAGAGTGCTCATATGCATAAACTGTAATCGATAACAAAGACCAACATTTGTGAAAATCTGCTTTAATCTCTAAAATGAGGCTCTTCTCATGTCCACCTTTCTGCACTTCGCTCAGGTGTGTTCTGAGGTGCCAGATGCTGCGTGGTGTGTGTGGAGGTAATAACCCAAAGGAAACTGATAAATTACAGTCTGTCTGCAGATCCCTCATTTCTGCTGACAAGTTAATGACTCAGGTGTCAGTTTTCAGGGCCCCGAGAAGCTGATTGATTTTCTTAATAACAGATTAAAATGTCTGATACCACGCCGTTTCACAAAGCCAAAGAGCAGCAAAGGGTTAACGTTAAAGAGTGAGATATTGGATTCAAAGTGATTCCTGTGCAGAGGTAAATAAAGGAAATTCAAGTCACAATCATATGATCGGAGTGTGACAGAAAATCTTCGAATTCAAGCCAAGAAAAAGTTGCAAAGACAAGAAAAATTTCCACGCACATACACACACGAAAAGCATGTATTGCCACATTTCAAGTTCGTACATTTCACATGTCTCTGTTGCAAATCGGTCAACCATTAACAACAAATAATAACAAGCAGCAAAAACAGTTGATCCAGTACATGGAGCATCGGGCCGGTTGTGAAAGCGACCTGTGCAGTGGAGTGTGGCGAGGAACATGCGCTGCCCGTTACACTGTCACTCACAGGTTGAGCAACCGGGAACAGGGAGCATCCTGAGGCTGTGACGGTCTTACCTGTGACTGTTTCTACCTGCAGTCACACCCTGAATCTGTGAAAGTTATTCTTTAATGCCTTCACGCTTTACTGTAGTCTATTACTCTATCTTAATAAATGCATTACATATGTGAGTCATATAAGACTCTAACTGTTGGTGGAAAGTCAGATAAAAACTACAAATCCCAGCTGTTAAAGTTTAAAACCCTGACTTTTTCCGATTACACATTAGGTGAGGAATATTTTAAAGATTAACAACTTTAAAGCTCCTGAGAGGAGTTTCTTTTCTGGTTATGAAACAAACTGAAATTAATATTGATGCTGCTGTATGACCTGTAACAGTGAACAAGGGTGTTGGTGACAAAGTTTGATATTTCTATGTGGGTATTTTGAAGATCTGTTACTGATATTGAGGGTTAGGTGTCAAGAAAGGAGATTAAACCTGTTAGATTTTGACCGATATCTGATATGTTGATATTTTCAAACTTATTTTTGTCGATCTCTCCTATCATAGGATTAACCTGTTGTCTTCGTCCCCATTTAAAAGCAGCAGGCAAGAACCAAATAATAAACATCAGCATGTCTACTTATGCTATGGGCACTTCTCCACACTTTATTGGCTATTATCTATTTTACCAAAAGCTCGACTACAAAGTCTAACATCACATCTATTGATTACACAGTAAGATATTGAAATGAAGGAGTGCTTTATCTCTAAGTCATAATAACATTGTTGTCTATATTTCAGAATAGCTTCATAAAATTTGCATCTTATTTCCATTTCCACACCAACGACAATGTTCAGATTATATTTGGTTCAACAGATAAACCACAAGGTTCATTCAGTCATCGTTTCTAAATTCATAAACTTTAATAAACACCAAAAGATGAAGTTTTGACTAAATATTTCTTCAGTAGTCTTTGTGCTTCTCATCGGAGGAGGGACTAAATGTTTCAGATGTATCGTATGAGTAAGGCGATGCATCGTAGTTATCTATATTTTGTGTATTTAGCATGTGTAGTCTTCGTTATTCTATGGGTACAAGTTCAGGAGCTGGATCCAGCCAGTGCCATCCTGTTTGGAGGGTCACTTCTACACTTCCAGTCTGGGACACTCTGTGAGTACTCATGTGTTTTCTCAAGGTGTGCTTGGCTGCTTTTCAGTGTCTTCACTAACCTCTCCTGACCTCTCGCTTCTCACCCCACGGCCCGCTCCGTGCACAGGACCGGAACATTTGGAAAGAGTGAAATAAAAAGGGCAAGGGCTACTCGGTGTGTGCGTGAGATTCAGGAGGAAGAAGCCATGTCCCGTTCCACAGACTGAGCTGGACCTTACCCCCGGTCTGAACTCTCCAACCGCTCGGCTCCTCTTCTAAAGACGAGAGACAGCTTTAGCTAAACCCTGCTGTTGGTGAAAACGTACTTCAGTTTGACATAATTGCCTTAAAACTTGACATTTTTGGTCTTGTCCCATCTCCTTAAAAAACCTCATTAATCATGCAGATCCTCCTGGTGTCTCAATGATAATCACAGGATGTTTCCATGTTGCCTTTCACAAGCTTATCTGCTATAAATCCATCAGTGATCAGAATTTTCCACACTCGCTTTGATTGCATCACAGTTTGTCTTTATGAGATGGAGCTGCAGCTTTGATCTCTATCAGAGCAATAAGATTTCATCAACACGCCCATGAATCACAGGAGGATGGCTGAAATGAAAAAAGACGACGACGGAGTGAGGGAAGTTTTCTGTTTGCAGTCGACTGATACAAGCAGGGATAAGGAAGAGGAAAGTGATGGAAGACGCTGGCATCCATCCACTCCTCCCGGTTTTTAAACATGACCTGTGGGTGATCCTAGACTGGAGGAACTGGGGAGGCCTGAGGCTGCAGGTTCGTGTGTCACCGAGACAGTGTCAATACGCCGCAGCAGGGTGTGTGAGCATGTGTAACAGAGTGTTTCTGTGGCCAAAGACTTAAAAGTCTCTCTCTGTTTGCCCTTCATGCACAAGGTGTGTGTGTAGTCAGGGATCGAGCTTTTTCCTCTTCTTTTCTTTTGTTAGATCAAGTCAGATCAGAGCAGCTTTGAGGTTTGGCCGTTACTCACGCTACGGCAAATTGATTTCTGTCAGAGTTGTTTGATTACACCTTAACGCGCTCTTTCGTAAGGTACTTTTCAGCCGTTAAGCACCACCAAACAGACAAAACCGATTTGGGTTTTTCCATCTGATACAAATCAAGTTTTTTTTATACAAAGTTATAAGAAGTTCAGACATGACAGAAGATACACAGATGCTGGATTTTGTTCTTCAGGGCAGCACGACCCCTTACATCATACTCACCTCCTAAACTCAGGAGTCTGTCACTCCCACAGGTCTGAGTCAAGCTGCCCTCACATGTGTATCTTGTCAAATCAAACCAAATCTTCTCATTCATTCATTCATTCGGTGTGGACAAAGTTATTTTTTCTTAGTTTTCAGCCGGTTCAGGACCACTGCATGATTTAAAGCACAGGTTATGATGCTCTCCTCCACCTCCCAGCTGCTGCTGCTGCTGCTCCTCTCTCCTGCATGCTGGGGGTCAATATTGACCCAGGAATCGAAGCCACTTAATCAGGGTGCACAGATGGAGACAGACCTGCATCTCTATGGCATTCACTGAAACAAGAAAAGAGGACGGGGGGGGAAATCAGAATGTGTGAGAATGAAGAAAAATAAAACAGGCAAAATTCAAAAATAATACAATATGATAAACCATGAAGAGTCTCTTTGGACTTAAAAAAATCACACAGTTTGGTTTTAAAGTTAAAGAGGCCTCAGTCTTCTCTGTAGAGGTGACTTTGTTGTATTCCCATGCTCCTCATATGTCCTGTCTTTCGTCTGCTGTACGATCTAACAGGGTTAAAAAAACAACTTCTGTTATTAAAGCTACTGTAGGGAGTTTTTAAAAATGTCTGAAATAGACTGAAATTTATACTGAGTCTTTTTCATGGTAATCAAAAGAAAACAGGACCATCAGGTACAAGACTTTAAAAAAAAAAAAAAAAAAAAAAAAAAAAAAAATGTAAGGTATAATATTGTAAAATGAAAGCCTGACTATGTTTGTGAAAGAAAGAAGCCTTGCAATAAAGTAGTAAAAAAAAAAAAGGTACAAGACTGACTATGTTTAAACTGTTATTTTCAAAGTGTAAAACTGGTGCAAAATGAAGAAAAAGCCAGACTTTTACAGTTTTCAATTTTTTGTCACAAGAGACCACTTAAGTATGAAAAAGACACCTTAAGCACAGAATGCTTTGTCCACAGAGGGCGCCAAAATCAATATTAAGTGAAAGTTCCTCATTGGAGCTTTAACCTTTACATTGTGTTATTTTTCACTTTTTTTGTTGGGTTTTCAATCAATGATGGCAAAGTGTTTATAATAGTTGCACACACACAAATCGTTATGCTATAGATGGAGAGATTTTATCTGATCATGAAAAGCACTCATTAATACTGATGTCACTTCATGCTTTACAAAGGCAAAGAGACCATTTCCAACTCAAGAGTCCTGTATTTTTATCGTTAATCGCTGGGAAGATGTCAGACAAGACAATTTCAGGGAATTTACCAAAGCTGTTTTTTTTCCTCTCATCTTCCAAGGCAGAAATCCTTAATTTGTGATGCATTTAGCTGTTGAAAGATCTGACGGTGACAATGTTAGTGTAGAAGATTAATTTAGAGGGGGGTCCTGCTTGGCATCAAAGTCAGCACATTCCAAAAGTTACAGGAACCGTAAGAAATTCAAGAATAAGAAGATGATTGTTTTTTATCAATGAGGCTGATAATATTCCCACTGAGACATCAATTCCAGTTTATATGTCAGATTTGAGCCGTAATGAAACATCTTTTAGACACAGTTTGGAGACAAAACAGTTGACAGCAGCTTCACCGTCAAACAAATCGACTCAGGAAAAAGTTAATGAGCCAAACACGCACAGACGCAGTGATGCATGATGAGAAGATTACCGCAAAACAAAAAACGAGCTGTTTAGTCAATTTTAGCAGGAAGAGCGTTTGGTTAGGGTCAGGACCTTCGGGTTTCATCTTCCTGAAAGCACAAACATTATCCAAATTTACCCTTTAATGTGCAGATTATAAAAACGCTCTTAGTTTTTCCCTTAGTTATGTATTAGTGACTGTTTCACTGATGAACTCTGGATTTGCATGACTCTGACTGCAGCTCATGAGCTCCATGATGCTGAAGCTCTGTCTTGCAGTTCCATACCAGTGCTCCAGTTTGCATAGTTCTGTGTTAAAGTCATCTGAACAGAGGACTCCTGTGGTCTGAGGGAGAAAAAGTAAGGCCTGTGAGGCTGTGGCTTCCTCAGGTTGGACTCACTGCTGACACCTAGTGAGCAGAAACGAGGCAAACGTCTGTAAAGATCATGCAGGTAAGACTGAACATCTCAGGCAAAACCGCTGTTGTCTTTCGTCCTTATTCGAGGGCTTTATTGCATTTGCTGCGCGGCACACAGCTTACATTGTTCAAACACACATCCTCACACTGCGTCACCTCTGACCTTGTTGTGCGCAGACAAACTGTGCCAGCTCCATGGAAGGTGTGTCAGTGTGCAATAAATCTCCTGAGAACAGAACAAGAGAGAATCGGATCAGAGCCGTTAGCTGCTGTACTCAGCGGGAAGTCAAACACACGCCTACAAGGAAGAGTTTGTGATGAATTACGGCATGATAAGTCTCTTTATTTAGCATTTAGAAAGGAGACTGGAATGTTGTTATCTGATATTTACTTTGTTCCAGGTGAAACAAAAGCTCGGTGAACTCATTGTGCTCTAGATTGAAAAAATCCTTGCAAATTGGGGTCATTTTTTGACATGTAGAGTGGACCCCCAGCTTGGGACGTGACCTTTTACCATTTCATATTGACCAGAACTTAAAAACTGTTATTGTTTTAAGCTTTTATATAATGTAAAGTGGCAGCAAAGTTTAGTAAATACACTAAAATAAATAATAATGTATCTCAGAAACTCAGTTTTTGATTGTGCCTAATCGTCCTCAAAGGGCTGATACAGATAGCTTGCTAGCAGTCCGCTACTTCTTCTTCATCTACTACTTTGTTAAAAGAGACGAGGTAACCATTAAGAAGGACCATTGTTATGACTTTATGTGCTTATTCTAGCATGATATCAATATTTTAATGTATTGAAAACAGTGACCCTCAATATTGGTACATTGAAACATCCCTATATAAATCCTATTGAGACAAACTAAGTATAAGAATTTAAAAGTCTCTCTAATACAGATTAAGTAAGAGATCTGAATCACAGCATATTTATATCTTTTAGCAACAAAACCAGATCAAGCCTGTAGAAAAGACTGAATTATTGATATTTTATTCAGAGTACACAACAAACAAATACACAAGACAAAATCTGCGAGGAGAAGAGTTACAACTTCGTCGTCACAGGGAATGCCACAAATTCAACACAAACTAAATGTTCCTCAGAGGATCTTTAACAAATCTTTAAAAAGTGACTTCTAGTGACGGCTTTTTGGTTCAGAAATTTCATTTAACTTTAACTTTGTGTTCTGCAGACACATATATGACATCACTGCGGTTATCTCTTAAAGGTGTGCCAATAAAACACTCCTGACTGATACCTCTGCAAATGACCTGATCAGTCAGAGTTCACTGATCCATAATGAGCTTTTTGATTCTCTTCTAACCAAGTTATTCGTTTATTTAGGTCAGGTGATGCCACTTTTCAAGTGCAGATCACTGCTTTTATATGGTTTGTTAGGTAAAGTATAAATGTGTGATATTTTAAGTGATAGTTACATGTATGTTTGGTAGTTAAATTATTCATCTCTGATTAACTGTCAGACCTGTTTTGTGGAATAATGCACTTTAAATACACCTGCAGTGCTACGAGTTTACTCAATAAAGAGGAACTGGCTTTTTTTTCCCCATTTAAATAAAACTTCGAGTTTATTCTTATAGATCGATGCCAGTATTGATAGACGACTGATTGGATCCCTCAGGGGCCAAGGTGTACCCATGTGACGTGACCCCCCACCCTCCATGTCTCCATGTGTTTTTCTTTCTCCTTGTCTGCGCACTTAAAGATTCAGAAGTAATTACCTGCTCGGCTTCCTCTGCGATTAAACGGCAGGTTCACAGCAGCCTGATTAATGCAGAGGCATGCACACCTGCCGTTAACAGTCAGAGCGAGGTGGAACGTTCTGAGAGAGAGCTGCAGAACAAACACGCTGACTGTCAGCGCCTGCATCACACACTGTTTCACAACACCACAGCAAAATGTACACATCTAGATATTAACTTTTCATAACTAGATTTTTTAATGATCGTTTTAAATCAAGAGGGTTAAGTTCAGCTAATAAATAATAAAAGGTAATTCCTGGTTTAACAAATGTTTTAAGGGATAGAAAGTGGTTCAAATGTTATTCCACCTCATTTCAGAAGCACATACAAAATAATACGTTCAATTATAATACAAACCTAAAACTCTCTCTCTATTAGATATTTACTTTTAATAAATGAATGAACATTTGTGACACCAAACTGTCAGAAGTTATTTTTCACATTGTTAATCTCTCTGTAAAAAAGGAGTGGTTGTGGCCCAGAGGTAGAAGGTTTGATTCCCGGTCCTGTGCCAGAAGTCTGTGAATGGGTTTAGTTAAGTGTAGCAGCCTCTGCCGTCAGTGTGTTAATGAATGAGTGAATGAATGTGTGGTGGGGAGATTTAATAAAGCACAAATAAATAAACACAATCCTTTTAAAACTTCTGTATTGTCTCTTGAACACTGGTGTTAAATTTTGGGCGACTTTTAAATGCTCTCAAACCAGCTTTTAAAGTTTGTTTCTGGTGCTTTTTGACTCGTTCTGTCATTTTAAATCGATAATATGGTGATACACAAGCTGTAAAGCCAGCCTATATAACTAGAATAAATGTTTCGAATCATACGCACAGACATTTTAAGATATTTGTGTTTATTATGTTTTGTTAATACTACATGAGCTCCAGTTAAAGCTCAGGGAAGTTTTCACTGCGGTTGCGCCGAACTGTCATAAACAAACCCACCTTTAAAAACCAAAGTGAGCTGTTACAAGGTTGTTCAAATCCATCTCCTCCTCTTCAAAAAGATATTTTAAAGACACTTAAATTTATGATAGAAATCTGCTCTCTGTCCCTCCACTATCTGACACCCATAGATTTTTATTTTGGTCATAAACATACCAATAACATGAAAATGTGACAGTAGCAACAATGACCTTTAGTGTCCATTTATTTGCCTGCTGTTGACAAATGCAGTAGCAGGTTATCTGCCGGAGTCTGTGAGCTCTTTTTATTTCTTTTTTTGTTAACAGTTAATGTGTAACCGGCCGAGCCAGGAATCAGCACATTTCCTTTTACCTCATACTGCGATCGATGTTGGTGTGGCCGCGCAGCTTTGGAGCTAAATGGAAGCATTGTCAGGAGAGCTGAGGAAGTTTATAACCGGGGAAATACTTCAGTTTGCAGTCACAGTAACCTGATCAGAAAGATATACTCAAAAACTGATCCAAATTTTCAATCAATTAAGACACGATCGCCTCTCAGCCCAGACATAAACATATCAGGGGTCACCTTGTAAGGATAAGCTCAGATCTTTCCATAGGTGCAAACCGGTTTTTAGAGCAAACATGCACTTTGATAGGAGAGGCCTCCAAGGATCTTCTCCGAACCCACTTTGCTTATTTAAGTCAGTTTTTGAACAATTAACACCCTGGCTCTGTGCCACCTAATGTGCAACCAGAGTTATCGATTATTTCATGAGTAAAGAGAAAGACTTCACACTCAGTCAACTGTAGCGCCTGCCTTGTCCTCCTGTGACTGTCTCGAGCACCTACTTTGTTTAGTCATCGGACATGACTCACTTTGCAGGTGAACTAAAACCTCTGTGTCCTGTTTATGTTACCAAATCTGGGTGAGGATATGTGGTCGACTTTGGTGGTCCTAAAGTGGTGATGGCACCCGAGAAACTCCCAAGACAGTTAAAGGAAAATAAGGCAGAAATTAACCTGAAACCCATCGCATAGCAAGTATCTAACATTTGCAGGAGCTGATGGGTTTTGTAGGTATTTTGCCCCCAGAGATCGTCTCTGTCAAATGCTGCGATGACAAATCACTCAAGACAACAGATTTCAAGAGGTGCTAGAGGTGATTCATCATCTGGTAACCTTGAATGTCCTCCAAAAATCATGACAATCCATCAATTAGATGCTCAAATACTGCAGTGAAAAGTGGGAAATTTGTTGCGACGGAAACAGTCACAGAACCTCCCAATTCATTAGGATTCATCATCTGGGGACCATGATCGTGAATAATAGATTTCACAGCATTTAACCCAACACATGTAAAGACACTGAATTGAAATTCGAAAATATCGATCTCCTGTTGGACATGAAGAAAAAATTAAGTCTACATGAGGATTAAGAGGGTTCATCCTCTGCAGCATGGCAGGGACTGTACCTCTGGTCAGTTGAGACTTCCATTATGCCCTAATAATCCGTTCTGACTGATTTTTGCGTGTTTTCCTTCCAGCGTCTTAATTAATGTTTCAACAACAAGGGGATTAGTCCCTTCAGACCATCCCTAATCCAGTCTAACATGACTACATCTAATAGTGTTTCATGACTCTGACTATAAGAAGTCTGAATTTTTTGTCAAGGTTCAAAAATCTCATTTGCTTCAAAAAGAAATCACTCAAGCTCGGCACACGTTGCTTCCTTTTGAAGAGCGGGGCAGCAGATTTGATTTTTCACTCAGATTCTCTCTCAGAAACCCATTTTCCGAGGCCGCCGACTCCCCCCACCGCTTCCCTCCCACCATCGCTCCACCGGTGGACTCTGGCCCTCTGTCTCCACGCTCCTCTGCTCATCCCTAAAATTAATTCATCCGCACATCTCTGTCCCTCCAACACCACATTAACCCCGACCACAGGAGGCATCCTGTTGGAAAAAAATGTCCCTCTCTTTGCTTCGCGGTGAAACATCAGTTTGACCTTTCCACCTCGGGCCTTCGCTCGACTCTTTTCCCACCCTGACGCTCAGATTCTTCGTCGGTTCATCATTTCTACATTTAGATTTCATTTTTTTATACTCACATCTCTTAGAGGTTTTAATCAGATCTAAATCAAGTATCTTGGAGTCGAAATTCTGCGTCTATATGAAAATTAACAGAAAACTAGGCTTTCCCGCTTTTACAATCTGTAAATGTATTTTGGAAGAAGACTCATTTGGAGGGTCACGCCACACTGGCTGCTTTCTGGAGGACAGAGAAACTGTAATTGGGGGCCATTAGCTGTTGCCCAAGACCAGTCATGCAGAGTGGGTTTGTAGATTGAGACATGGTGGTTGCACAGTCCCACACTGCCTGCATCAGTGTCCCCTACCTGTGCGACTTCCCGAACTCCCACCCCCCACTGACCTCCCTGACCAAACCCCTGCATGACCCCCTCAGACACACATACCCACACCCGTGTCCTTTGGCTTTTTGCATTGTCTTCAAACAGACCTTGAATAAAGTCAGGGCCAGCAAGATCCAACAGCAATCAAATAAAAAAGTCACTTTTATAACAGCTTTAAAATTCAGGCAGGGCAATCCACAGCCATCAGTTACCTGTCTGACAGCACCTGCACTGCTCTGCTGTGAACTGGATCAACTCCAGCTGACCCCCGAAAACCTGGACTGAGACCACAGCTGTGGAAAATGAGGCTAAGCTGAAACATCCAGAGTTAAAGTAAGCCTAAGACAAATTCAGGCACCTGCAGACTCTTTAAATTTTTCGAAGAGAAACTCACATAAACTTAACAAGACAAAACTCAAAAAGCTGAGCCACACTAAATCTGACAAAAAGCCAAATTCTGATCAAGATTGGCAAAAATGAGAGTGCTAAACCAAACTAAACTAATTTAAAAATGTAATTTAACTACTGTCAGTTAAAGTAGACTTGACTTAAGGAGAATAAACTGATTTAAAGTGAACTATACTAAACTAAACTTAACTTGTCAAAACAAAACTACTGTAAACTAAACTAAAACAGGTTTTACTTTAAACTAAAGTAGGTTTTTACATAAATTAAACCAGGAAACTAGACAATTTTGACATATCTGAATGTAACTAAAGGTGGAACTAGACTTAACCAGTCTTACAACTAGACTTGACTAGACCGCGCTCCACTGACCTAAACTAGACACAATTTCACTTAACTTAACTAAACTAGACTTAGCTAAACTCTATTTAACTTAACTATTCTACTACCGTAATTAATCCAAACTGACTTAATCTAAACTGTACTTGACGAAGCCTCAGTAACTAAACTTAGCTACACTAGACTAGACTGATCGAACTAAACCAAACAAAATCAACCTTTTCAACCTTCTACTCTACTACACTCTTTTAACTACATACAACCAAACAATACTGAACCAAATTTAACTAATCTAAAATTACTTAAACCAAACCAAACATCATAATTTACACCACTTTACATGACACCAAACTATAAATAATTTGGTAAAGCAGACTAAACTAGACTCAATGAAACTTAACTTGATTAAACACAGCTCAACTCAGCTCATATACAGTAAACTAAACTCAATTTACACTAAGCTCAAAACTAATAGAATAAACAAGACCCATTAAACTTAAGAGATGTAACCAAGTGTTTAAACTACACAAACCAAAACCTATCTGAGCTACACTAAATCTAAGAAAATCAAACTCTACAACATATCACTCAACTAAACCTAATGTAACGTAATCAATCACTTCACTGACTTTTATACAATCAAGTCATTTTAGTGAGTCACAGTGAAAATGTATTAAAAGAGATGTTTTCCTCTAAGGTGATGATTTGGCTCACAAAATTGTTTATCCATTAAATTCTTTCACTCTGAAGATGTTAATAAAAGGACAAACTGTGATGTGCACTTCTTCTATTTTGAAGCCCCCCTGCAGCCACAGAGCCAAATCAGTGAAGCCAGAGTTTCACAGTCCCTCTCATAAAGAGTTGCCCTGCTTTATGACCCCATTGCTCAACATCACATGCCTCAGAGTGCAGGGATATGATCTGAGATAAGGCAAGAAAAGTACCGAAACAAGTCTCACCCTCCTGCTTCCTTACGCTGCTCACTCAGGTACGAGCGCAGGATGGGGAACATGGAGAGGTTTGATTTTCAGACTGTCGTGCCGAAGACAAGAAACAAATCATCTGATTCAAAGAGAGTCTTGTGTCTCGTCTTTTCTTTACATAGAGAGCAAAGTCGTCTTAAACCGTGGTTAAGTCTTTCAAAGATATCAAAGAACCACTTAGATACCCCTATTGCATACAAGTTTTATAAATCATGTCTTTATGATAAGCTGATTACCTTATCCTTGACAGCAGCGCACAGCGAGGGCAGTAAAGTTGCGGGATTACGAGGTGATGGTCCATAAAGGGTTTGGCTCTGATAAGGTTCTTAGTGGGGGTGAGAGACGAGGCTGGTGACTTTAGGTCAACTAAAACCAGGTTTTCAGCCTGACCCTGGGGCTGCCTCTGCCACACAAAAAACACCTCAAAAAAGGAGTTACACTATTTTTTCAATAATGGATACTGAAGTTTGCACATCTACAGAGCAGACTTTAAGTTTTCCTGAAGTTTCTGCACAGACAAGGTTGTAAAAATAAAGCGGCCCATGAAAGGCTGCCAATTCGACCTTTAACCTGCTCCACACTTACTCATACAGGATGTTTGCTGTGTTATGGTGACTTTAAAACAGAGCGTCATGTTCCAGTTTGTGTAACTGTTTTGTTTCTGTTTGCATCAAAACCAAGTCTGCCATCATTCCTGCGATTTAGATCAGTCTGATGAGTTTTATGTCTGCGCTGTTACGCCAATGAAATGCCTCCCCTGCTGGCGTCCTCCTCTCTAATCTCCTGAATGGCTCTATTAATGAGCCTAATGGCATATGAGCGATACCACACCTGGGTGAAACTGTGCGGGGTGACTGCTTCAGCAACTGCTTCCCGTATTGCAATGCAAACCTTCATGGCTGCACTCCTCGTTCTGAGGGAAACCATTAGAACAAACTGCTGCCATGTGCAGCAAAGCAGACCGGACGCCATCATTTATGAAGCAAATCACCTCTGGGTGCCCTGAGCAAGGACAAAGCACGTACTGTCAGCATGCGAAAATTCACGCAGAAAATAATCCTGAATTTCTGGAAAATGAGAAATAAATAAATCACATTTTTATAATTCATGTCATGTCAAAACAACAGCAGACCTCCAAGTTTGAGGATTTTTTTTCTTTTACTGATAATATTTAATATCCTGATACTCTGAATACACAGTATACAGAGTTTATGGCGCAAAATGAGCCTTTAAATCAGCTTTAAAAAAACCCCTTCTAATCACAAAGTCACACTACATCCATAAACTTTAATGCAAGAGCCTAATTTAGATGTTATTATATCTCTTTATTTGTATTTGTAAACTTTTACATCATTGTGTTAACTTGGGAGAAATGGTTTTGTACAACTTGAAGAGTATTGAGAGGTATTCGGCTTTTTCTACAAAAATTAAAATGTGAAATCAATTATTAATGAAGTATTTTTACACATAGTAATAGTCCATCAATTTCATTGTACATGTAATGTAGTTAAAATTCCCCGGAAAAAGTCAACGCTTAATCATATCTATTTTGAACTTTTAGCTGAGTTTCATATCTAAGCTTTTAGTCATAATTACTGAATTACTTTTTTATTATTTCACCCACAGATCATAATTTATTCATCAGAAAGCAGTAGAAGAAGGATTTAAATCCGAACACTTACACAACCAACTTTAAAACTGAAAAATCCGTCAAAAAGACAAATGTCTCCCTCTTGTGGTCAAACTGGGGAACTGCAAAAAATTTCAGCATCACACCAGGAACCCCAAACAGAAAAAGTAGTGACAAAAGAAACGTTTTAAAAGTCTTTAGTACAGTGGCTCTATTAAAAAAGCCAACAGGTTTCAGCCACAGAGGCCTTCATCAGGGTTTACAAACATTTGTGGTGAGTTTATAGTGGGAACTCAAACAAATCACTATGGGGACAAACCGGATGAGAGTCCTCAAAGATGGTCTCCAAATACACCCCTGCAAGGTGCCCTCACTCATATACCAGCTACACTCAATCAGATGCAATTACATGCATGAGAAAAAGACTCAGCAGCTGATACGAAATGTCAGCTGTGGACCTGATTTTGCCTTGTTTGTATTTCTAACTCAATGAATAAATAAATAAAACCTCACCGTTTTCTGTAAACACTGAAATGTGTGACTCATTGTGAATATTTGAAAGGCTGTTTTTTCAACAGGCTGTCGAGTGTCTGTTCTGAGAGCTGACCCCTCACACAGGCTTCAGACATTAAAATCTACCTTTCATAGATGGTCCTGTTTGCTTTTATTTTGCTTTAAATTTGCATTTCACTGACAGTTACAAACTCCTCACAGGACTTTAGATATGAAATAAAGATATATGAGTGAAGTTAAAGGACTTTCTTAAATCCTACTGAGATCCAGCAGTGCTGTGTTCGTACTTCTACTGGGGCAAATATCTAAATATTTCCTCCAGGACTGCTATAAACATTAAACTTCTAAAATATTCACTGAGCTTATTCTGCCTGGTTTATAACAGAGAGACCAGGGGATCTAGTTCCTCTGGTTATGTCTATGAATATCTCTTTGTCCTCTGAAAAACCTTGGAACACGGAGCCTAAAGAAAAATGTTGACAAGCCAGAGTATGTGGAGGCAGCTTTTAGAGTATCTGACTCTAATGGAAATGAAAATAGACCAAAGACTACAGTGAATATGTTTCCTCTATCACAGCCACAACTCAGCCGCAGAGTTTTTTTTCCCTTTACAGGATTTGCATGTTTTGTTGCATTGAATAAGAATAATAAAAAAAAGACACGCACGCCAACCTACACACCCTGTCTTTTCAGCCCACATGTCCAGCTGCTGCCATTAACATATTCATGTGGCCCCGTTTTTCATCATCACCCCTGATGTTTAAGGCTTAGTCATTTGCTTCCTTGTTAAGTCCACCCACTGGCCATGTCACAGTCTGCAGGCATCTGCAGAGCACAAACATTCACCACGTCAATGGGAGCCAAGCTCTCCAAACTGAAGAGTTCAGGATATTTTAAGACCCAACCAAAAAAAACAAAAAAAGAGAACTGTCTGTTTTGGTGCCGTTTATGTTATTCATTATGCTTAATAGAAGGGCGGCCATGTGAGGAGCTGAACTGAGAGCAAAAAGGACTAAAAATAGGACACTTGAAAGATCTAGATTTGATTATTTTGTGTCTCGTTCTAAAGGGAACAGATGGGACGCTTGATTTGGTTTCATACAAGACCACTTTTTGGGTGTATCAGCTGGGTTTGTAACATTTAACCGACAAAAATGTATTTAAAGCAGGAGAGGTTAAATTCATTGTCCTGTCGTTTATCTGCTGTCTGCATGTGAATGTGCTCTGGCCTTGAATTACAGTTCTGTGTGGGAGGATGTTTGTGTGCAGCTAAAGACAACAGTATGAAAGACGTGCAGGTGAAGCAGGAGCGCGCAGGGAAAAAACACGAATGTAAAACCGCTGCACAAAACCTCTGACGCACTGGTGTCTCGGTAAAGGTGACTTCAATTGAGATTATAATGAGCACTGCAGCGGTGAAACATCCCTGCCTTGCTCAGTTGCTCACTGTATTCGAACCTAACCACGTCCTACTACATCCATGATCATCTCTGAGCCAGCTTTTTTCAATATTTACTCTAAGTGATCCAGTTAACTCCAGAGGGTGTCTTATTTCCCCCACTTAGACCTCGGTCTGTCTCCAGAAATTATTTATCAGTCACTTGTCCTTCAATTTGTCCGCTTCCTCGGCTTCACTTGCCCCGAGCGCTCGTGTTTCTGCAGATTCCCACTTCCAGACGTCACGTAACTTCAACACAAACTGAAAACATTACACAAGCGACACCCAATACTCCTGCTGCTTGAGTTAATAAGAGAACAACTGTCAACCAGGAGCAGAGCCAAGGAATTTGTTGGAGGGAGCTGTGGTTCAAGGGAAAACCACCAAGAAAATCAGATGTAGTTGAAGTCCTGTGGAACACTGAAATACCCTGAACTTGGTGTAAAATCCAGACATGTTTAATTTTGCACTTTTGAACAAAAACTTACTACATGTGGAAAAAGTTCATAACTACTGAAAGACTACAGCACCCCAAGAGTGCCCCTGTCTTTAACACACTGGCTTCAAGAACCTGAGAAAAATGTTGGAGCTTTTATTTTCAGCTCCAGTGAGGAGTTTTTTTATGTTTATGTAACAGACAGAAATTCATATGGAGGTATATTCTGTGTAATAGATTTCTAAAGTTTGTCCAAAACTCCATAGGGATTGCTGGAGGAAGCTGGATTTATGACCTTTACTGCAGCCCGTCACCAGAGGGTGCTGTTCTCGGAGTGGCTTCACCCAGCAAGGAAGCAGACGGCTTCCATTGTACATACAGTCTATGCCAAAAACTTATTGTCCCTTTGCTCAATGGAGCTAAAATAAAACAGGTACCTTATCCGCTTCATAGGTGGCGTTCAAGGTCTCTCCCAGTCCAGGCCCCTCGCGGCGGAAAGGTCCGGTCCTCACGGTCAGCCGCAAACATCTGTCCTCCTCACCAGAGAAACACCCAGCTCTGCAGGTTCACAGGACACACCATCCCCTTGTCTTCCCGGCAGCAGCGAGAACTCAAAACTCCAGCCTCGCGAGGCTGTAAGCTAAAGGCTAACGTCCGTTAGTCAGGCTAACAAACAGGAAAAACACTGCAAACATGCGAATCTGGACTATAAAATAGCGTCGGGCCGACGTTCAGGCGTACTCTTCTGTGTTAAGAAGTCTCAGTTCTCTAATTGACAACTTTTAACAGTCTGAATAACATACAAAAGTTAGTTTCTTAACTGGTTTCTGTGCTAATCCTCCTGCTGTCGCTTTTGATTTCACTCTCTTCCTGTGTCTCTCTCCCTCTCTTTTTCTCTCCTGCCTCACGCTTCGCTCCCTCTGCCCTGCCACTTGCTCCCCCTGCTGGTCAATACCGCAAACAACCTATCAGGGTATTTAAAGGGATATTCCGACGTTAAATTAAATTAAGGTCAAACAGCGTAACACCGAGTAAGACACCCCCTTGAGAGATGAATGTTGCTGACTACTTGCTTCTCTAGTTATACCAACTATAGTAACGACTACACGATAGCAATACACAGCGGTCTAAGGAGCCATAAACAAACCTCAACCAAAACGCCACTCTTTAGCCACAAATAATGCCCAGAACAGCACCTAACTTCATCAACAGTACATATAGGGTCCCAGCACAGCACTACCCACCAAACTTTAACTTTTCCTAATTTCTTTAACAAAGAGACTAAACACAACTCACCTACTCTCTTCCAGCAGCCACTTGTTTGTAGTGAGACCTCAGGCCAGTCCATTACGGACTGCTGCTGTGGGACGCAGCTCAAGGAAGAACAATTATGATCATTTCTTTATCATTTCCCTAAAGTAATAATCATCATATTAATCATTTTGCACTGCAGACACGGTAGTTCTTCTGCCTTTGCGTCTCGGTTTGATTGCATTTCCATAAAGAAATGATCATAATTAGGCAAAGTTAAAAAGATGTTTGGTAGCTAGTAAAAAGCCAGGTTAGCGTCTCAAATATTGGTTACTGTACATCTGATAACTTTTGTTATGAGTCAGAAAACTTTAAGTGTAAGTTTTTATTTCACTGAGCTCTGAAAGTATTTGCTTATTACTAAAATCGAATCATGGCAGATTGTGAGGAATTTTAACCAAGAGCAGCTCTGAATGGGAAACAAAATAAGTGAATTAAAAGGGATCCGGTACTGTAACTTTAAAGCTAAAACTCTCATATTACTCATTTGGATGTTGGTGATAGTTCTTGTTTCTAAAGGTTTTGATTCTGCTGTTTATGCTGGGGGTTATCTTTACAGAAGGTGGATTAAAAATATAAACTAGATAAAGACATGTTGGATGATGTAAATTCAGAGACTATTCATTGAGTCTGAGCATTTAGAAATCCTGTATGAAATCTCTTTGCACTTTGCCTCTCTGACGTGGCACAAATAAATTATCAGTTTGAAAGAGAGGGTTTTGAGCGGCGACTGATGTCACAGTTGCGTGGTTTGAGCTCTTCATCTCTAAAAAGGTCTTGTTACCAAGGACCATTTTTCACTGGAGCCCAATGGAGCTTTAGTTCCTGAGTGAACACATCAGACTCTTAACACACTCAGTGGAGATTTAAGGCCACATATTAAACTGGACATACTCATATTTCCCTTCAGATAGCTCTCTTATGTTTTGTGGCTGTTCAGTATTTGCATATCAGCACACAGTTGTTGCATCCGGTGATGTTTATAAGACAAAATAAGAGGCCACAGAGTAATAAGTCAACAATTAGTTTTTATTTTATCGAGTTTGAACAGTTTTGGTTCTGTAGCAACCTACTGAATGTTTCTTATGAAGTGCAATTGTACTCAAGCCGGTTACAGTTGAGAGCAATGACAGGCACACATTTTGTGCAAATTTAACAGCATCGGAACGGCTCTTACATATACACAGCAAAAATACATGCCAGAGGAAAACAAAACTCAAACCAGTTTACATTGACAATAGTTAGGAAGACTTCCCCACAAAAACAATGTAAATCCAAGAGACACACATTTCACCGTTGGTGGATCATGGGAGAGAAAATCTTACTTAGTCTCAAGCGATAGATGGATAGTGTTAACCAGCTGTCAAATACCCTCCAGAGAACACGTTTCATCCAAATTAAATGTCGTGCAATGCTGTTTTAAAACCGACAGAACAAAATGCAAACCCAAAACAAGTGTGCTGGACAAAAAGTACAACTGTGCAGTTTCTCGGGGAGTCCTGGCTATACTTTTTTCCATGTCTGGCAGTACACAAGCAATACTAAAACAAAAGCTGGTGGGGAACACAAGACGACACAACCACCTGAAACACATGGGTGTTTTTAGCCGTAGAAGAGCTGACTGCAGATTTTTTGTTTTTTATCACTTTCTTGAATGCTGCTTCATAGCAATTCATGGGACAACACACCACATCATTTCAGTCAAGTATGTACACACTCAAAAGTTCACTAACTCAGCTTAAGAAGATGTTTTGTTCATGTGCGACGACTGTTAAAGAAATGATGGGGAATCCTCCAAACATGCAAAACACAGAATTCTGAGGCTGAAAACCAGGAAGGTGAGCAGATTCTGGTAGCCAGTCTGTGGTGTTTTAGATACAGGCTAATGTGTGGGTGTGTGAGTGTGTGTGAGCTCTGTGTCCCATCGTCCTTCACAGTGAAAATTCTAAAGCAGACAAACTAAAACCTCCTTTCGAAATGACTGCACTGTCTTGTGTTGGTTCCAAAATGTCAAGCGTGGCAATTGTCCTGACATCTTTTTCTGACTGCGGCTGCTAAAATTCCACATTTCCGCTTGGCAACACTGTTAATGGAAAACATTAAAGGTTTTGCATTTGCATTTACAACCGACAAATTTTCTCGAAACTAGCAAGACGGGGTAATAAAGGGATCTCATGCAGTATGTACTTTTGAAGACCACAGAAGGCCGTGAAGTAACTCTTACAACTGTTTTGCCCCTTTTTACTGACTTCTTTACATGATCGGCGTTAAAGTCGCGGTGGATTGTTAAACTGGTGCGAGCAGGACAGTTTTACCATCTAAACTGGCAGATGGGTTCTCGTAACAGGGCTTGCGATGCCATTTGTGAAGGAAAGCAAATGCACCACTACATTCTACAGCTTTCCTTTAATATACAATCAAGGGCCACTTTGAAATCTTTTACAACCTAGAATTCAAACAGCATCAACAAAAACTACTTCAGTTGCATTCAAATGGCAACTACTGAAAAGAAAACTTACTGTAACATACATATTTAATAGTGTATAGTCCATGCAAATGCGCACGGCCGGTTTTGCATCGTTATGGTATGTCATTATTAGTGTATGGGAGACATCAGCCACCAGTGCATTTCCGATTTAGTTTCAGGGAGAAAAACTCCTCAGCAACAATCGGAAAACTTCTCAGCCAGACTTGAAGAGCAAGATGGCCACTTGGCCCAAATAGAAGTAAATGAAGTGCTTTGTCTCGTGGGTGACGTAGCTGCCAAAGTTCCTCCCGACGATGCAGTGCCAGGTCGGGTTATACTTCTTATCAAATTCCTGAAAACATCACACAAAAAATAATCATTAGTATACAGCCATTTAAAAACCAAGGTCTAGAAACAGAACCAAGTCCTGTCTCAAATATCTGAAGTTTACCAGCTTCTATGGAGGAATTTCTGTATCATAGGGAACTACAACTTTCCAAGTTGAAATATTAAAGCTGCCTATTCTATCCAATCAAGAGACATAAACACCAAAACCTTTCACAAGAAAATCAATGCGCAGCTTAAAAATTAAAAGGCCTTCACCAGTAAAATTTTAACTTCAAAAGATATCATTGAAAGAAATTGTTTATTTATTAAAAAATCATATTCCAGCTAAGATGATTTCTGAGTTTGACTCACTAAATATAAACTAGCAACAACTTCCAAGGAAAAAATAAACTTTAATACCTGCTACTTTATTTTTCAAAATTTATTCTGCACATCAATTCTCTGCTCTATATCGTCGTAACATCTTAGCTTTGGAAAGCACTTTGGCTATGTTCACACTGCGGGTCAATTCCGATTTTTTAACCATATGTGACACATATCTGATTTTTTCATGTCAGTGTGAACGGTGCAATTCAGATTTTTTCAAATCCGACCCAGGCCTCTTTTGTATGTGGATATAAATCGGATATGTATCCGATGTGACTGCAGTGTGGACGCTCAGGTCGCGTTCATCCGACCTATACGTCATCAATATGCGACAAACGTCACCATTGTTCGACAAAACAAACAGGCGCGGAAAGCAATTTAGGCTTTATTCGCATGCGGGTCACTTCACGGACGCATTCCATTCACATTAGATGCCACATTTGTTGTTGTGATGTGAACAGCCGCACAAAAAGATCGGATTTAACAAAAAATCTGAATTGTGCATCATAACCTGCAGTGTGAACGTAGCATTTGAGTCAGTCCCCCAGGAAGGGTCAGTCATATAAACTTTAGCTATTTCATAAAGCCAGAGCCGGCCTAAGGCATAAGCGAACTAAGCGCCTGCTTAGGGCCCTACGGCCAATAGGGGGCCCCCAAGAGCAATAAAAAAAAAAAAAAAAACTTTTTTTTTATTATTTTTATTTTTTGCATGTATGAGTGATGCTTTCTGTATGATCAAATATATAATTGTAAGAAAAAAAATAATTAAATAAAGTAAAAAAAATGTAGTGCTGCTGATGTAGGCCTATGATTCTTACTGCCAATATGTCAAAGCTCTGCTACCATTATGTGTCTTTTGCTGTGCAATGTGCACTGAGCATCCAAAGCACAGGTAGTTGTGGGGCAAAACAATGTTGCAAAAAGGGACATATCCGAGAAAGAAGACAAAAAACGCCAAGATAAAAGGTATGTTTGCATGTCACGGAATGTTAATCAAAGAGATTTGTGAAGGTGTGTGAATCATAGGCTGTATATAGAATGGACAGCGTCTGCCACCTCACTGGGTGAAGCCACTCTGAGAACAGCACCCTCTGGTGACGGGCTGCAGTATAGGTCATAAATCCCACCTCTGCCAGCAAAGCTTATCGAGTTGTGGACAAACAAATTGATTGCACAGAACATAAATTTTTCTTCCCCCTGCTTGCGATGTGGACATGTAGTTACAGTAAGACTGGTTTATGCTCAAGTCCTCTTTCTTCTGTGAAGCTCCGTTTTTAAAAGTTATTAGGGGGTTCATGTTTTCTTTGATTGACACTTGATACAGCCTATTGGCATTCAGGGATGCGTAGCTCACCCTGGCGATACGCCGTTTGAGCCGAGCGTCATCACAGCGACTCTCCTGCCGACTGCGCACAACACTACTGCGCAGCGCTGGTTTCGGGAAATGAAGAAAAATCCCGAGAGCTGTTCGGCTTCAAATCCGTATACAGGCGGGAGGCAGAACCAAGTTGTCCATAGTATATACAGCCTATGGTGTGAATGCTCAACAATCAATACTATTGGCAGAAATAGAGGGTCCTAGGCAAAATCAAATTTTGCTTAAGGCCCCACTGAGGCTTGGGAATAAAGCTCATCATTTAAGGAGATCAATTCACTCAAATGAGGAAAAACTGCTCAGAGTAAATTTTGTTTGTAAGTACAGAGCTTTTTGGTGGGATTGGGTAACTTTTATAGACCTTGTCTCTGTGATGAAAATAAATTCAAGGCTGCTGCTCTGACCACGAGAGCTACAACTGACCAGAAATAGACACCAGAGTGAAAAGAGGCTAAACTTGCTGATCATGGGTCAGGGATATTGAGCTCTCCGTGCACCCCTCACCTTCTTGATGTAGGCTGCGATGTCTTTCTCTATGTTGTACTTCTCCATGGCCTGGGTGGCACAGTCCACCGCGTCCTGCTGCATGTCCTCGGACATGTCTGCGTTCTTGATCACTGCTTTCCTGTCAGTCATGGTTGGAGGATGACGGTGGTGTCGGCTGAGGATGAAAAAGGGAGCACGTTCACTCAAACCTACTGCACTGAAAATTAACACCGCACGTGGTTGATGATGGGGACGGTTTAGGCCAGCCGGATCCTCGCTAAAAAAAAATCAGTCATACGCAGAAAACTGGCCACTTGGCACCGTGCTTTTCCCTCATTCACTCGGGTTCATAACCTCACCTAACGCTGGTGTATTTCTATCAATACCTTCGTCAACACCATGACTTGAGCGGTGCATAGATTGGCTGCGAAACTTGATACAGGTGGAGTTAAATTACTTGGCAAAATCACTTTCAGATGAAAGCAGCTGCTGCAGAGGAGCAAAAGTGTCAAAGTGTATGCAGTAAATTATCCTCTCAGGCAGCTGTCACTCACCTTTACGCACTAAAATATAGAGTAATTACGCAACAACATACACGAGAAACTCGAATCTGTAATGTCAAGAAATGCAAGTCAGATCTTTCACATATGTAAAAATGATGAACTCACCTTTTTAGAGACGGACGATGACTGTTTTTCCAGAAATTGTGCACTTCACACAGCCAATGTGTGGACACGGAGTAAAGGTTTGATGATGATGCGGCTAATTGCTTTTTAAAGATTTACACAATAAGCATGTAGGTAGGTTGGCTCTCTGCTGTGCTGCTCCCGAAATGCGCCCCGCCCCCTCTGCTGCATGCTGCGCCCTGTCATTGGTCGAGCCGCAGCCTCCCCGTGTGTTGCGAGCGTTTTTCTCCAGCTCCTGTCTGCCGGCATCTTATTTCATCCCACAATGCATCATTCACGGCGCACACTACTGTGAGCTAAGAGGAAAGGAGACCTTGGCAGTGAGGAGGGTATCGTTTGGCTGTGTGTAAAGGGTTTTTTCATCAGTCACCGTCACAGCTCTGACACTGTGGAGCTTTGAATACTGAACATTTACGCTGTTAGTTTCTCTAAAAAGCAGCAGAATGAGTATAACCTACGTCCTTTTAGGCATATCATGATTTTCTGAGCATCATTTGACAGTAAATTCGTCAGGAGGGACCTATCAAGTATATTCTATCAAGTACACACTGTCAAGTATATACTATTCTATCTACACTCTATGGTTGCTATCAATGCGTTTCGTATTTTGAGAGGACTTTGCTATAAACAGCGCAAGACCTTTACCTTTTCATGTAAAGCAGCAAAATTTATAGTGTGAACTTGTTATAACAATGAACTTTGAATGGTTAAGGATAAACAAAAAACACAAAGTCAAGAGTCCTTATTTGAAAATGCTTTTATTGAAAATGCTAAGAGAGAAAAAGGAAGATTAAGCAAAGTTAAACATACAAACTACTCCCATTTAACACCCCTTCCAAACCTCCCCAATTTATATTCCTTCATACCAGGCATCTACGACTCCATCCTTTGATCCAACTTCCTGGTCCTCTGTTTCCTTTTTTCTTGTAAAATAAAGCGTTTACCACTGAAAAACTTTAAAAGATAGGCAGGGCGGGGGCCTAATAGAAAAAAAGTTGCTCTGGGAATCCTTTTAATTAGTTCTGAAATCAATCTCATTTGAATCCTGGAAAACTGATCCCGTTCCGAGCATCCATCCTTGCCTATCCCTTCCCTAATCGATCCACTCATCCAGCTCCAAGGATTGGGATCCACTGAGCCACTCCTCCAATCAAAACCTTGAAATACCAGGAAGAAAATCAGAGGCAGACCGTTAGAATAATATGTCAGAATTTTTGGGCCTAATTTCTTTTTCCAATTTTGAGCACTCACTTCAGATTAAGTAAAAAAAAAAAAATGCCAATGAGAAAAAAAAACTACCACTCCCTGAAGTCATAACATTTTACGTTATAAGTGGAAAGCTATGCAACAGAAGAACTGATTCAGGTTTTACATTTGACAGCAAAGATTTTACACTTACATCACAACACTTGTTTTAGGACTGCTTATTCTGTCACAGGCCAGAGTAGCAGGTTAAAAATTGTGTATATAACAAAGTACAGCACATATGGCTTTGTTAAATGTGACATGCATGACATGGCAATCCTATCAAAATGTTCAATTTATGGAATATGAAGCGTACCATTGCCTCGACCTGATTGCTCCTCATTTAGATGTCCTATCCTGACCATACAAATGAAATGTGCTCCACAATCGTTTTATTCCAAATCACTTTAATCCTTCTCTTCAGATGTCTAAAGGAAGACACAAGGGTAAAATACAGTTAAGCAGTGGGCTCCCCATCCAAACAGACCACCCCACAAATCCAATGATAGAAGCTGTTTAAAAAATTGAAACAAAAACAAAACTCAATTTTCAACTTGCAAAAACATTGAGTGCCAGTTAAAGCAACTCAACGTTTTTGAAGTTCAGCACAGCACGTGTTCTATTGTTGTGAAAAAATTGGTAAGAGGACAGAGAGAAGGATAGAGAGAAAGAGAAAACAAACAGAACAAGCAGCCGGAGAAGGTAGGGGGAATGATGGAGGAGGGTGGGTGGGCGGGGGTACATCTACATACCAAGATCAGCCACAAGGACACAGGGACATGAAATGCAAAAATTAAAAATCAACTGCTGACATCTGGAGGAACTCATAAGAGGTAAAAACAGGAGGGAGTACATCAAAAGGGGCAACACATCAATGGTAGAAAGGTTTAGGAACGGGAGCGAGAACGGCTGTGACGAGGCGAGTAGCGGGGCGATCCTCTGCCACGGCCACGGGAATTGCTGCGGCTGCGACTGGCGCTGCGACTGCGGCTCCTGCTGCGGCTGCCACGGCTTCGGGAGCGTGATCTTCCGTAACTTGGGCTGCGGGGACCGTCTAATTTCACACGAATGTAAGCAGTCTCTCCCTGGCAGACACAAGAGAACTTGACATTGAAAAGACAACATCCTTCCCCGAGTGGAAAAACCATAGATGGAAAAGAGGGGCCAGGTGTGCTGCAAACATGTCAGTCTTCCTGAAGTACTCACCTTGACACAGCAAAGACACATTATCCATGAATATTAATCAAATCAGTACACATACCTCATGCGAGCGGAATTTGGTGTTGTCCAGCTTTCGAACAGCATAGGTCATGTCTTCTTTGCGGACAAACTCTACAACTCCAGTTCCATCTCTGAAAACATCCGCGTAGCACACGTCTCCGGCTTCACGCATGTGGTCCTTCAGGTCCTGCCAGCTGCCACTCTGTGGGAGTCCTGAGACAAAGAGCAAAAATGTCATTATCTTACTATCAAAATGATATTAAAAATCACTCATGAGAGTTACACAACTTCTTTGCAAGCACATATTTAAATGTTAAGGCCTACTTGGAAAGATAGTAACATTAGAAGTAATGAGAGACAGTCAAAAATAGGAGAAAGTGAAACTCACAAACAGGCGTAGTAAGGAAACTGAAACTACAGGGAACATAAGTTTCTTTTTTAGTCAGAGAAACTTACTACAGCCATGTCAAGAATCGCATTCTTTACATACTCCTTCTTTAAAACTTCAGTTATTTGCTCAAGTCTACGGTAAAAGTGAGGGAGAAAACCCAGCAGGTTAGCACATTGATTCTCACCAGTTTAAACCTCACACTTAAATCTGAATTTGTTCAAAAAAATAAAAATAAAAAAGGGAAATCTTTTTTGAAACCTCCAAGCTATGGTGGATAGCTCGGTTTGTTTGTTTTGAATTCAAAAGGTAGATGCTACAAACACTGAATCAACAAAAAGTACAGCTGATTTGAAAGACTTTTGAGATATTGTGAGAACTCACACCAACATGTCAGAAACAGTTGCACCCTGTTTGAGCATGTACTAAAACTTTGTTAAAATGCATGACTCTGATTTATAAGGTTCTTCTTGGCTTAGCTCTTTATTTATGTGGTCTTCTTCAAAAGGACTGAAAGCCACTACACCCTGCGCTCATACAACACTATTCATTTGATTGATCCGCGAATCAGAACTGAACTGGGCAAAAAAGCGCTCAGTTTTGTTTCCACTTCAGCATGCAATACTCTCCAGACAGACGTGAAATGGTCATAGTTAATTTCGCTGGGAGCATTTCATTCAATCTTGCATGACAGACTTTGGGAGACCATGGAATAGTGGCTGTGATTTTGATTGTGTTTCTGGAGGTCATTTTCTTCTTTTTATTATTGTGATTAGGGCCTGACTGATTTATCAACAAGCCGGTTAAATCAGCCAATTTTAGCCTGTTTGAGACTATTCGGTAATTGGCCAAAACTTGCCAATATTTTCAGAATTAAAATGTGGAGAATAAGATTAGGTTTCGGAGGACGCACGGAGGAGAGTGGTCCGTCTCAACGGTAAATAAACCAGTTTGTGAGTACACAATAAGTCAATAAGTTTCAGTTCAACCCACTTCACGATGTACCCCGCTGTGCTGGTCTCAGTCATGCCGAATTAACGGTGAAGCACCATGTAATATGCAAGCTAAAGTTAGAGTTAGCCATCTGCTATTAGCCTTGCTACACTGTTGGCCGTGCCAGCAACGGTAGAATAAACAACAGTACACATTACGTGATCGAGCTACTTCTCTTACTGAGGCAGCTGCATGTCTCCAGATGAGACCGGACCAGAAATGAGTAACGTGAGTTGAAAAGTGGAGGCACTGATCGGCGCGGGGTAGTAATTGAAAACACTTTCTGATCCAAGTTTGATCAGTCGGTCTTCCTGTCGGCATGAAGAGTGGTAGACTACAGTATATCTAATCTACAGTATATATATTTTTTTTACAACTTCATAAAAAAATTTTAAAAACTGGCCAACTGATCAGTAGTTACATATTTCCCGCCTCTAATAATTCGTATCAGCCCCAGAAACTCTGTATCAGTCGGGCCCTATTTGTGATGTGTGCTGCCGACCTCTTGGCCAGGTCACTCTTGTAAATGAGATCTTACCTGGTTAAATAAAAAATAAAATATGAACCACAAGTAAGCAAGCATGTTAAGGAAAGTTTGAGTTCAAGTGCAAATTTTAGCCCACAGTCAAATTAAGCATTTCACATTCACACAGCAGCCAAGGATTATAAGGCACTTAAACATTAATCCACCTACATGAGATCCAAGTTAATATCTCACTTGCTTACCTGACACGATGACCCTGTACTCTGAGCGTCTGGATGGAGGCCCATATCTGCCTCTCGGTGCTCCGCCGATCCCCCCGTAGCCGCCTCTGGAGCCCCTGCCGCTCCGAGGAAACTCCACCCGCAGCCTGTAGCCGTCGTAGTCATAACCGTCACGTCCGTAGACTGCATCATCTGCATCCCTGACAACCAACAAGCAAAGTTTCAGCATTTAGGCAGAAAAAAGCGAAGTTTAATACACATGTATTCACGGACTGAGTCGGCCATGTTGGCGGCTTGCTTGATCTGGTTTAGGGTCGCTAATCCGTCTTGCAGAGAAACCTGCAACAAACATTGAATTACATTTGAGACAGACACAGAATGTCTTTGCACACCACACAAAAATGGTCATAATCTATAAGACACAGGACACGAGTGGGTGTTGCTGTTATCTACAGGGGACAGGAGTTATCGATGGGGACGCAGCGCAAAAATGAGCAATGAGAACTTAATGATATTTGATTCCTATGTTGCTATATTTGACATGATTTAATGAAAACAAGCACCAAGTCTTCACTTTAACAAACACACACACACACACACACATGGAGTCCAGTGAGTAATATGAGCCCGCGCGTAACGGCTCGAGCACGCGACCAGTGTAGCCGTTACAATAGCGCTGCCTTCGGCCTAACGAGCTAACGGCTAGCTGGCGTCTCACCTGGGGTCCTCGAACTCGATGAAGGCAAACGGCGGCCCTCCTCTCCGGTTCTTCAGGTCGATATCTCGAATCGTTCCGTATTTGTAGAACACGTCTTCCACGTCTTTTGTGCGGATATCGGGAGGAAGGTTCCCCACGTAAATTCGGCAGTCGTTGTTTCCAGCGGGGCCTCGTACTACACCAGACATGGCTGCTGCTGCTGAAGGCTAGCTTAGCTTCCTTCTCTTAACTGCTTTCGCACGAGATTCTCTTAAGGATAGGCGGAGCGAAACCCGGAATTTAAATCCTACTGCCTGCAAATCATCGAACAGCACAGAGAGATAAATCAGCTCAGTTATAATCCACAGGGTGTGTAGTGGGCAGACAATACTCCCGACGAGGCGCACTCTCTTCTGTTTTCTTCAGGACCCGCGCGCTTCCACCGGGGCATTCATGAGTGCAGGACGCACTGCGGCCCGAGCCGTCACATCCGCCTCATAAAATAGTCCGACATCGAAGCAGGTGTAGTGAAAGCAGTTACACATTCATCCTTGTCACATTCAGCAATCGTGAATGTGTGTGTCTGTTAAGATGGATATTTCTCATCATTAATAATAAATAAAAAACGTGAGTTGCTGGACCAAATAGGTGGTCAAAGATATTTAAAAGAACATTTGTCCAATTGGTTTTTGCTACGGAAGCCTTGAGCGGACACGCCTCCATGCATTTAATTCATGCTATTGTGAAGTGGTTGTGAATTGGTGTAAAGGGATATTCCGGCATAAAATTAATTGAGGGTCAAACACACCGTAACACAGAGTTAGACACCCCCTTGAGAGATGAATGTTGCAGACCGCTTGCTTCTCGACTTATACCAACTTTAGTAACGACCGCACGATAGCAATACACAGCGGCCTGAGGAGCCATAAACAAACCTCAACCAAAAAGCCACTCTTTAACCACAAATAATGCGCAGAATAGCACATAACTTCATCAACAGTACATATAGGGTCCTAGCCATAGCACCAGCCACCAAACATCTTTGTAACTTAGCCTAATTTCTTAGCAAAGAGACTAAACACAACTCACCTACTCTCTTCCAGCAGCAGCTTGTTTATTACTATCACTATCATTACTTTATAATTTCCTTGGAGTAAAAATCACCATATTAATCATTTTGCACTGCAGACGTGGTAGTTCTTCTGCCGGTATGATTGCATTTCCACAAAGAAATAATCATAAATGTTCATCCTTGAGCTGCGTCACCACGTTGTAGTCCATAATGGACTGGCCTGAGGCCTCGCTACAAACAAGCGGCTGCTGGAAGAGAGTAGGTGAGTTTTGTTTAGTCTCTTTGCTAAATATATTGGGCAAAGCTAAAAAGATGTTTGGTGGCTACTGCTGTGGCTGGGACCCTATATGTAGTGATGATGAAATTAGGTGCTGTTCTGAGCATTATTTGTGGCTATAGAGTGACGTTTTGGTTGAGGTTTGTTTATGGCTCCTCAGACCGCTGTGTATTGCTATCGTCTGGTTGTTACTAAAGTTGGTATATGTAGATAAGCAAGCAGTCGGCAACATTCATCTCTCGAGGGGGTGTCTAACTCTGTGTTACGGTGTGTTTGACCCTCAATTAATTTTACGCCAGAATTTTCCTTCAAGGTTAAGGGTTAAGTAATACAGTTTCTCGTTCATATTTCAACCAATCATCTTTAAATGATAAAATCTCGAGTTTACAACGTGTTTGTGTAACGTGTTTTCAATCATGTTCTCAGTCTTTTGGACAAGAAAACTACAACCCATTTCTAGTGAGTTGTTCCCATACCTCTTACAAGTTTGAATGTTTTCTTGTAGGAAACAGACCCACAACCTTGATCATCACAAAATAACAAAATTATCCACATTGAGCGTAACCTTACTATGTTTTTATTGCTTGAATGTGTGCTTTTAAACAGCTGTTAACACAAACTCACATGCAAAATACAATATCCAGAATGACACCAAAACACATTATGTTGAAGATGGCTATTATAGTGATTGTAATGAACTAACACATGAGGAATTAACTTTAACTCAAAAGGCTGCTGCTTCACCCTCAAAAATAAACTCTCACAGACAGAGGCTTATTTTGTCACGAAGATATATCGACATAAATAGATTGAATATTTGACACCACTGAGGTTGTGAGGTTTCGAAGCTCAAGTGCTAATTTGTTTTAAATGCTTTTCACTGTTTTTTAATTCAAATATGGTAAAAGAGCAATTAAACAAATGTTATTGTTTCCCTCGAAAGAATTCAGACCATTTGAAATAAGACCAACATCTCTTATTATAGCCATGGTCACACAACAGCTAATGTTACCCACCAACCACCAACTATCTTAAATTATCAACCTTAAATTAACCTTACATTGCCTTTAAATTTACATCCTTTCAACTTGAAGTATAACCTGAAAGTTGCTGTTCAGTCAAGGTGCAAGGAAACACCGGGGTTTTAGCTTCCAAGCACTAGCCACAGTGCAGATATGGTTGATTCGGGGGAAGAGTGCTGCAGTTTAAACTAATGCTACTGGAAATCAGTTTACTTAAAGCTATAGATACGTCACTGGCACAAGAGTATATTGTACACTAAACAAAAGAAAACACTAACATATTTCATCCAATCCATGCATTAGAAATCCCCAAGGCCATGTTGTGATTGTCCTCATTTGTCAAGGCAAGAAAACACACTGTAAATTGTTTTGCATTTAAGGTAGTAATGAGTGTCAGGATCCTAAAACAACTAAATTATTAAGGTTACAGTTTCTCCTTGTTATGGTAATGAAGAACACAATGCTGACTGAAATTAGGTTTTTACAGACAAATCAGTAAGCGTGACAGGAGCCGTAGACACGCGGGCCGACCTCACTGTAGTGATCAGCACCAGTATACTTCCCTTGACATGCTAAGCTGTTCGCCTGCAAACAAACACAAGACAGGAAACAGTGGTTATTTGGAGGGAAAGTAAAGGATTTTCTTTTTTTGTTTAATTGCTGAAAATAAAAGGTTTGCATGCCTCTGCTCTCTTGATGAACTGCTCTGTGGCGACTTTCTCGTTCTCTTTATGTCCTCTCCAGGCTCTGAGAGCAGACGCCTGAAGCGCTCTGCCAAAGGAGAATGTCAGGATCCAGGGTTTAGCCAGAGGGCAGTTGTTAATAGCATTAAGGTGGACAGAAGCCTCCTCTTCACTCTGACCACCTGAGAGAAAAGTCACTCCTGCAGGTACAGAAAAATGTCATTTTACTTTCACTTTATTCCTGTGCACTCTGCACATGTTTGTGAGACATCCTCTGTTGACAGCCCTTTGATTACCTGGAACGGCTGGGGGTACAGTGCGGCGCAAGGCGGTGACAGTTGCCATAGCAACCTCCTCTGGGCTGTACTTGGTGGGGCAGCTATGTCCGGCTGTGACCATGTTGGGTTTGAGGAGAGTGCCCTCCAGGTAAACATGGTGGTCTGACATGGCCTTGTACACTGCAGACAGGATCTGAAACACACAGATTATTACACAGATAAAAGTCTGGATAACTTTCTCTCCTCTTCTCTATTTCACATTTTCTCATGAGGCAACAAGGTCACGCTGTCATGTTCAGGTTATTTACTTTCTCAGTGATGTACTGGCTTCGTTTCAGGTCATGATCCCCATCAGGCAGAATCTCTGGCTCGATGATGGGCACAATGCCGTGCTAGTCGAGAAAGGAGAGGTCATCGAAACAGTGAAGGTGCATGACATGATAAAGATGTATTTAATTGACCATTTAGCCGAACAGCATGAAGTCCTAACCTGCTGGCAAATGCTAGAATAGCGTGCAAGCACATTTGCATTTTCTGCAATGGCCAGTTTAGATGGATTGACTTCACTGACTTTGAGGACACAACGCCACTTTGCAAAGACGGCTCCATCCTTTTTGTACTGTGCACAGCGCTCTGACAAACCATCTAGACCTGCAAAAAGAAACAGAAAAACTCATTATAATGTCTTCTAATGTATATGCATGTATCATGATCTGAAGTTGTTTCAGTCTGACCTTGTGTAGTGGTTTCTCCGGATGTCCCTGCCAAGGGGACAACACCTTTGTCGACCTGAGGTATAGGAAACCAACCAGTCAAATAAGTCAAACTAAATCTTCATATGCAGGTCCATAACCAGTAACTTTTTACCTGAGAATATAACAAATGAATATGTTATTTGGTTCTGAATAGTCACACCTTGATGCCGACCATGATGCCTCTGTCCCTGATCATTTTGACAAAAGGGACGCCGTTATCAGAGTGCTGATACAGCGTCTCATGGAAGAAGATGACCCCCCCAATACAGCCATTAATGCGATCATCCGCACTGAAGAGAATCTGCCGGAACTGTCTGCGGTTCTCCTCCGTGTTCTCCACTCCAACCTGGGCCAGCCGCTTGGCCATGCTGCCTGTAGATAGCAGTTATCATATCAGACTTGAATGAGTTCTCCACTGGATGGGCAGTAGATATCAATGGTGAAGAGGTGTCCTGCAAGTTCAGTAAAGGTAATGTTACAGACCTACGGACTCATCTGCAGCCAGGATGCCCTTCCCTGGAGAAACTATGCGTAGAGCGGTCTCATGCAGCTCCCTCTTCTGGGCCTCGGAGAGTGCAGGGAACTGGTGCGTCATCCTGAGAAAGGGATTATCCTTCAGCCTCTGGTAGGAGAAAAGTCCTTTTATAATCCTTTAATTGACACATTAAAACACAGATCATGTATTGAATATGATCATTCATATTCTAGTGATGTTCAATGACCACAATGTTGGTTGAAAACAGGAGAAAATATTTAGATGAAAGGGAAAAAGCCCCTGGTTATTCACCTTATGCAAATAGAAGTTATCCCCAAAAGGTGGGTCTATGTTTTTTTAGAGCAGCATGAAAAATAAGCAAATGAGATGGAAAACAGCTGAAAGACAGAAATAACAGAAAAAGTGCCACCATGTGTAAAATTAACCAAAGAGTCTTTGTAGTGTACAAAGTTAAGTGAGGTTTGAAGTTTTTTCTACTCAGTTTTGTTATTTTTGCTGCAAGTTTAACAGACAGCAGATATAAACACAAGGTCCATTTTAAAGACTCATAAAGAAAACCTTGTTAGCGCTCTGTTTACATCAAGCTGTCAGGTATTAGCTAAAAACTTTGCCTTTACCATATGTGTAATAAATGACAGAAGTATAAAAGTAAAAAGTCTTACCTGACAGATTTAGACTCACTCACTGAGGAGATGAACACTGGCAGAAACTCTCCGTCAGCTCTAGTTTGTATTCGGCTCAAACTGTGTCACACCTCGTACACCCACGCCTCTGGGCGGAGCTTCTGCACCTACATCCACCTCTGCCCCACATAAATTAGACAATTTGTTAATGAATCATTGTTCTATTTAAATAAATAAGGTTTTGGTGTCATGAGGATGATTGTTTTTTAATAAGGGAGCATTTTCTAGAGAGTTGGTGCTGTTTAAAAACTCTTATCCTCCTCATTGATAGTTTAACCTGAAGTTTAATAATTCATTTTTATATTCAGGCTACTTCTGGAATAATAATGTATTTTTCAACTCTCTCTTACCCCTATATCAACCCAATTTAGGAGTTTAACCTCACCCCACGGCATGCTATTTTTATATTAATTAGTTAATATGTACCCTAAGGTAAGTTCCTGGTCTCCCGATAATTGGATTTTTACTCTCAAATTCTCGGGAGTGACTCAGTCCCAAAGCAATTCATCATTCCAGTAGCTTTTTTTGTGAACTTTAAACTGTAAAAACTGTAATAGTTCGCCTCAGAAATAGAAATCATTGCAAATGAATGTAAATGAATGCAGTAATGTAGCTTAAATTAAAGCAAAAAGGAGGTCAGCTCATTTATTTTTGATTTTGAATGAAGGTTTTCAGCTTTTATGCAAGATGGTTTAAAACTTATAAATCCATAGCATACAGTTTTTGTGCCTTTGTAAAAATGTTGTGTTGCTGTAGTTAGACAATGCTCCTCGGCGGGACACCCTGCCTTTTAACACTTTTCCCACTGTTTTGCACCCCCCAAATCAAATTTAAACACTTTCTAGCCATTAGTAATGATATTTAATAGTCACAGTATGGCGTTTAACTCAAATTATGACATAATAACCCTTTATAATTTCATTACAAGCTGCTTTAAGATTCAAGGTTGTGTACCTTTCTGAAGACCAATCATCACCTACAACCTCCATTATTTTTGGCCGATCAGATGCTGTTTAACACATCATCACACTTTGGTGGACTTTATAACAGTTCAGCAGCTTTTCAGAGGACTCCACTCTTCATTATTATGTGTCAGTGTGCCTCTAAAAAACAGATATGGGTTACTGGACTGCCTGCCACCACACAGCCACAACACAGACATGATGGACCGATCTAAGACAGAGGCCTGAGAGGGATTCAATGTCAGGAGGCAGCAGGAGGAGGAGCCGGTGAACTCCCATTCAGAAGATACAGTTTTAAATAGATCCATGACTTCAAGAAGTATGGCAATCATACATGGCGGCCTCCACTGGGACACTCCATTTTTTCCACTGTTACCCAATTAAAAACATTTAATGATGATACTTTATCTGGTCCTCAATTCTCTGTCCTATTAAAGTTGTCCTCAATGGGTTTGCAGGAACTCCAGTATATAGGTCGAGCCGAGGCTGAAAGTTGGACATCATGTATCCAGGTAAAACGCTGGTATGAAGACAATTTGTGCAAAAGAGCAAATAGAGGAGTAGGACTCAGTGTGAGTATCTCGGATAGTTGTGGACTGTTTAAGGAAAAGAGAAGAAAATGGGCGTGTACACTGATTTTATTTCTTGAGAATGTTTATTTTAATTCTGCTGTTTATAACTCAGCAGAGGTAAAGAAGATTTCAAGGTAAAGTCATAAACATACATTAGAGGGAACATTGGCTTGGACCAATAAGTACCGCCATGACTATGACCAAAAATGTAAATACAAACAGGCTTTGAATTTGGCATAGATTTAACAATGTAAGTAAGAGTCAGTTTAGCCTCTTTACATAGAGAGGCACTGAACCAATACCAGATAGATGTGTAAAGGAGTAAACCCTGATCATACATGTCCAATGTCACACAAATAGGTAAAAGCAACTTCCTGTCTTGTGGCAAAACATCCAAATGACCTCCTAACAGGGAAAAGCCTCTCATCGAAACATCAGTCTTTACATTATAACATCATAAGAGTCAAACAGCTCTAAAGGACAAAAAACAAACATTAAAAACGTGAAAAAAATCAAATATGATGTGAAAGAATTGGAGGTATAATTATTTGACAATGAGCCAAGCAATGTCCAACTTTGACTCCAGCCACCGCCAAGCCCCTCACTGTTCACAAATGTTTTTGGTAGTTTCTTTCCTTCAAGGAGTCAACAAAGCACTGACCAAATTAGGAGATGACAGGATGAAGCCTCTTGGAGAAGTTTGCTGAAAATAATACCCTGAAAATTGATTAAAAAATTTGAACTGTGTTGAAAATCTATGTTCAGGTCCTTTGTACACAGATTGTCTGATCTTTCATTGTTCGAATATCAAACTGATTCCAGGAGGTGATGCATGTCACAAAGACATTTTCATCCTTTGGCAACTTTTGATGCTTTTGTCAGCTTCTTTGTCTGGTTCAAAAACAGAGTCTAGAGTTATGCCTCACATGTCTGCTCTGAGCCTGGGCTCAAGTCCATGTTGGCCAGACTGGGAGACTGTTCAGTGGAAGCTGTGGGAGAGTGTAGGATCTTATCACAGTCAAAATGATCTAAGTAGTCCAATGAAAGGCCTCTCATTGCTTTGGCCGCCCAATCTGGATGAGTCCTGAGCTTGAGGATGGATTCAACAGGAGTTTTTTGAAGGATAAGGGGGTCGAATGAGGTGCCTCTGAAAAAGGCCTGCATCTCAAAACTCTCGAGGTTGCGAAGACGGTTTGCTGGATTCTTGCACAAAAGCTGCAACAGAAATGAAAAAGAGATAAACAGAGTAAAATATTGTCCTTTTCATCAGGAGAAAAAGGGGCTGTAAGACAAAGCATTCACAGACCTCAGTGAGCAGTAAGATCAGAGCAGAGCTCAAGGTCTCGGGTATGAGGTAAGGATAATCTTTGACTTTATTCAACATCCTGCTATGGTCGGGCTCTGCAGGAACTGGAAACTGCAAAAAGAAAAACGCACAATATCCAACAATGGTCACAGCAACACACACGCAAAAGCTTTTAATTGTGGAGTTGCGCAAAAGTCAAGTTCCTCTGCTCTTACTTCTCCCGTCATGAGTGAAAACAACAAAACCCCGAGAGACCACCAGTCAGCAGCGTGGTTGTATGGACCCCCACTTAAAACTTCAGGAGCTGTTTAGACATGATAAGAAAAAGTCATTTTAACACTCAGACCGGAGCAGCAATCTGGTAAAATGTTAAATAACATGTCCGGTGCATCCCACTCAGAACTGGGTTAACTTAATCCAATGGGAGTGAACCACATGAGAGTCCCTAATGTTTCTGTGGTACAGTCAACATCAGCCGAACTTTCCTCAGGAGAGATCATTTTTATATTCCAGAGAGAGCGAAACCAAAAATCTCACCCATGTACTGGATCGTCCCACATATCGTGAATGTGCGTCCTCCTCGTTTTAGCCGCCGGGAGAGTCCAAAATCAGACAGACGGAGATGGCCTGGATCGAAACAAACACTGACACTGATTGAATGTTACAAATTATTTTCTCACTTAACTTTCCTCCTTCAGTTTGGCTTCGAACTTCTGTTAATTTTTAAGTTTTCCTTTTTCATGTCTTCTATAACTCCTTCACAGCTGTACTGTGAGACGTAAATAAAAAATAAACTTAGATTTATGTTTAACAATACCTTGATCACTTAGAAGAATGTTCTCCATCTGAAAAAGATTTAATTTTTTAAAAAGTCAAAGCAAATAGATTTTTTATTATTACATGATGATAACACATCTAAAATACAATACCTTTACATCTCTATGTATGATCCCTAAGTCATGGAGGAATCCTGAAAAACAAAAAAACAAAGATGAACAGTGAAAATCAGCAACATTAAAACCAGACAACTCTTTATATCTGTTCCTAGAGCTCCATATGATGACTTTTGTCTTTAAGATTCAGCTCTATCTGTCCCCAAACTTACCCAGCGCACTGCCCAGCTCTGCAGCAAAGAGACAAACCTCCTCTTCTCCAAACTTTCCCTTCAGTAACCAGTAAGTGTACAAGTCTCCAGAGTCGCAGAAGTCACACACTGCAGAGGGTGAGAAACATGGATACTCTGTGTGTCCTCAGCAGCATTGATTCAGATAACATGGGTCATGAATGTCGAGACTAGGGCATGGAAAAGACACAAACAGATCCTGTACATACAGCAGAAGAATGACATAAACTGAAAATACACAAGCTTCTGTAAACTGAGATTTACCCAACACTCTCATTAGATGGCAGTGTACCTCTTAAAGTTCCTAAGCTGAGGTTTGTGAGGATGCTACAGTCGACTTTGGGATGATAAAGGAAAAATTCCTCCGATGGGGAGGACAGCAGAGGGTCAGATTATATATTAAACTTACAGCTATTTTTAATATTAACTCACTAATGAAGAGATGGTGCTTTGTCTGCCAGCAGTCCTGCAGAGTGAGGATGAATGGGTGTTTGAGCTGCCGCTGCAAGTCAACACACAAATACACACATAAACACACAATGTGAGAGTGAGCAGTGAGAGGTTAACAGGGGACTGTATCAACTAGTGATACCTTATGAAATGACTCATGTTTATATCAAGATCTAAATGTTCAGATGTGTTCGGTTAGTTTTCAGTCTACACAAAGAAAACTGCAGATAAGAGTTTCCCTAAATACTAAGAGGTATTCTGTAAGATGTCACAGTGTTTCTTAAACCAAAATTAATTAATTAATGAGTAGAGGCGGACCCTCAGCTGCAGTGTCAAGCCAGTCAACAATGCCCTTCATGGTGCAAAACTTCTGACCTTCATCTCTTTATAAGAAAATCACCCATAGTTCGTGGTCTGGCTCTCAAAACTGCAATCACCAGTGAAAGCAAGACTTTGAAAACTTCTACCTGACGATATTTTCCTACGGCTGATTTCAGTATGGTACCTGAATGATGACTTCTTCTTTGGTTTGCTCCAGAACTCCTTGCTTCCTGATCTCTGACTTCGGTAGAACCTGTGTAACATTTAAAAGTTTGATATAATATTCTCAGTTTTCTGTCACAATGCAGTGATAATTTTACTGAGTCATTAAATTAACCTTAACAGCATAGATCTTCTCCTTCAATGAGTCCTTTACTTTCAAGATGGGTCCATAAGATCCTTTAGCTATGAAGCCCAGGACCTGTAAGTACAAAAGTACCAATATAAAAAGTACCAAGATCCAGTAGTCATATAGCTTTGCCTTCTCAAAACGCAGTCTAAAAGTTCCATGGGTTTTTCTGGAGTACCTGAAAATGGTCCGGTCCAGGTAATCTGCGCTGTGGGAACTCTGGCAGGAAGTCCGAAACCTGGGCTGAAGGATTTGTCATGGTGGCTGACGTTTCCGAGTTTTCCTCAGAGGGCAGCTGGACTTTTGAGGCAGCTGGTCTTCCATCTGGTCCAAGAGCAGGTTGGGAAAGAACAGCCGAGTGTCCGAGTCTGTGGGTGATGGAGACGACTCTGTTTGAGAGGAACCCAAGACTGTGTCGACGCTGGGGAGCTGGTCCGACCCTCTGGATTGTGAACAGAAACAACACCTTGTTATCAGGCTCTTCAAGTAGAGAAAACTTCACAAGGTGGCCTCTTAGTTTAAGTCTGGTGTGACACTTTGTCGCTTAGAAGACACGGGCCTGATCATATAACATGCAATGTTTTTTTTTTTTTTTTTTGTTCAGTCGTGCTGTCCTGTCTTATCTTTTGTCAGATTGTTCTTAGATTGCCCTTACCTTTTTTTGTTCTTTGTTGTCGTTGCTACCATGTGGTTATTTTTCTGTCTCTATTTTCTGGATTGTAAGCATTGTATGATATAGTCATTTGTTTACAAGTCATGTTTACAACATATAAACAACATTTGCCACATGTTTACCTGCAATGGATTGGGCCCCCTTGCAGCTGGTGCCCCTATTTGTATTTGACCCTGGTCACCTGAAGGCCTGACTCCGCCACTGTTAGTTTAGCTATTTCAAAATTACAACAACTTAAATGTGTAGGACTATTTCCAATTATGTGAAAAATACATGTAGGCCACATTTTTTTAATTTCAATGTAAAAACTATTTCTTTAAACAAAACTCTACCGGGCTACAGCATGAAATAAGCTGTGAGAGTGGGGTGCATTTTCTCTCGCTAATGATATCTGAAGCTGAAAATAAAACCAGGCATGTCCCTGGAGCTGATCGATCCCAAGTAATCAATAATTCTATTTCTGACATTGCTGCACTTTGTTACAGTAGAGTGAACTCTTGAAAAACGGTTTATAAACACATTTTCTTCACTGAAATGAACTTTTTTTACTTCATAATTTCATTCGGGTCATTATTTACGTTAGAAAATCTAAAGTTAAGTTTTTTTTTATTCTTACTTTTCGGAAAACTATCTATATAACACGACGAATTCGGTGCTGAAACAACATCTGGTCAAGATAATACTCGACTATCCGTGACCGATCAGACCCCCTTACCTTACTGTTCCTGCTGATGTCGCTGCCCATCGATGATCCAAAGTATCTCAATGAAGAAGGAGCAGAAAACCGTGTGATCCAGCTCTCCGTGTCCCCTCCAGGTTTGTTCGAGAAGCGCACAGTCCTATCTCGGCCATCGCAGCGCTCCTCATCCACGTGTTCGTGCGCTTTTTACGCAGCAGAGAAATGTTTGAGCGCGTACAAGAGTCATCCACAGCTTCATTCCGCTCCAGTTAGAGCTGTCACATTAATGATCAATCATCCTGCAATTTTCTCTTACTCACAGACCGAGCCTCTTTATTTTCTATTCTGCACAAACACCAACTCAAAGCTGAGACTTACACTTTTATTGACACATAAACAATAAGACACAAAGCTGATAGAGATGTCAATAGATGCTCTTTTTGTGATATGATCCGTCTAATTGAAACGTTGAGGGCCTTTTCTTCTTCTCCTTCTTGATAGAAATGAGACTGAAATAACAGGCTGAGCGGCACAGTTACACAAGGAATTAACGGAAGAGAACCGTGGTTACAAAAATATCAAAATACTTTGCATAAAAAAGTGCTTTAGTATTAAAATTACAAAACATACACTCTGCTGTTAGCTGCATATTTTGCCACAAACACTGAATGAACATGTCTCTGTTGCTCTGTTCTTGATATATTGCACTGGGGTGAGATTCAGTCACTCAGCGAGCTGAGGAACGCAGACAGGCATTTCCAGGTAAAATATAAAATAGCATCATGAGCGGGAAAGGCCTTCCTGTCAAACAGACAGTCATACAGCCTTTTATCAAACTATTAAAACAGATCTAATTTATCTATTATGGCATCTGAAAGCGTTGAAGGTGCTTTAACGGTCTTATGTGATGTAGACTTTTACAGGTGTGATGCACGGCGTTCCTGAGCCAGCAGGAAAAGGCGCCGTCAGTCTTAATGTGTAGAAGCAGAGGAAACGGTGACAGTGAAGGGCTCGCTACACACTGTCAATCTTCCTCGCTACATTCAAAGCAACAGAAGTGGTCATTATTCTGAAAGTTGTGGAGTGAAATTGAAATGGCACACAAATAGGCTATATTTAATTATATTTGGTCAAAAATGGCACCCTGGTAATCGTGGGGCTGTTTAAGGTACTTAAGAGTGAGACATCAAGAACATTTTTAAAAACAAAAACCCCAGAATATGTTTTTAAATTCAGCAGGCTCACGATACAGTAAAGAATGCTCCAAAACTATCTGAAATGTTCAACAATCCCTCTTTTCCAATGAGATTTACAAACTGCCCCCTGATCTTTGTGCTGAGGGGGTGTCGCCGCGGCTGGAGCCGATCCAGGCAGCTTCTTACAGTGTGAACGTTTTTCTCTCTAAATCTTTTTTTTTCTTTTACTTGCGTCGGCTGAAGATGCTCTTCTTGCTTGAGCTCTTGTCGGCCGTGCTGAGGCCTATGAGGAGCCGTGCTTTCTCATCCTCCTCCTGCTGCTGTAGGCTGTTGTCTGACTTCCCCTCAGACGTCTTCCCCCGCAGATCTGAGCCTGAGGCCGGCTTCAGACGCAGCTTCTCCTTTATCATCTGAGGAACATCAGAAATACAGAGACTCTATTTAGGAGCAAATTTATGTTGTTTCTGCTCTTGGTCCAACAGTTAAAATATTATATTTGTCACAAAATAAAAGTAGGTATTACTATCACTGTACCACAAGGTGTTTTGATTCTGCAAAACATCATGAGAGTTTTGGATTTTTGGGAAACAAAGGAGTCAAAGTCATGCGTTTTTTACGTACTTGTGCTACAAGTGCTTTCCTACTGTCCCTTTTCACAGCCATGGCAAAGTCCAGCCAGGTCCAGGTGTTGTTGTGATACTCCAAACAGGGCAGGACTAGGTTCAGATCCTTCCAGTCCACACTGCTTTTCTCTCCCTGAAAAAAAAAGTCATAGAAACAATATTTTAATTTATAATATCTGCTTTTATTTTATCTATTGTTTTAATTGTTTTTTATGTCTGCGTTGTTTTGTCTATTTATGCACAGCACGTTGTTCAGCTGTGGTTGTTTGAAAGTGCTTTACAAATAAAGTTGAGTTGAGTTGAGTCCAAATACAACAGCAGATCGAGTGAAAAAAGGTTATACGGGGTCAGAGGAACATTGTTACCCGATATCAGAAAACAATATTCCCCTTTTGAGTTTTTACTCAGTCTCACAGTAGATGATATTAACCAGGGGCTGAAGCCAATGTGACTGTAAATATGGTGCTTCAGAACCCACCTTATAGCTGACACAAAGGGGCACTTGAGGAATCTTGATGTAGATGAAGGAGTTGTTCATAGCAGCTCGCTCCTTCATTTTATCGATGTCGTCAACAGGATGCTGGGAGGACACGACAAAAACAAACAAAATGACACTCCCACTTTGCTATTTTAACACCTGAGCACAAAAAAATCTGAAGTCGGAATACCTCTGGGGCTTTCCTGAACGACCTCCTGACCCCGGCGGTGCGGTTCAGCCCTTGGACACCTTTGCTGGGGCCCATAGCGCCCATGGTGTCCTCTGATGACTGCCGAGGCTTGACAGGGATACCTGTGACACAGAGCACATCATCACTGTGGCCTCTGGGTGACTCTATACTCAACACTTTATACTCCCACTGAGTCTCCTCACACACATACATGTACACACACGAGCTCAAGGTCACACACAAAGCCAGAGAGCTCAGACGGATGATATAACACAGTAATGGGTGATATGATATGACACACACTCTCCCACGTCCACAGGAGAAAGTTGAAACGATAATTGATTTTTCGATTCATATAGAGTACACACTGAAGAGCCATTGTTGATAAAAACACACCTGTAGTAACCAGTCTGAACTTGTCCTCCTCATCAGTGACCTCCTCCTCCTCAACGTTTCTGCCGGGGAAGAAGAATCCCATCATCCTCTTGAAGAACTGGTACATCAGCTGGATGGTGAGAGGCACCACGTTCACCTGGGGAGCAAAAAAACAAACATGAAGTCTCGATCCAAACGTGTGAAAACGTGAGGTTAATGTGGCCGCTTGTGAGGATCTTTACCTCAAAATGTTCCTTCACGGAGATTCCTCCCACTGGGGGGCGCACTTTACTAAAGATACGCAGAGCAAACTGGCGTCCGGACTGACATGCACTCTGAGGACGAAGGACAACCTGCAGAAAAAGACTCGTAAATGACCAGAATTTTATCAGACAGTTATGATACAAATGTGGATTTCATCTTTGATGGTATGATGACAGTATGACGACAAAAGGGACCAGTGTGTAAGATTATTGAGAATCTAACAGACAGAGAATGTTTCTAATGTTGTATCACCACCTAAAGAAGAAGAAGAAATCAGTTTTTATATCTTTGAATTGACATTTAATATCCGTAAGGGAAGCTGGATCTCCATGTGTCTTGGAAGAGAGCCATCCTCTGTTGTTTAGTCTACCAAATCCTACACACTGGTCTTTTAGAGGAACTTGTAATGAGTCTTTGGTCACTCATGCATCAACGAGACTTTGAGTGTACGTGCAACACTGGATATGAAATCTGTAACAGGTGATAAATGATCCCACTGGGACAAACAGGATGGAGTTCAAATGCAGACATCAAGTTTTGTAACTGCAGCAGTACTGTACATACCCTCACACGCTGCACAGAGGAAACCAGGCAGATCAGGCACATTATTGGGTTAAATTTACAACTTCTCCAAGAATATTTAGCAACATAAAACAGTTCTTAACACATCATGTAGAATAATAATGAGGCTAAAATAAAAACAAAGTCTCATAACTTAATGTTTCCTTTCATTTCGGTCACCGAAATCAAGAAATAAAGTGAACAATTAATGTCAAACATACCTTGTATGCAGCATTGGGCAGCAGATTGTTCATCGTGAACCAGCCCAGCTCCAACAAATGCTCTGCTGTGTCATCAGACTTGTTCAGCTGTGAGAAGAAAAGTTCTGAATCAACATTTTTCATCCAGCAGTTATCAGAGTTAGGAAAGTTTAAGTGCAATTAGAAGTTGTGTTTTTGTTTGTTAAAATTCTACCTACAACTCAAGAACAGAAAGTTGAATTTCCTATCAAAGTAAGCTTAATTTTGCTTCCTCATATAATTTCGCTATAGAGAGATTTTTATGATATATGAGAGGTCAGATGATTCAGCAGGACATCTATGTTTCTATTAGGGCTAAAGAGCACATCTGCTGGTTTTAAACTCCAGTACACTTATAGCTCACCTTACTGTACATGAATCTCTGCAGCTCCAGCTCTGCAATCCCGAGCTGGCCATCCTCTTCAGTCAAACACCAGCGGGCCTGAGCAAAGTAGATCTCTGTTCTCCTCACCACACTCACATCCTCCGGAGGCTTACGCAGCTCCAGTTTGTTGGCACGTTGCAGCTGGAAGTCCTTAAAACATCTGAAATGGAAGAAAATATGACACCTCATGACCTGCATGTCACGTACTCTTGGTTTAAAATGAAAGTGAGACTTTATGGGAGACCTGATGAGGATATTGAGCTCTTCACTCTTCATCTGCATGTCGTTCTTCTCCTGGTTCAGCTGGTTCTGCAGTCTGGTGTTGATCTCCATCAGTTCGTCTCCACTGAATTCCTCAGGTAGTGCCTGCAAGGTTATAAAGGGGGCACATGTTTAAAGATTTACAGCTGGTCTGCTGATTTGGTGATGAGCTCCGACCGAATCAAATCAGACCAGCACAGGTCAATCAAAAGAGGAAAAAACTGGTGTAACTTTAGATCTATTCTTTCTAATTGTGCACAATCTTCTTAGCTCTCAAAAAGCACTTATCCTCCACTAAAACTGATTGGACATGTATTTTTTATACATTCGATTTCTGACGAGCTGGATCCAAAGTTGCCATGGTTACTATAGGGCACAGAAATTGATCAGACCGATGACTCAGTCTGTGACTCACCCTGATGTTGGAGTAAATCTGTTTCTCCAGACGTCGAATCAGTGCAAGGTGCTGCCTGACCGCCTCCTGGAGGTGCAAGATGCTGCTTCGCTGCTCCTCAGGGTTACTAGAAATTTCCAGCTGGAAACGAACACGCTGCTTTTTTTCACTGTGCTCCTGTGGACACAATGAGTGCGAGGAGATTTTAGAAAGGATACAGAATGAGACAAAAAGGTCACTGGAGCAACTGATTCTTGAGCCAACCTTGCGCCTGGGCTCTACGTGTAACAGCAGGTTGTTGACGATGTCCAGGATCATGGCGTACTGCACAGGGTTAGTGGAGATCTCAAGGTCATGGTGGATCAGGGTGAAAGTGTCCACAGCTCCTGTTACATCAACACAATCAGGAATCTTAAATTCATGTATGATGACTTTGCTGCACAACCCAAATAGTCTCCATGTTGATTCTTCTCTGCAGCGTATTAGCGTCCAGACATACCAGCCTGTTTTTTCAGCAGATCCTCTTTCTCGTGGTTATTCCTCAGCTCTGGCGGTTTGATCTGTGTGGCCAGCTCCGGGTTGATGTCATGGCTGTAGCTGATGTAGTGCATCCGGCAGCTACAACGTGAGATGATTCGCTGAACCTGCTGTGCCTCGTTCACCTGAGCGGGCTGGTTCCAATCTACAGACACAGAGAACTTCATGTAGTACAGATCATTTATGGGATACCCAGTTAATCTGATTACCTCCTCGAGTAAAAAGCAAGAAACACAGCATCATTATGTTGTTTTTCTTGTGTGTGTAAAATGAGGGATTGTGCCATGTCCAAGTACAATCCTGTATTTGTAAAGTAACTTACCAGTCGTGGTGCTAACCATTCCTCCCACAGCCTGGCCGCTCTCCATCAGCTCCAGCACAGAGTCCAGGTTACGCTGCCTGTGCTCCTCTATGTTTTTCACCTGAATGCATCACAAAGAATCAATCAAAAGTAAGTCAGAGAAGGAGAAACAACAACTTCCCACAACCAGTAATTTACTGTAAAACGTTGCTGCTTTTTAATCTAAAAAATCATGGACTAAAACCAGATCAGTGTTCGAACCTCCAGCCACAGCTGCCTGTCCTCCTGCTCTGATGGGTTAGGCTCCATGGTAGCAAAGTACTGCATGCCATCCAGCAAACAGGTCCAGGTGGTTTTCTGCTTCAGGGTGTCGTTATACCAGGATGGATGGTGCTCGCACTGAAGCAGCTGAGCCTTCGCTGCAGAGACTAACACACAGCCTGCTGTCTCAGTGCCACGCAACATCATCTGGAAGGAGCAGGGACAACAAGAATGAAAGAGAAATTACATTCACTCCTCAGGAAACTAAATACAAAACAAATAAAAATTCGGATATCAACCCACCTGACAGTTGACCAACTCGATAAACCAGTTGCGGTTGTAGACATCATCAGTCTGACAGGCTGCGATACCACAGAGCTGATCGCTGACTCCAGAATCCTCCTCAGAAAACACCACAAACTTGTCCGTTTCCTCAATCAGTTTCTGGAGCATTGATGTTCCTGTAAAGTGAAGAATATGGAGGTCAGAGGGTTTCCAGAGTCTTATCTGTTCTCTTTTTCTTCTGTGAACCATTTCCTCACCTTCATTCTGACTCTTTTCCGCTCTGTTGACAGTGGGCATCACTGGCGTGGTCGGGGCTGTAGTGGGAGAGTAGTTAGAGGGAGAGCGTTTGAGCTTCTTGGCCTGCAGCTGTGTGTCGATCCTGAGACCCTTCAGAGCTTCGGTGGAGAGGTTTCTCTTTAGTACAGACGCCTTTTTATAACCATCATACAGCCCAAAGGCTATGTTCCTGTTGGTGGTGGTCCAAGAAGCGCGCAGGTCGACTAGCCGCAGTTTGTGAGTATAAGAGGCGTTGGTCTCGTCCTGCTGGTTCACCTCCTGTCAGATGCATTTTAAAAAACAGCTCAATTACAAACGCAGCAGAAGTCAAAACATGCTAAAACTCTAGTAATCTCCAGGGCGCTACCTCCTCCATGCGGTTGCTCTGCCGCTGATAGCTCAGAGAGGACAAGCTGAGCAGGTGAGTCTTCTTCACCTGGGCGTTGATCTGGTGGTCGGCTGTCTCGTCCCAGGTGGAGGCCATCAGATGAACCGTCACCTGAGAGAGCTCGCTTACCATCTGAGTCACGTTCCACTCAGAGATCAACCTCCTCATCACAGTGCCAGCTAAGAGACAATAAAAACACACATATGTATTTACATGAAAATTACTGCAACTCAAGTGTACATATAATTTATTTTCTTGTTTATCCATGTACCTTGTGGAATAAGTCTCTGTGCCCCTCGGGTGAAGACGTGCCCTTTGTTGCACTCCACTTGGATGCCTCTTTGTTGGGCAAAGGAGGCCCAGTAATGCACCTAACAGAAACACAAACGTATAAGTAATGGTATACACAGGACAGGTTTCTGTGTAGACTGTTGCTGGTTGGCAGCTCAGAAAAACCCTCACTTGTAGTTGTGGGAAGGCAGCTGTGTAGGACATCTGTTTGTAGTGCTGACCCAGCTTCTTGCGTACAGGCCTGAGGCTGTGGAACAGCTTGCCTCTGCAGATCGGACGAGAAACACCCGTCCAGGTGGCCCAAAAGTTCTGCATCCAGCGTAGAGTGCTGCTGTACAGCAGGATTCGAGGCTGGGAGGCTTCTACAAAGAAAAACCCAATTAAATTACTGAGAACAGAATCAACATGTAAAGCTGGTTTTCACTTCAGGGTGGGTTTATCTGGACTGAATATCTAACAGAGCTGCACATACCTGAGCCACAGTGTTGGTTAAGGTCCATGGTGATGGAGAGGTTGAGGTTCTCAGAGCGGAACGCCCTGTAGGAGTCGTGAGGTTGTCCTGAGGTCACGTCTGCAATGCTTTCCGCACAGCAGAGCATTACAGCGTGATGGTCATGGGGGTTGCCATGGCAAAGCCACTGAAGGTCAAGGGTCATACACAGGTTGGGCAGGTGAAGAAAACAGATATCATCATACCTGGTGAAGAGAAAAGGCGTTTGTGTTAGAGACAGTTGTCTACAGAAACAGAGTGAATCCCTCTCCTCATCTCTGAAGCCTCTTACTTTGATGCTGTCCTGACATTAACGTCCAAATCTCCTTTGAAAACAAACTGCCCCGGGTTCCAGTCAAAGTTCAGCTTACTCCACTCCCAGTGCATGTTTTCTGTGGTGTTGTAAGGGTCCTGGAGAAATGCAAGATTCAGAATCTCATATAAAATTCACATCACAGCAGTAACACCGTGCATGGCCTCAATGCTGACACATATGAGTGAATGGAAATTTCTGATCCTTGGCATCAAAAGCATCATAAAAGTGGACCTACGATGGAACTACTGTAATAGGTTGAACATATGTTCCAAAATAAGCAGCCACTTAGGAATGTCTTCAAATCTGTGGTGAAGATCTTTGAGCCAAGATTTACAGGAGAGGGTCTGTGAACATTTTCTGCACCTCTGTGGCCAGCTGATGAAGATTGGCCTGCTCGATGTCCATCACCCAGCGCCCATGAAGAACCAGACGGCTCTTGTCCCACCAGGCCAGGGGAGGTGAGGGGTCGACTGTGGGTTTGGTCAGCAGGTCAACAGACTGGCCAATCAGAGTCCAGGCAGGGTCCCAACATGGCCCCCACACGATGGTGTACAGGGAGATGTTTGCTGCAGGGAGAGATGATGAGGATGACAAATAACATCTTTAGGTGGCATCACAGTTATTGTAATTTAAACATCAAACTGCACAAGTATGGCCTCTCTACCTCTGGAAAAAGCAGTTGAAGTTTTAACTGGCAGACCTGTAGGGAATAACTTTCTTATAACTCACATTTAAAATCATAGTAGAACTTGAGTGGCGGCATATTCCTGTGAACCATCACGTCTCCCCACGGTGGACCCAAAGGGACGGTCTCTTTGCGGTGAGCCCTGGCCTGACCATCCTGCTCCGTCCCAATCAGACGCCCCGACAGCTCCCAGTCACGGATCTCAAACAGGTAGCGAGGATAATCTCGAATTCTCACTGACAACGCAGGAAAAAAGGGAGAGGTGTTACCTATTTTTGTAAATATATTCACTCTTGTCTGCAAATAAATCTTTATCAATTTACCCAAAAAAGCAGTCAGTTTGAATTTGACGGCACGGCACCACTGAACCACCAGAGGGAGCCCCTCTCTGGGGAAGGGACTGACTGCATCGATGTCCCTCAGCTGCTCTCTCACCCTCTCCGGCCCATGAAGAGACTGATCAGCCAGGGCCACAAACTCCAGATCAGACACCGTCCAGGTCAGCAGAGACTTCCTCATGGGCGTGTTGGCGTAAAGGCGGCGAGAACGCTGAATGTAGATCTCAATGTGCTTTTTCTCCAGCGAACTATACAGCTCTTCGATCTTCCGGGCTGGGAGAAGCTCTCCGTGCTGCTTCCGCAAATCTGCCACCTTTTTATCCAGGAGCTGAAGGCGCTTTGCACTTTCCTTACTCTCGTCCTTCATCAGCTCGTAGTTGTCTCTCAGCTTGATTTCAAAGATGTCATCCAGGAAGACGAAGGAGAACTGGCTGATTTTGAACACCAGGTCAGGAGGTAGGTGCTGGTCTGTAGTATCCTGGCTCTGGGGTCGATGCAGGGTCTTCAACCACTTTTGCACGCTGATGGCCATGTCAAAGGTGTTTGAGAAATTGTACTGGTAGGGGAACTCGACCGCCATAGAGGGACACGTGAGGACCCAGACTCTGTTGTGAGGAGTGGTGAGGAAGGGGAAAGTGTCTCTGTGCAACTGCATCTCAGTCAGCTCCGCGTGCATTTCTACATCCAGACTTTTGAAGGAGACGATGTCGTTGCCGTCGAAGTTGAAGATCACGGAGGGAGAGCGTATATGCGTGGAGGCGGCGTGCTTGGAGAGCGTAAGAGCTTCTGTGAGCAGGAGAATGTAGTTTTCTTCGCTAACATGGGCTGTCAGACGAGTGTAGCCCAGCTCAACCCGCACACACAGACTTCTACTGTGGCCTGGAACGGTCTCAGTCTCTGTGGGCGTGACTGGACTCTCTTCTGCTCTCTCTCCATAAAGCATTCGCCAACACGCCTGAGCTTCAGTCATGTGCTGATATAACACCATGTGGTCTGGAGGCGTCCAGTCAACCATGAGCTCCTCTTCACATTGAATCTGATAGATTAAACAAAACATTACATTTACATCCATATTGACACAGTATTGTGTTGTGTTACAGTCGACTGAGGGAACTGATTACCTGTAAGGTGTGGGTGGTGATGTGGTAAGAAAAGGCTACCGTGGTGAGTTTGAGCAAAGAATTCTGGCTCTGTGAAGCAGGGCGACATAACTCCATGTTCTCGGTGACGGTTTTGATCACAGATAAGCTGACGCCGTAAAGAGACACTGTGGAGCTCTCTGCTGAGCTGAGGACTCTCACAGCGTCCATCCGTAAAGACACAGCTCCTAAAAACAGAAAAAGGACATAAAAGTGAAGATGCATGGCAACTAGTTTTCCATCGCAGGACATTTTTACAAAGCTTGAAAAAAAACTCACCCGCCAGATTAGAAAGAGTGAACACATTAACATCTTCCAGACAACAGTCCAGTTTGAAAAGTAGGTGAAGCTGTGAGGAGGGGACTAGCTGGACAGTGTCGTCACCAGGGGGAGACACTGAGGCCACATCTGACAGCTTTTTGTCACGAGGAAAGCAGATGAGGGACAGCAGGCGAGACAGGCACAGTGCACAGGTCTCTGACAGCTCCACTTGAAGCCCTTTCAGACTGGACTCCACGCTCAGACTCGGAGACTGGCTGCTCGGCTCGAGGTGGGGTCTGTTGTAACTCCCCTGGATGGATAAAAGTGCGATACAAGAAAGGGACTAAATATGGGAAAACAATCACAATGTTTCAAGAAGAGTTGGTTCAAAAACTTTATTGTCTATGAAATTAAGAACGTTTGAAAGCACTTCTAAGTGATTACCTGAAGAGTGAGCGAGTCCAAAATTAGCGCTTCTCCCCAGACATGTTTACCAGGAGGGTGGGGCGCTTGCTGGATATGAGAGCCCTGACCCACCCTCCACCAGAAGTTGTCGAGGGCCAGCCCAGCTCTCTGGTGCACATTCTGGGACTCTGCACACTCAGCGTCAACTTTGAAGTCGAGAAGATGCTGCAGTTCTACAGATAGTGGGAGTAAAAGTTATAATTAAACATTTAATTTCAAGAAAAACATTTATGTTATGATATCTTCAATTGTTATCAAAGGAAAGCCATGAAAAGCCGCTATGAAGACAATGGATTCAAGTTAATGTTTAACATTTCAAAGACTCTTTAACAAAAGAAAATCACTTATCTAGTTTGGCATGTTGACACAAAAGCTCTCTCTTTAGATCACAGACCAAAAAGAGTTACAAAAGGACAATTTGTGTTGTGCAACACGACTTCTATGAATTACTAAATACTCTTGCCCAACCCAGGGTGTTGAGGTTAAACTTTAAACCCAAAAATGCGCTCATTTTGCATCATATGACATTCACCTGCCTCTGTGCGTGTGAGTGTGTGTGTATGTGACAGAAGTACCTGCGCTGGCAGAGAGGAAGCCAAGAGCAAAAGGCGTTGTGTCACCCAGCTGAACCGACACATTGACGTTTGAAATGGAGGAGGTGATCATCACAGGGGCGTCCAGGTGAGGGAGGCGCCTGCGGGGAAGGAGGTGGGGCAAATAATCTAATGGACTACAACGTGATAAGGCAATGGAACGACACGGAATGAGTGATGAGCGAACACAAACATGGATAAGAAAGAGAAGATAGTAAGAAGTGTTAGACTGTTAGAGGAGTGGTGTCTTATCAGAGGCAGACTGTGGGGTTACTTCTTCAACGTGTGTGTTAATAAAAAACACGGTAATCTGAACTTCTTGCTTCAGTAACTTGCCTTTTTCGATTTGCTGCCTTTCTGTGGATGAGCTGTTCCCATGGAAATAGGTTTAGCCAGTGTGAGAACTCTTGGTGACGGTAGTGGATGATGCAAGTGTTGACCGTAAGCGATCCTGAGATGTCGATCGATGTAACCTAAATGCAGAAATAATGTGTGACTCACAATGTCAAAAATGAGTCATTTTCCTACGATGAGATCATGAGGAGTCTTCCTAACCTGCAAGGTTGTTTTCAGCGTGTTCACACAAAGGATTCTTTGCCTACTTTGTGAGAGGAGAAGTCCATCTGACAATGAAATATGAAAGAAAAATAAGAATGTGTTATTCCTTTTTATTCCTCTCTCTCCATCGCCAGGCGGTGTGTCTGGCACCCAGCTGTCCACTCACCCTCCAGTTGGAGCTCCAGGCTGCTCTGGGGAAAGCTCAGCTCAGGAGTGAAGCTTTTAAGAGGGAGCTGCTCATCATCGCGTCCATAGCAGACCTTTAGCGACTTCAGGGTCCAGTTCAGGTGTCTGCACGGTCAGGACACAGAGCCGCACAGTGTTTGAATCGATGAGTCATTCAATATGGGGATCGGATTGTGCGAACCAAAAAACTCTGGACAAGTGGTTAAATGCTGACTCACCTTTTCTGACTGTGCATGGACAGGGTTACATTCGTGTTATCAAATTCCACATTGACCTTGTGAGGGATCAGCCGATGAAACTGTTCGACAGTCTCAGTCTGGATGAACTCAGTTTTAGACTCTGAAAGGAAAGAGAATTATGCAACATTTAGAAAATTAGGATATCACATTTGTGAGCTGGTGTTTCATCCTCTCTTCTAATTTTAGTGAGTTTGGGATTTAGAGAATATTCACCCAGCAAATCTGTTTAAAAATTAACAAGAAAAACTACTCCTAAAGTTAAAATAATAGTTTTTTTTTACTGATTGTTGAACAGATCCAACTCATGTTTTGTCACTTTTTTAAATAAATGCACAACTTAATGTAACTGGAGAGGTTATAACTTGTGTATTCATTTTTTAAACCCCCTGAGGTCAAAGCTGTAATGTGACCTTGTCCCATTTTTCTGGCTGGATAGAAGTCAAGCTAAAAATATCACAAGGCCATGGTTGACGTTTGGTTTTTGGATATCTAGGAGTTAAGACATTTTGATTACGGTAAGAGTGAGGCAAGCTGCTCTTGGATTGTCTGGTTTCATTTTAACAACAAAATCTGATATATTTGAAATCTTCTGAAATCCCACATGACATTTGCTCTGGATGACGCATCATGTCCCATTAGAAACTATGACACACACAAAAGAGGAAGTGATTTGAAAACGTTTCAGAAAAATAAGGAATGACTGTGTAATGTTGAGGTCAAAGCCGACCAGGGACAAAGAGAAGGGGTAACAACAATGCTTGATTCTTGGTTTGTCTGGATAGAAAAATAACCATTTTGCTCACCAGATGCATCCTGAACACTCTTTTTGGGGGAGGGTGGCAGCATGAGTTGGCTGAGAAATATTCCTTCATGCAGCTCTGCTATGAGCGTCCTCACATTCAGGGACAAACAGCCTGGCTTCATGTCAGGTAAGCCCACATCTCCAGACAGCAGCAGGCTCAGGGCCACTTCAGCCAGACAAATATCCTAAAATGGAGAGCGCAACAGTCACACAACTAAACGCAGCATTCTAAATCGGTGACAGTGATTGTAGGAAAACCCACCAACTGACTGCTTTTCAGCACTTTGCTGCTCAGCTGCCCGACTGAGAAGTCCCACGCCAGCCTGTGATTGAGGTTAGAAAATGATAAAGTGATTCTGAGTCTGACACTTTTACTTCTCTGTTAAAATTCTAATTCAGTGTGTTTTTTAGTATCATTTCAATGTTAAATGTCGGTTACCTTTTACTCTGGTGGTCGAGTAACAGGGTGATGCCTGAAATGGTCATGTGCCATAGCGACTCTGACAGAGCGAGGTTCAGTACCATCACATTGATGGAGCTGATGTGGAATGACAGCAGCTAATAAAAGTAAAAGACAGGACGTGAGTCATCTCTAACTTACTGACTAATGCTAACAAAGGCTGTACAAACACAAAAGCTTCATACTTGCGACAGAAAGCGAAGTGTTGTGGGGCTGACTGAAATCTTCCCAGATTTTTTCGCATGGCTCTTCTTCACCAAAGGTTTGAGTGGCGCTTGTAAATCAAACCTCACTCTGGTTTCCCCGACACACAATGCCAAGTATCTCCTGAAACACAAAACACAGTGAGTGTTTTTGAGGATAGAGCCCAGTATACACACATACAGTGCCTTTAAAAAGTATTCATACCCCTTAAACTTTTTCACAATTTGTCACTCTACAACCACAAACTTAAACGTATTTTATTGAGGTGGACTCTGTTGACCAATTAGGTGACTACTAAGGGGGCTGAATACAAATGCACACCACACTTTTCAGATTTTTATCCGTTTAAATTTTTGAAAACCGTGTATCATTTTCATTCCACTTCACAATTATGTGCTACTTTGTGTTGGTCTGTGACAAAAAATCTCAATAAAATACTTTTAAGTTTGTGGTTGTAGAGTGACAAAATGTCAGTCGCCCTCAGACGAGCTTCCATCGTAGTTTCCAATCCTCCCGATTCCCCATACACCCGGCCAGCCAAAGAGCATTCAGCTCCTGCATCCTTCTAACGTCCTTGCAAACGGTGCCCCTGTGTTGGTTCCCATAGGACCAGCCTGCTGGCCGGGAGCTCCTGATGTCTATGGCAGTGGCCGGCCAGCCTCATCCTCCAAAATGCTACCTCCTTGCTGAGGCTCTGCAGTTGCCCGTACAGGTCCTTGTTGGTAATGTGGATGTTCTGGTCCACATTCAGAACAGCTCGTAGCATTCGTGTGTAGCACCCATCCGGGGACTTCTGTAGGGTGGGTGTCAGGGTCCAGCTTTCGCAGCCATACAGGAAGATGGACTCCACAGTGGCACGGAATAGGCTCAGCTTTATGTGTCTGGAGAGATTCAAGCACCACACTCTTGACATACCGTTCAGGGCCCTCCACGCTAGTGCCTTCCTGACCTTAAGGTGCTGTTCTGTGGAGTTCACCCAGGAACCCAAGTATTTGAAGTCACTGACCTCTCACGGAGCATTACCAGTGAGAGTTCAAGGGGTATGAATACTTTTTCAAGGCACTGTATATACACACACATATATATTGCTGAGGGATCTTATCCTATTAAAACTTTGTGGAGACTTACGGCAAATCCTGGTTGACAAGTTTACTCGAAATCCATATCCTGTCAATTTCCTGTAGTTGAAAGAGTACAGCTCTTTAAAAATAGTACGCTCTAAGTCTTTTCAATTTATGAAAAAACAACATGGCAGCAGCTGCACTGGATAAGCTCATAACATGAATGTCACGTAAACACAGTATGTCTTACCAGTGTATGCAGGGGGTGAAACTGGATACTGACTCCTTGCACAGAGAACAGCCCGACTGATTTGATCTTAAGATCAGCGTTCAGTGCAGCCTGGAAGAACCGCACAGCCAGAGTGCATATGAGCCACCTAAAATGAGAGGACAAACACAGAAATCTCAAGAGATAGAGCTGAACTCTTCCTGAAATATACTGAAAGATAAGATGGTGGGTCAACAACATTTGAGGACAGGGCAGCAACAGTGAATATGACCCTTTACTGTCAAATCTGAGGCACATTTCTTACCTGAAAATGACACATAGCAACCCAATGCCAAGAAGAAGAAGAAGTAGACAGGAAATTAAAAGAAGAGACATTGTGTCCCACTGTTGTTCACACCCAAACCGACTACATGGGTCTGGCTGCACCTCTTACCCACGATCAGTACCTGTCAATGAGGAAGAAGAGGTGTGCTTCAGCTCCACGTTAATAATACACCTTTACAGTCAGGTGCTTGACATAAATGCCTATCTTGTCTACTCCTCTAACTTTCATTAAAGCTAATTTTCGCTCGTTATTTGTCTGACTCCTCGGCTAACAGTCACAGTTGGCTTGGCTGCTCAGTAACTACAGCTTAGTAAACGTTGCAAACTGAACATGAAGTAGCATCGAGCTAAACGCTAACATTCAACTGTGTATGTGAAACATGAACTTCTTCCTTATTTGCTTTCCCCCTGTGGATAAATTCACGACTGTGTACCAGTCGGCTGCAGTCCTCCCCAAACATGAAATAGTTAAAATAAGCCCAAAAATCTGGACCAAATCTGAACTAGCTTAGTCGTGTGCTAATGCTACTGCTAACTTAGCGTAGCTGCAAGACTGGTACACTGCTTCGCATTCATACTGGAAGCTACTGCAAATGTCTGTGTTTTACAGTATAAATTTGAAGTTTACTTACCCTGACATGTTCACAGTGTTGGTTTGGTGTTGCTCTGCATTGTGTTGCTGACGCTGGGATCATCTGAAAGTTGACTGAGCTCTGACAGAGTAAACACTCCCCTTTGCTCAGCTGGCAAACTCACCACAACCCAGAACTGAGGAATATGGAAAACCCTGTAAACACGGAACATTTAAACTAGATATTATAGTTTTTCCAGTCTAAAAGAGCGTTTTAAGGCATTCACAATAAACTATCTAACAACCCTCATTTGTCACCTGAGATATCGGCGTCATTCTTGCATTACAGCTATCACTTTCACCTTTTTAATGTGGATTTGGCTTCAACCTCAGGTAGGGGAAACTGGGGTAAGTTGAGCCAAAGGGTAAGTTGGCTCTCCAATTATTGGCTTAATTCTGTAAGTATTTATGTGAGTTTTGGCTTCATGAGGCCATGTTAGATTTTACAAATGCTTAAAAAGTGTGTGGAAATAAGTTTGCTTTTTTTCCTCATTTTGGCTATTTACAGTAGGGGAGAGTGGGGTAAGTTGAGCCAAAGCTTTAGTTGAGCCACCCCCTGTTGCTTGGAAATGGTAAAGAAATATATTTAGGAGATGGGCATCAATTTATGGAGTCTGTGAAGGTTAGAAGCACATGGGTGAAGGGGTTAGACATTTATCTATAAAAAAACATTTTTTACTCTTGAAAGTGAATTTTGTCTGTCATAAGTTTTATTAGAATTGTGTTCAGACCAAAAAAGATCATTTTAAATTTTTATTATACATCAATAATGATATCTATGAGCTACAACATCAGGTGAAAACCTAACATAAAAGTCCACCATTTTGGCTCAGAGGAATAATAAAGTCATAATAGTAGTTCTGGAAGAAGAGCCATTTGGCTCAACTGAGAAAGTAAAGAAGTCTGATGAGAGGATCAGAGTTTCAGTTCAGATTATTTAAATGTTTGACTTTTTCTGTCCAAAAATACAGCTGTAAATGTTCTGAATCACTTACAGGCATTCTCATTTAAAAATGGCTTTTTACAAAATAGACAGTTCTGTTTACACTCATTCTGTTGACTTGCAGGGATGAACAACATCTTAAAATACATGCAGATACACTATTTAGAGACAAAACTATGATTGCCTTGATGTAGTGATCTGAAATACGAAAAATGTCTCATCCTCCCCCTCTCTCCCCTATCTACAATTTTTCTACACAGGGAAAACATTTTGAATGTGTGGAAAGAGAAAAGAAATGCCTCCTTATCCACTGTCCACTTGGTACCTGACATAGTGTTTAAAAACAAATATCCAAACTTTCAGCAGAGGTCTAAACATCCACGTCTGCAGTTCAGATCTGACCCCCTCCAAGTGATTTCTCTTATTCTCATCTCTTAAACCATACATTCACACATAAAGCGGGCAATTCACACACATAAACATCCCCCCCAAGATCCCTGCACACACCCAGAAACTGCCATGCAAAGTTGAAAAGCGAAAGAGATTTATTCCTGCTACATAAGCAACATGTAATTTTACAAATGACAGGACTCAGAGCAACTTGACCACATGGCAATACTTATGCTGCATGAAGCTAAGTGCTATTTTTGTTGGATACTTTAATAGTCCATACACACAACTGCATAGATGAGCAACCACGCCAGTCACTGAACGCTCATATGTCCATGTTAACTAAATGTAACTGTTTTTTGTGAATTGACTTGATGTAAAACTGTGAAATTTGGATCACTAAAATCCCAATTATTGCATATTTTATATAATTTTGTCATGTTACAGCCTATGATTAAAACAACTGAAAAATAAATGCACAGAAATGATCTTGCCATATAGTACTACTGTGATAATTGGAAATACACAAAACACAGAGGGCTAATGACTTTTACCAGTAAGTTGTTTAAAACGTTTTGACCACATTGTCTTATCTTATGTATAGATATTTATGGGAAAAAACATCCATTAAGTCCATAAAAGTGTCTTTTCAGTGGCCCCTGATTTACTGAATTGCCAATAAAAGAAGATTTCCGATGCAGGTTTCGAGTGCAATAACTAATCATCAAATCAAGGAATGAGAAACTGGTAGTGATCGTTTTTTCAGATGTGCTCCATCTCATGCAGCAGCTTTCTGTTTGTTGTGTTTGGCAAACCACTCGTCGCTTTTATCTTCATCCATAGCCTGAAAGCAGAAAAGCACAAACATGCAGGTATGATCAAAATAAAACGTGGCATATTTTATGTATACATAAAGGAAAATTTAGGCCTCACGCCAACCTTGTTAAGCAGTTCATTTCCTTTAGGGTCCACCATTGACAGCTGTCTGAAAGCCTCATCTCCCACAAAGCAGATTTCATGACCATCCTACCAGAAACATAGTTCAGAGTATATATTTTTGTTGTTGTTGTTGTTTTTACCATGCAGACTGATTTCAAGTTTGTATGTTTTAAAGGCACTTACCGGGTCAGCCAAAATAACCACTTCTACTGTAGCTTTTCCAGGAGTGTCCAGGCTGACTAATGGAGTGAGGATTTTCTGATTTTCCTTTTTCATCAAGGCTTCTAAGTCAGGCAGCTGAGGAGTGTAATTGAGTGTCAGTAACAGATCATTTTCTCCATCATTAAACAATTTAGCCAAGAATCCATATCTTACCTGCTCACGTGGGCATGAAAATGCTATTCTCCCAAATGCTGTTCCATGATCTACAGAGCCAGAAAGATCCTGAAGCTCCAGTTTACACTACACAAAGAGGAAATGCAAAACAAAGACATAGCTGAGTTACTTCCCTGCATGGACAAAAACAAAGTGTACCCCTAATTATTCTTCTTATGTTCCGCTCACTTGCGTGCCTGCAAATCCCATCAGCACTGATTTCTTTTCCTCATTCTTTTCCACCACCTTCATTCCCAAGAGCGTGGTCCAGTAGTGGGTTGATCTCTGCAGGTCAGATACTCCGAGACATACCTTCTGCACAGGATCTGAAAACACACATGCACAAAGGTCACCAACAGGTGATCAATTACAGATGTGTAAACACCAAGTTTTGTTGTAAGACATGCAGTCTGTTTGTATTTTTACATTCTTGGTAGTCCTTTGCCTAATAAATGTGATAAAATTTACACTGCACTTCCAAAATGAACATTTTTGAGCTGCCATAAACTACAACAAGGACTTTTTTATGACACCCACCACTATCAGGCTGTTCTTTGTCCACAATATAGAAAGGATATCCTCCTGGAGCTTGGGTCATGTACAGAGCCTCCCCTACCTCAGTAAGAGGCCATCCCAGGCGTTTAGCATTGCTCACAGCTTTGCTGGACTGCAGAGTGAGTCCCTAAAAGAAAAACATATATTTATTAGCTACTACCTAGGTAGCAGCCACTCTTCCTGGGGTCCACAAGAAGATAGTAAACATTTGTATACATTAAAATTATTAAAGTCCAAACAGGAGAATTATACAAAATGTTAAAATCATAACTAAAACAAGAATTATGATGACATTACATTTCCAATTACAACAGTCACCAATAAAAGCCAAAACAAATGTACTAGTAATCAAAATCCCATTGACATGTATTGTATGTTGTCACAGCCTAGCCTAGGTGTTCTGTTTCTTACAAGATAAGATAAGATAAATTATATTTAAATTATGAATTAGATAGATGAAATTATGACCATTAAAACTGAACAGCAATTGATTAAACAAAATATTTAGCCTTTTATAAACTAAGATTCGCCTGAAGAAGGAAAGCAGAGACACAGTAATGCTCTCTTTCACCAATGACAAGCCTAATTTGATGTGCATTTTGCGGATGTTAGTTCTTCTATCACAGCTCAGTGCTAGTCTTGCAGCTCTGTTCTGGACTAGTTGTAATTTTGTAATGCTGCCTATAACACAACATGTTACTGTAAAAGGTTCCCACTCACCAAGAAATCATTGCCAAGATGATACTCTCCCACCCCATAGTTGTATGTCAGCTCAGCAACAAAGTGGTCATCCTCTGGACCAAAGCCAACCATTGTTTTGCTCCATTTCCCATCGTAGGGGCTGCATGGATACAATGTGAAGAAAGCAGTCGGTTTTGAGGATGAATAAGTCTGTGCACCAGTGTCACCCAGCTCTGTCAGTGTGAAGTTCATAAAGATAAGGATGGAGTTTATCTACCCATTGCACGTCGCTTTGCAGCCTTCTTCAAACTCTTCGTGGCGTAAAATCTACGAATGAATTGTAATAAGAGTCAAATTAAGAATGCATGAGGAAATTACATTAATAAACACCACATAACAAAAGAAACACAATTCAGCTGCGTAACAGTTGTGCAACTCAGCCTTAGATTAGCCGATTATCAGACAAAGTTTCACAACAGCCTCGGTCACATCTGGTACTAAAACAGAGTCTGAGACAGAGTACCTTCATGCCCAGAACATCCCGGTAAAACGTCGCAGTTTTGGCTCTGTCACCCACTTTAAAAACAAAATGAAGAGCTCGTCTCAAAGCCATATTTCTGCAAAGATTGGTGTGTATCGAGCAAGTGGGTGTGTGGGGAACGACTGAGCGTCCTGGATGGTCGATTCCTCCGTACTCGATTGGTTTAAATGCAACCGCTTCTACCATCTGCCAATCACAAATATTAAGAAAAGAGATCTAAGGCACATCAGAATCAATTCTTGTGTTTTATTTTGTCTTTTGAAGTGATTATTATACTGTTAGAAACAGACTTGGCGACTTATTTAAAACCAAAGTGATATAATTACGTTTGCCACCCCTGTCAATTTCGATAAATGGTATCACCCAGTGTCCACAGACATTTTTTTTTTACTTTATTAAAATTACTTTGTACAACCAACATGGTTTATATCTTTTCCAATGTGCCTAGGGAGCAGATGCATAAGAAGAATGAACAAGGGAGAATATGCATTAGAAAATAAGATATCAATGATATGAATAAAAACAGAACAAAACAAACAAAAAGTAAATAAATGAATGAAAGTATTAGCTTGGGTTTTTGCTGTACAAAACCCAATTCCATTGACATTGGGAAATTGTGATAAACGTAAATAAAAACAGAATACAATGATTTGCAAATCCATTTCAACCTATATTCAATTGATTACACTACAAAGACCTATGGTCATGAACTCATAAGAACAAGATCGTGGATACAAGCGTCCGAAGTTGGTTTCCCTCACAGGGTGGCCAGGCTCAGCCTTAGAGCTGAGTCAAACATAGTTTGAGTCAAACAAACATAGTAAAGCATTGTGTTTACTGTAAAAGGCTATGTTCACACTGCAGGTCAATTCCCATTTTTTAACCATATGTGACACATATCTGATTTTTTCATGTAAGTGTGAACAGTGCAATTCAGATTTTTTCTAATCCGACCCAGGCCTCTTTTATTTGTGGTTATAAAACGGATATGTATCCGATGTGACTGCAGTGTGGATGCTCAGGTCACGTTAATCCGACCTATACATCGTCAATATGCTACAAACGTCTCCGCTGTTCAACAACACAAACAGGCGCGGAAAGCAATTTGTGTTTTGTGCTTTGTCGGTCAAGGACGCATCCCGTTCACATTAGACACCGCATTCGTTGTTGTAATGTGAACAACCGCACAAAAAGATCGGATTTAACAAAAAAATCAGAAATTGTGCATCATAACCTGCAGTGTGAATGTAGCCAAAGTGTCATTGGCAGTAAGAATCATAAGCCTACATCAGCAGCAGCACTAAAATGTTTTTATTTTATCTCATTTTTACAACAATATATATTTGATCATAAAAAAAGCATCACTTATACATGCAAAAAATAAAAAATATTTATTTCTATTGTTGATTGTTGTTTTTAGCATCTGTGAGGCAATTTGAACTGCATCTTTTTGTTTGAAAAGTGCCATAAAAATAAAGTTGAATTTGAATAAATCTTAAATGTGATTTTTTGGGGATTTTCGTATTGACTGCTTTTATCTAAACACATTTTTACTCCAACAAAACACGGATAAAGAATGATAAATATTTAATATGTGTAAGTGTTGAGCTATCTGCATGACCACTAGAGGCAGTGTGCAGCTAGTCTGTTAGTGCACCAGCTTCATAAAAACAAGCGAAGAAGAAACGGGACAAACATGGCAGCGTACATGAGAAGCGTGATGTTTGTCGTCTCTATGGAGCGACACGCTCTCCTTTCGAGGAGAAACGGCTTTATTGTTGAACCAAAGCGGTATGTCCGCGGACTGAGGAGGAGGCCCGTTAGAGAGATTTACCCTGACGACGAGAAACACAAAGTCATCAAACCACCGCAGAAACCTGCAGCAGCTGAGCGAAAGGCCAAGGGGAAGAAGGAGACACAAGTCAGCCTGGAGAAAAGCAGACAACCTGAACAAGACAGAGAGTCAAATGATCGGATAGATGAACTGCGATTTGAGAGGGCTTTACCCGGAGACAAGAGACTGGCGTAAGTGTTCAGGGAAGGTGGAAGGTCACAGGTCACCACACTGTCACTCAAAAGGGACTGATCATGACGATTTGTATTATTTATAAGGCTTAGATTAGATTGGATGTTTCAGACACTTAAAAGACTACAGGAAATTTTGTTCATCTTCATCATAGCAGAGAAATCTTTTAAATCAGTAGGGGAGACTGGGGTAAGTTGAGCCACCCCCTGTTGTTTGGAAATGGTAAAAGAAATTGATCATGTGACCAAATATTTAGGGGATGGGCATCAACTCATGGAGTCTGTGAAGGTTAGAAGTGGGGATGGGAATTGAGAACTGTTTCTTGTTGAGAATCAGTTCCAAATGGTTCAATCCATCGACATTGTTTACATTTTATCTCAATTCCCTTAATGATTCCTTTCTTCCGGTCGTCAGCCGCTGCTGCTCCGTCTCAGCAACAGCATGGAAGGTACGTGTGTCCTGTGTTAAGGTCCTTACACACCGGGACTGTTTTTGTCGTGCGATTATTTCGGACGTCAGTATTTCTTTCGAACCCGTATCCTGTCAATACAAGCGTTCACATCAGCAACGTTTTCCCTTTCTGCGATATAGCGGCATTTATTTTTTTCGGATCACGGTTGATTTTTCTAAAGTTTCGCATACTGTGTGTCCACTTCTGACCAATCAGATTGCGTGTTGTTGCAACGATAGATTCACCAGTATATCCAACATATCCGACCGGCCGATTGTTTATGTGTCGGAGAACAGAGTGCTTTTTGATAAAAGACACAACTATTACAAAGATAACGACCTGAAGGACAACTTGTGGAGAGTCATAGCGTCCGATCTCTCTTATGACGATGTTTTGTGAGCTTTAACAGTTTGCTAAACATCTTTGTCTTAGCTTTTATCTGTGCTAACGTAAGTGGTTGTTGCCATAGTTTCATGCGCTTATCTGGCACTGGCCCCGACTCAGTACATGCTATCATGACAGAAAGCCATCTCAACACTAGTGTCTAATCAAAACTGAAAACATTCAGCGACCGTGGTCAAGTTTCAGCTCCTGAACCAAGCAGTGAAACTCACCAAGTTCTGTTCTTTTTTGTAATATTGGATGCACACATGTGCTATGTTTCTTTTTCTTTTGAGAGAGCAAAAGGAGTACCAATTCGCCATCACTTGAAGTTGAATTAGACTCCATTTTTGTCCTCTCGCTTCCACCCGGGACGCTGGTTGTTAAGGGAATTGTCCACATAAATGATCTGAATCTTTACATAGCAAAACAAAGTTATTGCTCTTAGTTTCCATCTTTAACCTTTGTGGGGGCTTTTAAACTTATGTTTTGATGTAGATCATGATGCTACCACAGTTTTGAGTCCGTCTCTGCCTCACTATTTCCTCGTCATCTGTCCTGCAGGAGGGTAGCTAGTGTTGCTCGTTCCAGGAAGTTTCGGGAGAACCAGGGAAAAATCCTCCTGGAGGGCCGGCGTTTGATCTGTGACGCCCTGGATGCTGGTGCCAACCCACAGATGGTGTTCTTCAGTACAGTCGATCGGCTCAGAGAGCTTCCAGTCGAAAAGCTGAAGAAAGCCACCCTGGTCAAAGTCAAGTTTGAGGACATCAAGATCTGGTCAGACCTCGTGACCCCACAAGGCGTGATTGGTGAGAGCTACATGTGTTTTGTTTTCGTTCATTGTAAAGCACTGATACTCTAGGTTAAGTCTGACATAGACATTTTTTTCTCCTGCAGCTATATTTTCTCGTCCAGACCCAACACGGTTGAACTTTGCAAATAAAAGCCACTCTGTGCCGCTGTCTTTGATATGTGATAACATCCGAGACCCCGGCAACCTTGGGACTATCCTGCGATGCGCTGCTGCTGCTGGCTGTGACAATGCTCTGCTCACCAAGGGTAAGCTTGTGTTATCAGTTAAAGAAGTGAATAATTTAGCTTGACCAATAAAAATGTCTTATCTTCTTGCTTGTGCTCTCTCAAATCTAAAACTGTTCCATTGGTAGGTTGTGTTGATGCCTGGGAGCCTAAAGTTCTTCGTGCAGCAATGGGCGCCCATTTCCGCCTTCCCATCTTTCCCAACCTGAGCTGGGAAGATGTTGAAAACCACCTCCCCAAACCTGTGACAGTCCATGTAGCGGATAACAGTTGTGGCACGAGAGGAGAACCAAAATCTGTACTAGAGGTGCCTCACAAGCCCTCCAAAGCAGGAGACCATGGCTGGGTTAGCACAAAGGCCAGTCAAAAGCAAATGCACTATGAGGAATATGACTCTGATTCGGACTCTGATTCGGACTCAGATTCTGATTACGAGGGATTGTCATTACCCAAAGTGGATGCGCAATTGTACCATGAGAGCTGGGCTCAGAAACCCACGGCTTTGGTGATCGGTGGAGAGACACAGGGTCTGAGTATTGAAGCAGTCCAGCTGGCTGAGAAAACAGACGGTCACAGGCTCTTTATCCCTATCGTTCCTAATGTGGACAGTTTGAATTCAGCCATGGCAGCCAGCATTCTTTTGTTTGAGGGCAGGAAGCAGCTTTTGAAGATTATGCAGATGGCTGGAAGGAAGAGGGGATCCAAAGCTGAGCAGCAGATTTCATGATGTTAGCTCCAGATGTCTGTGTGTGACCTCTTGTATTTGTTTGTCCTTGATAGTACAGACTCCAAAGACTAATAAAAATGTCCATTCTACATCCTGCGTACAACTGACAATAAAGCACTGCAGCAATAAAAATGTTTGTCTAGTTAATTCCATTCATGTGCCTTTTTATTTTTTGCTGTTTTTCTAATTCAGGCTGTCTAAAATTACATTTGCTTGTTGTGTTTTCCAACATGAACACCATAGTGGAGGAAAAAACTGTGATTGATTGCTTCAGGTCCAGAGAGCAGGTCCTAGATTCCAGTCGAGCGCTAAAATGTTCACATTACAGTAGGGGTGTATATTGTATTGTAACTTATTAAAAAGTTTGATGCAGGGGTGTGTGTTGCAGTAGGAAATACTCTGATGGTGAGGCCCAGCCTGATGTCTCCACACAATCTACAAATTTTATTGACTCACAGCTGATGAGCTTTAATAAAAAAACATGAACACATTAGTGCAATACTTGAGTTTTTAAGCTGCAGTTGCCAGCTCAGTTGGCTGGTTGTTTCCCCTCTAGCTCATGGCAGTTGGCTAAAAGGAGGCATGATCGTATGGAAACTTCCAGTCTGTATGGAAATTTAAAACCTCTAAACATATCTACCAGAGCTGCCTGCTGCAGTCTTCTTTGTTAATCCATGATGGCAAAATAATGTCACCACTGTGCTTTTTACTGACACGTGGCCTTGGAAAAACTCCCACATTTGACTAGTCAAAGATAACATGCACTTTGTGCCAAACGGGATTAAAATATCACCAAAAAAGCGAAGTACATAGGTGCAGGTAGTCAGACTGATCACAGTGGGCGAATGCATCCTAAAAGCCAGTAGAGCTCTATTTTGTAGTGTGTAAATCACCAAAGCTCAGGTCTATGGGACATCCTCAGGTTAGGATGTGCTGTTCTGCAGGGAACAATAGTTCCACACATACAAGTTCTGCATGACCCAGAAGAGACCCACTTTACATTATCAATATGGACTTAAAAAGAGTTATGAAATTTAATTAGAGTTGATACTTATCACAATTAACTTCTGAAATACAGTAGCTGCGTTGACATGGGCACATATAACCAGAATAAATGCCCAATCGGAATAAAAATGCGTCATGTAAATGTCACGTGAACATGTCCAGCAGAGGATTCGAATCCAATTAGGCTCAATCGGAAAGAAATTGTATTCCGATCGGGAGGGGTGGTTTATGCCGATTGTTATTCCGAAACGCGTCCATTAAAACACTAACTTATTCCGATCGTGACTGTCTTACCTGACTCGATTTTCACTCTTTAGCCTTCGGCTCACTTGTTGAGGCCAGTACAGGAGGTTTCAAAAACACTCTGGCATAAAACACAACCACAGGCGCCATGTCTGCTCTTCCGGTAAAATTATTATTATTATTTTTATTTTTATTTTTTGCTCTTCCGGTAACATAACAAAGTGTACGTACAGCGTAATGATGTCACATCTGCACGCAGCCACGCACAGTGCAACCTTTGACAGAACAGCACTATAAGTAAGCAAGGGCGCCATCTAGTGACAACATTCAACAGGGGAAAAACTGCTGAATTGGATGAAGTGAGTCACTACCGTGTTTGTTGGCTTGTTGACAGCACAGGCGTAAATACAACTCTTCTTCTGCGATTGTTGTAGCGAAATTAGACAACTCTGCGCATGTCTGAGTAAACCCTGGTGTATGTACACGCACGTCACGATCGGATCATTTGATTTGGCACCCATATAATCAGTGGATTCTGATTATCCGATCCCTCAAATTTTTAATCGGATCAAGAAATTTTGCACATGTAAACATGGCTACTGATAAAAATGTTATCATTTTACACCCTAATAACTGTGATGCATGTTTGTACATGCTCAGCAGCTGCATATTCACATTTTTCTTGCACAAATGTAAGAAGAGGAAGGTCTCAAATAAGCCTTTAACTTGTGTTAGGCAAGTGTGGGATAATCCTCTCCATCCTTCCTAAAACTGTAGTTTAATGAGCAGAGATTTTAACAGAACCATCCCACATAAACAGGATCATATGTACTCATACGGTCTGATGTCTGCGCCTCACAGAGTTGCATTGATCTCATGTCTATATTCAAAAAAGAAATTGCTGAGTCATGTTAATGGGTCCGTTTAACATGTTCAAGAGCTAACTTTATTGGCAGAACTTAAAAAGCATCAAAACCTTGTGCTTTGCCAGTGAATATTTTTAATGGGTGTGAGAAGTCATGACTGGAGTAACAGAGTTCAGGGATTTATACATTCAACGCTTTTCAAACACCAGTTTTTTTGTGCCTTCAGAATCAGCCCGACCTCCTCATTAGGGGACCTTCACAGAAAATCCTCAAAATGATATTTGAGATGAGAACCACCGCTAACAACTGGCAAGAGATGACTTTCACTCACATCATAACGCACGACAAGACACAGGGGCTTAAAACATCAGTCATTGGTCTGTTACAAGCAGGTATAATGTAATCTTAAGGGTATGTGCACCTGTCAGGTTTTTTTTTTCTTTAAATAGGGCCATAAAAGGCTTACGGCTACATCCAACTACATCCAAAAAAAAGCTTTCTCAACATCATTCAGAAAGTAACGAGGAACTTGCAGACATAAAAAGCAAAGAATCAGCTGAATAAGTAGGTCCACTGGGTTATTCTCTGGTTTTCTCTAGAGTTCAGAAAAGCTATTGAGTGAAAAAAAAAACACTTTTCTCAAGGCCAAAAACAGAACCAACAGAATCTCCATATATATTACTGTAGGGACTATCATCAATGCAAGGCACCACAGGAGAAAGAGGACTCCATGAAAAGAGGAACATGTCTAAAAAAAGGTTAAAATGTCAGTAAAAAGTGAGACATCTCTCTAACAGTCATGGGGGAGAGATAGGTGGAAGGCTGAGGGAGGTGAGGAGGGGGGCATGATGGAGCGAGTCCCATGTAGTTTAGTTCAATTCCTATCCGGATGTCCCCTTTAGATGGGCTCTGGTTTGAGCTTTTCAGCCAAGAAGTCGCTGACAAACTGATCCACTATGGCCGGCGTGATCTCCTCCACGTCGCGGACGTACTTGGCTCGGGCAGACATGTCCAGGATGGTGAGGAGGGGGGCCGCTTCAGGGAGGTTGGTGTAGTCACGCAAGGAGTCGCTCATGTCATCCTGTGGGAGATGAGAAAAAATGACATGATTAGAATAAAATATGAGGTTACATAATAAGTACATGCCTCACATTGTTGAAGGTAAACTCTACGTACATTTATCTACTGCTTATTAACAGTTTCCTTTATTGTTTTATTGTTAAAGCACCCAAAAGGAGTTTTTATATGGTTGTGAAATAGACTGAAATTGATCTTCATGTCTTTTTATGACCTTTAAAAAAAAACAAACAAGACCATAAACAAGAGGAGTGATTATTTCTGTATAGCTCTTTTTAATCTCTGGAACCACTAGTAGGAGGTAGGTGTCAGACTAGGTGATTACTGCATCCTGCTTATTTCATGTTTCATGGCGCTGGTTCTTGATTTGCAATACATTTGACTGTTTGAAGTGAGTATTTTTGTTAAAATACATAAGAAGTCTACAGGACAAAACCAGAGGATGTAGAGGGTAAAGATTTGTCCACTTGGGGGCGCCAAAATCACCACAAACATAAATCACCACACATTCTCTTTTCATTAAACAGAAACAGCTGAATTAAAGCTCCTGTGAGGAATTTTTTCAAGTTTCTGAAACAGACTGAAATTCATACTGATGTCTTTCCATTATAAACAAAATCAAACAAAAACATTAGAAATAAGATAGATGATTATTATTTTTAATTTTCAACACCTGAAACCTGTGAGGGAGGGTAGGTGTCAACAAATAAAGTAGCCAGATATGATCGGTAGCATAAAAGCAGAAACCAGAACAGTCTTGTCATATGGACTCATGAGGAGGAGCTAATTATTATATTTACATGATTTCACTTTTTGTTTTTATATTAGTTTTGATAAGATGATGAACATCCTTTCGCCTCCTGATGCTCATCTTACATTATGTTATTTGCTCTTCTATTTCTAACCTTCATACATTTTTAATGCTGCTGACAGCTGAGGATCTGCTAAACATGAAAATTCACATACCAGGATGTAAAGGTCTATTTGAATGAAATGTCTACAATCTGTTGATATGTACAACCTAGACACGGTTTTGTCTGAGAGGACTCCAGCTCGATAAAAGGACTAGCAGCTGCAGGATTTAGATTTTTTTAAAGGCATCAACAAGCTGCTGAACTTTAAGTGGAGCACTTTATCTTCAGCGCATGATAAAGAGGATTGAGATTGACAGATTTTTGCTCATGGCAAAGGCCGTCTCCGTCATTGGGCCTTGTCTAAGCATAAGTCCATGCTAACGTGACATTTAGAGTACTCTGACGAACATGCAAGCCAAACACTGGAAACCTTCCAGGAGAGAGGAAATTACACATTTCTCTGCTCCTCATCAGTTCAGACCTGCTCTGAGTGAAGAAAACGCCAAATACCTCAACTGTGTTACATTAGAATTACCCCATAAAACTCAGAAGCGCCTGGTTCAATCTTTATTAATGCAAACTTCTTGAAAGAGAATATGTAACTCTTTCTCATCTTCCTGCAGGCAGCCTACCCAGAGAGACCAGAGAGCTGCTGCTTAGTCACGCATCCTGCTGTGTGCACAGACAGGAAGGAACCAGGTGGGGGTCCAACAACATCTTTGCTTTATTGTGAGAAGCTCAGTTACATCAGATTTCAGTCTCACCACAGAGCAACCGAGCAGCACATGCAAGCGGTTGTTGCGAGGGATTCCGGTTTGATGTCTCTGCTTTAATTTGAAAGGGCCTCGCCCACATGCTGCCTGGGGCGTGATGGCACTTTTCAACCTTTAACAAGTCAGGATTACAACCTCTGTAGCTGCAAGTAACATGAATCACAGGCAGCAGGCTGCAGCTTTCAAGTGAGCATGAGAGAGTCATTAATTATTTAGACCAAATGTGAAATCCCTGTTTCACAATTCTCAAATTCAGACTTTTACTTCTTCTTCAACAGAGAAACGCCGTTCTGATATTTTCAGAAATAGAACTTTAGCGTCATCCTTTAAAAGATGGAAGCGCTCTGATTAAATGTGCGCAGCCTCCATCGTTTCAGACTTTTACTTCCCTTGTGACAGCTTGACCTGAGTTCCCCTCAGTTAAGTTTTTCTGGCTCAGAGGGAGATCCTCAAAGATTAAAAATCAGTTTCATATGTTACACATTAAGCCAAAAATGTAGAACTAACTAAAAGGGGCCAGAGGGGGGCAGTGCAACAAAGGCCGGGACCTCTCATGCAGGCAGGCAGGGCCTCTGATGTTAATACTGTTACTGATTCGTGTGCCAATGTGCGTTTTGTCCGAACAAAGTCAAAGATAAAGCGACTCGGGATGGATTTCCCCCCTTCTGGAACACTCAGGCATCCAGGTCTCTCTGTTGTGTCTCTGTTGTTATCAGAAAATCCTGCAGCTATTCTTGCTAAATGGATCAAACCACACAATCAGCTCTCAGACCTCTTTCTGAATAGCTTGGCTGCCTTGCTACCTAAAAAGGGATAAGTATGCCAGGATGAAGCCTGTGAACTCTGCTTTCCTAACAAAACTACTAACAGATGGAACAGATGAGTTGTAGTGTGGTATGTCTTTGCAGGCAGTGAGCTTCCTCCCTTTATTACACTGCAAATCACTAAACAGTGACCACTTAATACTCACAGATGTTAGCTGTCACTATGGACAACGTTGTTGCGGGTGAAATACTGCTTGTTCCTGCTACTGTAAATAAAAGCTTTGCCTGGCTTGCTTGCTTGCTTGCAGCCTTGATAAGTGCAGATTATGGATCAAGAAAAAGGGATAATCTGTCTCTGTGGCCTTTCCAGCCTCCCTGATATGAGGAGATGTAATCTCTGCCAGCATAGGAAGTCATGCATCTTCTTTTGTTTGGCGTCTCTGCTTGTGTAAACTGCTTCTCGTGGGGTGCAGCCATTCCTGAAACGCCCCCTCCTCCTCGCCCTCTGCAGCTCGGCCTTAATAAAAAAAAAAAAAGAAGGCAAACGGGGGGCCTCACTGCTGTAGCTCGCACTCAGCTGTGATAAGGCTAAATGTGTGTGTGTGTGTGTGTGCTCACAGTGTGGACCTGCTGGGCCGTGTCAGGCTTATTCTGACTACTGATGCGCTGTGGCATTTCACAGACGATGACCATCTGATAAGGCCTGAACTGAGAATGATAACAAACCCCCTCCCCTCCATCCCTGCTGGCCTCTGAGTCGGGGGGCTTTGTCCGTCTCACTGAGCAGCTTTGATGGATTTTGAAAAAGCTATCATTGTGAAATTTGGGATACTTCCATGGAGATTTTGCTCATCTATTTATTTAACCAAAAGTGAAACCACGTTCGCCTGATGTGTGCTTACGTGGGATAAACAACCGGGTAGATTTCAACAAATGAGAAGCAAATACTGTGTACATGATGTAACCCGACTCTAAATTTAATCTAAACAGCTGCACTCCTTGTGTTTTAAATACCAGCTTTGAAATGAAACAGTATGAAAATCAATGTCATGCTATCGGCTCTGCGGGGATAAACTCAGAGCTGCAACTGTCTTGGCTCATCTTTGATTAAAAACCAAGCACAAGCATGCACACAATAACAAAGCATGACAAATTAGACAGCGACAAGACCTGGACCAGAAAACTGCATGATTTTTGCATAATAAATGAGGAAAGTTTGCATGTTTGATCATCTGTCCGATCATCTGAGCTTCATATCTGAGAATTACTGAAAGGTAATTCAAGGGGGGGCATCACTGACATAAAGATTCAGCCACTTGGCACCATCGCCACAACTAAACCACATATAAATCCAGTGCATTGGTTAACCTCATGGTGGCGCTAGAGGAGAATTCAAGTAACTAGCCACTCCACTAGCACGGCTAAAAAGATAATATTTATTGAGCTTTATCCACAAAAAAGATCATATGAGAACAAAGAGGCCTCAGTCACCGTTGTTTGCCTCAAAATAAGTGAAATTCTTGTGTGACTAGATAATTCCACCAGAGCTGGTTTTTGGACGAATCAGCCAGTTTACAGCAGAAATGAAAGGACAAAGGATCTACATGCTGCTTTTATAATTCAGTTTACCACTCTGTGGTGTACAGTTTAGTCAGTGGGGTAACAGGATCTTGTGTCACTCTGCTCAGCCTCCCCCTGAGAGACTGCCAGCATACTGCTGTCTCATGGACACAGAAAACCCAGCAGCTGGCCTGGCAGGGAGCCTGTTACAACCAGTGCTAACCCAGGCTGAGGTGCAGGAGTCTGAGCCCGGAGCCTTGAAGCTCTGCTCTCTGAACCCCTGAGAGGAGAGGTGATACTTTACCGTGAACCTGATCTGGAAATGAAACCCAATGATTTTACAGCTGGTTGTGCTCGAGCCAAGAAATTATATTAGAGCTATATGGATTATAAAAACTCTGCCTCAGCTTGAGTGAAACAAGGCAAACCTGGACCGCAGGAAGCTCATGAATAACTCTGAGAGCTGTGTGTGTTACAGGCAACAGAGTTTCTTTGTGTAAAGTCAAATAAACAAAAACACACACAGACAATGAGTTTGAAACTTTATCACGTCAGCGCTCGTCTTTCTGAAAATTTGAGCTTTTCTAGTTCAGGGTGAGCATGTCAGTGACATTTCAAGCCTGACATCAGGGTGGAGCAACTTTGCACAGACACACACGCAGGGTCAGACAGTCAGCACATGTGCAAGTCTAACAGCCGAAATCTGAGCCTGCCCTGGAGTGTGTGACACGAGAAACCAGTGCAGTCCTCCCAGACTGCTGGGCACAGAGAACTGGGAGGGTGGGGATCAGAGGGGCGGGGGGAGGCAGGGAGAGAGGTGTCTAATCTGGTAATTACGTCTGCTGCTGCTGCTAACTCCTCCGGCACCGCAAAGGTCGAGACAGAACAACATGAGATAAGAAGAGTTACAAAAACTCCACAGACCCGTCCCACTCGCGGAGGATGTGGGAGGAGATAAATTAGGAGGTGGGAGGATTATCTGGAAAGAGGGAGAAAGTTTGACTGGCACGCTTCTGGTCCACTCATCATGATAAAAGCGCCAGGCTGAATTCTGGGTAATGGATAGGAGTGGGAAAGACTCTTGCGGGTTCAAGAGGCTCAATGAGGGACTTATGATGCTGTCATTTGGGAAGAGACACAAACCAGAGACCTACATAATATCATTGGAGCTTGACTGACTGATTGGTCAGACAAAAACTGATCCAGTATCAATGATGTTAGTAAATTCAAAGACTGTTAAACATCTCTATTTTCATATTTCTTAATTGTTAAGCAGCTTAGCGACCGTTTTAAAGGCACGGTGTAAAGAAATGGAAATATTTAGGGATATCTAAGCAGTCTGATTCTAGATTCTAGAGGCTACCTGCTACACAATAAACAGCTTCGCATAAAAAAACATCTGGGAGTAGATGACAAACACAGTGGAGCAGTTAGCACCACTTTAAGAGGTCAGAGGAGACCAAACAAAGCTAACGCACGGATGAAAATTGATTCAGCACTCATCCTTGTCCACCAAACTATGAAGGTCTCTGTTCTGCACCTTTTTGGGGAACCTGCCATGAATGTTTATAACATTTTGGTGTTAAAAAAAAAAACATGAAGTGAAATAAAATGATGAAAAGCTCTCAGATCTCCAGAATGTTAAAATATTAACAGCAGCATCTGCTTCAAATATCCAGCATCAGACTGTTGCAGGATTTACTGACAGCACATGAAACACTCCCAGGTGTGTTTCTGTGCGTCCTTCGAGAACAAACCCAACTCCAGCTCTGCTTCTTTCTTTGAAATGGCATTTTACTCTGTCTTGAGTGGCATCGAGTGCCTTATCTCACCTCTCCAGCCACAAAGAACAGCAGCGGCGTCTCCTCCTCCTTGGCTTTGTACTTGGCCACAAGCTTCTCTGCTATTGGCTGGATCAGCTCCTTGGCTGGCTCCAATTCACCTTCCTCCTCCGCGTCTGAATGAAACCGAAATAGAGACACAGAAAGACATTAAAGTGTGTAAATAAAGCCACCTGGGAGAGGAAGAATGTGCAGATAAAGAAAATTCAATGCAAGGAAAGAAAGACAACTGCTGAATGGATGAGTGAGGACGCGAAAGGAACTGCACAGGTGGTTTCTGATTGTTTTTAATCCAAAAGAAGCGCTTAAGTTTCAGTCCTCACAAAACCAGCAGCAAACTGCATGTTTTCTTATTTTTGCACCTTCTACATTAGCATATAAATAGGTAGATAAACACTAGAGCGCCCCCCGATGACCCATTCAGCTCTGCAAGAATTCTCCACAGAGTCTGACGTTCAATATGCTCGATGTAAAAGCTACTGAAATCCCACGCAGAGCCACTCACCCACGAACAGGACGAGGCAGGGCCCCTCGTGGAGCTGCACAGCGTTGGACTCGCTCAGCTCCAGCACGGGCCGGGGGTGCCAGGGAAAAAGGCGGCACTCTGGGTCGTTTAGCACCTCCACGCGGCCCTGTCGTGTGATCATGTGACCCTCCGTGTCCAGGAGAATCAGCGTGGGAATACCTGCAGAGACAGTTTGAGAGGGGAGCAGGAAATTAGTGCAGAGATAACAAATATAAGGTTGTGATTTTTCTCAGAATCAGAATCAGAATCATTTATTAATGGCCATAAAACAGGGTTGGTAGAATTTGTTTTCAGGTACAGCACATCGTGCTTCCATCTCCTGTGTCGGATACAAACATGCATGCAATTTACTTCAGATAGCAGTTTAGTGTCTGTATGGCAGTGGGGAAGAAACTATTCTTGAATCTGTCTGAGTTGGCTGTCAAAGACCTGTGGGTGTGTAAGGTCTGCGGTGACTTTCAGTGCTCGCTGTGCGACTTGTCTTTGATACAGAGTCTCTATGGACGGGAGGGTGTGTCCAGTGATTTTGGATGATCTGTTGATTATGTGTTGAAGTTTTGTGCGTGAGCGACTGTCCAAGTTCCTGTACCAGACTATTATTGATGATGTGAGGAAACTCTTAATTATGGCTGTGTAGAACTGACGGAGGATAATGTGTGTGACTCTGAACTTTTTGAGCTGTCGCAAAAAGAAGAACTGTCTTTTATTGGCTTTTGAGTGTGTTATCGATGTGTACTGAGGAATTTAAAGGAGTCTGTGATGGTTATGACTTCGGAGTTGATAGAAAGGGCTGTTTTGGGTGTGGATGAGTGTGAGAAGTCTATTATGAGTTCCATCCATCCATTTTCTACTGCTTATTCCCATACCCGGGGTTGCTGGGGGACACCCTGGACAAGTCGCCCGTTCATCTCAGGGCTGACACATAGAGACGAACAATCATTCATGCTCACATTCACACCTACGGACAATTTTGAAAGTGGCCAATTAAACCTAACCCCACTTCTGCATGTCTTTGGGATGTGGGAGTAAACCGGAGTAAACCCACGCAGACACAGGGAAAGAACATGCAAACTGACCCGGATTCGAACCCAGAACCTTCTTGCTGTGAGGCGACAGTGTGAACCACTACACCACTGTGCCGCCCCTATTATGAGTTCCTTGGTTTTTGATGAATAATGTATGCAAATTTTAAATTTGATGCCTCGGTGCAAAATGACTGAGAATTACTCGCACTGCATTAAAAAACAAACATGACTCTGCAGTGGAAGTCGCTACATGGGCTCAAAAAAACTATTGTCTGTGAACACAGTTTATTGCTCCATCCACTAATGCAGATATTCAACTGTATCATGTAAAGAGGACGCCATCTAATAACATTCTCCCACTTCTCTGGGCCTGACACCTCAGCCTTTTCCTGGATCCAGCTTGTTCTCTGCACACAGTTCAAATCCAGCATTTTTGATGGTACAGGGATGCATGAGAGCCCAGGGTGCAGGTAGCTTAAAGATGTGGAAAGACACCACTAATGCTGAACAAACAGGCAGGTTTCAAAGCAACGTACGCTGCAATCTTGACAACGCCTTTAAGGGAAAACCTCGCGTGATAATACAGCTGAAAGATGCCAATATTGTCAAAAAGTAATGCAGCCTTATCCGAAACAGATCAATCCAAGATAAACTATCTTTCAGGAGTCTGTCTGCTCATGTGGTGGGGGCCGTCATGAGCTGCACGGGTGCATGAGCAGAGGCAGTGTTGACTCGTCCTCAGTACATTCCTCACATTCTTTGCAGGAGAGGTCGAGCTCTCGCCGCAGTCCTCCGCACACGCAGCAGAGGGAGGAATCAGGAGGAACGAGCCAGGCGCAGAGGGAGAGGTACAGATCTTCCATAATGAACGAGACTGTAAATTTGATAAGCGGCCTACATTCCTCGAGCTGCACGGGGATCTGTGTTTCTGTTCTGAGGAGAATCCGCCATCGTGCCCAACAGAAAATAGTCCTCTGATACTATGATGACGTTGATGTGAAATACCTTGTATTCCATAGAGTCTGTTGAGTCTCGATCGCCGAGCCTCGTCTGAATACGGCACCGCCAACCATGGCATCTCGCTGAAGTACTGTTTAAAGGACTCCTCTGACCTGAGGGCGTGCGAAGAAAACAAATCACAATCAGTCTCACTCAACAGCCAAGAACAGATGATTTTCAAATGTTGTCCAGAGTGAATCCTACCTGTCAGCGCTGACAAACACGATCTCAAACTTCTGTCCGGACTCTTTGACAGTCCGATACGATTCCACCAAGACGCGGGTCAAACTGCGGCATGGCGGGCACTGTCAGGACGAGAAAGAAGAATAAAGACAATTTTAAGAGAGTGGGGAGTTTAAAATGTCCCAAGGCTTTTATAAGCTCCACAAAAACCACTATCTCTCTCTTTCATTTCAGATCCAGACTCTTTGAGATAAAACCAACACCTCCTGAAAAATAATCCCGCTTTAATACTCTAGCTTGAGCCTGTTTGTTTCTCTGTGTGTGTGAATGAGTGTGTCAGTATTTGGAGAGCAAACACTCTCTCTCCAGGCTGTGGAGTGGAGGGGGGGTCGACGGTATGGCTGGCATTAGGATGACATCAGAGTACCATGGCAGCATTAAGCCAAACAAACATGCCTTGACTTCCAGCTTCCCTCTCTGAATACTCTGTGTTCTTTCTGTCAGCTCCTCCAGCTCTGCAGGACATAGTGAAGAATAATAGTAGAACGTGTTGAAGGGGTGACTACTTCTCCTATTTTTTACTCTTTAGTACATATTGAATAGAAAAAAACAGCTAAGAGAGATTTTAGAGATAATGGTGGAGTTCCCTTTGGGATTAGTTTGTTATTAACGGCGAAATTAGCTTCATGATTTTCATTTACTAGAATTTTCTCTGCAAAATGAACTTTATTATATTTCACACAACATCAGAAATAAAGTGAGAAACATGGTTAAAAGGAGAGCTGTCACAATATACAGTTTTATTGAACCTTTTTTGAGGTATTGATCCACTGAACATCTGCACCTCTTAAAGTCCCGCTTCGATCTTTTTTTTTTACTACTTAAAGTGTTATCAGTGGTCTGTAAATTGTGATTATGAGGTTTATTTTTTATTATTATTTTTTTTCCCATGTTATCTTCATTGGCTTTTCTTCTGCAGAGCTCGAGTAGATCATTAGCAATTTGCCTCTGAGTCGTGGGCGGAGACAGCGCAGCTCTGCACACTCCTCTTCACGCTAACTTGTAGCCTAACATTGCCGGTGTAGAAGAAGAAGAAGGTAATAAAGAAGCTATTTAGCTCTCGGACATTAAATGTCTTTAGGGACACGAAGAAAGTTAATATCATAATTAGCTTTCTTACGCTTATTCCGTGATCGTCCTCTCTATTTCTCCTCTATATGCAAAGTCTGGCCTGCATATCGGGGCTTCGGGGGGCGGAGCTTGGATTGGTTACATATGAATTCTCACTGTTTCTGAACCTGCCATTTGGGTCTGCCAGAGATTCACAGTGATTTGAATGAAGAAATACTCAGAAATGCAATTTAGTTTCCTCATGATTTGTCCTGTAGCATCAGAAAAACACCAAATGAACATATAAAAACTTTAAGTGATTAGTTAAGTGTTGTCTTTCCATGACTCACCATCTACCTGAAGTACAATCCTTCAAAATAAAAGCACAACATAACCATGCAGGCACTAAAGCAATCCAAACAAGACAGGAACATCCTTCAAAATAAAAGCATGACTTTTTTTTGTTTGTTTTTGGCCATGTCTTCTACAAAATAGTTTTGGTCACAGGACTGGTAGTGTGGTTAAATCATAAATTTAGACATTACTGGAAACAAAAACATGTTGTAATTGCATATGAGGTAATGTGTCACTCTGCCCTTGTCCTGCATTCCCTCAGTTTTGCTAATTGTGTTACTTCATATTCAAGTTTTACGATGAATGCTGCGTTAATATTGTTATTGCAAAAGGCTTTTATTGCTTGCTGGTGACTGCACCACCATAAATTAAATTAATGTACTAAAAAAGTCTAAATTCCATAATCTGGCACGCAGTAAATTAACTTTAAGTTATTGATTAGATGCAGGCTGGACTTCATTACCACTTAGAGTGATTACAGTGGGTACAGTGTGTCAAACGCTTTAATTGATCCACTCATGAATACTGATCACACCGACAATAGAGAAGCAGAGCGGACTTTTCCTCTGGATTTACACTGTATGATGTACAAAACTCCTCAGTTTGCTCATCGTGTTCACAATGAGAGTCCTCTTACTGGGTTTTGTTTGCTAAATTCTTCAGCTGCACTCTGCTTTTGTTTAATGTTTTTACTCTAATAACACAATCTCAAAGAAAAATCACACTCACACTGCAGGGGGAAGACAAATGAAGAGTGAAATATAGGTCATGATTCTCCGCCACGGGCCATTTAACGTCCCCAGAACATTAGAGGGGGAGAGGGGAGGAGAGGGGTGGGGGTGATCACATGAACTTCTGTGGAAATGAATGCTCAGGCCAGGTGCTGGCAGTTCCTCTGTGAAATTACTCAAATAGAGGGTAGATTTACACCAGCTACCACAGGGAGTTTGATGTTAAAATACCACAAATAAATTCCTCTAATGGCTTTTGTGACTTGTCATTTTTAATCTATCACAGCTCTGGGGTGAGAGCCAGCTTCAAGGCGTCACCGGTCTGCAGCGCCTGGTCTCTGAGGCTGCGGCTCTGGCAGCTGCCGAGCTGACTGGCCCGGGTCGAGGCTGCGCTGCATCTCATCAGAAAGAAAGAGTCCACGGATGATAGAAAACACCTCGTCTGCATCAGCGAGTCACGACCTTTTCAGGGTATCAGCAGGTCCAGCAGAGACAGAGACAATAGAGATGATGTCAGAGGGGCGTGGTGAGTGATGCCGGCTCAGACAAAGGTCCAAAGGTGGTGGTGAAAAGACTGACAGCCAGAGTCAACCGCTGTTAATGTAAACACACAAACACAATGGAGTCGCCTCCACCCTCCTGCTTCTTTCTCTTATCTGTCTCCACGAAGCGCTCCGTCTCTTCCTGCTCCGCTCCGCTGGTGATGCCCTTTCTTCCCAGCCATGTTTCTGTGTTTTGACAGACCCAGGAGGCCGGCAGAGTAAAACAAAAATCCAGGTCCTCTTTGTCCCCCCCCTTTTCCTTTTCTCTCCTGTCTGCGTACTCACCCAGTGTGCGGAGAAGTACACTCCCACATAGTGTCCCTCCAGTGAGCTGCTGTCTGTCGTCTGCCTGTTGTTCCTGAGCAAAGGCCCTGCCACCACCTCCGCAAATGGCTTCGGCCCCCAGGGGAACTCCAGGCCTGAGAGGAGGAAGGAAAGTGGAGCAGGAGATGGAGGACGGGGAGAGATACAGAGGCAAAAACAAGCAGGAGAAACGTTGGAAAACAAGCGTAAATGCTTACAGCGACTGTGCTAACATGCTGAAATTAAAGAGTCAAGTCTTTAGCAGTTAATGAGGGTAATAACATCGAAGACATCAAACAGCTCCCGCTCTTTAGCAGATATTTGGTCATGAATTGATTCTGACCCTGGTGTTCATTTAGACATCTGCGGATAATCAAAAATTAATGAGGCTGGGAATATGAATGCGGACCAGATTTCCTTATAATCTTAAAGTAGTTGTTTGGGTTTGACTCCAACACAGAAAAATCCACTTAAACCTTGAATTAAATTTTGATTTGGAAACTAATGTCATCAGAAATTGTTCTATTAGGCTCCAGATATCTGTAACAAAGACGAGAGAATCAAAACATGATCTTAGATTCATTATGACCATGCTGTCAAATCAGGCATGAACATTTAATCAAAAGAGAGTTTTGTGCAGTCTTTCGAAATCCCAATCGATGGAACCACAGTCCAAAACTTCTGAAGCAGAGGTTCGGCAATCATGTGCCATGGAGAGCCGAGAGGCTGCAGGTTTTCTTTCCAACCCGAAACTCCACCAGGTGATTTCACTGATTACCTTACCTCCAAGCAGAGAGCAGGGACTAATCAGTGAAATCACCTGGTGGAGTTTGGGGTTGGAAAGAAAACTTGCAGCCTCTCGGCCCTCCATGGCACATGATTACCCACCCCTGTTCTAAAGGACCAAACGTTGGAGGTTTACAAGCTCAAAATTACAAGTTTAGTAGCTCACGTGCTAAATAATTTCATGCCACAAATAAACACCTTCCCATTTTTTGATTAGAGAGTAATTATAAGTCTTGATATAAACTGTCATCCATCCACAAAGCTGTATATTTTGTAGTCATTTTGGTTCCGTTGAAAATGCAGACCAGCATCAAAATCTGCTTTTAATGAGGACTGAAAGCAAAGCCCCTCAAGCAGATGAAGGTTACCAGAAATCCTCCCTGTCTGCTCCCTTTCACACGTTTTATTTCCTTTTCTTTGTTACCATCAAACTCAAGAGATGAATTTAAAGCGGCTGCATTTAAAAGAGGAGGTAATAATGATAAATAAAACCTTGTTCCTCTCCTTCATAATGGTTTCTTTATGAGAGCGTGGTTGTCTAGGGCGTCATTAGGCAGGAATGACATGTCTCCACTGCGCCGCTGCAGCGTTTTTATTGTTGTCCTGATTGTAAAAGTGCACTCCATCTTTACGCTGCAGGCGAGTCTACCACCACTCAAGTCCAGCCTTTCACTGAGAGTGAAAGAGAGAGGGGCTCTGAAGCGTAACCCCGCCCCTCCCTGTCGTGATTTTCGGCAAACTTTAATGCCATTTTCCTTCTAACCAGAGCTTGAATTGATTTGTCACAACATGAGCCGCTCCCAGTCTGCCTCGCCAATAAAAAGGAGCATGAAAATATGTCAAAATGTGCAACGAAGCAAAAAGCGAAGGCCCACTTCCCCTTTAAAGTGGTAAAGAATTGGAACATGGAGGCATAATCAGATGCCAGTGCTCATATTTGCAAGTGAGGTCAGAGATTAATCTGTTTTCTGACCATATGAAGTTTGGAGAAACAGTTAATGTATCATGGATAATACTGCAGGTTTGGACCAGCTTCATTAACCAGGCTGAAAAATCTGTCACAATCATGCCAAATCCAGTCTGCTTCGACGCTGAGCTGCCACCGTCCTGCTCTCCTCTCTCCTCATATGACTAATGGTTTTTTCCACCCTGGTCTAACAGGGTCTGAAGAGGCAGCGTTTTAAATACTGAGAGATTTTCAGCCGCAGAGGACGTCCTCCGTTCAGGAAAGGAATGCAAGTCGGCTCTTGTTAATTCTCTGTTTCCACTTCAAAGCGCAGAAATTATAGGGTTTGTAGATGAGTGAGAGAAGCGATGATATTCACGCAGCACCATAATTATAAAAGCATCAACACAAGCAACGTGGGAAAACATAAACGCTCAATGTTTGGAACTGTGTGGTACCGAGGTGTCTGCACCAGGAACTCTGACTGGGCATGTCGTAAACACCAACGTGGAGAAAATGTGTCTGCAGGTGTGAGCTCAGTCGCCGTACTTTCAACAGCTTATCTCACTGTCAACAACTTTAAATACCCGACATATTATTTTGGACTGTTGCAACGTCTGGTGTGATTTTGAGTCCAGCTGAAAACTAAAGTTTTGAAAGATACTGAGGTCATTTCCTGAATGAACGCATGGCAACTGTTGTTTATATGTGTTGCTCACGCACAATTGCATGTGTAGTTTAGCTGCATGTTTAAAGAGAAAACTAGCTTTTCTTCATCATTGGATGGCTACATGCACAGTTTAAGTTGGCGACTTAACTAGACTGCAGTCCAAGTTTACAAGCACTGAGCAAGAATTGAATTATTGACAGAAGCATGTACACTTCTTCTGCGGTAGATGGCGAATCTCTTTTTACTATCAGGTCGTCTCCCAGTTAGTAAAACATGTTAGCGAGAGGCTAACGGAACATGTCTTTTACGTTTGATGGGAAAGTTTCGCCTTTCTTCGTCCAATGAAGTTCAAGAAGTGTGATTTTAGTTGGAAGTTAAAAGCATAGACTGTATATAGAATGGACAGAGTCTGCCTCCTCACTGGGTGAAGCCACTCCGAGAACAGCACCCTCTGGTGACAGGCTGCAGTATAGGTCATAAATCCCGCCTCCACCAGCAAAGCTTATGGGGCTGTGGACAAACTTTAGAAATTTATTACACAAAACATAATTTTTTCTCCCCCCTGGTTGTGATGTTGACATTTAGTTATTGTCAGACTGGTTTGTGCTCAAGTCCTCTTTTTTCTGTACAGCTCCGTTTTTAAAAGTTACTAGGGGGTTCATGTTTTCTTTGATTGACACTTGATACAGCTTATGGGTGTACAAAGATTGCATAGCTCACCTGGGGGATATGCTGTTTGAGCCAAGTGTCGTCAAAGCGACTCTCGGAACTCTCCCGCCGAATGCGCACAATGCTACTGCGCTATGTTGGTTTCAGGAAATTGAGAGAAAACGCGAAACTACCGAAAGCTTTTTGGCTTCAAATCTGAATACTGGCGAAAGGCGGAACCAAGTTGTCCATAGTATATACAGTCTATGTTTAAAAGTCAAGTTTGGTCAGACTATAGCAACAAATAGATTTTTTCATTTTTTCAAGTTCATGCAGAAGTTCATGACAGAGACGGAGAAAAACCTTCATGTTCAAAAGAATGGCCAATGTGTGCTCGCTCAGACCCCTGTGCTCTTGTTGAGAAAAGTTGAACTCAGAGTTTACTGTCTGATAATAAAATGTGGGTTTGTGATCTTTGTGTCTAAATAAAGAGGCCATATTCAATCTACCAGCAGCTCTGTGAAAGTCAACGAATGAAGCATGTTACCCACAAAGATTTCATGGTTGCAGATGATGACAAAGTGTGTCATAAACTGATCTAGACCGTCATGTCCTTTTGACCCTCAAATGTTTTCCTATTACCCCATTAAAGAGTGATATTTCTGCGGCTGATTGGTTTGTGGTGAACCATTTAGTAAAGTGGGATTAAGGTCAGAGCTCGAGGTCAGGGTCTGAAAATAAATCAGTGCTGGCTCTACCAGTAATGGATGTGTGTGTGTGAGTGTGTGTGTGCAGGTCTTACCTTTAGGGTCGTCTCTAACCACCAGTAGACCGTTTCGACACACCACCTTCCCCGTAGCTGCGTCCACAAACACCAGAGATGGGATACTGGTTACCTTGTACTTGTTCCAGAGTTTCATCTGAGGAGAGAATAAGACATAAAGAATAAAAGGTTAAAAAAAAAAGTGAGAGCAAAGACCGCAGAGTTCATATTTCTCAAATTTCAGAGCTGGAAAAAAAAGGTTTAACTCAGTGTAAAAGAAACAAATGTCAACAGAGCACTATATATGTTTTATAGGACAAACACAGTGTCTGTGGTTGAAAAGAGACTCAGGAGACAAGAAGGCAGAGTAAAAAATACAGGAGAGCAGTCAGCCCTGAGGTGAATTAGTAGAGGGTGAGAAGCACGCTGCTGCACTTTAAAGAGGCTGAGCTGGAGCAAACTCATGCTCCCCTGCTGTGCCATGAATAATATTAAAGGAAGAGTATGTAGCTAAAAAAATAAAAAAAACAAAGTCCTTCTCAAGTGTGGGAATTACTGGAGCTTCTTGGAGAGGTAACCCATACTTTCATAGGCATTTATGAGCACCCGCTGACCTTGAATTTTGTGATAATGCCTCCGAAATGATGAGATGATATCAGTACGGTCTCAGAAAGTCAAAAAAAGGAGCCTCTGTGCAGAAAATCTGCATGAACTCACGCTATTTATAGAGTTCAGCCATCAGTGTAACATCAAAGCGTAGATCAAGCTTTTCACATATCTGAGGCTCACTTTCCATATCAGAGAGAGGAGAGTCCTGCGCTGTGAATAGAAAACAGCCTCGCTCGTAAAGAGCAGCGAGCGGCACGGTGTAGCGTTACCGCTTCAGCAAAAGCAGGGAAGAAGAAGACGTAGAAGAAGAAGAAGATGTAGAAGAAGAAATAATAAGGAGCAGAGGAAGAACACATAAAAGAGGTAGGAGACAAAGACTAAGAGACAAGGAACGAAGACAGGGAAGAGAAAGATGATTTTCAAAAAATGGATGACTTTAAAAGGTTTTAAAAAATTAGAGAAAAAAGTTGGACAAAGAAGAAAAAGTAAAAAAAGGACAAAAGAGGACAGAAGCAGAAGAAGATGAAGATGAAAAAGGAAAGCAGAAGGAGGAGAACGAACACAGGAACAAAGATGAAGAAGTTGGAAATAAGGATGAAGAAGAAGGAGACAAGGACAGAGAAGACAGGACGAAGATAACGAGGAAGATTGGCAATAAGCTGAAGTGAATGTAAAAACAAAAACTGAGAGGGAGAAGATGAAGAATACGAAAAAGGAAAAAGAAAACAAGAAAATAGAGGAGAAGAAAAGAGGCTGACAGTGAAGTAAATAAAGTCATCGAAGATAAAGAAAAAGAAAAGGAGATGAAGAAAAATCTGAAGAATAAGATCAAAAGTGAAGACAAAGACATGAGGAAGGAGGAGAAAAGACAGAAATAAGGAAGACAAGAATAAACATGAAGACAAAAAAGAGGAAAAGAACCAGAAAAGGATAGTAAGACAGGACGATAAAAGAGGAAAAAGAGGTAAGGGAAAGAGAAAATAACTCCTGGTGTGAAATCCAACGTTGAGAACTTGGATCAGAGATCAAAAACAGAGAACATGCTCTCTCTTTATTCCACCTGTGTGCCTCAGTTTCTGATTTTTGTGCCTCAACGACCGTTCAGCAGGGAAACAGAAAAAAGGGACGCATGAAAAAACAGCCAATGGAGGGAAATAAGTGAAACACACTCAAACTATACCATCCAATTTATTACCTGCTGTATCCAGCCAAACACTTAAGTACCTCTGTTATAAATTATGTTCTCTGACTGTATGGCTGATGGGTTTGGTGCCGAACTAAGTGAGTGCCACTTTCCCCGAGGCTCCCTGAAGTAGGTTTGGTAATGAAAACAGTGACTTCACTAAAACAGACGAGCATAGAGACAGAAATTCAGACTGAATCAGAGGAGAGAGAGCTTGCATCGTTTCTTTTAGTCATAATGGGTTTGTCCTCAAGTCTGACATATGTTGTCATGAACTCTCCAAAGGGTCAACCACAGCCCTCTGTGACACCAGAGGTCAGACGGTCTAACCCGAGATCAAGACGACCCGGAGCCTTCAGACGATGTTGGTCTGGAAGTCCGTCAAACGCAAACTCCAGCTCCTGCCACAGTCAACAGCTTCACCACACGCTCCCCGCTTCTCTGGAAACTCAATCTCAGCTCACAAACTGATGAGGTTACGGGCATTAACAGTGACAGTCTCCCAAAGTGAGACAGCTCTGAGTTACTGCAGCTTTTTCAATCAGCTGCCTGCTGCTTCCAGACTGATGATGTGAGATTGAGAGCAGGGGTTAACCCAAAGACAGCGAGGAAGACACACGACAGGAGTAACTGGGCGATTGGTTCAGCACTAGCAAAAGTCACGAAATGGTTTGTGCTTGCACCTGATGGCAGCTGTGACCTATAGTAACGGCGTTTATCTCTGAATAAATTTGGTCAAAATGATGATGTTAAAGCCAGAAGTTGATTATAGTTAACACAAATGTCTCAGTAATATTGAGCTAATCCAGCCAACAGCACTTAGAATACCAGAACATCAGTAAAGGGTGTTATCTATAGTTAAAGAACAATGCTATAAGCCAATAGTGCAATGACATGTAATGTAGTGGTGAACTTCTAGCAAAGGTAGCTTTAATCAGCTAAAACAGACATCTTCTATTTTAACATAACACAGACATATGGCACGGCATTAATTAGATGGTGTGAAGTAGCAAAGAATAGCTAGGATAACGCTAGCATCTTTCAAAGTGCCAAGAAAGCGAATCATATTATTGTTATCATATTGTATAGTATCATGTCATATTTTATCATTATCAGAAATATCATGTCGAGTCGTATCATATAATATTGTATCACATTGTGTCATATTGGAACCTATCCTGTTGCACTGTATCTCATCATACATCTCATATCCTATCATATTGTGTCATATCGTATCTCATCACATCTATTCGTATCGTCTCATGTACTCTCATGTCATATTATATTATGTCATATCATATCCTATTGTATCATGTTGTGTCATATCCTTTCTTATAATATAACATATTGTGTCATATTGTACTCTATTGTATTTCATATTGTTTCATATTGTATCTCATATTGTATCTAGTGTCATCATATCTACTACTATCGTCTCATTTCCTGTAGCATATCATATCTTATTACATCATATAATATTGTGTTAAATTGCATCCTATTGTATCTCATCATATGATAACATACCATATCATATCCTATTGTATCATAATGTGTCATAACATAGCCTATATCATACTGCATTCTATCATACTGAATTGTATTTCTCATATCCTATTGTATCATACTCCATCGTGTTGTACTGGATCTAGTTGTATCTTATCGGATCTCATCATATAGAACTGTATCATATCCTGCTGTATCCTATCCTATTCTATAATATGGTATCTCATCATCTCATCTCATACCCTATCATATCATCTCATAGCCTATCTTGTCATGTCATAATGTTTTTTATCATACCATATTGTATCTCATCATATTGAATTGTATCTTTTTATTGTTGTATCTTATTCTATTCTATGGTATTATTGTATCTCATCTCATACCCTATCATGTATCATATTGTATTTTATCATATCATATTGTGTCTCATCATGTTGCATTGTATACTATCTTGTTGTATCCTATCCTATCCTATGGTATTTATATCTCATCATCTCATCTTATACCCTATCATATCATATCATATTGTATTGTATTTTATCATATTGTATTGTATCTCATCATATTTTATTGTGTCGTCTCAGATCGCATTTGTAAAAAACACTCATTTTAAATGTTCATTCTAAGCAGCATATTAATTGTCAGTGAAAATGCCCTGATAAAAACATCTGTCATAGTGAAGATGTTTCCGCTCTCCAGGATGGCAGAAATCTATGTCCATGTTTCCAGCACGGCTTAAAATCACATCAACCTATTACTATACTTTAGTTGATGAGCACCCTCTAGAAATACATTAGGATATGATGCCAAGGGATAGTTATTGTAAGGCTAGGGAAAAGAGGCTTTGTACCAAATCAAAGGCTTGAGGATGCGCCGTTTCCGTGCTGGAGCATCAAGAGAACAGCTGAGAGATTTGTGCATAAACCTCAGAGGCACAACCAATTCCTCCTCTTTGTCCCCCCACTAATATACTGCATCCTTGAACAACGTCTGCCTGGTGATTTTGGCTGCAGATCAGAGTGTCTCTGCATGCGAGATCCTTTGAGGGTTTAGATCTGCTTTAGCATGAAAGAGCTGTTATTTTTCAGGGAGGACGACTGACCTTGTAACTACAAAAGCAACACGTCCTGGAGTCTGTCGTAAACAAGCATATATCATGCGCACCTTGAAAGACATGAATTTCTTGGGTTTAGGTGGGTGTTGAGTTTTCAATGTCTTTCATTGTGAAGGCAAAACACTCTTTTTCAAACGGCACAGACATGAGGTTTCACAGCGACAGCAGCACACTCTTCCCTCTTTCTTCCTCCTCCTAAATAGAAAATACTGGGATCACATGCTGCGGCGATCCATTTACAGAAAAAACAGTCTCATTGTGGAGAGCTGCAGGCAGTCTTCAACATCTGAGACAATAAATACAGAACATGACATGATATGTTGTACAAGAAAACCACATAAATCAGAGAGCTGAACCCTCCCCATTCCTTAACTTCACAGCCTGCCACCCTCAGAAGTAATGTGAAGGATATTTTTGTCATCTTGTCAGGTTTTATTAGTCGGTAACATGACCCGTGTTTTCAGAGTGTTTTCTGTATGTGCTGCTGATGTAGAGATGAGCAGAGAAGATTGATAGTTTGACAGGCGACTCTCACTTACTGTCTTTGCTTCACTTACTTAGATGGGAAGATTGATACAGCTCTGTGTCTGCACAATGACAAATTGGACACTTCAGACGACGGGCGTTTAACTGAGCTCAGCTTTCCAGGAAAAGGAGCTAGCCTGGTGCTTTTATTTGTTTGTTGAACTCGTACCAACTGTACAGTTAAACTAACTCAGATTACACACTTTAATGAGTAACTTTTGGAGGTGATGGCAGGCACTCAGGGAACTACAGTTTTTCACACTTCTGCACTGGTGTGAAAAACTGTATTTCCCTGAGACTGGAGGCACCCACTTGATTCGAAGCCTGGTGATAGCGCATATTTGACACAATATCGGAAATGTTCTTTACCGATCTTTACTGTTGAAAACCTAAAAAAAGGCAAAGAGATGAAGCTGAGGTGGCTTGGCAAACAGCTACAGCTCAGCCACATCGGTCAACTTCGCTGTCTCCTTCGTTGTGCAAATTCAGTATAATGTTTAGTCGAGCAAAATCAAAGCAAATACTTACAAAAAGAACCCCCTGTGTGGTGTGAATAATTATATTTATGAGCTGAATAATAAAACAGATGTATCACAAGGCTGTAAACGTGTCCAAGTTTGCTGTACATTTTCATATGGGACTTAATTGAAAAATTCTTGATTTTAGAAGCGAGCCTCAAGTGGCCACTCAATGAACTGCGGTTTCTTGCCCTTAGTTTGCATATAAGGGTATGCTTCTCTTTTCTTTCTTTATTGTTATCTATGGTTAAATAATTTTGTGCATTGGACATAATGCATCTGCACTTCATCTGCAAGTGTGTGAAACACTGAAAAATATCTTTTACATTCACAAAAGATGATTAAAAACAAACAAACAGGAGTTCATAAGGCATGAAAATGTTTAATTTGTAGTCTAAGTCAACATCTCTCTGTGAAAATATGCCCAGCACATTATCAGTACTTAATTAGCATGCACACTGCTCACAGACTGTATCCCACTGCATGCTGCCACTCCCAGCTTTCTTGAAGGGCGCCTCTATTCATTACCAGCATCAACAGAGTGTGTAACTATGGGGCTGATCGGTAGGCTTGGGATATATAGTTACACACTGGTTTAAGGAGGCCAATAACCCCTGTAGAGAGCCCACCAACTGTTAAGACTCCAGGGAGGGCTGAAAATCCATACTCACAATCCATTTACTCTCTTGGACATGCAGGCATTAGCCTCATACTATGCCCTGTGCTCATCATGCTAATTGGATCACGCATGGCTGCAGATCCATACCCAGGAGAGGAACAAATCAGCCGACTGTGAGGGCTGTCAGTGAACATGAACATACCCCTCTCTGAAAACACACCGCCTCAACCATGAAAGGAAACTCTGAGCTTATTCTTTGAGGCTAAATTTCTTAAAACGGGGTCACTTTTTCATTCACTCCTTATCTCTACCCACTCTGGATGGTACATGAACAAGCATAAAAAGGGAGGGCAGTGATTCCCCTTTAGGGATAGATCAACATTTCCATGTTGAATGTCATGCATGGCGATCACTTTCATGCCGCTCTGCACTGTTGCACTTTATGGCAACATTTTGCACTTTAAGAGGAGGTTGGCTTACATGAGAAAACCCTACAGATCAGGGAGCTGGGAGTTGAAATATGTTCACATGTGTTTCAGTTTTAACCAAGTCCGTTTAGGAGCCACTTGCAGCCGGATCCTGTGGTCAAACTCGGCTTGTGTCAGTAGGCTTTGGGTTTTCTGGCGTGTTGAAGGAACTAGAGTGGAAGAAATTTCATCACTCAAAGCTCCCAATTCACCTATCGTTCCTGGAGCTCTATCTTCTCACAGATCTGCTTTCATTGGGCTGGTCGGGCCTGAGGCATCTGCCAGACGCTCCCATCGCTGCTTCATTATAACAGTGGCACTACAAAGGAGAGTCAGGCCTTTATAACTGAGGACATAAGAGGTATCCTGCTGTGATGCTGATAGCAGCACAGTCTTTTATCTCTGAGCATTACATGAGGGACAAATGGTGATAATACATCTTCACCAAAGAGGAGCGCTGGTACCAAATTTTCCATGTCATTCATCCAGATGATGAACCTAAACCATTCCTAACTGCAGGAAATGATTTGTGGGATTTGATTAAACCTGCTCATGAATACAGTATCACTGTTATTATCTGGTCAAATAACTCCTTGTATATTCTTTTTGATCAAGGAATTTCTGAGCGCATTTTTTTGCAGCAGTCATCAAATTCGGATCTTTGTGTTTATATTTTAAGTTGTACATTCATGTTGCATAACAGGCAACTGCACTGCCTGATGAACTCGTGCATTTTGTCCTTTAGTGCAGTTTTTAAGATTCACAACATGAGATAAGTTATGGTGGCGTAATCCCTGAAACCTGATATCTGGTTACTCTCAACAGCTTCTTTTAAACCACGTCCTCGACCTGACATCAGGCTGTGCCGTCTGTTTCACTGCTCATCTTTTCCTACTGTTCTGCACTTTGTTGATTCAGTATTTGTCCATAATAGTGCTTTCTAATTTAAAGGACAATTACATCTGTTTTCTATTCCCAAGGGTTGAGACACCAGAAAATGGAGACAACTACAACCTCACAAATGGACTCCGTAGTAAACGAAGACCATGATGAGCTGGATTTGCATCTTTATTGTACTGCTAGTTACCACAAGCTGTAATATTTGGGTGTTTGATGACAAAACTGTGTAAAAAGTAACACCCACAAGCTTTCTATGTAACTAGAAAAACAGCCAAAATGAAGCTGAAGCTGAGTAAAGAAATACGGATTTTCTTTGTGCAGGAATTCATGCGGAGTTACTCTTTAGGTGACACGAAAGATAAAAAGTGGGTATAATCGGTCTCCTGCGGTGACTCAGACTTCCTTCTGTTTATGTAACTCACAAGATAAAGATAAAACACCAAAACATTGAACATTATCAAAGGAGAAAAGCTGCTGTGTGAGTTTGGTGAATCTTTCCATCATTTATTTAGCCGCTTTCAGTTAAAAATCTTTAATATTCTCTTTTCAGTTAAGACCGACTGGAAACTTGGACCATCTGTTTACTTGCACCCTACATCTCCTGCCTACACTGTTGTAATTCTCTTTCTTCTCGGCCCCTGCAGCCAGTTTTGACTTACATTCCTCCATGCTGCAGTCCGCCTCTGCTCAATCTGCTTCTCAGGCTCTCAGTAACTGCCTGTATCCACTTCAAAACCCTGTTGCTGCTCTTCAAGGCTACAAAGGGAGCCCTTCCCTCCCACCTCTCAGCCATACTTCAGCCAACACTATGCGGGCCCGTGTGTGTAACATAGCGCTTCCATCTGTGCCGCTCTGACCCGACTATCGCTTTACCTCGGTCAAGAGTCTTCATCACCGTGACTTTACCCCCCGGTGGTGAAATACGCATCTCAGACCCTGTGACAGCTGCGCAGACTTTGCCCTTTCTCCATGCAACATCGATGACCTACCTCTTTATTTCCTTTAGCTTCATCTTGTTCAAGTCGTTTCAGCTTACAAAAAGCACCACATGAACTTTGCTTTCATGAGGGTTTCAGCGCCACTGATTGCTGCACCGCTAGGGTCGCAGGATTTTTAAAAACGCTACCAGATTTCCGCGATTCCAACCACTTCCATTACCCCCCCCACCCACACCCGTGGAGTGTCAGCTATATTCCAAAAATATAAAAAAGTACAGGCCTCTCACTCCAGCCTACTCTCCTGGGCTCATTACGGAGGCTCATCCTGCACTACACGCTCCATTGTGGCGGGTAAATGCACTTTCCTGCAAAATTGTCGCGCTAAAAGACCTCAGCAGGCCATCACGTCTCGCCTTTTCTATGGAAAATGCTACCGCCTCGTGTATTTTATTAATCCCGTAACATTCACCAGCCAAGCCATTTCGGTGGATCCTCCAGGAAAGCAGACGGGGGAAGAGACGCTGGCTAAATTGCTTTTTCGATAAAGGCCCCCCTGTTGCCACAGCAACCGCACCCCCCCTCAATGAAGTCAGGACATGTCACAGGGTGCCAGACACATTCAGGGCTCTTAGTTAATAATTCAGTGATAAATTAACGGGTTTTGTGAGGAAAACAGGTGCCAGAATGTCAGAGGGTTTAGGGTAAATAACCGAGCAGAGAAAGAAGAGAAAAAGGGAGTGAGAGACAGAGAGAGAGAGAGAGAGAAAGGGGGAGAAGGAGGGAGGTGTGTGGGTGTTTCCCTTATGTGGAGGCACAAAAGCAACCCCCTGAATACTGGCTCTAAATCCAAACTTGGACCCTGTACGCAGAGAAGTTTTTATGTAGTAAAAAAAAAGCAGGGGGGATTGTAAAGGAGTAAAAAGCCAGGGCTCAATGGGTGTCTGCAGCATTGTGTCTCTACAGGCATGGGCTGCCCTTGAGGCCTACATTCGCCGAGGTCAAAGGTCAGGACAACAGGGGGTGCATTCTTCACTCCCAGCGGTGCTAAGACCACTCTGCCAGCCTCCTCGACTGCTCTTTATTTCTCCTGTTTTTATCCCTATTCTTCCTGATATATAACAAAGAGCCGAGTGTAAACCGCTCATACACAAACACAGGCGTACTCACACTAATGCGGAAAAAATTTAAATTGCACCCTCTTCTCTCCGCTTGAGCCTTCGGTCCACGTTTATCTGAGATTTTCCACCACAAAAATGCATCTTTTTGAGAGAGCTCGCCTTCCAAAGTGAATATCAAAAACACCAGTCCTCTTGACACTGACGTGCAGCTATCATGTGATTCCAGGCATCTGTTTGTCATGTGAGCCAGTATTGAGAATCCTGATTTGCACTTGCATTCACTTCATGCTTTGTTGTCGTTGTAATGATAGAAACAAACCGTGCATGAGTGGAAAGTATCCCACATCGGTGTCTATTGTTACGTGAAGCAATTTGCAGTAAAATTGTGGAAAATCTGCCACTTTAAAATTCTTTGTAAACAATTGCCGTAAAAAACATGCAGCTTTGGTTCAATCTGAGTTTGTCTGAGCGAGACATGCCAAGACAAACACGAAAAGTAAAGGAAGAAGTGAGCGAGAAGAGGCTTTTATTCAGGTCAATCTGTGCCAGTCAATCATTTAAATGTGCTGAAACCGCTCCTACGTTTCGGCTCGGTGGTAATGATTTACCTCTTCCCTGCGTGAACACTGTGTCATGATTTCTCTGTTTAGCTGTAACTCACACCGTCTATCGTGAGCCTGCGTTTCATCAAGTCGAGACCTGCTGGGTGTAACAGACAGACTGATAGAGACGATAGAAAGCTGGTCTGGCTTTAGACCAGCTGGACGCGCTTTATCAGTTACCTTAGCGTGACCCTCTCGAGCTGGCGTTATACTCTCACTGTGATTGGTCAACCCCTGACTTGGAAAGCCTGCTGCATTTCTAGGGGTCTTTTTGCAGAGCTAATTCGACACCGGCTCCTTCTTTTGACTGTAATTTAATACATTATGGAGTGAATTTGGCATCAAATAAAATCTGGTTATGAACTGAGACTGTAAACCGACAGAAAGGCACTTAAACCTCATTAAGTCTGTCTGCACATGGGAAATCTTAGTCCATTACATATTAATAATGAGACTAAACACACATTAGAATAAGCCTTTCAGCACAACCTGATTTCATGCATGTGCCTGTTACACTCACCGCTCAATTAGCTACCCTCTGCAAACACACCCAGAGCAACTGCGCATTAATTCTACCCATAATCCTCCACATCATTGTTTCTCTCGTACCCCGGTTTCCCGGAGAGGGGGGTGTGGTTTAGACAGCTTCCCGGCTCTGACCTCTGTTTGACCCCGCGTTTAACTCCCACCACTCCTTTTTGTACGGCAGCTCCGTCGTCCCACCACAACACAACACAACACATTAATATTAATGCAGATTTAAGGAAGCGTTTCAGTCGCGTGATCACCGTTTTGTTCATAATAGAGGAGCTCTGATCCGTCTAACAGATCAGTCTTTACATTCAGACGGCTGGTCAGCATTTTATTGTGTATTTAAAATAAACTCCATATGTGTCACCCGAGTTAAAATCTGATCTATCACATCATTCAAATTCTGGCAAACAGAGCCAAACCAGATGAGTGACAACACAAAGCACAGACATGTCATAACAGAGGCGCCTTTGGAGTATCAAATACACGTCTGACAGAGTTCAACTCAGTCTCAGGGCTTATGCTTTAAATTTAGCGGTAATACAATAAGCAAGCTTTGACAATACTGTGAACTCTTCATATCATCAGATGTAACCAAAGTGGAAGAAAAGGAGATAAAAGATGAATAAAAAACATATTTAACAGACTTTTAGGTGATATTAGCGTCATACTAGCCTGCAAGTAATGCACACTACTGGATTTTTCAGGTATGCAAGTGTTTCCAAACTGCACCACTACAGATATATAAATATGTGCACCCTGAGGGGTAACACCAGCTGCAACAAGCATTTGGCACATTTCATTTCATTCAGAAGTTGGAGCTGGGACCTGACAGACTGTCAGGAATAAAGTTGTGAAGCAGCTCCTAGCATAGCTGGCTGTAACGGGAGACAACATCACATCCAATTTGATATTTAGCATGCAAAAGCAACAGGACGACTTACACAAAACTTACACAATACCATCGGTAAAACAAGACAAATTTTGAGCTCGGGTTCCTGAAACTGCTTCAAGTTCTCATGTTGGAATTCTGACCCAGGTGACGTATCCAGAGTTCTAAAGAGACTTCTAATAAAACCCACCAATAGCTTTTTTCACCTGTACCAGTGTACTGATACCGATACAGATATCTATAGTCGGCCAATTTCGATCCAATTCTGATACAGAAAAGCTACGCCGAATTACCTTTCATTGTAACTTGAGGTTTTTACCACTGCCCCTCGGAACGTTTACTGCACAGGTACTGCAAGTGTCCGTCGAGCTTGTAGGCTGAGGTAGTGTGATAAAGTTCAAGATAGCAGACCCCTTTGCTCGCTCCATTTTGAAAACAGTGGGGACATTACTTGTGAATGCCACTCACGGTGCATAGCATAGAGTTAGACTGAATAGATCGGCCCCTATCATTGTCACGATACCCAATCTAGAATTTTCTTCAGGATCGGGACTGATACCAATATCAAATATTGGATGGGTGCATCCCTGATTCAAAGCAATAAATTCAGCGATGGTCCTTAAATCTCTAAAACTGAAAGGGTTTTGGAATTTTTTTTGTAGCTTTTCGTCAACAGCATAATTCAAGGTTTTCTGAGTTTTGCAGTCCAAGTTGTAGTCTAATTTAGGAGGGATACATCTACTTGGATCTAGAGCTATGTTAAGAACACGTACAATAAAGCCTTATATACAAAATAACAGCCTTTTGGTGATGCAAAGTGTAGTTGTGAGTGTACCAGGTATTTTTGCTCCAATTGTACCCTCCACAGTCACAGAGGTGTCCCATAAATCACAATGACACCCTACGTCTGGTCCGCCTCATAAAACAACCCAGACCTCTGACAGAAGTGGCACCCTGGGGCCTCAACATGTGAATGAATACACAAACAAAAACTCTTCACACACAGACATACACACACACACACGTATACACTATAAATAGCCACGGAGACTGAAGGCTGCCTCCTGCTTGGGGAATTCAGGGATCCAGCTTATTCAGCTCTCTAAAATCCTGCATTTTCTCAGGTTTGTGACGTCAACTGTAGTCTCTGTTTTTGTGAGGTTAAGGGTGGTCCTACCTCGACTGCCTTTCCTTAGTGCTACAGGGACATTCAGCTGCATGGTGACACCTTATATTCACACATGATCCTTTTTCCCTTCTAGTCTTACACCCATTAAAAGTCACATCTGTTGGACTCCTGCTGCAGACCGGCCCTGTGCGTTTTATAGACCAGCGGTACATCTGGACCCTTCTCGTATCTCTCACGAGCCTCCCCCCCTTCAACCACTCTCCCCCGCCCATCCACCATGCTCGATGCACGCCTCGGTCTCAGCTTATCCCACCCCCTCTGCTCTGATACTTCTCACAGCAGTGGCGACACATTCAGACTCCCATAAGCTCCCTTTCTAACAAAATGAGCCCATATTGGCCCGCTGAAGAGACTCTTGGGTGCAGATTTCATTTCAAGCAGATTAAGTGATGCGCACAACATCGGATAAATCAAATATTCATCCAGCCTGGGCCATATGTAGAGAGGGATGCACTGGGGAAAACCATGTACAATCACTTAGTTTCAGTTACCAGACTGTATCTATTTATGTAACTCTATCATTCTGGAACCACTTTTTATGGTCTGTAATTAATGCAGGTGAACTTTAAAAATGCTAAAATGTCTGACAGTTTGAATGTCCTCTAATTTCATCCAGACTCAGAGAATTTAATTGGGCAATTGGGGATACTATTTCACTGCATTTACATCAACTACAGACAGCTTTACAAAACAAAAAAAGTTTTTTTAAAAAGTGGCTAAAAGGCAAACAAAGACAACTGAAATAAAAATTCTATTAGAAGAAGACAGAGAGGCTTGGAAAAGCCGTAAAAAAGGACATAAAAGTGTGTTGTAAAAATGTTTCCCAGTACAACTGTGCTTTGAGAAGTGGTTTTGAAAGATGCTACTGATCTGGTTGGCCTCCGCTCTGGCAGCAAAGACCAGGTCACCTTTTGTTACACCCAGAGTCCTTGGAACAACCTGTATTGCTCTGCCAAAAGACCCGAGGCTACGCTCCCCCTCACAGGCAGTTATAAAGAGGTCTGATGTGTAGCTCGGAGCCAAACCCCCGCTGAGCCTCAAAATAAACATCCATCAATTTTCTAGATACTTAAGGTCAGGACTGTGGTGGCAGCGCAACGAGCTAAGAGTCTTTCTTTTTTTTTTTGCTCTTACAACTTCCTCCAGCTTCTCTTGGGGGATCTCCAAGAGCTTCCAGCAAAAAGACTGGGAGGATGGTGGGAATTCCTTTCTAGGTGCCCAAACCCATTGAACTGGTCCCATCTAACACATCAAAGCTGCTTCAACAACAAGTAGAGCTGCAGCAAATCATCATGCCATGTTTGAAGTTAATTGTTAAGCGCATATGAGAGAAATGTACAGACACATTTCTGTTACGAAATCCAATGGAGGAATTCGGTTGTGCTCTGTTTAACATATTTACTGCCTCAGCTGTAGATTTTCTTTTACCTATCGGCAATAATAACAACAATACGATGCAATTTCAATAAAAAGAGGCAAAAAATGACTTTAGATATGATATAATGGGATAAAGTACGATATGATATGATACAGTACAATAAAATACTATATAGTATGATACGATACCATACAATACAGTATGATATGATATGATTCAGTACAATAAAATACTATATAGTATGATACGATACCATACAATACAGTATGATATGATATGATTCAGTACAATAAAATACTATATAGTATGATACGATACCATACAATACAGTATGATATAATGGGATAAAGTACGATATGATATGATACAGTACAATAAAATACTATATAGTATGATACGATACCATACAATACAGTATGATATGATATGATTCAGTACGATATGACACGATACAGTAAGATATGATACGATACAGTACATTACGATATGATACAGTAGGACACCATACAATACAGTCCGATATGTTACAATACGATACAGTAGGATACAGTGCGATACGATACAGTACGATACAGTAGAATAAGATATGATACGATACAGAAAGATACGATACGATACAGCAGGATATGATACAGTATGATACGATACAGTACAATATGATATGATACAGTATCATACTATATGATAAGATACAGTAAGATAAGATACGATACAGTAGGATACCATACGATACGATATGATACAGTCCGATATAATAATAATAATAATAATGCATCAGATTTCATATAGCGCTTTATCAGAGACCCTCAAAGCGCTTTACATTGGATACATCATTCATTTGTTCACACAGTCACACTTTGGTGGTGGTAAACTACCTTAGTAGTCACAGCTGCCCTGGGGCAGACTGACGGAAACGTGGCTGCCATTCTGCGCCTACGGCCTCTCCGACCACCACCACACAACACTCACAATCATACACCAGTGGTAAGATACAGTTAGCTATGATATGATACGATACAGGTTGATATGATATGATATATTATGATACGATACAGTAAGATACAATATATTACAGTACAAAACCATACAATACCATACGATGCGATACCAGAGAAGATTCAGTACGATACGATACAGTGAGATAGGATATAATACTGTACGAAACGATCTTGAACACAACTGCTTCACATGGTAACCTGTATCCACATTAGTACCACTTCATAATACAGCTGAAAGAAACAATGGTAGAAACAAGGAATAACCTACATTCAACCGAGGACACATACCAAAGCAAGCAAGCAACAACAAGGGCGAGAGACGGACAAAAAAAAGGAGGGCAGGAGACTGGAGTGTCGATTTTCAGGGTCATGTCACCTTGTTTGGAGCCAGACCGACCTGGCAGAGCCCGAGTTCAAAGTTCAAGCCTTTAATAGCCCAGCTAAAACAGCATGACCTACCTTCATGTCATCCATTCAAGCCTTCTTGTAACTCTTGATCCTCTTTGACACCTCCCAAACTTTTGGGCTTTTAACTAACACTCCCACAAGAGAGAACTTGTACTCAAATATACAGTAATCTCCCCTCTCAACACCTCCATGTGTTCCACACCGGAGGGCTTCTTTTAGGAAGAACTGTCGTGCAGAATACACACTTTTAAAGACTGTCAGAAAAAAACACAGCCAGGATTTAAAAGGTTTGGATTTGTTTGTTTTTTTCCAGCGTAGGTTGCAACAAGAAGCATCAGAGAGAAAGTGCATGCTCTACAGTGTGTTTGTAATTCAGTTCCACAAGCCTGACAGACAGATCTGAGGCCTCCCACGGATGCAAGCAGAGGTCACCAGCCCCTCGCTAAGCCCTGGTTTCCTAGAGACTCTTCTGATATCTTATTTCAGCTGTTCAAGGGCTTTTTTTTTTTAAAGACAGGATGATGTAATCCTCGGGCACAAATCTACCTCATTGGATCCAACACATCTTCTTTATTCATTTAGGATCTTTTACAGTTTGTGGCTGGAAACAGTTAGGCTACCGGCAATGAAGTGCTGCAGTGAAAGTGGTGACCTTATTCTGTGGGGACAGGAAATAAAGGACAATGCGGAGGAAATTATGAGCTTGGAGAGGGATTGTACCCTGCAAATGGTTGGCGAGTGAATTAGATTAAAATGCCAACAGGATATATCAGATTTCTAGTTTCTGAGATATAACAGATTTTAGTTAGAAGCTGTCGTTTGGCTCAGCTTCTGTGTGTGTAAAATAAAACAAGGCTGAACAAGTCTGCAAGAGTAAAAGGCTGAAAAGAAAAGTCACTCCTCTTTAACGACTGTGCAAAGGATGATGAAGGCTATACTTAAATTTATACTCCTGTTTTAATGAATAGAAAATTAGACTCCCTCGGAGCAAAACGAATATTTAACCACAGTTAGTTGATTGTTGTCAGCTTCATTTGGTGAGAGTCTTGGCAAAAGTAGACCAGGATGTCACATTAAAGGGATATTCTGGCGTAAGATTAATTGAGGGTCAAACACACAATAACACTGAGTTAGACTCTCCCTCAAGAGATGAATGTTGCCGACCGCTCGCTTCTCTAGTTATACCAACTTTAGTAACGACCGCAGGATAGCAATACACAGCGGTCTGAGGAGCCACAAACAAACATCAACCAAAACGCCACTATAGCCACAAATAATGCTTAGAACAGCACCTAACTTCATCAACAGTTCATATAGGGTCCCAGCCACAGCACTAGCCACCAGACAGCTTTTCATTTCATCATTTCTTTATCATTTCACGGTAGTTCTTCTGCTTTGGCGTCTCGGTCTGATTGCATTTCCATGAAGTAATAATCATAAATGTTCTTCCTTGAGCTGCATAACCCCGCTGTAGTTCGTAATGGACTGGCCTGAGGTCTCGCTACAAATAAGCAGCTGCTGGAAGAGAGTAGGTGAGTTGTGTTTAGTCTCTTTGCAAAAGAAATCAAGCAAAGCTAAAAAGATGTCATTAATAAAGTTGGTATAACTAGAGAAGCAAGCGGTCGGCAACATCCTTGAGGGGGTGTCTAACTCGGTGTTATGGTGTGTTTGACCCTAAATCAATTTTATGCCGGAATATCCCTTTAAGTGAGAAGATAATCCTCAGCTGTATGTTTATGAAAATGTCACCTGACGCCAACTAAGGCTGGTGATCAAATCAAGTCCGGATCTGAATCCTCAGACGAAGCAGTCTGGGATGTAAAGAAACTGATTGTTTATTTGTTTTAAGGACCGTAGCTCTCCAAAGACCTTAGCTGAGATGACAAGACTCCCCCTTTTTGATAACAGTCCATCTTCAGTGTTTAAATATTTGCTCAGGCAGAAAGCCAAAGCAAAGCAGACCCTGAGTTCTGTAATCAGGGTTTACATTTTAAAGGAGGGGAAACGCTTAAAGAAGCTCGCCAACAATCAGGAGGGTACAGCAAAGAAAAACACAGAGCAGCTTTGTGTTTTAAAAGATCTGTTTGTTCCATTTTCAGACGGAGGAAGAGAAACACGGCTGCCGGAGAAATGGATCTTTATCTGTATGTTTGTAATCAAAACCTTGAGGAGAGCGCAGAGAGTCAGACAAATAAATCCAGACCTGAAATTACAGGCCCGTCCAAACTCTACAGTTTTGACCATTAGCTCATGGGACCTTAGAAGCCAGGAAGAAACTGAAGTCTGGTTCAAAGGGTGGGGAAGGGGTATCCTTTAAAGCTTGGACTTTCTCCAGCCACTCTCTGGACTCAGCTACAGGAAACCTGCACATAACTGCAGCCAGGACAAAATGGAGGAAGAGGAAGAGGAGGATGACCCTCAAATGACTCTCCTGAGCTGTGAGTGGAATATATAAAACATACAGATTAAACCATTTAGAAAGCATCTTACATAAGGGAACAAGTGAAAGCCAAACGCTTTTACACTTTTTTCCCTTGGAGCGATCCGCAGTCTTAAGATAAAGAAACTACGGCGCCATGCTAACAGGAAAACCCTGAATGCATTATTGTCTAATGCTGGTTTTGAAAAGCTGTCCAGGGAAATGTGATTAATGTTTTCCACAAACTCCGAGCAGAGAGTCTCAGGGGATCAGGACAGATGGAGGGAATGAGAGTTGCACTTCTTTAAGTAGTCAAGTTCAGTAATAGGCGAGCGTTAAACTGAGGAATCCACTGCCAGAGAGGACCGCCCTCCCATTAATGTGAGTCATGGAAGACCACAAGCAGAGGTCATAAAAACGCAACAAAAATTAAAGAAACTCGAGCGAAAAAAAAGGGTTTTCATGCACCTCCATGTTCAAACAGAAGACAGCGGCTGCCTCGTCTTCATTAGACCACATGTGAACAAGGTCATCTCTGATCCTGACAGTTCTGGATCAGGCTGCACGCGGAGACAAAGAGGACACACATGGGCGAGGTGCGGTTCTTTCTCACTCTCTGCGTCTGTGGCAGCCTGGAATGTGCTGTGGGTTTACTGGGTTTATAAATAACCGTCAGACACAAAAGGCGCTGCTGTTCTGAGCTGGACCACTCTTACAGGGGCGCCCTCTCCGCCCCTCCTGTTTACTACCAGCAGTTAGCACCGGTGCTTTAACCCGCTCAGCCTGCATGTGCTTCCTTACAGCTCCAACATCAGAGGATCCGCGCGACACAGACAAGAATAGTCAAAGCAACCTTTAAAAGTGGACAAGGTGGTAGTGTGTGGGGATGTGGGCTAGGTAAGAAAGGAGGGAGAGCTGGCATCATATTATAGTACTTCAATCATGTAATGTAGCTTTAAGATTAATAAGTGTTAGTCTGAAACCCTGTAGTTCACGGATGAGGTCAATCTTCATTTGCTCGTTTTCTTAGGCTTTGTCTACACAGGAGACGAAAACGATAAATTGCTGTTTTATTTTGTTTCCAGAAATATTTGTGTAAATACGAAATCACTGAAAATGATGTAGTGCATATGCCAAGCCAGTAAGTGATGCTGTACTGCTGCCCTGGAAATGCACCAAAAGAGAAGAAGAGTACAGAGCCTGAGTATGACTCCCAATTTTCACCGCATCCGGAACAGCTCCGATCCGGAATGGCAACGATTTCCGCCGTCCGCCAATTGCTACTGAATCCATCGGTGAGGAAAATTTCGTGGCAGATTACGGACAGTGGTAATCACAAGAACTCACAAGAACCTGCGGATTCACGTGCAACGAGTTGTCTCGATAAAGACAGCCACAGAGGCTAACCATAAAAGCAGTAGATTGTGTCACTTTCACTTGTTTATCTTCACCTGTTTGCATGGTGTGAAATACGATCCACCTGAAACACGCAGTGTTTTATTTTGTGTCTGTCCCCGACTTTCTTTCCAGCACGGGTTAATCTGTGCTGAATTTATCAGGCATGCTCCAGTGTCCAGAAAAAATAGAATCCTTGTGATCAGCTGTGGAGTCCAGCAATCAGCAGCAAAGCGGAAAGAAGGTGGTGGAAATTGACACATTAACTTGGATGGTTACGATCAGCTACGATTGGCAGATACAGCCTTTTCGTAGCCGTTCCAGATTCAGTGGAAATTGGGGGTAAAGGTTCTGTGCCATTAATCATTCAGGTCTACTGTAAGAGAGTTATGCTGTGTGTGACGTAATCATTTATTCAGCTTCCTCAAAGGGATTCAATTGATGAGTAGAATTTAGATGTTGAGATATGACGCTACACACTCTTGTACAATAGGTGGCAGTATGCACCTGAATGTTGTTTGCGATCTGCCATGAAACGAAACAGGAAGAAGACGTAATCGTTTCAAGAAAGTTGCGGGTAGGCATCCACACAGAAATTAAACGGTTGTTGTACAAGAATTCATGCACTCGTCTGGGACACGTCTTCAAAAAGCATTGTTTACAGTCACCCAAAACGACGTTTCCATGAGGACGAACCATCAATACGACAAAAACCTTTTCCGTTTACTCCTGAATTTGTTGATATCTAATATCATATTGGCCTAAATAAACTTTTATGTTTACGTATTTTTGTGACGTTTTGTTGAGGCTAAATAAAGCTTGAAAACTTTTGTTTCAGTTTATTTCAGGGACTTTTTTACTTTTAGCTAACCATAGATACTGATTGGATTATCTATCAGTTTTTTAATGTTAACCTTTCGGAAGTAATCTCTGCTAACTACTACAGCTGATCATTGTTTTCACTAGTACAACCTACATGCCTATTTCTATGACCTTGAATATACCCACGGGTGGATTGCATCCCCACGGGGAACAGAAATAGGAACTGGGACAAAAACAGACAGATAGCATATCAGCTCTAACAGAGCTAAGGTAGTGTCAGAAATAATGAGACAATGAGGCTTTGCAGATGAGGTTACCAGGCATTATAGTAAGAAAAGTGTGCAGCCAGCCTTTCTGAAAACAGCGAGTGGCCTCTGTGACAAAAGTGGGCGCTGCGCCAGACCTGATAGGAACAGATTATGATGAGAATCAATCCGTGCTGCCACATTACAATGCTTTATCCCCCTTTCTCCTGGTTGCTGGGGAGCAGGCGCCTGCTGCTGCTGCTGCCTGCGCCTGGAGCTCAAACCGAGATAGAAATCAGCCTGTTTTTTATCTCTCAGTCCTCTCGTCACCTTCTCAGTCCTCCCTCCTCCGCCCTTTTTTTTTTTTTTTGACTGTAATGGCATGCATGAGCACACTGGGAAGGCAAGGAAAGAGGGAGGACAGGGTTAAAAGGTGATGGGCTGCACAATGGCCAGTCACACCACATTTAAATGCTTTTCCTCTGGCACAGTATTAAAAAAAAGGAAAGTCAGGGGGCTGGACAATACATAGGTCCTGTTCTTCTTGCTGTGGAAAATTGGATTGTGAGGCTGAATCTGCTCTCTAGTGATATTTGTCATCGACTGATCTTTTTTTTTTCCCTCCAAAAAACAACCGCAAAGAAAATACATCATTCAAACCGGCTCTGTTTTCCCTGGCCACAAGGCAAGGTTCCTCTCCTTTTAGGGCTCGAACACCGAACGGCAACAGTGACACCGAGGGAAAAACATCAGACACTGAAAAAAGATGTGTCAGCCCTAAATTTATCAAATCTCTTAACACTTCAATTCAACGTTTTCCCTCCTTAAGTCAAAGGGAGAAAAATATCCCAGAGCCAGGAGCCAAATATTGATATTTACAGTCTGGCAGACGCAGTAGCATCCATCCTGGAGGGTTTTTCAGGAGAAACTTGACTTGGAGTATCCATTCAAGTCACCCGCCTTAAAGAGGGAATCCGAATCACTTCTGCTTGTGTATGTTTGTAAATGTTTATTTCCTGACATTTCGCCACATCAGCAAAACGTCTTTATGTTTTCCACTTCGGTTAGATGTCTGTGTTCGAGGGGAACGTTTCCAGTTTCTCCTGTGGGTGTGATGTGATAGACATGGGACAAGTGCTGTCGTGCTGCATGCACTGATGTGTAAACACGACTTTTTTTCGGTAAGATTACATAACTACAGCAGGGAAACTTTCACCTAAACCTTCAACATTTGATATTTGACTGCTGATAGTTTTTGTTTTGGATCTGTTCTATGCAAAATGTAAGGCTGCTATCTTTGTCTGTTAGCTAATCAAAGGCTGTAACCAAAATCGGCTGACAGCAGTGGGGTGATGCAGCTCAAGGAAGAACATTTATGATCATTACTTTATTATTTCCTTAAAGTAATAATCACCATATTAATCATTTTACATTTCAGATGCGGTAGTTCTTCTGCCTTAGTGTATCGGTCTGATTGTATTTCCATAAAGTAATGATCATAAATGTTCTTCCTTGAGCTGCGTCACCCCGCAATAGTCCGTAATGGACTGGCCTGAGGTCTCGCTGCAAACAAGCGGCTGCTGGAAGAGAATAGGAGAGTTGTCTCTAGTCTATTTGCTAAAGAAATTTGGCAAAGTTTAAAAGATTGGTGGCTAGAGCTGTGGCTGGGACCCTATATGTACTGTTGCTGAAGTTAGCCAAACCTTCAACATTTTTTATTACCGCTGATAGTTTTCCTTTATGTTCTCGATCTTCTTGGATTACAAAAAAAAGTTTGGACACTCTATTTCAATCAGTCCTGCATGATGTCCTTTAGTTCTCAAATGTATGGGTTATCAGCCCCATTAGAGGTAAAGGGACGTTACAATTAATTACTTGACATGATATTAGCAAAATTAGATCATGAAAGAGGATTTTTGCTCTTTTAATCGGGCAGAGTAAGATGTCTGAAGATATCACCTCAAGCCCGTGAAGAGAGGAAAACAGCAGTATCTTTTGCAGCCCCAGTGTGTCGATGAAAGCTCACTTTCTTCATGTTATTTAACTGCCAACAGTTGTCCTTAAATGTTCCTCACGCTCATTGCCATTGAGCGATTGTGCTTTTACAGATTCATTCAAAGCGATTTGCGCCCCGACGCCGGCGTTTAGCTGCACGCAGAGCGTCGTCTCTCTGCAGACACAGATACAGCTGCTGGATGTAGAGCGGATCTAATTAAATGCTGTTCCACATTAACAGGATTGAGAGAACCTACAGATTTTCTTTCTGCTCCCTGCGGCCTGTGAGTGGCACACGGTGAAATGGATACAAGCAGGAACCTTACCAAGACCTTCCTGGAGTTCACACACACATCCTGCCAGACACAAGCGAAACTGACATCCGTACACGCAGATGACCAGCATGCATTGTGCCTCCGGGTGGTTAAACATGGCGGCGTTAACAGTCATTCAATGAAGAAGTGTGGAGAACAATACAGTGAGGCTGTTTTTCAAGGCGAAGGGTCTTATGTAGCCCCGGGTGATTTAACAAGAGTCTAACCTGTAATGTCAGTCTCAATCTCAGCCTAATTACAGCTTCAACTCAATCTCACTTATCTAGATTGAATTTAATGTAATCCATCTTCGCCTGCAGTCATTTTGTTGTCCCTGGGATTGAGGGCGCTGGATCAAACTCTGTGCAGCTCATGTTTTTCTCCGTTTGCTGCCAAATACCAACCAGGAAGCTGCGGTCTGTCAAACACACAGTATATGTGGTGGCCTAAAGAGTGCACGCTTTGTATGTGGTTGCATTTTCCCAACGTAAACTACTGGTTAAATCTGGGTGCTGATGTGGGTTTGCTTCTAATCAGATCAGGCATGTTTCAATGTCAGCATGCACTTTTCCACATGATAATTAAGAATCTCCATGCGTGAAACGTGCTGTTTTAATCCTATATTATGACCCAGACTTCACATCTCCTACTTTATTCCAGATGCAGACCTAAAAAGTCAAAAAAGACGAATGTAAAGCAGGACGATATCCGAGCAGAGCAGTTTCATGTGTAAACAGCATTTCTCCAAACAAGAGTCTGCAGCACTACCGTCACTCTTAGCTCTCTGTTTATGCTCTCTTTCACGTTTGTTAAAACAACTGAACAACTGGTCACGATCTCGGCTCTTGCTCCTTTAAATGATGGACTGCAAAGACCGAGCTAGAACCAGTTTGCTCAAATAATATTTAGAAATTCTGGCAGATGGCCTACCACGAGCAGACCGCACAGCTGGAGCTCTGCTGCTCCACGTCAGTCCGGCTCACTCTGAGATTTATGGACCTGAAATATTTCCTGCTATTTCATTTACCCCCATACCATAACAGGCCACTTTAAAACAGCTTGAATTCACTTGGACTCTTCTGGAGAAACCAGGAGATATGCTGAGGGAACGGCCTCGAGGTCCTGCCATAAATGATCCTTATATTATACAGTAATGTGCAGCCTGAGGCATGCCCAGGGTACACCATAAAAAAAGAATCAGTTACAAAAGTTGAAGAAAGTCTACCTATGTAGCAACCGAGGCACTATAAAAGTCCTGTGAAACAACAGGCGCTCGCCTCTACCAGGGTTAGAGGTCCAGAAGAGAGTGGATGTTGTTGTGTGTAAAAGAATTTGTCTGAATAAATGCTTCTGATACTGACTTAAACTCAAATGAAGACTCACACCTGTCATGCATTGCAGGAGCTTCTTGTCCTCGATGGCCACCATCACTTTACAGATCAAGAGGTGAGCAAGGCAGCTTCACAACCAAGAGTCTGACGTCCAAATTTTGCTAAATGTTCCAATTTCTACACTCTGTAACTTTAAATTGAGAAAAGTCTATTACAGATCAAAAAGAGGTCCAGGAGCTCCTTGTCTTTGAAGGCCACCATCACTTCATAGATTGAGGGGTGAGCACGGGAGTAGTTTAGTCAAGAATCTGGCCTCCAGATGTTGCTAAATATTCTCATTTCTGCACATTTTACCTCGAATCAAAAAATATATTACGGGTCAAAAAGAGGTCAAGAGCTTCTTGTCCTCGATGGCCACCATCACTTCACAGATCAAGGAGTGAGCAAGGGGGCAAAGTACTCCAATTTCTGCTATGGTCTTGAGCAAGTATTTGAAAAATATAAAAGGTTTATCTTCTGGTGAGCATGGATGGTCATTTCAACCAAATTTGGACTAACCTCTAGGACCAGCTGCCAATCTGTTTAATTCTGTGTTTGAGAAAAATGTCAATCAATCAATCAAATCAATCAAATTGTATTTATATAGCGCCAATTCACAACAGTCCTCATCCCAAGACGCTTTCCAAAGACAAAGAGCAGGTCTAGACCAAGCTCATTGTTTGATGAATTATCAAGACCCAACCTAAGATGGGATTTGGCCCATCTCATCTGACATGAGTAACAGTGGCGAGGAAAAACTTCCTTTTAACAGGCAGAAACCTTGGGTAGGACCAGCCTCATGGTAGATATCCACCAGGCTGCTGCTGGGTTAGGGAGGAATACAGAAAGATAGGTGGAGAGAGAAAAAATGTGACACTGCATTAAAAGACAACGAGTCAACAGAAGTACTTAATTTCTTTTCCGGCGATCATGAAAATTTGAACGATTTGAGGGACATACTCTCCTGTCTAAGTGTAGGAAGAGCGTTAATATGGAATAGTCATCATGTGGGAACCAAGATGTTGGGATGTCTTGGTGGTCCTATAGCCTTGGATCATCGTCTTACTTCATAATTACCACTCATCATCTCTTGACATGAGAGGCAATTAGGTTTCTTTTCTAGAGTTCAGCTTTTCGTTAATTAATTCTTTTGTCTCTCGCCAGTAGTAGACCTGAGCACAGTTCTGCTACATGATCTTTTTCCCAAAGGAGCACAATGTTCACTTGTGTCACCCACCCAGATCAGTCTGGGTGGTCCAGCCTAACAGACCAGCCTGGACTGGTTCAGCCCGGATTGGACTTTTTGTATGGGACACTTTCTTGTTCCCTCCACCAACGCATTTCTCCCCTGTGAGACGACAGACCTGACAATGGTGCCGTTTTTGTGTTGTTGTTTTTTTTTTTTTTTCATTTTTAATGAGCCCACAAACATCCTGAATTGCCTTTCTGTTTCCAGCTGGGAGAATCAGTCAGCAATTTTCATACTTCATACAACAGAAACAAACACAAAAAGCACTCCCATCCTACATGGAATTACCGTGGAATAAGAAGACAAAAGGGCCATGATGCAATGCTGCTCTTATAATTGATTTTGTTCCACAGTCCATTCGATAATGGTCTACAGAAATCCAATAACCGCTAATTGCTGCTCCAAACATGAGCACTTGGCTGGTAATGATTCCACGTCTCTTACACTCTGTCAGTTTTTTGCTCATCTTTATAACCACAGCTCATCTTGTGCTTCAACCCTGTAATGAATTCACAGAGCACCATCCCTCCCTTTTTTTTTTAAGATCTTAATGATTACGTGATGTAATTGCCTAAGATTGCTCAGGGTCCACTCAGCTATTACAAGCCCACCAGTCTGGTCCCTTAGCAACAGAGCTGTGCAGTCTGAAGACGCTTCCTGTGTCAGTCAAACTGCAATTACAGAGAGGGTTATGATAGCATCTACATTATAACACTGCATCTTGCAAAAGTGGCCCCATGCTGATAAATCTCATATGAGACTGAGGACAGTTTTTAGTTTCAACAGCACAAAAGACATTAATTCTGATTTTTTAAGACTGGGTTTGACCACTGAATGAAATGTTTGGTTTGATATACCAACTTACAGTAAAGTCCACTCGCTTTGTGAGACCAGTCGCTTTTCAGTAAAAAATTGTATATTTCTGTGACATCTCTCTGAAATATAAAGGTAACCTGTAATGATTTTTTTATTGGTATTAGTCATATAATGTCATATCTGCTGTGTGCTGACAATGCAAATGTAAGACTGCCATCTTTGTCTGTTAGCCAATCAAAGGCTGTAACCAAAATCAACTGACAGCGGCGGGGTGACGCAGCTCAAGGAAGAACATTTATGATCATTACTTTATCATTTTAGATGAGTTGTGTTTAGTCTCTTTGCTAAAGAAATCAGGCAAAGTTAAAAAGATGTTTGGTGGCTAGTACTGTTGCTGGGACCCTATATGTACTGTTGATGAAGTTAGGTTCTGTTCTGAGTATATTTGTGGCTATAGAGTGGCATTTTGGTTTAGGTTTGTTTATGGCTCCTCAGACCAGACTCAGTGTATTGCTATCGTGCGGTCGTTACTCAAGTTGGTATAACCAGAGAAGCAAGCGGTCGGCAACATTCATCTCTCGGGGAGGTGTCTAACTCGGTGTTATGGTGTGTTTGACACTAAATTAATTTTACGCCGAAATATCCCTTTAATGGCCAATCAGCAGAGCAGTGAAGATGATAAACTCTTACTAAAACCTGTGTAGGGTTACTTCTTTCCACACTGAAAACCCAAAGAAATTGAGCAGGGAATTGATTAAGAGTTGTATCGATAAACAGAATCAATATCAATAAAATCTATCACTTCCAATCTTTGGCTGGTAAAGCATCAGTAGTAATGAGGAAGGGAGAAGTGAGCCTGAAGGCAAAGGTATTTATTTACCGATCAATCTCTGTTCAGACTCTTCCCTATGGTCATGTACTTTGGGTAGTGACTGGAGGAATGATTTCACCAGCATTGGGTTTCCTCCAAAAAGGTAGCCAGACTCAGCCTTAGAGATAAAGTCAGGGGCTAAGATATCCATGAGGAGACTCAGAGTACTGCTGCTACTCCCCTACATCAGAAAGAGCCAGTTGAGGTGGATCAGGCATCTGATTGGGGATGCCTCCTGGACTCCTTCCTCTATAGAGCTTCTTAGTGTGTTCAACTGGGAGAGTGTAGGACAAGCCCAGAAGTCACTGGAGGGATTAAACATCCCTACTGGTCTGGAAATGGTTTGAGATCACCCCGAAGGAGCTCGGAAATGTTGCAACAGAGAGGGATGTCTGGGTTTAGTCTACTGTCACTGGATAAGCTGGAGAAACTTAATAAGCGGATAGACGGGTGGCATCATCCACTTCATGTATTTGCCACTCTCAGCTCCAGCTTTGATGATTCAGAGTTCGTCTCATCCTCCTCACTCTTTCATTACTCTTTAACTTGTAAATGAAACCATAAATGCTGACTTCATTCATGATACTCCCCCTCCACACCAGCCTGCTGTGTATAACGTCATCGCTTTTGTTCTTCTTCCTGTATGTGGGTCAGTTTAAGAGCGTGACCAGCGCACACAGGAATGTAACAGTTGACACGTATTAAAAATAAAGTAAGCAGCCAAACAAAAGGGGAAAAAGAAGAGCGATAAAAATATATGAGCAACTAAATCTGATGCCAAGGCTTTCAGTACGAGTATAAAACTTGAGCAGTAAAAATGACACCAGCTTTTATGCACGCAGTTTCTCATCCATTAGATGTGTCCCTCGCTGTGTGCCGAACCACTGGACAGCAGAAAGGAAAGAAAGCGTCGCAGGCGTAGATCACCCTAAAATCACAGCCAATTTTCCTAATTGGTTGAGGAGCAAGAAAAGCACAAAATGTCTTTTTCTTCTCTCTCTGGGAAAATCTCAGAAATGCATTGGGAGGTTTATTTGATTCATTCCAAACAGCTGCTTAATTGCTGCGGCGTTGTGTGCCATTAGAGGCCGTGATGAGCAGCACGGAGCCGGACTTTAGAGGAGTGAAAAATAAAGCATACATCCTGGTCAAGGATTCCTTTCATGGTGCTAATGATACCTCAGGCTACAGACGCCCGCACAGTGGAACAAAAAAAGACACTTTGAAGACAACTCAGGACAAACAGCTTCTGTTTCCTGCACTTTTATATAATGCTTTGTTAGAATATTGAATGTATGACTGAAAATAGAAGGCTTTTGTGGGTATTAAAAATGCTTCTTTTGGAGGACTGCACAAACCCTGCAGCCAGATTAAAAAAACTGCACATATTTTGGAAAGATGATCATCTTGGGGGTTCAGATTTCTCCTTTTCCTGCCACTCATAAGAAAGCAAAAGCAGATACAGCCGTACTGAAACTGTTTGTTCTCTTTCTCAGATACAGTCCAGTGTCTTCTTCTGTAGGGAGATGAAATAAGACATTCCAGCCTTGCTTCGTTTAACTCTTCGGTTTGATGTGTAACATTATGTCATCTCTACGGTCCCACGGCAGTTTATGGACCGATCGTTACTGTGACAATGCTGGATTGTTTTGTTGTAAAAAGAGAAATGAGAGGAGATTTTCACCTCTGCAGCTGGGAAACGTGGCTCCTTTAAGGACACCGCAGTCACAAAGGGAGCGTGCAGTTGGCTGAGCAGCGACTTTATCACCAGTAATGGCCCATATTGAAATAAATCTCTGGAGCAGGAGTGGAGTATTGATGCTTAACAAGGCCTGTCGAGAGACGGCTTTGCATATATTGAGCTGCATTGTAGGAGCTGATCCAGTAGTGGGAAAGAACAGGGTTCACAGTACTCCAGCATATCAAACACGCTCATTATCACACACAGCACCTACTTTCTATACATCACTTAAAGAGCAAAAAAATGCCCCAAACTCAGCTGATAATTATTTCCATCCCAACAGTAAAGCTGCCGCTAAGCATACTCATAAAAGCCTATTAGCCTCATGGATCAGCATGCTCTAATTGTTTGTTTGAAGTGGATCTCTGGAGTGTCACGGCCCTCCTCCAGCGCTCTCTCTCACTCAACTTGAGTGACAACGACTCTTGCAGCGGCAGAGGGGCAGAGGGCAGGAATCACTCAGCGAGGGCTCACATGAAAAGAGCAGCCGTTGTTCGGTTGGCACGGGGCGAACCACCAGAGCCGCTGCAAGGACCGTTTTTCAGATTCCACCACGAGCGGCATGTCAGCGGTCCAGGAGCAGCCGGCCGCCAAAAGCCCGAGTCTGAGTCTGAGCCTTGGTGCCAGAACCCCCACCCTCCTCGCCGACGTCCGGCTCTGCTGCGCCTTGATCTACAATTACCACCCGTCACTTGCCATTCGATTGAAGAAAATAGGGTGTTTGATGCATAAAGGGATAAATGGATGAATAATTAGATTTTTAATCAAGCTGAAGGAATCTCTCCAAAGATGAAAACGGGGAGAGCTACAACTAAAGAGAGATCTGCTCGTTTGGAAAGCAAAAGAAAGGATCCACAGACCCCCTTCTGTGCTAACAAGCTTCATCTATGCTGAGATGTTTAACCCTTTAAGAGCTTCAATACAAACCGTTGTTGAGTCATGCACACACAGAGGGAAAACATGCTATGAAACAAAACACTCACTGATTTTCAGGCCCAACTTCAAACAAATACAACAAAGAGCGGATGAAAGAAAACAACAAAGCATTGACGCTCATAAATTTCCTTCCTCTTAAACCGAATGCATGTATCGGGTGATGGCAGACGCTCAATATTAGAAAACTGGACCTGGTAACAAAGGCCAAAGAAGCCGATCAGGACACCAAAAGCATTCATCATCTTTAAGTATTTAACTTCCACATGAGCAGCTTTGCATTATTTCCAAACGTTTAATTTTGCAGCAGCCTGATTGGTTGATGTTGACGACACAGCGGGGTGCCCTGCCTTTTGTAAGAGAAGTTCGGGAGAGGGAAAAGGTTGGAGGAGGAAAGGGAGGGGGCGGGAAAGAGGATTACGAGGGGCCAACGATGAGGGGGCCATTGTTCGAGCCTGAGAAAGTGTGCGGGAAGAGAAGCACACACTCTGGACACGAACTGGAACCTTCCTGATAAAAAAACAGGAAACGGCGAGATACAGGTCCTCACCCGTAATCACGGGACGTACCAAAATGTCTCATCTCTATCTGTGCACAAAGGAAGTCTTCAAAGCTGGAAAAGGAATTCGAATCACGAGGCGGATGCAGGTTTTTAGTGAACTGCCATTTCAGAATAATTTGACTAAAGTGAAGCCTGTTGGAGAGCTTCCATTTTTCAGTGGCTGCATATTTCCAGCAGACTGAGATGACAGAGTGACAAAGTGCTGCTCCTCTGGGAAAAAAAAGCTGGACTGGAAGATGTTTCTGCACAGAAAAACCATCAATGTCTGTAAATGCAATTATCAAACGGAGCCAGAGCTTGGGCGATAAATAGTGAACACAGTGAATGGTTTCAAATCGTGAATCTGTGTTCAAACAGAATCCAGTTTTGTTTTTATTGAACGTTAAAACGGCTTCTCTTTCTCTTTGAGACAAGGCTCATCAAATCATTTCTCTTTATGTACGACTGCCGTTTGTCTGTTTAGCTGTCATGATTTTTGTTTGACAGATATGTGATTTTGTTCATGTTGTCATATATATTCAATTACCCCAAATTTCCATCAGCTTTTATTCTGTGATTTCTAAACATTTCTTAAATGTACAGAAGTATCATTTTGAGAGATTTCTCATGAAATCAGGGAAGTACATTTTACTACAAAGATGTGAAATTTAAGAGACTAAACAGTGTGAGAGAAAGGGCCTGTGTCCACTTAAAGCATTCTCTGCTCTGGAAGCCTGTTGCCTCTTCTTGATAACTTGCTCTTATCAAATAAAATTTGCAAGAAAGGATGTCCCGATACAACTTTTTTACTTCCGATACGATACCGATATTGTAGCCTTTAGTATCGGCCGATACCGATATTGATCCAACGTTGGCACAAACTTGTGCGTGACAAGTTTTGCACTCAGTTGTAATATCTTTTTTGAACTTAACTGCCACTCAGCCAAAATCACTCTTACTCATTGCTACTTTATTTGTACCTTATTACATACTGTTGTTGTGATCACATGGGCTCTGCATACTGGATCCGGGCATTTCTGGATAGAGATGCCATAGAGGAGTCTAGAATGGACTGCTTGTATCGGAGTGCTGATATCGGAGATTTTAGATGCAGGCAGATACAATCCATTATTTGTTTTTTGGCTGATATCCAACATCAACATCGTATCGGGACAGCCCTATTTGCAAGTGATAGATGTCATCACTTGTGATAAAGTGATAGAGTCAGTTACAACGTTCATTGTTGTAACTGACTGAGCTAATACCAGAACTCCCTCTTGATTATGATTGTGATGCAGAAGTGCAGCAGCGTTCAAAACACTGAATGAATTTCGCTCTGAAAACACTAAACTGCATGAGTTTTGCATATAAAATGGGCACTACCATGGCGACCATTGGCATCAGTGGACATAGGCCCTAACCCTCAACTGAAACCTTACCTCTCAAATACCCACACTCATTCACTGCAATGCAGCAGATCATCTGTGTTTTAGTAGAGCGGTAAGTCTTGATTAATATGGACAGATTTTTCCCCCCCAAACAGATGGTGACATACTCTATTTGAAGCCAAGTTTTCAAAGGCTTGAGAGATTGTCAATAAAGGCAGCTTTGAGAGCTGATTCCCACTCTTTACCTCATAAAAAAAGACGAAAAAAAACCAGGACAAATGTTTGACAGACCACAAGAGATAACCTCACCAGAAGGGGAAGAACATAAACGTCATAAATAGACAGAAACCTGACCCAGTTTCCCCACCCTGCTCTTTTGTGTTGGAGGGAAGAGGACCCTGCCGCGGGGGTGGAGCCTATAAAAAGCTACATAGAAAAACGTTGTAAGCGCACAAGTGTGAGTCCAAGCCCAGCAGGTTGGTGATAAATCTTCGGAGTGGTCCTGTCCACACTTGGGTGTCAGTTTCTACTCAGTGTCACAGCCTCTGACCGTTAAACTTTCAGCTTTATTTACTTTTCAAAAAAGACTTCACAACCCTGCAAATCCCTGCGAGGTAGTTACGACTCCGCTTGCTTAAAAAAGCTACATTTCCTCCTTTGAAATTCTTTCACCAGCTAAACGAAACAGCTGCACTTGTACCGTGTTGACTAAGCTAGCATACTGCAGTAATTATTTCAGTGCTCATGCTGGCAGCCTCCCACAGCTGCTCACACTCTAAACACAAAACCTCGGTGCTGGATCCTGAATGAAGCCTTGCTCTTGTCTCTCAATCTGCACACTTAATGCCAAGTACACAAACTGTATAAAACCCCAGAAACCACCAACATATTTCCCTCTGGCATCTGCACAAACAGGCCATGACTGGAACAGATTGACATCACTCACATAAAGAAGAGTGTTATCTGCGTATTGGTATAATGAGCAGCAGGAGAGAGTGTTATTGTACGGTTCCAATGCTGCACAAAATCAGATCAGCAGTCATATTCATAAGCAAAGAGTCTGAATGAACATCAAAAGCATGGTAATCTGAGGAATTTGATATGGGATATTATGAGAAGTAATGGTAGCAATTTGGCGATCAAAGATGGCGGGGATCATTGGAAAGACATAATTTCCTTTCGCCTTTTCATCGCTGAGGAAAATTTAAAAAAGGTTGCGGGGTCTGATACAGTAAAAAGGGAATCATGGAGGAGAAGGAAGCGGCGTGATTAAAAGACGGTTCTGGGACAATCTTTTTTGGCTTTCGAGGGCGAAATAACTCAAGGGCCTCATGAGGGGAGGGAAGCAGAGCGGATGAGGAAGAGTAGAAAAAGACTACCATGAAGTAAGAGTTCGAAGCTATTCAGCACCAAAGAATGACACCAGACAGAAGAGCACACCTGCGAGAACTTGAGTGTTGCTGATAAAAAGACTTTCAGAGAGAATTTTTTAACAGTACAGCTGGAAGATGAGGCGCTCATCAGAAAAAATCTGTCAAAACCTTACGTCAACTGCAGACAAAAACAGCTCGGTGGTTTTCAACTGGTTTAAAATCTAACGGTGTTCAAAGATGATGGTTTTCAGAAGTGATTTTGAGCCCATGCAGTGACTTTCACTACAGAGTCATGAGTGCTCCTGAGGTCAGAGTCATCTAGTATTGGTTTTTGAACTTAGCACAGATTTGTCATAAAACAAGGATGAATTTCAATTACAGCATTTGGTGACTCAAAAATTTTAAAAAACGCTTTAAATGACTTGTAAAACATCAAATTCTGTTTTTACGTGGAAAGCGTGAAAATGTGAGCTGAGTCTGCGCAGCCTGTCGCTTCTGACGGTACAAGTTGCATTAGGAGTTTAGCCACATCTAGCGGAGCAGCCACCAGACCAAAGCAGCAATCACTCTAACCATCTACGTTTACATCATCTAATGTTTATATTTTAAGGCATCTTCATTATCTCTAAGGGGGTGATTTGTTAATTATGGGTCTTGCATACCTGCAGAAACACTCAGGACTGTAAACTAGTTCACTGTATTATTTAGTATTAATCTACATTTGTTGTACTGTTGAGTTAAAATGTTTTTTTATGGTTTTCTAAGTGTATCTTATTCAATTTGCTTTGTTATTTACTTTGTATGTTAATAAAATGTTGAACTAATCTCTAGTTTCTTTAGTTTTTAGTGCAGATGCTTTAAAACTGGCAGCTAAAAAAAAAAAACGTGATAATAATCAAGATCGGACGATATGACAAAATATATCATAATCATTTTTTTTTCCAAATCGCCCAGGCCTACTCCAGTGTTTGCACACCAGGCTCTAAGCCCAAAGTTGAATAGCATGAATAAGCCGATACCTGTGCATGTAAATGTAGTGATTGCCTCATTAAAACCCCCTTTGTTTTATTCCTGCATATTTTAAATCAATGTGAACATGTTCCTTTAAAAATACTGGCAACCATCAGGCCACAGATGACAACCAACGATCTGTTATCTCTATTCGTGAACTTACATAAACCACTCTCCTCTTCACGGAAACATCCAGAGCTTTGAGGCCCCGCCAGATATTTGACTTGGCTCTGCTTTCACGTTCGGAGATCGGAGAAAAAGAAGAGGAACATGTAAAAAGGGAGGCAGAGACTGAACAGCCAGCTACACTTCCTTTTTATTCCCCAAGCTTTGAACGTTGTTGTGAACACCACCACGCTGTCAAACCCTTCGGTTCTTCCTCGTGGGAATGGTTGTAACTTAAAGAAAGACCACAAATAAAAGCCTGTTAGCACAAGTGATGTTAAATAGTGCCTTGGTATGTTGTGATTGTGCTCTGATGGCAGTAATCAGAGGGAGTAATTACAGTATACATTATGAACATGCCTCCACCCCGCTGGCAGAGCCCTACCCACATATTTTCTCTCACCACAGCAGAGTGAAAACGATTCCTCGCACTCCATTAAGGAGTCCAGCTGAGGGAAAGCAGAGTTTCTCAAAGCACCTGTGAGAGCCGGGACAAAAAACTTCTTCTGCTTCATGTTTTTTCCCTGGGTTTCTTTTCTGGACAAGTTCTCTGTCTGTTCTTCATCTCCACGGCTCAGACAGCGAACACCTGGAGCAACAAAGGGTGGAGGGGTTGGGGGGGGGGGCAATGAAGCGATGGAGATCCCTTTGTTACTCAAGGGGGTTTCGGCCACACAGTGAACTCAAACGGCGAACAGGAGAGAGAAATGATTCCACATGTCGGGATTTTCAGCCACAATGAGCACCTTTCTGCACTCAAAGACATCAAAACTGGAACTCAGCTGCAGAAAAACCTACAGTTGTACTTTTTTTTTTGCAGCAGAAATAATTCTCTACTTTTATTTCCTTCTCTTTCAGCCTTTTCAAACATACCAGTGGCTCTTGCTACACGCCACAATTATATGATAGATGAAAAGCCAGAGGAAAAATAGGTGTATTCCTTGGCAGAAACTCACATTCCTGACATGAAACCTTCTTCTTATTCTGCCTCACTTCATCAGCGCTCCTATGGGGGACTGTGTGCACACAAACAGTTGGCTATTGATTGGTCTGCCTTAAAAGGCCCTGAACGATCTCAGTGTAGCATGTACTCCACCTTTACTGACCACAGAGCAGCTACCATGTGACCTAAAGAGCACACCTGCTGCCTCCAAAAGCAGCAGCGCTGTCAAATGAGCAGGTGGCGAGTGACACGCGAGAGAGCTTCGACGCAGAGCGAGGGTTAAGTATTTTCTCAGTGTTTATTCACTCTCCATACTCGCACGCTCGACTGACTCGATTTAACACTTCACAGGTTACAAGTCATGTTAGCAGGAAGGCTTCTGCAAGTTTATCCCCCGGAGAGAAAATAAACCTTGAATACACATGCAAGTGCTTAATCCACATGAATCCGATTTGTAAAAACTGAAAGTAGAATTGTGCACAGAGACTTTATTTGGATGCATAAACGGCGCCTCTTATCTTTGCCAGAATAACATCAGAAGAAAGATGTGTACAAAGGAGAAGAAGGTGCTAATTTGCCATACAGCAGCGGGCAGATCTATTTGTAGAGATATATAAATCACCCTAAGGTTATCACTGATAGTCAGGACGTCATGGAAAGTCTATTTAAACGCTTTATTTGTTACAGACACCATGTGCCACACATTGCATATAATGCAGGTCTAATTCACAGGCTTTCAGTGAACAATGCAACCCTGTGTGATAATATCTAATCTTCTCCTTCTCCTCATGATCTACTTTAAAAAGACAGCCATGAAAGTAAGAAAAACTGTGAGTCACAATCTTCTCCGACACCAGACCAAAGTAATCGCACTGGCATTTGGTTTCAAGCTTTAGGATTTGGCCATCAGGAGTGATATATGTGGGTGTGAATAGATGTTTTTTTTCCCCCCTTTAGCACTTATTGGACGATATTCAGACTTCAAATGCTTTTTAAAACTGAGTTAAATATTGCAGAAGTTTGCAGCCTCTGTGTGGCATCATCAGGATTATGAAACATTACGTGATGCTTATTTACTTACTCGCTTTTTATGGAGTTGTGAAACAGACTGAAATAAATAATCATTTAATTTTATGACCTACAAAAGCAAAGGGGAACTCTTATTTCATTTTTTTATGCCTCTGAATCTAAATTTAGACCCTGGTTCTTGAGTTCATCAAAAGTTACAGGAAAAGTTCCTGCTGTAAAATGTAAATATATGCAAGTATAAAATCAAACTCTAGCTATTCTCAACAGTTTCGAAATATCACACCAGATTTAATCATGAATGGAGGTCTCTTTAGGTCTCAATCAAAGGGGAAGAAACTCAGTTGTCAGTCTGTTTAATATCTACACTAATCAAACATTTAAAGCTCTGACTCCAACAACAGGTACAAAGGGCGAATGAATGAATGACGTTCACCCTTAAGGGACTGGCTGGTTAACAGCTGCTGCACAATGGTATCTCTGTGTCTTTGCAAAGAGCCCAGTTAAAGTAGACACAAATATTCACATTAGACAAGTAAGCACAGAGACAACAGTGTTATCCTAACCCACAAAAACATCATTTAAGATGTTTGTCTGGTCTGCAAAATAGACTTAAACTCTCTATTTAAGTTAAATCTAAATAACAGCTTAAAAGTCTTCAACTCCAAAACTTCTAGAGATCGACGCCTTGAGACTGTTTCATCATCTTCTCCTCCACCGCCTTTGAAGAAACCACAGCAGTGATCATCATGTGTCTGAACAACGCCTGAACAATGTTAAAGACGAGAAAAGAAGCCAACCGCGACTCTGTGTGCCAGTAATCTCTCTCTTTGAGGCCCCCGCCGTCTCTAATTGCCTGGACACTTGTGTCCGAGGGGTTTCTCTAGTTCCTCAGTGAAAAGATGAGACCTCTTTTGCTCCTAACAACAGGCTTAAGCTGATAAACCCTTTCATTCAACGTGGCCGTGGGATCGCCGCTCCATGCAAACAGATTGGGCCAAAAAAGACTAATCAAAACAGCGATTAGCCTCCAACGCGGAGGCCGAGCTAAGCCACAGAGCGGTCTCAGCAGGGGGTCTCGTCACTCTACCGGGAAAAAGTGTCTGATGATTTGTGTGAGGCTGTTTCTGAAGAGCGCATTCCTCTGTGCAACTACACGAGCTGTAATATGTGAGGAATGCATGTGGGTTTTTTTTTATTGGACAAAGACGTAGCCTTGTTGATTTTTAAATGGGATGTGACAGCTGGAAAAACGTACAGACAAGACAGCCTCAGAAAACAGGAAACACTCCAGGCTCACTGATAGCATGAATCCAAGGCTGCTCCGTCATCTGAGGGTGTTCAAAGAGAATCAACTCACTCTCGTAATCAGCAGAACCTCCCATGACAGCTTAGTGTGTTACCCAGCCTCCACGAGTCTTTCCTCTAATTTCTCCCCCTGTTACAGCCAGCAACTCTGCCAACACCTCCATATGGGCAGCCATCAGTGCATCATCTGGCCTGTAGCTCTTGTATATTATAAAGCGTCCATGTGTTTCTCAGCAGCAAGGTCAAGATCTGCGCTTGTTTACTCCACTGGCAGCTGAGGTGAACAAACAAGCTGGACTTGGACACACAATACTTTTAATAAAAAAAAAACAGGTTTTGTTTAGAGTAGATTTTATTGCACAACCTAAAAGCATAAAGTTGGACATGATTATTTTGGGCAGCCTCAGTTTTAAAGTTTATGAAAAGAGAAACATACTTTCAACATGTGTTTGGATTTTAGGCATTAAAGGCTAATAAAAACCTCCCCCCCAAAGAAAACAATGTACATTTGCCAAACTCATGAGTTCCCTCTTGGCTTAAAGCGAGCAGCAACTTCCAGCGAGAAAAGGAGCCGGTGAAGAAATGATAACACTGCAGTTCCTCAAGTGTCCACTAGAGGCTGGACGCACGGGCCTAAAAGCCACATACACACCCATTCAAAACAACTCATTTTTAAAACAAACATGTTCGTAGAATAAAATAGGCCTGTACGATATATCATTTGAGCATCGTTATCGTGATGTACGTATGCGCGATAGACACATTGCATAGCCTGCGATGTCGGAGGCGAGTGAACTCATCTAATATCAAGAGTAGCTGACTGAGATACACTGCATGACTCTGCATGTGCTGTGCAGCGATCCACCAATCACATTTGTTCTTTACTCAGTTGCCAATCAGACTACTCTGCCAGCCGTCAATCAAAATCAGAGAGGAGAAAACCATGCCCCTGCACATGGAGTGAGTAGTTGGCGCTGCCGGTGTTGTGCCAAGAAACGTGTGTCCGCTGAGAACTACTTTCAGAATATTACTCATCACTTTTTAGCCCCACAAATAAGAATTGTATGGGTTTTAAATTGTACATTTCCTTGGACCACTCTACTACAAGCGGTCCGCGTTTTGGGAGGTGCATGCAATTCTCGTCTGGCATGTGTTTCTCGGCACAACACCGGTAACAACAACAACGATCGCAAAATGAGCCACGAACAAGAAGACTTGTTGCCAAAAAGAAAAGAAAAGTCAGTTATCTGAAATTATTTCGGTTACAAGAAGGATGATGTCGACCAAACATGTGTTAGGCTACGGTAGCTGCAGTGCTCCCACAAGCCAGAAGGATTTTAAGTGCGCCTTATAGTGTGAAAAACACGATATTTAAAAGTCGTGGTTAATCGATATCAGTTTTTCAACGGCTGATACTGAGCAAGTCAGACACTGGCTGATATATATAATGCTGATTTCACATAGTTGTTTTTTTCAGTATGATAATTCAAACAATGGGGGAAAAATAACACTGAACTTGTAAAGTAAAATGTTACTACAATGCTTTTGGATTTCTGCCCAGCTCTCTGAAATCAGTCACACAACAGAATTTATTATCAAACTCTAGTCAGTGACTTTTCTCCAGTATTTGGCAGATAAAGCTGATAATTACATGGATGTCTGACCTATAGGATGGTGGAGGCCTAAACCTAAACCCAACAAACTCCACACCTGTAACCATGTGAACACAGACATAATGAAGCTGGTAAATATTTGATATTTGTCAGAAAAAACTGGCATAAATAAACCCCACCGCCTTCCTGATAATGAAAAGCATGGGTTTATTTTAAAGCAGCCCTGCAGAACTAGTTTTCTACTGCCCACCGCTGACCTTGAATAATATCTCACTAATATATTCCAGAGAATCATGTGACTTAGACATGCACACGCACAATGACTGACACCGACACGAGAATATCAACACAACCATTTGTCCAAGTTGATATAATGTGCAATCATGTGGGGAGTGTGTTTACACCGCAGTGTTAAACCACACAGGCAGAGCAGACTCGGTGACCCCAGCTGCAGTCAATTTTGGATATTTACATTAAAACTCTAAATAGAAAAGGCATTAAATGATCCAAATTCAGGCATGTTTGTTGGTGCGCTGTTTCCTGGAGGAGCGGGGAGGGGAAACGATTCCAAGTGACTCTCTGGATATTAGCAGGATAATGAGCAAACTACAGGCCATGAGTTATGCCTCAGCCAGACTCTCCTCATTTTTTTTTTTCAATGCAATATGCCAACTTAGCAGAGATGGCATTTAAATTAACTGCATGATTCCCTGGTCTCTTTCAGCTGCTGCAAAAATAAGTATATTTAAATCCACATGCTGAAAAACTCTTAGCTTGACGCTCAATAGACGTATCATATCCCTTTAGCTGGCTTGATTTTCAGTTAAATGTGAAAATATAACGTCATTGTTGTTTATTTGTCAGTTTTCTCATCCTGTTACTAAAATGTAAACCATATGTCCCCATTCAGTGTATCTTCATCGGGGTTCACGTATGGAAAATCACATCAAGCTGTCTCACAAATCCATCAACATGATTAAAAATCCCAAGCTCTCTGAGATCGCAGTGACAGACAATAAAAAAGATTCACTGCATTGGCTTTGAGTTTTTCTGTATATATCTACTTAACTCCTTGAAGATGTGGCCTGGATGCTTTTCTGTCCTCTGTCATGCAGCATTTAGAAGCCCACAAACCCCAAAGGAGTGGAGTGAAGCGTTTTCTCCATCCGCATACAGTACTCGGTCAGCCTGAGGCAAGGACTACTACTCCTCTCTTTCCTCTGTCTTTATGCTTTAAACAACCACCATCACTGTCCTTACAAAGCACAGCGGTTACTGTATCCAGGCCGTCCTTTGAGCTACGGCTTCCCCCCCTTTATACACACACACCACTTGTTGTGTTTTAAGTATAGGCCTACATTTGATTCACCATTACAGTGAAGTAGCTGAGTTATTCTGTCATTCAGCAGACTTTCAGCTTTTCAGGTTTATGTTGAATCAAATCTCATCCAGCTGGAAGGAGCACTTAAACTTTCCAAGCAATCATCTGTAAACTTACTTAAAGCTAATTCAGGGTTTTTCAGTCGGTTTAAACTCACTATATGGGTTAAGTAGTCGACTATTTCACCGGTTTGTCTTTTAGCTTAAGCTTACTGTTTACCTCGAGAAGACTACCTTATTAGCTTACTATGTTTGTTCGTAAAGCCCTTATTTTAGCTGTATGTTACTTACTTTTATGTAACTAATTTAACTGTATTTACTGCTTTTAGCCAAATACTTCGACCTGTTTTTCTATAATCTATTAGTTAAATGTTTCTGTTGGATTTTTTTCTTTGAATGTTAAGGTAAAGGTTTTATTACAGGGCTCGACAGTTCGACCATTTCACTCGCATTTGCGACTAAAAATAGATTTGTGCGATCTGTAAAGCGTATTTAGAGGCACATGTGCACATAAAAAAATTAGCCAAGGCAACAAATGTTTTAAGTTGGATATTTGACGGACATTCACTCAGATCTACTGGTGTCTTCTCACCCCCCATAACCAGGAATAGCAACAACAGCGCGGTTAAATCTACTCGGCACCCTAGCTGACAGCGTCAGGTGTTGAATTAAGGGACCGTCAATAAATTACCGGGTGATGTTCTCAGAAAAGGCTGTTTTCCTTCAATAGCTTCCATGTCATGTGACCAATTGACTTTAAATTGATGTCAAATAAAAGTATTAATGTCGAAAAATTTTCATTGTGCCCCTTAAGTTCTTTGTGTGCTCCTTACTTTTTCAACCTCGGTGCACATGTGCCCCTTGTGAAAAAAGTTAGTGTCAGGCCCTGTATTAAGATAACTTTAGCTAACAGTTTATCTACAACCTTAAATGATCAATTTCTGTTGCTGTTCATTTCTTTCAGCTTGAACAGTCTGATATAGCTAACGTTTTTTTGCAGCTAACCATTTTAACCATCGCAGCTAACTACTTACTAGATACTGGCGAGCAAGCTAAATTAAGTATTTTTAGCCTCACACACATTAGAAAATCCACTCAAAATTTTTACCTTCTTATCTAAATGGTCATTTTTTTTAAGCCTTCATCCATCCTTCTACACATTTCCACTGTTATCCAGTGTGGCACAAAACTAAAGATATTTGACAAAGCTGATTATTTCTGGAAACATAACTGGAAAAAGGGCTCGCAGTTACAGAGAACAGATATATTTGTCCTGTTTTTATCCTTCGATAACAATCCCTTCACCTCATGCGACAGTAAAACTGTCAGCAAGACAGCAGGCTGGTGGGGTGTGCCACACTACATGCTGGGACACAGAGTCTCTGTGGGGAGCATCTAGACCAGAAGCTGCATGGACATGGATGCTGCTTTCTCTTGGCAGTAAGGGGGGTTTGCAGCTTGCAAATACAAAATGCTACTTCCTTAAGAGAGAGAAAGGGTAACGGTCACATGGAAAGGAAGAGGTTATCGTCCGAGGGAAAACCTACCACGCCAGGAATTTTCATACTATGAATAAATTTACATGTAATCAGCGCTGCCACTCACTGATAGAGCAGATATCCTGAAGGAGATAGGTTTCAGGGAGTGTCTGTGATAGAAATTGAAATTCTCATAGAGTGCAGACAGTCTAAAGCACGGATCAATCATTGTGTCTTTTTCATTTGGCTTCAGAAATACGATCAGTAGGGGATGATGAGGGGGAAACTATGCAATCACAAAGAGCCAACATTCAATCTAGGAGAGATAACAAAAGAAGGACGAAAGACAGCTCTGGATGGCAGGATGCCCCTGGGGCGGCTATGCTGTTATTATGTTGGAAGGGGCTGCAGAGCTGTGGTGTGGGGCAATTAGAGACCGGAGGATTGAGTGGGGGGAGGGTCCAGGCACAACAAACCGTCCATGAAGTGTTTTCAGCTCTGAGAGAAAGGCGAACAAACCTCCTGGATGTGGTTGCAGTGGCAATAAAATAAGACATACACAGCAGATGATGGTGGATTTGTGAATCAAAATGAGAATCATCTTTTTTCCGTGGAAAGACGCTGTGACTGAGCTGCTCCCCTGTCATCAGTGGAATCCAAAATTAAATCGAGTGATTGCATGCTGAACTTTACGCCGCACTGGTTTGGATGATTTCACTGCTAAGTATGTGACAATTGAGACCGGTTTGGGATAACGTACGCAAGCGGATGAATCATCTGTTGTTCTCATCGAGAGCTACTGCAGACACGGTGGTGAACACATTAGCCATGTCTATTATCTTTAACGTCACTCCGCTGTGGAAAGTCGTGACTGAAAACCACACAGCGTCCAGGAGCAGTCCAGCTGGAAAACACGAGGACAGAGAGGAAAAGTCAGTCCCAGAGTCTCGTTTCAGCGGTTTTGTGGATAGTGGACGGAGGTTACAGCCTGACAACTATAGTGTTTTGTCTTTTAACGGGTAGATAACGGGAGCAAAAACAGATTAAGTTGCAAGAGGGAATGAGTTTTACAAGACACACAGTCCGACTGTTCCCAAACTCTCACTTGGGTAACCTAAGCCTCTGAACTTCACCTCTGATTAGATCTCTATTGTCACCTCTCACAATATTACAGATCTCAGAGTAAAAAAGGACACAATGGGCAGAGAGAGGGGACAGTAACACAAGCTTGGAACAGCTGGCACTGCCAAGTATCTCCAGCCATCACAAACACACAGTTTCCATGCCCCCTGGCTTCAACAGAGCAGGTGTGTGTGCCCACATTCTTTACATAAGCTCCTGTCAAACACAGTGCACAGAAACGAGGCCTCGCAGCTGCAGGACAATGGAGTCGCATTAAAGTACAGCAGTGCAGCAAGGCAAGCGAACTTCAGACCGAAATCAAAGGAGCAGTTTGTACAAGGTCAGCTTACTAAGACTTTAAATAAACTCTGCAGACTGATGAAGCCATGGAGCGTTTAAGACGGCTGTTTTAACTCCTTGTACCCCTCTCTCTCTTAACACAAGAGTAATCTCTGTAATCACAATTATTACACACAATTATATCTTTTAAAAAGGTACTTCTGTTATAAAAGCAGGAAAAAGCTTCAAATTATGATTTCACAGAATAAGTATGCAGCAAAAGGAGGCTGATGATTCAAACATGTAAAAACTCTGCACACAGTTTAACTAGCAAAAGCAACAAACCTAATTTATTAGTCAATAAACAAGCAAAAAGAGTAGATAATAAACCTCAGCTTCTCAACCGTAAACGTGAGGTTACATTAAGAAAAATAAGTCATCTGCAATGTTTCCGCTTATTTTTGTGTCTCTATTTGAGTCCAGGACACACAAATGCACCATTGAGTTTATAATATAAACAGGCCCTGAAAATAGTGGATCAGAAATCTGTTGGATGGTATCACGGCTTCAAGTAGACGGAGGTACAATAAACTGAATTTTGGTAGTTTTGTGAACTTTTCATTCACTTTTGTTTTTTTAAGTGAACAACTTAACTGGTTCTTAATTAAAGCAGCATATTCAGAACTGGAGGAAACTATTAAACAGCAAAATGTAGGATAACATTTGATCAGTGAGAGGTTCAAAAGTATGAAAGACTTTAAGACAGATATTGACAGAATTTACACAAAGAAACTGACTCTAAAATCAGAGAACACACATACGTACACACAACTTCTGCATATGCAAATATGTAGTCATTGTTCGACTGTCTTTGTCTCCATTTCTGCTGGTATCCTTCTTTTTTGAACATTGTAGTGTTGTAGTATTGTATTTTCTGGAACAGAGTTGTAAATTAGCCATAGTATGCATGACATCTACTTTGTGTAACTAATGAAGCAATGTTTACTGCATTTGTCCCCGTCAAATAAACAAATAAATAAATAAATAGATGCAAAGCACGATCACATTTCTAACAAACTGTTTGCCTGATGAAGGTCCAGGACCAAAGCTTCTACGAATTAATGATTCTGCATCAGAAATAGGGATTAAAAGTATGCAATATAAAGAGACTGCACGGTCATGAATGTGTTTAAAATACCCTTATGTTTGCATTCAGACACAATCAAGACCTTTTTAGTTATTTTTAAAGGATTTTACAGTCTTTTCCGTCTTGTGAGGTATTAAAACTAAATTCGAACCTCCTCAAGAACTCAGACGGCATGAAATTTGAGGATAACTGTCATTCTTGGGTTTCACAAGTCGTTTAATCTGCCGGGGTTAAATGCCTTGAAGTAAGGATTAGCTTTTTTTCCCCTCAATAAGTCGCAGAGCTAACTTTGTAATAGGCGTCTTGCTTTGATCGGAGTCGGGGACCTGGAAAGTGAGAGCCACTGTTTCACAGTATGTGGGGAAGGACATGATAGACCTCTACTGTTAACCTCGCTGTGGTTATAAAGCGGTTTAGTTTACTCTGCATATGTAAATCATCTTGTATTAACCTTATTCTTTGGTGCTTCGATATTCTGCAGATTCTGAAGGCAAATTTTCCCTCCGACTGTCTTTGGGAACAGTGAGAGATGTTTTACATTTGTCTTCTTCCTGCCTGGTTGTCCTGCGCACCTCAGTTTGGCATCCTGCTGACTACATCCACGAGGTTTGTTGCCAAAAGCTTGAGTACAGAGAAAACCGATGATGAGCACATCCTCTCTGCATCCCAGAATTAATCCCTTGAGCTATTAATTACAGATGTTCCACATCACACAAGCCTCAAAGTGTCTCAGTCTGTGGACGGCATTAGCACATATGGTTTGACTGAGCATAACAAAAAGGAGAAATTATTAAGGTAGAGACCCCGAAAAAGCTCAATGCAGCCGCGACAGATGAAAAGAGGACTAACCACCTGTAGATAAAACAGTTCAGACCTCTTTTCGAGTCATTTCTGCTGTCACCAGGAGAGGAGGGATGACAGTTTGAGCACTGCAGTTTTCAGCAGATTAGTGACATATTGATGAAAGGTGAACTCAGCCCCTCTTCGAAGCCCCTCGGCGCACTCAGACCCTGGCCGCCAGCCGAGCAAGCGGGCGTCCTGCCTCATGGGGGCCTGGCTGCAGAGCAGAACGTTCGAGCAGAAGGACTCAAACAAGAGGCCTTTCTCTCACTGAGACGTGATCCTCCTCCCCCCCTCCGGTGTCCAGCAGGAGCAGCTCTGGCAGCACATCAGCGTGTTCCCCCTCTCTTTGCTGGAGTTGGGTTTTCACTTTGCTTTAGCCAAGGCTTTAATTGATTTACACAAAACTCTGCTCGCAAGTCCATGTAAGGCAGTGCCAGCCAGAAAGCCAAGAGGACAGGCGGACAGCTGGACAACAAGCAGACGTCTAATTTCTCCGAGCGTGGTATTTGAGGGTCCTGCAAGACAAACACTAATGGATTTCCTCTGTACTATTCAGAGAGACAATCATCCTGACCTATTGGCTTTACGGGATTTAAAAGAATGGAAAATATGAAATTAAAAAGACTTCTTTCAGTTAAGGGTTGCATGCAAATAAGAAAAAGCTAAATTAGTTATAGTTGCTCCAGGGAAAAAGACCTATTACTCTTTGAAGTATATTTATGTTGGCTAAAATACAGATTCAGAATTGCGTAAGACCGCCTAACTCTCCTCAAAGGACAGATTGAAAAAAGGATTGGCCCGGATTTTTCCTTTCTCTCTGTATTTAATCAAGAATATTATCCCCGCTTGATTAAATAACAAACATTTCCTGCAACGGGAAGGCCTGGATAACTCCAGAGAGAAAAGAGGACGGTCTGCAGTGAGGGAGGGAGCGCCAAGTCACAGGAGGAGGAGGAGGAGGAAGAGGAGGTACAGTCAGAGATTCTTAGGTGGACATGGAGGCTCTGAAAGACACGATTGAGGAGAAATTACGTCTTTCAGTAGATGAGCTCAGCTTGCTGCTGAAGAGGAGAGGTGAGAGGGCCACTTAGTCTCTGCAGAGCCACAACATCAACACAGACAACCACTGGGTCAGCATGACTCACCAAGTTAGCTCTGCTGATAGCACGTATGAGCTAAATAGCTCCTCTGAGCGTTTACATTCACACATGCCAGGGTCATCCTCAGCTGTGTGTGCCGTCCAATTCTATCTGCAGCGAATTCACACTTCCTGGTTTGCAAAATATGAATCTCACACCTCAGTCAGACACATCTAATTATAGCCCAGAAATGAAAATGTGTGCATTTTTGTCCTGAATTGACCACACTGTGCCCCGTTTGGACACAGAAATCCCTAAACAATATGCAACTAATTACAACTGCAATTAACAGTTGCTTTCAGTATCAATTAATCAGTGATTAGTTGAAGATTGTTTTTCAATTAGTCCATGATTTGTCCAAAAACCAGAGAGCAACATGCATTGTGAATTCCCTCAGCCTAATCTGATGTATAACAACAGCTTGTTTTGTTTAACCAGCAGCCCAAAGCCCAGAGATAAAGTTAATTATCACACTGGAGAATGAAAAGTATAGAAAATGGAGCGTGCATTTTCGGCATTTTTTGTCTCAAAGTGTGTCTCACTGTTTGATTAACAATCTGTTGATGGACGCGTTTTATTGTGGATGTTCACGACTAACTAAATCGACAAAACTTATAAGGGAAAAAAAAGGAAATCAGCCACCTTGTTTGTGTAAAATAAGAGAAAAAATTCAAACAAAAAAAATTCTGGTTACAACACGGATCATAAATTGAAGGATAATGAGGCACTTTAGCACTCTGCATGCCTCAGGAGATGTCATATTCATAAAACACTGTGGCCATCCTAATGATGCTGTCTATATTGGTGAAAAAAAACAAACAGGCCTAATGTTGGATGGAGCCCAAACTGCACCACAGCTGCAGGCCTCTGCACAACACCGACACACCAACACACACACAGATTGTGTTGTCTATCCGCATAAGGCCGACACAGCCAGCAGACCACCGACAGGAGTGGTAACAATGGTTATGATGATGGCACAGACATCTTTCCACCAGCATCTCCAACACAATAACGCTGCACCGTGGCGATGGATGTGCTCCGCCCCAGACAACAACAGTACAACCCCCACATCTCCCTGTCATCGTCGAGCCTCGTTCACGCCTGGACTTTATAATGAAGCGTAACAGCAATCATCATTGGCGAGCTGGAAAAATTTACGACACAATAATTCAGTCCAAGTCACGCCTCACCTGCACAAAGAGCAGGAAGAGGGTTAAACAAGGAAGATGCAACCTGTTTGACAAACACCAGACAAGACGTAGGCTGCTTAATATTTAAGCTCTTCTGGTCAGAGTTTCAGTTTCAGATTTAGTCTTTAAAATATGTGCTCTTACAGGTATAATCGGACCTTGTAGGGTCAACATCCTTTTCACCATGATCCATCTTAAATCTGTTTTATTTTGCTAACAAAAACCTGCTTTCACTGACGTGCACATTATGCAAAACTGCACCTATTATATCCTGATTTGCAGAATATTTATATTAAAAACAGAGAGAGACGGACACCTGTGCTGCACACAGGACAGTGTAAAGGCCCACTTCCATTCAGCAGCTCACAGACAACAAATGCAACATCATTGTCTGAATGCTGCATGTTTACACTGCTGCAAATCTCACCAACCGATAAATAATCCTCCACCCCAGGCAAGTTAAAATAATAATAATAGTCCATTTTTAATTATCTGGGATTAAAGTAAATATAATTCAGCCGACTACAAATTAAATATTTTACTCACACCTTAAAGTAAAATCTATTCCCCTATCTATTCCCCTGTAAAGCGAATATGACACATGGATATTTATTGGTAAATCTACATGCAAAAATAGACAAAAAAATTATCTAGACTAATACAGAAATATGCAGAAAGAATCAGAGTAGTTAACTATTGTAAATCCTAAAAATCTGCACTGGTGACCTCTTGCATGTCAGGTAAAACTGCAGGCTTTAAGTGACATGTTGGCAAACTAAAAAGGCCTTTACCAGGCTCCTACAGCTTCATCTGTGATAGAAACAACAACTGTGCTCCGAGGCATCCATCTGAAATATTATGTGTCAATACTGATTGAGTGGAAGGAAAGGATTTGTTAGAGGGTGGAAAGAAAAAACGGGAAATTGAGCCTGTGTTTCTTGGTAGTAAGTCAGGAATGTCTGGAGTGCTATGTTTAGATGAGCTTGATAAAATTAGAGTAGGTGCTAAAATGGGTTCTTTCCAATCTGCAGAGTGTAAAATTTAATTTAATTTAATTTTATCAATTGCAATTGACATCTGACCGATTGTGATATTTTTCCTAACATTATTGACTTTTTCAGGATATTTTTTTTCACTGTCTTTAGACTTAATGTGTCCTGAAGTGGCTGCCCTGAATTTGCAGGATGTTTGTTAGTGTTACAGTACAGTTGTAGGTGGGTGAGTTCAGATTTTCTTGCAAAACAGATCATTTAAAGATGAGAGAAGTCCACCTGATTAAAGAGGTTAAAGTAGATCAAGCTGAAAATGAGGGTAATATTGTGGAGAAAACAATCTAATGAGCCAAATTAACGCATACACCTGTGCATTGACAGGGGAGTAACACACAGTCCACACATGAGGTTTTCTGTGAGTTTCCAGCCCACTAAACACAGAGAAAAACCCCATCCAGAGACCGAGCACTGATTCCACATCACCCCACAGCCCGTCTTACCTTTTTGTGTCTGTCTTTGAAAGGTAACGCAGGCCACGGCATCTCCTGTAAAAAGTCTTGCCAGTGTTTCTGGTCCTGATCAGACGAGATGAAGACGATTTCCAATTTATCCTTGTGTTCAGACGTCTTTTTGAACCTGCTGTAAAACTCGCACAGGCTAGCGTTGAACTGCTTGCACGGCGCGTTCAGGCTACATCCGAAGAAGAGCCCGACCAGGGACAGCTTGGTGCCCAGCGACTGCACGTCCACCTCGGCTTTCTCGCTGTTGACGAGCCGCTCCCCGAGCAGACTCACCAGAAACTCCGACATGGCAGCGTCCAGTCCTCGTACACACAACGTTTCCCTCAGCCGAAGCTGCTGAACATGTAAACCGCAATGTTCAGGCGATACCCGGCACTTCCTTCCCCTCCTGTGTGAGGTTTTTAGGTGAGCTCCCGGCCCCGGTGAGGCGATGCGGTCTGTGCAGCTTCTCCACCGCGACTCGTGCTCCGGTGTGAGCGCTGTGCAGGAATGCGCTCCGCTTTATCGCCCAGACTGCAACAGCGGCTGCGCCCTTTTACCCCCAGAGCATACTCTTTAATCATGATATATGCATTATTATCGCTAATAAATCTAACGTAAACGCTGTTTCGGTATGTCTTCCTATGTATTAATGTTGCTTAAGCTGTTAAATGTCAGATTTTACATTGTTATTTCCCAAACATATACGATTTTAAAAAATGCACTTAAATTTAATGTATGACTTTAAAACTTAATTAAATTAAATTATAAAAACTGCTTGATATTTGCTCATTTAATAAGGTTTTACAGACAACTCTAAATTAAATTCAACAAATAAAAAAAAAAAACGACTTGTGGTAAAATCACCTATTTCTTTGAATATGCTTCCATCTAGTGTTTACAACTGTACACTACCAGTTAAACAACTATTGACAGGACATGTAAATTTTACCTTTTACTTAATAATGATTAAAAAGAAAGATTATATGTAATTTTTTTAATTAAGTAATTTATAACCTTAAAAGATCTGAATAAAATCTATATTTCTTTAATAATAATGTATTCAAGCACCTGTAATAGCACTTTATGAATAACAGATGAATGTCACTGAAGTTGACTTGGCTTGATTTCAGGGGAAATAATGATCTATTTTTAAGATCTGCATGTTTACATGTGGTGAGATTCATGGATCTTTGTCGGCAAACTTTCAAAATATTCATTTCAACGAAAAAGAACTTCCGTATTTGAATTATGGTGAAGTAATGTCTGTGGGTCACACTGCTCAGTAGGATAAAACAATTTGCATCCTTGTTGGTGGAAGTGTTAACACTGATTAAAACTGTAAAAGTACTGAAATTGCAAATATTTACATTTTAATGACACTGTACTTGTTGTGTGCCTTCATGAACTTCAGCAGCTTTAAGTGTTTTAAACTGAGTCCAGTTTTAAATGTTTATTGAAAAGAAAAATGATTGATCTAACATCATTTAATGTGTGGAAAAGATGCTCATTGAGCTCATGTTTACTGAGGCTTGTATGTTCACATTTATACAATAGTTCATGATGATTTATGACTCATGACCTGGGGAAATCCTGTATCAGTTTTTTTTAATATACATCACTTTTTTCTTTTACTATACTATCTGTTTACTTATGTTTACTGTTTACTGAGATGTATTGCACCCTTTACTTTAAAGGAACTTTCTGTATGTATTGACCTTGGCGCCCCCTTGTAGACAAAGTGACAACCTATATATTGTTGCTGGTTTCATCTTACAAAATGTAAATTCATCTGCAAAAATGAAATACTAGGGAATTAACATCACCACACCCAGACGTATGTTCAGATGGAAACAAAAAGCGCTCACACTCCTATCCACTTTTCATTTGTGATGTGTCAAGTCTTGAGCATTAATTGGCCTGATTGTTTCCTCATTAGTCATGGCTTACTAAAATCTTTATAACAAATGCACTGTACCCACATCACAAGTACATCTTAGGGTCTCAACATCGTCTGTCAGGAGACCTTTGTAAACGCATAAATATGAGCGATTGTGTCACTACTGACCGCCGCTTCCAGGTTCTCTGACTTGACCTAGAGTTCATTCAGTCCCTCTCCTCTGTGCAGCATCTCGTGTATATTCTGTTTCATGATGTTTATCACGTCATCTACCTGACCCATCAAGGCCTGCACCTTGCCCTCTGACTCTGGTTCTGGTCCCACACCTCCTTTCTCCTGGAATCGGAAACAAAGATGATTGAAGAACAGGAGTTGGAAACACACGGTAACACCTGTCTGTAACACCCAGACCTTATTCATACAGACAGTTACAGCTATTACATAAGTATTATAACGCACAGATTGCACTATTAGGCTTTTCTCAACCCTGTGGCAAAAAAAAAAAATTATGAGTCCTTGTTACACTCAACTGGACCTGGTAAGTCTTTGAATTGTTAAGATTTGTGTGCTTTGGATGGCGAGAGTGGTATTATCTTTGAGCATGCATGACAACTGTTAGTGGCTTTGAGAGACCATTCGGTCCTGTGAGCTGCTGCACGTGACAGCACAGCCGACTCACCGTTATTCTTCTTACCTCTCCAGTTACTGCTATAAACTTCCTAATTAATTGTAAGGATAAGCAGTGGTCTAAAAACAGTTCATAGTGGGATTTCAATGACAAAAAGTTGAGCTGGTTATCAGCAGTGTGTCAAGTCAAGTCAAGTCAAGTTTATTTGTATAGCACATTTCAGCAGCAGGGCAATTCAAGGTGCTTTACATGAAACAAGCAGGCAAAACATTCAACACAATTTGAAAAGTAAAAACAGCGTAAAAGACATTTAACAATTTTAAAGTTACATTCAAAACTAAAATAAGGTTGGAGATAAAAGAAAACAAAGAGAGAGAGAAAAGAGATCAAGACAGACAGATGATGAAGATGTTGATTAGGGGCCTCCGGTTTGATAGGCCACGGCAAACATATGCGTTTTCAGCTGTGATTTAAAAGAACTGAGAGTTTCAGCAGATCTACAGTTTTCAGGGAGTTTGTTCCAGATATGAGGAGCATAAAAATTAAAAGCTGCTTCTACACGTTTAGTTCTGACTCTGCGGACAGAGAGCAGACCTGCTCCTGATGATATGAGCGGTCTGGATGGTTCGTAACGTACCAGCAGATCAGAAATGTATTTTGGTCCTGAACCATTCAGTGCTTTAAAAACCAGCAATAGTATCTTAAAATCAATTCTTTGACAGACGGGAAGCCAGTGTAAAGATCTGAGAACTGGGGTGATATGATCTACTTTCTTGGTCTTCGTGAGGACTCAAGCAGCAGCATTCTGAATCAGTTGGAGCTGTCTGATGGATTTTTTGGGGAGACCTGTGAAGACACTATTACAGTAGTCGAGTCTGTGATGTTTGTTCCTGGTGATATGCGTACATTATTATTGCATATAACTGATAAACAGCTATTTTTTAAAAAGTCATTTTAACATAAGATTGTCTGTAAGTGATTTAGAACGTTCACAGCTGTATTTCTGAAAAGAAAAAGTCAAACATTTCAACAATCTGAACTGAAACTCTGATCCTCTCATCAGACTTCTTTACTTTCTCAGTTACTCCTGAACTTCTATGATGACTTTATTAGTCCTCTAAGCTAAAATGGTGGACTATTATGTGAGGTTTTTGACCTCATGTTGTAGCTCAGCGATACCACAATTGATGTACAAAACAAATCTAATATGATCTTTTTTGGTCTGAACACAATTCTAATCAAACTTATGACAGACTAAATTCACTTTCAAGAGTGAAAAATAAATACATTTTGGAAATAAATGTCTAACCTCTTCTCCTATGTGCTTCTAACCTTCACAGACTCCATGAATTCATGCCCATCTCCTAAATATTTGGTCACATTATCAATTTCTTTTACCATTTCAAAGCAGCAGAGGGTGGATCAACATACCCTTTGGCTCAACTTACCCCACTCTCCCCTTCCAGCATGACCAACCACTATGTCTTGTCCAGTCTAGACTGACCAGATGTGTGTGTATAAATAAATAAGTGCATATCTACGTATATACATAATATGGAGAGAGAGAGAGAAACAGCTCTAGAGTTGAGTTCAGAGTTGCAGAGCTGCATAGGGGGCTGAGATAAATTTAGAGACATGAGTTTTTGTCAGACTTGTTTATGAATGATAACTAGCTTAAGAATGTGGCACAGGCTTTGCTTTATCTTTTCTGGTAAACAAACATGTTACCATGAAGTTCCTGCATTGTTGTGTGGGGTTTGGCTTACTTCAAGGTGCCAGGTTTAACCAACGGTCATGTATAAAAAAAAAAAAAAAACACTTTTAGAGTTTGGTGATTAGTACAGCACTAACCCTCATCAAAAAACTGGTAGCTGTTATTTTTAAACCTATTGATCGTATTAAACTAGTTTTAAAAGCATTTCCATCCTGGACTGTATGGACTAAGAGCAGCAGTATGTAACTTCTCTGACCCACTAATACAAATTAATGCGCTCATTCACTAACTTTACTTTAATGATAAGTTCAACAGGTGAATCTAAATTCATGGGATCACCTGTTGCGTGCTGGGTCTGACGTTACTCATTGAGACGGCGGAGAGACTTTCCGATCAACAACAACAAAAGCTGGAACATTTTGGACCTACCGGATCAGTGTTTATCTTGTTGGAGTCGAAGCCCGTCGACCGGAACCTAGTGATGTGTCCTTCAGTGCCGAGGCTTCGAAGCGTATGTCGAGTAATGAAGGGGGCGTTTCCACAAAGCGCGTGTTTATCTTTTCCGGTAAACAAACATATTACCATGAAGTTTCTGCATTGTTGAGTGGGGTTTGGCTTACTTCAAGGTGCCAGGTTTAACCAGCAGTCATGTTTAATAAAATAAAAAAAACACACTTTTAGAGTTTGTTTGCTTCGTGTAGGGGAGGAGCCAAAAATGATGACGTCCGAAGCCTCGCTACCTCGCTACGTGACTGATTCAAGAAACGGTTCGCGGGTTTGGCGGATGATTTGACAGGCAGCGAAACGCAATGGAGTCCTCCTCCACTCACAATCCATAGACCCGAGACTTGTTGCAAAGTTGTGTTTAAATAAAAACAAATGAAATGTTTGTGTTTTATGTGTTGTCCCCATTACAAAAGTACGAACAACAAAGTAACACAAGCACATTCACATCACAACCCTCTCCATTGCTGTGTCCGAATTTCCCGCTCGCATACTACATACTACTGCTAGATCCTACTCCTACATAGTAAACACGTTGGCCCAATTCGGACACACTAGACGAGTGGTGGGAAAAGACGACCCCCGCAGGCAGAGAGTAGGTACTGTGCCCGTTTTAGACTTGCAGCAGATCATCGAGCTGGATGAAAAGTGATTTTTTTTCCCTTAAGATAAGGCGTTATTGTTTTTTGTATGCTGGAGGCCTCAACATTATTTATTTATTTTACAAAGCTTTCCTGTATGTTACTCTGTAAAACGCATGTTTTTTGTTCTTTTTTTTTTGCTGTACAAAAACCTCTGTACTCAATACATGCCAAAGAGTGTCAGAACCTGTCCACACACTACTGATTTTGTAAAAAAATAAATAAAAATAAAAGACAGAAATTCAAAATTTAAGTTTCAGGCAGCTTTAAGTGGAAAGGGGGATTTTTGGCACAATTTTTTGGTGTACAGCATGTAGAGAGAAGGGAACTGATTACCCAATAATGAAAAAAGCACCACTGAAAAATAAAGTCTGAAAAAAGTTTCAGTTACTTTGCTAAACTGTTTTAATGTCATCCTTTGTAGTGTCTAGACTGTTTATAAATGAAGAAGGCATGAGACAAAATGTTGGAGATTTTCTTCTGGCAAAAAAAATCATCAAGTATCCGTTTATTTCAATCCTTCTGTAAGGCAACAAAAACAAAAACATAATCACAATATGAGAGATCCAAAGACACTTCCTGGGTGAAATGTATCAAACTTCAGTTATATCAGATGACGGAGTCATTGCACATAAATCAATACAAGAACAATTAGCATGAATCACATTATTTTTCTATGTGATTGTCTGCAGATTTTCAGCATGTGTTCATTTAACGTCTGTGTCTTACAAACGTGGATTGTTAGTTCATATGTAAACTTAGACGCTTGCTGATCTGAGAAGAATTACATTGATGGACATATACTGGATGTTAGATTATGGATAGTGTTGAAAGTGAGTGGTGTTTATATTTTTGGGTGAAGGTGTCTTGATGCTTGAGATCGCTGTGGATGGTAGAGGACCCTCAGTCCTCTGTAAACATCATCTTCACCAGATCAGATTTGAAGCACTCCTCCTCCACCAGCTTCTGAGGCTGAAAAAACAGACACCAAGTGGTGAATTAAACAAAAATAAGAACAATCGAATAGGTTAGAAGAGCAACATTTGCTAAGGAACTGTCTGTTTCTGTAAAGGTTTTCTCTCATCATTTAATTTAAGCAAACGTAGGTCGTTCTTACAGTTCCATAGCGCAGCAGAGTGGGAACTCCACTCAACTTCAGGGTCTTCTTGAAGTCATTACTTGGATCCTTCCAACTGAAACATGAAAAATAGAAAATTACAGTTGTTAATTTCTAGTGTAATTTATGAATCTACTTCAATTGCAAATAAATTTTCACAAAACAGAAAGAAAGATGTTCAAACAATCATGCCTGTCCTACACAACAAGAAGTTTATCGTGTATGTTTAAGTGCATCGTAGTCTTATTAGATTGTCTGTTTTCATGCAGGTGGTCTAACTGTTAAAAGTGTGCATTGCACGAGTTGAAAGCACAAGTGTTTAAGTATCTGGGATTACGAAACTGCTATTTCAAAAGCTCAATACTCTTCACTACAGCTAACTATCGTGTTAAACTTCAATTTTACACACAGTGTGTCAGGCTGTCTTGATCTAGGATTGATGGTGTTTTTAAAAAGTGAGGTTAAAATACTCGAATTATAGGTTCATGACTTGTAGGTCCAATGTTGTGAATACTATGCTCTCCTATTTTCAGAAATTATTTCCAAACCAGGACTTCTTACATGCTTAAATAATGAAATAGAGGAATCAAAATACTCACAAGGCTCTTTCTCCAACTTGGCAGTAGATGAAAACAGAACCTTCTGGAAGATGAGACATCTCTCCTCTTACAATTGGCTCTGCTGCAAAAGATAAACACGGAGAGGGTGTGCAAAAATACTAAAAGAGCACCAAATGTTCAATAAGTAAGACCCTAAAATGCCAAATTGTGAACTTATCTCACTAATTCAGCAATATTGTGTACAGGACAAGCACAGATTTGAGCTAAGTCTTCCACAAATCTATTTAAAATGGAAGGAAATGCATCAGAAGGTAATTAAAATGAAGAAAATGTTTTACCTTTAACACAGTCTGGACACCAGCTCTTTCCTTGAGCGTCTTTGTTTCCAGAGAAATAAGCAAAAATCTCCTTCCCTGCTCTCTCAGACACAGCCTTACAAAACTCCTCATACCCGTGCACGGTCACTTCTTCGTATTGGGCCATGATCTAGACCGAGTTACGCGACGATGCGCTTACATAAACTATTAAACTTGAGTGGAAATGAGTGTTGACAGAAATACTGCTGATCAGCACACAGGACCTGGTACAAGTACTCTCATTTTGACGGTACTACTTCCGGTATGTGCAAAGGTTCTTAAAGTGACCGCGTACCTAAAAAAGAAATTAAAAATTCTGACTTGTTATGAAAATTCATATTGTATTTTATCAAACCTATATTATAGCTCTGTTTATGCGTATAATGGCAAATACAAGCAGAAAACGGCAAATACGTGTCTGTAGTGGCTTTGATGACTTGTCACAGAAAACGCGGTTGGGGATATGTTTGACCTCCTGGACGATCCGTACTTTGTAAAAGTGACGCTCCGTTGTTGTCATGGCGGCCTTTCAAACTGTTTTCAAACCGGGAGTACATTTTAAAACAGATATACACCAGATTTAGTTGATATAATCGTACATTACAAACTTTTTTCAGCATAAGAAAGCTTTCAACTTCTATCCTAACCGAAAAAAGTAGCTATACGCGGAGTAAAAATGGTCGAATGGATTATTTGGGGATCAACGTAACGTTCAAAGATAAGCGAAATTAGCTTTTTAGTGCTAAACACTCCTAACTTTTAGATTACTTCTTTTCTATAGTGGTTTAGTATGTCCCGGACGGGTTTGTAGCTCTTTTATGACCGCACAGTGTTTGCAAAGTGGCTCAACAGTTGCCTCAGGACCTCAAAATCGAGGTAAAGACTGGTTTGTTTTAGGTCCAAGACGAGACCACCAGAACCTCAGGGGCTTTGCAAGCTTCATTGGGATGTCTAAAACAAAGGTGAGTTTACAACCATAATATCATCCATATAGTACTATCCTGTGTGGTGTCTTGTTATGAAAAGAGACAGATTTCTGAACTTTTTCCTGGAAAAAAAATGACTCTATTTGGACACAAATTTCTCTTGACCCTTCTGTCACCATCACCTGCTCTCCAGTTTAAGCCAGTGTCACTCCTCTCCTCTCACTCAACTTTTAAAAGAGGTTTTTGGGACCATTGGTGCCAATATTCAGGCAATTCTTAATAGTAGCCTTGTGCCTGGTGTTGTCCCCTCTCATTTTAAACATGCTGTGGTGCACCCCCTCTTACAGAAACAAACTTGGACAAATTTTAAACCGATCTCTAAACTCCCCTTCCTCTCTAAGATCCTGGAGAAAGTTGTTTTTAGTCAACTACAATCATTTTTAGACAGAAACAGCATCCTCGAGGTGTTCCAGTCTGGTTTTAAAGCACAGCACAGCACTGAAACAGCACTTTTAAAGGTTTTAATGATACTTTATTGCTCACTCATTCTGTGGACTCAGCTGCTCTTGTGCTTTTTTGATCTTTCTGCAGCTTTTGACACTGTGGATCACAACATTTTAATTTCTCGTCTTGAGCATTTATCCACTGTTTGAATTGTTTTTTGATTGTTTTTTACGTCTGCGTTGTTTTCTCTATTTATGTACAGCACTTTGTTCAGCTGTGGTTGTTTTAAAGTGCTTTACAAATAAAGTTGAGTTGAGCATTAGGTGGGGATTAAAGGTATTGTCCTGGAGTGGTTTAGGTCATACATGGCTGACAGGAGCTTCTCTGTCAACCTTGGTGATTCCACCTCCTCCTCAGTTCCTTTTCCATGTGGAGTGCCCCAAGGCTCCATACTTGGCCCAATCCTTTTCTTCTTATATATGCTCCCCCTGGGATCTATATTTAAAAAATTGGATTCAATTGAAAAGAGTCTTAATGTATATATTTCGCCCTAATTTGATCGTTGAGAGCCATAAAACGGGTTTAAGAGTCAAATTATTTCCCATTTCAGACAGACATACAAATAAAATGACTGTTAAACTGATTTAGGGAATGCTCTTACAGATTTTGTAGATTTATCAAAGTGTAATTAACAGAAATTTAGCTAAATTTATTTAAAGCTAATGATAAATACCTGCTGAGAGGATAAAATGCAAAGTAAGACTTGATATTGCATCGGCTGTATCACACAATGACCAACTAATATTTTAAAACTGCAGCTGTTGTTCAATGAGGCCATCCCAGCAAATACCATCAACCGTGCCACCCATGTGCACCCACCTGCCCCCATAGTGATTGAAAGGCTGCTCCCTCTGTCAGAGGAGCATGAGAGGGCAAACAGCACCAGAAGCTCCATCAGCTTCACCGCCGTCTCCGAAGAGAGACTGCAGGCTGCGGTTCAGCTCGCCAAGCGGGATCTGAGACGTAGGCGCCTTAAGTCACTGACAAAATCCCCCCCTAAACCTTCTCAGGAGGCCTCTCTACTTGAGACAAGTGATGTAGAGCTACTTCAGGTAATTGCACTTGATTAATCATCATCATTAATCATCAAGGTTTCATAAAAACAGTCCTGGTTTTAGCATTTACCTGACTCACTTATCAACGGGTGTTTTTCTCCCTCTGTAGGAGCTTGAAGCCACTCCAAGTAAGACCCAGCTAAAAGCCTCCAGTCCAAAAGAGAAGGCGTCAAGACCTGGAGCCAAACTGTCTGTGCACACTTACCACAAATACCCCCTTTCTCCTATACCCCACCCTGGACATTCACCCCCGACCAGAGACCCTGGCCCAGGGCAGCCGGAAAAAGGCAAAGATGTTCCTTTAAGTCATGAGATTCACAGACTGCAGAATGAGCTGGAAGTGTATATTCAGAAAGTGGAGGAGCTAGCCAACAGAGGTAACCAAAAATATAAAAGGGGAAAAAAGTTGCCAGTTATACTAAACTGGAGTTGTATTTTTTATCATGTGTTTAAAGGTGCAATTTGATGATAAATCAGCACAATATATGTTTTGTTACATGAAGGATAAGGAGTAATGATGACATAAAGTGATCTGTACCGCAGGAGAGACAGTAGAGGAGCAGCTGGAGCCTGAGGAGCAATTAAAGTTGGAGATCCGGAGACAGAAGCAGGCAGCCCGCTCAGCACGAATGGTTTATGTACTGCAACAGCAGGTCTCTAAATCTTTATGCAGTGTCATTAAAAATAAACCTTCAATGATTTTTTAATATGCTTTAAATTTATAAATATTATTCTGCAACATTTTCTTTAATAGGTAAAAGAGATTCAGGATGACATTGTAAAACTAAGAAGCCAGAAAATGTGGAACACCAAAAAGGTACATGTCTCTTCAGCATTGTCATAAATTTACTGTTATTTAGAGCGGGGACCATTCTTGTATTTGTTGAAAGTGGGTAGAAAGGCCTCCTGTCACTCATATACAGTAACTTGGATACATGTCACTGATGTGTACCGAGAATCTCTTAACTGTTTAATTGACAACTATTAAACTGAAAACAGTAAAGCTGTTTATTATAGCAATAATATTCAACCCAAACTGTGACTGTTTTTTCTTTACCACATTTGTCTTTAAACATATTTCATTTTGATGAAACAGGATTTGGTGAAAATGTACCAGCATCTCTCTTTTTTTCTCAGTCCACAGCAATAAACAGGCTTGCAGCTGCCCATCGTGGGACACTCAGGGCTTTGCAGGTTGTGATCCACCAGCTCTCAGATTTATCTCATGGAAAGGTTCCCTCTCACTATAGAGAGCTGGGCCAACTGATTCGCCAGCTCTCTTTGTGCTCAGCCAAAGTTGAGGTAGAGCAGGGCTCAGCTGTGCCTGAGACAGCCCTTGACATCCTGCAGAAACTGGAGGTAACTAAACTGTAATTGGACTACAACATGTTTCCTTATGGCTGTGTTTTGTAAGGTAAAGGCCTACATCATGCATCATGTGATGATTTTGTTACTTTCTAAAGATGCTCTTTTTTTGTGCTAAAGTTTTGTGAATGATCCAACGTTTCAATGCCTCGCCTCTCAATTCCTCCAAGATTTTGGATTCTGCCCTCAGTAAACAAGAGATGCTTGAAAAGAAGCAAGCCCAGGCAGGTCCTCCACACAGGAGGGCTCCTCATGGCAGCATGTCACCTACGAGGGGACCCAAGGGTCCAAGTACCTCATCTGTTCGAGGGCCTCACAAAGTCAAGAATCCTAAGAAAGGTCCCCATGGTGAGTGAGTCATTTGGTTTGGTAAATCAGTGTGTTTACAAAAGATTCTTAGTAATCAATGTGAAATGGAAACAGTAAGGACTTAAGGGTCTTTTTGGGATAATATCAAACTCTTTTTGTCTAAAGTCAAAGCGGTGCATCCTTTGGGCTTCCAAATCCCCTCAAAGCCACTTAGAGTAAATTGAATGTTTGCCTTTTGATAAAGGACAGCTGGTTTACTCTCTTGTGTAACCAGAAGTTACCTGAGGGCTTTAGTGTGGATGTGTTTAGACCTCCTGCTGTGCTTAAATGATTATGCCAAGTTGAAAATTGATAGAGGGCCATGAAGACAAGGAGAGGCGATAGAAAAACCTGAACTGAAACGCCCTCAACCCCTGCTGCTTTGTCTTATGAGCAGTTAATGCCTGCTGGCTCCTATTGCTCTGTAGAGCATCCTGTGGTAGAGACACCAACACCTACATTAGGCTTAAGCTGTAGCCACATCTCCCTGGAGAGAGCCCTCCTTTGTGGGATTACAAGGGTCCCTGTGCCACTTACAAAGAAGCCAGCGGGGATCCAGCTGGTTGTTAAGATTGCAGTTTAATAGTCTAATAGGTTGTGAGCAGATTCCAAACTAATTTACTTTGAGTTAGAAGAGCTCAGTTTGTTATTATAACAATGATGAAAATGAAATTCAGAACAATGCAAAGGTTTGATGGTTTCAAATTTGTGTCAGCAGGAAGGAGAACAGCCTTACAGAAGCCAAAAACTGCATCTCATCAGCCCGTAAACAGGAGAGAGGTGCTCAGAGCTGGTCTGGAGAGACTTGCCCAACAGAGGGAGCTGAGAGAACAGCAGGGGCGCCCTCAGACAAAAACAACCTGCAGGAGAGGAGGAGCTCCACACTCTGACAGAAGCAAGGCTGATGTCATAATCAAGGTAGGGAATACGAAATTGAAACTGTCCACCAAAAGTGCTTCATATCCCTTTAAAGCAGAGCAATTTTTAAAATAGATTTGTATTTAAAGATGTGTCACAAGTCAGAGAATTATAAAACTAGGTTTATGTAAACAACCCAAAATGTATTTAATGTTTTTTGTGTAATCAGCATCATCAGATCCGAGAAGCAGGTTTCCAGCAGCCCACAGTCTCCTCTCAGCTGCGAGTGAACCAGCTCCCTCAAAAGGAGCATTCTGTGCCCTGGATCCCCACATCCCCTCACTCTCCTCCTCCACAGCGGTGAGCCTTTAATGTCTCTCTTCGGCTCATGACACATTAGCTTGTTAGAAAGCACATCCTATTTTTGTAGTTGTGATGAATGAGACGCTAATCTCAAGGTAACAGTGTGCATTCGGTATGAATCGGCATATTCATACAGAATGGTCGAGGTGCTTTTGAATGGAGGTACTTGAACCACAGTAAGATTTTAAAATACACTCATTAATCAGAGCAGTCTTTGCTAGGAGAAACATGTCCTATAAGTTGTTTATTCTTCCAGCACAGAGGTTGGTGCTTGCAGCATTCATCAGAAAATAGTGCAATCACTTGCTGAAATTATAGCCTTTATGTACTTTATGATTATAGACCTTGATAAATTGGGTTTCTCCACAATATAGGTATTACAGCATGGGGCCCAGTAAAGCAGGAAAACAAACACATGACAAGTTAACAGCTTAAGCGAAGGCAGAGGAAGAATCATGTGTGTCATAAAAAGGGAGATGGAGAACTATCAAAGAAAATCACACTGTGCAATCCTGTGAAAAAATAGCCTCTTCTTTTTCTCTGTGTATCCTCTACTCACCCCTCAAACACATTTTCTGCCTTGCCTCTTGATAGAATCTGTTTGTCTTTATTCAGCTTTTGCTCATGTTTCATATTCTTCCTTCCTCTGTTATCTCGGCAGATCCCCTCAAAGAAGAAGACCAGAGCCTCGGTGTCTCTTCTCCCCCTTGAAGCTTCCTGAGAGTCCTCCGAAGCAGAAAGTGTCCACTGGTTTGAGCTCAGAAACAACGAAACAAGCTCAAAATGAGGCAGTTAGGTGAGGCTCGAGTCTACAGCGTCAAGCAGGGTTTCAGTACGACTATGATACTGTTCTGTTATATTTTAGGATTTTGTTACTAGTGTTTTCCAAATCTCATACTTTAGATTTTTTTGTCCTGCTGAGCACAAATTGGACGAAATCTAAGTGATGTTGCAGAGCCCTGTTTTCAGAGGGGCATTTCTAATCTCTGAGTCAGACCCCACTTGCTGAGGGCCCCAGGCTACACTTTGATTCTAATTCAAAGTTAATTCTTTCCAATAAGTTAATCCAGGCCTTTCCTCTCAGTGAGTGATTAATAGCTTTGCCTGTTTTCAGTGCTTATAAGCGCTGCATTGATTAAGTGCTCCTCCATACTGCATATGTCTCTGTTTAATCAAATATTAATTACTACAATTGTGCTTTGCAATTAATCAGTGGATAGCAGCCAGATTTTAGACATGAGGATGGTGCATTATTTATGTGAAATGCTTAATTAAGTTTTGCATTTTGCCCCCCATCTGATGATGATGATGACTGTCTTTGTGAAAGGAAAGCGTGGTTGGACAAGATGACGATGCGGAGACTGAGAGAGCTGAACCAGCTGAGCAAAGAGGAGGCTGAGCGCATCCAGACATTAAGGTGCAATAGAAACGCAATTAATGGAATGACATAATGCTGTGAGAGATCAAAGGTTCAAGGTTATAATGTTGCCACTTTCTTGTCAGAGATTTATCCAGCTGCAAAAGCACCCTTTTATAAGAAACATTACATTTTACATCATGAAAGCAACATATGTGTACATGTTTTTAATGTACAACCCCAATTCCAAAATAGCTGTGACGCTTTCAAGTTTGGGTAAAAACAGATATTTGATTTGTTATCTTTGTTTTTGCACTATTTTTAATCAACTACAGGGATTGAAATGACTTGCAAAACATCCAATTTTGGTTTATTTTAATTTAACATAGCATCACAACTTTTTTAAATTGGGGTTGCTCTCACAAATTGAGACACATTTCCCACCAGAGGCGCCTGTTGTGCAAAAGTACGAGTCCAGCTGCCAACTGTAGGCAGTAATCCACTCAGCACTCTCGCAGACAGCTCAAAGCACCAGGCTTCACAATTAAATAAACAGTTACATGGTGAACTACAGCGTAGTCATAATTACCTCCAGACAATAGAAGAGAAAATAATGCAGGTTGTTATTGCAGAAACCTCCCCCCAGCACCAGAGAGGGCATATGTTCCTTTATAACCACTCAAATTGTGTAAGTCCTGATTGGACAGTTTAAACGCTGCAAAGCCATAAACGTAAAAAATCCATAAAACTGTAATTACACTGCAAAGATATGCAGGTTTGTCCTTCATGCTTGTGTTTCCCCCGCATATAAAGACACAACCCTTACAGAACCTTTTCTGCAGTGTGTGTGAATAGAGAGGGCAGGATGTGTTTGCAGACACAGAGCACAGAGCAGATTTATTAACAGTGTTGTTTATGTTATTTGAGCATGAATGAGACTGGGGCTTTTATGGGTTAAAAAACAACATTATTAGATCTTATGGTGGTTTGATAATGTCATCAGGAAAAAAGTATTACGGCTCTATCTCGAGGCTCATCCACTACCAGCGTTTTTCTGTGACAGCTTGCAGTGTGGGCGTGTTTTGCTTAACAGGTCAGAAGTTGTGTCACCAACTCGGTGGGCTGAGCGAGCTGAACAAGAGGCCAGAGAGAGGATTCAGCCACTTCTGGATGAAGCACAGGTACAAGGACTCATCTGCTGTGTGTGAGATGAGTCAGATCCGCCTCATTTTCTTTCCACTTATACGAAGCGAAGAGAAAACGTGTTTTTGCCTTCTATTTTTCCACACTAGAGTAAATAACGTCTCTGAGTGTCGACTTTTTTATGGGCTGAGAGAGAGTAAATAGTTTGTATTTGTCTGTAGAAGATCAGTGAATCCAAAAGCAGGATCAGCCCCACTCTGAGGAATAGACTGTCTGATCAGGCGGCAGAGAGGGTAAGCTTGATAAATTTTGAATTTGGTGGCCATTATTATACAATAACTCAACTAAATGGCACACATTTTTCATGTTTCCCCTCCACAGGCAGCAGAGAGTGCGGAGCAGCTGAGCGAGGCCCTGCTGGAGGATCTGTTGGAGGATACTGCACGGGCGGCGTGGGCCGTTGAGACGGACAGACAGTTGGAGGGTGAGGCTCAGAGTAGGCTGCAGGCCCCCACCCTGGAGAGTATGCTGCTCCGGATGGAGGAGATGCAGGTGAGATGATGATGATCAGCCTGTTTGACGTGCTTAACTTTTGGCAGGTGGGAAAATCTCTGCATAAACTGTTTTTCTGTTCATGTGTGTGTTTGTGGATGAGTAGAAAGATGAGGAGGAAGTGAGGAGACGATTTGCATCAATCACCTACTCAGACCCTCTTTACTGGGAAAGACCAAGAGCAGCAGGTAAAAAAAAAAACGCTCCTGTTCATCCTCTGGAGCTTCATTATAGATAGTATTTCCCTGCTGTGTCCTACAGGTGGAGACAAAGCTGTAACTTACAAGAATAGGTTCACTGTTACAGCCTGGATTGTCTCTGTCTGTCTGTCTGTCTGACCACTGTGTACTCCTCCTTCTCTTCCCAGGACCCCAGGGTCACACTGAGGGCTCCAGGCCAGCCTCCCCTCAGCCTGTTAGGCTCGCGGGGCCAGTGTTGATTCACGGCTCTGCAGCTGATATTGTTCTGGAGAGACCTGTGGAAACTGGGTGAGTGGAATGAGTTGCCCTTTTCTTGTTGTACCCTCAAGTCATGTGTACTTCTTATCTTACCCTTTGAAGTTTCTCTCTTTGCTCTTTGATTCATCTTAGAGGGTCTGTGGAGAAATTTTGGATCCTCGAAATTATTAGCTGGAGTAAAGAATCACATTTTCACGTATAAAACTTCTTATTAGTGCTTGAATAAAATGTCCACCCAAATTTCAGTTCTTAGAAGTTATCATGGCTGTATCACTGATATAATGTTGTATGTTTACCACATTATGATATAACCCCCTATTAAGGAAACACTCATACAGTACTTTCCACATCTAGGTCATCTTTTATTCTCTTAATTATGAGAAAAATGTATTGTAGTAAATACTTCCTGTAGCTGTTCTATAAATCTAATAACCACTACAGCTTCACCCACAGGAAGACATTCATTGTTTTAATGAGGCCTCCAGACTCATAAAGAGTGAAGAGTGCATGTTTTTTTCAAAGATGTAGAGTGCTACTTTCCACATGATGTGTCACTGCCCCATAAACACTCTCCCACTGGGGGGCCTTACTCATCCCACAAAAGCCACTTGGTGGCTACCGTACCCAGGGCTGAGTCTATTCCTGACTCTGGCAGCGACTCCTCAGAGAGCCCCTTCACTGCCCGCGGCTTTGGCTGCAGCTGCTCTCTCCTTCAATTAATGAGGAACTTAGAAAGAGGAGGAAAGAGAGCGGAAGGACTACAAGTTGTTGACACAGAAGAGGCAGCAGGATGCTGCACCTGATAAATGCAAGCCGCACCATTGGCAAATGAGAGTCCGTCAGACTTAGAGCGCCTCAGGTTCAGTTCCCAGGACTGAAACTTTTCCCTGAGATCATCTCTGACTCATCTAGTGCTCTCCTTTCATATCGAGTGATAGCTCAATTTCTTTGGCAGACATAACACACAGGCGCTTGGAAGTATTTAGTGTCTAAATTTCTCCTCAAGGTGTTACGTTTTTCCATGACTTATTCTTACTTCAAAGGTATTGAGCCTCGCAGCTTCTTAATAAGAGCAGAGTCATGCCGAGTTCTGCCAGCTCAGTTGTTGTGAAACTCCCTGAATCATACTGGCAAATACGTAGAGACAGACCTGCCTGCAGCACTTTTATCCTTACTCCAAATAACAGTACCTTGTAGAAAGTACCAGCAGCTCCCAGTTGGACCTTTTTATGTCTACTTCTTAGACATGCTGAATCACAGAAAATGCTGTCAGGATATTTTCACACAAAGAATTTCTAAAGTAATTTGACTGTAAATTAACCTTGACTTAATACAGATACAGTAAACAAAGTACCTGTTCATGGAAAGCTAGTGGGTGGATTAAGTTTTGAACTATTCTTTAATAAACTATTATTGAATATTCTCATAATTCAAACATATATAAAAAAGGGTACAAGTGAAAGCAGTTTGAGTGAAATTTACTGTATTAATTAAATTGAAAAGAAAGTATAGTATCAGGCTTTCTCTCTAACCACCCAGCTGTGTCAAATACTCAGTTCTGATTAGTGAGATTGGTTCTTTGAATATCATGTACTATTAAATAATATAATTTTATTGGCTGAGAAGTTAACAACAGAGAAAAAAAGGACAAGAAGTGGGAAGCTCAGAAAATAGCAAGGATGTTAAACCTGACATCAGCCAAATTGAAGAAAACAAGCATGAAGTAACTACAAACCACAACACAATCTAGGATTCAGCAGTGTTGAAAGAAAGTCTTGGTGAGAAGAAGAGGACTGTTTTTTCAAGCTGTATTGATAGATTAACCAGTTTACAGTAAACTACTGTGAAATATTTGGTGACCATTTGTGTCGTTGGTTGACACAAATGGATCTACAGTTGGCTGGTGGTCATGTGAGACAGACAGAATCCTTTCAGCTCCTATCTTTGATTCCATTTCGCTCGATCACCAGCTAACTATACTTTGTCCCTTGCTTAAAAGACGTCATTAATTGATGAAATATTTCAGTAATTTAGCTTCAGCCTGCTTTTTACAGGAAGTGATTGATATATAATCTCTCCAAAGTTAATGTATTGGTGGATGTTTTTAATGGAAACATCTGCAACGTCTTGTCCGCCGTTAGAGTAATGACCGTCTATTTCCTTCGGAACATTGATCAGCAGACTAATCGTACGTATTAATCTTCAGTTGGGAGCATGTAGCTTTGCTGCCTGCTGACTCACTCATCATCATGGCGTCAGAGGATTTCTTTTCCATTAGTCCCTCTCAGAGTGCCAGCACAACTTTGTTTGTATTGATGACTGTTGTGTCTATGAAATGTTCCTGCATAATATTTTGTGGCTCCAAGACTGCTTGGCATGCAGTAATTGAACTCGTTATCATTTTGAAAAATAATTACCATCGATTTGAATACATCGTCCACATTAGTCACCTCTTCTGCACTCTCAATGGAGACCAGACCGATTCAGTCCAACTGCTTGGACAATTAAGTGCTTTTGTTTGGATAAACAGCTTTAATTTCCATATTTAATTCCAATATTCAAAGCCAAATTAAATACCAAAGTGGCAGTGGGAGTTTTTCTAAACTGGCACAACAATCTGTTTGTGTCTCAAAAGAAGCAACAATAATGCTGCTGCCAGTAAAATGAACACTTGTTGCATACTTTGTACCCCACAGCTGTGACTCCTAACAGGTAAATTTTGTTTTGTTTCACAACAGAGTTTTGCTTATCATTAAAAGGCGCAGACAACAGCTACTCTCCCACTCTGTTAAATCCCTTAAGCAGTAATAAAGTTAGTCTTAAGGAGTTATTGGGTGAGAGATAGGGAGAGAAATTGTGCTGATTAGGCGCACCGTTAAACAGAGCCGTCTTCCGGGGCCAAGAAGCTGCTTGGCAAGTTGACCTGAGCTGTAAAAGAGATGAGTGGGCTGCCTGTGCTTCAGGCTTAACCGACCCAGGTGACACATTTCATAACACAACAGAGAAGATGAAGTGAAGAGAAGCCGTGTTTTACAGAAGCAGCCGTCTGGTGCATCTGCAGTAAGGAAAACAAAAGAAAAACATGGCACACAAGACGCCCATTACAGCCACCTGTACCCAAAACTCATTTGAAACCGTGTGTGGGTGTGTGATGATTTCAGCTGGTAAGTGTTATGTAGATGTGTAAGAATATTCGGGATTGAACAGGATATGAGCCTCACAGTTTTCCCTGCTGCCGCTGTGAAAAAATTGAGTTTGATAGTTAAATTTTTCATCTGCAGCCTGAGGAAATCAGCTGTAATAGTGACCTAGAAAACAAAAATTGATCATGACAAAACCTGAAAATGTTTGCAGAAAATGGCAAATAGAAAGTCCCCTTTAACTCCTGCTGAAATCCAAGGAGTGACTGCAATGCTGCGTTTAAAGCCTGAAGACACAGATATGTGAAATTGTGTCAAACCTGGTTTTAAATTTTGTGTGGTTCGGTAGCAAAACATGTGAAGAAGAGCTCATTATTTGTGCTACCTCAACCCCAAGTGGTTGTTTATAACCCAGATTTTCTCAGCCCAGAGAGGCACATCAGAAAACATCAGACAGAAAACAAAGTCATGCATGCAGTCATTACACACACCAAGGAAGAGGAACGGGTCTGAGATTAAAAATAAAGAAACAGACACTGCTCAGTGTGCTCATCTCCAGATGTTCCTCTGACTCCATTGTTTGCTCAGACTGGTGATGGTTAAGGCTCTGCTGTTTCTTTCTTTCTCGATTTGAGATGCTGTCGTTATGTTAGGCTGTGTCCAACATGTGCAGAGTGTCAGTTCTTGGGAGGCATTATGAAGCTCAGGAATGGTGCTCACCGTATTGAGAATACTGACTCTAACACAGAAGTGAAGTTTAAGCCATGACAAATTACAAAGACGAGCTTTTAATGGATATATTAGCAAGTGGTCCTTCCTGTCAGAGAAGGCGCCATATCACTAAAATGCACATGCATATATGTCAGCTTATCGATCACCCTCCTCTTCCTACTACCACCTCTTAATTCAGCTTCGTTTTCTGTCTTTTGTTGGTTTCAGCTTTAAGTTACTCTTGCTTTCTTAGAAATCATTGGAGATGGAGATAAAGAGTTTGAAGTTTCCACAGTCTCTGCTGATATGGGGTAACATGTCATCTGCTGGAGCTGGTCCACTGTGTTTTATCAAGTCTAAAGTCACCATCTGTCAGAGGATTTTAGAGCACTTTCCTCCTCTGTCCATTGACAAGCTTTTTTATGGTGCCGATTTGGATTTCACATCTGCCCACAACGCCAAAACTACCGCCAAATGGTTTGCTGATTGTGATACTTCTGTGTTTCATTGGCCAGACTTGATCCTCAGAAAGGATCTGTCGGGTATTTGTCAAGAGGAGGTGAAAACAACTGATACAGGCAGCAGTAGCACACTCATTGATGCAGTAATTAATTGTAAAGTATTAGTGTGTTGATGAATTATCCTATGACAAGTCAGACATCTGTGTTGTTCTTGCACAGCAGGATCTGACAGAAGAGGGTTTTTGTAAAGCATTTATCAGACAGTGGCTGTTGTCTTAACACCAACATCGAAGCGCTTCCATTATCTATTTCCAAAACAGCATCCATTATTCCTCACCCTAGCTGTCTTAGCGCCTGCATGAGTGCTATCAAACGGCCGCTGAGACAATGAGGTGAGAGATTTCATCTTTGGAAACATCAGCAGAGTGGCAGATAAGATTTATGTATCCATGGTGAGAGGCCCAGACACGGACCCCAATTGTGCGCCCTGTCAGCTGATTCCAGCCCTCCGCAGCTCCATCAGCGGGTCAAAGAAATCAATGAAAAGATGAAAGGCCCACTCAGCAATATTCTTAGCCTTTCATGTTTTGTTTTTTATCTGCTCTTTCACTCCGTCTGCCCCTTTTTTTTTGTTAATGGAAACAGTTTTCAAACGATCCAGAGGCTGTGCTGGAATATCAAAGATTTCAGCGTTACTTCAAAAATGAGAAAACGCCTCAGTCTTGATATTTTCCTTTTAATACTCACCTTCCGTCTGTTTCTTACAAAACTGACTTCACCAGAGTCTCACTGAATCTTGCTTGAATCACAGTCTCTGCCCCACATTTGTCTCTGTCCAGTTCCGCTTCAGCTCAGCCTGCGTCTCTTTTGATTTACAGCATAGCCTTGTTCTTTGTCAGGTCCCACCTCTTCCCCGGTGACACATAGCTGGAGCTTTTAAATAAGAAGACCTCAGAATAAGAACTTCAAAGTCACTTGATGCAGTCTCGCCAGTGCTGTTTCTCTGTTTGGATGTGTGTATGTCTAGTAAAGGCCAAGCTGTGCAGTAGGTGGGCGGATGTGACAGACCAAGGATGGTTTTTAGAGATTCACTTGTCTCATTTGTGCTTCCCAGTCAGTCACAGCCCACATAGAAACACAGATGTCATGGAAGACGTCACATGAGGTTGCTAGGATGCACCGGTCGAGAAAGAAGAACTGGAACTGATTTAAACTGAAAAACATACACAACTTAGTGAGTGCTAAAGGTTATTCAGACCCTCATCACACTGTCTTTTGGTTTGCACAGATTCAGTCTGACAATTTCAGCATTAAAAAGTGATACCATCTGCGGTCAGTTTCCACTTATTCCCACTGGAGTTAACTTTGTCAGGTTTGTGGAATCAACAGGTTTTCTGGCAATTTGGATTCAGTATCGAAAAGCCTGCTGCTACAACTGGCTAGTTTTTCTATTGTTGATCTGAATATGTTACTTCAAGTAAAAGACTGTGACTCCCTCTCCCTGTACATATTAGAGGCGCTCCCCTCTACTTATACCAATATGCTGTAGACTCACTCGCACATGCTCTGGCTGACCATTAATCCCCCAGTACGGAAGTCATCTTTTTACTGCCTTTCTGGGTCAGATGGTAAAGTTTAGCTGGGTTTCTTGAACTTGAGGGCCTGACCACAAAGACTGTTTCTCTGTGCAGCTGTACAGGGTAGCATCTAGATGTTTTGACAAGGGTGGCAAGACTTGGGGAACAATGCTGCGTTCCAGTTGTACTTGGAAGTCGGAATTTCTGCACTCAGTCAGAAATTCATCTGGAACGCCCCCCTGAAGTCGGATTTCCGAAACGGAAAGTCGGACGATCCTCACCAACCCAGACTTGACGATGACATCATAATCCAAGATGGCAGCGCAGTACATCAACAGTAAAGAGTAACAGTGAAAGCTCTCACAACGTATTATTTATTATCATTTCTGTTTTGTTTTTGTCGAATTAAGTGGTTTATGTTGTACTGCCCAACGTCTAACTGTGAACACGGTGCTATGGTGTTTGTAAGAGTAAAATACAGTGTTATGCGTTGTTTAAAACTGGTATAGCTGAAAACAACTAACAATAGCCGACAACCGTTAACAACCGACAACGGCTAACGACATCTGATAATTGTAAACAACAGCTAACAATGGCTAACAGGAGGCGTCCATCTTGGTTTTCCGACTTGTTTACTGAAACGCTGTCAACTCGGTCATCACATCATTCCCAGCTCTGAAATCTGACTTTCAAGGTAACTGGAACGCAGCATAAATATAGATTAATGAATATAGATGGGGCTCTGCATTTTACTTTGGAGCACACTGTACTGAACTGTTTCATTTTGGAGTCAGTTTTTCAAAAACATATGATGCTCACATAATTATTTGAGGAGTATCAGAATATTTAGAAATGAATTATCCGGGTATTTATGTCATTTATCAAAATCTAATTGTGACCCTATGAATTGAACTTAAATTAAATTCAATTGTGAGGTTCTTGTCGATACTCATCCATTTTCTTTTACTTGATTCTTTTAGGGGAACATTTCAAAAGCATCTGTGGACAGGCTGCCTCTCTGTTTTTGAAAATGGCACAGAGACGTGGGTGCCTCTCTGAACCCAGCGGAGTGACTCTGTAGGCCGCTGTTTTTGTCGCATTTGCCGTGTTTTCTCTCAGGTGGCCATCAGACAGCAAATCGACCCATTTTGGACTGGAAGCAGAGCTAACTGTGCTGGCACTTTGATATTGATGGCCACCCCACAGCTTGCATCTGTCGCAGTCAAAACACAAACCAGTTCAGCTGGGGCCGGGAAGTACAATAGAGAGGCACTTTGCTCTGGGAGCTGCTGCAACACTAAATATAGCTCCGAGAGTGCCGTTGCAGGAGCCAGGCTGATTTGTCCGAGCAGAGAGGATTATAAAGCCAGACCACGGCAATGCCCAGCTGAGCCCCAGCTCACTCTGACACCTCTCCTAAATTCATCATCCTCGGCTGCTATCAAGCACAGCAAGTGTTTCTGGTCAATCACAGCGCTGCACTCCATCCCGGCTCCCCTTGTCAATAAACTCCTCTCCACAGCTGCAGCACTCAGAGGCCCTTTACCCACTTCATACAGTGTGAACAGAGAAGGTAATGAAAAGGTGTCGTGGAACATAAGCCTCCTCTTGTGTTTCTTCACACACAGCGTCCTCTCGGAGAGCAGCCTGATGGAGGAGGCATCCCAAGATGAGCAGCAGCCCACACTCGGCAACGCGTTCCTCCCAGGCCCGGCGAAGCGAGGCGGAGGTACTGTTATCTCTGTGCCAGGCGACATGCTGGGAAACATCCGGAGATACAGGGAAGACTACGAGGCCTATCTCCGTGTTGTGGCACACGAGGATGTCGGCAGCTTCAATCCCTGGGCCATCGCAGACAGGTAACAGGCAAACAGTGAAAGATTTTCAAGGTCTGGTTGACAGAATCTGAAGTGAGACTGTGCGAACATAAAAGCAGCAGGCTGTCTGTGTCTTAGAGGGTGCATAGAAAAGTCTCTACCACAAAAATCCTGTTGTGCACTAAGATTCTCTTCTCAAAGCCACACAGAAACTAGATTTCAACTTCCTGATCTCTGTTTCATCTTTGGTCGTGTCTGACAAACCTAAAGCTTAACATCTGAAATACTTGCAGCGAAAGGATCACACGGAGGTTACGGTTTGGATGATGTATTTCTGGTGTTTCGCCGTTCTTGTTCTCACCCGCTCTCAAATTTACATACCTAACAGAATCCTTAAGTTGCTGCATTGCAGAAGATTTCCTCGCTCTCTGAATATCCCACTTCTTGTTTGAAGTGTAGGTTTCACACTTCAAGAGTTTCGTTTCCTCTCTCTGCGTCACAGATGTATGTGTGATTGCAAACAGCTCAATAAATTTAGATGTAGAGAAAGAGAAAAGAATCAGTCGCCAAGTCCCATCCGTGGGGACTAAATACTTGACACCAGCTCATTATCAGCCCCACGTCAGCGAAGAAGTTTCCAGAAGCTGGATCTGTACTTTTTTTCCAGTTTGGGGTGGAATAAGTGTGAGGAAAAGCCAGCCAATTATCTCGGAGTTTTGTAAAGCGAGAACTCGTAGGTATAAGCACGCACACTCCCAGCTACTCCAAAACAGAGTAAAAACCGGTCTGTGTGATGAGATGACAATGAGCAGCCCGCTGTTGCTGTGGAGCCACACCATCATGGATGACTCACTCTGCTAGGAGACTGATTACAGAGTTGCAGAACTTTATAAAAAAAACAACAGACAAAAAAAAAATTGCGCACACTGATCTGCTTTAAGCTCTTTCTGAAGTCATTGAATCAATTTTTCACACTGTCAGCGGTGGACAGATGAATATGGAAATTCACAGCTAAACAGAGGGATAATTATTCAGTGGTTGGAGGAACTTATGCTTCTTATTCATATATTAATATCAAGCGTGTGCCGCACAATTACTCAGCCATGCTTTGAGAGATAATTTCATTTTTACGCTGGGATTTCATTATGTTTGCAACGTTAATCACACAGAATATGCAGCATCATCCGGTAGCACTAGCATAGCTTTTAGCACATTAGTGTTATTAAAATATCCTAATGGCTGTTCCCCATCCCTAATAGTAGCCTCCTCTCTCTGGATCAGCCTGTATCGAGAGCTGAGAGCAAAGTGTTCTCAAATGGACAAAGAAAAAAGAACAGGCAATTCAACAACTCATTGTTTTGTTGCACCGACAGCCCCATGATTTGAGGGTCTCTATAAAAGAGATCCAAAAGAGGACGCCACTTTTCACCGATCCCCCGTGTCCCTGCCTCTTTGTCTGTCTCTGTCTGTGTGCGTGTTGACCTAGATAATGATCAAAACACTGAAATTTAGCTCGGTGCTGCTCCCAGCCAGCCCGTCTTTTTGAGTTATTTTCATTCATGTTATGGCTTTCAAAGCAGAGCGTGTGGTTCACAGTTTTTCATGTCAAGCTCAGTGAGTCTAACACACTGGGGAGTAAAAATCTGCTTTAATCAAAACCTCTGAAAAGGCTGATAATTTACATTGTTTGATTACTAAGTGAGTCGCATGGATAATGCTTCGTGTATGTGCTTTTTGACCTTTTCAGATAGATTTGTTTTCATGGTCTTGACACTTTTGGCATGAAAGAACCAAAGAATGCATTACAATCAATCTTTATTTAATAGCGCCAAAAAAGCTGGTCTAGAACACACGCTATTTACAAAGACTCTTTTGTGAAGATGGGGATCAGACCCATTCCCATCCCATCTTCAACCACATGGGTGTAGCACTCTGCAGCCTTTAGTGAGTTACAGTGGTGAGGAAAAACTTTCTTTGACGGGCAGGAACCTTAAGCAGAATCAGGCTCATGCTAGACAGTCGTCTGCTGAGACTTCATTGAGTTTAGAGAGGGGATAGAGGGAGATGCAGAAAGAGGGAGATGGACAGAGGAGAGACTTATAGATGAAGATGTAGCAGCTGGAGGTCTATGGCACCGTCGTCTGCATAGGGACTCCCAGAAAAGACTGTATTAGTGGTTTTAACTAGGGCCCGACCGATATATCGGCAAGCCGATTAAATCGGCCAATTCTAGCCCGTTTGAGACTAATCAGTAATCGGCCAAAACTCGACGATTTTCGCCAATATTTTCAGAAATAAAATCCGGAGAATAAGATTCGGTTTTAGTAGTTGAAAGCGCTTTTCTGGTTCAAGTTTGATCAGTCGGTCTTCCTGTCGGCATGAAGAGCGGTAGCCTACAGTATGTCTACAGTAAATAGTATACTCTAGATATCTACTCTAGATATCTAGAGTATATATGTATTTTTTACAACTTCATAAAAAAATTTTAAAAATCGGCCAATTAATCGGTAACCCCCCCCCCATGATAATTGGTATTGGCATCGGCCCCATCAAATCCATATGGTCTCGCCCTAGTTTTAACAGGACATGATGATGTAAAGGTAAAGATTCAGACAGAAAGAGAATGGAGATCATCCTGCTTTCACTCCTGCAGAGGCGGATAATAACAATGAAACCAAGTTAGAACCAGTAAGAAACAACTCAACTCCAATACTTGAATAATTCAAGGTGAAAGAGAAAGGAAACAAAGTCAACAGTCAAGAAAAAGGCATATAGTTGTTGTGAGTTTTAAGACTAGACTCAAGAGAGGATGATAAACTTGTTTGTCTGACTTCCTCCGGCATGAAGTCCCACAGCTGTGGAGCCTGAACTGCAAATGCTCAGTCACCTCTTACTACCAGTCAGATTTAGAAAGTATGTGTAGCGTCCTGTTGGAAGACCTCAGGCAGCGGTTAGGCTGTGTGGGGAGTTAGTTGTATACAGACACGGGCTGGAGAGTGAATTTTAAGTCTATAAAAACAAGCAGTGAAATCTTAAAATCAATTCTAAAACTCCGAGGGGGTCAGTGAAGGGCAGCTAGGACTGGTGTTATGTGATTGCTTCTGTTTGCTGTGCATTAAAAGCTTGGCAGGAGTGTTTTGAATTAACTGCAGCCTTTAGATGTTGTACTTCCTGATAGAGTCTTAAACTTGACTGTTTTCTGTCCCTCAGTTTGGCGGACGAGCTGCTGTCGGAGGCTGTGGCCGACGTGGCTGCAGAGTTCCAGGATATGGTGGAGGAGTACACTGAGGCCGTCTTCACCTCGGAGTTTCTCCAACCGATCCAGTCACCTCCTGCTACAGCTGCAGCTCTGGTCAGCCAATAACACAGCAGCTGGGCTACTTTTTATAGACTTCTTAAGGAGAATCAGGCATGGATTTTGATTCCTCGCTTTTTTCAAAGATGAAATAACACTTATTATGTTTTTAAAGACCTGTATATTGAGAAGCAGTCATGGATTGAAGTTTTGATGTAAAAATGTGTGTCTTTATTGAATTAGGATTTTACAATTCTTTTAATAAAGCAGCAGGAGACAAGATAGCTGAATTGCACGGGGAGCCTGGACTCTTTGTAGTCCATCTGTGTCTGTGATTCAATTCCACAGGGAAAGTTAGTTGAGTTAAGATAAGCTTGGAGAGACATAACGACAGTACAGAGGATTATAAGATTATCGCCCTCCCGTTGCACTTGATTTAAATCGCCCTGAGGATTACTCGCTCATTCTATTTTTCACGTTGGAATATGGGAATAAATTAATTGCATACGGTCTCCGACAAAATGATGTACGAAGCCAAGAGCATCCTGTGTTTAATCTATTGTGACGGGATTTCCTCTCTCGCTTTAATGTCTAATAAAAGGGTCAAAACGCGGCGGGAAGGCTTGATATCCGTCAATGTTTAATGTATGTGGAGGCGGTGAGGGTGAACTTACTGTGAAATGGTTTAGGAACACTTTGCAAAGAGCGTTTGGTGCTTTTCTTTACTTCTTTCGACTTCATGCCAACTGATTTATAAACTATTGCTTCTGATAGACGAATCCTGCATCATCATGGTGTCAAGCATTGACTGTAAATGCAAAATAAACATGACAGACTTGGCAGACCAAGAAAGTGTTAAGTCCCCTGAGTGTAACATGAAAGCTGAGTGGACAGAGCCGAAGGGACACATCCAGATGTTGGGCTGGCCTGTAGGGATCAGCCAGTGACAGCAGACACACACAGTGACTGAATGAATTAGCTCACACTAAATCAGCTGCCCCGATTTCCTCTCAGGCTGGATTTCTGCGTGGGCGTCTGTATATGTGCAGCCTTTCAGCGTTTCACAGGCTATCCAGCTCTGTGTAAATGTCTTCTTTTCTGTGAAGGACAGATAGAAATCAGCTGGCTCAAAGCAAGAGGGGCTGAAGTGGGGTGTGTGTTGTCATCTTAACAAGAGCACAAAGGATTGAGGCTTTTCTGGCATTAGTAGACATGAAACTGTTAATTTTAGGGGCTAATTTCTAATTATTTTTCATTGTTATGGTTCAGATGTTTTTAACAGTGTCTGCCAAATGTGTCATTTCAAAGACAAAGCCTGCTATATTTTCCTTTATGCCTCCTCAGCGGGCACCACTTAGCGTTGACTGTGAAACTGTGCTGTCAGCAAACCACAGAGCGGCGAAATCACTTCTCAGCTGTTGTATTTTTTTCATGCAAATCCAACAGTGGAGATGCCAATATATGAGTTATATGGAGATTTTTTGCTCACTCTTCTATTATTTGATCCAAGCATTAACATTCACAGCTTGCTGTTAGTTTACAAAGATGAGAATCAGTGGCGTTTTGCACATTATTATAACTTCTAATAGTCAGAGAAGTTCGACCTTGCCAGCAGCCAGCGCTGACTCATTATCAGGGCTAATTTCAGAGCTAGAGAGGACACAGACTGCGATTTATTCATGGTGCATTGGAGACGCAATTTTCTGTACAGTACAGGTGCATCAGGGCTGCTGTTTGACATCTGTGTTGCTTTTTTCAGCTCATTCCAACAACTTCAACCAGATGGATGTGATTTGTTTTGGCTTACTTCACATCCTGATGTTGATAGATGTTCTCACGTGCAAATTTCAGCATTATTTGTATTAAACAGAGTATTTTTCATTTGGGCCCTCTGTAGCCAAATTATTTTCAGGCCTCATTTGCTGTTTTCATGACACACCTGACTGGCTCCAGCAGAAATCCAGCCAGGGCGGTGCATTAGAGGGATGATGAATGGGCTCAGAACTTGCTGAAACTTGAAAAGTTATTGCGAAAAGTAAACTTTCTGCACAGAGGATTTATTCATCGTGATAGGGTTGCATGATCGCCCATCTGAAGCAACAGTTATACCACAGAGTCACAAAGAAAAACTGGTTTTTATCACTGGAGAATAGACTCCAACACATCAAGACACGAACATAACAGACTTCTGAACTAATCACAGCTCTCCTCACCAAAGCATAATTTCCCAGCCCTGACAGTCTTTTGCTTTTTAATAGTCATAGCAGCAAAATGAGAGTTTAAAAGCCAGAGCTTACTAATTTAAGTCTGCTGAACAGGAGCGGACCCAGACTTTTGACTGTGATTGATTTAGTGAGGATGGCCATAAGTATGTGTGTGTACATGATAAATAGCATTTATTCACTCTTTTCACTTTTTATCATATGATAACTTCTCCAAAAGATGTTACCTCTGTATGTTGTTATTTTGTTTTTAATTTGAAAAGTTGCTAATGATAATAGTCCAGATTTCAGCTGTTTTCAGTGCTTATTGACCAAAGATTGAAAATATCCATAGATATCACTGGATTTGGTCTTTGGTTGATCAGCAGATGAATGTTTTCTAATCTTTTAGGTAAAACAGCAAAACCACGATTCAGATTAAGTCAAACATTTCTGTTCTGGTGTGTTTATCAGGTAATTTCAGGTTGTGATGAGCAGTTTTGTGCCTTCACCTGCCTTTTTTTACACAGTGGAGTTCCTCAGGGTTCAATTCCTGGACCCATCCTTTTTTGACAGCTTTTATTGAGAATTGAATGTCAGTTTTCTCCAACCTAGTTTAAGAAAGACAGTGGTTCTCAGGCTTGATCTGATTGGTTGTTGTCACCTTTTGTTATTGTTTCCAAAAGGTAAACCTATTCAAACCTGGCGGTGCTCTAAACTTTAGGGAGTCTAGCAGGAAGTGTGTGATAGTATCTTTAGCCTTCATGATGTCTTCTCACAGGCCACTTTATAAGGTATAACTGCTTGCCAACACATATTGCCAATCAGCCAATCACATAATCAAGCTGACGTAATGAAGTTAAGTGTTCAGAAAGGGGACTGAAGTGACTTTTGTTCATGAGTTTAGAGGATCATTTTTTGCAAAGGTATGTGTAGAAAATATGTGATATGCTTCCAAAGTGAAAGATACCATCAGGAAAAGGTCATGTGAAGGACAAACAAATGTATTTTACTCATACAAACACTGAACTATGCAAAAGGGTCATGTGTCTAAGTTGACACATACTGGTATGCAAAGCGTAGCTCGGTGCACCACGCTCCCAGATGACATTTTGCATTTACTTATGATGAAATTTACCCAGCAGACCAATATCACCTCTGTCAATTTGCATTTAAGCTTATGATTTGAAATCAAGGACAGAAGGCCTTGCCAAAATAACAACATCATAATATTAATAATATATATGTTATGACCAGCAGAGGATATTCCCTGAATGTGAAGAATTGATGTAACACCATGAGCCACTCTCACTGTGACACATTGAGGACAGAATATTTGAGCAAAAATCATCATGGTTCCTCGGTGCAGGAAACCCAGACCTCTTTTCTTCATGCTGCTGATTGTGCTGTTCCACCCACAAAGTCGCTGAACAGCGGGGAAACAACAAATCTGCTCCTCGGATGTTAAATCCTGGTTTGCTGACTGTTACATATTGCACTTTGTGGCTCTGTAATGGCTCCCGGGAAGCCTTAGGTTGCTGAAACAAGTCTCGCCTTCATCTTCTCAGAGTCCCACGGCTTTCTGCCCGACTGAGTCTCAGGGTGCCTGTACTTTGTTTTGTCAGAGTCTTAAGGTTAATGTATTGTTCAGCTGCCCATAAATCATTCAAACATGTTGCTTACTTTGCATTTTCCTCACTTTTTTTCCTCCTAAAGGAGTTTCTTTGGGATTTTGTTTCTTTTCTGATGCAGGAAGTTCAGTTTGAATTATAGAGTATCCTCACCAGCATGAGGGGAATGCTGGTGAGGACAAATAAACATCTCACGAAAGACATTTACTTAATTAAATTAGCCTTATTTTCTGCTTGGATCAGGCAGTGCAGCCATCAGGTATAATCAAGACCATCTGCCTTACTGGCTTCCTGGCCTTTTACTACTATTTTGTCTAAGTTGGATCAGAGCTCAGTTTTGTATAGAGAAATGTATCGTCATTGACTTTTATATCAAACTCAAACTGACTGCATGTAATCCTGGCAAAGTCTGATAATACAGCATGTCCTGTTCTCAGATTCCAGAGCAGTTATCCAGCCACAGGCATTTTCCTCTATCAATAATATCCATTTATGTTCGCCAAATGATGCCTCAACCAAACAGACGATCTGTCTGGGACCATGTGACCTCATGTGTGGTCGAAACTCAGCAAGTGCTGCATCATGACCGCTCTCTGCCCTGCTGAGTGCAATGTATGCTACAAGTGCTCTGGGAGACAAGCAGCTGGGTCAAGCACTGCAGAAGAGCACGTCAGGATAAGCTTAAAAATGAATGAGAGGCTCCTGTTAGGTAAAGCATCTTTCAGATTAGGCCAGATCGAACAACTGGATTTAGAGGCTTTCGAGCTAAGGGGACATGATCACGTAGATGGACCCTCTGTTATCACTGCAAAGAAAAAGAAGGTGAAGGGCAAGCTTGCTTGGTCAGAGACCTTTATTTTGAAGGGGTGGGTTTTGTTTTGAGACACAGCTTGTCAGAACCTGCAAGATTTTCTGTTCGGCTCCGATGATTGCCCCTCTATGACCAAGGTGGCACCTGCTGCTCCAGTGATGGATGTTTGACAGGCGTGGCGGCTTTCACCCTGGTGATTTATTGTCCCTCCGCTCTTCAGCCTTGCACATCATCATCGTCTTCAGTTCTTTTTGAATACTGCAATCATGCATCAACTGCACTTTGCATACAGAAAATAATGCATATATTATCTGACATGGCAACACATTTGTATCATGTCTACAGGCAAAATCAAGTTGAATTCATGTTTTATTGTTGTGTAGACTCCTGTGCTATCATCAAGAGGGCAGACTGGCAAACATGAAGGGGGTGGGGGGGCATTGCTGCATGGAGTCACATGATACCCACTCTGTCCCTGATCCCACATGATTTTCAGGGCTGTAAACAGTTGCCTTTATCTTCTACAGATAAAACAACAAATTCAAAGGTAGGAAAGTAATTTTTTGATAAGACTACATTTTCTTTAGTACTATTAAACCGCTACTGCAGATAAACTCGTGACTTACATGGGATTAAATTGCAGTGTCTCTGGCAGAGTGTGATGCGTGTTTCCCCTGCTAATTTAAAACTGTGCTGATAAAGCAGGCCAAACAGTGCAGCACTCTGCAACATACTCAGACAGTACTGCACACACGTGGTGGTCCTCTGCAGGGTATATGACTCCATTAATCATGTACACAGACCCCTGGTCGTGGAATAGGTTATAACAAAGAAATTCTAATTATTTGTCATCAACAAATGCGGGGAAAGGTTCGAAAACTATAGCTCTAAAATTCACAGAGCTACAGGTGTGTGTTACAACCAGACCCAGTCTTCCCCTGGACTAATCTTCAATCACAATGACCTGGAGGCTTCTTCCCCTCCTTATTCCTTGTTCATTGTCTGAACAAACTGGTGAAAAAGGCTGGCTCTGTGTGTGGATTCAAGCTGGACTCAGTGGAGGATGTGTTGGAGAGATCTACACTGAGGAAGGTGGAGACTATTCTCAAGAACATGGATCACCCACTTCACAACACCTTGATGGACCAAAGGGCCAATGGTGGTGGACGGCTCCTCTCTCTTCGCTGCAGGACAGAAAGACTCAGAAGATCTTTTGTACCAACAGCCATCAGACTTTACAACTCTTCTGTAAATAGTAGATGACTTTTAGAGACATGACAAATGAGACAACAGACAATTGAATTTCCCTGATTAATAAAGTTCTTATTCTAATTATTATGTGTAATTCTTGTAATATTCATGTGTGATTACATCTAATGCATTCCCTTAGGGTCGAAAAATGCATGAATTGCATACTATAAACCTATGTTGTTATAATGGTAATGCACAACCCACTGAGCATTTTTTGGTCTAAAAGAGGTCTAATAGACGTCTAAATATAGGCTAAATGACTGGTCTAAAATAAAAGTTTTTTAGATGTCTAAATTTTGACCAAATTTAGACCAAGTCTAAATCTGGGCTATATCTTTACTAAACTATTAATTGCTCAACAGCTATCATAAATATTTTGGTTAAGTACTTGGAGATCAGTTATGCTACTCACAGTTGCTTTATGGAATAAACAGTTATCGAATAATGGGCAAAAGTTCAACATCCAAATTTCATCTAAAAATATACAGCATCTAGACGGTTGAAATTAGGTCTAAAAAAACAGCTGTCTAATGCTCAGTGGGAATCTCTATTCTTTGGCTACGTTCACACTGCAGGTTATGATGCACAATTCTGATTTTTTGTTAAATCCGATCTTTTTGCGCAGTTGTTCACATTACAGCAACGAATGCGGCATCTAATGTGAACGGAATGCGTCCATGAAGTGACCCACATGTGTACAAAGCACAAATTGCTTTCCGCGCCTGTTTGTGTTGTCAAACAATGGTGACGTTTGTCGCGTATTGACGACATATAGGTCGGATGAACACGACCTGAGCGTCCACATCAGATACATATCTGATTTATATCCACATACAAAAGAGGTCTGGGTCGGATTTGAAAAAATCAGAATTGCACTGTTCACACTTACATGAAAAAATCAGATATGTGTCACATATGGTTAAAATATCGGAATTGACCTGCAGTGTGAACATAGCCTTTGTGTCTTATTCACATGCTTAGGTGTGATGCACAACACCCACTACAGGTGAAGTTTTGAGGTCTTTTTTCAGAGAACATAGGGTTTATTTTATTTCCCGTAGAGCTGACATGAGCAGCCAAAAGTATGTTCCCCATTGAAATGATCTAAAGAGCCGCAGATGGTATTTCACTGTGGTCTTTAGACAGGTCAAAGGGGAGACGCATTTGTTACCAAGCTATATGGAAAGCTGAATAAATTTCATTTTAGTAGCTGTGCTGGTTGTGTTTGTTTTTCTTTTCATCCTAATGACCCATCACCTCAGCCTGGGAGAGTTTTTATAGCCCACTGACTGTGACAACCACACCCTGCAGAGGAAAATTCAGACTGGCTTCATGTTTGATGTTAAAGCTTTACTTTGAATATATCAAGGTTCAGTCTTATTCATCCTGTATTTAATTGCAGACTCCTGCTGTGATTGATCCAACAATTAAGGCTAATTACATGTGTCAAAGGTATTATTTCTTAAGAGTGCCTCTCAAGGAAAATAAAATCCTATTTGGATGAATAAAGTCAGCCAAGGAGCTATTTTCGTCGTCCCTGATTATACTTTTAATTGCAAAGTCACAAACAGGTGATGGAGAAGAGCACGGACGCCCTTCAGCTGCCGCGGACGTGCGCGCACCGCTGGAGGCAGTCGAGCTTCAGACCGGGGCTCGTTTGGAGGAACTCTGGCTGGTGTTAGCAGTGGAGAGGAGACGGGGACTGGAGCTGGGTGGGCATGACATGTGAGCCAAGTCTGCACAGATACAACAAATACCCAAAGTATGTCTGCAGCAGGGGCGGGTCGACGCTGCGAGGGACCTGAATCAGGTGAATGGGAGTGAAGCTGCAGAATCTCCTGGTTTTGTGTTTCTTACCCCTACGGTGAAGAAAGAAAGAAACCGACTCGGCGGCAGAAGCTTCCCCGCGTCTCCTTCACCCTGCCTCGGCGTGGCAGGCGTCAAGGTGCCGCAGGAGGAGGAAGAGCCGCTGTTTGGTGAAACTACCGGACCACAACGTCTCTGCGCAGAGCAACGCCACGCTTTTCACCGAGAGACACGGGAGACACACGGAGGAGGAGGACACCATGTCAAAGGAGACCAGAGGAAGAGGTGAGTCTCGTGCTAACAGGTAGAAAAGCTGCGTCTCGTGCTGTTGGATGGTGGCGCGCGAACAGACGCGTGCTGCAGCGTTTGACTCAATCTGCAGGAATGTACGACGGTCTCTAAACGGACCCTTACTCATTAAACCCGGTTCATTTCAGCCCGGCTTTGTGTGAAACTGTCTTTCGGTCTGTCCTGTCTGTCACTGTGTCTCCGTGCAGGTGTTATGGCAAATTTTGTGACCCTTTAGATTCGGTGACGCTGCAGGGTCAAATATGTTAAAAAGGACTGATTCACGACAAGATATGGAGCTCTTAGTGACCTGAGGACACACCTGCAGACCCCTTGGTCCTCTTTCCTGCTATCAAAGCTAACAGCACTGTATGTCTGAGCCCATCTACCACATCAGGGTGACTCTATTTTTGGTAACAGCCATTTAAATTCAGCACCACGGTGTTAAAAAAAACTTTTGCAGTCTGACTGAAATAGGCTTTACCCACTGAGCAAAAGTGCCTCTCACGATGTGACATGAGACAGTATAGAGTCAGTACAATGTTTAAGCAGGAGTAAAGGAAATGAATCATGCAGAGAAGTTCAATGCAATGCTAATAATAGCTGGCATTTATTTCATGCAGCTGGTTTGATTGTTAAATTGGATGTTTTTTGTGAGAGGATGATGACAGGAGGGCTTCAGGGAGGCCTCAGAAGTTGACATTTCAGTCACATAAAAGGGGTTGTTGTCACTCCTTCAAAAGATATCTCGCTGCTCAAATGTGCCACCTGTTTGCATTGTGTTGGTGGATAAATCAGCCAAAAAAAGCATGGCTGTTCTTTTTCTGTTTAAGAACCACATTTTCTTTTTTTTTTTTTTTATATAATCCCTTATCCAATAATTTCTCAGATGGAGATGAAGTTCTCCAATCACTGCAAACCAAGTGGGTGTAAAACCCTGATAATCGTGCCAGCAGAAATAGCGTTGCCGCTGATGAGACTCCTCTCAGGGCCGAGGGTCATGGGTTTAATTTCTTCTCGTTGTCATGCATCTGCCGTGCAGTAGAGCCTTTGGGCAAGTCACTTAGCCTCTGCCAGCTCTAGGCTTTCTGATCTGTATGCCTTTGTGATCTGACCTTTTCCGTGAGGCAGGAGTGGAGGAGGAATTTATTTCTGTACGATCAATAAAATATCAGATTAATATTAGGCTTCTCTTCGAGTAACAAGTGTCCGGATAGGGACGAGTGTAAGTCAAGTGTGGTCATGGATTTAAAAAAAACAAAAAGCTGCGTTGGATCTTAAGTGAAATCCAAAGAGGTAAGTCTCTATAATCGTATATATTTATTCCTTTTTGAGTAAAAGCGTATTTAAATAAATTGGCAAGCCGAGATCAGGACCCCATTTAACCCATTAAAGCCTATTAAATCCTCTATCTGTTTTTTCTAACACTTAAGTGCAGCCATTGGATACTAATGCTGCTCTCAGCAAGTGAATTATTTAAATCAGTTACATCATGTTTTAATGGCTGCTCCATTAAAAACTGAAGCTGAAGTTTAGGAAACTCATGGAAAGTGGATATTGTGTCCCTTAACAGTGTGCTAGGAAGTTGTGATAATTCATTTGGGCTCTCGGTGAAGCAGTAAGAACTCTGTTAAACTGTCTCAAGTTGGTTATTTCAGATGATATTGATTTTGAGCTCAAACAATGGTGTTTGGTTGGAATGTGTTCCTTGACCTTTGTTTGCTTTTTGATGCTACTTAGATGAGACATTATGCAGCTAGTTTGGGATGTTTTGAATTGAGGTTTTGATCCGAAAGAAAAAATCTTGGGCTAACACACAAGATTTTAAGTTATAGGTCAGAGGATGAGGAAAAAAATACCAGGGGGAAGGTTTTTCTCTTGAAGTTTGCATGGAGCTGTCTGCAAACCTTTGCTAGTCACTGATGTACCTTACACTACATTATCCCAAATGGTATTTTAACTGGGCTTCTCTACTTGTCCCAGTTTTCATGCAAAGGGGAAGAATCCAGAAACGTAGAAACGTCCACTACAGTAGATTGCAACATGTTGGGTCGCTGTATGTCGAACTGTGAAGACACGTCACTCTGTGAATTAGAATAACATCCAAACGGGGGAGTGGGGAGCTAGCTGCTCATGCATCTGTGTGCAGTGACCGGTGATTGTTTCCTGAATGTGGCGACTTCTTATGGTGTATTGATTTGATATGAGGTGCGATCAGGTTGTCAAGTTGTGATGAGGTTTTGACCAGGACTGGGCGATTTGGCCAAAAAGATGATCACGACATACTTTGCCATATTGTCCGATCTCGGTTATAATCCCGATTTTTTTTTTTTAAACCGCCAGTTTTAAAGCATCTGTACTTAAAACTAAAAAATAAATAGATAAATACTAAATAAGACATTAAATAACTTTTCTTCTCAACAATAACATCTTTGGAGGATGACTCAAAGTCATAGCTGACATCTATTTTACTGCCCTCAGCTCCACGTTCGGTTACTCTGTTGGTTTACAGAAGTGAGCAGGAAAAGCTCGACTCTGATTGGCTGTTGTGATGCACATTTTTGCCATGTTTGATCGAGTAAATAAGCTCACAGCTGATCACCGTGATCGGACTGAAATTTATCACGATCATATAATCACCCAGTCCTAGTTTTGACCAATCAGAAGCAAATATTTATCACAGGAATATAGTTTTTAAGATAACACACACTTGTCGGGGTGGTCATCATAGGGCAATGTACCCTGTGTGCAGCTGTCAGATACAATACTGAGCACGTAACATTCAGCTGTCTGTCAGACAACAGAGACTGACAGCTGAGCAGATTCAATATGAAGTAGAACTGAAGGGTTATCAAAAACCACGTTTGTAAGTCAGATATGAAACGCAGTTCCTCCCTGGGTAATTTCCCCCTCGTAATTAGATTCGAGAACACAATGAATCAGAGGAAGAAAACCAAAAGTTTGTTTCACTCTAGAAATGAAGCAAACTTTCTTGTTTTGAGCATCAAATCTCAATAGACGAATTGGATTTTCTAAATGACTGAAAAATAATATTTTATCTCCACATCTGCTGCTGGATGCCTTCTGTACTTAATCTTAATTATATTGCTATGAGCCTCGCTGTAAGAGTCATCCACTGATGGAGATTCCGCTGTGAGGCCTTACATTATTTCAGCTGAGCTCCATAAAATCATGTTAACCCTGCGATGCTCCAGCAGGCCGCTGGCAGACTGATGGCAGCTGCTTTACTGTAAGCGCGAGGTTACAGTCATATCTCCAGCGTGCGCTGTTTTCATTAAATATTGTTTGACCTCAGTTCACAGGACAACTTGTGAAGTAGGAGAGATTCTCATGGACACATTGTTCTTTTAAAGTCCAGTCCGTGTGTCTAAAATGGACCTTTTGATTTCATGATTTCACTTATGTGTGCAGATTTTATCTCGGTCATTTCCTATTAAAAGAGGGCTGTAGGGGCTTCCATACTTCTCAATTCTAATTAAAACTTTTACCCTGGAGTCAAATTTGCATTGTTATCTTAGGACAGGGACCGTGAAATGTGTAGCAAGAATAATATATTCATGCTGTGCATTTTATCCTAAAGTATTAAAACCTTCATTTAGGGGCTATTGCAGTGCATCTTTGCAGCTCCTGCAGAGGCATGGCCTTCTGCCCAGATTCATTGGCTGTCAATTAAAACAGAAAGGAGCCCCAGGTTTAATCTTCTCCGTATTGAAAGATAATTTGAGCGAGGTAATAAGGATTTAGGAGTTATGAGGGCTGCACTGAGCAAAGCTGCAGCTCTGAATTAAAGCAGGTGTGACTCGAACTTGAAAGAATATTAATGAATCCCTAAAAGCGTTTTTTAACCTGCTTTGTGGCTCTCAGGATGACAGTGTCTGTCTATGATTGGGTCATTACCCTAGACCACTTTCAACTATCTCATTCACTACAGAATGGATCGCCATGAGGGTTTGTGGAGAAATCCAAGCTCGCCAGGAGATGAAACTTACGAGATGACTGTTATGAATGTTGAGCTAAGACTGAATCGCTATTTTTAGTTCAAAAAGGAAATTTCTCCTTTTTTGGTCTTGCTGATTGTGACCATTTCATTTATAAATTCAGTGTTGCCAAATGAGGAACACAAACAGACACTATCAAGAGGTCAGACATTTGTGAGTTTTAATGAAATAGCTTGACTAATGTTGAATAGATTGGGTTAGGGTTAGGGTTATGTGTTCTCAAAGCTCATTAGAAAATAATAGTATTGGCTCAATGTGTTTATAAGATAGAAGAAATTGTTGATACTGACCAAAATAAACTTAACTAGCTGTTGTAGCTGTTAGTGATCAAGTTATATGAGTTTTTCATCAGCCCATATCAATGTCGATATTAATGGAGCAGGTCTGTGTTTGTTTTTTATGCATTTTGTAATATAAAACAGTTTAACAATGACAAACAGACATTATTTCATGCACAGTAAAATCTAATATAAGTGGCTATCTTGGCCAGATACATGTTTAAGATTTGGAATTGATTCATGAAATAGAAAAATACACTGGGACACACTAAATATGTCCAAACATGATTTAATTATGTCAGAGGCAATATTCAACTTCATCATTCTCGTTATTCCACAGATCATATCAGAATAGATTGTAAAAAATTGGTTGTAAAATATCTCTTAGATTTGATCTTCTGTTTTGGAGGGTATAACATGATTTTTTAGTTTTGTAATCGGCCTCATGAGCCTAGATATCAGACAATGTCGATTATTTCAAAACGCCATGAATCGGCCGGACTTGTCACTCAGTCTGTCTCTAATATCTGCAACCTGGAGTCTCCCTCAGTCACTTATTGTACTCAGTATATGAGCAGACTGTGTAATAGGACTAAACAAGCTTTCCGTTTTATACTATATTTGCCATGCTTTCCAATCACTCGTATCGGCATCGCCTGTTGGAAAATCAATCTCGGCCGTATATTTGACATTGATCACACAAACGCTGTGAAATATATTCCTGCCCAATACAAGCATGTCAGCATCCTAGTATTAACTACAGTTTACCTGAGAGCCTAACTGTGCTTGAAAACGCCTCACAGAGCTGCTCGGGCAGCTGCCAAACTGTACTCTGTCAAGTAATCCAACTGAATAAACAGCCAATGAGGCCAACTGGCCATCAGCCATTAAAAAAAAAACGTGTTTTGATTTAATTTAACTCTCTATTCAAGAAAACAGATGCACCTCCAGCTGTGCTCTGCTTCTTAGTCAGGAATTGTCACACCTGCGATCGTCGCCGTCTTTTAACAGCCATCGAAGAGCTCCCTGAAAACAGAGGGGGCCCCTGTGAACCAGCTAATGTAGAAATTCAAACCATGAGATATGTTTCCATTTCCCTTTACATTCACCTCTTTTTATGAGTCACAAGAGCTGCCAGATCTCTTTAAAGACTTTGCCTCATTAATCCTTCTCAACCATCTTTATCACCCCGCTTCACAGAGTCCAACAGACCCCCACTGTCAGACTTTACGCCTCAGTCCAGAGCTCAGTGTGAGGTGTAACAAATCTGAGGACTATGTATTCATCATGTTTGATGAAAGTTGATCTGTGTGATGGTTGTTTCTCATTTACTGTCCAATCGGTGGCCTACCTGCTGCTTTGCTGAGATCCAGCGTTGGGCTAAAAATAGAGCTGAAGGATGCTGATGAACGGTCTCCACGGCTTTCTCTCTGCGTCTTCGGAGAAGGTGAAGACTAAACAAAAACAAAAACATGGCAATTTAGTGTTTTAAGATGTGTTTTGATGCTGTCCGTGATCCCCCGGCAGTCATCTAATCTCATCCCTCATTCTGAGACTGGAGAAATACTTTATATAACATGTGATTCTGCTGAATCTGGTGTGCAGTCTCTCTTGCAGACAACGTGCTCAACAAGCAGCACCACAGTGTTCTCTGAAATCTACAGAGGCGTGCGCTAATGCATTCAGCCTGTGACCTCTGTTATTGTATTTGATCATACAAAACAATGTTAATTTGAATTTAATAGCTGTTTGTCATGGGTAAGCACACTGGGCCTGTGTCAGGGGGAGCAGCGGCACAAAGCACACAGCAGCTGGCCTGCTGCTGTAAGAGGCTCACCTGGAGTCGGGCACCAGTCCATTTGTTGTTTGTCACAGCCGAATATCTTGACGTCACACTGATGTCAGGCAGAATCTGTTTTCTGTTTCATCTTATTCATCAGATTTCAGGCGGTGAAAAAGCTCTTTATGGCTTTCAGAAGGTAAAAATTAATCTCCCGGACTCTCAGTACCACGTTTAGATTCAAATCTGCTTGTGTGACTTGCATTAAGGATATAAATATTTCGAAAGGTCGAGTCCATCTTTCATTTCTGCTTATTAACATAACCAATTGATTGGAAAAACCTGTAAGATGCGCAGATCTCTCAGTGAAGCGCAGCTGAAATGATAAATGACTCAGTTTGTAGGTTAATAAACACGAGTTTGTCACTTTAAAATGTGTTTCTGCAGGTTGTAATGCCCATTTTTTTTAACTTTCACGATAGTTTGTGTGAATATCTCAAAGATGTGGTTTTTAGAGAGGTTACACCAGGTAATTTAGACCTGTGATCACTGTTTATATTGACAATTTTTGTAAACTGCCTGATTAATCAAAAAAGGGATTAATACATCGATCAGCTATAATATCATGACCACCCACATATGGATTATTGATCCTTTTTTTAAAACTAGAAGGTCCTGAGGGTCCCATAAAGTGATGAGGAACCATGAGTTTGGTGAAAACCTCATTAGGACTCAGTGTGAAGTCTGGAGAATAGCAACACTACAGGCTCCCCTCACAGCAGGTCAAGACCAAAACAGCCCTGATTGATTGGACTCTAAAGGTCTGCTGTGGCACTTTTAAGCAGATCCTTTAGTCCTGGCAGTTGCGAAGTGGGGCCTCCTTGAAATTGGGCTTGAGTATCCAGTGTTCACCATGGATGCTCAGCTAGTTTTGGAGTGGAGGTCAGCATGGATATCCTGACTAGTATCCACAACAAACTGCTGTGCACCGTGTATTCTGACCCCTTTCTCTCTAAGTCAGCAGTAACTTTTTCAGCTTTGGTAGGTTTTCTGCTGGATCAGCCTTCGCTCTGATGCACCCCGGTGAGCCTTGGGCACCCATGACTCTGTCTCAGATTTCACCGATTTCGCTTCATTTTTGGTATTTTGGACACCCGCAGACTGGAAACACCCCTCTCCGGCTGCAATTTTGGGAAATCATATTGTCTAGCTGGCGTAATTTTCCCCATGTGAAGGTTCCTCACATTCTTATCGATTTTCCTGCTTTGAACGCATTCAATTCAAGGACAAAATGTTCATTTAGTTGCTAACATAGCCCAGCCTCTGACAGGTAAAGAGATAATAGGTGTTTTTCCCTTCAACTGCCAGGGGTCATAATGTTGGCTGATCGATGTAGTTGCAGCTTTAGGACATTAGGAAGGAGGAGTGCTTCAACTGAACCAAAAAAGTGAGCTGTAACAACGCCAAATCCACAAGGCTTAGATGTCGAGTAAAATGTTCAATAAACAGATTTTCATGTCTTTTAAATCATTTAAACTTAATGTTTAATTCTGAGCAACAGCAACAAATCAAATACTGAAACTGAACATTTTTGGTTTGCAAAGAAAACTTGTGCTCATTATTTAATCTGAAGTTAAAATGGTTAAGGGGAAAAAACACTCTAGAAGCTGTAAATAGATGCTGGAATAAAACACTTGGAGGCAAATCTTACAATTAATTATAATTCTCAACACATAAGTGATATGACAGGGCGTATAGAGGACACTGCAGAGGGTCTCTCAGTGGTTAAGATGGGAAGAGGTTCACCAAGGTTGGTGCTGCGTTAAAAACAGATAGGACTCTGCAGTGGAAGTCACCGCATGGGCTCAAAATCATGATCTATTGCTGCATCCACATATTTAAGTTTGGGGTTAATGAGTGTTTATGGTGTGGTTATCTTACACATCTTTTTCAGGCACTAACGATATAAACTAACTTGAACAATATAAAGCTTTATAACACTTTTACAGGCATCCATTAACTTCTCCTCCTTTAAATCAGCTCTAAAACTTGTAATATTATAAACTTCCACTGCCTGTTCAGTCAAAGTTATATTAGTTCTACACTGAGCACAGGGTATAATGTACTCTGAGATGACCTTGTTTCCTCACTCTGCAAAAGCTCACAGCTTTGTTAAGCATTCATATTTCACTAGCTGCCAGAGCCAATATGCAAAGTTCTACTTGATTTCCATCTCACTCAGTGCATGTCGGATTAATAACTCTAAGAGCGTGTCGTTCATAATATAACCTCTTCACATGTACTCACTCTTCTCAGGCTGGTCACACTGTGCTAAACGTGGTTGTTGTTGTTGCATAGGCCAAAGGGGAGTGGTATAGCAAGCTTAGTGATCATAATTACCGCCCAGTCGTTGCCTTGCAGTCCATTAGGAGTCAATGCAGGCGCTGATCTGCATAGCTGCAGTGCAGATAAACAGCATCGTGGAGGATAATGTCTGGACGGAGATTCTGTGACTGATCCAACATTTCTGAGGAGGAATCAATCTCCTGTGTGTCTGTCTGGCTGCAGAGATTGATTTTAACTGTGTGCTGAAATGAGGTTTAATTAAATTAGAGGACAGGCTATTAATAGCTTCTTCCAACTTGCATGAGGACCAGCCAGACTGTTTTATTGTTTACCCTTTATAGACCCTTGGGTGCCCATCGTGGCAGGACATTAACAGACTCATCAGACAGAATCGCTCTGGTTTTATTTCTCTCTGCATGTGTCTGTGTCTCGTGTGATTCTCATCCGTGCTGGAGCGTGTTCTGTGTTGAAATCAAGGTGACAGGCACGTCTCATTTCCTCCTCTTCCTCAGTGAGCTGTGGAAAAACATTATTGGATTTCCTCCTGACGTGGTGGATATCATTCTCCGATGTTGTGACTTTCTCAGTCTTCACTCAGAAGAGGTTTGCATCACCACAGAGTCGTCCCGCCCTGCCTCTCTGATGAGATGGCGGGAGACACCATATTTGTAGCCTGGAGATTCTTTTGGGTGCTGTTAGTTGCTCAGAGTTCAGTGTACAATAAATGTGGCTAATTACAAAACAAGGAGACTTGCACTTGTGTAGCTTACCGACCATCTGGTTTGGAGAGAACTGACGGCAAAGAGGGATAAAACTCTGATGAGGAGAAATTCCTTGAGGGCAGTAGCTGCACATGAAAAACTGATCTGCCCTCTGATGAGCAAAGACTCCTCATGAGACCGTTTTCTTCCCCGAGGACTCGCTCATTATTCACAAATCTCAAAGACTTAATGAAACCTTCTTTGAAATCTCATTGAAGCACTGAAACAGTCGAATTACTTTAACGCACATAAATTAACTTTAGTTTTCAACTTGATTGCAAGAACTTTAAAGCTTTATAACATAACACCATGAATCCTTCAAAGTTAACTCTATTATCTTGTTCCATATGCCTTGTAGTTAGGAGTGTCCTTATACATCTTTTTTACCTCTGATACAATACCGATATTGTAGCTTTCAGTATCGGCCGATACCGATATTGATCTGATATTGGCACAGACCTGTGCATGACAAGTTTTGCACTCAGCTGCAAAGTCTTTTTCAGACTTTAATGGAAAAAAAACTGCCACGTCACTCCTACTCCTTGGTACTTTGTTAGGACCTTAGTACACACTGTTATTGTGTTCATGTGGACTCTATATGCTGGATATGGGTGCTGCTAGCTAGAGGTGCTGGAGTGGAGTCTGGAATGGACTGCTTGTATCAGGGGGCTGATATCTGAGATTTTGGATGTAGGCCAATATAATCTAATATTCCTATTTTTGCTGACATCTGAGATTTAAGATGCAGGCCGATATAATCCGATATTTGAATTTTTGCTGATATTGGACCAATATCAATATCATATCGGGACACCCCTACTTGTATTGTCAGTAAGTGAGCTATCTTAAGTGGCACACCGTGTCTTTAATTGTACCAGGGGCTGCAGGACACAAACCTGCCTCCTCCTGCTCCTCTCCTTGCTCTCCTCTCTCTAGTTTGTACCACATGGTGTAGATACAGCAGTCCACCTTTAATCTGAGCAGGAGCTGCAGTTTCTTGTGCTCCCAAGCTTTGCTTCCTATTGATCCGAGCTGCTTGTGATGAGAGAAAGTGAGAGCTATTTGAGGGGAGGGGCCGTGCCCACACTCTCATCCTTCGCTCAGCGTTTTGGACTTAACTGGGGCAACACAGCAGGTAGCAGAACAAAATGCTGCAAAATGTGTGAAGTGTCTACATCAAATCGCCCTTTTTGCAACTTCTTTGCTCCAGTTACTACTTAGAGGCATCTGTACTTGACATTAATTTCCCCTTCACTGAATTTATGATCCATTAAGTTTCAGGACTAACACCTTTTCACTCCATTTGTGCCAGATATTAGAAACAGGAGCATGATTGAGGAGGAAATGCTTATGCATACATCCTCTGAAATTTATTTGTGCAAATGAATCCCCTCCATGAAAGCCACAAGCGAGATGAATTCAGCGGCAATTACAGCCAGCTGCGAGATGAACCCAATGCGATGAGATGCAGTGTGAGCTGACCAGCAATGGAGACCAGATTAAGTACGATTGAACCTTTGAACTGAGTGATGGTTGTAATATCTGCTCTATGCCCACTGGTGCCAGAGGTGTTAAAGCTCAATTTGTTGGATAATTTGTTTTGAAAATCTGTCCCTAGCGGTCTTTTATTCACTTAAAATTCTGTTTACCTGCACTTTTGGGCCAGTCGCTTTTTAATATTGATATATCCTTTAACATTTCATTGAACAACCTGTCCAAAGTTTGATTGAGATTTATCACCTTAGTTTCTGTACAGCTTAGGGCACCTGTGCAGTCCAGGGTTAGACATAATCTTTAGTACTTTTTCACTGGATTTTTCAGGAGTTGTTGATGTAATGTGGAAAACAAAGAGAAAAATAAGCTGGTATTACTCTTTAAGCTTTTTCTTACCATATTCCAGCCTAGTGGGTTAACATGCCTGTATTGAATTACCCTTAAATCACACGTATGTAGGGGGAAAATTACACTGACAATCAATGAAAATCACTATATAGATTAATAAATCACAGGGTTATTATTACTGGGTTTGCTACAGCAGAATTACACGAGTCTGAGTAATTTTCACCCGTTGTGAGTGCCGGATAACACATGAGTCATGCAGCGTGAGAGATTTTCTCTGCTCACTCTTTATACTCACTGTGTGCACAAGGCACCTGCAAGAAATTTCCACCAAGAAGAACTCCTAAATATTGATGTTAACCTGGAACCATTCTCTGTATATGAAACTCTAAAACTGGAGACCCTTCCCTCTCTCTGTCTGACACAGTTAAAGCATCATTTAGTCCCAGACCTCTTTGTTATGCGGTGAAAGATGCTGCCCAGAAGGTTTTTCTTTGTGTGTTAAGCTGATGTGACTCTGGGATGGTAAAGTCACTTCCCTTCACTTTAAGCTGCTTTGAGCACAATAAGAGCAGAGAGGAGGGCTAGGCGATATGGCCTCAAATCAGTATCACGATATATTGAGCTGTTCACCTCAATAACGACAAATGGACAATAACTCATCCATAAGCTGCTCACCCCCTCCCACATTAACTTCGTCTACTCCAGCCGCTACAACTTTTGGACCGTCCTCCATCTCCTCACCTGTCTTTCTCTCTTTAGTACGGACTGTATGGGGTGGAGTCACGTTCTTCAAGGGACATGAGATCATAACCTACCTACACACATCCAAAAACAACTTTTGTTTATTTATGTTTTTGACACTGAATCTACCGATATGTGCAAAATGATGTTGGTTATTGACGTAAATTCCGGTATTGGTAAATATTTGGTTTATCGCCCAGCCCTAAAGGTAAGGTTAACTAAAGCTGAGATAGAAAAATACTTTTTTTTTTTCAGCATGTGAAGTTTTAGAGTTTTTTCTTTTTAGGTCTTTATATAAAAAGCATGAGGCTATTGCAGGGTAATAATGTTATTGTGCTCGGTGCAGTTTCTTTGGTTTTATTGTCTCACTTGTTTGTTCAGCTCTAAATATACAGAAGCCCCAAGCAGATCCAATTGTTTTATTCTCTGGGTTTTTCCCATGTAGTGAGTTAATATCAGCTGTTGAGATCTTTTTTTATTCTAGATATTAAAGCTGCTTTTGCCATGACAGTGGGTTCATGTATCTTCTTCTCTCCAAAGAGGACAAAATTTTATTGTGTGAAACTGGCGTGACCTTTTTGTGCCGCTCATAACTACTGATACATAGAGAGATAACAGAAGATGCTGAGTGAATGATTTCCCAGATGTTTAGGTGGAAAGAAAACAAGTTGATGTCAAATTTGATTGCAAAATGGGGCTAAAGTTAGCAGAGCTTGCACCACCTGCCTTTGGTCATCCATGCAGGTAAGTGTCCACCTGCCTGTGCTGGTTACTTATCGTGTCAAAACCAACATGAGAAAGATCGTTTGTGAAACTCTTTATCCACACTGAGTTCAGAGTGATCAGTCTATGCAGGCTCATATATCAGAAGTTTGGCTCGATAGTGCCCCATGACAGAAAAATAAAACCTTATCAGCCTTGCTGTGTTTGTACAGTAAAGCAGGAGAATCATATCTGTGCACCAGAGGCGGAAAAAGAAGGGGTATTACCCATGATTGCAATAGAGCAGCTCAAGAGATGAACACTGTCAGCTGGCTGTTTCATGCGGCTGCAGCTTTTCTGTGGAACCTGGTTGGAAGTGGATAATGAAAAGAAAGGGATGAAAGAAGGAGGACATGAATCACAAGCCGCCCGGTGTGGCCCTGCTCTGAAATAAAGCCTTTTAGATACTTGGACATAGATTTTCTTTGAACTGAGCTCACAGACGTCTCATTATTTGTTGCATATGCACTTTCAAAAGACAAGCTGTCTGGGTTTGCTTACAGGAAAGTTGAGAGAAAAAGCAACTAACTGATGAGTCACCGTTTGCAAGATTATGGAGGTTCTCCAAAACTTTGTGTCTTCCTGTTGTACGGAAGTGAAAAGATAGGTATGTGTTCGGTGTTTGGGGAGTACTCTTTCTTACAAGCTGTGACTTTTGAGATCTTGTGAATTTGAATCAAAGACTGTATATAGAAAAGACGCCGTCTACCTCCTTGCTGGGTGAAGCCACCCTGAGAACAGCAACCTCTGTTGACGGGCTGCATTATAGGTCTTGAATCCCGCCTCCTCCAGCAATCCCTATGGAGCTGTGGACAAACTTTAGAAATTAATTACAAAGAATATAGATTTTTCTCCCCCCTGCCTGTGCTGTTGACATGTAGTAACAGTCATAAGCGAACTAGGCGCCTGCTTAGGGCCCAGCGGCCAGTAGGGGGCCCTCAAGAGCAATAAAAAAAAAAATTAAAAATATTTTTTATTTTTTGCATGTATGAGTGATGCTTTCTGTATGATCAGATATATATTATTATAAAAACAAAATAAAGTAAAAACATTTTAATGCTGCTGCTGCTGAGGTAGGCCTATGATTTTTACTGCAGATATGTCAAAGCTCTGCTACTGTTATGTGCCTTTTGCTGTGCAATGTGCACTGAGTATCTAAAGCGCAGGTAGTTTGGGGGCAAAAGAATGTTGCAAAAAAGGACATATCCTTGAGGAGCAGAGAAAAGAAAGAGGAAGAAGAGAAAAAACACCAAGATTAAGGTATATTTGCATGTCATGGAATGTTAAAGAGATTTGTGAAGGTGTGTGACTAATCAACAATCAATATTATTTGCAGAAATCCAGGGCCCCAAAATCAAATTTTGCTTAGGGCCCCATTGAGGCTAGGGCCGACTCTGCGTACAATGCTACTGCGCAATGTTGGTTTCAGGAAGTGGAGAAAAAACTTGAGAATACAGAGAGCTTTTTGGCTTCAAATCCCTATACTGGCGGAAGGCGGAACCAAGTTGTCTGTCGTATATACAGTCTACGGTTTGAATCAAGCACATACCTGGAGCTCCTGTGAGTAGTTTAAAGCTGATTCGCCTAGAAAGTGACCACCAATAGAGAGGTATCAAACCAGGCGGCAAATAGACACTCTAAACAGGCAGCATTTAGCTGTTACTCTCGACGCATACACACATAAGCTTTGCAAACACCAAGTGTAAATTAGCAAAAAAACAATTCAAACACACAGCTTCGATTTAAGCCTGCACCATACTGCATAAACGGCAATTATCATACTCTGCAGTTGCCGCAGAGTGATGCTATTCAAACATCATGTGTATAGCTAAGCTAGTGAAACCTGCAGCAGTGTTTTCAGCTCTTAAAACCCTCTGCTCATTGCCAGAAAGTTGTTTAGTGAAAGCAACCGCAAGCCTCGGGTGAAATTTATATTCTTCTCCCTGCAGTTGTCAGGAAATCAACACTCTCTCGCAGTGTTTGGCTAATAGAATTTACAGGAGGGATATCCTCTCGCTGTTGACGAATGTTTTCAGGTCTGCGACTTCCTGGCGCCCAGGTACAAATAGGAAAGCTCGGAGTCATATCCCCGTACGATGATAATCTACAGTTCTTTCAAGCATATTGAGAACTGAAATGCCCTGCAGGGAGGTACTTCAGTCATTTCCATTACCCTGTGGGGAAGGCATTACTTGGTGATATGTGCTCCATTGAGGTTTCAGCAGCAGCGCAAGAGACTGGTCATATTGCCTGAGTCTTAAAAGACGTTCAAAGAGGATGTGCAGTTCCAGGAGTGGCAGCCACAGAGATGGATGTTTTTGAGAGTGGAGGATGCATTAATGAAAGCATTAATTTAAGATCTTCAGTCGGCTTCTGAGGGTGACCGAGAGTGAACCGACAGTGCACTCCACGAATCACGAATGTATCAAGAGCTGTTCGGGGTTGTTTTTCCCAAAAGCAGCTGGCTTTGGGTGGCTGAGTCAGGAGTGTTTGTATTTTTCAAAGTAGTCCCTTTCCTTTGCTCACTCCGTGCACCCTGCAGCTCCTCTTCTCACTCAGCGTGTGCTCTCAGTGCCTACCGAAACTTTGAAGACTGGCACACAGGACCGCCTCAGACGATCCATGTGCCTCCTCAGCATCGTCTGCCTCTCGAATCCTCAGACGGTGAAGTAGAAAGCACAGATGTGAGTGACAGGTCTAATATAAGATACTGAACACCAGGAGAAAATCTGAGACCACACAGTCTTAAAAAAATGTTTGTAGTTCTGTAGACATCTGAAAAATAGATAATTGACGATTGATGTGGACTCTCATCCACCTCATTGTGCATTTTACGCAGGATAGATGTTGAAGTTTTAATTTTACAAAGATTTCAGCCTGACACCAAATGAGTCAGCCGTTCATTGTTTGAGAACACCGTACTGATGTGCAGCAGAAGTGCCTCTACCTGAGCTACTTGAATACCTTCTGGAAATGAGTATTACAGACGTATTTACAGCTGCGGTTTCCATTTTGTCTAAGTGGCACAGACATATTTCCTTTTCCGGAGGGACAGGCCTTTTCCTGAAAATAGTAATTATGTTGTTCTGTACAATAATGGCTTGTTTCTCCATGAGCACAGACTCGTGTAATTTGTTCAGATTGACTGGTATATACAGGTCTTGCTCCGTTACATGCAGTTCATTTCGCACAAATTGGTTCTCAGGGGGATGGTATGTACAGTATAGACAGGCCGGCTGTTTAGGTGTTGGAGAAATGCTGCATCTGCCTGAAGTGCTGTTGCTGGTCTGGATGTTGACATGCAATCAATGCTCAGATAACTAATCCTGGCCTGAGCCCCCTTTTACCTGTCATCTGGTAAAGGCCAGGCTGACAGGGTTAAAGGCGATGTCGTGCTTCACACATCCTGAAGAGATAGAGCGGTGCTGGTAAGTCAGAGGTTGAAGAGAGGGAGTTCACTCAGACCAGATCCTGTTTTACTGTCTAATATAAGTACAGTGTAGTGTCTATTTGTGATAGAGCTGCAAGAAGAGGAATTTGCATTTGCAAAGTCCTCAGAAAGCAGAGGCAAGGTTTTTCTTTTCACAGAGCCGACTAAGAATAATTTCCTCAAGTATTTTTAATGTTATTACATTTTCGCACCATACCAGCCCTAAATGGATGTCATACCTCCGATAACGAGTCCTTGTTCTCCAGAGAAGTCTTAGTGAATCATATTGAAGCCCTTATTTTTAAATTGATTTTAATAATTTATTTTAAGTCATATTTTAGCTTCTACATCAGAATATAAAAGCATTACAAAGTAAAATTGTCTGTTTGTCTTGAAATACTCCCAAGTGTTACATGGTTGAGAAGAGATGACAACATTCATATCATGCAAAAACCTCTGGGGAGGAGTATCTCAGCAACACTGTTGCAGGACCAGCTCAGGGATCGAGCTGGGGTTTGGTGTTAATAAGGAGTCTCTGTTTCATACCGCATTGCAATCCGACTGTTTTGACATTGTAGGGAAGCAGCAGCAAATGCACACACGTGGATGTTGTCAGTTGTATGCATACAGGTTTACAGTAAATGCATGGTTATCTTGTGTGATTGGTGTAGGATTGGCTTGTGGCTGAACTGCGTCTCTGTTATCATGTTAGAAATGATGCAATAGACCCTGAAAATGAAGCTTTATAGATTTAGACCCCAGGCCAACAGGAAGACTCGGTTCATCACAGCTGGTGCAGGAAAGCAGTTACTTCAGGCTTGTAAAAGTCACTTTCTCAAACAGGGAAAAAACTGCTGTGAGTTTAATGAACCATTTAATGGCATTAATGTATTACCCTGACCCCCCTCTAGTTGAATGTAATAGTCTCGATTTACAATCTGTGATGATGCTGGTTATATAATGGCAAATGTTGGAATGATTCAGCACGATGGTGACAGGACCAATGACCCGGTTTTCTAACTGCTTAAAAATGCAGAATAACCTTTATTACCTTGTCATATTAAGACTAACAAATGTTGAGTGTTGAGTAAAGGTAAAGTAAAGGAAAGCATCATCCAACACAGGATGGATAATTGATGATTTCAGTTGATGTCAAGGCCAAACTTAGACTTTATAATAGCCTTTAGACTTTAATGCTGAACTTAAATTGGATATTTAAACCAGCTCCTTGTCAAATCCCAAGGTTGACGATGAAGGATAGGACTTCATTTTTAAATTCCAAAAACTTGGAGTGAAGCAGCAGGTTTTACTGCCTGTTTTTATGACGGGGAAACACAGATTGGCTTGACTTTTACGTCTCTCTTTATTAATCTACTCCTCAGTGTGGTTAAAGGTACAGCACAGCACACTAATACCCCCTTAAGCCACTTTTCAACAGGAAGGTGAATCAGGCTTAACATTTTCATCAGGCGATGGGAGTAAAGCGCTGCTGTTTATGAAGCTGTCGAATCTCTCATTGCACTTGGAGAATCCTTTAAGCTGTGGTATATATTTTTGCACCACTGTTTCATTATTTTATAGAGTTAATTAATACTTGCCTTGGCAGAGAAGGCTTTATATATTGTCAGTTTCATCCAGCTGTGTCACTGCCGCTTTCTGCTCTCTGATTTTTATGAACTCGATTGCTGCTCTTGTTGTTTGCAGTGGCTTCATATCTTGGTATTGGAGAGTGAATATTGTCAACAATTGTAAAGTGCTCTAAATCCCATTTCATCCTTGCTTTAGTATCAGAAGGTCATAAAACACGCTGTCTGGCCTCATTGCTGAGGCACTTGTGTGCTCTGACACTGCTCAACAGGAGGACCATTTAGGTCCGTCTTCCTGCTGTGGTACTCAAAAAGCCATCTTTCCCCACCTGCAGAGTTCTAGCTTTGCTTTTTAATCTCAATGACTTGAAGTAGAAATGGAGAGGTAAATAAGTGAAAAGTTGTAATAATCTTAGTCACTCACCTGTCCTTGAGTTCTGTGATTATTCTGTTTTCCATTCCTCCTGGATTAAATCAGACTTTCTGTCTTTTTACCTGCAGGAACGTCAAGAAAGTACAGCGCCACACACTGGTGTCTGCAGAATATCGCACAGGAATCAGTGGACAGCTCGGATGAGGAGTTCTTTGATGCCAGAGGTTAGTATTTTATTTTATTCCTCTTCTTTTGTTTGGTCAACGCCCAGAAATGATCTGAACTTCGGTACGATGATATATCTATGACAACAACAACAACAACAACGAAAAATTAGTGTGTCTGGGAGCATTGCAGGTGCTACCTCAAAGGATGAGTATCATAGTAAAGAGAAGTGAACCACATTGCCTATCAGCCGGGGTCCCTCAAGGCTCAGTGCTTGGTCCCCTGTTTTTGTCGTTGCACACAATCTTAGTGCAATAATCCAATCTCATGGATTCTCATGTCACTGTTTTGACACAATTGTCTCAGCCTGAATCTCATCCCGCCTCAGTGATGTTTCTAAACCACCTTCAGCTCAAGTTTCCTGTCATCCCAGCCAGTCTCTCTCTCTACAACCACATATCTTGGATCAGCTTGGATGAAATAAATTTCTCCCCCGCAAAGTTTGCTTGGAATCTGGGCGTCATGATTGATGAACCGCTAACCTTGAAGGTCCATGTCGCCTCGGTTGCTCGGTCCTGATCAGACTCTACCTGACAGAGCATATAACACAGCTCCTGGCTGATGATCGTTTGGCTTTTTTTATCTTGAAACCAATTACACAGGAGCACTAGTTTGCACCCTGCCGTTTTATTGCACGCCTAATGCTCAAACGTTTGACACATATTAGTCTCCTCTCTGTCTTCTTCCTGCTCTGTCCACCGACCTTATCCTTTAAATGATTCCACAGAAGACCCAAAATGAACTTTAGCTGATGTGCATCTGTCAAACTGTAGTTTGGATGATTTACTTTGGGTGAATTGAAATTGATGTAACATCTGACTCCAGAGCGAAGCAGGGAGACCGGGTTTTCAAGTGGTCAGGACTTAAAACTCTGTATGTTCGAACCTGATCTGGTTTCATGGAGCTGAAGATTCTTGTAAATTTATTCATGGCTGACCAGAAATAGACGCTCTTGTTCAAGCCTCTCTTTGGTCCCAGGAGGAGTTCATCAGCAGATAAGTGGAATACTTATCCCACCAATTATCCACTTTAAGTACTTTTCCCATGAGGGATTGAAGGTAGAGATACTTATCAATTATGTGTAATTATGATAACGTGGTCTTTTTTCACTTTGATTCAGTCAACAGCCGGCGGTGTGCTGAAGGATTTTGGTGATTTGAGTGAGGATGAGGGGTCACTTTCTCTCAAGTCCATCCATTTCCACACCAGTCACATCTTTCCTTTAATTTCTGTCTCTTTTCACTCTGATGTTTTCAGTTTGCTATATCAGGCTGTACTCCTGCAAGAAAGCATCAAATATTTATCCTTATCACAGAGCAGAGCTTTGCTGAGAACGCTTTTTATGAGACCGATGTCAAGGCGGCTATCAATGCCGTGGAATCACAAGGGAACAAGATATCACGTTCATGTGTTGTGCTGCACTAGATGTTCCCCCCACATCGTTTCATGTGCAGCACGAAATTCAACACTCTGTCATGAAATTTCTGTACTGTGTGTGAAGGGACAGGGAACCAAAGGCATCTTTTATCTTTGATTTATTACACAGAGACTGCAAACGCAAACAGAGGCACAGATATGATCCGATGCTTATTGTGTTTTGGGTTGTTTTTCCTTCCATTTGATTTAGAATATGAAAATAACTGTCTGATATTCGGAGAATTATGATTGTTTTTCTTGCTGTGGAAACGATAAGGAGATGGATGCAAATATTGAAGTTACACTAAGATTAAAACAGGACCGAACTGGCCTCCTTGGCTTGTTTGAGGTAACAGAAATATGGTCAATGGACTGTACTTTTACAGTCTAGACTTTTCTATTCTAGTCTTATCAGTCGGTATGTGCGCAATATGTAATCATAAAGGAAATGTGAGCAGGGGAAGACATGCAGCAAAGGGTCAAGTGGGACTGGAACTTGCAACCGCTATGATGAGAGGACTACAGCCTCTTAACCCTCGAGGCAATCAGCACCAGTTGAACAGGCAGAGTTTAAAGTACCGTCAACATGCCGTGGAAAAATAATTGCTTTCCAACATCCTCACTCTGGACCTTAGAGCTTTTTCACGCTACCTGCCACCTTCACTCAATCACACCACATCCATACACTGCTGACAGGGGATAGCGTGCAGAGTGAGTGACCTCTGTGCAGAGTTGTGGCCAATCTTATTTACGAGCATTTGCACACCTCTGGCTATGCCCACTTGGAGCAATTTAGGATTCGGTGTCTTGCCCATGGACACTTCAGCATGTGTGAACTGAGGGAGCTGGGGTGAAACAGGAACCCTCCAAATAAGAGATGGGTGACTCAACCTGAGCTTGACGGCAAACACCTTTAAAACACGATAGACTGACAGATGTTGTTCATTGAGGTTGTTTGGTGTGTAAGATACGGTTTGGTCTTTCAGTGGTTTTTTAAAGACCCACTCTGATGATTTTTCTTGTTTTTTACATGTTCATTTGGCATTTTTCTGATGCTTGAGGCCATATCAGGAGAAAAATAAGTGCAAAATTGCATTTTTGAGTATTTTTGCATTCAGATCAGTCAATCTCTGGCAGACCCAAACGGCAGGATCAGATACAGTGAGATTTCCTATGTCACAAATCCAAGCTCCGCCCCCAGAGCCCCGCTATGCAGGCCAGACAGAGAAATAGAGAGGACGATTGTGGAACAAGCGTGTGAGTTAGCGGATTGAAATGCTTGTAAAAAAGCTAATTATGATATTAACTTTCATCATGTCCCTAAAGACAATGGTGTCCGAGAACTCAATAGCTCCTGCGTTACCTGCTTCTTCTACTACACCAGCATTGCTAGTAGAGCTGCAGCTTTTGAATATTTTAGTAATCAAGTATTCTACTGAATATTCCATCAATTACTCGAGTAATTAGACCCAAACAGCAGATTCGCATAAAGTTAGATTTTCTATAGCCCCGCAATGAAGGCCAGACTTGGAGAAATAGAGAAAATCGCAGAACAAGTGCAAAAAGTCGCTAAAGTCGCTAGGTTGGCAACACTGCAAGAAAAGTCCCTTTCATTATTTATTTTTTCCGTTTCTCGAAACCTAAACAGCGCTTACTCCTCCTTCTACCATGGTGACGTAAGCGTATTGGGTCACCTTCAAAAGAATCTGTGTGAAACAGTGACGATTTGAGCTTATAAACGATTCCTCGAGGCAGAGAAAATTCCTTGATCAATATTTGTAATCGAGGTATTTGAGGAATCGTTTCAGCCCTAATTGCTAGGCTGCAAGCTAACACGAAGAGGCGTGCAGACCAGCGCTGTCTCCGCCCACAACTTGGTGGCGAATCGCTAATGAGCTACTGGAGCTCTGCAGAAGAAAAGCTCTTAAAAATGACACAGGTAACATGATTTTGGCTAAAAATTTCATAATCACAATTTAAAAAACACTGATGACACTTTAGGTAGTAAAAAAAAAAGATCGGAGTGGGACTTTAAAAGCACTGACTTTAAAATTAACAGCCAAGCCTTATCAAGAAGTAACATTTAAAGACATAATTCAACAACTGGAGCTTAATCTTGTAAAACTTTATCATAAACGAGGTAGAGAAAATGGGATTTCTCTGTAGCTGAGTAGGGGGAGAGTGGATCTCAGTCCTGCAAAAAGGCAGCAGAGAAGTTATTCCAAATATAAACACATGCTCAGTATGGAGGAAGCCTCTCAGCCCCTTAAAAGGGAAAGAAGAACGAGGTCATAAAGGGGTTGTTGTTTAAATTACAGCCCTCCACAGTCGCCCGCTAACTGCAAAGCTGTGCCTCTCAATCAGAGCTGCAAATAACCATCCTGCTAGTTCTCATTTCTACCCGCCACTCTGGATGTAAGTTTCCTTTCCCCAAAAAGTAATTTCAGCCCTTAACAGGAAATCAGAGAAAGAGAGAGAGAGAGAGAGAGCATGAGAATTAGATTGAAGAGTGACGGAGTGGGGGTCTGTTGTATTAAAGGCCCACAGCTCAAACATTAACAGCAGGCCTGGGGGAGTTTTGTTTATATGGTTATGATGAATGTCATCATCCACGCTGAGGAAACCCAGCCGAGCCAGAAAACCATGAACATGTGTCAACACAAACAGAAATGTGTTCATAGTTCTGCTAAAAACATGAACTCTGAATTTTACTGCCTCTGTTTGTGTGTTTGATTCACTTTTTTCAAAATCCACTATTCTCCTTTATCTCCACTTTCTTTTCTCGCACGCAGCCCCTTGAAAGCACCTTGGCGCATCTCAAGGTGCTCATAATCCACTCTGCACATTTTATTTGAATTTGAATGTTGAGGAAAAGTAGGTATTGTGCCAGACTTCAATGTGCTTTAACATTGAAAGTACAGAGTGTAACAAAACAACTTTGTGTAACAAGGTGAAGGCTTCATTCAGAAGAGTAGATCACAAGTACCGTCCATTTTCTGGTGTTTTCCTTTTTTCAATTCATACTTCAAATAAAACAGTAGCTATTCTTAGGGGCTTAGTTTGGTTATTTTCAGTTTAAAAACCACAAGTGCCCAGTGAAGTGCAGAGTGAGTCAGTGGGTCTTCAAGCTGGTGTAGACTTCAGATGAAACAGTCATACATGATAATAACTCTGCTGGACCAGTGATGTAACATCTTTGCACACTCCAGTGTAGAGCTGGGCAATAAACGATAACGGTTCTATTGATATAAAACATTGTCAATATGCTTATCTATAGTCTGCATTCTGCCATGTTTTGGTAGACTATACGAATAGCCAATGAAAAGGGGAGTTTCTTCGGGTTCGCTTCGTGCTAAACCAGTCATGGGCTGAATTATAACCAAGTAACAAACAACTGTGTAGTAGCAGGCTGCAGCTACACGCAACCATAGCATGGTGAGAGAAAAAGGAAATGAGTGCTACCCCTGGCAGAAATACAGATGAAGGCTCAACAGACGAAAATATTGTCGACAACACTGGCACGAAAACGCCGGTGGTGTGGAGGGATTTAGTTTTTTTGAGGTCGGACATGAAGCAGAGTAATGTGCACTGCAAATTATGTTGAGTACATGTTCATGTAATGTCAGGGAATAACTCAACTCTTTTTCACCACCTGAAGCAGCGCCACGCGGCAGAGCACGCGCAATGCAAAAGGTTACAAACCCAGAGCGGAGCCCATGGCGCCTGTGCAGCCGAAACAGCAACAGTAGATTATTGTATTGCAAAAGACGTGCTACCAATAAACACTGTTAAATTTAATTTTTCATATCGTGATATATATCGATATCGACTGATATGTAAAAAATAGATCATGATAAACTTTTTCCCATATCGCCCAGCCCTACTCCAGTGGTACATAACTGAGAGTTCCTCTTTAAACTCCTGTCTCATTGCTGCAGCTAAATTGTGATTCAACAGGACAGTGACTCCAAAACATTCAGCAGAAAGTACCAAGTAATCAAATAACAGTCCAGCTCCCAAACCAGCTGACATTTTGCTTCACTTCTTGAAACCAAAAAGCCCAAAAATACCAAGTAAAACTGGGGTGGAGGATTGTGCAAATCTGGTTTGGTGTCTTTAGGAAAAATGCCAAGTGTCAGCTGCCGGGTCGCTGACGTCAAACCTTTAAGACTTCAGTCATTGATCGTAAAAGGATTTACAACTCATTATCCAATACCTCAAGTTTATTTGAGGGCGTGTTAATTTACTTTTCTGTTTCTGTTTCTGGCCCTCTCACCCCATTAGAGGAGCTGTGTGACTGTAGCTACAAAAGACGTCTATTTGGATTTGGAGAGTGAAGCTCTGCTCTGAATGTAAAATGCTGACCGAGCAGGAACACGAGAGCTTGACATTGAAATGGACTGAATGGACTTGTGCAAAACAGTTTTTTTCAAAGGACAGTGCTATGAAAATATAAAAGACATTTTGGACACAAGAAGAAGAAGAAGAAGAAGACATAGTAAGTGTACTAGGATATGAGGATGAGCATGCAGTGATCAAGGCCGTGCTGATATGCAGTAGAGCAGCACTCCCTCTTTCATGGTATTGCTTCGAGGCAAACAGACGAAGCTCTCTCTTATCATAAGAAAAAAGAAAATCTCAATATTACACATGAATGCTCCATGATAAATTTGGTTTTTCAGTTCTTTTTAATCTTGCTGCTGAGAGGAGAACTTATCAGGATCATAAAATATACACAGATCATAAAGGTGTAAATTCTTCTCCCTGACAGTGAAACTCGTGTGCATTGAATCTGACACTGGTGTTCAGTTTCTGTCAGTAGATGTCGTCGTGTTTGTGCGACACACGACGTGGAGGCAGCACAGCTGTTTCCTGGATAGTTAGATGCTGCCAGCACTCTTGATCAACTCCTCTGACATCCACACAGCTGCTCCTGGCAAAGCCCCCCCTTAGAGATCTGCTCACACACACATACACGCACACACACACTTTTAAACATGCACTTGTGATTTTGTCACATCGTCACAGCTCTCTTCAATCTCGCCTGCAGTGATGAGGAAAACAGAAGTGTATCACAAACCTCCAGTGATGTAGCAGAGAGTTTCAGAGAGACACACAGATACACAGGAAGATTCAAGTGACCGTCCACGATCAGCATCACGTCCTCTGTCGAAGAAACATGTCTTTCCACCCACTGCTGGTAAAGCCTCTCTTACTGGAGGCTCTTGACCCTGAAGCTATCAGATTTTGCTTTTCAAATAAATGGATAAATACACAAAAGAGATAAGATATGTAAAGACCTTTTTCAAGAAAGAAATGCAAAAATGCAAACGCCTCTCTTAGGAAAGAGTTGAAATTTCTGATACATGGTTTGGGTCAGGGTTCAGGTTCTGTGCTCGCTGAAGAAGTCACATACACAAACAAACATTTCATTCCAAGCAGACCTTTTTAGCTCTTCTGTGAATTCATTTTATTCGATGCTGCTGCTTTATCTAAGAACGCAAATGCACAGTGTTTTGCAAATTCTCATATTCTTTGCATTTCATGACTTTTCAGTCGCATATTGGGAGTATGATATGTGCAGTACAATATGACTCACCACAACACGATGCTATACGATCATTACAATGATAGGATACAATATGATTCAATGCGTTATGATATGATACCATGTGATACAATTCAATTGCCTGATAGCATGTAGGATCGTATTTTTCCACTCAAAAGACATGCACGAAATGTCACTAAGGCCCGTAAAGTCCACCTGTGGCAGGTGATTGCAGCTCTCGGCTGACTGAAGTGCATCCTCCACCTTCACCCTCGTGTCAGCACAAAGGGCCGCTGCAGCTCTTTTTCTTTTCCTTCGTTTTGGTTTCTAAGGGACTGGTGCATCTCGTTTGAGTGTTTCAGCTCTTTCACAGCTTTTCCAAGGCTGCTTTCATTTTTTTTTCCCATCTTGAAAATCAAATGAGGTCTGGTGTTTTTTTCATTCACCTCCAGTCATAACAAAAATTCAGCTATTGTCTCCACATCCACCTCCCAGCATCACCCTGCCTTTACTCACCGTCTCACACATGTAGACCTAACCGTGTTTTTTTGCGCCAGTGTGAGAGGTCCCAGTTTTAATCAGGACTGAGTGTGCCTTCAAGCGAATGCCAACTCAATCGTCACCTTGTTTATTGATGTGAGCTGCCGACAAAATTTGCCATGTGCTAATCCAGATTTGTTATTTGACGACATGGATTTGAATAATGAGAGAGGAAGTGACACTCAGCCTGAAAGCTGATTCATGGTGTTGGCTGCTGCAGCAGTTAGTGCCATGAGATATTGCCGCTGGAGGTAAACCATGTTTGTATGCAAGTAGGACATCTATTTATTACAAGGCTGCGAGTTTATTATGGCGTGGCATTGACTGTGCAGTGTTCGAGGATTCAAACTGTGCTGTCTGTGGTTTGTTAGATTTGATAAAGTCTCTTTCAGACTTGTTCCTTCGTGTTTGAAAAGCAGCCCAGACATTTCAAACAGAAGTAGTCTAGACAGATTATTAGGTTTGTCATTTATTGGTTTTATGACTATATACACACAAAATAGTGTTTTTTTCAGTGTGTGAAGTGTATTTCTAAATCTGTGCTGTCCAAAAAAGGTTAAATGCAGACAGCTCCTAAAATTGCCAAGTTATACATATTTCATCAATTTTATTACACACCAAAAAAATGTACTTTCAACAACTTGGTTTTAAATTTAATTGAGAAAATCAAAACACCTTGACAGTTCTTCATTTAATTTCACGCTGCAGTTGGCAATGGGAAACAGACAGCATTAATTTGTCCAAAAGTTCAAAAAAAGCAAAAAAACAGTCTCTTTTTTCAGTATATTTACCGTTGATAAAATCACTTTGTTATCTTTTGCTGTGATCAAAGGTTTGGACGGAGCTAGACTATTACCTTTTTTCTAGAGTTAATGTACAGCTAAGCAAACTGACTTCTGGCTTTGGTGTAATACAAACCAACTAGGACCTACAGGCTAGGGCTGGGCGATAAACCGAAAATTTATCAATAACGAAATTTACGACAATAACCAACAACATTTTGCCCATATCGGTATGTTCTGTGTCAAAAAATAAATAAATCAATAAAAGTTGGTTTTGGATGTGTTTAGGTAGGCTATGGTCTCATGTCCCTTTAAGACGCTGACCTACATCGTAGATGTGACTCCACCCTATCCAGTCCGTAACAAAGAGGGAAAGACAGGAGAGGAGATGGAGGACGGTTCAAAAGTTGTAGCGGTGGCTGAAGTAGACAAAGTTAATGTGGGAGGGGGTGAGCAACTTTTGAAGTAGTTATCGTCCATTTATCGTTATCGAGGTGAACTGCTCAATATATCGTGATATTGATTTGAGGCCATATCGCCCAGCCCTACTACAGGCTCCGACCTTGTAAACTAATTTTAGCTTATTTCACAGCTACCAGCTGCTCCGCTCTCCCTCAAAACTTGACAAATTTCAGGAACCGCTCTCCCCATCAGTCAGGAACACGTAAACACGGGAAAATAGAGTTCAGGTTGATACTGATGCTCCCCTTTAAGGCAATTTCAACAAAAACTTTCTTTAAGTTATCTAAACTTGGTTAACATGTAATCAGACGGCCAAAACAGCGAAAAAATATCAGTGGACGGGAATCCAAGTGGTTTCAGGAGTGGAGTTTTCACGGAAATGCTAAATCAGCCTAACTTTTGGTTGACCCTTTAAGAGGCAGAGAAGCAAAGTAGAGGCAGCTCTTTAGCGCTCTGACTCACAGCTGTCATGTGCTATTTATTGTACGAATGATAAATTTGGGGTTTTAATATTTTCAGAATGAGTGAATCTAAAATATTGCCCCCCACAGTGGAGTTTAAATGAAGAAAGAAATGGGCTGTAAAGTCAGGCCTTTAATAATGGGTGTTAATGGGATTCCTCAGGCTTCGACTATTATCACAAAATGTGGCACTATTACCTTAAATTGGCGGAAAAAACTGTTTTTAAAAATGACCAGAGTTGTATAATGAGGGATTTTATCCAAAAAAGAGAGGACGGAGATAGATTTAGGGATTAATCATCTAGTTTCCTTTTTTAATTCATCTTTAATGCGAGTATCATCCGTAAATGTCATCACACACACACGCACACATAAATCCTGAGGTGTATAGAAGCACCATCTACAAGCTTATATCTGTGTCTCCTGAGACCGCCCCTCCTCCTTATCCCTGTGTAGCTGACAATACTTCTTTTTCTACAACTGTCATCGATCTGAAGGCCTCCTAACTAAACACTGGCCCTAACATTCATAGACGTGGTAAACAGGCTCTCACACACGTCTTATTCCCTCTTGATTTTGTTTGTCTGAGCTGGTGAAAGAATATCAGAGTGTTCATCGGTGTCAGTAAAGTAATCCACTCCATCCCCTCGCCCGTCTTCGCTCACTTTAATCTTACATCTATCTCTGTGTGAGCCCGAATGACAGATATATTCTATCTTTTCTCAAATATTGTTTTGTTCTTTCTCTCGAACAAACAGATTCCTAAGTCAGTGGGTTTAGGGTCCATGCTGGCTGGGATCATATATCTGATTCTTAGGAGACGTTGTTATTATCCAGCAGACGTTATTCTGCTTCATCTGGTCGGGAGGTCAAAAATCCTTGACCTCCTGGGCTGAAGTAGAATTGCTTTAGGTGACATTTTATAGGGAAATTGAGCTTGGAAAATGAATGAATAACAAATGCATCCTACTCACAGTCTGACAAGCACTTCACATCTGCTGCAGTATATCAAACCCAGGCACCACAGACCAAAACCAACATTTTTTACTCCAAAGTAGTCCCTACGGGTGCTGATTTCACTGATTACCTCTTTTTCTCTCTGGTTTGAGGTGTGTTGATCAGGGAAAAGTGCGGCTGCTGCGGTGTCTGATTTTAATGAAACTGTTGCTACTCGACACCTGTTTCATCAAGTTTGCTTCACAGAGTTTTAATGACACCGAGACTCACAAGCAGGGTTATACAGTAGAAGTGCACGAGAGATTAAAACAGTAGGAGATAAAGTTTAGGGCTGAAAAATAAAGTGTATACTGAGGAGAAACTTGGGAAATAAAAAAAGAGACTACCAACAGTGATATTAAAATAGCTGTGATATTCAAGTTTAATAAGTAAACACTGCATGAGAGGCCTAATGAGCAATAAAAAAGGTACTTTTATTAAGGGCTGTTGCTTGTATAACAATGCTGTGGGGCTGAAACCTCATATCTTGAATTTAAAAAGCTCTGGGTTTCTTTAATTAGTTTCAAACACGAGACGGGAATCAGTTACAAGCTCTTCTCATCGGCTGAGGTTTCGTAATGTGACCAAAAACATACATTTTTGGGAGAAATAAATAATGAAACAGGTACATATGTGATTCCTGCCTTAGAGCAACAATAAGCGCATTATTGCCACGATAGAAAATATCACAATGTAAAGACTGTCATGGTATGTCACAATGAAGACACAACAACATGCTGGTGCTGCAGAGAGAGATCACTGTGTTTAATATTATGTACTGAGAACACAAGATAGCTGATGTCAGTTTTAACACCAAACCCCCTTTTTAAAAATCAAATAATTAAATTAAATGTCTAAGAAAAAGAAACAGTTGCATAGGGCTGGACGATATGGTCTCAAATCAATATCACGATACATCGAACAGTTCGCCTCGATGATGATAAATGGACAGTAACTACTCCACAAGCTGCTCACCCCCTCCCACATTAACTTTGTCCACTTCATCCGCCACAACTTTTGAACCATCCTCCATCTCCTCACCTGTCTTTCCCGCTTTGTTATGGACTGGATGGGGTGGAGTCATGTCTCCAATGTAAGACAGCGTCTTAAAGGGACATGAGACCATAGCCTACCTACACACATCTAAAACCAACTTTTATTTCTTTTTTTGACACAGAATATATTGACATGGGCAAATTACGTCAGTTATTGTTGTAAATTTCACTATCTGTTACTTTTCAGTTTATCGCCCAGCCCTACAGTTGCACATGAATCAGCTGAAAAAGAAGTGACTGTAGTTACAGAAAGCTCATTTTTTGACTCATTTTCCTGCTGGTATTATGAAGACAGCAGATTTTATTACATGTATTATATGATGATTTGGAACGACATCTTGCACCTTTAAGTCCAGCAGTTCTTGGTTCAGTAGCGCTCATACACACCTGTGATCACTAAAGCCTCTCTCATTTTGTCCCTTGGCTTTTCAGGCAAGGGACAAAGTTTTTTTCAGTTTTTATTTTTTAATGCCACGGCAACAGCATTGAACACACAGCACAAGGTTTGGGACTCAAGAAATTCTCCAAGATTTTTGATTCTGAGCGCTCAGACTCTGATTGTTAGAGACTAATCTGTCAGTGCGTTGTGTCCTGTGTTGTCGCTCCAAACACTGCAAGAACAAATCTGTCGAATCTCTCGTTACTCCTCATCATATGTTTGGTTTCTCATATTTCAAACATCTGTTCGGAGTTTAGAAATCTTTTGTGTGGGGTCTGAGTACTTGTATCAAGATTTCAAGGCAATCCAGAAACTCTTGAGGTGGTTGAACATCCTTGGAGTCATGCATTACATAAGAAAATATTTACATATTTCCCCCTTTTGTTTTCAAGCTTTAGTTTGAATTCTGTTATAGATTACATCGTGACTACACATCTTTCATCCTTTTTTTTTCTTCTCGCCTTCATAAATCCAATTATCTTCCTGTGAGCTGCACTCGAGGTGTTTCAATGCCATTCATCTTTTGTAGCCTACTTAACTGGCAGGCTCATTCTTTTTATGCCTTTTTACAGGATAATCCCCTGAGCAGACTCATTTTCACAGTGCGTCATCAGAAATTTAAAGGGCCTACAATGAAAACCAGAGGTAACATGAAATGAACAGTGATGAGATCAGGAAATTGCAGGAAGAAAGACAAATTATTAAAGTTTTAGAGGCCAAGGGTGACGGTTTCTTCATCTTCTAACAATCACTGCATCCATTCGTCTCTCTTCCAGTCTGACACTTGCTCACTGTGAGCCGACAGGTTGAAGGATGTTTCTAAATCCCTGTTCGCTCCCTCGGGGCTCTTGGCTGCAGGCACATCTCACACTTCTATTTTCCTGTTTTTCAAATCAGATTTATGCTTTCCGCTTGAAAGAATAAATGGGATATAACAGGTTTATTCCTTTGATTAAGTCTGCATTTTGTTTATTTGTGCTGCAGCTGATAACTTTTTTTTGTGTAGGTGGTGTTTTATTCAACACAGACACATTTCATCCTCAGAGGAGTTTCTGTTTCCCATCCAGGAGATGATTCAGTAACCTGCGTCTTTCAGGGTTTGGTGTAAATCCTACTTTGTATTCTCCCCCTTGTCCAAACACGGCTTTCTTACTCTCTGTGATGCTGCCTTCACATCCAGCTTTCTTTCTCTCTCTCCCTCCCTCTGTATGAGTCATTTCTGGATTTTGTGTTTTTCTCTCTTCTCTGCTGATCTAAAAAGTGTGTGTCCTTGCATTGTAAGATTCGGCGCTGTATTGTCAGACTGAAGAGGAAGGAGAAGGCACTTAAAGAGGGGCGAAGATAGCGAAAGACAAAGTGTGACCGGGCGGCCGGCTGCTATGTGATCTGAGCGGACAGGCCATATAGAGCCGCGTCAGAGCCTTTCAGAGCCGCGCGGCAGGATGTGAGCAGAGACGCGTGTCAGGTGGAGAGTTTTCATCCTCCTGTGTGACTCATCCTGTCTCAGACTGTCTTGGATGTCAGTCGGAGAGATGTTGACAACCGTTTTAGTCACGCTGAACCACCTAGTCCAACTGGCCTCTTTTTTCTTGTTAGCTGCAGATATCCTTCGCCATGACAGAGCTTGTCACAATCTGTGCCAATGTGCAAGTAGAGGTTTATAGACCTCCTGTACAGTGAATAAGCGCACCCTTCCTCTCTGCTCTAACAGCAGAGTGTAGGAGAGGCTCCTCCCCCTCAAACAGGGAGCATGAGGAAGTTGTGGCTCCTGCTAAGAAAGCAGGTAGATCTTCAACAGGTTTTGCAACAGCAGTACAAACTATCAGGCAGAGAGGAGAGCAGGGAGAGGAGCAGGAGGAGGCAGATGCGTGTCTGAAAAGCCAAGGGACAGAATAAGCATGCCAAGAGAGAAGCTGTAGTGATCAGGAATGGGCATGTGTGCTAATGAGTTAACGTCTGCAGGGCTAAAAAGTTGATGACATGGTTCAGGATCATAATAAAATACAAGCCCAAGTCTTGGCATCATGACAGCAGGTTCCAGACGTCCCCGATTTCTGGGGACAGTCCCTGTTTTGGACGACCTGTCCCCGGCTAAAGCTGATTTAATTGTTTCATGAATGAGAAAAAAAAGTTGCGTGTAAATAGAACAACAGTTATTACGGTAGCCGAGTAGGTAGGAAGCGCAAGTAAGCCTGTTGCCGCAGTCCAGAACAACAGTTTTTACGGGGGGTTATTGTGGGGGGTGTGCGCTGCTACTAAGTAGTACGGAGTTGTTTTCTGGGATCACACAGCCAATGCCTCCCCTCACCATGCTCTCCAGAAATAGAGGGCCGAAAATCACATTTTGCTTAGCACCCCCCACCCCCTGAATGTCCCTGGATTTCATTACAGAAATCTGTTCACCTTATCAAAAGAGATGTTGTATAAAAGCTTGTAAAGACTGAATTATTTGTAAGAACTGCCGCCTGTGATAAAATGCAATAGGTGAAAAAGCTTCAGAGTAAACGTACTTCAATCCGAGTGGTATTTAATTTAGTGAATGTTATTAAAGTTGATGTAATATTATAATGTAGAGCTGCTTTATTATAGCAAAAGTCATAATCTCAGTTATTTGACACTATTATTTACTGATTCTGCAACATCCGCATCAACTTTACTTGTGTCAATCAGTAACCATAAAAACTGTTGTTCAGGACTGCGGCAACCAAGTAGGTTTAGAATCAATTTAGGAAATAAGTATATAAGTGCTTAAATGTCAAATCACACATTTTTAACTCTACACTTTGTTAGGATACAGACCAATGTCTCTCATGGGTTAGCCTGCCTATTGTAAGTTTTTCAATACAGCCTCTCTCTCTCTCCTCATGCTCACTCTGTCCCTCTGCTTCACTAACACACACCTGCTCCTCTCCCAGGTCTCCTTCCTCCACCTGTAGGATGATGCTTTTAAACTGCTGTAGACTGCTCTGATTGGTTAATGAGTTGCGTGATTAAAACAGGGGTATGGAAATGCAGGTTGATGTGAGATCAGAGAGCGGGTTGTGTGCAGTTGAGACGCAAAAGTGTGTTTGGGAAAGACATTAAGGCGTATGGATGAAAAGATCCACTCTGATGGGCAGATTGGCACTTAACATCCCATTGTCTGCAATCTGAGAGTGAATGTGTGAGAGAGTAAAAGCACTTTGAGTGGATAGAAGATTGGGGAACCGTAACTTAAGTGGAGTCCATTTTCCATATATTTTGGGTGACTTTCATCGTGCCAATTTGTCTCTTGCTTCCCTCATCCTTGTGTCTTTAACTCTTTATAGAGAGGATGCTAGAAGGACAAATAAGGACAGAGACGGATGAATCAAATTGTGCAATTCTTGGTTCTATTGCATCAGGTCAAAGTCGATCTAACGTGGCTTATGTTGTAGCACACGCTGGTTACATGATTTAAGACTTCTACTTAAGGTGCTCTCGTGTTTCCTCGCTCTAAGCTCCTTCTTAAACGTCTTCTATCCTCCCTCCTTGAGGTACAATTAAAGGATTGAAAGGTCCTACAGGACGGTAAAAAAGGAAAGATATCCAGGTCATGCATGAAGAGAGGATGCAGGGAAGTCAGAATTACAAAAAGCACCTCAGGATTGATGGTAAAGTCTGAGGGTATTTGGCAAACAGGCGGAGAATAGCGATGACTTCAGAGCTTCATGAAAATGCAGAGGCCAGGGCAAAGTGGGAGTTTGACAGAGAGGCGGATTGGGCAAATATAAATACGAGTGAGGCAGCTGTCGTGACCAGATCGCCAAACTCTTTGTAATAAAGACAACAACAGTTATTCAATCTGGCAGTGTAGGTGCAGCAGCAGCAGGGTAAGAGGACAACAATTATGTTTTACTTCCAAAATTAGGTCCAACAGGGCGGGTAGCTGGAGTGCATTATCCCCAAACTATAATACGTGGGGATCGACGTTAAAGTGTGTCTTCTGTAAATGTTTGTTGTTCTTTTTTATAATAAGTCAAACTTTCTAAAGCGAGTAATGCTGGATTATTCTCTTTAACAAACTTGATTATGTTTGTTTTGTTAGCAGTGTGGTCATGCCCAGTACAACCACAAATAGAGTTATGACTGCCAAGACAGATCTTTTAATAAACTGTATTTCTCTGAAAATATCCTGTGAAGTTTATCATAACAAAGGAGCACTTTAAAGTCAGTGCTTTGGTGGTATTGCACTCTTTAAATTCACACCACACTATGGTGATTTCCAACTAACCCACTTGTCTGTGTTTAGAGCAGTAAATTGTGAATAAATGATCAAATGCATCAGGAGAGCTGCTGCAGGTGGATGCAATTTGTGAATTAAATCTTCATTAATCAGGAACTGAACGACTGCATCAGTGAAATTTGAGTCAATTTATGTTGTCCTTGTTAGGGCTGGACGATATGGCCTCAAATCAATATCACGATGTATTGAGCAGTTCACCTCGATAACGATAAATGGACAATAACTACTCCACAAGCTGCTCACCCCCTCCCGCATTAACTTCTTCTACTTCAGCTGCTACAACTTTTGAACCGTCCTCCATCTCCTCACCTGTCTTTCCCTCTTTGTTATGGACTGGATGGGGTGGAGTCATGTCTCTGACGTAGGACAGCGTCTTAAAAGGACTTGAGACCATAGCCTACCTACACACATCCAAAACCAACTTTTATTTATTTATATTTTTGACACCGAATATACCGATATGGGCAAAATGACATTGGTTATTGTCGTAAATTTCAGTATCTGTAAATTTTCGATGTATCGCCCAGCCCTAGTCCTGGTGGCAACTGATCACACCAAAGAAACCAAACTTATAGTAAGTGTTAAAACATCAGACAACCTGCAATGACACGATCATTATCAGGGTGAAATGTGCAGCAAATGCTTGAACAATGCAAATGTTTTCACAGTTTCCATATTGGATTTGCAGCTGCATGTTGCTCCTGATAGATATTCATTGGGCCACCATACATCCTAGTTTGTGCACTTACAGAAGCAGCTGATGGTTGTCGTGTTCTGTGCAGAATTCACAACATGTGTTAACACGTGTTATCATGTCTCTGTTGTTTGCTGCAGTCGTTTGTCGTTTTGTTTACTATCTAAACATTAGGCCGTCCACTCAGGTTGGAGTTGGCAGCATGCACGACTTCTGAAGCCAAATTTAAATGGAGGGGAATCCCATCCAGCTGGCACAAAAAACACAATAATAATAATACTTATAGGGCCTTTAAAAATAATTAGAGCCTCAACAAATAGTCATCCTCTTGATTATCAATGTGCAGAAAAGAGGGAGGGTTTCTTTCCTTTGCTGTATTTCTGTGTCACTCTTCCTCTTTGTGTTTGTGACTGTTGTGTGTGTGTGTCTCTGTGTGTCCCAGCAGATGTTATGGAGGGGAAGAGCGCCATACTGCTCGGCATGAGTCAGTGGAACTCAAATGACCTGGTGGAGCAGATTGAAACTCTGGGACACATGGAGGACCAGTCACATGGTACGACTACGAGCAGACACATGCACTTAGATTCACACATATTTATCATCATCCATACACACACACACACACACACACACACACACACACACACACACACACACACACACACACACACACAAGAAGCTCAATGGTTCATACAACCAAAATAGAAGCTCATGAATGGGTCTTTCACTGGATGACAACAATGATGGATGGTTATTTAAAGCTGCATTAGGTCATTTTTGACCACTAGAGGGCAGAGAGTGTTGAAATCATCAGCCTTTATTTCATCCGTGCAAGATTTAATGACACACCTTTTCACACTGCACTGACTCATTCGACTCCATGTGAATAGCTACTACAGGTTAAATGTCTCAAATTGGGGTAAAAGACTTAAAAGGAAGCTGAGAATATAATGTGAAGCAGGAGAAAGCCTGAGCAGGAGGTAATAAGAAGCACAGCTGAGATCTGACATTCAGATATGCCCGGTGATTTCAGCCCTCCTCACTCTGACTCCATGCTTAATGATGCCTGAGAAAAGCACTGAGCTTGAAACATGTTGCATACCCCCTCACTGTATTCATGCGCATCAGGAGCAACACTTGAAACAACATCTCCTCTGCAAGCAGAAAGGCGACATTGGTTTTGAATGCTATCAAAAGCGGCCATCAGACTTCAAACAGCCTGACATGGATGGATGGATTTGGTTCAGATATGTGCAAATCCTTCTTTTTTCTTCATCCTGAACTTGTCTTATTCGTTTCCTTTGAGTGAGGAGAAAATTAATATGAGAATCTCCCGCTGATAGCAATCTCCTTTGGTTGTTTGAGATTTCTGAGACTGTCCCCTGAATGCTGGCTGTCACAACTCCAGAACAGCTGTGTCATTGCACCCAGAGCAAAGCAAGAGCGGCGGCGTAATCGCTCTACACAGATCAAGCATGAAAACCCGAATCCTTTAAAGTCATGGTTGACGATCTGAGAAACAGTTGAAAAAAACTGAGCTGTTGAGGCAGATTTTAAAAAATAGCAAAAACCTCTCCCCTCTGTGTTCCACAATAACTCCCCAGAACGCCCCACCATACACCCCCTCTGGCAGAGCAAGAAGCGGGCCGCAAAAAAATCCTACGCTAGCTTCAAATAGGATTCACCATGTCAGATTGCGAGTGTCTAGCGGCAGTAAACACCAGCTATGCAAGCGGGCCCCGTCTATAGCTGCCTGGACAGCTACCGTGTTGACATTGCAGACACTAATAAGAGTTATATATGTAACATGTGCCACGATAAAAGGCGATAAAAATGACCTGTTCAACAAAAACTCTGCTGTCTCGGCGTCTGTTTTTTAGGCCTTTCTCCATCGCTCGAAGGATGACCCAATGTTTATTCGAGTTAGATTCCTTGCTTGGTCACATTTCCTCTTCGACTCCACCCTTTCTTCTGTCCGCTTGCGTTTTCTTAGCATATTTGGCGGCGGGGCGAGCGGTAGCTTTTTTTGTGTCCTTCTCCATCACAGCTCCTGTAGCTATGCTGCTACGCTACTTTGAGTCGCTCCGAGCTCCATGGAGGGCCAAGAGGGTGGGAGGGGATGAGTCCGAACTATGGGAGAGGGGTGTGTCAAATACAGCAAGGTGATTGGATGGAGTGGCGGAGCAGGCAATTGACCAATAGGAGCTGTCCGGGACGGATGGCTCCGATTGGTCAATGTTTTTGCAGCCCTGCACCTGTGTGGGTGAATGTTTTTTTTTTTTTTTTTCATTCTTTTTTCTCTTCACTTTGTGGAGGTCGCACTAAAGGACCATGATCACCATATAAATCTCCAATCGTCAACCATGCCTTTAAGTGCACACCTGAATTTTGAAACTAGAAAACTTCTGGTTTAATTTCGTGTCGGAATGCTTTCATCCATTTACATTTAAGCAGGAAAGAAGTCAGTGTGAAAATCAAAGAGAGGCACATCAGCTGTAGGGCTGTCAGTTTTTGAAAGGATCTACTTCGAAGGAATATCAAACATGATGTGGAAATGTTCAGGTACGTGTGACCTGCTCACATCACTTATCGTCGATGACTGCTATCTGAGCCTCTGGCAAGGACCCTGCAGACATCCACCTATGGTTTAGACCCTGAAATACTTCCACAGGTCTGCTCATCGCAGCTTTGATTGACCGTCCTCCATTTCTTTGTAGAATAACATCACTGTGTTAGGTTGCTCAGGTCAAGAGTGCACTGATTGGCCAGGTTAGAGCTGTTACTTTGAAAAACCAAAAAGCAAGCCTGTGCCTCATCAGATGATTGGAGTATACTCTCCAAATAGGGGGTAGAGTTGGAAACTGTGAAGAGATGGAGGGGAATGACACGGTTGGACGAACCCTGGCAGCCCGCTCTGATGACTGTAGGCCTTGTACATGAAATAATTTAACCAAACCGGTGCTCCTTTATGGTGTGTTTTACTGGAAGATTATCCACAGAGCACCCTCCTCTTCTCTCCTCAGACCAGTGTCTCAAACTGGTGGATTGATCAATAAAACAATCCATCATAAAAAATCTCTTTGTATCTCTGAGGCTCATCTTCGTCAGAGCAGATCCTGCACTCAGAGCTGCTGCCAAGGGACCAGTATGGCAACAGCCCAAGATTTCTTCATCATTTCTGGTGAAAAACTTCTCAAATCACACAGTAAATCAACCAAAATCTTCATTTTTTCAGTTTCTGCGAAAGGAATATCACAGCGCATAACGACTAGCAGGAGGAATATCATAAAGCGGCAGGTGTTTATTACATTTCACCTCAACACACAGCTTCACGTCGGGGGATTCTGTATGATTCTCTGGTTAGAAGGTTATTTAATTAGATTCATTTATCAAAGTCTCAGGTGTGATTTTTCAACCACAGTAAGCCAGCCACACATCGCTAAGAGATTAAACGTGCTGTATTTTTCAGATGTAGATTAAAAAACTCAGCTACACCCGTATAGATCATAAATCCCTGCAGGGATTTATGAAGATAACTCCCACAGCGGGAGATTTCATGTGGCAGAAACTCAATCAAAGTTGTCAGCTGGGAATTGATGTTGAAGTTTGTGTTACAGTAGATATTAAAGAAAGTATTGTGTAATATTTTTAGTGTCATTTCAGTCCTCGTGAACATGTAGACTTTATTCTTAAGGCAGCCATTGTGAAAACTTTGGGGGGGTAAACTGACTGGGTAAACTTCAGCCTCCCATGTAATGTTAGAGATGGAGCCCAGAAACCACCAGTGTCACTTTAACCTTATAAAAAGGAAAATCAATGATAAACGGCTTTCATTGTTACAGCCTCCCTGTCAGTCCTCTCCTGATCTCACGGCGCAGGTTTCTGGTTTTGTTTACTGATAAATGGACCAACTGTGGTCGTAAAGGTCAGCTCTGAGATTTGACAAACTGGAGCGGACGCTTTTAATCACCGGTTCTGTGTGTGTCGGTCCGTGTCTGACTCTGTGTAGCCTGGTCATGCAGTGATCAAAGGAAGAGCTCCCACAGGGGTGCTGTACATGCCATGCTGCGGTAACTGGAGGAGCAGGTACACTGTGAATATGTTAGTCCCCCCACGCACCGCATCAACAAACCACTCAGAAAAAACAGTAATGACCTGTGAAGTGCTTTGCTGCAGCGAGTCTGTGTTATTGTGAGGCTCTGTAATGATAAACAGCTCCAGTGATAAAGAGCTGCACAGTTATAAATGATGGATTTGATAGCTGTTTGAATATATATAAAAGGGTTCGTTTATCCTGAACTACCAAGTTTCAGCTCAATGTTAGTTTCCATTTACAGTATTTTTTACATAAAGTGTAGTTAGCAATCTGGTTACTAACGTAGTAGAGAATTTAGCGTCTACAGACCTACATAGATATAGAATAGAATATCCTTTATTGTCATTATGCAGGTTAATACACAACAAACGTGAAGAGGCTTCTCCACAGGTGTGTAATAATATAAATATATTATTAATTATATATTAAAAAATATATTGTATTATCTTAAAAACAACAAACAAGTTTAGGACAACAGACAAGCAGTTAGCACAATAATGGCATGAAATATTACGAGGAACAAATTCACAGAATTTTTAATGTTGCAGTGAAAGTGAGATATTTCTGATTAATTATTAAAATCCAAAAATAAGGAAAACACTGAGCAAATACTACTCTTGATAAGTTCATCCCATAGACTGTTTATAGAATGGACAGTGTCTGCCTCCTTGCTGGGTGAAGCCACTCCGAGAACAGCACCCTCTGGTGACGGGCTGCAGTATAGGTCTTAAATCCTGCCTCCACCAGTGATCTCTATGGAGCTGTGGACAAACTTTAGAAATTAATTACACAGAATATAAAGTTTTCTCCCCCCTGCTTGCGATGTTGACATGTTGTTACTGTCAAACTGGTTTTGTGCTCAAGTCCTCCTTTTTCTGTACAGCTCCATTTTTAAAATTTATTAGGGGGTTCATGTTCTCTATGATTGACACTTGATACAGCCTATGGGTGTATAAAGATTGCGTAGCTCAATTGGGGGATACACTGTTTGAGCCGAGTGTCATCACAGCAACTCTCCCGCCGAATGTGTACAATGCTACTGGGCAAGTAGTGAAGTGCATACAACGCTACTGCACAATGTTGTTGGAAATACTAAGAGCTTTTCGACCTTGAGTCTGTATGCTGGTGGAAGGCGGAACCAAGTTGTCCATAGTATATACAGTCAATGGTTTATCCCAGTGGGTTTTATTAAAGATTTAAGGACATAAAAGTGATAGTTGTGGTGACTTCCAGTTACGTATGTCTTAAAAGTGACTATAAATGAGTGTTTTAGCAATAATCTGTTGGCATACAAACTTTCACTGAAATGGTGCCAACTCTTCCTCCGTTTTAAATGAGTTTACAGTGAATGGTTGCCAGATATAAAGATGACGTTTACTCTTAACTATGCATCCTTGAACATTTTTTGGCTAATTGTGAACTGAGCAACACTGATTAAAAAAAAATTAAAGCTACAAACAGCAATGAACAGGTCCTTGTACCTTCTGGGCATGAATGGATTTTGATTCATATTTCAGCATAACAAGTTTCACTGTGTAAATCAGCTTCAGTTTTTATCCACTCCAGTGTCTCATTTAATCATCATGTCTATAATCATGAAGCAGATTGAAGTCAATGTAAACTGTTAACTGAAGAGTATATAAAACACATCTGGTTAAATTTAGAGCGTGGGCTGAAGATGAAGAAGACGGTTAAGAAGTTGACAGCTTCCTGCAGCTGCTGTCACCATTTAATGGAAATCTTTATTCCTCTGTTTCAGCGCTTGGATAAAATGTGGGAACTCTTTGCACTCTATAAATAACAGGACACCTGCTGCTGGAGCTTTTGCACACGCTGATGCTTTGGAAGTTAAGTGGGCCATTGAAAAAAAACAAAAGCCCTGTCATAGACTGCCAGCTATGTGTTTCCTTAAGTGGAGTGTGTGATGCATTATGTATCTGGGGGATGAACTGAGGTGTTATAAAACAGTCACGAGCGATCTTGGCTTTGGGACTACGTGTGCCGTCAGACTGACAACTACTGAGACCATCTCTTATCTGATAATAATGAATGACAACACATTGTGAGGCCGCTCTTCTTTATGAAATAGAAAGAGTGGATACCCCTTCTGTTTTCCATTTCAAGTACAGCACACAACCAACATGCATAAATTTGTTTTCCAAGCAAACCTGTTATCACAGTCTGAATTCAGCTCTGTGAAATGTTCTGTCACTTTTACCCTCTAAGATGGTAATGACAAACTGGCAGTGCAGGTTCCAGTCCAAATTTGAGCTCCCAGGCTGCTTTTAAGAGTTTAACCCGGCATGCTAAAGTCACAGTAATTGCATTCTCCCTCTTGCCTCCTCTCTGATTCTCATCTTTGAGGCTCCACAAAGTCAAACAAACCCAAAATAGAAACACTCCCCGACATGGTGCTGCATACAAATGTGCATCAGCCCTGCCGAGGCTCTGTTTCGTTTGTTTGTTTACATCCTACACTTGTGGGAGCGAGGGGATATTAAAATAAATTTAGCCGAGCAAAAGCGGGCGTAGCAAAAAAAAAAAAAAAGATCTAAAAAGGAGCAGCAACAGAAGCAGCTGCAGCAAAAGTAGCTGAAGTCATGGTGGAATCTGTGAAATCTGCAGAGGCGGTTTGTTCAGCAAACTGAAAAATCTGTTTGCAACGCTGGTACATAGGTAATCAAGTCTTTACATTACAGGCTTTTTATGAGAGGTGAGCATAGTCTCATGAATTCAAATTAAAGAGGTGTCTTTACCTGCATTTTCTAATGGTCAACACGGACTGTGCTGTTTACATAAACTGTTTAATGATTTAAGCTGCAGGCTGCGGAATCAGATAATCTTCTGAGCTGGAGAGTGTTCCCTCATTCAAGACATATATGGGTGCAGGTCAACGGAAACGAGCCAGGCAATGGATCTTCATACTTCCCTCACTCTAAATAGGCTGGGAGTTTGTTAAAGTGGAGCAGTGTGTGTTGGTCTGCTGACGTTGGCTGTTATTCTACTTTAATTCCAGGTGGTGGTGCAGGATAGGAGCTCTGGCATTTGCAGTTTAAATATAGAATGTGTCATGACAAGCTTCTTAATACCCTGCGGATTGTGGTGCGCCCAACTTGCAAAGTTAGCAGCCAGACTGGTTGGCAAGGATTGTTACTCCACTTGCTGCTCTGTGTGTCATGGAGGCCATTGGAGACATGGCTTCCAGTTTCCATGACACCAAACAAAGGCGTAGGGGTGAGCGATAAACCAAAAATTTACCAATACCAAAATTTACGACAATAAACAACATCACTTTGGTTTTGGATGTGTGTAGGTAGGCTATGGTCTCATGTCCCTTTAAGACACTGTCCTACGTCAGAGATGCGACTCCACCCCATTTAGTCTGTAAAAAAGAGGGAAAGACAGGTGAGGAGATGGAGGACGGTTCAAAAGTTTTAGCGGCTGAAGTAGACGAAGTTAATGTGGGAGGGGGTGAGCAGCTTGTGGAGTAGTTAGCGTCCATTTATCATTATCAAGGTGAACTGATCAATATATCGTGATATTGATTGGAGGCCATATCATCCAGCCCTACAATGGCGTCATGTTGGTGTTGCAGAAGCACAAGATGCACAGTGGCTGAAGTAATGGTGCAAGCGTCATATTAATCAACCAGTCCATCTCTATATAGCCCCAATTTACAAAATATGTTGCTCAACAAATGTTCCCATCTTCAACCGCTTGAGTGAAGCACTTCACAGCATTTAGCAATTAACAGTAAAAGGCAGAACTAGATTTATGTTAGACAATCATCTGTTGGGTTTAAAGAGGAGATAGAGGGAGCTGCAGAAAGAGAGAGATGGACAGACGTGAGACTGATGCATGTGTGCAGCACCATTCTGTCCTTCTAGCTCTGATATTTGCAGGTATGTCTGTTTCAACACATCACAGGTTTCAATGATGAACAGCTGGACCCCATTATTACACCTTTGTGACACTGACATTCTCAAAAAGGTGCAACAGCAACATAGCAGTCCTTGATGGCGAATGAAAATGACTGTTGAGTAACATCACAGTGGCAATGACTGCTTCTGTAATACTTTTATGGTCTGTTTTGCATTGTTCCTCCGTATAAGGACCCTCAAGAGTCCGCTTTCTGAATTCAAAATGTCAAACTTAACCCTGCATCAAACAAATTTTAATTCATAAAACGTAACCATCCCCTTTAAACCCCGTAATCATCGGGGAACTCTAAATATGCAGCGGGACCTGATCACAGTCTCTGTATCAGTCGAGCTTCACCCACTCCTCTATAATCTCAGTGAGTCTCTCACCTCCTTAAATTTATCTCCATGTTTCTGACCTTCCTCTCTTGACTCTCGATGACTCCTTCACTCCTTCTTTTGTTCTCTCCAGCCTCCCTAAGCATCCATTTGCCCCCGGCCCTCTCTTCTCCTCCACTTCATTTCCATCGCATCACCTCATCATGTGTCGTATTTCCCCCCTTTCTCTATCTTCCTGCATTTATTACTCTGGGAGCCACAGGCGACTGTAAACACTTTCCCTTCCGATAGACGCTACAGTGATGGGTTCCCATCAGAAACGGAGAGGAAAGCCTGGAGCACAACTGCCCCTTATTTCCCACTCTGCCTCTCTTCTTCTTCATCTCCGCTCACTGACATCCTGTAATCAGACTTCACGCTTTTCCATCTGTCCTCCATCTCGACAGTCCTATCGATAAACTCACGCTGTGCCGTTTTTGTCGCCATATTGTTCACACTTCATCTGCTGACTGATGCTATTTAGCCAAACCTGAAATAGCTGAGTTACGTAACTGATGGAGGAGTCTGCGATGAAGAAAAACTACTTGGCTGCTCCCCGCTTCCTTCGTCAGTTAAAGCAGACAGTTTGGAGATGACTCAGTGATAAACCGTGCCAGAACCCCGCTCGGGGACCTATTTTCTCCTTGGAACAAAATATACGTTGGGAATGCAATTCTTCACAAAGTGACCCTGGAGAGAAATATACTCTATTGAATGGAAAAATGATTTTCCATCTTCCAAGGAGCACCACGGCTCTCTGTTCTGCATGCACCCTGCAGCTCATTTCAGAAACACACGCAGAGACAGTGATGATGGATAACATGAATGTACAGTCTGTGTTACATGTGTGTTCAGCACCCTCCCTCAGAGCCGTTCATTTTTAACACCCACTTGGCTCAGTCCGTTCTCACTTTAATTCCCATTTAATTCCAGTCTTTATTACTTCTCCTTTCAGTTTTTTTTTCTCCTGGCAGGAAAAACTGCCTGTAAAGGCTTAAAAGCTTGGCCGCTAAAAGCAATTTCTCAGCAGAATTATAATCAAAGAGGAACAACAAGAAAGCAGGAGAGGTGAGATAATGGTAGGAAGTCAATGACACAAAAACACCAAACTCACATTTTCACATCAGGCTCAGATTATCTTTAAACACTCTCTTCTAGTTTGTCTTTATTTGTGTTGTTTGTAGCTAATCTGTACACGTGTTTACATGCGCATCTCTCAACATACATGTGTGTTTACGAGGAAGGATACAAATGGAGAAACGTCGCTGTGTGATCGCACGTTGAGAACAGATAATCACACCAAAACAACAGTGTTGCTCCCCGGAGCTTTGCCGGAGGATGGAGGTGATCGAGGAAACACAACTGTGTATAATGAAAGACAACAAACCAGTCATGCAGCACGGCTCATCCCTCGGCTCCTTTCTTATAGATTTCTCCCGCTGACGGTCAACACTTTCCTTGACCCTTTAAAAATGTTACTTTAGTGTTGTTGTCGATGGTAATGTGTTGCAGAAACAGCACACGGCTGCCAGGGTAACAATCAGGTGTGAGTAAATCGATACCGCTTGTAGCCTTCAAATCATATGAACCCTTTTCCCATCATCATTCCTCCACTGCTGCTGACATCCACATCTCTCCTGTCCTTCCTGAGGTTTCTTCCCTCGGGTTTGATAATTTTAAAAGTCAAAAAAAAGGAGGCAGAGTTATTAACAAAGTTTGATTTTCATGAGTTTTCCACTCAGAAGTATGACAGTCTGAAGGGCTTTTTTCAAAATCAATTTGGCTGTCATGAATATATGCATCAACAGTTAAACTTTCAAAATAAAAGGGCCTGAGTTAATGAAAAATGAATAAGTAGGACCAAATTAATCTGTCAAAATAAAGCTGAATAATTAAAACGGTATTTGACTCATGCACTTTGAACAACTGTGGTAACCCACATGTAACATTGTGAAACTGGGTTTTCAGTTTAGCTTAGTGGTCGAAGCTCACACTCGGTGTACAGAGACTACAGTCCCTGGTTCAACTCCCAGCCTTGACCTTTGGCTTCATGTCACCCCTGCTCTCCACTTCCTGTTTCCTGTCTCTCCTCAGCTGTCTTGTCTAATTAAGGCCTCAAAAATAAAGAGTGTGACCGCTTGGTTAACAGGAAGCCCTCCGGCTCTGCGTTGTTTTTACATGGCAAACCATCAAAGTGTGTTTATAATCTAGAGGTCGACAGATATCCATTTTCCAATACCGATAATGTAAAAACAGGTTGGCCTGTGGTTAATGAATGTCAATATCAGATCATTGCATGACTGCGGGAAAAGATAGAGTTGGTTGAATTGAATTTGCACATATGAAAACAGATGTAGTCCAGTGTGCCCTCATTGTTCCAGTAACTGATGGATGGATGGATAGATGGTGAAATTGTTAATCTTACCCTGAATCTGACCCAAATGGTCGAAAATAAGAAAAAGGACACTGGAAGGGATCTTTGTGTACTGAATGCACGGTCTGCAGTGATGTAATTTATCAAAAATAGAAGACAATAGACAGTAACAGTGGACTGAGGGCAGCTTGAATGTCTGATCTTGACACTTTGGACCAATTACCGGCTGAACTGTCTGAAGAATTAGGAGTGCGATCGGTCTGCAGATCCTGGAATGATGCAATACTTCTAGAGGATTTTATTGCATTTTTTATTGATATTTGATAGACTTAGAAAAAGACTTTCCCTCTCGCTGGGTTGAGCTGTGTGTAATTACATAAAAGAGATGAGATTGCAGTTGACCCTTACACTCCATCAATGAAGAAACCTGATCCTGTTAGATTAAGTAATTGCACATTTTCAGGCTCAATGTATTAAAGAATTGTCTCATCATTTTAGATAGTAAATTCATGTAAAGGGTCAAGGATATCTAGATTATCCCTAAGAAACAAATTGTTTTGAACCTTTTTTATAATCTTACATTTAGTTGCAGTTTTATCTGTTTTATGTTTCTATATATTTCTATACTATTTCTCTGACATGCCTCCCCTGCTGTACTTCTTCTTACTGTACATGAAGTTGTTTGCTGGTTGCATGGGAGTTGTTGCTGAGCAGAAGCTGCAGCACATATGAGCTGCTGAGATTGCTTGGGGGAGGCTATGTGTTATAACATTACACATATATATAAAAATATATCTATATGGATGTTTGCTTTAGTTAGTTTCCACATGGCAGTACCATAGTGCATGTGTGTTAGTGTATGGAGGGAGAGCAGTGAGTTTTTTCAGTGTAATAAAGCTGTTTACGTCTCCTGGGGTCTTTTTTTTCACAGCAGGGCAACACAGTGACCCTGACGCCTGCAGCAGTGAACAGATGGCGAAGCGTGTTGGCATGCCTGAACAGTGTGAGGGGTCAGGGGGGGGCTGTTCAACCAGTCAAGAGGCAGCGTTCCTCCAAATGAGTCCCTCGACCATCCTGTTGCTTTCTCCAGCTCGCACATTCGAATCACAGCTGCATTATACATGACTCCTGCGCCTCCTGAGATAGCATTGTGTATTTTGCACTGTGGATTCACTGCTGCCCCAGCGGCTTGATAATCTATGTAATGGTGCTGTCAACGGTTAAACCAAACGCTGTTATTACTTTCTACTAAAGATGTGTCCTTAAGCAACACTTAGTGGTGTCACAGGACAACTGGATTTAAAGAGCTTTAAACTAAATCAGAGGTAAAACAATTTAGTAGTTTTTTTGGCAGAGAACTTCAACTATTAATTTACCTTAGGAATATAAAATGGTAATCAAGGATGTAATTATGAGCCGTCATTATGTTGTTATAGTGACATACAGATCAAATATTGCTCCACGCCCGTGTGCTAAAGATCCTTATGAGCAGCTCCCACAGATGTAATTACAGGCTTTGTTCTGTAAATGTCCTCTTATATTTCCTGACAGTATTTCACACTTTGTTGAATTGATGTAAAGATCCTGAGGTGAAAAATAACTTGCACGACCAAGTCAACATTGCTGATTTTCCTCTGCACGTTTGCCCAGGAACAAAGATTACTCACTGCGATGGTGTGCAGCTCTCTAATGAGCTGATTCACACACCGGTAGGCAGGAAACTTCGAGGGCGCTCTTCCATTTTCATACTCTCCGGGAAGATTCAACTCTGCAGTCTGAAAACCAGTCTTCCTGATGATGGATGCAGTCTTCCTCCTCGCGCCCTCTGTTGTTTTTTTTCCTCCATCTGCTCATTTGAAAGTGATAAATGTGTGCAGGTGAGAGAGGAGGTTGAGACTTAAAAAGGAGAGAGAGAGACCCTACAACCAGAAACTCAAAATGCAGTGGAGTGGAGGAGGCTGTTGAGACGATCTTGAACTTTATGGGAAAAAGAGATTTTAAATCATAGTAACTCAGACAGAAGGACACACAAGAGGGGTCTGAAAATGATCAATAGATCAATATTTCATCCCCTCTCATTCAGCCTGTGTGGACTGCTGTGTAGAGCCTTTCATCCTCTCGCTCTATTTCAGGGTCTATTTCCTCTTCCTTTCTCTGGATAAGTTAGGAAATGTGTCAGACCACAGTGGGGTAACTGATAGACTGATGCTCTGTGTACCTGTGAGGAGTGTGAGCTTTAGGCTACTGGAAAATGGTTCCGATGCCACTGAACTAAAGCACTGTCAACAGACCCCAGTCCTCTCTAGCTTAGACGGTTTGTTAGGACAGAATGTTTGCAGGGGAGAGCTGCTAAATGCCACAAAGCTACATGGAGCACATATTGACCAGCAGGGCTCAGACCTCTGAGAGGAATCACAAGAAATGAAAACGCAGAGGCCGACAGATTGTTTGACTCCCCTTACAGCTGCACAAAAACTTGGCAGAAAGAAAAGAAGAAAAAAGATTGGCCCGGTAACTGCGGGAAGTCGGTTTGTACCACTGAGCCACACCGACAGAAAGATGATTTTGTTCGTTTGCTTCAGTATCAGACAACTGTCTTATTTATCGTTAAGTTCAGGCGCAGCCCAGCATGTGTGCCGCTCTCACAAATGATGAGGTGAGCCGAGCTCTGCTATTTCCTCTGACTTCTCGTCCTACAATCTGCTGAAGGCAGCTGTTTGCCGCAGATTGGCAGTCAGGAAATTTCTAGTGCCATCCTATAAAATACAGGGCTTTCAATATAGGCTGAGGGACAGCGCTCAGTGAAAAGGCTGGTACTCTCTTGTCTTCCATTTCAACGTTGAAAAAACAATATACACATTTTTGTCATTCAAAGTTATCTTTGTGCTGTAAAAATTGGCTTGTTTGCATTGGTGTGTATGTGGTTTTCATGGTGCTCTGGAATCAGCCTCAAGTGGACAATCAAGGTACTGCAGTTTTTAGCATTGGCCGAAGGTTTCTGCTCGGTGGAGATGCTCCCTTGCTCACATCTCACTTCCCCCTCTGGTGAAATTTCACAAGTGATGGTGGCCCATTAGGACAAGAAGCTCCTGTGATGCTTGAAAAGTACAATCCACCAATTTTCAGGTTTTTTACCATGAAAACTTCTAACAATGCCAAGGTGCATTTTGCGCATAGTAAATTAAAGAGTTTTACGGGTCAGGTCGAGTGGTTTTTTTATGCGTTTTTAACTCAATAATTCCACGTGACACAAACTCAAAACTTCCATACAAAACCCTGGACACTTGAGGGGCTGGAAAGCTCTCAAAAAACAGGACATATCCGGGTAAAAGAGGATGTATGGTCACCCTGATTTTGAATATAGACTGCACCGAGTTTGTCTGTTCTGGGCTCAAGTGGAAACATGATGGTGGTACCTTTTCTGCTAAATGTCACTAACTGTACCTTTAATTAACACTTTATTTCAGAGAAACCCGAGATGACAAATCAAACACATGATTCTTTTTGGCAGCTGTTTTCTCTACTTTTTTTTTTTTAAATGTACCTGCAATTTTTCTCATCCCTCAAACCTGTGAAATCAGATTTCAGTCTCTCAGCCCCGAGCTGTGAGCGTTGAAATGAAACCTGTTAGCCCCCCCCACTCTCTGCTGTGAGGCAGTGCCCCAACTTTTCCAAAGTTACTTCATAAGTCTAGGTTTCAGTCTAAAGTTTCGTGTCTATAATCACTTTGTCAGAGTTTTTGTTGAAGTGACAGTAATCAAAATCCTCCTTTCAGATTGGTCTTAACGATGTTTACTTTACATCATCCTCGCTCAGATGTACAGCATTTAACGGTCTTAATATTGAGATTACAGTCACATCCACTCAAGCATCGTCACATGTTTCCTAATCCTCCACACCCACATTTTTACAGGCCGGACTCTGAATTTCACACGTGTGGAAACAGAAACAATACATGCTGGATCAACAACCAGCCTACATTCGGAGGTGTTTACTGACTCACCCGCTGCTGCTTTAATCCTTGTTATGCACACACAGCTTTGTTAAAGACGAAGCCTCACTGCTTCCCAATGTTTTTAATCCTGACAATAAAACAAATCCAGTGAATAAGTTGACTTTGAAGGGACAGGAAGAGGCATTTCTCTTCTTGTGGTTGAGGATGAGAAATCTGACTGGGAACTGTAATGTAATCTTTGATTGTCAGGTTATAATCCTTGCCCTAAAATAAAAAACAAAAACAGCATTATAGTGTATTTCTGCAATATATAATGTCTAACTCTCCTTGACACAAATTTTTGATTAGTGACATCCCCAACGAGCCCCCAAAAAAGTATGAGCTCTTTCCTCATGATGATTTTTATGGATCTTATAATCATATTGGGCAGCAAAGGTTTTTGGCAACAACAAACAGACAAAAAAACTGTTTTTAAAAGAAAGCCTGTCTTTAGATCAGTCCTAGGTCCAGGTAAGACTGTAGCTGACCCTGCTACCCGGGACACAGATTCTTTGAGATCTTTCCCTCAGGCGAGAGGCTGCAGGACATCAGGACAAAAACCTGCTTCACAAGAACAGTTTCTGCCCCTCTGCTATAACATTTAACACAAACTCCTATCTTCTGTTAGCTTTAACTAACACCTTGTAAATTCCCTCACAACTGTACAGTTGTTTCTTCTGCTTCTTGGTCCGCTGGTCGCATGTGTGCTTCACTTTGTGTTCCTACCAGCCAAACAGCTGTAGTAGTGAAACCCAGTATTTCCTGCGGTGATAACAGAATCTGTGTTTCTACCTCTTTAATGAGCTTCACCTCATGCTTGTTGCCATCAATAGTCTTTCATTCTGTAAATGAGGCAAACATTTTAACGTTGTTTCCGTGTCCAACCGTCATTTAACTCTTTCTGCCCTCTGTGACACAGAGCAAAAACAAAGATGAATGTTGGAAAAGGTCAAATTAAGGTAAAACCAGAACTTGTGAGGGTTGAAAAATCTTGAATTAGAAAATATTTGTCAAGTTTTGCCAGAATGATTACCAAATATTCATTGATTAAATCAACACATGATTGATGGAAGAGGCCTTAAAGTAAACTCATTCACACATACACTTGAATCCTGCAAATTTCCAGAAATTTTCAAGACAAACCGCATGTGTAAACGCAGAATAGATGAGTTCCTCAATCTAACTTTACCTGAAAATGTTCACTGACTACAATGACTATGTTGAGAACTGAGCAGGTGAAAGACAGAAAAATTCAACTAAGAACATTTCATGCAAGTTCAGGACCACGTGTGAATAAGCAGAGAGATGAATGTTGCCGACTGCTTACTTCTCTAGTTATATCAACTTAAGTAACGATGTAGTTCACTATGGCAATACACAGCAGTCTGAGGAGCCATAAACAAACCTCAACCAAAACGCCACTCTATAGCCACAAATAATGCTCAGAACAGCACCTAACTTCATCAACAGTACATATAGCGTCCCAGCCACAGCACTAGCCATCAAACATCTTTTTAACTTTGTCTAATTTCTTTAGCAAAGAGACTAAACACAACTTACCAACTCTCTTCCAGCAGCCGCTTGTTTGTAGCGAGACCTCAGGCCAGTCCATTACGGACTGCTGCGGGGTGACGCAGCTCAAGAAAGAACATTTATGATCATTTCTTCATGGAAATGCAATCAGACTGAGACTCTAAGGCAGAAGAACTACAGCGCCTGCAGTGCAAAATGATTGATATGATGATTATTACTTCAAGGAAATGATAAAGAAATGATTATAAATCTGGGAGGGGGTGTCTAACTCGGTGTTACGGTGTGTTTGACCATAAATTAATTTCACGCCAGAATATCCCTTTAAGTAAAAAGGTGTAAAACACATAATCACCTTTCCATCAAAGAGTTTTTTGTCTTTACCCTGCAGTGTTTGCTCTTAAAACTACTTTACAAGGTTTAGGAGGAACTTTTCCTCCTTCAGAGAAAAGAAAACCTCCCAGCATTGATTTCCTGTTACACTGTGACAAAAATAGTTCAGCCCGCTGAGTCCCCTGTGGGTGTGCTGAGCTGTGCTAGACAAGCAGGCAGTCAGAGGCAGGCTGTGGGCTGGGTGAGAGTAAAAGGGAGATGACAGTGTGTGTGTGTGTGTGTGTGTGTGTGTGTGTGTGTGTGTGTGTGTGTGTGTGTGTGTGTGTGTGTGTGTGTGTGTGTGTGTGTGTGTGTGTTTGTGTGTGTGTGTGTGTGTGTGTGTGTGTGTGTGTGTGTGGTTTGTGAGAGTCTCCCATGACAGTTAGTCCCAGACCAGGAGGCCGAATAAACAATGAGCGAGGGAGAAAACTCAACATAGAGCAAAGGGAAAGAAAAAGAAGCAGAAAGTGAGACTGGAGGAGATCGAGTCTGGAGAAACTGCCGGGGGGAGAGAAAGACTTTGGCCAGGATCCTGTATTATTCTGCAGACCACAGAGCGAGAGAGAGATGCTCACAGCCACCATGTTTGGATAAAAATGTTCAAATATATCCTCCTTTTTTCCCTTTAAAAAAATAGAGTAGATTGTTTTTACTGCATCAACGAATCCAAAATGAAGTTAGATGTGATGCTAAAGCAGAGAAACAACTAGTGTCCTGCTGTTTACCCTCATGATTGACTCCTGAATCTTCTGTTTGAGCCTCAGGGTGCATGGACCCATCACCCAATTTGGAGTTGGAATGAAGAGCTATGAAGAGGCATTAGTAATATTGACCATATTCACCGATCAATATCCATTTATGCTTCTTTCACTGTTGCTGCTCGGGTAAGTGGCTCTCGCAGTCACGTCCTCTTACTCCCTCTCTGTCTTTCCCTCTTCTGTCTGTCTTCATACAGAGGGTCTCTACCAGCTTGGTGGTCCACACTGTCCCCCTCAGAGCAGCATTGAAGGCCTGGAGGACAGAGAGGTACTCGTATATTTGTCACACAGCTCTGCCTCTCCTCTTTTAACCTTTTTTTTTTACTCAACCTTTTCCTCATGTGCTCGAAATCTTTTCACAGAGGAAGTGTAAGACTCACGTGCTGCTGCTGGTGGTGCATGGCGGAAACATTTTGGACACCGCAGGCGGGGACCCCAGCACCAAAGCTGGCGATGTGGACACCCTGGCCTCTGTGCTGGAGAAAGTGGCCCGGGCTCATTTCCAGGCGGCTGCTGAACACGTGATGATCAAGCTGGTGCCGTGTCCGGCCGTGTGTGCAGAGGCCTTCTCCCTCGTGTCCAAGTGAGTACCTCAGCCAGGACAGGGAAACTCACAGGTCCTGGTCATTTAAAACCGTTTATATCTGGATTGAACCCACATGCGGTCTTTACAGTGTCGTTGAACTTTCACCTCAGGGCGCCAAAATGGACACAGACAGAAAAATCCTCGCAGGAGCTTTAAAAGGAAAAAGGATCACAAACTGTCGCACTTTTAACAGATGGTGTGAACATCTGTGTGCGATAAAATAAAAGAGGATGAGAAGAATTATAAATTTATTAGCCCCTCTCGTAACAGTGGGGTACTTGCAGAGAGTGTAATTTCAGCCAAAGCTGGAAAAGTCAGTATACTTTATTATTCCACCAATAATTTGTGTATTTTAACGTTGCAGGTATTGTCAGAGGACTTAAACACAATGCATATTTCAGTGTGGTATGAAATTGTTGGGAAAGGGCAACAGTGTCTGTACAATAGTTGCCTACTGACTTCATTTTGCTGCAACTGTATTGAAGTACAAAACCAAGAACTGTAAGGCTCAACAACAAGAGACGACACAATACCAATACAGATACTGAACTCCTTCACAAAGTAGCATTTTAGCTCACGGTTAGAAAATGTAGCTACATGAATTACCATTTGGTTGTCCCCCCATCAAGAGAAAAGATATTTAATTTGTTTGAAATGTGATAAATCATTATTTTATTGTAATATCAAACACGTTGCAGTGTGCTAACTTAGCGGTAGCCTAACAGAGATAACCAGACTACCTGTTAAATTGCTGTTTAGCTGTTTTTATATCCAAGTGTTCTTAGGTTACCATTATGGAAATGAGTGTGGCTAGCGAGTACTTTTCCAGTTATCTTATATGCTCTTTCAGGGAGCTCTCGGATAAATCTCCTCAGACATGTTAACATTTAGCCTTTTCTAGAGTTTATGATGGAATTTTAGGGCCAGATTAAGACCAAAAAAAAACTTCAAGATTAAATTCGTTAACTTACGAGAATAAAGTCATTACTAACGACAATCAAGTCATAACAAAGTAATTACTTACGTGAATAAAGCCCTTATATTCTTACCTGTTGTTTAAGATGACAGTTGTTGAAATGAGAGCCATGGAGCGTTTTGTGAAAATGTACTTCAATATCGCTTTCTCAAATAAGGAGACGGGTAATCTTTTCTGGACGGCTGTAATCTCCATGAGTCTCTGGTGTTCGTTCTAAACCCGACTGTATTGTTCAGGAGGCTTTAGAGGAATCTGCTCGCCTGCTTATGGGAAAAATGTCCAGTGGGCTGAGCCCGTGTCGGTTAATTGAGAGAATATATTGACCTAAAACCCAGAAATAGACGGTGTGATTAGTTAGTATGCCTGTCACGTTTCTCAGCCCCTGTTGCTGCTGGAATATTTAACACCTAACCTTTTAAATGCTGTTGTTTTTAATCACTGAATCACCTCCTGTTAGTCTCTTCAGTGGACAAAATTAACATCTTAATGCTTTTATTTGGTTTCACAGGCTTTAATTTGTTTAGGTTGTTTTTTAATGTAACTTTGAATTCAGGTTTCATCTGTATAATCAGCCTTTAATTGGAAATTATGTGTGGATGAAATAGATCCTTCAGGAGACGGTTTCATCACCTTGAACCGTCATGTTTAGTGGAGTCATCATCAATATGAATTCCTGAAGTCTTTAACAGGAAATGTATTTCTGAGATCACATCTTTGCCCTTTTTGCAGCGAAGTCTGCAGCCTGTGCGGGGAACGACGTGAGCGTAACTAATGATTCAATTTCACTTTAATGTCACATGTCTCACTGGTCACCGCTTTTTATCTGACAGTATCACTTAGTCTTTCTCTGCTTTCCAATTATGTGCTGAAGAGGTTTTGCTCTGAATTGTCACTAATAAGCGTTGAGAGAGAATGTGTTTGGCAGCCGAGTCGAGGTTTTCTGGCTGCTTCTGTGATTGACGGAGCGAGAGAGGTAAGAGTGCGCAGGAGAGACGAGCGAGGAGCTTCTGCCGCTTTGACGTTGCTCGGCTTTAACTGCATCTAAAAATGAAATATTCAAAATAACGACTCGCCAAAGGAGTCTTGTGTAACTGAGGTAATGCTGCATGTCGCAGCTGAATGTTCCTGTCAACACAAACACAAAAACATAAAACGGCTTAACACTCAGGCAGGCGTGAAACTTTGTATTCAAAGAGACTCACTCAAAAGAAAGAGTATATTGATATGTTGGTTCAGATCGTACAGGCTGAGGGAGGGAAATGTGGTATTTGAGACTTTGATTGAGATGGAAAGGCAATGACGGAGTCAGTTTCAGAAAAGTAGTAAACCACCTCCTCTCTCTCCTAATCGACCAATAAAAAAGCCGGAGAAACCAGATGAGAAAACTCTCCTGAGGAAGGTTTAAGTTTCACTCAGGGTTGTCCGAGCTACACCAGGTAGGGTTTAGCGATAAAGAGAACATCTACAGATGCCGAAATTTACAACAATAACCAAGGTCATTTTGCCCATGTCAGTGTATTCGGTGTCAAAAAAATAATAAATAAAAGTTGGTTTTGGATTTGTGTAGGTAGGCTATGGTCTCATGTGCCGTTAAGACGCTATCCTATGTCGGAAACATGACTCCACCCCATCCAGTCCGTAACAAAGAGGGAAAGACAGGTGAGGAGATGGAGGACGGTTCAAAAAGTTGAGGCGGCTGAAGTAGACGAAGTTAATGTGGGAGGGGGTGAGCAGCTTGTGGAGTAGTTATCGTATATTTATCGTTACTGAGGTGAACTGCTCAATATGTCGTGATATTGATTTGAGGCCATATCGCCCAGCCCTCACACCAGGTATCTAACCTTGATTTTGCTAGTATTGGGGACCTCGCAATGATACGACCGGCACCTCATTATTACGTTTGCACATCACACACACTATCAAGGCAACATCAGTGTCGGACCTCAGTCCAATCTCCTCCTTCAGGGCTCTCTATCAGGAAAAGCAATGCCGATGTAAATCTGAGTTAGTCTCCTCCATTTGTCACTCTCTTTCTTCCCCAAAGGACCTTCTCCCAAAACAGGAAGGCTTTTTCTTTTTAGCAAGATCCACTTCTGAACCCCTTGGTTGCATCTTCGGATTCTCCGCCATGTTGCTACTAGCAGCACTCTCTTTCCCTCCCTTCTCCTTGTCAGGTAAAACTGAGTAGAACGCGTCATCTCCTGTGTGGGGAATGTCGCCCCTTGACGCCAAATACAAAAAGAAAAAATAGAGGAGCTGAACAGCGTTGTATCATCTCCTCCGGCAAAACAGATATTTACAGACACGTAGATCATACACACTATAGCTTTAAATTGTACCTCATGATAAGACTGGAGTTTATGATTTTTCCCCAGATGGTTCCAGGTCCCCAGCAGGCCCCTCTCAATATGTGCAGCCAGTCTGCAGTCAAACAAGCCCACACAGCAGCAAACACAACACACTTACTCAACTCTGTCACTTAACGGTATTTGCTCTAATGACAGTGTTGGACTTGTGGGGGTGCGAAGCCTCGTTTATTTGCATGCCAACATAAACACGAGAGGAATAAGCAGCCCGGCGGGGAGGGAATGCTGCTGTGGGTAATTTGGGTAACAGCTCGGCTGAAAAATCGCACCGTGGAGTGGAGGTGGCAAAATCACTTCGCGCCTGAGGGACAAACTTTCACATAAACATACCACTTTTGACTCAGTGCTCGGTAATTCCTCATGTACCACGGGGTGTCCCAACAGAGAATGAGCCTGTTTTGTTTTGCTTGAGTTGGTGCGTGCTGGGAAAACCTGCTGCGCTCTGAGGTGCTCTGAGCGTGCTGATTATTAGCTCTGTGCCCTAATGAATTTACCTGGCCTTGTTGGCTTGGAGCTCGGTGTCACGACAACTCAGAGACACATTTGAAATTTGTGAACACGCTGGCATTGATGCGCCCTGCACAAAAAGAGCATCCAACAGCACACCCAATTAACAGCGACAATGAAAAGGCTCCTGAATGGATCTCCTCTTCCAAACAACACACTGGAGCGAAACATTTATATGATTAACTTCTTTCGAGCAGCAGGAAAAATAAAATGGATTCAATCTCTCTGGAGATGATGAGGAGGAGGAGAGTCCACTTGTCCGTGTGCGGAGAGTGACCTTAGCTCAGGGAGAAAGAGACTCATTATTCCAGCCAGTCTCGGCTGAGGACGTGCCGACGCTGTTCCCGGGCCCTAATTAAGGAGACTCTGCAGAGGCCCATTGCTGCTCATGTTAATTGCGCGGATGTTGTGCACTGCTAAGCCAGCCATTATGGAACGAAGGGAGCAATTAGGCAGGAATTTGACAGACTTGAGAGTTTTCGGTTTGACATCACATCGCATTGGGGAGGAGGAAAGCATAATAGAGTAGATCTCAAGGTTATACCGTGAGAGAAGAGGCCGATTCAGGTTTAATCAGCTCGCTCAGCCTTATCTTCTCCCTGCGTGATGTTAATGGATCCCCTCCTTGTCACATCACTGTGTGACACCCTGAGGAACACTTCCACACGTATCTTTAGTGTTATGATACACCTCCTTTAGATGTCTGACTGACTGAGTCTCTCGTGGAAAAAGTAACATGGCAGTTAAAGTGATAAAATGCAGAGTTCTGCTTTTTAGAGATGGGTGGATAACATGTTGCTCACAAGCGGCAAAGGAGAATTTCTGTGTATTTTTATCACACCTTTACATGACCCCGGTGTTTTCTCACTCAGCATCACTTCCTCTTGCTAATGAGAGCGGAGAAGTGAAGAGGGTAGAAGCTGCAGCTCATAGAATGACTCACCCCCCTCCAGGAGTGAGCGTGGGGAGCATCTCCATCTCAACACAAGACACCGCTACATAGAGCTGGGCGATAACTACTCCACAAGCTGCTCACCCCCTTCCACATTAACTTTGACTACTTCAGCCGCTGTTCCAGCTGCTGCAACTTTTGAACTTTCCTCCATCTCCTCACCTGTCTTTCCCTCTTTGTTACGGACTGGGTGGGGTGGAGTCATGTCTCCGATTTAGGATGCCGTCTTAAAGGAAAATGAGACGATAGCCTACTAGAGTTGGGTGGTATGACGGTATATACTGTGTGACAGTATAAAAGTAGAAACTTTGCTGTAACATTTATACCGAAGAGAGAAAGCAGAAGTCTGCAGCATCTCTCTGAGTCAGTGTGTAGTTGTCTGTGCTCACTAACAGGAAAGCCGAAGCACATCCATTTGGGTGCGTTTCAACTAATAACTCAACCCACCCAACATTGGGAAGAGGAGGAGGAACTCATTCCGAAAAAGGGAGCAAGTTGCGATATCAGTTATCTGGAGATACTTCGGATTTAAAAAATCCGAAATGATCAAAAAACAATACTATCCAAAGAGTGTTGTGTGGCTGTCGTTGCTTGAGGTGGAAACACCAGCAACCTCTTCCACCGCCTAAAGATGAAACATGCCAAGCTCTATTATTAGAGCCAAAAGATGTATGGCGCACCTGCTGCAGCAGCTCCTCTCATGCAGAAGAGCTTGGCAGAGTCTTTCGCCAAAGGTACGCCATATGATAAAAAAATCACCAGACTGGTCTGGCATTTTGTTCGCATTTGTTTACAAATCCGAGTTCAAGAATAAAAGGAAAATGAACAAATGCGACAGTATGGTTATATTTAAGCCCTTAATTGAATTTACAGGGGGAAAAAACATACCATGATATATACCATTGTATATATATGAAATTACTCATACTGATACTCATTCTTACTCATACCTTAACACATCCAAAACCAACTTTTATTTATTTATTTATTGGAATGTATTGACAAGAGAAAAATGACGTTGAATATTGTCATAAATTTTAGTATCGGTAAATTTTCGCTTTATCACCCAGCCCTACCGCTACATACCCTGCCTCCTCAAAACCTTATGCCTTGTATCACAGCCACTTCTATATTGATCTCCAATTTCAGAGGAAATAGCTGCGGATTAGTAGAATTAATTAAAACCATTAGATGCAAATGAGATAGATTTGGATGGTTTGGTTGGAGCATCCTCTTCCAGAGAAAATGTTTGCATAGACAAAAGTGTTAATAACCGCCTCAGATTAATTAGCGCCATCGATTCAGAACAGAGAACAACCTGCAGCCCTCGAGGATGTTAAACCTTCAAAGCGCCTCAGCAAATACACCTCCTGACTCCTGCACGCACACACAGCAACAAATCATTTGCAGACACTCTTTTGAATGTAAAGCAGCGGGTACTCCGTGGTAATGATACTAACAAGTGCTTACATAATCAAGTAATTATGCAACCCCAATAATGAGAGTTCCACCTGACATTTGTGGAGCAGTGCAGCGGATGGTGAACCTCTGTTCCTGTCCTGTGACCTGTTGGACCGGGCTCAGAGGTGGGCATGTGTTTGGAATAACAATGTTAGTCTGTTATTGGGTTTCAAATGAGTTGTTTTGGGTGAGCCGCAGTTGTTACCAAAACCTGCTGAGATCAAGGCCCGAGGTGATTGGACTGAACTCTTGGTGGCATCTCTCTAGATGTTGGGATTTCTCATCTCAGCGCATCTGAAAAACAATCCCTTATAGTTTCAGGATGAAGGGACCTGATAGTGTTTTGTCTCTCAGCAGGTCCCCGTCTTCGAGCGATGCATCTCTGCACTTGAATTTCCTGAGCTGAATATTTCATGTGGCAGCTTTTGTAGAAGGAAGTGACACTGTTGTCATGCAAATAGCTGTGTGCAGAGCCCCACCAGCAACACCGAATTTATTTTTTACAAATCTGCATGAAATCATCTCAAAGAAAAGAGCAGTATAAGAAGCTGTCCCGGTGAGCAGGGTTTACAGCACTTAAAGTGGAGAGGAAAACAGGGTTTCGGTGAAGACTAGAGTTTCTAACTGGCAGCTAACAGGAGCCACATTCTGGGGTGGATTCAACTCAGTGTTGATTATTTACAGCAACTAAAACTACAGCTGAAAAAAAGAGAAGTAAACAGCGAGGTAAACCATACTTTCTTTTGAGTTTTCAAGGTTGGAACTGCAAGAAAACCTTATTCCCTCACAAAGCGTTCAAGCTTACTGGTACAGAAAGCCGTTACAGAGGCCCTATTTACCCGTAAATAAAGCAGAGCTTTTCTCCTCAAAAATACATCCGAAAAGAGTCGCATCGTCTTATTGTCGGGGCAAGAAATGTCATCTCTAAAAATAGAATGGTGCAACATAGCGGATTACTGTAAAATCCACTGACTTCATGAGATCAGTCATTATATCTGTGAGGTTTTCGACTCCACAGAGAAGATTCTTGGACTTTTGGAGACTGTGCAGATCCAAACAAAGGTGATCTGTGATGATTTAGGTCTAAATCTTGCACACTAGTTTTATTTATGGTGTTAGTTTATTATGCTAGATTAAGGCTGCTGTATTTGTTTTGTTCTGTTGACCAATCAGAGGCTGTATCTGTCATTAGCAGACCTTTTAAAGGTCCAATAAAATGCAAAGAGAGGCTGAAACAGACATCTCAGCCAGTGTTAAGAATAGAAATACGTGTGGTACAAGTCCAGGGGTAACCTGATTTAAATGAATCTCAAAATTTCTTTTTAAAAAAATGAAAGAAATGACTAAAAAAAAACTAAAAAGACATACTATTTACACAAAGAGACTTAATAGCATCAAAACTACAAAGGTAAATGAAACATGTAGCACAGAAGGACCTGGTAGTCACAAATAATCACAAAGAAAACTAAAAAGAGAAACAAATATGTAAGGAAAAACAAAAAGAGAGAAAAAACTCTAAAAAGCAAAGTTTAGCTACAAAAGCAAACAAAGTAACCACAAAGCAAACTAAAAAGAGAAACAAACATTTAAGGAAAAAACAAAAAGAGAAGGAAAAAAAAAATCAAAGCAAATAGCTCAAATAACAAAAACAAAATGACCACAAAGGGAAATTAAACAATCATTAAAAGAAACAAAACAACTTAAAAGAGAAAAAAGAACAACTACAAAGGGGTCTCTAAAAAATCCCAAAGATATAAAAAAGAAAAAACAACCCAAAAAAAATTTATAGACAACCAAATCTATGTGGACACAAAACCTTGTAGAATCAGAAAACAACCACAAAGAGAAACAAACGACTAGACCAAACAGCCACAAAGAGAGCCAAGACTAACAGGAAGAGCCTCAAAACAACTGAGAGGAGACTCACATTAACCAGAAAGTGGGCAAAAAGGAACCACAAAAAGACACAAAGACAAAGAGATCAGGGCAGGAAGAGTGTGTGACTCCTGCTTTTCTTTAGAAGGGGAGTGGGTCCTAACCATCTCTGTGCCCAGGGGTCCATTGCCTCATAATCAATCCTCAGCTTGAGTAGATTGAGTGCAGCAACCCCGCTGTGGCAAATTGTCTGTGAGCTGGCAGGAGATTTTTCTTTCCCTTCATGGACTTGATGTTTGAACCAATTTAATGCTGGGCCAAAGTTGTTCAGAATTTCTACGCAGTGCTTTTCTTCAAACTTTGTTTCTTCCAAACCGTCAATGCTAACTTAATTGAAACAATTAAATTATGAAAAAGGCAGTAAGAGGAGACAGCACCAATCTAGACAAAATTGATTCAATTGTTCTTGTAATATGAGTAGGCTTAAACACAGTAACAAGAGCTACTTGGTTGTAGTTGTTCGTACAGCTGAAGTACATTCTCTAAATGTGCTTGACTACACTACAGCCTTTTTTTTTTCCTTCGCTGAGTCTGAGACGAGCTTAATTTCTTCTTACTTCTTTTGTATGTATTTATAGACTGAGGTTACTACGGTCAACCACATAGCAACATCTCTCAAAGGCAGTAAAATGCAACGCTGAAAGCCTCCTCTTGATCTCATTCAGCTGCTTTTTCTTTTATTGTAGTCTTCCAACCTAAAAAGAGGGACCTGTTTTACTGAGATAAATACTTGACTTTCATTTTTACTCATTTTACATATGTCTTTGTCGGATCACGTTGGTCGTCAAACTTTAGAGAGGCTACATAAACAAATCAATGTACAAGTGGGGACAAGCGAAGCATCCACCTAGCATTACTTCAAATTGCTTGCGTTCTTCAAGGCTGTATTTCATTAGTGGTTCCTTTTACTTCCATCCATCTTCCCTTAGCCTTTGATGTTACCGTATATAATAGAAACACAAGTCACTTTGGGAGCAGATAGGGTGGGGATTGGGGACTGTGCACTCCCAGCCAAAAGTCTCATGTATTTACGAACTTGTCATGACCCTGTGCAACACGAGCTGACCTATGCAGACTGATGTAATGTATAGAAATAAAACCTTTTAATGCCATCATGGATATTGATTTTATAATGCTACTCAGCATTATCACAGGCATAGCAAATACTCGTCCGTTTGTTGAAATGGAAAGCTTGGGAACATAAGCTGAATTTCTTTATGACACTTGTATGCAGATGATATGTTGCTATTACAATATGCTTTAGGCTCGCCTAACTTTTGCACCCTGTCTTTCAGTAGATATCTTTGCCGTTGGGAGTACAGCATATCGTAAACCTGCAGTGAAGTGTTGGTTCTGCAATGCTTGACCCACACACTAGTCTGCAGTGCGATGTCTATGCTTGTTTTTTTTCGGCTACTGAACCTGGGCGAGTTGAGCCTGGTGAAGGTTGTGCAGGAGCTGATCATGCTTTAATTAATGCATAGAGGAAAAGATCGGAGATGTTGGAGGAGAATAGGAACGCTATGGCTGCTGAGGGAGAGGATGGAGGGCCTATGTGTGTAACGAGGCTAATTCCCGAAATTGAAGCAAAAGCAAATTGCAATTTATGTTAATTTCTTGCAAGGAAGCAACAAAACCTTCATGGTCAAATATCAGCATTATGCATCAAGTTAAGCTAAAGCAGCCTCATTTATTGGAGTATGTTTTGCAACCAAAATAACAGAAAAGTAACAACAGTGGAACTGATAAGGACGATGTTGACATCAGTTTAAGTCCATGATCATCATTACCTGCAGTTCCTCTTTGGGGTAAATCTACAGGCTTTATTTTTGTGACACCTTGTAGCCTGTTACTGCTCTGGTTGGCTGCTTTTCACTCTTTTTTTCCCACCTGCTCCCACTTGTTATCTCTGTGATCCCTATTGAAATCATCTTTGACGTCTTGGGAGATAAGGCTTAGTTAGATGTTTTGTGTTAGTTAGTGTTTTGTGACTTTTTTATCCGTGGCTTTTATAACTTAACATATTCCAACATGTCGTGTTCTTCGCTGGTGAATAAGAACATTTTTATGGATGATTAATTTGACAGTTTGATTCTCAGGTATTGTTGGCCAGCAGCAGAAGTCGTCAGAAACATTTTTCAATCTATTCGCTCTGACGGCTGATGTAAATAATTGCCCTCCAACTCAGATCTGTCTGTGTTTGCCGGGATGTTGGCAGCGGGGATTTTCAAGGTGGCAAGACGTCGCAGATTGACTGGTGAACACTGTGTAGCTGGGAGCAAAACAATCACAGCTATTGTCTCTTTCCATCCCAACAGGTTTCCCAAAGCCTGCAGCTTGGTGCTTCACAACCATGACTGCTATAAACACAGGGCGGTGAAGAATCACAGCAGCAGCGATCAGAGAAAAGGGATAATCAAACTGGAGGGTATTCTCTGCAGAAGTTCTCAAATTGGGGAGTAATTACTATGGAAATTAAAAGTTCTAAAAATAGGAACAAGATGAGAAAATTCTGCAGTAAGTAGTGTGAGGAAGAGGTTAATGGCTGCCTGAATTATACAAGACAATTACTATTGTTGAAAAACAAATTTTCATGTTGCTGCAGGATAAAGAAGAGAGATATTTTCCTTCATAACTGGTACAGAGACAGTTTTTCCATTTCTAATATCGTAACTATGGCAACACAGTATTTTGCTCTCATTTAACAAAGTTTATAACCTCCAGGGAGAAAATAGGCATGCTTTCAGGTAAATTGCTCAGCAGTAAGTAATACCAATCAACTTAGCGGAGGAACAACGCTCATGTTTGGGGAAATGTACGTCTTTGATTTGTTAGATTGAATAAGAAGATTGATATTAATTTCATCTCTGAGTATTTACAAGAGAGGGTGAAGGACAGAGAGAGAGAGAGAGTGAGAGGTCAGTTATGTGCTTAAACAAAATTAAGATTTTATTGGAGACAATGAAACAAAACTGTTTAACAGCTGACAATGATTTACAGTATGTAAAAGAAACTGTGAAACCGCAAAGTCTGACGCCCAGAGTGAAAAATGAAGAGTTTCTGTTGTATTTTGCCTCCTCTACTTTAAGTAACAAACTGTTTTTTGTTCGGTGTCACAGTATTTGGCTCTCATTTAACAAAATTTATAACCTCCAGAGAGAAAATAGGCATGCTTTCAGGTAAATGGTTTAGAAATACCAATCAACTTATCAGAGGAACAACTCTCATGTTTGGGGAAATGGACGTCTTTGATTTGTTAGATTGAATAAGAAGATTGATATTAATTTCATCTCTGAGTATTCAAAAGAGAGAAACAGAAAGAGAGAGGTCTCTTATGTGCTTAGACAAAATTTAGGCTTTATTGGAGACAAAGAAACGAAACTGTTCAACTGTGATTTAAATATAAAAGAAACTGTGAAATCGCAGAGCAAAGACTGACGCCCAGAGTGAAAGAATCAGTTTCTGCTGTATTTTGCCTCCTCCACTTTAAGTAATGATCTGTTATTTGTTCGGTGTTGATCAAGTGTGCACTTTTTAACCTCACAATGAGGACAGACTCTGCTGTGAGCAGGTGTTGATGATTAGCTCATTAGCTCTAACAGTTCAGCCGGTACTACTTTTTTAAATTTATATTTCACCCCTTTGTTTGTACTCGCCTAGAAACTGCAAACACTGACACTTGTGCTCTCCAAAAGACACTTCTTAATATGTTTATTCCCACCCTCATTCTTCTTATTCATGTATTCACTCTCTTAGCATCTCTGTGATCAAGGATGTGATTACTTTTCCTTTTGAAATATCGAACCTTTAACAGCTCCAGGTGTCCCCTCAACAGTCTGATATCAAGATGTGCCACCTCAAGAGTTAGCAGTTTTCATCTTTTGACTTTCTTTGTGCTTTTATTTTTACTGTGAAAGCTGGATAAACCCACAACGAATCTATATCTCTATTGAATGGACCGAGCAGATTAAGTTGTTGTTGATTTTGCAATCCAAGCAATACCAGGGGAGCAATCGTTACCTCTTTGAACGCTGGATGGTAGATTATTTTTTGTTTCTGTAGTAAAAAAACATCAGTATATCAGTTTTTCAGTATACCTGCTGTGTGTGTGTGGAGGCGTCTGTGGTTTCTATAAAGTATATATGAGCCTCGGTGTGACATTGCTGCTGCTCCGTTTGATCAAATCTGATAGATGGTGACGAGGGGGTGATACTGATCACAGACAGGGTGCAGAGTAACGCTGTGTTCTCTGTCGCATAAAGTGTCTCCCATGATTTGTGCCTGCCTTGTCATTGCGACACACACACACACACACACACACACACACACACACACACACTCACACACACTGATTCATTAACAGAACACTAAAGACACAGACTCTGCTGTCATTACTGCTTCCTGTGCTGCTTTTGTTTTTCGCTCCAAGATAACATCCTACCTCCTCTTATCTTGCTTTTGTATCCACATACACGCACATAAATCATCACATTGGCACTGTTTGACGGCCTTGTTGAAGATCTGATAAGGTGCATATTGAACAAATTGGATGGGGTGTTGATAAAAGTTGGATGAGAGACAGGAAAGAAACATATATATAATTATATACTTGAGAGACGACTAGAGAGCAGGATTTCTCTCAAAGTTAGGAGGAAAGATCGTCTGAATGTTTCTTCATGTTCCTCCTCTTCCAGTCTGAACCCGTACAGCTACGACGAGAGCTGCGTGTCCAGCAGCGTTGACCACCTCCCCCTCGCCGCCCTCCCACTCCTCGCCATCGTCTCGCCTCGCTACCAAGACGCCGTGGCGACCGTGATCGCCCGTGCCAACCAGGTGTACCGCAGCTTCCTGCAGTCAGAGGACGGGCAAGGATTCAGGGGTCAGGTGCGTCTCTCTCAGCCGTCTTGTAGTTTAGAGAGTAAAGTAAAGAGGAAGTCCTTCACTGTGGTCTCTCATCATTGAATAATGAGTTAGAGGCACTTAAAAAGAAGTCGATGATTGTTAAAGGAAATAAAGATTGCTTTTGAGTGGGCTGTGTAATCTGTGGGAGCTCAAGCCCTCAGAGAGCTCCACATCTCTATTATTGAAGAGGGACACATCTCTCTCTCTCTCTCTCTCTCTCTCTCTCTCTCTCTCTCTCTCTCTCTCTCTCTGTCTCGCTCTCTTGTACAGAACAGCTTATTGGCTGTTTGTAACAAGCTGCAACTTCTCAAGAGTTAATGGTCTGTGAAAAACCGCGCTCACTTAATTTCAAGTTAACAACATTGAAACATAATATCTGCTCAGTTATCTTGAACTCACATGAACTGAACTGTTCCCATGTAAAATGTAACGCCAGACTCAGTTCAGCATGTGAACAGTGAATTACCGTTATTTCCCTGCAGTTTTCCTACTTTAACGTAACATAGTTCTGGTGTTACATGACGAGCCTTAGATTTGCGGGTCTTGAGAGAAAATGATGGGGAGCCTCTGGTCAATACAGGTCTGATTGGCCAATCAGGAAGAGCAGACCACTTTACCCTCAGCTAAGAGGCACAGGTTATCATCAGGGGGTTATTCTGCACGTACTATTGATGAAAGATTAGTAATGATAGGTTTGTTCTGCAGCACTGAATGTTGGATTTACCAGTATACACACACTCACATAACAACACTAATGTGTGGTGGTTTTGTTCTGATTTAAAAAGAAAGCAGTTTTATGAGAATGGGTCAATTGAAGCTCCTGTGAGGAGTTTTTACTGCTTATGAAACTCCCTGACATTAAAATCGTTGCCTTTCAATGACCATCAGACTTAAGATTGACTTTTTTCGAGGGTATGAGGTAGGTGTCAGATAAACTGATTAGCTCTATGCTTTCATTTAACATTGTAAAGATTCCTGAGTAATAGATTTGACCTTCAACCACATGAGTGAAGCACTTTGGAGAGGAGAAACTTTCTTTAACAGGCAGAAACCTCGAACAGAACCAGGCTCATGTAAGACAGTTTTGAGAAGGCAGTTCAAGAAGAGAGAGATGGGCAGTGGTGAGATTGATGCACGTAGTTGAAGCGAAACATCTGCAGCAGCGAGCCAGAGGAAACTACGTCATCATGGAGCAACAGTGACTCACATAAAAGACTGTATTAGTGACTCAAACGGAGTGTGATCATTCAAAGTTAATGACTGACATGAAAAGAGAAGCTTTATGAGTCAGATTCCATGTAGCACTCGTTTTTTTTTTCTTTCTTAGGCTGTGTCCGAAATGGATCCCTAACCCCCATATAGGCGACTATATGGGGGTTAGCGCCATTTTGAGGGGTGTCTGAAACCTGAGTGATCAATTCCAATGCCCCATATAGACAACTGAAAATTTCCCGTCAAGCATTGCAAAATGTAGTGACCATCCGATGGTCACTCACTGGTGGTGGGCGTCCCGTCATGCATTGCGTCTTGCCATGTAGTGTCCGAAACCTCCGGTGACTGAGCTCACTACATAGACAACTATATAGTGAAATCCCATATGGGGGTTAGGGATTGATTTCGGACTCAGCTTTAAACTGTCTAACAGAGTTTTTTTTGCAACTGTGTTAAATACAGGAAACTGAATCATGCATTCCCTTTTAGCTGATATTCTACTTCACATTTTGAGTGCTTTAAGGGCCTGTGTCTACTGCTCTTCTTTAGTACACAAAACCAATTGCTCAGAGTCACTTTTCCTCAGACCAGCTCTTCTGTTTTCAACGTGGACAACAGTAATAAAAAAAGAAGAGACTGGTAAGACCTGTATTTATAAAAGTACAGTTTCCATGTTGAAGCTGTTGCCAACACTGGGACATTACTTCTTCCTGCTGGTGTAACATTTGTATATTGAACAGTTAAAGCAGATGACGCTCTGCTTTAATCTGCCAGTGGACACAGGCCCTAAAGCTGCTGCTGTGTTGGACTAGATAACAACAAAAACTTTTATACACTTTTCAGAAGTTGTTTGTAATTTCATTTGAGTCCTCCCGTCCCTGTTGATTTCTATAATATATTCATTATGATAATTAGATTTAATCCCTGTCCTCTCATTATTCTGCTGTATTGTTTTACCAGATTACTCCATGTGTAATTGCTTTCATTACAATTAACTGTGGCGTTTTAGATTACAGTATTTTACCTGCTGATGCAGTAACAGTCATGCAGACGGACACAGGGGGCGCTCTTTAACCAAAAACTGTGATGTGATCAGTTTTATTTAGAGGTGCTTACCAGTCGGTTTTATCACCAGTCTATTTGCACTTTCTCTTTTCCTTAAGTGTGAAATATCAAAGCTGTCAGAAAATCCCGTCTGACACTGAATAACAGCTCAGAGGCCTGTGATCACTTTGCTACTTTCAATTACAATCTGAGCACAATATTGATGAGCGATGATGTCCTGCAGTAATGTGCTCTGAGAGGACGAAGGAGCTGCTTCAACCTGAGCATAAAGATATATTGGTAACACTTTACTTGACACCTACCTCTATAACACATAATAAATATATGTATAATGCATTATAATCAGGTTATAGCACTGTATAACTATAGTTATAAACACTCATAAATGATCATAATGCTTTATAGCAATAATGATGACACCTTATAAAGCATTTTATCATGACTTACAAGGTCAGGTATTATAACGTGTTATGGTTATTGTTATAAAGCCTTATGATAATTAATGAGTGTTTATAATGATAGTTATATAAGTTTATGAGCACATATAATGCATTATCTATGTGAGTATTGTCAGTAAGTTGTAAACAGTTATAACACATTATAACACCTGACCTTGTAAGACATTATTAAATGCTTTATAATGTGTTATGATTATTGCTATAAAGCATTATGATCATTTATGAGTGTTTATAACTATAGTTATACAGTGCTATAACATGATTATAATGCATTATACATGTATTTATATTGGGTTATAGAGATCAAGATATAGGCGTCAAGTAAAGTGTTACCGATGTGTTTTCATTAGACAAACATAGGCAAAAAAAAAATTGCATCTGAAGTTGTAGACACAAGTTGCATCATTTAATGGTAAAAGGAACATCTAATCGTTGTGTAGCTGGTGTCAAAGATATTTGCTGTTACCACCTATAGTACACGCTGTATGTCTAGTGTGAATCTGAGACACATGTCAGAGTCATAAATCCCTCTCTCTGTTATTTTCTCATTTTAAAGTCCATTCACACGCCTCTCCATCGGTCCTATTTTCAATGCTTTCACAGAGGGACTGCAGCGTTTAAAAGAGGATGTCTAAATTATGTATTTTCCTTGCAGGTCTGCCTGATGGGCGACTGTGTGGGAGGTGTGCTGTGCTTTGACGCTCTGTGCTTCAGTAACCACCAGAGGCCCGTCAGCCCCAACAACAGCAGCAGGAACAACAGCACAGAGAGCCTGAAGGTAGGAGCGCTCTGCCGCAGCTGGAAGATGAGCATGACGTGTGAAGCTGCTGGACAGGGTTTGGGACACTCTGAGCAGCTGGTTTTAGAACATTTTACTTCACCTAGATGATTAGGAGATCACTGAAATTGATGAGGATTACACGCCCGTGTTATACCGTGTTTTCATCAGAGGAGTTAATTAGTACAAGTATGAGCGTGTGCTGCGGCGGCATCCTTGACATAACTCCCCTCGCTCTCTGAACTCACCTCTGTCTATATCCTATCAAGAGCCAGACACATCTTCTTCAAAGGTCTCTATAAGCCAAAGGCGAACTCCTTGACTGTGTGATATTTCACAGCACTGTTCTTCTACATAAAAGCTGTAAGCAGACGCTGCGGTGGAGATTTCTGTTTGTTTCTGCTCTTGACTTGATCAGGAGCAGAATTTTCTTATCACCGTTTTTAAAGGTTTTCATACTCGACTGTTATGAATATTTAGACGGACTATTCTCTGGCGTGGCTCACCATTTGACGTCATTTCTTTCTGTTCAAATTTGCTTGAATGCCCATTTTCTGCCTGTTCTCCCTTTGAATCCCCTCATGCTTTGTAGACCCTCACCCCTCTTACACCCACACATTTAACCTCTTCCTTTCAGCAACTCGCCTTAGAAAACCAACATCACCACCCATCTCATTACGCTTAATTTCCCTGTGCACTTACTGGTGTGATTCTGGTCTTTTCCCTTAGGACAATTCAGGCCGGCTCGGGGACTCCAGCCCGAGTCTGAGCTCCAGTAAGAGGCTGAGTAAGAGCAACATCGACATCTCCGCCCCCAGTGATGGGCACAGCCAGGAAGGGCCGCCTCTCAGCCGGAAGCAGAGCGACTCGTACGATGGAGACACGGCGTCTACGGGCCAGCGTGGCTTCTTCTCCAGGTGAGGGAGCACACATGAACACAATGAGACCGGAGATACAGACATGTACATAATGAGGTTTTCGGTGTGCGTGTGAAAGTTGTGTTTACAGACAAAAACCTCATCCTGTTCATTTACGACTCTCCGACAATGCGATGCTACCAAGAAACTACAGTGTAATGGTCCATCAGCTGACTCGGTCTGTCTCAGGAATGCTTTGCTCATATTTTAGATGATAGATTAGATCCACAGTGAGGAAAATGATGAATTTTAAAGGTCAGACGTTCATAGACGAACATTTGCCATCGTCATCTTTCTTAACAAAATGAACACAAGTATAATCATTTTATCACTCAGATGAATAAGAATAAAGACGTTACCACATTTTGACTAAAACCACCTTAAAGTTGTTGGAAAGTTTTTGAACATTTCTTCCAAACAGCATCTGTTGATCACCGGTGAGTCTGTTAGAGGCTCATATGATAGCAGATGTTGCCCGCTGGCTCTCTCCCAGGTTTCCCTCGATGTGTCTCCCTATTTCACTCCTGCTCTTTGTCATTATTTGCAGCCTGACTTCCTCTCCAGCCTACCTGCCTCGGCCGGACTATAAATAGCCTCTTTGACCCTTTCCCAGCTGGTTTGTGCGGGAGCCGGAGCGAGTGAATTCAGCAGGGTCAGGGCGGCTGGAGGCGATACAATTCCCATGTTGACTCACTTCAAGTAACCAGCGTTCTCGCTTCAGATCACATGCTCAGCTGGGCTTGCACCTTCACAGAGGTCTATGAGCGGAGGATCCCATTGGGTTAAAGTGGTGACACAGTCTGTTCACGGCGTTGCAGCTCTCACCTTTCCCTCTTTTTTCTCTCTGACCAGTAGTTTGGATGTTACCCTCGATCCTTGATCTGCTGTTTGGCTTTTCACCTCCCCTGTGGATACCTCCATCCACCTCAGACAGCTCATTAAATCTCGTTTCTCAGACATTAGCCCCTTATCAGATTGGCCTCTGTCTCCTTGGGGTTCACACCATTCAGGATGTTTCCGTGTGCACCTCGCTTAGCTTTGGCCCCTACTGGGAATTGGCAGGGAAACCATGTGGAAAGCGTCACAGCTGGTTTAACAGGAAACCCAGGAGCGGTTTCTCTTTGGGACCTGATCCATCTTCGCAGGAAGAATGCAGACTGATGTTTAAACAAACACGTAAATGCGCCTAATTGACAGCATTTAGACATCTACTCAATCTTAAGTGGATCGAAAAAACATGATGTGCAATTAGAGCTGCTAAAGCTTCCCTGCACACCTAATACCCATGAAGAAATATCAGAAACGGTCTCCTTTAATGGGATAGCATCATTTTCAGATCTTTTTGCTGCCACATTAAAAAAATACAGACAGTTTGAGACCCGTTGAACCTCTACCTGTCAGAGTTTTTAACATGCTGGTGATAATCTGCTGTATTATTCCAAGTGCTGTAGCTGGAGGGTGAATTTAGCTCATCCAGGCAGTAAGAATAACTCCTCATTTTCTGCTCTAAAAGATTTTTTTTCCTTTTATTTTCTGCGTGAGCAAGTAAAACTGCACTCACTAAGTGCCTGTATTTTTATAGAAATACTCGTCAGACAACAGCATGAGTTATTGGACTTGTTGCGGCAATGAAGAACATGCAGTCCTCTGGTTATCTAATAATATTTTAAAAAAAGTACAGCTCATGCGATACGTAATACCCCCAATAGTCCTCTGCCTTTATTACCACATAGATTACACATGTAGTGCAGCACATTTTGCAGCACAAAGACAGAAATCTGTACATGATAGAAAGAAGGGAAACAACAGACATGTTATGGGATAAAAGATAAAAGCAAAAGGAAGTAGGAGGTAATCAAAGCATTATTGATTTGGCTTTTAAAGATGGCTGGAGCCTCTCTGCTAATCCTCTCTTTCCCCGTGCTGGACTTAATGTGGAAATGTTGGCTCACTAGAGAGCAGAGATCTCGTCATTCTGCAGGGAGTCGAGGCTGAGAGCTGCTCAAACAGCTGCGAGCGTGATGCAGGCTGTGAAGGCTGAGCGAAGAGCAACTTGGGCTGAGTCATAAAGGCCCCGCGCCTACAACGACCTCTGAATGTTACAAAAAAAAACAAGCCGGGCTCCGATTGAAAGAGGACAAAACAAAAGCGTCAATGACTCATCTTTGCCAAGACTGAGACATTTGCTTTCTCTGTTCAAAGTATGGAAATGATTGACCTTTAGAGTTTGAAAGTACTTCGAGGTTTCTCTTGTAATGAAAACACTTGTTTAATGCCATTGTACACCAACCCTGGGCTCGCATCCCAACCACAAATAAACCGTGTTTTAAGAGTTAAAAACTTTGTTATAAACCAGAGCCTGACTATTCAACAGGTAGATCAGTAGCTCTGTTTGTATCCCGGCAGCCTTCAGTTATTCAAACACGAGTTAACCAATTTAAAGCCTCTGTGAGGAGTTTTTAGCTGCTTACAAATCAGACTGAAACTAATGCTGATGTTTCTGCAAGGTCAGTCATTTACATATGGAACTTTTTAATGCCTGTTATACTGCTGCTAGGTCTGTGTCAGACTAAGCAATGAACAGCACACTGTAGGAGAGCATTTTTATTTCTCTTTGCACCCTTAAGGATCATAGTAAGTGATTCAGGTGACTGTTAAAAGACAGCAGGATGAGATTTAAATCTAAAACACGATTTTCACAAGCACAGACAAGAATCAGTACAGAGGTATTTACCATTTTGTCCACAGGGTGCGCCAGAGGTTCCTCACAGCCTGAAAAGCTGTCCCACGGGGCTACAATAACGCTCCATATTTTGTGCCCATATGTGTTTTCTCAGTCTGATGAAACAGAGCACGGAGGTGCGAGGCAGCAGCAGTACCAGTCTGGTGTTGAACCCCGGCAAATTTGACTTCGAGGTGTCAGACTGCTTCCTGCTCGGCTGTCCTCTGGGCCTCGTTCTGGCCATGAGACGCACTGTGCTGCCTTCTGTCCAGGGTGAGGATCAGAAACATCTATTTACTCGTAATCAAAAACAGTCTGTTTGAAAGGTGTAAAATCGAGTGCTTTAGTAAGAGTTGTTGATTGCTTTAAATGTGATATCTCTGAGTGGTATTGTTGTCAGTTTGTCCGGGGTTACCTTCTGTAAAACTCTAAAAATCCTCTGTTGGAACTAAACCTGCTGCTTGTCTGACCTTTTCTCTTTATTGTGTTTTTCAGTGAGCCAACTCCATCCAGCCTGCTCTCAGATTTTCAACCTGTTTTACCCCTCGGACCCTTCAGCATCCAGACTGGAGCCTCTGCTGCAGCCTCTCTTCCACAAATTACCCCCGTTTGCTGTCCCTCGCTACCAGCGCTACCCACTGGGAGATGGACGCTCAATGCTCATAGGTAGGATGGGTGATTGGATCCTCTAAATCAATTTTTGTCAGCGTGGGAAGATGCAACAGAAGCTCCTGATAAATATTTTATTGGTTAATTTATTTCCTGGTGTAATTTTAGTACCATATTAATAACCTTTTTGCATTTCAAAGGTGCCATGAAAGCTTTGGGGATTACAGTCAAAGAAAGTCCCATGACTAAGTAATGTGAATTTTCATGGGCACATATGTGCCCTTCGATCCCATCTTTGTGATCTTGCCATGCAGAGGCTGAGCTAAATCCTGCCCCTGGAGCCCAAAGTTTGAAGTAATTATACTTCATCTGCTGTGTGCAGCGCCTTTAGCCTGCTGAAACCCTCTGAGGACAAAGCACAGTATGGGAGATATTAGTCTGCGAGATATGGCGCAGCACTGCTGTAATCCCCCCAGAGAGTTTGGGTGTAGAAACTGAGTCCTTAACGAGCCACTGATTTATTTGAAGCATGTTTTAGCCCACTTTTGGGACACAGAGACTTACTCTAAACAGCAGTTATGACGCACCGCCTTGTTCCCCTGCCTCTTTCCACCTCGCTCACTAAGAGAAAGTAGAACGACTGATCTCTTCAGTTAACAGCTTCTAAGCTTGGACTCATAATAGATGATAAGGCTTTGTGGTTTATTTTCTTTTGATAGGCATGAACACAAACCTGTCTATTTGAATGAACAGTACACACTCATATGATACGACTTTTTGGCTGTTTCTCAGAGGAAGCTTTGAAATGGTATTCATCGAGATAAATCTTAAATGTTCAGCAAAACAATGACAAACACTATTCAGAGTTAAAGAGGCCTATGATCAACTGCTAACTAGCTGACTAACCATCCTTCCAAATCTATCAACTAGCTAGCCATCCCAGCAACCTAAATAACACAACCAGCCTACCCTATCACAAACCCACCAACCAAACAATTAACTAAATTTAACAGCCAAACATCAAACCAACCCTTTAAACCAAGCCAAGCCTTATCAAACTAAGCAATTAACGTATAACTGAATGAAAGCAGCAAAATACAAACCACCCATTACAACAACTCACAGACCAACAAGTTATACGACAGGACCGAACTCACACTGTAAAGTCAGACAAGCTAGTTTACCTAATTGAACAACAAACTGATGAGTCGACTATCTAACCATATAACCAACCAACCAACCAACCAAGCTACAAACCATATAACCAACCAACCAAACAAACAATCAAACAACCATCCAACCAACCAACCAAACAAACAAACAACCATCCAAGCTACAAACCATATAACCAACCAACCAACTAACCAACTAACAAACTACCCAACCATCCAACCAACCAACCAAACAAACAAACAACCATCCAAGCTACATACCATATTACCAACCAACCAACTAACCAACTATCCAACCAACCTACCAACCAGCCAGCCAGGCAGCTGGTCAGCCAAACTACCAACTGTCTAACTAACCAACCAGTCAACTGACCATCTTACCATTTAACCAACCAACCAACCAACAAACCAGGCAGCCTACAGCCTACCAACCATCTAACCAATCAGTCTGTCAACCAACCATCTCACCATTTCAGCAACCAGCCAACCTGTCAAACCAATGAACCTTTTTCCAGTCAACCAACGAACCAACCAGCCAACCAACCATCTCACTATTTCACCAACCAAGTAGCCAGCCATTAGTCAAACCAATTAATCTTTTACCAGCCAACCAACCAATCACCCGTTTAATCAGTGAACCAACCAGTCTGCCACAAGTCAAACAATAAACCATCCAATTACCAAACACACAAACACAAACTCACGCACAGCCAAATAAAACCAACCCCCCAGGCAAGCACAAAAAATAACAACCAATCATCAAACCCTGCCCGACCCAACCCATAAACCGCTCCCTGTATCACAGTGCAGTTTTTTATTTGTTGCATAAATTGACTCCTCTGTTGCCCGTTAAACAGGGAACCTGTAATTTATCTATGTTGTGCTTGTATGTGACCTGTGTACAAAATCTATCTGACATGCGAGAGTAAATAACACAGCTGTGCTTACAGCTCCTCTAGCTGTGATTTATTAATATAATCCCGATCAGCCAGTCATAAGGCGGGATGCTTGATAGGAGCCAGTAGTGCTGTCAGAGTGATTAAGTCTAAAAGCAAAAACACATCTCAGTCATGCAGCTATTCCAGGTTTTTAATAATGGGTCTGAAGCATCCCAGTTTCTTTGAGCAGGTTTGGATGCTGACAAATTGCATGTTAAATTAAATAACAGAGACAGGTGCACAGAGACAGAAGCAGATATACACCAACACACTCCTGCTCACACACACACAGGCGTATATCACCCACTTCCTGCTCTGTAATATGGTAATTAGTTGTTATGAAGGCATGGAGAGCCAATCAAATCAGACTCCTTTGGGTATGACTTTGACTGCAACAGCCGTCAACAGCGGAGCTTTTATTATGATGAATGCTGCTAATATCAGGAGAATGAGCCCTCTTTTTATTGATTTCCAGCTGGGGTCCAATGAGAAATATGATCAGTCAAGACAGCAAATGCACATGGAGATATAGTCATTTTTATCAGTATTGATTAGTTTTTGCTCGCTACTGAATAATTCCCTAACCAGATACATGGAAGTGGGGCGAGGACTTCCAGGGAATGTACTGAGTTTAAAGTCTCTCCCTGTGTGTGTCTCTCTTTGTTCCAAAGACGTTTCAAGGCCACAGAGTAATCATCCTCCCTCACCTTCTGAATTCTCTACGTGTCCTTCCTTTAACCACCATCATCGACTGTTCCACACTCGCTCTGCCTTCTACTTTAACCATAATCTCTCTGTTTTTGTGCTGGTGTTTTTTCGAACATCACATTTCTTTAGTTGAAGTTTCTAATTCTGCCGTCTGCTCTGTCTGAAATTTTATGTGTGCGTCAGAGTCGGGCTGTCTTTCTTTCTTTCTCTTTCCTCCCTCTGCTCTATTGTACTTCCAATGAAAGACAGAGCCGCTCTAAAGCTCCAGACTCTGGGAGAGAGAGGGAGAGAGAGAATAAGGCTGCTCTGTAAGAGGTGAGGCACAGAGCTCGTTAGTGATAACAGAGTGTATATGTGTGTGTGGGGACATCCAGACATGTGAGCTTGCTTTTTTTCTTACAACCGCTTTGAGCCTCAGAGAAGGAATGATTGAACTGCAGTCATTGGAAACAGTGTATACACCATGTACAATGGCAACATTTATAGTCATAATCACCATTTTGATTGGAGAATATGCTCATCCACAAAGCTGACCAGAGGTATGTAACTCATAATCTAATTTTTTTAAGGAATCAGTGGACGCCTGCCCTGTCTCGCAAAAATGTAAACCTGTAAAAGACAGGTACGACCACTGCAGATCAGAAAAATACACAAGCCACCCTCCATCAAAACCCATCAATCTCTGTCCAAATAAGAAAAGAGCTATTGTTGTCTGGAGGTACAGTGGTTTCTCCAAGTACACCTGCATCAAAGAATACCAATGTACCGAAAAGAAACAAAGAAATAACTGACAAGTGGAAAATTAATCACACATCATGATTAGCCAGACCACCAAGTGGTTTCTGCAGGGCTGAGAGGAGCAGTTTTTTTCTCTTCATTCATTTCATTATCTTTTTTTTGTTCTGACTCCCATCGCGGGGTCACACTTGAGTAGCAGTTAGTGTGAAATGACTGAATAAAAGCATTTCTTTTCATGTCAGATTAATCTGCAGAGGAGATAGACGACAATTTCGAGATCTTAAAAGGCGATGTGAGAAGCTTTCATGCCAGGCTGATTTTTTTCTGACCCCCTTGGACAAAAAAAGACAAAACAAAAGATGGTTTCATTCCTTCTTGTCAAATTTATGGACTGCAGATCTTCATTTTAATATGTTTTTATTTGCAGGATGAAAAACTCTGATTTGTTGCTTTTAGCTTACAGAAGGTGAGCTGGTATTTAGCATTACCTGTCACAAACCTGGTATCATGATGTGTCCCTGATACAAATCAGAAAATACTGTGATGTGAAAAGCCTGTTCAGAACACAGGCGCTAAAACTCAGCACGGAAGAAATAGCAGTTGTGCAGATGATAATCTTATTTCATGATGTTGTTCACTAAGAGGCAACAGTAGGAGTGACACTATTTCTTAATCTCTGAAAGCTCCTCACATTGCCTTAAAATGCATCAAAACTGTTAACTTTTTTATCATCCTGTAGTCCAAAGAAATTCCTGTTGATCAACAGCAAAAAACCCAAAGATACTCGCTGTATGACTACCCCAGGAACAGGATGTTCACATTTCAAGTTATTGAGTACTGATGCATTGACTGAGAGCTCCAGACAGATACAGAGTGAAAGAGATTTTTCTGTTTGGTTTTGCAATAAAGTTATAAATAAAGTTCTTCTCCGTCTTCTTCTGGTGCAGTATGTGTTCAAATAACTCCAGTGTGAACCAAGGACTCAATGAAACTTGGATGTAGTCTCAGTGGTGTCACCTATTAGTTTCAGCAGAGAGGCTTTAAAGCTGATTCATGGCAAGTGTCAATATGGAAATGAAGGTGAAGCTGAAGCAGGCTGAGGAGCCATAAACAGACCTCAACAAAAACGCCACTCTATAACCACGAATAATGCTCGGAACAGAACCTAACTTCATCAACAGTACATATAGGGTTCCAGCCATAGCACTAGCCATCAAACATCTTTTTAGCTTCTTCATGGAAATGCAATCAGACCGAGATGCTAAGGCAGAAGAACTACCGCGTCTACAGTGCAAAATGATTAATGTTGTTATTACTCAAAGGAAATGATAAAGTAATGATCATGAATGTTCTTCCTTGAGCTGCGTCACCCCGCTGTAGTCCGTAATGGACTATCCTGCCGTCGTTACTAAAGTTGGTATAACTAGAGAAGCAAGCGGTCCACAACATTCATCTCTCAAAGGGGTGTCTAACTCGGTGTTATGGTGTGTTTGACCCTAAATTAATTTAACGCCGGAATATCCTTTAATAAGGTGTCCTTGATTTTTGCACCCTGCCTCGAGTGAACACCTGAGGAATTGCAGTTTGTAGCATGTCTTTACTGGAGTCATACGTTAACATATTAGGTTGTCACGACTTGCTAGGTGTATACCCATCTGCTTCAGAGATGGACAACCAACACCTAAATTTTCATCATGATTTCAATGATGCTGCTCAGAAAAATGTCAAATAACATGTAGAAACTGTTTTTCTCTTATTACATGTTCATGCTGCAGAGATGCACTCACATCTTTGTGTCCTATTTTATTTAAAGAAGGAGGAAAACACAATGTGCCATTTCTTTCTGGGACCACTAAACCACATTTTATCCCCAAATTATTATATTTTTTCATACTTTTTGTGGAAAACCATCCAATCTACACTTACGCAGCATGTGTCAGATTCCATCAGTCCCAATGTAGGTGAGTCTTAGCCTCCATTTATGAATCCTACCTGCTTCTCCATCACGTCTGAAGGAGCGGCTGTTAATCCGTATTCTGCCGCAGTATTCAATTCTCAATCCTCTGAGGACCAAACAGGCAACATGTTGCTGCATCTGACATTTTATTTATAACCACTCCTGCAAAGAGCGCAGAGAAGGGTTAATCTGCCAATAAGGGGCGTCTGGGTGAACATTTGATATTTGATGCAAATACGAGCTGATCCCTAGACACAGTTAATGGATGAGTAAATGAGATATTAAATGAAAAATGGAGGTTGTATTTATAATGTTTGTGTTCGATGAAATGGTCGTCATGTGAAAGAGGAAATTGTGCCAAAGGAAACTATTAAGAGAATTTGTTATTTCCCAGGATGCAGCTGGGTTTTCTATGAGAAAATTCAAACCCGAATGCACGGTGAGGTATTCTGCATAACGTTTGCAGTCAGGCATGCATACTTTATCGGCGTCCTTCCGTCTTCGGCGTCCTATTCCAGCTCTCGGTTAATAGCTTATATCCTGTCTGTCTCCTAAGAGCACATCACCCAGGACTGACACATAGCTGCTCGAATGAAGCGAGCGAATGACGTGGTCTTGGTTTGTTTGTGACTGGCATGAAATATTTTCTGACAAATGCATGCAGATTTAATCCTCTTCAATTGTGAGGCAGAGCATGGATCGGGTTTATCAGCTGTCACTAAGGTCAACATTTCATCTGCAGCTGACTGTGCGGCGCAGCGGTTGAGTGCAGACTCATTCAGACGTGAGTCAAGCCGCATCCACTGTCATAATAGATCTGCAGCAACATGCAAGGCCAGGGTAAAAGGATAATGAGTACTCTCTGGAGTCTGGCCCGGAAAAAAAGGGGTTTTATAACGCAGGTAGACGAGGAGAAGAAGGTGAATTTAAGGGAAAAGAGGTATCTTTGTATGGCTGCCTTCCTTCGCTTCCTCTCATTCAGCCATGTTCTGCTCGTTGGAAGTATTACATTCAGTAAGAGTCTCCTTTTGTCTCCAGGTTGTATTACAGGGATCCAGATAAAAGCATATTGGACTGAGCTGGTAGACACTTGCCTCTCTGATAGTTGAATTATTGATGAAATATGTGTCTTCCCCGGCTCTACATCTCAAGGAATAACAAGTAGATCCATGATGTCTGTTGAACCCACATCTCCAGGGAGAACTCTCATTTTTAAGAACAAGTATTACCACTGAACAAATATGAAAAAGCTGCATTAAGATGTGCCTCGTGGAGGGAAAGGACGCAACCTGATAAATTTATTCTGTTCGGTAAGAGTCGAGAGAAAAATGTTTTCTGTTTCTCCCCAAAGTTCAACAAAAGGAATGAATCCCACCAGGAGCAGAGGCAGTGTCTTTAATTGGGCTCCTGCTAGTGCTTGTCTTTGCTTTTCAAACACTGAGCAAGTCGATACTCAGTAATAGGCTGGGTTATTAGGGAAAATAACAGCATTGATTTAAAGATTGGAGCCAGCCAGTTGTTGTGTGATCAAAGCATTTCATTTCCTCTCTCCTCTCTGTTTGTCTTTGTCTTCCTCTCTCTCTCTCTCCTCTTCTTACTTTTTTTAAAGCCGAGAGTATTCAAGGCCATCCGAATGTGTTTCTGGAGAGTGATCAAACCTCAGGAGGCTCAGCTTCACAGCCGTCCTCTGAGACGAAGACTGATGGCGGAGGAGGCGGAGGAGGAGATGGAGGTCGACGAGCCAGTGTGACCAGTGAGGAAAGTGAAACGTCGATCTGCTCCATGGGCCAGCTGGGAAACACTATCAGTAACAGTGAGTGGGAGGGATGCTATACTGGCCTGTCTGGTTTCTTTAATTATCCTCTGAAGAGCAGTTCAGGTTCACAGGAGTTCACAGCTCTTTGGTTGACCTTCAAGTTTCTCCGTCGATGCTGATCTTTATTTGTGTTTGTCAGTTTCCAGCAGCTGGTGGGGCTCCAAACGGCTGGACTTTGCCCTGTACTGCCCTGATGTGCTGACCTCCTTCCCCACGGTGGCTCTGCCTCACCTTTTCCACGCCTCCTACTGGGAGTCCACTGACGTAGCAGCTTTTGTTCTCCGGCAGGTGGGCGAACTTTATCGACAGCCTCTTGCTTTTCCGACCAAAAAAAGTACAAAGCACTGGAAGAAGTACCCTCACAGTAATGACTAACGAAACAGTTCAGTGAGATTTAAACAGGGTGCTTTAGCTGTTATTATAGTTTATGTTCGACATTCCCATCCCTATCCCCTGTGGTTTGTTCCAACACATTCAGAGCATTTACATGCACATCCACGTTTACATGCAGCTGAGAAAATCTAATTATTGACATGAACGTGTCCTCCTCCCCAAAACTAGGGGGCGATATGGGTCTTTTCACCTGCGCTTTTTCCGACCCCATACAACCGTCAACAACAACAGAAGGTTTGTGCCGGACGTCAGAAGTGGCTACAACTGCTGTTGGGCATTTTTGAGCAAGAAGATGGAGCATCATACAGCATTATTGTTCTGGGGTTACCGGGGCATGGCACACGTGCACACGCACTGTCCGATCATACTCTGACTAAGCTGGTTACATGGTAGAGAAAATCGAATTCCAATTGCATTATCTGGGTGTCTTAATCGGAGTTCTCCGACTCCAATCAGAGTTCTCAAACTTCAATTTTAGTCGGACTAAGGTGTTTACATGCACTTCAGTTGTCTGGTCTTAATTGGAGTAAGACATTAATTCAGTTTTCTGGAGTGTCATGTAAACGTACTGAGTTTCAGCAGCAGGAAACCATCCATTTAACTCTTTAAAGGTACATTTTTAAATGTTTATAAACTGTACAAACAAGCAGCCAGAAAGTTGGAGAAATCTCAAACTGGGGGCACTGGACAGAGGTGAAATACTCTAAAAAAAGCTCTAATTTTGAAGTGTTAACAGAAAACAAGAAGACTAACACGCTTGGTGTAAATCAACCAAGGTTTAAAGGGTTAAGTAAAGTGTTTTTTTATATGTATATGTGTGAAACTAAAACAAGCAAAACTCATTTTATGAAATTATGTTGTGGTTGAATAAAAAGTGGTCCCAGGATTGACCCTTGGGGAACTCCAGATGCCTTTTTCAACCTGTCCCGGCTCTAGAACCTCCACTAGTTTAGCACTTGCAGAAACAAATGCAGATTCTTCTAGTCTTTTACACATCTGTGTAAATTTTAAACAAATATCCCCCTCGCTGCTCTCTCTTTAACGTTTCAGGTCGTAATGTGTAATCCGAGCGTTCCAGAGCCTTTTCTTTGAAGCAAATGCTCTCTCGTGTGAAACAGCTGCCTCGATTAAATGATGTCTTCTTGCTTCACTAACAACAAAGCAGAAAAGCATCGCCGCTCGGCTGTTCAAGGGCTCCTTCTGTGCAGACGACAACCTGAATGTGTAATAAACACAGGCTTGGCATTGAGCCACGGGTGTTGTCAACACTCCTTTATGGTCGGTGCGTAGCTGTGTACAGAAGCAGCAGTAAGAATTAATCAATGTGAACCGAGATTTGCTAAAAATATAACATATACTGTCCTCTTTCTAAAGACCTTTTTCAGGGTATTTTTGATACTTCCTTTATTCATTTCTGTTTGATATGAACATGACAGTTTAATCAATGAAAACAAAAATAGATGAATAGACACAGGGAGCAGCACTCTGTGAACACTGAGGCATTAAGACAGACACTTAAGCGTCTTTATTATTAGCAATCCTGTTTTTCACAACGGTCCTTCTACTCCTTCTTTCAAAGCGGACGAGCTAATGTCATTTTCTCCTCGCTCTAAATAGAGCGTGTGATGTTGATAAGGAATTTATTAGTGAGGGGACTCTGAGGAAACCAGCGTTTCATAATTGCTCTTTGACTTGCAACCATGAACGTACGTATCTGTAAGGGGTGTGTCCCTAATACTGAGACCTTTAGGAGTTTTTCCATTTCGTAAAAAGATGAGAGATAAATCAAAATGTAGTCTTTAAAGGTGGGGTCGGTAGGATCTGAGGAAGTGCCACTATTTGGGAGAAATCTTGAATGTAAACTCCACCCCTCCCATCCAGTTTTCCCCTCAGCTCCTCTTCTCCCCTCCCTCTCTGCTCCAGCAAGCCCCGCCCACAAACAGACGCTCCTGCTTGCTCGTATCGTTCCAATTAAATTCAGATATAATGCAGATAAATACTTCAGATAATTACAAATGGGGCCCAGTCAAGGTGAAAGTGAAAAGCATTGGTGCTACTGTAGATGCCAACAGACGACCAGCAAACACAATGTTTGCAGGACTTCTACAACTAGGATAAAGTGACATAGTCCAGGACCCGAGGTAAACAGTTTAATGGCGCTACAACACGCTACAGCAGGTCCTGTTTGACAAGAAACACTTCTGTTACAGACACTTGGCTTACTTTATTAAAGCGGTTTACCTGTAGAATTGTTACAAGGTCCGTAAGATCCCAAAGCGTCCCCCATTGTTTATGCTGATGTTGACCTCCTTTACCTCTACCTCCTTTTTAAGCGCCCGTTTTTCCGCCAGAGTCTCCGGGATTGACTTCGTTTTCTTGCTTATGTTGGCAGTCAAGGATTCAGACAATTTTCCATACTATCTGGTTGGTTTCGACTGTCCAATACTGTAGCACGTTAACTTTGTTTGAGCTCGTGAACGTTATTTGAGGATGTGGAACATGCCTCACAACACGAGGGAGCGGCGTCTGCCTCACAACCAATCAGCCGGGAAGGTGGAGAACAGCTTTGTTTACAGTCAGAAAGAGCAGGCCACTGAAAAAATTTAAAATGTCAACTACACAGACATAACAGAATACAGCAATATTGTGATATTCCTAAATGTTATCAATAACTAATAGCTATTGACTGATATTAAAAGCTTTTTTGTAAATAAGAAGAGAGAAGAAGATGCTTCTCTAATGGATTCCTGCCTACCTCACCTTTAAGCTTCATCTGTCATTTGAAAATCATGGAGGTGGGATGGCAGGGTGAAGTCATGCTGCCTCTGATCAGCCACTGGAGATAGTTATGGAGGCGGAAGGGAGAATGGAGTCAGTGTGCAGCATTAGAGCTGGCAAAGTGGACCACCAGTGTATATGCGAGTGCATGTCTGAATGTGTTGCTATGAGGATCCCCTAATGTCTTTTTCAAGGCTGTACCTTTCACACCTCCACAACCCCATAATGCAGTATGAAATCACCGTCTGAAACAGCAGTATTGCACCGATGTAGAGCTCTGTGTGTATATTCAAAGGTATAGTGACAGCAGAACTGTTGTGAAACGTGTAAGCGCCTCAGTATTAAATGCCCCATTTATTCTCAGGGAGAGTTGACATATGCACCAATAAGACCAAAACATATGTCTCTGCTGAAAGCGTTGCGAGCTCCCTTCAACAGAAACGGCCAGATTTGTCTGGCAGATATCTCGTATAATTCGTGAAAGTGAATTGAATTTGCTGTGTTTCCTCTGCTATCACAATGTTACTATCTTTTACTGTAATCTTTCAGCGTGTTGAGCAGCTGAGTCATGACATACATCGTGAATCTAAAGCCCCCGATGCACTAAATGATACAGCGAAGGCCCATTTTACCTTAATTTAGCCTCCGTGAGTGATGGTCAAGATTGTGGGGATTGTGTTGCGCGACGAAAAAGCGTCAGCAAGGTCACTATTAATAGTCAGCACACTTTATCTTTTGTGTCGGGATGTTAAGGATTCACGTCACACCTCACGGCTGAGCCTGAGACAAGAGAGGGCCCTTTTATCAAACATGCTTGAAGGTTTTACGGCTTGAATCTGAACAAATCCATCCTGGCTTCTGTAGCTTGGGCTGGTTTGTGCGCATATCTGCAAAGGCATGATAACATCTGCAAAAGTCGGTTGTTTTGGTATTGAAAGTGAGTCACTAGGACCCAGTTTTGGAGGTCACCACAACCGCCTACTGACTGAGCTGCCCAGGAAACATCACATCCATGATTCAAGCTGTCCGTAAAACCTTCAGACACAAACAAAGACCCTGATTGAGAAAAAATAGTGCACGAAGGCGTAATGTATTAAAAGCCGCTGGATTCACCGGCTGTCTTTGAACCTTATCATTCAATAGTAGGTGGACAAAAGAAGAAGAAGAATTTGCTTCACCCTTGCTGCGTCGTGGTGCAGCGTGTCCTCTTTGTCAGAAAACGTGAGCGGCATAAAGGAAGCGCACACTAAAGAAGAAGACGAGGAGCTATCAACGTCACCTGAAGCTAATTATTCTGGTTCAGTGGTTTTTCAGCTTCACTCAATACCTTGTCATATTAAAAGACTGTTATGGCATTTCAAGGCTGCACAGAAAATGATCTCTAAGAGATGAATTGTGTATTTTTCTCTGAGTCTAAATGAAGGACGTCTTCCAGTGTTTTGTAGCCGTGAGCCTCTCTGTTTCTAAGAGTCAATATTGCTGTACTCTTTCAAGTTAGTGAAAAAGTAATTCTCTTTGTGTCGGCTAAATCAATCAACAGCCCTTAATCGGTTGAAAAGCTTCCTCATCAGAAATCTGTTTCATTTAAAACCTTCAGGTGTGCCTCTGGAGTCATCGCTGATAGAAAAATCTGATCTGTCTGCTCTATGTAGAGTTTTCCTTTTGTTATTCATGTGTTGTTGTTTTTTTATCCCCAGCTCATGCGGTGTGACTGTGTGAAGACCCAGGAAACCGACAATCTGGACTCTGCTCCTTTCTCTCCCTCCAGCCCGCGAGAAAAGTGGCTCAGACGGAGGACGCATGTCAAACTAAGGGTAATAAATAATTCCTTTTTTTAATCCTGTGTTTCTAAAATTTTTTGAAATTCACAGAAATGGGAATTTATGCCCAATGGATTAGCTTTTACAATCTCACAGTCAAACTTTATCTGAGCACACTTATGAATAATTAAACAAGGCCCTTTGGCTTGAATTCAAAATGTTACACAATCTGAAATATCGTCTCTAAGGCGCCTCGTATTGTCAGGAATAAAACCGCCCACTCAAACACACACACACACACTCACCGCTGACATTGTTATTCTGCTGCAATTCATCCAGGCTAAAAATGCAGGTTCTCGTCGACTGCTGAGGTTGAAGTGTTTTGGCTCTGCCGTTTGCCTGAATTTCTTCAAATTACTCCTGCACTTTCACCTCAGAGCGATGATGCAAACAGAGGCTCACATTTTTCGATGTTTGAGAGCGGAGTAATAGAAAAAGCAAGGTCGCTTTGCTATCCGCCAAGTGCTGCTTCTCTCCGCAATTTTCTAAAGACAAGGATTTAGTAACCTCCTGCTTTTCATGGGGCTATAAATAGAGGTGTTCAGGCAGAGGACCATGAAAATGTGTCTGGATTTGACCCTGTGAAGGCTTTCTTCATCATTTGTCATCTTGTTCAAGCATTACCCTGGCTGAGTGATGCATTTCTGATGTACGTGTTTAAAAGGAAGCATCTTGAATACGGTCCACGCTGATTGAATCCGGGCTGAGCAAAGTGGTATTATTCAGAGAGACCTGGCATCTATTTCTGATCCACCTCAGTTTGGAGAGAGGTCTTCGTGACAGATGGACAGGGACTTGTCTCTTTTTTTTCCAAGCTGCTCTTTTGCAGTCGGCGGTCTGACCCCTTTAATTCATCACCGTGTCGATGAGGGGGATCTTCATATTGAAGTGAGAGTTGCTGTCTGGCTCTCACTCATAAAAGCACACAGAGCAGCTGCTGAACTTATATCCCTCATATTGATCACTGTCAGAACTCCTTAAATCATGCATGTTAGGTAGTGTTACTTAAAAAGGAAACGAGTTAAGCTGCAACATAAACTGCCATGAAATAGTAATGCGCTGCTATTTCATGGAGCCTGAGCTACTTACAAATAAAAGAGTAAGAGTCAGTATGCATGAGGACGTCTCATATTGTCCAGACAGGGTGTACCATCTGTCTACCTTTAAAGAGTTAACAGGGGACAGACTCCACAGCCATTGCATAACTCCTGCCCTTCTCAGACATGCAAGAGGTGAGCCATATGTGTGAACGGGAACATCTGAGTTTGTCACCCTGGGATATGTCCTGCTATTCCCTTTTAGTATCATCATGGGGTAAAGCTCATTTGAGAGCACAGCAGCAAATCGTCCCCCTGTTTATAAGAGTTTTCAGGCTATCAACAGGGATCCTTTGCTGTAGGTCAGAATGTTTTCATACATTAATATGAAACTTTAACTGAAGTAGGAGGAGAAACACACAGTACAGAAACACTTTGTATCACACCTCTACTTTGTCCATTTGGACTGTAAGAGATGTAGGAGTGTGTTTTGATCCTCTATTACACGATTTGGCATTTAAATCTACAGATAAGCTTACCTTAATAGACTGATGTCCTCTAACTAATAATACTCCCACAGGCGACAGGCTCAGGTTATTGTTTGAATCGGTGGTTTTAATGTTGGGTAGAATTGTAAAACATTACAGTGTGACTACCGCAGCATCTATTTGACACCATGATCAGCCTCCACACTGTGAGGATGTATGTGTGAACAGTACAGTCAGGTAAATTTCCACATGAGAGCACCTAAAGTTTTCTGGAGTGCATGTCTGAAAAGGACTTTAGTCTACAGCTCTCTATGATGTGGCAATCTGGCTGTGAAGTGGACAGAGGCAAACAGCTGTTTCAATTCAAACACTACAAAACAAACTCTGAATACACACAAATCATGCAACGAGTACGAAATAGGATTAGGGCCACAAGAACAGAAAAAAAATGATCACGGGAGGGAGATTTTTTTTAAATATCCATTTCAAAATTAAAGTTGACATTTCAAGATTAAAGTTGAAATTTCGACTGTAATCATTACGAATTTAATCTTAAAATTTCAACTTTAATCTCCTTCCTATAATTGTTTTTTTGTTCTCTTCATGTGGCCCTAATCCTCTTTTATACAACTAGTGATCTCAGCACTCAAAAATTGTGAAAGTGTAGATACAGTAAAAGCGTGTTGCCTGTTTTTGTCTTACTAATAAAGGTAGAACTAGAAACACTCATGGATGAAGAGTCATCTCAATAACAGAAATCAATACATCAAAATCAGACTTTAAAAAGTTAATTATGGTGTCCCACAAGGCTCAGTTCTCAGCCCCCAAACTTATTCATACTTCGCATTAATGGTATCCATGTTGTGTCAAAGTTATTAAAACTTGTTTTGTTATTAGATAAAAATTCACATTGAAGCACAAGGCGACATAAACTCCTTATTTAATGAAAAGCAACAGCAACATAAAAGTGTATCTGTAAATCACTGAGACCTCAAACAAACATTTAGGTCCTGACAAATCTAATGAAGAATAACAGCTGGAAACGTCAAACTTCCCCACATTAGGTGTCAAATCTTTTTGATCATTTATCATTTCTGACTTGTCATTACCGGTTTAATAAGACCGCAACATGTTTGCTTACAACAGCACTTAGCAATATTTGTTTGGTGCAGATGCTCCATTATCTTTGAGTGAGTGCTGTCAAAACAGCAGCGCAAATTTATGGCAAACAAAATGCCATCGCACTCTCCCCATCCCGATGCAATCACTGCAGTAAACAAGGGTGAAATTAACTCATTACTTTAACTGCTGTTGCTGCAGTTCATGCATAAATTTGTACCTGTGATTTCGTGTGTTTCTATAAGCTGCAACTCTTGCAGGAGGTAAACATTTGATCAGCATCAAATGTATTTGCAAAGGCTTTCTGGGATAGAGTAAAGGTTACTGAAATGGCAGTGGAAAAATTTCTCTGTGGTGGTTTGAGAATTATAGCATATGCATAATTCTGCTGATAATAAGCTATTAAAATGCAACCATCTCTGCAAGAAGAGATTGCAGGATTAGTGTTTCTCTGCCGGCTCACTTGGAGGTACTCTCTGAATGGTGTAATATAAGGAAAAGAGCAAGACGAGCGAGCTTAGAGGAGAGTGGACCAACCCACAGTGCGAACTTCAGAGGTGTTTGGCCAGGCAGAGATATCATGTAACAAAACACATCAAAGCAGGGAGAGCTTCTGCTTTTTCTCTGTGGTTATACAGCGCTGGATGTCTTCAGGGTAGAGCCAGATCAGGCAGGGACAAAGAGCAGCAGGGGTTTGAAAATAGAGCTCAGAGACATCCCTGCCTGCTCCTCGTTTGTTATTCAATTTTGTGCCTGTCTGTCATACTAATCATTAACATATAGTCTTTACTTCTGTAGGCTGCAGTCTGTGTTTATGAATTTACTCATTTTAACTGTTTTCTGAGTGTTTCGAACATAGACTGTATATAGAATAGACGCCGTCTGCCTCCTCGCTGGGTGACGCCACCGCAAGAACAGCACCCTCTGATGACAGGCTGCAGTATAGGTCATAAATCCTGCTTCCTCCAGCAATCCCTATGGAGCTGTGGACAAACTTTATAAATTAATTACACACAATATAAATGTTTCTCCCCCTGGTTGCGATGTTGACATGTAGTCATTACAAGACTGCTTTGTGCTCAAGTCCTCTTTTTTCTGTAAAGGTCAATTTTTAAAAGTTATTTGGGGGTTCATGTTTTCTATGATTGACACTTGAAACAGCCTATGGGCGTACAAAGATTGCGTAGCTCACCCGGGGGATAGGCTGCGACTACCAACAGCTTTTTGACTTCAGATCCGTATTCTGGCAGAAGGCGACACCAAGTTGTTCATAGTATATGCAGTCTATGGTCACTGCTGGCCTAACACACACACCCCATACATGGAGGTTGGGCCTCAAGCATCCAGGCCATATTGGACTAGGGGGATAATTTATCTCTCCATCTATCTGACTACATGCATACTTCACAATGTTAAATCTTCCATCCGTTCGATTATATTTTTGTCACAGCAGCGTTAGATGTTGTGTTTTTCTGACTCTTCTCGGCTGTTTTGTGAACTCACAGACTGACTGTGAAAATCTCTCTTAGATTTCAGCATTAGAGTTAGCCCTGGGATCTTAATTTGTGAATCAATCAATAGCCTCTCAGTAGCGCTCACTAAGCTTTCCACTTTATCTCTCATTCAATATTAGGAAAAAAAAGATTTGCTCAGACTGGAGGAGAAATAAAAGCCTTGGCTTTATTTTTCTCGTTGACGTGTGTTGTGTTTCTTTTTTTTTCTTTCTGCCGCAGAACGTCACCGCCAACCACAGGGTGAATGATGTCATCGCCACCGAGGACGGGCCGCAGACCCTGGTTGGTCGCTTCATGTACGGCCCCCTGGACGTGGTCACTCTGACTGGAGAAAAGGTGAAAACCGGCGCTGTGATGGATGACTCAAGTGTGTCCCTGAGATTCGCATTAACCTCTGTGTGTTGACCCGCTCAGGTGGACATCCTGCTGATGACACAACCTCAGTCTGGCCGCTGGGTGCACTTTGACACGGAGGTGACCAACAGCAGCGGGAGGGTCACATACACAGTCCCTAAGAGCAAGAAACTGGGCCTGGGAGTCTACCCAATTAAAATGGTGGTGAAGTAAGCAGCCCTCTGACAGAGTTCTGCATAATCAGACAGAAAATGCATGGCTGTGTAATCGTCAGTCTTGTCTCTGTGCTTCGTATCGGAGGATTCGAAAGCAGTTGCTCTACGATTGCAGCGTCTAATCTCTAATGCAATCCCTGTTTTCTCTCTCAAGGGGGGATCAAACCAGTGCTGAGGCTTACTTAACTGTGTTGCCACGAGGCATGGAGTGTGTCGTCTTCAGCATAGATGGATCTTTCGCTGCCAGTGTGTCGATCATGGGGAGTGATCCCAAGGTCCGTCCTGGAGCCGTCGATGTCGTCAGGTAACAGCTTCTGACTGACAGAATAACAAACTCTCAGATAGATACACACAGTAGTTTGCATTCTTGTGTGCAAGCTGGACTTCTAATGCATTTTACATCTTCCTCCCAGATCAAAATCAGCAGACGCATGTGTTTGATGTTTGCTCTCTGAATGCAGGCACTGGCAGGACCTGGGATATCTGATAATCTACATCACAGGCCGCCCCGATATGCAGAAGCAGCGAGTGGTGTCCTGGCTGTCGCAGCACAATTTTCCCCACGGGATGATCTTCTTTTCTGAAGGCCTGGTTCATGACCCCCTGCGACAAAAGACCATCTTCCTCAGGAACCTCATACAGGAGGTACTACTCAGAGGCAGAACAGGTTTCTTAATTCACCAGGGAGTTCTTACAAAGCATGCAAAGCATTTTACTCTCTACCCTCAAGTGATCCCTGGAGTTTGTTAGCTGCCGTGTTATTCTCTGCATGCTCACAGTGGGCTACGCTGCATCTGAATGCCAAACACATCTCTGACTGATTGCTGCCTCTCTCTCCAGTGTCACATTAAGATCAACTCTGCTTACGGCTCCATGAAGGACATCTCTGTTTACAACATGCTCGGCCTCAGTCCCTCTCAGATTTATATTGTTGGCAGACCTTCCAAAAAGTACCAAAACCAGTGCCAGGTACTTAATTTTCCATTTTGTCCAAAACTAGAATTCCAGGGTTTGTCTCTCTTGGTGCTGAAGTTTAGATTTTCTTTCTTTACCTGCATTTTCTTATTTCCGTCTAGTTCCTGAGTGAAGGCTACGCGGCGCACCTCTCCACTCTTCAGTTTGGCCACAGAGCCAGACCAAAGAAATCCACTTCAGTCCGCATGGTCCTCAGAAAAGGCTCATTTGGTCTCCCGACGAAGCCTGACTTTCTGTGTAAGCGCACCCACCTGCGCAGGACCATGTCAGTTCAACAGCCCGACCCTCCCTGCACACCCAACCCCAAGCCTGAGCGAGCCCAGAGCCAGCCAGAGTCAGATAAGGACCACGGAGGTGTAGTAGGAGGAGGAGGTGGAGGTGGCAGTGGGGGACAAGGGGCGTGGGGACGGGCCTCCATGCACCGCGGAGACACCACTCCCTGACGACAGGAACGAGAAGGATTGCAGGAGGATAGAAGAGGAGAGCAAAGCGGACTTAGTGTCCAGGGCCAAGGTGAGTCATCAGCCACGTTTTACATGTGCAAAAATTTCTCAATCCGATTAAAAATGTGAGGGAGCAGATAATCTGAATCTATTGTTTATTTGAGCGCAAAGTCAAATAATCCGATCATGACGTGGGTATACGTGCACCAAGTTTTATTCAGATTAGAAGCATTTGGACATGAGCAGAGTTGAAGAAGAGATGTATTGATGTCTGCGCTGTCAACAAACCAAAATCACTTCATCCAATTCAAGATTTTCCCCTGTTAAATGTTGTCACTTGGTGGCGCCCTTGAGTACTTATTTTACTGTTCTGTCAAAGGTTGCTCTGTGCGTGCAGATGTGACATCATTACGCTTTATGTACGCCTTGTTATGTTATCAGAGGAGCAGGCGCGGCTAAATAAAGAGTGAAGACTGAGTCAGGTTAGAGAATCACGATCAGAATAAGTGTTCACATGGACGCATTTCGGAAAAATGATTGGCATAAACCCCCCCTCTGGATTGGAATACAATTTCTTTCCGATTGAGCCAAATTGAATCAGTATTTTCCGATCGACATGTTTACATGACGCACTTTTATTCCGATCAGGCATTTATTCCGATTATTTGTGCCCATGAAAACGGAGCTACTGTTTGTTTTCCCGGCAGCTGATTATGCACTTTTTTTCAGTGATGATTTCGGTGTATTGCGTGCAACACACGCAGAAAACTATCATTTGATAATCCTATTTAAGTCCTCGCAGAGCTTACAAACTAGCATGACTTCCAAATTATACAGATATTACAGGTATGAGCATGGATGGATGGGATCAAACGACTCTAAAGCCCAAAATAAAAAGTTTTTATTTACCCAGAAGCTGCTGCAAGCAAATGAAACTTTTCAATCAACAAAGAGATAGAGTAGAGAAAGAGCACCTGTGAAGTAAACAACAAGGTTTTGTTGATGTTGCATCAAAACAGGAATCGAATATCAATATTTTTTTTACTGCTGTCATATCCAAATAAAAAATAAAGTATCATGACGATCAAGCGGGACCTTATTTCATAACACAAACATACTTTCCCTGCCATGTGGAGCAAACTCCTTCACCTCCTCTTCCCGTCACGCACAGGATTTCTCCCAGGACCCTTGAGTGAACGCTTTACAGCATGACAGTGGTCTAAATCCGCCTCTCTGGATCACTGCAACACCTCTGAAGTCATGTCTCATTGTTCCACTTTAGAAAAAAAAAACTTCCACAGTTGTATTAAAAGCAACATTAACAAAGCATGAATAAATCTTTGATGAATAATGCAGCCGCTCGCCGTTTACTTCACCGCGGCATCTGTTGAGCTTTTAAGAGCTGCGGGCGCTGAAAAGCTTTGACGCAAACACAGATTGATTTGACTCACGACTGTTTGGCTCGAGCAAAGTCGATAGACGTCCGTTTGGATTAGATTATTTTCTCTGATGTACCTGATCCATCGAGGTCTTTACACTCTCAGTCACAAAGGTATTGTCACTTTTTTGATTAGTTTTATCCTGACAAAAGGAGGAAGAAGGAAAGACTGAACAGAAAGGAGGAATACTTTTTCCTAGATAATTGATATTCCTGCTGCAACCTGAGTAAGAGATGCTATTATTAGCAGCAGCTGCCTGAGAGGACTGAATATAAATTCGCTCATAATTGTGATTATGTAAATCCTGATGAGCTACAACTGCATTGTCCTCTCATGCTTGAAATCCACTCATTTTCAGATGTGGATATATTGTCTGTGTAGTTATAAAAATGAGATCTGTGTAACCAAGAGAGACTGTAGGAACAAATTTTCCGATAAGAGCGCGGTAACTTGTCCTCACATGTCATTCCTGCTTTTCAGAACCACCTCCACCTACTGTACATGTGGTGTTTTCAGCTCAGCTTTACCTCCTTCTTGGCCCTCTACACTTTGCATCCTGTTTTCCGAACCTGTTTCATGGATTACGTCGCTCAGTCTTTGTGCCTGAATTTTGAGCAGTTGCCTTGGACGGCAGCATTTTTGTGAATGTCTACGGAAACTCTGCGAACTGTGTCTAACTGTAAAGTCAAACGAATGTATTTCAGATTGTAGATATACTCATATTCCTGCACTCACTCATGCTTCATATGAGGAAAATGTGACTTGAACCCTGTTGAGACCTTGAGAAAACAATCTATCAGCACCTCATTACGGTACCGTTGAGATTGCTGTGCTGACAGGTGGTCACATGGACCGACTCCTGTTTTACATCCATCGATGTAAATACTTGTCATGCATCATCCCCCGTGTGCGCCTCTGGAAAGAGAATCACCGCGACATCGAGGTTTAATCTTTACACGAGCTCCGCGATCTGGAGCCCAAATCAGTCAACCTCTTCTGCCGCCTCCTCCATTTTCCTTCAACTGTGAGACCTCTCTCTCGTTCTGTGGCTGGTCTACTGCACCCCCTGCTCTCCTTTTTTTCCCCCTTCTCCTCAACCAATCAAGCAGAACATGCTTTTGGACAGCCACCTCAAACCAGGGTCCAGAGCCGCTGGAGCGCCGCGGTGCGCACGGCTCGGCCCCCTGGGGTTGCATTTGCACTATTGAAGTACACTGCAGTGGTTCTTGATTTAGTAGCAGAACCTGCTTCAAAACAAAGAGTTGTGTTTGCATTTAAAGTTTCTGTTTTTCCTGCAGATTGTGCACTGTTTGCTGCCCGTCGGTTACTGTGACTACTGAAGAATAAAAAAGCGAGTCGTGTGTTGGTTTAACCAAAAAATGTTTACAGATCGATAAAAAAAGCGATTAGACTTAATCTGCATAACTAAAAAGATTATGTATTTATCAGTATTGGCAACTACAGTAGCTAGTTGCTTGGTAGTTGCAGTAGCTTGCAGTATATTATACTATAGATCCCATGCATACTGTTGATTTTCCACCACTTACCACAGCTGCACAGGTTTGTGAAGAAATCTGTTGCCGTCTTGTGCACTGGAGGTCGAGTCTTACTGTTGCCATGTTTGAAACCCATGTGCAAGTGGAACATATTTTTCTATGAGGAAATACTGTAAAAAGAAATATTTTCAATGTATGTTTTGGACTATTTTGTTGTTAAACTTGTTGAATGGTTAATTTTTTGCCTTAAATTGTTTTTTGATGTTGTGTAGAGAAACAAATTTATTAGATTTGTTCGACCAAAGTGTTGAGTTTCACTGTAACTTAATGACAAAGTGCATTTTATCCGGTTGATATTTTTTGCGTTGACATGTTTAGATACTGTATATTTGTGTGCATGTGTGAGTGCGTGTCTAGGTATTTATCGTAGAGTTGTGTTTACTGTGAACATGAAGACAGCGACGACGAGCCCGAGGAGGACACGGCGAGGCTGGTGTTAACATTCCTGCATGTTCTCTACTGCCGGCTTTCAGGATTGAATGTGCATTTTTGTAGTTTTGGATTGAAGCAGTGTGTCAGAGGATTACTTAGCCGAGGTTTTATACCTGTTATAAAAGGGAAAAGGGCTTATGAGGTCTTAGGGTGTCTAAAAGAACTGAAAACCTGCATAAAGGTAGAACATGTGAGTAAGGAAGAGGCTGTCTTTGACTCTTTTTCTTTCACTGCCTAGGTGGTCCTGTAATTAGCTATCCGATTACTACTTAGTACCTTTGATTCCCTGTAGTGCTGCCCCTGTTATTGCAGTGCACTAATTAGCAGTATTTGGTAATTGTATGATATTGTAAAAAAACAACACTAGAATTCATAACTCTGCCAAACGAATATTAAAACCGTCATTGTCATCAATGTACAGACATTAAACAGAGTGACTCCACATGTTTGTACAACAAACACTGATGCATTCCCAGAGTGAAATATTAAAGCTGGGCAGCATCCAGTCACAGCAGTGTTAGTAAATGGCAAATAACGCTCCAATGGTTTAATGGTGATTGTTCTGTGCATGTTAATTATTTGATATTGTTCAGTGATTATTCATATTTATCTATAAAAAATGGTTAAAGGGAAGCAGCTTTACATGTTGAGCAGATCTAAATGAGGTACCACCTCATTTGTTAAACAGACAAATATACTCTATTTTTATTCCGGCTTTACAAACCTTTTTATCACAGAAAAGATAACAAGAGGAGGAAAATATCGAGTGAACTGAATTATTTATAAAGATATGTAACTGTATAAGCTCTTTTATTTGAGCAGACATGCATTTTATATCCGCAGTTTCCCCATGAGGACAAATCAATTCGAGTTGTTTTCACATTTTTATTTCCTTATCTGAGAATAACAGAGTTTGTTTCTCTTCTCGTATTCGGGGATCTGATCACTGTGAATACCTTTACATACACAGTGAAGTGGAGCTGCGGTTAAAATGTCATGATATGTTCTGCTAATATAGTTTGTCCCTAGTTTAGAGAAAACTCCTGTCTTGTGAGTTTTCAGTTTGTGCCTGACCCAGTTTCCCTCCTGTTCTCTGTGTTTTATTCTTTAGTTTTCAGTATTTCCTGTTTTATTTTGTAGGAGTTACTTCCTTGTGTTTCTAGTCTGGTTTTAATTCCCTAGTTTTCCCTCCTTTGTTAATCACCCATGAGTTTTACCTGTGTCTCGTCTGCCTCACCTGTAGCTCGTTTCCCAGTGTGTTTATAGTCCCTGTCTTCTCCTTAGTTGCGCCGTGTGATTTTGCCCCTGTGATTTTTGTGGGTTTTTCTCTTTTTGATGCTTTTTATTTCCATTTAGTTCTTTTAATTAAATCCTTTACTCTGAATTTGGGTCTTTGTTTAACCCTGCGTGTCATGACATATAGCTCGATTACATGGTTTAACTGGACAGCTGTCTTTGTCCCAGTTTACAAGCACTGGGCAAGAATCGAATTATTAGCTGAAGCATGTCCGCCTCTGTTACAGCAGTTGGCAACATGACACCTTTCAGTTTTTGACTATCAGGTCATCTCCTAGTTGACGTATAACATATCAAAACAGCCAACAAATCATGTTAGTAAGAGGCAAAATGGTGAAAAAACGACACTTTTACAGCTCTTTACTATTTGTTAGGAAAGTTTTTTTAGGTTCCATTTACTATCTGCTTCCTAGCAACTATTCAATGTGCAAAATTGGCAAAAACAAACTTTTAAAATTCACCCTTTATCCCGGTAAACTGCAGTAAATAAAATGTGCGGGTGCATTTCAACTTTGAGCTTCCAAATCATCATCCAAGTACTGCAGTTATCAAATGATTATTATTCACAAAATCATGACTTAACTATTGAGTAGTGACCTCATTTGCCATTTATTAACAGTATGTATGACTAAATAAACTTCAGCGAGTTGTTTATTTTTGTGTTGTATTTAAAATCGACCTTTTTCCAATTAAAAGAAAAACAAGCCTGGTTTCAAAACTACAAAGTTTTTGTTTTGTACAGATCTCCTGTGATGATGAACATGTCAATGTGTTAATTGGACCAAGTCCTCCTTTCATGATCGCATAAATAAAGATATTTCACAGCTGAAGAGATTAATGCGGCTCGAGAAGTGTCTTATTCTTCCTCCCTCATCCTCCTCATCTTCAGTGATGGAGGCTGAATCACCTCTGATAAGATGTTTTTGTGCTCCGAGGTCAGGAGTTTTACTGGGGGCCGTCAGACCTGACCGCAATATCCTCTTACCTTGATTTTTGTCAGGGTCGCTGGGTGCCTTTTCCAGCCATTCACAAACTGGAACACCTGAGCCATAAACTGGCGTCTTTGACCTGGTGCTGGGAGATTAAAACCATTAGAGTGACTCTCTACAGCAGCTGTCAGAGCTATCAGCTTTATTTGGACTCATTCAGTCATCAGAGCAGAACTGCTGCTAAACCAATAAAGTGCATCAAACCTTCACTAATAACTCATTCTGAAACCAGACGGTCATTTACTGAGAGTATATGTAACTCCTGTTTGATTAAAACATATGCAACTTAAAGGGATATTCCAGCGTAAAATTAATTTAGAGTTTAGGAGTTAGACAACTCTAGAGATGAATGTTGCTGACTGCTTGCTTCTCTAGTTATACCAACTTCAGAAACAACCACAGGATAGCACAGCGATCTGAGGAGCCATGAACAAACCTCAACCAAAATGCCGCTCTATAGCCACAGATAAAGCTCAGAATAGCACATAACTTCATCAACAGTACATATAGGGTCCCAGCCATAGTACTAGCCACCAAACATCTTTTTAACTTTGCCTAATTTCTTTAGCAAAGAGACTAAACACAACTTACTTACTCTCTTCCAGCAGCCGCTTGTTTGTAGTGAGACCTCAGGCCATTCCATTATGGACTACAGCAGGGTGACGCGGCTCAAGAAAGAACATTTATGATCATTTCTTTATCATTTCCTTTAAGTAATAATCATCATATTTATCATTTTGCACTGCAGGCGTGGTAGTTCTTCTCCCTTAGCGTCTCGGTCTGTTTGCAGTTCCATGAAAAAATGATCATAAATGTTCTTCCTTGAGCTGTGTCACCCCGCTGTAGTCCATAATGGACTGGCTCAAGGTCTCGCTACAAACAAGCGGCTAGTACTATGTCTGTGACCCTATATGTACTGTTGATGAAGTTAGGTGCTGTTCTGAGCATTATTTGTGGCTATAGAGTGGAGTTTTGGTTGAGGTTTGTTTATGGCTCCTCAGACTGCTGTGTATTGCTATCGTGCAGTCGTTGCTAAAGTTGGTATAACAAGAGAAGCAAGCAGTCAGCAACATTCATCTAACTCAATGTTACGGCGTGTTTGACCCTAATTTAATTTTACACCGGAATAACCCTTTAACCACTTCTATCTATTGCATTGGCAAGTTTTGTGCAACCCTGACCATTATGTTTGCAGTCATTTTAAAGTCAGCTTTCATAAATGTAATCGAGTGTTTTCGTATTCTAAGTCTCACCCATAGTATTTTCTGACTCTATATCCTTTATTTAACGGTTGGGCTTAAAATACAAGCAGTGTCTCAGATTGATGAATTGCCTGGATCACAGAGAAGGTGAAAAGAACAATGACCTCCATCCTGAGTTCGTATGAAGTGCTTTATCTTCCCCCGCAGGCATCTCTGATAATGAGCTGGCACTGTGGTTCTCCAGGCCACATTTAAACTTCATCAGTAACATATGGTCTGGGAAAACAGGCAAAACTGGCTCCCCTGTGGAAAGAAGGGTTGCTGGTTTCATCTGTTACAAACACCGTGATTCATGAGAGAGGCGACTGAAGTCAGCCGCAGTGAAAGCTGCGGTTAGAGTGATTAAAACTCAGCAACTGTTTCTGGATCCTCGTAATGTGTGTCCCTGTTCTCCCTGTCAGGATTGGCAATTCACTTTGTTTCTTTCCTTGAGAGTTATTTGATTTTTTTACAAGCTAGTCTGGCTGCTGAACACCTCGGAGCAAGTCACCTTTGAGACTCTCTGTGGAACTGTTTGACTCAGTGACAAAGATTATGCAACAAAGCTTGAACCCATTAAACGGACATGTCGGTGAATTTTTATTTCCTGAGATGTGTTGTAATCTTTCTTTCAGGAGTTTCCTAATCAGTAAATATAAATAGGGATTTCTTCTCTCAATACTAAAAACTGTGTACCGATAAGGAAAGACCACCCGCAAAGGATTTCTCTGGCACCATGTGTTGAAACAGTTCACTAAGAGTACCTTGGAAGAGCCTCTTTGGCAAACCCTCAAAACTACTGAATTGCCTCCTTTGTGTTGGTCTGGGAGAGGCTTTTGTGGGTCCATCCAAGATAAATTAGCTAGGGTGACCATTCCTCCTCTTTTACTCGGACATGTCGTCTTTTGTGCGGCCTGTCTGGCCTTGTCCAGCTTTGTCTGGGGGAGTTTATAAAATCCTTAAAATGTCCAGGGTTTTGTATATAAGTTTTCAGTTTGTGTTGCATGGATTTCCTGAGTTAGAAGCACGTAAAAAACACTTGATTTGACCCGAAAAACTCTCAAAATTAACTACGCACGACTCCTTGACTTCACCTCCACGTAGTCATGTCCTCTTTTTGGGGATTCAGAATATGGCCACCCTACATTAGCCCAGTGTAACACAACTTGCAAAGCTTAACCAGCTGTACTGGGCTAAATTTTTCTTTAAACGAGACAGTTACTAATTGGACATTTTAGGCCACACCCACCAACTTCACTTCCAGTCTGAATTAAGTGACTCTACACGTCTTTGAAGGCCTTGAAAATACTACATCCTGTTTGTTTGTGAATATGGCTCCACCAGTTAGACTAATGCGCTCTTGAGGCCTGTCTGTGAACTGGTCTAATGAACACTATGTGGGAAGAAAATTGTCAAAATTCTCCTGGAAATGGCCTCATAACAAGTCAATTCCAACCATCTTTTCAAAACTTCAACAATAAGAGACTTATTTTTAAATCTTAGGGAGCCAGATATGTGCAGCAGTTGTCAAGTCTGCAGCAAAAATGTGGACAGTATTTTTAAAAATGTCTTGGTGTTTTGGCAAAATGAGGTTTACGTAAATCTCCCTGCGAAGTAAAGTTGTTTGAAACTAATGAGGTCAGTTTTCCAGCTAATAATCCTGCTGTTAGAGATTGGGTCCAAGCATTCCTTATTTCTTACTTCATTTGTTTTGCCTCTGGACATCAGATCGCAAGATATGAATCTTCCAGACTGATGGATCTGAATTGTAAATGAGTGTGTGCTGTTATTGCAGAGATTCATATTAATGAGACTCAGATTAAGCCGTTATTAGATATGTATTTCAACCTGAGGATATTGTGAGATCGCTGATAACACTCTGTTACACAATGTGTTCCCTGTTTGACCAAACACTCGCATAGTCTGGTTCAAAGTGTATAGATTTTACACACAAAAACAAGTCAGTTACCCAGTGGCAACTCAACACAAGCCGTGACCTCTGCAGCTCTGCACGGCAGCACTGCAGCTGAATAAACCTGATTATTATTCCAGAGCAGCAGCCGGGGGTTTCATTTGTCCTGTGATCTAGCAGGTGATTTTGGGGTGCTGGGACAGTGAGGAAGCTTGTTTATAACCTGAATAGATCAACTGCTCAGTGAAGCCTGGAAACTAGAGAGAGGGAGAGATTTCTCAGGGCCGGGCAGCTAATTCAACAAATAACCCTGCACACATTCATAACCAAAGCACAGTCCTGAGGTCAGCAAGAGGAGATCCAGATAAACACGAACAAGCCTAGTTAAAAATCTCATCATTAAAACTACTACTCCACGTGATTGTTTGAATTAATTCACTTTTCGACTTAAAGAAGTTTCTGCAGCTTTGCACAACGTACAAACCCGGCCGCAAGATTCAATCAAGTTTATAATTTGACCTCGGTCATGTGCAGCTTTGGTGACACTGGAGTAAATGGTTTATCTCTTTGGGATGACTCCAGGAAATGACCTAGAGGGTGCACTGCGGTGAGATTAAAAAAAGCCCTAATTTGATTCATGATGGCGAAGCATCAGCGTGGAGCTGGGTCGCTCGGACATCCGCTAAATCCTGTTACATTAGCCTGCAGTGCTGCTTCTGAGTCTATATCTGGGTCACAAGAATGTATGAAAATCTTGAAAACCGGCTGCTTTGCAAGACTTCCAGGTGGGGGAAAAAAAAGCAATCTGGAAATTGCATTTGAGAAAGCAATTATCTAAAACTGCCCGCAGGAAGACGGGGTCAGATGCCAAAGCCACATATCACTGCTCGCAGTGCCATCAGATATGACAGGCTGTGTCCCTTCATAGCCGAGCTCACATCTTTTAGTGCCATCATTAACCAAAGTCATGAATATTTAACTGAGCGTAATGGTCTGGCTGATGTGGGTGAGGACGGTTCGTGGACATGCCTTCTGTTTGTGGTACAGAAGATTTTTGGTTAAAACAAACCGAAAAACCCTCATTTTGTCTGTTGAATTTTAACACTGCAGGGAAAAGCAGAATGCTTTCATTATCCAGACTGTAAAAGTAGCTTATTAACAATAGATCTGTTTTACTCATAGAACTGTGAAAAACAAAATGCGAATCAAAAATTTAAGAACAATCAAACTTGTTGCATTAACAGACAATCCTCTTCTCCGCATGGGCGCCTCAGGCAAGTGAAGCTGTGTGCATCTTGTGGTTGAATTAAAACGAGCACTCCAGTTAAATAATGTTCACCCAAGGTAACCTCTGTTTGGTTGATCAATTTTTAACTTTGAGATGAGTGTGTTGAATTCAGAAAGCCCTTTTTATTTGTTTTGGATTGAATAACTTTCTTAGTAATGAGGAGTTTTCTATCAGGAGAGAGAAAAACAAACATCTAACTTTTTACACAAGGCTCAATGATCGTGTCCCCAGACGGCCGAGATTATTCAGTGAGCTTTGTTAATGAACAGAATGTGACTGTGCACACTGAGCGGAGCCAACAGTATGTTCACCGTCCCAAAAGACAGTGGTTTTCCTCATTTTTTATTCTCAGTTTGTGTTAGTATCACAGATGGGTTTTGATACACTGGACATGGGAGAACAAAATCACAAAGCCAAGTCAGAGCAGCGATGAACGGACATATGGAGCTGAGTGTAAGAGGAGTCAAACTTTGTTAAAAAATTAAAACAAAATTAAGTCCACCCACTCTTTTTTACTGAAAGTGTTGACCTACAACCTACAGCGCTCAGACTGCCAGGCCTCCACTCACAAGCAACCACCAGAAACGCAATTTATATGTGATATAATGAGGACATAGTTTCCTGTGTGATCTGTATGTTATACCAAAATGTCAGCTTTCCAGACAGAGTTTTTCAGCAGGCAGAAGTTGTTGACACGGGGATAAGGAGAATGTCAAGAGACAGTGCAGAAGGAAGGTAGGAGAGATAGACTCCAGGGAGAAGCTGAGATGGTGAAGCTGAGATATGAAATGCCATCTGATGGACCCGGGGAACACAAATGAAAGAGCAGCGTTAGGGAAAATAACAAGTGACAGATACAAATCGCATATGATGCGGTACATGGTATTCATGGCTATCCCTCCGACCGCCTGATTGATTTAGCCAACATAAAGCCTGCGGGGTTTTGGGTTGTCACTCCGACGGACCTCATTGCTCCTCAAACTGAGACTGCCAGATCCTTTAAGAGGGAATGTGGAGTAAAAAGAAATGCCACATTTTGTTTGTCGATTTCTGTGACAAGAGCTGAGGCTTACAGCTTAAATCAGGTCTGCTTCTTTAATACTGTTACATCAGGTTTTCTAAAACAGACTTTCAAAGCTGATTCTTGTACAGTTATGTTTTCTTTCCATTTTATGTCTAAAAACAGACATCATTGCTGTATGCTTTAAAGTCCCACTTCTATCGTTTTTTTACTATTTAAAATGTTCTCAGTGGTCTTTAAACTGTGATTATGAAGTTTTTAGCCAAAGTCACGTTACCCATTTTCAAGGGCTTTTAATCTTCAAAGCTTGAGTAGATCATTAGCAATTTGAGTCGTGGGCGGAGACAGTGCTGCCCAGCACACTTGTCCTCGAGTGAGCTTGCAGAAACAGGTAACATAGGAGCTATTTAGCTTTCGGACACTAATGTCTTTGGGGGCACGATGAAAGTTAATATCATAATTAGCTTTCTTATGAGCATTTCAATCCGCTAACACACATGCTTGTTCTGCGATTGTCTTCACTATTTCTCCGAGTGTGGCCTGCATAGCAAGGCTCCGGGGGCGGAGCTTGGATTTGTGACATAGGAAATCTCACTGAATCTGATCCTGCTGTTTGAGTCTGCCAAAGATTCACAGCGATTTGAATGCAGAGATACTCAGAAAGGCAATTTTACTCTTATTTTTCTCATGACATGTCCTGTAGCGTTAGAAAAAATGCCATATGAATGTGTAAAAAACAAGAAAAACATGATATTCATTGGAGTGGGTCTTTAAAATACAGTTCCTGCTCAGTACCTTTCACAGTTTTCCATCCTGGTGTAGAGAAGCAGATAAGTGTTTTAGTCTCATCAACAATTTTGCACGAATATGAATGAAAAGTTTGAGAGATGAAAGAAAAGTGGTACAATTTCTAGAAAGGGCAATGACGCAGGAAAGTTGTATAAGAGTGTTTTAGAAGTCTCTTTTTTTCTGAGTGTACACCAAGTGGAGATGACTTTCTACAGTGGACGGCCTCATCTTTCAGTCAGGTCACCAACGATAAACGCTATGAGGGAAATGAATTCATCCATAAGCATTTCTACTTTTTGCTAAGTGCTGTAAATTATCTCCGGCTAACTTTATGTCAGGGCTATTTTATAGGCAGCACTTGTGGAAAATCGTCATCTGCGTCATTACACCCACTCTATAATTCGAGCATCAAATATCTTTGTGCAAATATGTTTTCAATGCTTAAACCAGGGAGGTTTTTTGCACCGATGTGTGCTATCACCTTGCTGCACAGACGGCTATTTGAATGAGGTTTCAGAAAACGACTGTGTCTCATTTTAAATGCAGTCAGAGCGCTGAGTGGTTAACCTTTAATGCTCTCCTGTAGGACACTAAGCCATAGGACATGTTAATGTTTAATACGCCCTAAACAGTGTAAAGAACATGTCTTCTCGAATTGATAGAGACCAAATGGAGTGATTTCAGTTCTTCAGAGGGAACTTATGCAACCATTAGTATGCAAAAGCGGTTCATGAAAAATAAATCATGTGTTCACACCTTCTGTCTGTTCACATATCAAACCTGACAACACAGGCAGAGCACAACTGGTCATGGTATTTAGTTCTCCACACAGGCACATAATAATGAATGCAGTGAATTCAAAATTACATGCATTTAAATCAAAAACCCATGTACTTAACATTTAAGCATGTATTTGATATCCATTTGCACATGAAATTAAAAAATGACTCCTACGATAAACACCGTATTACAGTTCCATGTCACATCGTTGTTTTGTTTCCTCTTTTGCATGTCGTTTCTGTTGACTGTCACACCTGAAATGCATTGTGAGAAACTAGCCTCCAGTGAATTAATTAGTAACCTTTGAAGGTGTTGAAATACTTGACACAGCGGGGAAATCTGTCCACGAAGAGCATCAAAGAAGCAACATGTCGGGAAAGACAGACGCACCTTTGGAAAAACCTGCAGTCACACCCGATCCTGCAGACATGGAGGGGTCCAGTGACAGGCTCTTTTGCTGCAGGTGGGTGCGCGACAGGATCCCGCTGACCCACAGAGAAGAACTGTACCACATCCTGAGGATGACAGGGCCTCTGGTAAGGATTGGCTCTGTTTGCACTCGCTCCCTGCTCCTCCATTATGCTGATATATTCCAGACTGATGAGATTGTCTGAAGGTGTCAGGGAAAATTGACTCTCTGTTTGAGTTTCGGAATGAACATCAGTCAAACATGGTTATGTTTGCTGAGTCTGAAAAGTGATGACAGTGTGACACATTTGCTGAGAGAGCCATGCTAATTCATGACAACTTTTAATTACTGTCCTGTCCTGAATCAAATGTTACCAACAGTCTCCATCAACTACTTTGTCTGTGTTTGTCTTTCTAGCTGTTTTCTCGAATCCTCAATTACCTGCTTCCATTTGTGGTTACCATGTTCTGTGGACGTTTGGGAAATGATGTGATGGCTGGTTATGGATTAGCCTCTGCTGTAAGTTTGTCACTGTGCGCACAAAGAGAAAAAGACCCTCAAAAAAAGTGTCGTTTCAGCAGAGGAAACTAAATGAAACAATTGCAACCTCATGGCTTTGTGACAGCTTTTACAATTCTTGTTAATTCAACCAATCTCAGCTCATTGTAAAGAAATACTGCTTTCTAAAACTCTTTCTTTGTTCATTTCAGACGATAAATGTTACCACTGCAGCCACAGGATGTGGTCTGGGACTGGCATGTGACACTCTGGTGTCTCAGGTTTGGAAAAACTTTTTGTCCTTTCACCCACAATTCAAGAGATAGAACTCAGCTGTTCATTACTCTGTTTTCTGGAATGATTAACACTCTGTGTGTGTTTTGTTCTGCAGACATTCGGAGGTAAGAACCTGCTGCGAGTGGGAGTGATTCTTCAGCGGGGCATTATCATCCTGATGTTATTCTGTCTGCCCTGCTGGGGTCTTCTCATTAACGCTGAGGCCATCCTGTTATGCATGGGCCAGGACCCTGAGGTGACCAGGTGACAAACACCAACATAAATACAAAACAAGTTAAATCTCTGATTCTGTCTCAACTAACTTGTTGTTTTCTTTTCCCTCTCACCAAAAATAATAAAAATAAATAACTAAAATAATAGACGCAGACAGAGTGTGATTGTCACTGATGCATTATCAAACCCATGAGGCTGCAGGGTTCAGCTGGACCATATGTCTGATTAAATGGGATTACATGACATCCCCTCCATCGGCTATCTAGTAATCTTTTCACTGCACAGCTGTACAGGTGAGGCAGGACAACTTCAGCAAAATACTTGCAGCTGAAGGTCAGAAGGTACAAGTATGTGGGCGTGCATATCGGCGCCATATCTTAATGCAAGTATCAGTAATAACTTTCCAGACTGTCCCTTTCTTGTTTATTTATATAAGATGCAGTTTAATGATGATTTCACTAATATTAGCTGCTATTTCTGAAGTCTTTGTCGGATGTAGTGGTCTTCTGCATCTCATAATGGGACATATTTCTTCCACTGGCCTGAAGGTGGTCATGCAACAGCCTTTTGAACAAAGTCTGCAGTAGACTATGTTGATTTTAGCCTGAAGTAACAGAAGAGGTCAGAATGAACAGATTTTCATTTTTTAAATCCTTCTACACTAATAAATCAATAAAAAGATTTGTCGCCCAGCCTTACTTTGCCCTGTTGACTTTTAAAGCATGAGTCCTGCATGTTTTTGGAGATTCACAGATTCCAGTACCTGGTCTTCAGTTTGAGTTTAGTCCAGTAACGCTCCTGCAATGAAAGACTGTGCATAACGTTGATAGAAAACACTTCCTGTTGCTATTTTTCTGCTTTGACAAACACTCTCTGCTGTTTTTGTCATTGTCACACAATATTTTAAAGCAAATTGTCTTTTTCATTGAATTGCATACTCACTAATATCTAAATTTAGACATTATTGAAATGCAAAACTCAATCTTTGCATCCAAAAACATCCACCAGGAACTTCTAGTAGCATATTTACGCATTTCATCCACCACTGTTCTGCACCCAATGTCAAGGCTGCTCAGTTTTACATAACTTTTTAGGAGTGTTTACCTTGGCACGAAGGCCGTTTCTTTCAATTTCCATGAATATGTCTTTGAATAGAGATGATTGAGCTTGAACTTGTGACATCTAAGTGTGCAGTATTTCAATAATTCATATCCTTAAATAAGAACTCTGCTTTTTCATTCCAGGATTGCCCAGTTGTACATGACGGCCTTCCTTCCAGCTGTACCTGTGAGTTGTGCCTTTTCTCATGTCCTGATTGTGTTAAATGCAATGGATTTGTTAAAATATGCAAACTATTTGTTTCTGTATTTTTCTTTAGGCAATGTTTCTACATGGGCTGCTCGTGACTTACCTGCAGAACCAGGTGAGCTAATATCAGCAACAACTTTCCTTTATTCTTTAGTCTGGAACCCTATGTGTATTGTTGATGAAGTTAGGTGCTGTTCTGAGCATTATTTGTGGCTATAGAGTGGCGTTTTGGTTGAGATTTGTTTGTGGCTCCTCAGACTACTGTGTATTGCTATCGTGCGGTCATTACTAAAGTTGGTATAACTAGAGAAGCAAGCGGTCGGCAACATTCATCTCTCAAAGGGGTGTCTAACTCGGTGTTATGGTGTGTTTGACCCTAAATTAATTTTACGCCGGAATATCCCTTTAATAATGTAGAGAACAAAACAATTAAGACTGCTTTGTCCACAGGGGGGCGCCAAAGTTGACTCAAACCAAAAGTTTCCCACTGGAGCTTTAACGTAATGAAATTCCTGATATAAGAAGCAGTGGGGGGATTACTTACTGTAACCTCTGGTTTCTGTGTCTTCAGGGGATTATACTGCCACAACTGTACACTGCTGCTGTTGCAAACATAGCAAATGCCGTGACAAACTACATCTTACTTCACTGGCTGGATCTGGGTGTTTAGTAGGTGAACTCGCACGACTCATTAAATCATTTCACAAATAAAGAATCCTGCACTCTTCTGTTAATGTTCCCTGTGTTTGTGTCTCAGTGGTTCTGCAGCAGCCAACACTCTCTCTTGGATTTACATCTGTGGTTTTCTGTTTGCCTACATTTGGTGGAAGAAGCTCCATGTGACAACATGGGGAGGTGGGGATTTAATATTCATGGTTTGCATATGCCCTCATGCATCACCCTGTTTTACACTCCACATAAATAAGTTTCTCTCTCCCCCTGCAGGCTGGTCTGTGGAATCACTGCAGGAGTGGGGCTCCTACATGAAACTGGCCGTCCCCAGCACTTTAATGACGTGTTTTGAGTGGTGGGTTTATGAGTTTGGGGGATTCTTTGCAGGTAAGGGAAGCTGTTTTGTAACTCTGTCAGTTCTGCTCTTGCAGATAGATGGACTCTGCTGTACAGATTTGTGTTATTGGAGCGTGAGTCGACTGATTTAATGAAACAAATATCTCTGACTCTTCTGTTGACCAGGAATGATGAGTGAAGATGAACTGGCAGCCCAGCATGCTGTAATAATGGTGGCTTTTATAACCTACATGGTAAGAAGCCCAAGTTTTCACATTATGACGTCTCATTAGAGTGATTCAGATGCTTTTTAAATGGCACAAATATCCTCCAAAACTTGAATTTTGGGTGTAAGCCTTGATAGAAGGTCATTTTGTGTATTAATAGTCAAAGATTCTGCTTCTTAAATGTATTTTTTTGCATAATGACGCATCCATATAGTTCCCTCTTGGTATTCAAGCTGCAGCGTGTGCCCGTGTGGGAAATGCTCTCGGTGCAGGAGAAACTGCCAGGGCCATCCTTAACGCCAAGCTGTCGTTTGCTCTCGCAGGTCAGTTATTCACATACGGTAGTTGTTGCCAATTATAATTGATCAAAACAGAAAGTTCATACACGAGCTGACAGATTTCTTCATTTCTAGTTTGCTTCGCCGTTGTGGAGGGGGTTGTGCTTGGCTCTACCAAGACAGTAATTGGACTCATATTTACCTCGGATGAGTAAGTCCCCAAAGCTTGTTAGTATAGAGCTGTCAAACCATTCATTTCTTAAAAAGTGGGATTCATCATGAAAGGAGACAGATTCAAGGTGATTTGTTGCCATTTGGTTGCAGTCAATTGATGCCAATTTAGCAAGCATTGTAATTCACGTCTCAAAGTCCCACTCTGATCGGTTTTTTAACTACTTAAAGTGTTCTCAGTGGTCTTTAAATTGTGATTATGAAGTTTTTATTAAAAATCACGTTACCTGTGTCATTTTTAAGGACTTTTCTTCTACAGAGCTTGAGTAGATCATTAGCAATTCGCTTCTGAGTCGTGGGCGGAGACAGCAAGACAGAGACAAGGGTGGAGCTTGGATTGGTTACATATGAAATCTCACGGTTTCTAAACCTGCCGTCCGGGTTTGCCAGAGATTCACAGTGATTTGAATAAAGAAATACTCAGAAAAGCAATTTTGCATTTAGTTTTCTCGTGACACGTCCTGTAGCATCAGAAAAATGCCTTATGAACACAGAAAAAACAAGAAAAAATCATTTTCGTCGAAGTGGGTCTTTTAGTTTCATTTTGCTTGTGGCAGTGTGCACACTCTACAATAATGCTTTGTACTGGTCTCACCAGTAGTTATCCAGACAGTTAAACACGTGATTCAATAAATGCAGTTGAAGCCTGGACTTGTTTGACTTTTTACTGAACCAGTGTGAAACTGCAATACAATACATTACAATATAGACATGGATTTCAGACATAAATCGCCAAATAATTCCCTCTTAACAACAATATAAACCATTTAAACACATACTCACAGACAATGCGTCTTCACAGACTTGTGAAACCACGGAGGATAATGAGGAAAACACTCCGTAAACGCCCTGTCGGCTGCCCGTTCGCGCGAGTCTCGATCTGCGACAACTTCCGGTTTGCGCGGGAAGTGACGTCATCGCCGAACTAAACCGCTACTTTACCGCAGAAAAACAATAAACATATGAAAACACTCAAAACGAATTACTGTCCATAACATGCTTTATGTTGCGTTTGCCTGCTGACGTTACTTTGACTGGGTGCACCTGTATGCTTAGCTCAAACCCAAGGTACTGAAGGTTTGGGTTAACTTATTAATAGTGACAGCTTGACTAATTGCACATTAGAGTTTAAGCTCAGCTCTTTCATGAAAAATAAAACTTTTTCTTCTCATTTTAGGAAGATTGTGGGTCTGATTTCACACTTGATGAACGCTTACATCTTCCTTCAGTTATTTGACGGACTTATAGTGAGTCGACCAGCAAAATTTGAAGCACATTAAACTCCATATTTACAGGGATGCAAACGAACTAATTATACTTACTGAATGTGTTTATCTCCCCTTAGTGTGTGAGCACAGGCATCTTCTTAGGCACAGGCAAACAGAAGATACCAGCTGTGGCCAATTTCATCGGCTACTACTGCATTGGACTTTCTCTGTGTGTTACTTTAATGTTTGTTGCAAAACTGAGAATTTTAGGTAATTATATAAAATGATCATATTTTGCCGTGTTCACAGACTTTCTTAAAGATAAATGGCTGCATAAAAATTGCGGGTTGTTATAAGCGGAGCCTGCTGTGCCTGTGAAAGACTATTTTGTCTTTCTCTCCGCAGGTTTCTGGCTCGGACTGCTCATTTGCGCGGTCTTACAGTCCACCTTCTACATCACTGTCATCTTCAGGCTGAACTGGAAGAAGATGACAGAGGAGGTAGTCTGCAGGCTAAATCTGACAATCAGAGTCGTGCAGGGCCTCAGCTGTTCAGATATGATGATGAATCTGCAGAGAAGGATGATTTAAACCCCCTTTTTTTAGACTGTATGAATGAGGAGAAATTGGCAGTCAGGTTTTTGTTTCTGCTTGTTTGCAGGCCGTGAAACGAGCTCAGAAAAAGACACAACTGACATTATTAAACTCAGAACCCCTGTCAGGTAACAACGCTGCTGACCAGACAGCAAGTAATGGGAAGGTAAGTGGCCTTTGTTCCTCACACTAACAACCTTGTTTGATATCGATATTGAGACTTTCTTATGCCATGTTTCCTGAAGCTGGATTTGTAATGAGATGCATCAATTTTTCTTTCAAGTCACTGGAGGGCTACCTGACTGTGAGCACACACGATTATGACGGGAACATGGAGACACAGGACGGACATGCGGTCAAGCAGCCGAAAGTCCATCTCTCCACCACCCAGCTGATCATCAGGAGAGGCCTCACCATGTTTGCAGCCGTCGGACTTCTTGTTGTGGGAGTGTGCGTGCACTTCCTAGTGCCGTTACCAGAGAGTTCATATTCTGAGGGCAACTTCACTGTGGGTCTGATCAATACCACATTTACCCCTGATCAGATATTGACAACTGTGCTGGTTCCAGTGTAAGAGATAGAGAGCTATGAAATCACTGTTGGTGCTAAATATCACAATTTAAGACATAATTTAAGTGTTTTAAGTAACTGACATTAAAATTCAATCTCTGAAATAAATTGTTGGTTGTTATTGTCACATTTTGGCGTTGTAGGCAGGATGAAGCATGTTAAATCGTACAAGTTAATTTGCAGGAGTTTGACCCTAGGTGGCGTTGTTGCCTCCTTAATGTCAAACCATCTTTATAGCTGTTGGTGATTACTGGTTGGCTCACATGCCCCTCTTCCAAAAGTAGCTGGAAGTATTTGATCAAAGCACAGAGTTGGACCTAGTTAGAGAAAAAACTGTTTTACTTTTAAGGCACAGAGGGGAAACGTTTGTGTGTGGGGTGTGGGTCGCTTTTTTTCGATCTGCCTCAACGCCTCAGTTTTTTTCAACTGCTTGTCAGATCATCAACCATGACTTAAAAACATAAAAACCAAACATTAATAGCCACAAATACAGAATGTGTAAATCAGTTTCAGCTTATATCCTTATCTGTAAGAGTGAGTGTTTAGCTGGAAACCACGGCCCTTTTTAGACTCTGAGTAAATGTTTAAACAAATTAATTAGTTTTCCTCAGCTAAACAAAGACACTGCAGTGGTTGTTTCTGGAGCCAATAAGTAGTGATTAAAAGTCGGTGTGCAGCTTCAATAATTACAGGTAAAAAGAAAACGGTGAACAAGTCTCAGACCTGGACTCAGACCTGGATTTGAGATCCAGATAATCACCTGAGGAATATTAAGCATTAAACGTGTCCATACATGTGTTTATGATTTTTAAGATTTCCTCTTTCTAAACTGACCAGACCTGACAGATATGATTTGGTTTCTCATTTTCAACCATTCAAGATCAAAACATTCTTGCCCTCAAGTCATCAATTTGAGCATTTGTTCAGTCTGTTTTTCTTGTTTTTCACCATCCTACTTGTCTTAGTAAAGGTTGGCATAGTTTCACCGCAGCTTTGACCGCAGCAAGATTTCCCTCCTTCTAACACCGCAGTGAGAAACTGTAATAAGTACATAAGAGAGAAGACAGCCTCTTCTTTGGAGAGCCCTGCATTGGCATCCCTCGATTAGACATGGAGGATCTTGGGGACAATCTCTTCTGCTGCCTGTGGGTGCACAGCAGGATGCCTCGAGTCCACAGAGAGGAAGTGTACCTAATCCTGGGGATGACAGGGCCTCTGGTAAGAATTGGCTTAGCTTACATACTGCGCGGTGTCTGGATTGAAGGTGCCCTTGCTGCTGAAACGCTGAGTCATAAAATAGAAGATGGATGACAGTCTTTCTTTGCCAAAGAAAAGGTCAGGATGTCAGGAAAACAGACTGGCAGGCTTGAGACTTAAAAGCAGAAATCAATAGACCTTAAATGGAGTTTGGCACATTTCAAACTGCTGCTGGACCTGCCAAAGGATGAAGATGTGAGAGCTCATCTGCCAAGACATAGTCTGAGTGTATGTGCGCGCACACCTGGCTGATAAATCCAATTCTAAGTGCCGTGATAGGTAATTGCAACGCCGTCTTGTGATTTACAATAAACAACTAAATGGGATGTGAAAGCTGCAAGCAACTGGACCAAATTATATGTTTGTCTTTTCAGCTGATATCTTGAATCCTCAATTACCTGCTTCTATTTATGGTCATGACGATAATCTGCAGGTATCTGAGAAATGTAGAGATGGCAGGCTGTGGGTTCTCCTGCGTCTGCACTAAGTGGTTATCTGTGTGCTTTATGAGAACAAGCACAGGGAATCTGTCATTTCAGGGGAAACTCACAGCCTCATGATAGCTTTTCAATTCTGCTACAGGCTCAATGACTTAATCAATATCATATTTACTCACATGATTTACTGTATATGGCTTCTGTTAAACCCATCCAAGTATGACCCCATATTAAAAAAACAGGGTAATACTCATGCTGAGTAAAATATGGATTAAAACCAATTTTGATGGTTTGCAAATCCTTTAATTTTACCAAGTAATAAAAAGATATTGAGGAAAAACAATTCTCTCCGGGATAAAGATGGGAAGAGGCTCAGTAATCTGTGAGAGACTAATAGTTCAACCTCTTTAAAATCATTCTCAAGAGTGTAAAATGTCAATGATTTTGTCATCTCCAGAACATGACATCTCTACAAAATTATCAGAACAAAAAGTATAAGGTGGAAAAACAATACTGGATGGTCTTGATCTTTAAGGTCCTAAGATGCAGCATTAAAACAAACATGGCTCTTTAGTGGAAGTCACTGCATGAGCTCTAAGACTGTGACAACAGTTTGTTGCTGCTTTTACAAATCCAAACTGTACCATGCAAAGATGAAATCATAATATTTTTAAAAATATATTCATAGATAAAAATATGTATTTATGCATATATACTGTGTATATCTAAATGTAAAAACATTAATATGATATGATGTGGTGTTTGATTATGGTGTATTAGAAATAAATGAAACATAAAACCATAAAGTCAAGTGACATTTAAATCTGGCGTTTAGCTCTTTATCTGAACTGGTTAGAGCATTCAGATTTAGGAACAGTCCAGCTGGCTCTCCTCCTGCACTAACCACAAAGTCATGACTTTTCTCTCACCTCTCAAATGCAACAAACCATCAGCTATTATCCATCAGTTTTTCTTCAGCCTATCTGTAAATTTGGTGGGCAATATTTCTGCATCATCCAGAAGCTGAATTACCTGTTTGCCTCTCTGTTTCAGAGAACAGAAGAGTAGTTTGTGTTTAACTGTCCACATAAGTATGTTTCTTCCTCCCCCTGCAGGCTGATCTGTGGAATCACTACAGGAGTACAACTCTTCTAACCATCTACATAAACTCAGTGGCATGAATGGCAGGTTTGTGAGAATCTGGGGATTCTCTTTGAGTAATCCAAACATCACTGAAGCCGTTTGATATAGTTGCAGCAGATATGAACTTTGAATACTGGCTGATATCAAGAGTTTGGATTACTTTGCAGTTTTTTAAGGTCTCGTGCTTGGCTCTATGAATCAGGGGAAGGTGACAACAAATGAAATTCAGCCTATTAGGAGGAACTGATCCGTCTGGTTTTACACTTGCTTGATGTTTGAAGTTCCTGGGCTTTCATTTGTGATTTGTTGCATGTATGAAAACATCAAAACAGGAAGTCTGGTTAGTTGTTGCTTGTTCGCAGGCTGTAAAATGGGAACAGATGACTCACATGATTAATGAGACTCACCCTCCCTCTTAGACCTTGACTGATAACACTACTGACCCGGCAGTAAGTAAGGAGAGTGTACATGGCCTGGTTAAATCTCCTGTGAGGAACTTTTTGTCTGTGTTGATTTTAGCGCCCCCTGTGGACAAAGTAGTTACTCTTTTACTGATTTTGTCTTATTCTTGTTAATTAAAAATAAAGTCTCCTCCTGCTGTCGTCTTACAGTAAAATTTATCCCTCTTAATGAATATTTTCTGTAGTGAAAAAAAAAACCCATACAGTACCAAAAACTGAAGCTTTAACTTGACATTAACAATGATTTACCTATATCTCTCTCAGTTGTTGTTAACATATAACTCCAAAACAGAAAGCTATGACTTTTGTCTTTCTCATGCGTCAGTGAAAGTGCTCTTTACACTTTTAATCAGATCCTCTTGACCAGTCTAAGATAAAGAAGCAGACTGACACAGAAACTCTGAGATAACCCCAGTTTTTACGGTTTAATTTTTCAAATACAAACTTTGTAGTTTGATTGGTTCTCTTGTGGAAAACTATTTGATTCATTGGGAAATATCTTCATCAAATGCAACATTTTGCCTTGAAAGATTAACCAAGCAAAGAGCTCGGTCTGCTTTCTGCTCATCTGTGCCTTCCCTCTGCACGTCCTGCAGTGACATACCGCCATGCAGACACCTGGGTCATGCATTTCATCGTTGGTTAACGAGCAACTTTACCCTGCACATACAACTTTCCCTGTAATCATGTAACCAAGTTAGTGATTAGTAAGTTTATAATGATTCCAACAGCCAGGATGAAGAGCATGAGAGCCACAGTGAGACCCCGACGGAGGACCAGAGTCCTGAAAGGGAGCTCCTCCTCCACTGATTTCACAGCTGCCTCAGAGACTACCAGGTCCATGTTGTCAGCTGGGGCGTGTGGATCATCTGACTGAGGACCTGTTAATACAAACATGATATAAGTGATCACACTGGAGGATAAAGCTTTTGTTTCAGTATGACTTGAAGCTACATCCATATTTTTATTCATATAAACAAACCACTACATTACGGTACATTTCCTTTAAACAAAACCGTCTCCTGAGGAAGAACTGCTTTTTTTTTTTTTTATCAGGAACGAATCAGACTCTTTCACTCGTACCTGAGGCGCTCCCTTGCACTCCTGCTCTGGTTTGAGCCTGGAAGAAAAACAATGTGTCAGCTTCGACGCTTAAGGAAAAAGCCTGAGGCTGTTTAGAATAGGGAGGGTTAACCTTCTGAATACTAACCTCCACTGTGGCTTTCTTCCAATTCATCCTCACCAGGTAGGAAATCAGAAATGTGCTCTGCAGAAATCCGCAGACAAACAAACCTGTCCACAAACCTGAGGGGAAAGAGTTTTACATCTTATTTTAAGAGGAGCAAAGATGTTGATTTCCTGCTGGATATCTCACTTTAAAGACAGTGGAAACGAGAAATTCCTCAGCTTGAATTATTTCACCTTTAATTCCCAACTTTGCTGCAAACATCAGGGACACTCCGATAGGGAAACCTATACCATAGTACCCCACAAGGTTGCAGATAGCTCCAACTTTCTGTTTACCTGCCCCCCTTATGATTCCCCCTGAGGCAGCCTGGACAAAAAACAAGTGAGAGCAGTGTTAATGCATGGTGGGAATACAAATACAGCAGTCAATAAGCATGTTATCCAGTCTGTGGTGGACTAGATGGTGCAGGGACTTACAGACATTGCATCGAGGAGGAGAAACGGAGCATAGAAAGATATGACATCTGCAACCCTTTCCCTGATTTGTCTGAAAGATAAGACTCAGAGTTTACTCTGTAGCATGACATGAGGGATGACATCATTTCCTTTCAGCGTGACATAGTTAGGCGCCGTGATATATAACATCATAAATGTATGACTAGCCGGAGTTTAACAGTTATATTGTAATTCCCCGTCATAAAGCGCAACAATCAGAAACGCTTACAAGGAATTATGTAAACAAGCGTGTGAGCAAAGTGCACCGTCAGGTAATATATAACATCATAACCAAAGGTCACTCAGCTCAGCCTGTCCTCTCACCCAGACTCTTAAAGACCGATAAAGACCGCAACACAAAATCAAGACTGCAGAAAAAATAATCTAGGCCAACCTGCCCTACATCCAGAGTCAGGAAACATTGTAGACCCCTCACACCCAGGACACAAACTGTTTAAACTCCTCCCCTCAGCTGACATTATGACATACTTACTCATCGTAGGTAAAGACATAAGAAATATGGTCCTTCAGGCCCCCGATGAAAACTGCCAGACATATGGACACCGACCCTGCGATAAAGAGTAACAGAATAAATGATCCACTAAGAGCAGCTTTCAAACAGCGCTGGAATGATTTATCCTCTTTTCAGACACATTGACACAAAGGACAACTACTGTCTTTTGCTGTTTGCTAATGAGAAGCTCTGCTGGAGCACATCAGGAGCTCAAAGTCACTGCGATGAACTGTCAGGTTTTCATGTGGACAAAATGGTTTGACATAAATCTTTGATGATTTGTCCTTCCGGTGAGCGCTGATACTGATTACTGTTGAAAAGCGATTGAAAACAGGGTAAAAGCCCAGTGAAGGAGGTTAAATGTGTTTCTATAATACTCTGTGTATCACTTCAAAATACAGTAGTTCATCTGAGCTGTCCTGGAGAGGGGACAGATTAATTGAGGACTTCACAAACATATTATATAACGAACATTTTAAATCCTCCACTCTTCGTTCTCGGCATAGGCCTCGTAGTACTGATGATGGATTAATTTCACTAGGATTAAGCTTTTAATTGCAAAATAATTATCAAAGAAACACCCAATAAGTGTCAAAAAGGACAAAAAAGATGTTTTTTATGACCACACTTCTCCTGTCTCTGCAAAAATGTTGTTTCCATGAGCTTATTTTACATACAATAATCATAAAAACTGCTGTGAGATGTTAACAAAAAAGTTTAGAGACAATGCTAAAGGAGCAAGAAGGAAAAAGAAAACTATGCATGCCTTCTTAAGGTGAACGACAGGTTTGAATGACTGAGATTGTGGAATTGAATCCAGAGTGCGCTCTTGTTATTTCTCATGGATGACTGTGTTGCAATGTTACTCGATCATTCAAGCAGAGATATATATGAAATATAACTAATTCCACTCTTTTTTAAAATCTATGCATTGAACATTTGAAAAATCCTATAAATCAAAGCATGAGTGGTATTTAATGGCGCACTGACCTGCACAGAACATTGTTAGTTTAGCAGACAGCTTGGCCTGCTCTGTGTCTCCAGCTCCCAATGCATTCCCCACTCTCACATTACCAGCTATACTGAAACCCATGGGGAACTAAAAAGACAAAAAGTTACAGAAAATCAAGTACAACCATTGGATAATTCAGCTTATTCTTTACAATTTAATGTACTTTAAATGTTTGGTAGAAATTACCATGTATGCAACATTTGCCAGTTCAAATACGACTGACTGAGCTCCAAGTTCGACCTCACTGATCAGACCTGTTAATCAGAAACAGCTGTTAGATTTTAGTCCAACCTGAGTTCACATGAATGGTTTAAAAATAAATCAAAGGAAGACGTGACTTTACCAGCCAGAAAACTTCCAATCTCATACGTCCACCACTCAACACACAGCATGACCATGCTGGGGATGGCCAGCTGGATGTAAGAACCCCAATCCTGCAGGCACTCTTTGGACCAGCCTGTGGAGACAGAAGTGAGTTCATGTCAGGCTTAAAGCTCCTTTGGGAAGTTTTGGTTTAGGTCAGTTTGGACAAAACTGCCCCTGCTCTTTTTTGTCTTCCTCATACTGGGATAGTGACAAATCTGATCCTGCTGACTTTTCACAGTCAAACGTATCACTTGTTATTAAATACCTTGCAAAAACAAGGCTGTTTTCTCTTTCTTGTCCAGTAAGATAACCCTGCTCTGAAAGGACCAGCATTGCTTACTCACAGTGGTGGTGGACATCGTGTTTCGAACAAAGGAGAAATAGATATACTTTTTTAAACTTTGATGATACAGTTAAAGGAGCAGGGGGTCTTTTTGACTACATCCCGCACTTTCTTGACTGTATTGACTGTATTTTCTTGAATGACTGAACAGCACTTTTTGTCTGTTTCCAGGGAAAGTCTGTGATTTCTGTAAACACATACTTGTGCAAGAACTCTGCTTATAAGCGAGGTCACATCTCACTGTGGTAATCTTGTACTTACCCCCCCATGTAGCCTTGTGAAGGTCCTTCCAGATTATGTAAGAATATAGTACAGTAGCTAAGGAGTACTGGGAGAGGGTGTTGGCGACAGCAGAACCTCTGTAACATGGTGACATGTTTCATGTTATTGGTTGTATGACAGTAGAAATGATGTATGACGCTCCTGGAAGAGTCAACAGGGAATACTCACGCCACTCCCATATCCAGAGCATAAAGGAAGACGTAGTTGACGAGGGCGTTGAGGAGGTTGACAACAATCCCTGTGATAACCTGTGGCCATATGATACCCTAGGAGAGAAAAGACACAGATATTAATATCCTCTGCTAAACAGGACATGACAGGACAGCTGAAGGGAGACAGGGAATGTGGGGAGGATGACAAGGAATGAAGGCTGGGAATTAAACCAGTGACTGCTATCATACAGACTAAACATAGTTTCACACATATTTGGTTCACTGTCCTTGGCAAATAACAGGTTTATAGTTCCTGGTATTTCTGTCATTTGAGTTAAGATGTCTAAATTGTTAACACATCTGGAGGAATGTGTCCAAGTTTTTTTCCTACAGAGCAAAAACAAAAGAAAAAAGAGGAGAAACTTATTTAACATGCAAAACCTTGAACGTGTGTCAATTGTTAGTAATGTCAGGCAAAGACTCAAGAGTAGATAGCTGACAAAATAATATTCCTAATATAAGAAAACCAACCACAGGGTATGTGTTTGCTCTCAAAATCTTATTTAACTTGTTGCTAGGTAACCTAATGTTATCTTTTATGCACCTACCTGGTTTTGCAGATATCTTGTGAGTAATGAATACATGAATGTAGCCTGAAGAGAAACAAAATAGATCATATTTTATTTATTGATTCTACATCCACACATGTACTTGGTAAGGTGTGGAAGTGCGTAGAAATCCCAATTGTAAAAGAAATACAAGTCTCACTCACTGGAAGTGCTGGCATAAAAATCTTCACATACAACTGAGACAGCCTGGGGAGAGAGTGTTACAATAACTTTTCAATAATAACAAACAAAGGGAAATAAAACGAATAACAAATATAGGTGTGGGAAACTGGTAAAGTTAGACGAGACCGACCTGGCCACCGCTGGTTCCTGTCTGACAGCCAACAGAAGAGGTTCTGTGTTTATGAGGATTGCCCAGCAGGGAAAACAGGCCAGAAGCAAAATGAGAATAGCCCTCTGCAGAATCACCCCGACTTTCAGGAGGTTACGGCCTCCATAGGTCTGAAAAAACACAAGTTATTCTTTGTTTGTGTTTATCATTTTTTTCTTTCAGAGAATAAGAAAACTGTGTCTGTGGGGTCCTACCTGAGAAATGAGAGTATCACAAGCTGCCGCCAAACCAACCCCAATAGAAACTCCAGTAACATTGATTACCTGAGGATAAAATATAAGGTGAATAATGTTATTCTGCTCAGATGTTTTAATTTTAAACTGAATATTCCCTTTTTTTTGTACTTACTGCTATGGCCAAAGTAACTCCTGCCAGCTCTACCCTCCCAAGGTGTCCACAGAAAATAGTGCTCACAAAACTCACAGCAAAACTCATGAGCTGGGCCAAAAACTAGAGAATAATAAAAATGACCAGAAAGAGTGTGAGGGAACATATCATTAATGATTCGAGGGCCCATTTGACTTTTATCAATACAATTATTGAGTGGACACTGATATTAGCCAGCTTTACACAGGTGGGATACTCACCACTGGTCCAGACAGTTTACACAGCTCGATTATTTCTGCCTTGAACCCGACCGGAACCAACATGCGGATCCGCTTGAATACGAAGCAGTCTCTCCAGGAGGAGCGGGGTGAATCCTGACAGCTGGTCTCCATGATTCGGTAGGACTTATTTCTCCTCTTTTTCACCGGTGTACGCTGCTGTGTGGACCGACTCTAAGTCAAACAGTGGAATGAATGGTGTAACCTGCTGTAATCTGCCTTCATATGACACCTCCGTAAGCGGTCACTTCCTGGAAATCAGCTGTCGATGACGGCGAGGACTTCAGGAGCACGTGCTTTGTCCAGAAAATGACAGTGAAGTGTCCACTGTGGATTAACGTGTACCCGGGTTTTAACGATTAACCTGAAAGTTAGGTTTGCTGTCCAAGGCTGGTTATGTAAGGTCTGAGGAGAGTTATGCTGAGAGTTCATCAGAGTTCAGTCAAAGTGAGGAAACATGCTGACATTTGGAGGGAAATTTGACCAGCAACAAGAAAGGACATGTCAGCTGATGAAATAAAAACTAGCTACCTCTTACAACAAGTTTAAAACAACAAGATTTTGTCGTGGTAAGACTGTAAAAATCTTGAAGAACTTTTTACAGTAAAACCTGACAGGGCCGCAGAGACTGTTGATGTTTTTAAGAAGAGGCTCAAGACTCACCTTTTTAACCAGGCTCTTCACTAATTGCCTTTTTATATTTCTCTTATAGCAAATGTTCATTTTAATCAAAGTTCTTTGTTTCTTTTTTGTCATTTTATTAACTATCTCTGTTCTTAGTCTTTTAGTCTTTTTCTTAATTCTTGTCAAAGGGGTTTTTACTTCTTTTACCCCTTTTACATTGTAAATATATTTACTATCCTGTTTCCGCTTTCGACGCCCCCTTTAAATGAACTATTTTATGTTTTTATTTTGGTCCTCATGGTCTCATTTTATGTTGCATGGTTCTTGTATTGTGTGGGTTCCTTATGACATGAAAATGGCCTTCAAATCCGTTTTAACTGAGCTGAGTCTTTTTCCGTGTACTCTGTGACTATATGTCAAAGCACTTTGTAAACTTCAGTTTTTAAAAGTGCTATACGATTAAAGTTATTATTTTTATTATTATTATTATTATTATTGTTAAAGAGCTCTTACTTATCAGTTCATTTAATATTATTTTCTTGTTTTAGTCCATCAGGTTTTACTCTTTCTTTTTACCATTTTATTTTTTATCTCCAGTGTTTACCAAAGGTAGCTCTTTCCTTACATAATGTCTCTGTGTCAGGCCATGTCTCTTTAACAATATATCTTAAATTCTCACACTGTGTGCGCTTGTGTGTGTGTGTATGTGTGGTTGAGTGAGGGTGGGTGTGTGTCTTTGTGTGTGTGTGTGGGTCCATGGGTGGGTGTGTGGGTGAGAGGGTCAGGTTTTATTGTTGTTAATTGTTGTTTTAAACCTTTGTGAGGCACTTTGAAGTGGATTTTTTGTCTGAAAAGTGCCATAGAAATAATTAGTTATAATGTATTAGTTATATTAGTTTTCAAAGCCTAGGGGAAACAGTGGACCTAAATCTTCCTTCCTTCCTTCCTTCCTTCCAATAGAAATCTCTGCATTCCTCTGTCATCTTGTAATAGTCCTGTCAGATAGTTGTTGTTGCTACATTGCACCAACAGATGGCGTCATTTCGTCATTTACAAATGCGGACTGCAGACAGTTGAAAAAGGAAAGTGTGTTATTGTATGATGATATATGATATCAATGAATCTGTATTTATATAGTGCCAATTCACAGCAAATGTTAGATTAAGACATGTGACAGAAAGAGCTGGTCTTGACCAAACCCTACTCACTGTTGAATTTACAAAGGCCCACCACCAAGATATCCTAATCCATAACACTTTGCAAGACTTATAAAGCTACAGTGGTGAGGAAAAACCTTGTAACAGGCAGAAACCTTGGGCAGAACTAAGCTCATGTTAAAAACGTATCTGCTGCGACTGCGTTAGGATTGTAACGAGGGATCGAGGGAGATTCAGAAAGAGACTAACAAAATATTAATATGGTTGTTGATATACAAAAGTATTTACAGGAACATTATGTTAATGACAATAGACTCATGATTTCTAAGGTTAACAATCAGTTAAACCTTGCACTGCAGGTATATGCAATATATCCTCACTTAACATACCTTTTTATAAAGTGCTTCACAGATGTCTGACATGCACATGCAACTAGATTATTGTGCCCATTAAATAAAGATATTCAATAATATTTCTTGTCTTGAATTGTTGGTTTGTATTTTGAAATATGGATGGGTTTCTTTGGAGGTAAATAGCCTTAAAGTAAATCTGTTTTTACCATTAAAAATACAGTTGAAAGTATTAATTTCACAAAACCTCAAACAACTGAAAAACAGCAAAACAAAACTATATTTCAGAAGGGTTTTAATGAATATGTATATCTGCCTAATTCAGCATCTGGATAAAGTTAATTAAAGACAAAAAAGGACAAAATAATTGGTTGGTAGGTGTGATCCTGTGAGCTGAAGGGACTTAGGTCATCATTTTTTCCGGCCACCATGGCAACGACCAGGACTGTTCCATTATGATGTTTATTATGCTGAATAATCCCAGCCTGAGGGGTTGCTGTCCTGTAGGTCTGAGGGAGAGGCATCACTTTGTGGGCACTCTGGGACAGAGCCGCATGCTCTTTTCTTACAAAAATATCTGTGCTTTGTTTTACTTTGGAAGGAAAAGAAAGACTGAATCAGCTGACGGTGAAGTAAACGTGAGGCTCGACTGACCTGGCAGTTTCAATATAACAGTCTCTGAGAACTTCAGAGAGAGGGACACAATAGTAGGGTTGCAGAGCTTTAACCTCTTATTAACTTAAAAATGTCCTTTTTGCGAGTGTATGGCTGAAAGAACACATGAACTGTGGTCAGAGAGTCAGATGAGTCATCTTTCGCCCTGTTTCTGAGCACGTGTGATAAATGTTTCCTATAGTGAGGACTTCTAGGTGCATCTTCAGCCAAGAGGTAGAATCCCTTGGATAAAACTGCAATCCAGCGAAAATGAAGCATCTCTAAAAGGCTCTCTTATGAGTTCATGTTTCATAACAATGCCCCACTTTACCGGCCAGAGTAACCCTTTTTGTGCCACAGGCTAGAAATTAATAACTCAGGCCCAAGTGGTTCCTAAAGTATTCATTTTGCTTTAAACATGACATGGCTCGATTTTTGCTGGGGGTTTATTTTTCTAAAACTAAACTAATTCAAAGATATCCTCTATGAATGTGGGTGTCAGACACTTTACAGATCCACCCTAATGCCCTCTGCAGCTCAGTGAATATTACAACAATAATAATTAATTTCCAAATCCCAAAACATGTGAAATAAAGTCTGGAAGATGCTTTCGGCCCGTTTTGTAAGCCTTCCAAGTAGTCTGCCTCCATCTTTGTCCAGGAATGTGAACTGGCAGCCTTCCTGTCTTGAGCATGCTCACCAATGATGAGGTTGTCCTGATCCTGCTTACCCTTTGAGTCATCGGTGAACCGTATTCACATCCTTAAGTTTCCTCAGAAAGGGACTTTTTTGGCAACTTCTAGTGGATCCCATGGAGGACATAGAAAAGATGCTTGCCATCAATCCTTCCAGTGTCATTGACGATCCCAGCTGCCTTGTACCCTGAGCCTCAGCTGCCTTCCAACTTTGAACCTGCCAGAGAGCTGCATAGTGCCACATGGACTTGCATCTCTTCCTGGTCCCCTTTCCCCTGGTCTCTGTGGCCATCTATGCTAAGATGACACCTTGAACTTTCTGTTGTGTTCTCACTTGGCAGTCCAAGGCTTCAGTTCCTAACAAACTGCAGCAATCACCTGTTTCTGCAAAGTTTTCTGTCATCCCAGTGAGCTGATACAAAGCTTTCCTTTTTTCCACAGCTAAACTTACCTTCCCTGCCATACCCTGGCATCATAACCTTATCTGCCTGTGTCCTGTCTAGCCCAATCTCTTGCTCCGTATAACTAGAAGCAACCTGCAGAACGGCCCTGTAATGGTCCACCCACCAGCGCTCTGTCTTGACCTTTAGGCCGACAGTCAACTGCTTTGCTTCCTCAGTCAAACATTCCTGACCTGCATACTTATAGTTCTACCCACGCACTAACCCATGTTCTTGAGAAATGAAGCTGATACTGAAGTGTTGAGACCTGCTCTACAAGCTAGGACTAGTTAGATACTGGGCCTGCCAGTCTGCTGGTGCTCTTCTCACTTCTGGTTGACCTCTTGACTGAAGGATTCCCCCTAAATTTCCCTCTTTATATCCTCAACAGTCCTATTTCTGTTGTAAGAATACTTATTCAACACCAGGATGGCACTTGTGGAAAAGTTAGGTGACCATAAAGGTCTTTTCAATTTATCTTAAGAGGACATGAATGTTTTCATCAAGTTTCAAGGCTATTGATGCAATACTTTCCCAGATCTCTCAGCCTGCTGGTGAATTGTTGAAAGAATACCGTAGGATTTCTCATGAGCTAAGGCACTACCATGGTTCACATGAGAAATTACAGTGTGATCTGGCATATCACCATTACCGCGAAAAGTAAGACTCAATATCTTGACATAAGGGAGATTGATGTAGTCAAGGTGATTGTATGTTTTGAGTATCATTATAATAGTAGTTATACTTTTTATGAAGTGATTTGTTCTTTCCGTAGTACTGTTATCCCCGAATACAAATGACCCTATCATCTCTTTTAAATCTCCATATTTTGTTGATGGAATTAAAAGCTGAGTTCCTCTTGCTTGTTACGTTTTCACCATCCCTTTTATTTCTAGCATTGCCTTTCTGGCTTGAAAATGTAACAGAGATGCAATTCATCTTGAAGATATCTTAATGAGTTATGATCTTTAAAACAAATCTCACCAAAGAAAGCTCATCCGGTAAGAATTCATTTGCCAAAAGAGCTCAAAGAAAGGCCCTCTGTCCTCTTCTGGATCTTTGAGTGTTTGGCCTGACTCTAGTCCAGAGGTTAATTGGATACTCAGATTGTAAACTGAACCGATCTCTGCACACAAGTCATTATGTGCCAGCTTGGATTGATTATATCAGACAGGCTGCATATTGTCCTCATGTGTAACCGATACCAAAAAGGGAGCAAGCCAACATGGCTTTAAAAACCATTCCCATTCACAAAATACAATGAAATGCAACAGGTGGACTGGACACAAAAATGTCTTTTTTGACCTCTTAAAAAATTGACTATACTCCAAATCATTCTTGTAGTCAATTATTTGTCTTTCAAGGCATGACTGGTGCCATGTTCATAGAAATGTTCTAGACAATCGCATGAAGGCCAGCCAACACAACAACTAGCAGGTTCCTCCTGAAGCCTCATGTATATATAGCCAATAAAAGAGCCTATGATGGACCAGGACGGGTTTCAATTGGATAATGAGTGGGTGGATGAGAGGCAGGGAAAGGAGAGAAAGGCACTATAATTACATAAGCCTTTTCCCCCATGCAACCTAAGATCATAGTGATCTGAACTGTTCTGTGCAGCCAACCGCCCGTTAACCTCTTTTGAACCAGCTAACATTTTAATTGTCCAACAGCGCTGAGGTCAGGACTCTGATGTGACACTTTAAAGTTTTCTCGCTACCTTTGCCTCAGTGTGGCTTTTGTTAGCTTCTTACACGCTACCCCAACATGGTTTGGTGCTCGATGTGCCGTGGAAACTGTAGACCACAACGTCCGTGGCAGTTATCGGTCATCCACTGAAACTAGCATCCAAAAAGCAGAAGAGAAAATGGTTTTCAGTCTACCTCAGGAAACAAACATCTATACATCCCAGTTAGCTAGACCGATTTGGACTCAGCAGTGAAACATACAACCCCCCAATGAACCAATAGAAAAAAAAAGAGTGCATCAGTTATTGCATGTTTGAGTTTTAGAACGTGAGAAACACCTCTTTAAATCCATCACCTTTGACACAACCATCTAGTGGGAGCCATAGGGGACGTGCGCCTGAACACTCTTGCCTCACTATAGTTGTACGGTCATTTAGATATCATAAATGAGTAACCACCCCATGTGTCTATAGACAACTGTCTCTTATGTAGTTCATTCCTTATTTTTTCTGTTTTTTCTGTTTTTGAATATGATCTAAATGTGTCTTTTATATGTATCCATATAAGCTTGGTACATTGTTGGGCTTTGCTGCCATATACACCCAGTTTATCACACACTAGTTCTCCATGTCCATATATCTCCATTTTGTTGTCCTTGGTGTATTTCTGTCATTATCCTTCTATGAACTGTTCTTGTAGCTATGTTAGAGCACTGAAAGTAGCTCGTAACTGGATATAAACATTTTATATGTGCATATGTACTCGGTAAATAAAGATGTAAAGCATTCTGTTCTCTAGCTGCAAAGTTTCAATCTTATGGCCGTGACAGAAAGTCGTCAGGATACTACAAGAGCTGTAATAAAGTGCTCTGGGGTCTTTAACTTAAGACATGTGAAATGTCTTTGCTGAGCTCATAATGTCTGTGACGCAACCCAACGCTGCACCATACGACAACCTTGACCCTTGGCACATGTAACGTCTCGGTAAAAGGACAATGACACAGAGCTCTTGTCTGCATACATTAGGCGTGGTCTTTCATTGTGGGATTACTGCGGCTTTCCGCACTGTGTTTACAGGATTATGGCAGCTTTATGCACGAGACAAGAGGTCACTAAGCAAGAGGGAGGGAAACACGTGTGCACTTTAAAAGACATGTAATTGTCATGAGGAGTTGACAAAAAAGCTGACTGGCGAGGAAAGTGGGATCACCTTGTTTTGGGTGAATCTGCAGGATGACTTTGCTGATTTTAAAGAAAAAACTGAATATTAAATTGAGACGCTTTTTTTTTTAGATCTTAATTCTGATACTGAAAAAAAATTGTATGATTGACTATGACATTCCTTTACAAATGAATCATCCAGTTTTCAAAGTATGATCGTTTATAAAAGTAAAAGTTTAATTTAATGCAGGTCAGTGATTTTTACCTCAGATGATTAAGTTGGTCACAAAGACAAAGAAAACATTTTTCTAGTCTTTGGGGTACAAAGGTCTGGTAAAAAAAGAGACAGATATCGTTTCCTACAAAAACATTTATTGTATTTCAAACAGAAATCATTATTGCAATTCCAGCATAAAAAGTATTGATCTACAGTTTGAAAAACAGTGTTTACAGCACAGTGTAGTTTGCATATAAGGCACTGTATGTTTTTGCTGTGTAGTGATGACACGATTCAAAGTTCAACTGATGCTGAACACATCACCATCAGATCTGATACGGGTCGATAAAAGGGTCAATTTGGATCCATAGAGGGCGAGAATGTTTACTTTAGTCAAATTACTGCTCTACTGTACCTATTAAATCAATGTTTATCATTTTATCTCTATGAAAAAAGAAAATCTAAAGTGAAAAACAGTCATAAATCCAGCATCTAACATTTTAACTTGAGAGAAGCATAAAGCATAAATATTAAAGCACTCGTGATGCGATACTTAAAAATTATTTTACCTTGTCTGATTCAGAAGGGGTCAATTCCATTAGGAGTTGTGTAGTTCATTAAGTGATGTGTCATATTAATAAATATGAAACTGCCAGGTAAGCATTAAGCGAAAAAGACCCTCAAAATTATAATACAGTGAAGTTAAAATCTCCCCAAAATAAAGTTAAGAAAAATAAGCCTTTGAGCAGCTTTTGAGTAAATGTGCAGTAATTCTATTGAACCTTATTGCTCATATCTATTTAGATGTAGCTACATGCGACTATCTAAAACATTTCCAATAGCTTTGACCTTGTGATTTATTCCTCCTTTGATTGCCTTTACCCTAACAGAGTGGAATCAGATGGTTTGCTAAGAGGGGCTGCTGAAGAGGATTAAATGTCTATTTAAAAATATAAATACAAGCTAAATAAAAAAACATTTGATTTCATTCTCCTCACTCTTCTTTCACTCTCAACCAAATTATCGCCACCCTCTTTTACCAAGCAATTCACAGGTGTCAATGAAAACAAGCATAGAGGGGCTTGTAATCTAGCAGCAATCAGGTGCATGCAGTCCACCGTGTGGTGCTGAGCTGCGGCTCTGACCAGTGGTCTTCGTCTGGTGCATGTTGAGAGGGAGTGCAGGTCACGTTGGACCATCTCCTACGGCCGATCCAGGCTCATACCCCTGTGACGTTAGCCCAGGTGGGGAAGGTGTCCAGGTCAAACATGGCCTTGCCCCAGCTGTTTATGGCCAGTGTAATACAAATGATGCCGATGATGTTCATGACTATTCCTGTTCTGGCCTGATGGAAAAAAAAGAGTTAATAATTAGAGTTAATACGATAGCAGCAGTTTATGGCCTTACCGGAGACAACCGATACAACCCTTTTCTATCATTCAAAGCTAATGCATCCAGCTCATTAGTCTAGCTGGGAGGCTAAAAGTAGTGTTTTATTCACCTCCAGAAATTTACTTTCAAGTTGTCGATTTATAGGGACTCATGAGATGTTGTGAAAATGTGTGAAATGTAGACAACACATAGATCAGCTGTCCTCACAGTGCGACAGCGACCCCAAACCGACCACTTTATACGTTAACTTATAATTTCCCGTTCAAACACAACAAACCACAGCCATACTCACCATGTCAGCAACCTTGAGGTACCCGTAGGAGAAGACTATAGCATTTGGTGGCGTAGCAACAGGCAGCATGAAGGCGAAAGAGGCACTCAGAGTACAAGGCACCATGACGTAGAGTGGATTCATCCCAATGGACTGAGACTGCAATAATGACACAGAAAGATTCAACAGTCTGAGACAGGGATGAACATGACCTTGATAACAAATCCACCCCTCCTCCATCTGGCTATCTTTCTGCGACCGTAATCACTGACTCATAACTCAGAGTGAAATGTGTGCAATTCTGCGCAGAGTGAAAACTCTCATTAGGTGGGTGTAATTTAGATGTAATTCCTGCAAGCTTTGGGCTGAGTCATGGTATCTAAAATAGAAAAGCACTACATGTGTTGCGATAATGGCAGACTACTCAGATGAAGAAAACATTACTCTGGAATTTGCTTCAGAATTACACATCCCAAAGCACAGCTGCTTACAAGTGCACAGTAATTTCTAGTTCTCAAAATAAACAATGGGTGAATAGACTTAAACTTCATAGTTAGTCCTCTTTAAACGGTTAGGCTGTACATCAGCTGGCAGCAGTGATAATGACAGTGACACTACAATAACAGTGTCTGATGGGTTTGTTTAAATCAAACGCTAAAGCTTCTCTTGACAGTCTTACACATACAGTGACATACCACAACCCATGACTACCACTAAGTGTCATTTCCCCTCTTTCTCTTGCTTCGTGTAACTGATCAGATGTTCTTTTCTCGCTCCCTTTTCTTTCTTTCTCTATGTTCACACGAGGGTTGGACACCCTTGGGCACCCACTTGGATCCGTCCCCCATAAATATCTGTCTGAATACCCCTGCTTGGCACCGTCTTTCACGACCCAGCTTTGGCGTTCTTTCGAGTGCTCAGCTAGCCGGCACAGTAATGCCATTCTTCAGCAGCAGCGGGGTGGGCAGCATTACAAGGCACTGGGCTGAATTGGTGTGTTTGGCAGGTTATTAATGGGAGGAGGGGCCCGGGTAAGGGGACCAAACATATTCAGCCTGAATGACCAGCTAGATGGGTAACCAAACAAGGGACAATGGGTCGGCTCTCCCGGAAGTAGTTTCAATGCTGGATTCCAGTCAGGGACATCAGTTCAAAAGAAATCACACTATGTAGCACTTCACCTCACTGAACCACTGCTGCCGAACATAATTGTGGGTCTCTTGCAGTCTGAGATCCTACACTCATTTCACTTTCTCCCAGAAAACTTACCATTGAGGCCAAGACAGGTAGGAAGAGCGTCGCTGTTGCCACATTACTAGTACACTCTGTGAAGGTAGCAATCAGCAGGCACAAGATGATAGCTATCGCCCAGGGAGGGATGGTTTGCAGGGGGGTCATTTGATCTCCCATCCACTTTGAGAGGCCCGATACCTACAAAGAGCATAAACATATGCAGGTTTAAAGTCTCCTCTGAATATGTACACAGTATTCTTCCCAGCTGATCATCATCATCAGCCGACTTAACGGCTCATTTAGTGCGAGGATGCTCTAATTCAGGTTTTTACATCGGGCACAATTTCAAATTTCACCCAGAGGTGTATTCAGGGAGAAATACAGGAGTGAAACAAAAGGAGACCACTCTGGGGAACATTTGAATGAGCAGGACAAGGGAATATAAAGTTAAATAATCGACTCTATATTAAATATGATAACAAAGGTATGAAGATTGGTAAAAACACTGGAAAAATGCAGCACCATTTCAGGGGAATCCTTTGTTGAAAGGTAGACAATGACTGACTTCCCCTCTAGCAAACAAAAACTAATAAAGATAATTATTTACTGTGAATACACCAAAGACACATTAGAAATACTTGACATTTCAGCTCGAAGACCCATTCCCCATTTACATAATCACTGGCACTTCCACTTACTTCGCTGCCCTTTGCCAGAGCAAAACCCCCTCCAAGAAGAAGCACGATGCCCCAGGGTAACTTCTTCTGGGCAACTTTCCATGTGAGGAGACGTGGAGTTGGGCCAGAAGTTTGACGGGGGACTACAGATCCAACAAATCCAGAGTGAGTACTGAATTACTGCACAGTGCCACCCAAGTAATAACTGTATGATATGGAAATGTTTTCTCCTGGGATGATGATGATAGCTCACCTGTGTCGAAACTGTTTGACCTCCGTGAACAGAACCGTGGAGGTTTTGCGGGCAGAACAAAAAGAAGAATGGCGATAAAGATGGCCACAGTGGCGTCCGTCACATACCTGTCAAATGGAGCAAACTTGATTAAATGACAGTGGCATCAAAGCAAATCAAAGTGAAAATAATGTGAGCAAAGATAAGTAGAAGTAGAAGAACTTGTGTACAAACTCTGCTTTGGAGTTGAAGATATCTGTAGCCCAGCCTTGAACAAAACCCGGGTCTCTGGAGAACCACATCAACACCAGCAGAACAAAAAGACCCAGGACACTGATCTCTCCGAAGGACATGGGCCCCAGCAGTCGATGCTGCTCTCTGATGACATTGTAGGCAGCGATATCCTTCTCAGTCTTCACAGCCCCACAGCCCCATGTCTTCTTAAAGCTGAGGGATCACATGAGAAAAGATCTTTGTGTCACCTCTCCATTCAAACACACTCCTGATGCGGTAAAAGCCTCTTGATGCCGATTCAAGTCTGTCACTATAATTAGGCTTTGACCATCACCAAACTCACTTGAATCCCATAAAGACAAACTGCAGCCAAAGCCAGGCCAACGTGAGCATAAGGATCATGTTGGGGAAGGCGAAGCCGAACCAGGAGGCGAAGTTAATCACATCTCCATTATCAGGAAAGAGTCTGAGGAAAACAACAACGAGAGACTTTTAAGTACAAGACCTAAGCTAGAGGATGGAATAAAACAACACTTTGAGGAAACACTCACTGGTTCATCTGGCCCTTCAGAACCAGATTGGGACCAGTTCCTGTGAGTGTGGCAGTGCCTCCAATGCTGGCAGCGTAACAAACACACAGGGTCATCCCCTTACACATTTTCCGCCTTTCGGCCGCCTCCTTATGCCTGGCAGCCTCTGCCGTTGCGTCCAAGAAAGTCACCACCAATGGACCTTTAAACACAAAACAAAAAGAGCTACTACTACTACTATAGGTTTGTGGATTTTAAAGCACCCGTTAGGCTGTTTAGTTTCTTGCAACATAAGCATAACATTGAACAGTGTGACTATGACTATAACATACCTTGTCCATCACTCTGTTTCTCTGTCTGCGGAGGCTGTTTAGTATCAGTTTCTGATATCTGGACCTGCTCATCTGAGCTGAGAATCTGAGGAAACTCTGCGTCGCTGTTGCTCAACTGCTCCAGCACTGCTTGGACAATAGGCACCATCATGGCTGTTGTTGCTGTGTTGCTGATCCACATGGACAAGAAGGCCGTGACACCCATGAAACCCAACATTAAACTTTCAGGAAAAGTAAAAAAAAAAAAGAAAAGTAACAAGTGTTAGCAATCTGAGATAGGAAGAGGTGATTGCAAGCATTTTACAACCAACTATAATAATAAAACAGAGAAAAGGAAAGGCTTTATGGCGCAGTAAAAAATTAAATCGGTCTCTACATCTATATATGATGTCTTTGACGGTATGGTTGATTAGATAAGCTTGAAAGAGTGAGCCAAAGGACGGCAATCCACACTGCTAATCTGCTGTGGGGGTGTGTGCATTTGCGGCACTCACAGCGCTGGACGCACACCAACAAAGAGCAGCACCCTCAGGGCGATACGCTTGTGTAGATTCCAGTGCTCCACTGCCACTGCAACCATAAGTCCCCCAACAAACAACAGGTTTGTGTCCTTCAGGTACTGCATACACACCTGAGGATGCAGGGAAAGATGTGTGTGCGTGTGTGTGTGAGCAGATGTTCCTCAATGCCGGGGTATTTCAACACTCTGTTTCAGTTATTGTACTCACATCTTTGGACTGCATGATGCCGAACAGGGGGAACAGGAGGGCCGGGAGCAGAGCTGTGACAGCCAGAGGAAGGACCTCTGTGCACCAGTAAACCGCCATCAGGATGATCACGTAGGCACATTCTGCCTCCTGCATAAAAAGACATGGGTGAATTCACTCACCTCACCTCACTTTAAGGGGTCAAGATCATATCTGGAGGAAAGCCAAGGAAACAAAGCCTGAAAGCATCTTCTCCACTCAAACAGTATTACATAATTTTTGATGGGGTGTTATGATGGTTCAAAGGGTAAAGATAACAGCACTTGTTTTTCTGCTGTCTTGTCACCTGTTTGAACATTTGCTTGGATCATCTTTCAAAGATCTATAAATGCCCATATATATCCTCATTATATCATTTTTTGTGTTTTGCTCCTCTAAACCAATTAAATTAACTTTTTTTTTTGACACCTTTCATTATGTCAGAGATGTTATGTTGACTTTAAATCACAAAACTTCTTTTGTCTCAACTTTTGGCATACAGGCAGAGAATCCTCAAGTTTGGGATAGCATGTTACCCCCTATTCCTCCTGGTGCACCCCTCATTCATGGCTGCTTTGCATTGCAGTCTGCGGTTATAATAACATGCTTACAGACGCTTGCATGTCTCTATGCACATGTAGCGGTTGCGACGTGGACGGAGCCCTTCGACTCGGTGTTCCCACGCTGGACATGACCCCTCGTGTTAACAAAAAGGAGTTATAATAACAAGAGTTGGCGGGTTCATGCCTCGGGCAACACGGCGCAGTTCTCATGCATTTTGCTGCTGGTGCGTCGTGCGCGCTTGTTTGCAACAGGTGCATGAGAGAGTTGGAGCAAATCACTGTTGTTAGGGGAATAATATCAGCTGTGCGACATATTGTCGACAATTTAATCAATTTATTTGTGAAAACTGGATGAAAACAAACCTTAATGATCCTTAATTGAACTTATTTTGCATTTCCAAACGGAATCCAAAGTTATCCATGCGCACTTAAACAGATGTTACCACATTTTGGACATTTAAAATCACACAAAAAAGTTAAAAATAATTAAATCTTTTTGTTTGGTCTAAATAAATTAGGGTACATACCGGTGTTCCGATCACTAGAGGCAGTGGAAGGAGAATAAATGGAGTTGAAAAGAGGATCAGCTCATTCTTAACGGAGCGAAGATATTTGAAGAATGCCATCCTGAAGAAAAACGGAGAAAGGAAGGCTTTCGCACCATGGATCACGCTTTTGAGGCGCAGAGGAGAGGAGGAGTAGGAGTAGGGGGGAGCAGGGAGTCCCACACAGCAAATAAAAGAGAGAGAAAGAGGGAGAGAGAGAGAGAGAGAGAGAGAGAGATGTGCAGGGTTCCCGCACCACCAAAACAAAAGAGCTCTCTGGTTGATTATTCACTAGAGCAACGTGGAGAGGTCTTCCCCATCCCAACTTCCAACACAATCACAAAAATATCTATAATTTTTTCCTCAAACTGAGTAAACTTATTTCTTCAGCTGCCAAATCCACTTGACAGTGAGATAATGAGCCGCTTCAGTCCCTCCTCTGCATGCTGATAAGATGAATCCTCACAGCCCTGACACTTAATCAGTGATGAGCCCAAATATGAAGAAATGTTAATCTAAAAGAACACAAGATGTAGATAACTGGGTCAGTAGCATGTCAGGATCTGCTCCCACAAGGTTTACTCCAGACACACACAGAAAGCAATCCAATTGCAGTGTCTACACAGGAGGATTGTCATTTGAGTCATTGCTGCTCCACCTCAGTATTTTGGTAAACCAGAAATGTGTCTGTGAGCTGAAGTAATCTTTATTGTCACTTCTTTTACTTGTGTCATAATAGGATGAATAGGCAGGACTTTATTGGGATTATCCACACTTTAACAAACTTTTAACCAGCTACCAAGAAAGCATGTGACTTTTAGCAGTTGTCACTTTTGAATCATCTAAAGGTTTGTTAAACTTGGATATTTTACCTCCACATGTACAGCAATATTCAACCTTTTTCAGATTCTACGGCGCTCTGGTAGAACTAATCTTTGCGGGAAAAAATTGCCAGTTTGCCCACTCCATGGCATTACCAACATTACCCAAGAGTTCCATGTTTACTTTTCAAGACTATTGTGCAATTTTGAGCATTAAAGTGTTTTTATTCTGTGTGCTGTGTAAGGGAGAAAAAAAACTTGCAATTAATCCAAGAGTACTGCCATGGAATGGGCAAAACCAATTGGAAATAAATGTAAGAATTACAAGTAAACTTTACACAATTGGTGTTTTTTAATCAATAAAAAGTTCTTAATCTGCACAACTGTGAAGGAAAGTCCGTCAGGAAACCACCGGTGTGTTTTGATGCTCAGCTGACTGACTTCAGTGGGTTTTGTGTGTATTTCATAACAGCATGTTTGGCAACTACAATATGTTTCCCCCCCATGTCTGTGCAGAAAAGCCTTTCAGATATCAAAAGCTGTTATAAAACTATTATTAAAGCTATTTCCCTGTGTTGAAAAAATTTCAGATTTTCCTTTATTGCGCAAGCTGTGCAATCCCGGCTTTAAATGTAACCCAGTGGTGTTTGTGTTGTTTGGTTTTGTGGTGCCTGGTGTTCCTAATTCAACCCCTTATTTCATTGCACACCTTACATTTTGCTCTTTGGCTCAAATGACTATTTACCAGGCAGTGGATAAGATAACTTTTGGTACACAACAGTAAAAAGTATAGAGAAGATTCAAGAAATACTAGAAAACATATTGTGGTTGTGGTTGTTTGTTGGTTTTGGTGACCTGGTGGCTTGCGTATCATGATGAAAACACTTCTACTGCCACTTGCGCCACCACAGATTTGCAATTTTCTTAATACCTACAACCTCCAGTTTTCAAGATTCACAATCAGTGCTGAAAAGTTGTAGTACGTTGCATTGGCTGCAAGAATTCAACACTTTGTTTTATGTAATATTTCATTATACAAGCTAAAAATAGTGCATCATTCGGTCCAACTGTTTCAGCATTCTGGCCTTTTCCAGGGAGTACTTTAAACCCAAACTGGCACAGTGCTCTGGGACTTGAAACACGTTCTGCCTGGCAAAACTTAAAACTGCCGAGAACAGGACCAAAAACATCACAAGATGTGCTGAGCCAGGGAATGTCATGTTCTTTCGCCATATCCTTTCTGTAAAAGTGCTGACAGCAATTATGCTGCATCGGTGGTACGCGGGAATGAGGGAAGCTTTTAATTTGTGTCCCTGTAATTGGGGATCTACTGCCACTGAGGGACATGAGCACGTTTCTTTGGGTCCAATTTTAATATCGAAGACAAGCAAAGTATGAACCGGTAAAGTCCATTTGATGAGTTCTGATGATTACTGCCAATTTTTTTCCCTTTACAGTGTCAATTTTACATTTTTAATAGTTATGCCTGCTTTTATTTAAGCCAAAATTATATATTCTTTAAATTTCCCAAGTGCAATCATGACATAAATAACAGATAACAAATACCTGTTAAGTTCTAAAGTAGATGAGCACAGCAAGCTAGCTCCAAACTGCTGACATAAAAATGTTTTACCCGCCTGTAATCAGGTTAATATATAACTTCAAGTGCTGAAGATACATAAGTTAATGGGATTTTGCAAATGAAAAAAGTACAAATTCAAAGACATATAGAGCATGTGCATAATCTGTGATGTGGCAGGTGTACTGGTTCTAGTACTGTTCTTGCAGACAATCACATTTGGCTGCCAGCCATCAGTCATACTGTACCCACATGACAGCACATTATACAAAAGTAGGACCGGGGCAGACAGAAGCCTTCCCTCTGTCTGTTTTTATAGCACATCTCAACTAACTGAGACAAAGTGAAGGCCACAATAAACAGTGAAATGAGTGCAAATTAACAAACTATATATGGTTTGTCTGCACGAGACTGCTGACAGATTTGCCAGAGAAATTACAGACATCATGCCACCTTGTGGAGATGACTCAGACTACATCCAGTCACATTGACCTAGATGTAAATATTCATTTCAACTAAAGCAAATACTCTGCCAACTTTTATAAAGGACTGGTTCCCAAAATAAGATGACTAAAAATAGGGAACAAAGAGGAAAAATTTTTCATACTCTATTTCATTCAGTTAATATTTAAAACATTTTCTTGCATAGGGGAGGGTGGGATAAGATGAGCTGTTTTTCATATTTCAGATCACTACATCAAGTCAATCATAGTTTTGTCTCTAACTAGTGTATCTGCATATATTTCAAGATGTTGTGCATCCCTGCAAACCAACAGAATGAGTGTAAACATAACTGTCTTAATTAAATAGCATGCTTTAAAAAAAAGTGGTCTCCTATGGTCAACTTACCCTGTGTATGGGGTAAGTTGACCCATAGGAGCGGGGTAAGTTGAGCTGTATCCCTACTATCCCTCCACTCTCCACCCCAGCCCTCCCTCACCTTCTCTATAAAGTATATACAGTCTATGGTACCAACACAGTCAAAGGAGTTAATCTGTGGATCAGCTGCAGCAAAGAAATGAAAACCTGCAGATCGCTAAGCAAGTTCAAACTCATGTTTAAAAAACACATTCTGAGTGAATATAAGAAAGAAATGGAAACATGAATTACAACAATGGGCAACGTGCCTTTTTTTCTGATATATTTTCTTTCCTCTGAGCTGTTATTCCCACATATGCTCTGACTGATTAAATTACAGTAACACAACAATAAAGGGGTAGGACTAGATAAGTTTCACTAACTTCATCTTACACCCTTTTGAACAAAGTATGATTATCTATGCTGCAACAGAGCTGTCTCTTTAACTGTTTTTCTGCCAAAGCACATTGTATATTGTATTTATTTGGTTTTTCTTTTAACCTGTTCGAATAAACAAATAAACCAAACTAATCACTATATCTACAGTGCATTAGTCTATGAACTTCTTACTAAAGTAACCCTAGGAGTCCTGTCTAGTGCCCATTGTGCCCATTGAGGAAGTGCTCCAGTCCACAGTCACATGAGACAGGGCTGCTGTTGTGTCACGTGAGGTGTCGTTTCTTAAACATGGCTCCAACTTAGCACTGAGCAAAACAGCATCCCCTGAATGACTGCCGTCCGTTTGCTGACATGCATCTGTAAAGATCGGAAAATGGAGCACGTTAAATGCAGATGTGCCCTGAAGGATACGCTTGTTGAAGAAAGTTAATAAAGTACAAAGTCATCATGCGTGAAGTGGAGCATCGTTAGCTTCATGCTAGCCTAACTGTCAGCTGCTACAAGTGGCGAGAGGTAAGATTAAACATCAGACTGGAGCTGTTTTCGGGTGTTTTTGTGCGATTAAAGCTGGGTGAGACTAAGCCAGTTTATCTGCCATTTTATATCAACATGGCAAAGGTATTATTATACATGCAATAGCAGTAATCTTAAGTTATCATAACGTTAGCCACTCTGTTAAGCTAATTGCTAGCATCAAGTTGACGTTAGTTTTATCAATGTCGTAAGGCTAAACGAGAATAATAAAAACGAGATAATTTAAACATTTAATAGTTTATAATTAGAGGACTAACTCCTAACTGCTTTACGAGAAGCTTGTGATATTTAAGGAGATGTGTTTGGTTGAACATTGTTGTGTTTTAGATGTTATCATACCGTCAACTTGGTTAACCCAGCTAACGTCTATCACCTCCAGCTTACCCATCATTTTCACAATCAGTACCTTATCTATCAGATCTATCGATGGCGTGTATTTTGCATTGTTAACTTTTGCTAAAGCTTCTCTGTAAAACAAACTCCAAACAGGAAGGTTATTTTTATTATTAACTCGCCACTAGAGGGCAGAGTATCTGTGTTGTTGGGGCAGAGGTACTCCAGTCATGTGAGCTGAGCTGAGCTCCAACTTCAGGGATTTAAAGAAGGACAAGGAGTCATGTGCATTCACAAACAACACATCATATCTTTGTTGCATCTGTTCCTCCTACTGTTTCTAATCTGATTGTTTATTTATGTTTTCCAGTTTCTTCAAGAGGACAGGCTAAAGAGGTGATCAGGCCTTTGATTTAGTTCTCCATGAATGTCTAAAAGTCGACTGAGTGGAAAACGGTGAGCTGTAAGCAGCAGAACATTGAAGGACTCGTTGCAAGCATTGAAGACTCACCATGGATTGGCTAATGCAATCGGTGGAGAAAGACTTGGGGATTGACCGAAGGCAGCAGGGCCCAGGTCCCCGTCCGAGGGAGCTCATAGCCATCGTTCCCACACGCTGGGTGATGGGCCTGAGGGAGAGGAGGGTCATGCGCTGTGCCCGGTTTGACAGCACCAATGAGGCTGAAATTCACACATACCTGCAGTGTTCCCAGGCCAAGCTGCCTCCTGGCTGGACACGAGTGTGCATTCAGGGTCTGAGGAAGAGCAAGCTGAGCTACAGATTGGCCAGAGACCCTTGCCATCAACTAATGGAATTCACGCCACAGGATTCTTATGTCAAAACCATGCAGTGTGTGTCTCATCATAATGTCAGGTAGTAAAACTATACCCTTTTACTCTTGAACGTGTCTGTGATTATAGTTTACACCTGGACAAATGTTGAAAATGTAAAATCTACAAATGAAAGTGATGAACTTTTGTGAATTACTCTCATCATGAGAGCTTTAAGGCAGCATCATTAAGTGGTGTGCTCATTCCTCGAGGATTGAAGGACATACAATAATGGCATAACATTAGTATTAACAGATAAAAGCAAAAAAAGGTAGATGTCTTGTTTTATTTCTATGTCTAAATTAAATAGACTTTCTGACTCAGAGCTACAAGTAAATTCTTGTACAGAAATGACCTTATGTTCTTTCAAAAATGAGTGCATATGGTATGAGTTTGGAAGTATTTGCTTATCAATCAGCTGCAAAAACCCGGTTTTGTGCATTGCTTCTATAAATAAGTATGATTAGTGTTGAAAAATCCCACAGGTGTTCAAGTGGATATTTCTCTAATCTAGAAATGCTGTTGTGTTTCTCTTTCATATGGTAAGGCGAACTCTTAACACCCCCTGTTTGTAGAGTTAAATTGTTTATTTTTCATAGCCGAGAAGGGGGTTTTAGTCACAGCAAGGCCAAAGATATAATTGCTTTTACCTGCGTATGCAATGATGGCAACTGTGCCATGTGGCCTCAGCTCTGGTTTAGTGGGCGTGAGGTGCAGAATGTATATAACCAGCAGGGGCAGAGAGGATGTGACAGAACGACATAAATTATAAATGACAGAAAGCTTTGAAGACAAGCTGTCAGAGCAGGTGCAAATGATCGACATCACATACCTTTTGTGTTTCACTTCCTGTCACTTGTTCTGCTTTGATCTCAGCGTTAACATAGTAATCATCCCTTTGAGTGCCGCTGTGTCTGTTTTTTTAGATCCTCCAATAACGCTTGGAGTACATGGACAAATATAAGTACTCCAAGTGTCATTAGAGGATGTAACACTTGGAGTACATCGTCGAAGATGTATATTTACAGTTACGCTCATGACACAGCTGGATGCGTACTTGAACACAAGGCTTCACAGCAAGTGTATCTCCAGCTTTGGGTGTTTGCTTTGTTAGAGGATATAATTCTGTCTTGTTTGCAGTGAACTGATCAGTTTTATGTTTTCTTCTTCTTCTTCTTTAGGAATCTATGGAGGGAAGCTCATTACAAGCTCGTACAGAGATATGCAGGACCTACTGAGCAGATGCACGCTGCAGCTGTAGATGCAGTCCGTCATGCTTTACAAAAGCTTTTTAACTCCACATTCATCTCACCTGAAAAAGTTTCACCATCCCTCTCTCCAGCCAGAGAGAAGGAAAAAGAAAACTACTTCCCATCCAGTTCATCGTGCAATTCCAAGACCCAGTCGGACCGTCTGTGTCCGAACATTTTGCCTGCTGAGTGTCTGCTGGAGACTGCAGAGATGCTCTACGTGATTCTACCCTATTCTCAGTATTCACTCCATGACATTGTCTCCTTCAGCCCAGCCAAGCTCGCTAACAGTCATGCCAAAGTGTTGTTCATTCTCTACCAGTTACTAATAGCTATACAGGCAAGTCATGCAGCTGGTCTGTCGTGTGGAGAGCTCTCCTTGCAGGACATAGCAGTGGATGAGCAGCTATGCAGCCGGCTGAAGCTCAACCTCGCTCATTATGAGGATCTGGGGAAAGAGGGAGATGCGAAAAGCTCTGTTACTGGCAGACAAGTGCCAAAAAGTGTCTTGCCAAGTGAAAATTCAAGCCAAGAGAACAAAAGACTTTGCAGCGATTGCTTCGGTGAGCTTAAAACGTTGGCTCTTGATTGGGTCCACGGGCGAGTCAGTAACTTCCGCTACCTGATGGAGCTGAACCGTTTAGCGGGACGGAGAGAAGGAGACCCAAATTACCACCCGGTGCTGCCTTGGGTGGTGGACTTCACTGTGCCATTTGGAAAATTCCGGGATCTCAGAAGGTCAAAGTTCAGGCTCACAAAGGGAGATAAACAGCTGGACTTCACCTATGAGATGACCAAAGAGGCTTTAGCAGCTGCGGTGGGTAATGGAGTCGGTGGGAGCGTTATAGGCGGGGATCTTAGTGGCTCTGTGGGTGCCGGTGGTGCTGGACAGCCAGAGCACCTCCATGTACCTCATCACATATCTGATGTGCTCTCAGACATCACCTACTATGTCTACAAAGCCCGGCAGACACCCAAGTCAGTGTTGTGCAGCCACGTTCGATCCCAGTGGGAGCCTAATGAGTACCCGGCCAGTATGGAGCGCATGCAGAGCTGGAGCCCTGATGAGTGCATACCAGAGTTCTACACAGATCCCTCCATTTTCCGCTCGATCCACTCCGACATGCCAGACCTGGATGTGCCTTCCTGGTGCAAGTCATGCGAGGAGTTCATCGAGGTTCATCGGCGCCTTCTGGAGAGCAGAGAGGTGTCCCAGCATTTGCATCACTGGATCGATCTCACGTTTGGCTACAAGCTCTCTGGCAAAGAAGCTGTCAAAGCCAAGAATGTGTGCCTGCACCTGGTGGACAACCACACCAATCTGACTACCTACGGCGTAGTTCAGCTTTTCGACCAGCCCCACCCGCCCCGCTTATCTTCTTCTCTGTACGCCCCAGCAGAACCTCCCCTCCTTGGCCTTGCAGCTCTAACTGTGCCTTCGCTACACTTCCCTCAAATCGACACCGTGGCTGAGACTGTGGACGGAATGGTGCCAGAGTCCACAGGTTGCGAGTCCAGCGGCTGGACCATGGTTGACAGAGAGGAAGAGCTTGAACAAGGAATGGAAGCCCTGGATTCATTGACGTCTGCTGCATCTGGAACTGTGTCACTGCCTGGAAATACATCTGGAGGAAAACCTGGAGGAGAACACACAGCACTTATCGTGTCACAGTCCCCAAGTGCATTCCCCGGTGATATAGCAAGCAACTTAGGCCCGGGTTTACGCAGTGCCATGTTACAAAGGGCCGGGCCTCCGAGCAAAAAACACGGAGACGTGGGTGTGACCGCCACAAATGCGGATGAAATCAAAATCAGCCTCCCTGAGGGTTTCAACCCACTGCAGCCTTTGGAGGAGCTGGAGAAACTGAACAACTTCCTGGTGAAGAGTCTGCATGCCGAAGTGTCCGGTGACTACATGAGAGATAGCGGGATAATTGAATCTCTGCCCTCTCTTACACAGCTCTACCAAAGGGACATGCAAGCCCTGGGTGTCCTCATCGCAGAGATATTCTATTCCTGCAAGCTGCGGGGAGTGAAACCAGGAAGTCCCCTCAGACAGCGTTTCCAAGCTGTTATGAAGCTCTGCTCTGCCAGCCTCCGCGATGTGCCGCTGTGTTTGCATCATGCTCTGGAGACACTGCTGCTAATAGAGAAGCACTCAGGAACAGCACACAGAGAGTTACCAGATTGCACGCCTCCACTTCTTTTCAAGTATGACCCCATCCGCGACGGCCTGCCTCCCCCAAACCCCTGCCAGCTACTGAACTCAATCATCACCCCCTTTCCTTTCCCCTCCTATTTCTCACCACTTCATCATTTCATCTTTTCATACCATGCCAAACTGGAGACCACATGTAGTTTTCAAGGAAGAGACGTCGTCTTTCACCTGTGGCAGCAGCTCGAGACTCTATTGCGGGGTAACATCACAGCAGAGGGTCTTGAGATCCTCTTGCCTTTCATTCTCGCCCTCATGCTTGAGGAGTGCACAGCTGTGTATGCTGCTTGGTACCTTTTCGAGCCCATCTCTAGAGTACTCGGCCCCAGAAATGCAAACAAGTACTTACTGAAGCCACTAATCAATGTCTATGAAAACCCGCACTGCCTGCGAGGACGCTTCTATCTCTACACCGACTGCTTCATCCTGCAGCTCATCGTGAGGCTCGGCCTGCATGCTTTTCTGTCCAGTCTGCTCCCCCATGTGCTGCAGGTCATCACCGGCTTTGAAAGCTGCAACTCGGACTCTGGTGGGGAAGCGTGTAAAGGGCTGAGAGGGGGGACGTGTAATCTCGGAGAGGAGGAGGAGGAGGACTTTCAGTGTGGCGAGCAGCGGTCGTCCTCTGGGTCTGTTAGCGGGGCAATTGGAGGCAGCAGTGGAGCCACAGGAGGAGTCGGGGTAGTGGGCGACGCGGGGCTGGTTGATTACTCCTCTGGCATCAGCCTCAATGACCAAGTGTTTCTCTCAGAGGCCGAGGACTTTCAAAATGGGTTCTATGTCAACAGCGGGGCAGGAGTGGCTGCTGGGAAACAGCAGAGCCAGAACGCCGCGGCCAAGGAGCAAGACCAGGAGTCTCTGAGTGTGGGGAAACTAAGTGACAAAAGCAGCACAAGTGAGCTGTCCCTGGGTGACGGAGACTCAATGAGGGATCGTGCCAGTCTCAAGTCGGCAGACAGCAGCCAGGACCTCAAACAAGCCAGCGAGGGAGAGGAGGGAGGGGAGCTGGAGGAAGAGGAGGTGACCGAGACGAATGTGGGAAGAGACGAGACGGATGACCCCCCTGCTCACAACCTGGACCTCACTCTTTCTGCCTGCACTATAGACACCGTTGTCACTCTAGAGGGTGATTTTGTGAACGGATTGACACTAGAGGAGGCAGAAAAAGACGCTGTAGGAGAGCAGGGGGACGAGGAAGACCATGGTCCTACCGAGGAGTCAGAGGAGAAAGAGCAGAAGATTCTTCTCGGTGAGTGACTAACAGAGATTTGTTTTTATTTTTCACTTCTTCAGTTCCTTTAAGTGTTGAATGTTTCTATTCCTCTCGCTGCACAGACACAGTTTGCAAAACGGTTCGGTGGCTGTCTGCAAAACTCGGACCTACAGTGACATCTCGATATGTCGCCAGAAATCTGCTGCGACTGCTCACAAATTGTTACATCGGTAAGTTCATTCAAAGCTCTCAGTTTTCAGTCCTTTTGTTTTAGCCTGTAGGATTCTGTTTTTTAAACCTTTGTCGTGTATTTTCTGCTTTTAGGACCTGAGAAACACCAGTTTGTGGCCTCTGCGATTGAGGAGAGCAGTTTTGAGAGTGTGGGTTTGGGCAGTGTGTATGAGAAGAGACCTGTGGTTGGTGACCAGACAGCGGGGCCTGTGCTGGAATGTCTCATCTACATAGCTCAACTCTATGGAGAGCCAGTTCTCACTTACCAGTACCTGCCATATATTGGATATCTAGTAAGGAAATACACATTCAGTCATAGAATTTCTACTATCAAGTAATTTTTTATTCAGGGACAGAAAATTTGCACCTGAGTTTTTTTCTTTTTATCTCAAACTGACTGATTTCACAAACGTTTGCTCCAGGTTTCTCCACCTTCTTCACAACGTCTCAACACGCGAAAGGAGGCAAGTCTGCTCGGAGCCGTCGCACTCACACAGAAGATCATCGTCTTTCTCTCTGACACCACCCTAATGGACATGCTGATGAAGATCAATCAGGATGTGCTCCTTCCCCTTCTTGACTTACTCACCACCCCGCGCATGGGGTGAGTACTACGCATACACACACACACACAATGTCTGCTGAGGCATAACTACACACTGCGCCTGACTGTCAGGCATGGCACGTCAAATCACAGAACACTGCAGATAGGTTGTTTTACTCGGTATCTGTCACATGCTTTTAAGAGAATGTATTTTTCAAAGTGGGAAATCTTCTCATTTTTGTGATGAAATAGAGTGAAATCAGATACGTGTTACAATAGATCTGTCATTCACCCTCTGCTTGGTTTTTACCTGCTCTGCTATACCCAGGTTCCCCAGCGGGGTGCAGACTCGCACTGCCGTCTGTCTCAAGACCCTCAGCCTGATGGCTCTCATCTGTCTGCGCATTGGGAGGGAGATGGTACAGCAGCATATGGCTGACACTCTGCGTCGGTTCTTTGCCGTTTTCTCTCTGCTGCATTCTCTGCAGCCCCAGGTATGCACACACACAAGCACACAAAAAATACGCAAATCCAAAAGATTGACAAGCAACACGCCGAGTTTATTTCTAGAAGACTTTCAGCGAGCGGATCTGTAACAAAACCAAATGACACAGAGGCAGTGGAAAATATGGAAGACAATAACAGAGACAGAAACTTGGAGTACCAAGTGTCTGACAGAAAGAGAGAGAAAGAGAGAGAGAGAGAGTGTGACTTTGTTAGTGTGGTAAGATTTTGCTGCTTGAGTCAGATTATTTAGAAGTTTCTTCATGAAGTTGTTTCTGCTTCCTTCACCTGTAATCACTAATGTGCTAATTTTTTACTCTGTAGCTGGAAGGCGCCCCTCACAGGATGATGGGGGAAGTCACAGTGGTGGATGTCTGCACTCCTGAAGGGTCTAATGTTACATATGAGTTGGGGGTGCTGGAGGAGCTGCAGACTGTTTTTAACCCTGAGATGGCTCATGCCTCCTACATCCCCTTCTACTGCCTCATAGGTAAACGACCCCTCAAATTCAGTACAGTTGTTGTATAAATATCTTAAATTATTTTGAGTCTTAAGCAGTAAACTCGTGTGATTCCTTTAGGTGACACTGCGATTCGGAAACTGGTGCCCAACCACGGGCTGGTCTGGCAGTTGGCCCAGTCTTACCATCAGAGTGTGAGTCAAATGAGCCCAGGGGCGAACCCGGCTGCAGTGTCCAGAGTAGACCTCCCTCCATCTTCTGCAGGTGTCTCCACCGTTTTTGGCAGACGTGTCGGTGGCAGCCCCTTCCCCGCACCTTCATCCAACTCCAGCCAGCTGGGGGACTCCCTCCCTGAATCAGGCACGTTTGGGAGCCACCTGGTAGGAAACCGTATCCAAGTGTCCAGGGACGCTGATTTTGACGGCGGTTCCGCCTTGGGTTTGGCCAGCTCTTGGGGACGCCCCAGCCATATCACACCCATCATCACCACTTCCTCCACCTTCACCACTTCATCTGCTGGCACAGTGTCCTTTTCCTCCTCCTGGGTGACAGACCCCACCCCAGAAGACAGCGCCCTGAAGCAGGAGCTCCCTCGCAGCGGGCGCTCGTTGCAGGGAAACTGGCTGGCCTACTGGCAGTATGAGATCGGCCTAAACCAGCAGGACCCACATTTCCACTTCCATCAGATCCGGCTGCAGAGCTTTCTGGGTCACTCAGGCACCACAAAGTGTTTGGCACCACTGGCAGGAGAGGATTACTTCCTCTCTGGTAGTAAAGACAAGACGGTGAAGCTCTGGCCCCTCTATAACCACGGCGATGGGACGCAGGAGGTGGAGCCCAGGCTGACGTATAATGACCATCGCAAGTCAGTCTTCTATGTTGGACAGCTTGAGGCTTCACAGGAGGTGGTCAGCTGTGATGGCACTATTCACCTGTGGGACCAGTATACGGGTGAGAGAGATGCAGCACAATATATCTCTGCTCCCTTAAGATCTAAGACACACAAAGTCGCTCAAATATCCGAGTGAAATAACTGTTTTTCTCTTTCTGTTGTCTGTAGGCAAGCAGATCCGCTCATATGAAGCCGTGGACGGGAAGAATCCCATCACAGCTGTCACCACTATGCCAGCTCCACACTGCAGTGTTGTGTTTGGCAGCGCAGATTCTGTTCTCCGCTTCATTGATCCTCGCAAACCGGGATTGCAGGTTGTAATTTCACTTAGCAAGCTCATTCTGGCGAGACTCAATCCATAAAACATCCGCTAATTAACATTGATTACTGTGTTAACAAAATGGTAGCAGTTTTTTTTACATCCCTCCGCCATAGAGTTATTTCAGCCTTGACATTGACAAATCCTCCCCTGTGTCTTCAGCACGAATTTCGTCTGGCATACAACAATGTGAGTGCAGGGCTCATCCGCTACCTGGCAGTGAGCCCCTCGGGGCGCACCGTGGCTGCAGGTTTCTCATCTGGCTTCATTGTTCTGCTAGACGCACGCACCGGACTTGTTCTGAAAGGCTGGCCGGCTCATGAGGGAGATATCCTCCAGATGAAGGTACACTTAATGAGTGTGTGGGTCTTTACCTTTCAACTTTATAACTCAATCAGTCTCATTGTGTAATTTTAGACATAAAATATATTTGAATATCGCAGAATGGAAAGAGAGTCAGAAAACGGATGAAGGAGGGCGTCAATGTGTCGAAAAACTAGGTTTTGGCTCGGATATGGGAATTTGTGTGAAGTTGTAGGGTGCTTTGTATCACTTGAGTGTAGGTTTTATAAATCGCCTAACATTGACTGGAAAAAGTTTAATTTGACTATTTAAAATCAAATAACTATGAAAAACAGTGGTACTTGATGTAAGTCTCAGGGTTCTATGATGTCCCTTCTAGGAATAAGATGAATAATGAAACCAACCGTGATCCACAAATTTAGATTTAGCATTTTATAACCTTCCCTTCATCCACATATGGTCACTTCTGGCTCCAGAAACTTGAAATAAATGGCCACAATACCAAAATCAGACATCATGGATTGTTGGATGAGTGACACTGGGATTAATTTATTATTTCATGTTTTCATGAAAGGAAATCTCCAACTAGTTAAGTGCAAAATACCAGCTCAGAGAGTATACCGACGAATCTGAGATGAAATAACGCTTGAACTAAATCGTGTCCAAATTTGAACTTTTGTTACGAGAAGCGTGCGTGTCAGTTTTGTGTTTCTCAACAGTGAGCTGACGTGTGGGACTTGAAAACAGTGGAGTCGTTGTTTACATGAGACGTGGGCCGACCGTGGGCCATGCAGTGTGTCACAAAATCGGGCAGCCACTCAAAATTTGTTTCCAGCCTGATAAATCGCAGCCAAGCACAGCTAACAAAGCTGACGGTTTTTCTCTGTGACATTGAAATTTTCTTAGTTTTAAATCATTAAAAACTGTTACTAGTAACTCAGTCTTAACTATTGATTGGAGTCTGTATTTGGAGAAAGCAGATGGGACAGTGGGAGGATGAGAACATTTTTATTGTCTGATTTGTAAAGCTTTAGTGCATTCATTAGAGAAACCTGGAGGGAAGGAAATAACAATATGGCTTTTTGGTAAACAGTGGAAACTTTTGGGTTACTCCATTCTGATGCACACTGCGCAAAATCCTGTTAACCTCTGTTTCTGTTGACTCTCTGAACAACCTACATAATATCCATACGGTACGTCTGACCTAGACAGGCTTGGTGTGTTGTCTACAAGAGCTGTTAGATAATTTTACTCTGATTTTTGACCTTTTTAACGCTGGTTTAGAAATTGTTGAAAGAAGTAGCACTTATCATTATCCTACCCCTGTTAAAAATCACAACAGTGTATTGAATGCACTGGGTAGGCAGTTGTAAGCAAGGGGAATGTTGCAGCACATAGAGTAATTAGTCCTGTGTTCATTTATTCGAATAGATGTCTAAAACCTGAGTCACAGGGTGTAGATGTAGAAACCTAAGCTATTGAATGTTATCAAAAATCAGTCTAAGTGGTTATATCCTTAGAAACTTTGACATATTTAGGCCAGAAGGTGTGGCTGTACCCGTTAACAGTCATGTGACCAACATTGAGTAAGACAGTCGTCCAGGTGGTTTTTATTTTGACATTCAGAGTTTATATATTAAGTGCAGCTCAGATGGAGAAAGTTGTACCCAGCAAGTCTGTTGTCAACAAAGCGCAAAGATTAGCAAACTTTATTTAACCCCAATTTAGGTCAAGGATCGTATCTCTTGTTTTAAAGGCACAAGTTTAGGCAAATATGGACACAAGTTACTCATTAGAAAGACGGCTGCAGCTCTCATTGGCACATTCATATTACTCAGACTTCCCCTCGGGTGGATCAACCAGGGGCTGTTTCAGTCTCTCCTTAAGAAACGAGATAAAAATGAACTCATTTTCTTTCAGTTTATTTTTAAACTTTTTTAACCTCAATTTGGGAGTAAAGAGTGTGACAAACCCAAATTACTCACAGGAACAGTAGAAGTTCTAGATATGCTGTATATGAACATTACTCATGATGTATTACTAATATACCAGTGATTTTTATCAACCCCTGAGCTAGAAGCCTTAGAGTGGAAGTCAGTACATTTTGACTTTAAGATTATGAAAGGAAAATTAGATAATTGAAAACTAATATGGCTGTAGGCAGTTTCCTCCTTCACCTGTTTGAGTGTGTTTGTGCATAATTTTTAAAACCAAAGTCATTAAGTTGTTTTGTTTGCATCTTGGAAGTATCATATTTCAGTAGGACCTTAAATTTGCATTACATGGAAGTCAATAAAACATGTCACAAAACTTAAGATGGTGGAATTATTGCAGGGATGTGACCACAAAGGTCAGTGACTTCCTTTATTCTCTCATTTCAGGCTGCAGAGGGAAACTTGGTCATCAGCTCCTCCACTGACTACACACTGAGTGTGTGGAAAGATCTGGAAAACAAGCCTCTACGCCAGTACAAGTCTCAGTCCGACCCCATTCACGCCTTTGACCTCTACGGCCCGGAGATCGTCACCGGAACAGTGGCTAACAAGATCGGGGTGTACTCCATGGCGGACATCTCCCTGAGCCCTGTTAGCAGCACAAAGCTGAGCTCAGAGAACTTCCGCGGTACTCTGACCAGCCTTGCGGTCCTTCCCACCAAGAGGCTTTTACTGCTGGGCTCTGAGAACGGCGCCATCCGGTTATTAGCGTAGGAAAAATCAATGGCTCCCAGATGCAGGAAACACACTTCCCACTGTCCTCCAAAGTGTCTTATTGGTGAAGACAGGCAGGTGTCAGACAGGCTCTTTGTCCCCTCTCCCGAGCTTGAGGTCAGTTGTACAGGAAAGCAGTTTGTCAGTTCCGCTAAATTGCTTTTTAAATGAAGCAGCACAAGCATAGGCATTGTATAAGCTACATGTGTCTGAATCTTGCACCAAATTTGATCGAAAGGAATCGTGTGCAACGCACTTAACATTTATGGTGTACAGTAGATCCCATGAATTTTTTAAAAGCTTATAGATGTATAGATAGTATATAATGGGGAATACTTATCTTTACAAGGTCAGTCGTTTCTTCAAACATGAAATCAGAAGATGTGCTCAGGAAGGTGGAACCAAACACGGTTCTCATGTAGTGTTTACACTTTCCAAATAGATGCATAACAACACCAAAAATACATCGACCTCCACTTTCATTTCCCTTCATGTTAGAAGACATGCATACCTGAATGCACTGATTAAACTATGCAGTATTTGTAGATCAAATCGTTTGTTTGTGTTAGTGTCATCATGTTTTACATCCAGCAGGTGTTTCACAGTAAATCGTTTATATCTATGGTAAAATTACACACTGTTGGGTCGACAGTCTCAGTGTTCCCTCTTAGAGTGGACGTACTTCAGCTGTCGTCACATTACAAAAGTGAGTTACTGATGCACAGCCTTTTCTTTTTTCTTTTTTCTCCTGCACAAGTATAGCCTGAATTGCAACATTAAAACTCACACACAGATTTTAAAGACTGAATGTTTTTATCCACTAATAAATTACTTGAAGTTGCTTTGGGATTTTTAAACAGTGTTTAAAGACTCATGATTTAGCAGTCAGACCTGTAGCAACATTATCCTGCGAGTGTGTGGCAAAGGCCAGTTTAACTGGGTTTGCCCGTAGTTAGACTCACCACTGACTACAAAAGCTAACATAGAAACAGTCAATGCCAAGATGAACAATTTTCTATTCCAACATTTGTTACTGCATATGAATATATGTAGAGAAAAAAGCTCCAAAATCATAACAAAGGAGTCAAATTACTTCTTATTGTGTACTGCAAATGAACACAAAGTAGAGATTTTTCTTCCTTAAATTTAGCTTGAATATGTCCAAGCTTTTCAAGCCTCTCAGCATCCAATAATCAAAGCTCAGATCTTGATATGATTTTTTCATGATATAAAAACGCAGTTTGCCTAATTTTGTAATTATTTGCCCAAAGCCTGATATGCTCTGACAAGTGTATTACACCCTTTTGATATTTTGTGTTTTTTGTAAACTTGGAGTCGAAGCTCAATAATCATGAAATGAAATTCTTGTTTAAAAAAGAAAATTTGTAGTTGCATAATTGGTAACAACTGTTTCAGCATCTCTTCGAACATTTTACGAGAAGTCCATGAAAACGCTTATTTATTAACTGGATTAATAAAAAATTGCCTCCAGTGTTCCCGTTGTTCTGTGTGATTCACCTGCATTCGTATTGAATCCCGTATTGAATCCTGATCTTGGTTGAGTCACTGGAGCTCAAATTGGACAAAGTCCCCTTTTCTGTTTGCAGACAGTGGTCATGTGGTCTATAACATTTCACTTCTTTAGTGGAGAGAGTGAGCTGAATTAGTCAAAATGACTAATTTGTCTCTTATAATGTTTCTCTCTTCGTGTAATGTTTCATCACAACATGAAACTTAAGGTGTAGATGGTGCGGTAAAGACTGACGGTCTGTTCTGTGAAGTCCGAAAGTAATGCTTTCTGGGAAATGTGGGCTTGTGTTCCCTGATATCAGTTACGTAACCACAGTCAGCAACTGTTCGTCCGCGCAGAGCTGAATCATTAATTAATGTGTCATCTGTCCCCTCAAAGATGTTGTTGTGTCATGAGATGAACACCTACCCTTCGAAATCACTAACAGCCACCCTCTGTCCCTCTGATATTTAAACCTGGATGAGTGTCAGTAGCCACATTTACAAACAAATAGTGGCTTAAAGAGGCCCCAATCAATGTAAGTTGATATTTAACTCTTTGCTGAGCAAATGCCAATCTTTTACTCTTAGGAATTCTGTCATCCACAGTCACTTAGTCGCTCCTTTTTTGGACAAGGCAGCGAGTTTTTTCTAATTTAATTTTAAGGTAAGATCAAGTTTTTTACTCTGAACAAATTTTTACCAGCTGTAAATGTGAATAATCTGAAAACTTAGCAGAAAATGTTGACTAATACTCAGTTATTCATAGATTTTCATGGTTGTGTTTGCTCTAGACAAGAGAGTATGGCTCTTGATCATTCTATATTCCTGTGTTTTTGAATGTTTCTATACCAATTTGCATACAGAATTCAGACACTAATCCATTGATATTGATATCTATAACCATGGCTTTCTACAAAGTATAATATTTTCAATTTAAGGATATGACTGTAGGTAACCTGCGTGTTAGCGAAAAGTTCATTTGCATTTTAGTGATGAAATCTTGATGCAGTTTTTACATGTACTTTGACATTCATGTTTTAGGCAAATTCCCAGATGATCTGAGTTTCCTCTAAAAGAGAGGGCAACTAAGTGGAGCAAAAGTGACCAAAACCTGCTCTGAAAATATTCACAAATTTCATAAAAAGGTAAGGATGAACTTTTTTAAGGGGCTTGAATATATAAATTGTCTGACAAATGGGCAGGTTTTCAGTTGTTATGTCTTTTCCAGCTGCAGTCTGTGAACATGGATCTTCGTCTGACACTCCTGTTGATCTGTCTGTGCAGCCAAGGAGTCATTGTATGTCCCAGTTCTTTTAAACCACTTTTTAAGAGAATTATAGACCAGTTTGACCTTTTAGATATATAATGTTTGTGCTCTTTTTACCGTTTCCCTGGTGAACAGAAAGCTGAGGTTGCAGACAATGAGTCAATCCCTCTGGTGCCTCTCATTCCTCTGATGCCCAGTCAACCCATAGAGGTGAGAGGCTAAATTAAACACGAGTTTCAGATATTTTTTCAATGTTTTGGTCGTCTAAATTCACAGTCTGAGAAATGTTCCCTTTTCTTATTCTTGCCTTCAGCAACTAGAAAGTGAAACTACACCACAACCAATCACTGTAAGCACTACAGAAGACCCTTTATTTGCTATTTCGCTCAATGGGGGCTCATCAGCGGAGGAAGACGATAAGGGTTGTCTATCCATCAGCCGAAGATCACAATCCAGGGAGGCCGTTGCTGCTGCCATTCAGAAATTAGGAGTGCAGCTGCTGCAGAACCTGGAGACAACACCAGAGCAGCCAAATATCATCATATCTCCCTTTAGCATAGCATTAGCACTCTCCCAACTCGCCCTAGGTATGCATCCTCTGCTGGAGCTTTTGCATGACACACTACACTGCAACACTTCCTCCTACAAATGTTTAATCATCTTTAATGCATTGTGCCAGCTTCTTCAGCAGCAGTATTAATAGCCACCCAGAGACTTAGAGGGACCTTGACCATTATTCTCCCTTCGTCTTTTACAGGTGCAGTAAATGAGACACACGAGCTGCTGATGCATCACCTTCATGATAACATCCTCCCCTGTTACCATGAGTCTCTGCATACTATCTTAATGTACCTCAGAAGTAACCTGCAAATCGCCACCCGCATCTTCTTACGCCAAGGTTACCATCACAAAGAACTCTTGGAGAAAGTTTTATTATTACTTCAAGACAGCACAGCTTCTGCTTTCAGACAGCATTTTTTTAAACTTTAATTTTGAATTAAGCAGTGTTTTTTCAAGGAATTTGAGCCTGAGGGAGTGTGTTTATCTTTTGTTTTAGGGTTCGAGCCAAAGCAAGAGTTTGTCAATGAATCCCGGCGGTTATATGACTCAGAGCCAGCAGTCTTGCAGAGTCTGGAGCAAGTAAACACTTGGGTAGAAGAGGCAACAAATGGAAAAATGACTGATTTTCTGTCTGCTTTACCACCCAACCTGCTGGTCATGCTCATTAATGCAGTCCATTTCAAAGGTGAAATGTAACAATGCTCCTATACTTGGCCTTTCTTTTTGAAGTCATTCTGTTTGCTGAATTCCCATCACTTTTCTCCATCAGGTGAGTGGAAAGCCCGGTTCGATCCTCGGTTTACCTCCAGAGGTGTGTTCTACCTGGACAGCAAGAGTATGGTTGATGTTGAAGTGATGGAAGATGCCAAACATCCCCTTAGTTTATTTATTGATAATGAACTGGATGCTCAGGTATTTAAACATTTGATCACTGAGACTTTATTTTCTCAGGCATAGAATATAATCTCAGTATAAAACTTAAAATGCCTCTTTATTACTTAGGTTGCAAGTTTCCCATTCCAAAAGTCCATGAGCCTCCTGGTGGTCATGCCGATGTCCGGTCAGATGAACATTTCTGCTCTTACAGCAAAGCTGAATATCACTGATCTGTATAATCGTCTGCCAAAGCAAAGGGCCGTTCAGGTCAAAGTCCCCAAATTCAAACTGGAGTATGGCCAAGAGCTACAGGATGTTTTTACCAAATTGGGTAAGGCCTCATGATGTCCTGTTTTTAAATACTATGGTAGCTATACTTTTTAAACTATGAATATAGATTTAACTTATTTGTGCAAAAGAAAAAACTGACCCTGTCAACTCTGCTCTTGACTCAGGGCTCGGAGAGATGTTTTCCAGCCCTAACTTGGCTGATATGGCAGACGGCCCCCTGCTGGTGTCCAGTGTGATGCACAAGTCCAGTATGGAGATAAATGAGGAGGGTGCGGAGGCAGCAGCTGCTACTACAGTTGTGATCTCAAGGGCATCCAACCCTGTTTTCCACCTCACCCAGCCTTTCTTCTTTGCACTCATGGATGAAAAGACTCAGGTGCCGATCTTCATGGGTGTCATCAACAACCCAAATCCTGGCGCCCCTGTCTTGGAGAGAGGAGACCCTGGAAACAAAGATAAAGTGGGATTCCCGATTGATAAGAATCATGTTGGCACATTTGGAGGCCCACCAAAGTAGGGACAATTATCTGCTTTGTGGCACCAGAGAAACCCCAGACCAAGACCTCTTCTGCTGTAAAGATGAGACGCAGTATCACAGGGACTGAATGTGAAAAAAACAGAGGTTTCATGTGTTTTGATTGCCCTGCAGAATAGATAACCCAAGGAGGCCAACATTCCATGTGAAAACAAGTATTTCTTTAAAATAGTACAGTTTTGCAGCATTGGATTACACGTTTGTCGAGCAATGCTTAAAATTGTAAATGTGGAAAAGAAATAATTCATACCCATGTAAGTAATCTTAAAGTTTGTTTGCTTTACTCTAAAGTCAGGGAAATAAATGGATTTGAATCAAATTGTGTTGTGGTTAAGAGTTTGATTGCCTCCATGAATGAAAAAATGTCATTGCAATCTTAATGCCAACTGGTGCATTCAAGGTACTTGGTAAAGAGAGCACTCAGATAAAATGTGAAGGAACTGTAGTCAAAAACTTTGCAGATGGCATGTCTTTATTAAAGTGCAAGCCTTTTGCTGTTAGATTTAGTTGAAATTCAATATTTCTTTGGAAATAATTGGAATTTGAGGTTATGTACAATTACTTTTGTAAGTCACTGGTTAGGTCCATGAGTAGTTAAGGTCATTTACTCATTGTTTGTAGGGATGGGAATCAAACCGGTTTCAAATAGTTCAATCCATCAACATCATTTACATTTTATCTTAACAATTCCCTTAACGATTCCTTTCTTCTTGGTGCCTTGTAAAACGGTCTTGTGAGAGCCAGTCTACGCAAACGAGAACAGAGACTTTGAGGGAAGAAAAATATGACGAATGGTACGAAAAGTACGCAGAAACAATCTATTGTGGCTTCATTTTACTAAGAAAGACGACAACAGGTTTTGTATGGAAGTTTTGAGTTTGTGTACTGTGGACTTACTGAGGTAAAAGCACATGAAAGCACGTTAAAGAATTGAATCGATAAGCACAATCGATAAAGGCATTGATATAAATAAAATCTTATCAATTCCCATCCCTAGTTGTTTGGTATGCAATATTTGTCATGGGTCATGACAATCTTTTTAAGATTGTTGGTAAGGTTTTGTTTTAAAACATACATATCTTTAAATTTGGTGTAAAAATATCAGAGGAAAAGTGACCTCTGTGCTTCAATAACAGCCCTCTGAATCTCTGAAATGTAGAATAATTCACGAGTCAATCATCTAAAAGAATTCGTGGAGTTAACCAGAGTCAACATTTCACTATAAAATAATTTTAACACTGTGAACCAAGTATTATTAAAATGTGTTTATTAAGTAACAGTATAATTTCGACGGTTTTGTTATGTACGAGTCTGACTTTCCTGTTTCCCCTTCAGTACTTGAACGCGTCTTATTAAGCGCCTGACGTCAGAGTGTGTTTGGCGCTGACTTCTCAGTAGCTGGTCTCAGATCAGTGTTGCTCTGGTTATGAGGCTGCCAGATACCGGATACTCGCCATCTTCAAACCGATCCCTGATCTGTAGACGGAAGCGGAAGTAGACGCGCACAGACGTTGGTTGGCGCGTTTGTCTAAGCTGTTGGCGCCAGAGTCAGAACTCACAAACAACTGTCGGTGGATGCAGCATAGAGTCGGTGGTCCTGCTAACATTTGATTAAGTTCACGTTTTTGTCGCTTAATATTTCTTTGCAGACATGACTAAACTCTCAGAGGGCGCCATTGAGGTAGGTGTAACATTTGCATTATAACTGATAAAGATATTCGCTTGAAAACAAAAAAACTGCTTGGTTGAGAGATTGTATGTATTCACAGTTTTAACTGTACTCATGTTGTCAGTTGTCATTTGTTTTAAGTCTAGTCTAAAAAAATACGATAAACACGAACTTTTTGTCAAGTATTCATTTTTAACGGTTGTCTTGTCTATATTGAAAACGTAGCTCCTGTCGTTTTCAGTTAGTGTCGACGTTAGAGGCAAACGACTGATATAAGTTCGGGGGGAAAAAACAAAATGAATCTTAAATTATAAAAAATGTGTACTGGGAAATGCAAAAGAGTGGTTTAAAAAATGTACATATGTGTTTTTTCAGGCTTTAATAAATGGCACTGGTGGAAACGACCTCGTGCTTCAGTTGATGGTAAGTAACAAAAAACACATTTAAGTCGTAACGTCTTTTAACGTTTCTCTTTTTAACGCTCTATATTAATGCCATGTTTACAAGTCCTCTTCCTCTCCTCATACATAAATGTTGTGGTTTCATGTACGCCCTTGAGTTTAATGGAAGCTTTCAGTCAAATAAAGGAGGGTATAGCAGGTGTCTTGACAAAGAGTAGCCATAATGAAATACAGAAATCTGCAAATCTGTGTGTCCAAGTCAACCAAAACCATCTGTGCATCAAGCAGAACTATCACTGCCTCCATTTTTTTTCAGCATTGGCTTCAAGTTACACAGTAAGACCGGTTAACTTAGCTCCAGCCCTTTTTGTAATAAAATCCACACAAAGGAGCAGCATGTGGACACACATTTAATATAATACTTCAACAGTCAGTAGTTTACAGAAACAGTCAGCGTTACAAAAACACTGCTTATATATGTACAGGACAGGAGAGTAGAGGTACTCCTTCACCCACAAGGGGCACCAAAATCTTCACAAACTTAAAGTACGATACAAGAGCTTTTTTTTATTTTTAAACGCAACAATATTTTTATTCGTTTTAGCTCATCACAAACACCCCCTTTCCCTCAAAACCCCTGTGCTTAAATAACAAATTCTGGAGCTAAAACAAAAATTATTAAGAAAAAAAAAACAAGCAAGTGCTGGAATTTGGGTTTTGTAGGATTTGGAATATATAATGTTGAGGAATAAAAAGTTAAAAGATAAGTGAAATGAACTACTGTACGTTAAGAGAGTAGCTGAGAACTGAAAAAGTCCATAAAAGAGAAGAATTTAAATTGTATGATTATAAAACATCACAGATTTCAAAAAGAAAACAACTAGAAAATGAGATTACTCATTCAAATTGATGAGAGTTTCTCAATGTGGTCTAGAAAAGGTCCTCAGATCGAAATTTTCTGTCATTACCTGCAACTGAGTAACAAAGAGAGATATAAGAGCTTTTAAACATTTTTACACATTTCACAAAGCATATTAGATATACTACATTACGAAGAAAAAAACCCATTTGACATCACAAACAATTTCATGACCATATCACCTTTCAGAACATCCGCAGGCTGGAGGGCGGCAGCGGTGTCGTTCGCTGGAGGGTGATGATGAGTGATGGACGACACAGTCTCTCCTGTGAGTTTGTTTGTCTCTATTTTGTTCCTGGATTTTATTTTTCAGGATTTTTACCCCCCACCATCACCCCTGCACATTCCTGCACAGCCGCACTGCTTTTCACTACATCGTTTAATTCACATTTTGATTAAGAATACATAAAATCTATTGACTGCATTTTGTAGAATAAAATGTGAGATCAGAAAGATTGACTCTAAAATGGACACGTGCTTGAGATCATATTTGTTTTATGTGAGTTGTATTCATTGAACTACTCCTGTCTGATTCCCTCCTTACTTCTCTGCACCTTTACAGCCTTCATGCTCTCAACTCAGCTGAACTACATGGCTGAAGAAAACCAACTGGTCCCCAACAGTGTCTGCGTGCTGAAGAGACATGTGACCAACATAGTGAAGGAGGGACGGTATGCACTTTCTCTCATTTGTACCAAGAAGTTACCTGTTTGAATGTATTTGATGTTTAATTTATTTAGTAATGTAATCATGTCTGAAGCTGAATTTAGTGGTTTATGAGGATGTCTTTTTACAGACGGGTGGTTGTCATTTTGGAGATGGATGTCATTCAGTCAGCTGAGGATGTTGGAGGAAGAATCGGAGACCCAACTCCGTACACTGAGGGTAAGTCCTTAAAACACGTTTCATAAAAATACCTGCTGCTGAAAACTGAGGAAGAATTCCATAAATGCTGAGATCTGTTCATTCACTCGGTGTACACAATTTTTCATGTTACCACTAACACACTGAAACTGTTGTCATTCTTGCAGGTGCAGCTAAAGGTCCACAGCCAGTGCAGAACCCTGAACCTCGCCAACCTCTGCAGACACAAAACAGAAATGAAGGTGAGTGGATCTGAGTGGATTCAGGTGTTCAAACCTTACCTTGTGAGGGTAAAAGGAGCCCATTAACAGCCACTAGATGGCAGCATTTTTCCATCCCCTTCTATGAGTCAGCCACAGATTACGGGACACAAGTTGTTTTGACAGCCTTGTTGGAGGAACATTCGCTTTTTTAGCTTTTTTGCGAGCCTCTCCGAGGAGTCTTCTCCACAGTCTAATTGTCTTTTTTTTCCACCCTCTTTATGTAAGTGCTCTGCATTTTAAACATAACTGTGAACAACTGATCGATGACGGTGTCTGTCTGTTCATGTTCGTCAGAACGTTAATCCTTTTTGGATGCACAGGCAGACGCTCACATACTCTGAGATATGACTCTGAATATTTGCCCTCATGAAGAAACATGTTTGATTTTCAAACTAGTTGCTGATCTAATCAGGTTCCTGTGGTTGATCACAGCAAATGTGAACCAGGAGAGCTGAGCAGACCAGCTGTTATTTATTTATTTATTTATTTATTTTTGCCGTCTTCTTGCGTGTGTCATAGCAGGTGTTTATCCCCCTAATCTGCAGTGCTGGAATTGAGGTTGTGGCGAGCACTGTCCTCATCAGCACAGTCATTGTTCATTTCTCTGTGTGTGCTGCTTGATCTGGGGGCTTAATTACCAGAAGTGCAGTGGTTGGCAAAGTGGGAGGACTAAAGTGGACACTTTGAACTCTAATCCTCCACGTGAGTCGCACACAAATCAAATGTGCAGCGCTTGTTCAAACGGAAAATCTCGAAGTCAGGCAGCAGCGCTCTCCTGGGGAGGAGCAGCTCCAGTTTGTTATAGCATTTCACACTCTGCCCCGATTCTGTGAAATGTGAATCATCCTTCTCGCAGAGACGCTGGATCACACATCTCCCACTACTTAAGTTGACAGCATTTTTGTTTCCTGTTTCAGTCTTTCCTTTTTTTTCTCTCGAGTCAACGGTGGTAAATTTCCTTTAAGTCATTAGGTTGCTTCTTTGATAAGACTTCCCTCATGGAGTGAGATAATTACAGTGATCAAGCAGTTGCAATCCACAGAAATTGGATTTTTGTAATTCGCCTCTGATGAATAATGGATGTGCCTCTCTCTTGACTTCTCTCCATCACTGCTCTTCATGGATCATTAATTTCTCTTTCAGCTCCTCCGACAGTGCAGCGAGGTTTCAATAAAGACTTTGGGAAGAAGGGCCCATCTGCCATGCCCGGTACCCCAGGGGGCGGCTCCAAAGTAGTGCCCATCGCCAGCCTCAATCCCTACCAGTCCAAGTGAGTACACTCCCTGGTCAGCGGGGGATGATGAGCGCTATTAGATGTTTTACATAAAACACTGAATCATCATTTCAACTGAAATAAAAAAAATTCAAGATGAAGAAGTAAAAGTACACAACAGGACTGACTTAATGCCAGAAAAACTGTGTGAAGGTTCTAGAATATCAGCCGAACAACATTTATGATAGTTTATTTTTACACAGAATTTTTTTTGTGTTTTGCCTGATTCGGCTGTCAAGTCTGAAGAAAGACCGAAAAAATGACGAGTATGAAAGTAGAGGATGATAGACAGCAGAGGTTTAAGGCTATAAGTCAAGCCAGTGACCTCTGGATATAGTGCATGAGCTTTAACTGCAGACACCCCATGAGAGTTTCTGCTGTGCTCGACTCTGTGCTCAAACACTTATACATTAATTTCCACCTCTAAATCTCATCATCTTATTGCTGTTTGTACAAGAGTATTAGGGCCACAAGAAGAGACAAAAATAATCACAGGAGGGAGATTTTTTTTAATTTCCATATAAGGATTAAAGTTGAAATTTTAAAGAATTGAAATTTCGACTTTATTCATGTCGACTTTAATCTTGAATTTTTAACTTTAATCTCAAGATTTAGATTTTTTAATCTCAAATTTTCGACTTTAATCTCGAAATTTTGACATTTTGTAATCTTAAAATTTCAACTGTAATCTCCAAAATTTCAATTTTTAATCTTAAAATTTCTACTTTTCTGACATTTTTTTTTCTTTTTTTATTTCAAAATTTCAACTTTAATCATGAAATTTCAACAATAATCCCCCTCCTGTAATATTTTTTTTCACTTCATGTGGCTCTAAACCTTTTTTGTATGTTTGTCCATAAACAAAGCCCTAACTTCGTCGTCTAACTTTTGTTACAAACCAGGTTGAGGGTTCACGCTGACTTCTTGTCAAATCTTTATGTAACATGCCCTCACTTTCTATCACTCGAGCCTCACAGCTGCTTTTTTCTCTGCTGAGTAGTAAAAGTATTGAAAGGGAAATAAGTCTTCCTTGCCTTTCTTCACATGACCACTTGGAGACAAATGGGAGGTATAAATGGGTGAATGATTAAAATAATGAAGGAGGGTGTAACCTTAATTTCTGGGTTTCAGAGCTTTTCCTAAAAAAAGTGTCTGTCTGACAGGTGGACTATTCGGGCCCGTGTGACCAACAAAAGCAGCATTCGCACCTGGAGCAACTCTCGTGGTGATGGCAAGCTCTTCTCCATGGAGATCGTGGATGAGAGCGTGAGTCTGATTCATGAGTTCCTCCTGTGATGAGCTCAAAACTCTGCGCTGTCTAACAGGAAAACTCAACCGTACGTTTTCTTCCAGGGAGAGATTCGTGCGACAGGCTTCAACCAGGAAGTGGACAAGTTCTTCAGCCTCATTGAGACTGGCAAGGTGAGGTGTCCCCCAGATAATGATTCATAGTGTCCCGCTACGTTCCAAACTGTCCCCCAGCATGCTGCCGTAGACAGATTTGGCTGCTGACTGTTCTTACAGCAGCTGCCAGCACTCGGTGAGTTCAAACCACAGAGACTATGAATGAGTCACCTGGCTACACTGTGTCCAAACAATAAGCCGCTTATGATCATCTGCCAGCCTTTGTTGATCCCCTCGGACTGTCTCAAGTCGTATCTTGTCAGCACCATCCAGACACACGCTCTCTGATTAACACGCGAGTTCACCCATCTGTGCGACCCAGGTCTACTACATCTCCAAGTGTACCCTGAAGATGGCCAACAAGCAGTACACAACCGTGAAGAATGACTACGAGATGACACTCAACGGGGAGTCGACCATCATCCCCTGTGAGGACACCAGCGACGTCCCCATGATGCAGTACGACTTTGTCTCGATCGATCAGCTGGACAGCAGAGAGAAAGATTCCATTATCGGTGAGATGCACAAGCAAACCTGTGTGATACAAACCCAGACAACACACTTCATGACCCCAGGTTGTAATTTTACACGAGATCCACCAGCAAACATTCTCCTCAGCCTAAAGGTAGGGTTGGTAATCACAGCAAAGTAGTTAAAATTTGAATGTAGCATCTTCTCAGGACTTTGTCTAGTTACTCCAACCTCCCCTTGGAGCTCCTCCAAAACAATGTCTCCCGCTCACATGCACAATCGCTCAAAACCACAGACTCAAAACTTTGGGATTTTGTGCTGCGTTCGAGTGACCTTGGAAGTCAGAAGTCCAAGCTGACAATGACGTCACACCCGAGTTTCCAGGGAGGTAGAAACAAGATGGCTACATCTACGAAAGTTGTTTTAGCACTTGCCTCGTCTGAACATAAAGGAACTCGGGTTTGATGTAATTTTCAGCTCCGACATCTGACTTCTGAGGTAACTCGAGTGAATTAGATTGGGAAGTCTTTGCACAGCAGGGACAAAGAAGGTAACGTCGTTAGCATAGGGATGACCACATAACTGGCAACATAGCTAAATACTTATGAAGATTAAAAACCACCCCGAAACAAACCCTCAGTGTACCTTTCCAACAGTAAAAAGTGACCATGGCATCACTTTTAAAGCCCTTAACCTCTTTCAGTTCGCTCCATCGCTAAAAAGCTGTTCGATGTTGACTTTAGTTTTCGCCCTTGCTTTCTACAAACTCTGTCTCACTTCGGCCGTCTCTGCCTCCGTCTTTCTTTTCTTGCTCTTTTCTGCTGGAGGAGCGGTCACCATTCATCTGGGGATAGGTAGTTTCTCTGCCTCTCAGCTCAGTTATGCACATTGAATCAGGGCCAGTGCACGCCGGCGACATGTACACGCATGAGGCAATCACAGGATTTGATTGGTTTAAAAATCTGGGACCCACACAATGTGATTGGCTGGTGTTTTCCCAGTTTTACTCCTGCTGTCGATAACGGCTATGTTTCGCTCTTTTTTTGAGAACACATCATGTATTGGAACATAAAGATAATTTGAACCAGAATAACAAAAAGTCTATCTATATCAGATTACCAGCCCTACCTTTAAACCTTATCTCTTTATTCGAGGGTTCATCTCCCATGGGTCTAAGTATTGCTTTGTTTGAGCTGAAGACTTCTCACACATCATTTGCCAGTTTGTTTTTATCGCTGCAGGTCGTATAAAGGCATTTTAATAAACTATCCAGCTCAACTCTCAGCTTGAACGCCTCCGATGCAACTGCACACCGCCGAATGACCGGATAAAACCTTTACAGGCAGTCTGTGAGGTGTAAAATATCTCCAGCCTGTGGAGCCGATAGGTTAAGAGAAATTTGATGCAGGTCAAAAGCAGCGGTTGTGTTCATCCCTCTTTGGATTTTAGTCACAGTGACTGGCTGGAAGTCTCGTTTTAATGAGCCTCAGTAAAGAGTTTTCCTTCTCGTCTTTTGAAGCTCTTTCAAACCTCCCCAGCTTCCTCTGCCTCCCCCTAAAACAACGTCTTATCTCACACTATAAAATATTGTATACAAGCAGCTACTTGGACCATAACATCACTCGAGTCCACTTTAGACCTTTTTATTTGGAAACCTGTTATGTCCCATAACACCCCGTCTTATGTCTATTACTCAGAAACAGGCTGTGCGCACCCTTGAGGCTCAGTTTGTTCCCGCGCTGTATCGGAGCAGCGGGATGATCTATCTACTAGAAGCTGCTTTTTTAGCTGTTTGAATAGAGGCGAAGTTTTGCCAACATATTTTCCGAGACATTAAGTTTGTGGTTGTCTCGTAGTACTCTGTGCCCTCGACAAATGTACAAAGAGCGGGGTTGCGTAACACGGCACATAAAAGAGCAATAACGCCATTTCTCCGAAGCGAGCGTCCCGTGAACCAAATTCCTCTAATTCCTCATGTAACGGCACATCTGTGAGGACGAAACAATTCACGAATCTCTGAAAGCAGCGGACTGAAACTCTGGCCATTTCCTTCACATGCAGAGGAGAGATTTGTAGCCGGACGTATATCCAGATATGTGGGGAGGTGGAGGTAATTACTGCACATAAGCAGAGAGATAAAAGTGGTGTTAATAACGCCGATGACAGTAATGGCCTGCAATACAGATTGACTTTGGCCCTCTGAAAAGTGGATGAGAAAATGAGAACCTGCTGTCACAGGTAAAATGAAGTCATAATAAGGAGGCCGCTCTAATTCTTCTAATGAAGACTGCTGCTTGGACCGCTCTGAGTCATTTGTCTCATGGCATCAGCTGTTCCCTTCATCGCCGTTAAACCGCTTCGCCCGGAGGGTCAGGCGTTTCTGTTTGACTCCGCTTTTTGCACCTTTTAAAAAGAAGTGCCACTGTTTTTCCACCCGATTGCATTACCGAACAAAGATGAAGCGCATCTCTGAAAAGGAATTAAAGCCATTTCACAGATTGCCTGTAAATTGTGTCTGTAAGTGGCAGGTACACAGGCCAGTGAACCCACACCTGATTTGAAATGAATGAATTAGTCATTTCCCCGAGAGCCAATTTGTGCTCGAAACTTAGAGACCTAGAGCGACCTGTAAGCATTAACACCCGAGTAAATATTTATGATATGTATATGCGGGCGAACTCGGTTAGTTTTGACAATTAGACCATATGTGGCCGCGGTTTTTGCAGGAAAGTCTAATGCGATGTTTACTTAAATTCTCCGCTGCAAAATACGAGTGAAGAATGTTAAAAAATAAGGCAAGTAGATCCAGTTTGTGCTGCAGATGTGTATCAAGGATTTGTATTCTCTTAACGCAGATGTGATCGGAGTGTGTAAGAATGTGCAGGAAGCAATGCGCTTCACCACCAAGGCCAACAAAGAAGTTACCAAGAGGACACTGGATCTCATGGACATGTCTGGGAAGGTGGTGAACGTCACCTTGTGGGGAGAGACGGTGAGTTTCAACATTAGATCAAACATGGATATATAATAGTGAAGAGGTTAGAGCTGGGCGATATGGCCTCAAATCAATATCATGATTGATAAATGGACGATAACTACTCCACAAGCTGCTCACCCCCTCCCACATTAACTTCTACTTCAGCTGCTACAACTTTTGAACTGTCCTCCATCTCCTCACCTGTCTATCCCTCTTTGATACAGACTATATGGGGTGGAGTCACATCTCTGATGTAGGACAGAGTCTTAAAGGGACATGAGACCATAGCCCACCTACACACATCTAAAACCAACTTTTATTCATTTATCTTTTTGGACACCGAATATACTGATATGGGCAAAATGACGTTGGTTTTTGTCGTGAATTTCGGTATCAGTAAATTTTCGGTTTATCGCCCAGCCCTAGTAGGCAGAAGTTGATTTCCTCTGCTCTAAATGTCCAGAGGAAATCAACCTTTCCCTCGAATCACCTTCAACAAACACTCCCAGTGTGAAGCTTTTGTGCCGTTTTAAGTCAGTTTGACAGGAATGTGTTTTAATTAGACGGGGTTTTAAACGTCAGCTGAGCTCTACTGTGAGGCAGAGTGAGAATTAAATGCACTGAACTGAGCGTGCATTGTCCAGTCGAGGTGGATGTGATAAAAATCTTGGACTGGATACCCTGCCACGGCTTGATAAAGTGACTGTCCTCCTGCAGTTGATTTTTACCTGTGGCGCTGAGGGACTGTGCTGAGTTCGCCACCATCTTTCTCCTTCCTGACAAGCAGCACAGTGTACCATGTTTGTTTGTTCGACAGATACCCTCTTCTCTGGAGGGACCGCCGAGGTACACAAGATGTAGAGTTTATAAAGAACAATGGGAATGCCAAAAAGCAAGTGTTGGAAATACCCCCCCCCCCCTTCCTCTGAAGGCTTTACAGCTGCCATCTCCTTTATTATTGTCTTCTCTCAGGTTCCTACAGTAAAGCGCTCAGGAAGACAACAAAACTGAAAAGCGAGCAAACAATAGATACGTTTCCAAGGCAATGACAGTGATTCTGAGTCTGACACATAAAAACATTTGATTGTTGAGGGTAGCTGAAGGGATGGTAAAGTCTGTTGTTTGGCTGCGTATTTGTTCCACCACTTTGATTCAGGCTTGAATACGTTGAGGAATAAAAAGTGGAGTTAGACGAGATGAGATGCACACCTTTGACTCCTCTTTAAGGTCCACTATGAGGAGGAGATTTGTTCATGTAAGCAAATAATTTTTATAACTTTCATACAATCTATTGGAAGTTAGTAGAAATCAATATGTAGCAGTGAAAAATTTGTGCGTCTTTTAAAATCCACTGATTTATTTAGCCATCAACACACACAAACAAGTGAGTAGGGCTGGGCCATAACCCGAAAATATGCCGAAACTGAAATTTACGACAATAACTAATGTCATTTTGCCCATGTCAATATATTCGGTGTCAAAAATAAATAGATAAATAAAAGTTGGTTTTGGATGTGTGTAGGTAGGCTATGGTCTCATATCCCTTTAAGACGCTGTCCTACATCAGAGACGTGACTCCACCTCCACATTCAGTCTGTAACAAAGAGGGAAAGACAGGTGAGGAGATGGAGGACAGTTCAAAAGTTGTAGCAGCTGAAGTAGACCAAGTTAATACGGGAGGGGGTGAGCAGCTTGTAGAGTAGTTATTATCCATTTATCATTATCGAGGTGAACTGCTCAATATAGCGTGATATTGATTTGAGGCCATATCACCCAGCCCTACAAGTGAGCAATGTAAACTCAGTGGCTTCCCACTCATTTCACCACATATTTAAGCATCTGATGTTAGAGCACAACCTCCAGATTCAAAGTATCAATGCTGAACCTGACGAGCCAAGAAAAACAACAAACAAATCTAGACATGCACGAGTAACAACAAAGTTCTAATGGTTGTCTGTCCTGTGATCATCTTTTTTTGCGTAGGCAGAGACGTTCGATGGCTCGGGACAGCCCATCTTAGCCATTAAGGGGGCGAAGCTTTCAGACTACGGAGGCCGCTCCCTCTCTGCATCCTTCAGCAGCACCCTGATGGTCAACCCAGACATCCCGGAGGCATACAAGCTCCGTGGCTGGTAAGTGAGCTGAGGGGTCATAGATAACACAGTGCAGAAAACTGTGTCTGTATGTTCAGGCAGATGAGGTGCAGGTATGAAACATATCAGAGGGCGTTTTTTTTAATATATTACCCATTCTGGAAGTGTTGCTGTGGAAATGGAAGAATCTAAGAATCGGATGGCGTTTCCATTTCCCAAGTCGCAGGAGTGCATGCTTTGATTCTCATTATCCAGATTAGTTTTCCCCCATTAGCCACAATGTTGGGGGTGCTTCAATAGAGCATTACATATAAATGGAAATCATACGTAATCTGTGGAGATGCTTTTTTTCACTTAGCTCAGCGCCTTTCCAGATGAGATGAAATCCAGTGTGATTTTTGTGTGATTATGCTGATTGGTCTCACTCCTCTCTGTGTTTGTGTCACTTTTAAGGTAATTTCATTCTCACATATGTCTTCACGCTTACGTGGGATTATGTGGAAATGAGTCGGGACCTCTTTGTTTCAGAAAAAAAGTCACTTTAAGGTTTTATTGAAGTTACTCCAGCCAGATGCGGAGCTGCTGATGCTCTAAGACATTTAATCCATGTGAAAGTGTTCCTAGAACTTCTGTGTTTGTTTTTCTTTTAACAGAAAACACAACGTTCAAGACGAGAGCTTTCATCTTCGGTCTTCGATTTCCTCTTTTTTCATATTTTTTTTTAGCTTATCCTCAGAGTAAAACATAATCCAAAAATAGACAAGGATAAAAGACATCCTGCTACTATTTACTTTTTTAATTTATTCATTTATTCAAAGATGTACATCTCCCACAGCCAGTGTGAAGGTTTACAAGCCCCCCCGTCTTCGAAGGCTGCATGAAGAAGTGCTGCACAGGTTGGCACATGATTGATAGATGAGGCTGCACTCACTTGGACCAAGGTGGGGGTTGATACTTAACCTCACTCCAGCGCCGTAGCACCCCTGATTGATCCGTCCTCCTTATAGATCACGCTTAAACAGGCGCGGCCTGCCCCTCCTCTCCGACGCGAAAGCCAATGTCTCTATTTTAGCGAGTGGAGATCCAATCGATTCCGTCCAAAGGGTTTTCATTTGTTTACCTCCCAACACCGGCGCCCCGCTCTGCACCCAGAGAGTAAACAGCTGAGATTTATTTTGTGACAAGTCCAATGCAGTCTCTTACTCTGCCTTGACAGATGTGGCTGTGAGCGTTTATACATGATCACAGAGGCTGATCTGCATAATCAGAGCAGTGAGATGTGACTGCGCTTCACAGGTGAGAGAAAGAAAATCAGAAAATATGCCCAAATTTGCCGCTTTAATCAGAAGCCTTGGCTCATGGTAATTTAGCAGCAGCCTCAGGCTCTTCTGATCATACATTTATATTTATTTTGGTGTTTTAATTTTTCAGGATGCCAACTGCCGACTCTTTTTTTTTGTCATGGGATTATTTAAATGTGCTCTGATTGAAAGTGTTGTATTATCAAGAACACTCCGGGGTCTTCACTTTCTTTACCTGAACCGCTCTCCTCCCCGCTGCGGCTCAGTCTACTTAGAATTCCTCCGCTGGTTTCTGTATAATAACACTTTCACGAGGACAAACCAGAGATAATGATCCTTTAAATCCTCCTCTTGGTTTGTGCGCCGCAGGAGAGGCATCGGTGGGTATGGGCCGCCTTTTGACAAGAGGTTCCCGCAGGTTCGCGCGCATCCACAAATCAACATTTTAAAAGTCACAGATGAAAGAAGGCGAGACCTCACTCCATACCAAGCAGTGAAGGCGAGGTTGTTGTGATTAGCGGACTCGCCCCCACGCAGAGACGAGGGCGACCAGAAGAGCCTCCTTTGTTTGTCTGCGTTTCTGGCCTCTTCAAAAAGATGATGTTCGGTGATGAGAATGAAGTTGGCGTGTGTTTTTAATGCGAGACGTCAAGCTGTTGAATACATAATGCGTGTTTTGTTGTGCTGGTGATAAGCCCCGGTCTCAGGGTGGCTGTCGTCCACCGAGCGTGTCCCCTAATGGTTGTTCTGAACGCCAAGATGTGAATTAATGGAAAAAAAACAGAGCAAGGAAGCGAATCAATTATAAACTGAGTGAACCTTTTTGATGAGTATTTTCTTAATCTCAGGCTGGAGATGCCTTCACCTTTACTGCACAGCCAAGGCAGCTGAAACCTTATTGTTTCACGCCGGTGGAGGCGTCTTAATTTGATTGTGTTTTGGCGCAGACCTTTGGGATTTCCTCAAATGAATAGTCTCTCCTTGGCGGGCTGTTAACACAAAATCACGCCGAGTATTAGTGGTGCGGCTCAGCACTTTCCATTGTGCTTGTAAATAAGACTGCTGCCCTGTGCACTAATTATCTTGATCTGGGGTTAATCTGAGGTCTTGTATATCGTTCGCTCCGTTCGCTGGATGCCCTCAAACTTCTTTTTGATATTAGTCGACACAGAATGTCAAGTAAGCACTCTGCAGGAACCCTCACCTTTTAAAAAGACGAGCAGCATAGAAACAAGTTGCACTTTCTTTCATCCGACTGTGTGGATGCAGATGTCCATTAGGTGGCAACAGCACATTTAGAGACGGTCATGCCGCCTCTTGCCTTCCCGACAGGCAGGGCAGTCTCTGCTCTCTTCACTACAGTAGCTGTGCTTTATTTATATCTCTGTGCTTGATGCCGTCAACCTCAGACATTCAGCCAAGACTCATTTTTCTCCACACTGACATCCTCTCTGTCTCCTCCATCATGACTGAAGTCCACATGAACAGGCTGCAGCGTTTCAGTCGGGACACTTATTATGGCAGAGCTGGACCATATAACTCAGCTGAACATCACTCCTCCTCCTCCTCTAATTGACTGTAGTGTTATCTCAGCTGAATTAGATTGGAAATAAAGAGGGGAAGAATTGCTGAAATTAATTAAAAACAGACTTACTGAATATTTTAAACCAAAGTCAGTCAAAGGCGTCAGACTATTAGGAATTCCTCCCTCGGTAGCACTCCCCTCGTTTTTTCAGTCACCGCTGGCAGCAAAGCGCGTTTCTACCAAAGCATACAACCAGATGCTTGACTGGATTTGCTTGATTTTGCACAAAGCTGTCTTTTCATTAATTGCCAAGCTATTTTAATTTATTTCAGTATTTATTTTAGCGAGACCTGCTGTGCCGAGATGAAATAAATCATACAGAAGGGAACATTTGGGCAAGTAGTAAGAAGTAGAAACATTAACTTTTTGTGGAAACATTTTTTGGTGATAAGCCATCCAAAAAGCCCAGTATTTCTTTGGTACAGCTGTTAAAATGTGAAGAATGAACTATTTCTTCTCGCCAAAGATGAAACAAATTAAATATCTGGAGATTTGGACTTTTTGGACTGAACAGGCGTGTTTGGATACTGAAGGGTTGAGTCTTAGAAGTGAATGTGGATAAAAATCTGTAAATTTGGAGCTTTTGTATCTTCAGACTTAAATTCTAAAAGGTCACGAAGAGATCTTGAGGGTGTACAGGTGAGTGGAATTCAAATGAAACTGTAACAACTGTACAGGGATGTCAGTTTTGATGTTGCACAGTAAATCCCTTTGGACGAGGGGTGGGCAATATGGCCCAAAAATGTGTTTACATAGCTCTTTTTCCCAGCAGCAGTATTGTTAGGGCTGGGCGATATGGCCTCAATTCAATATCGATAAATGGACGAAAACTACTACAAGCTGCTCACCCCCTCCCACATGAACTTTGTCTACTTCAGTAGCTACTCCAGCCGCTACAACTTTTGAACTGTCCTCCTTAACCTCACCTGTCTTTCCCTCTTGGATGGGGTGGAGTCACGTTTCTGATGTAGGACAGCGTCCTAAAGGGACATGAGACCATAGTCAGCCTACACCCATCCAAAACCAACTTTTATTTATTTAGTTCGACACTGAATATTAACATGAGCAAAATGATGTCAGTTATTGTTGTAAATTTCAGTATCGGCAAATTTTCGGTTAATCGCCCAGCCCTAAACGTGCTCAAAGTTCCTCTAAACAGTTCTTAGATTCCTTACTGGACTCCTGTTGATGCCTTACAGAAGAGAAACTGGATTCATGTCGCACTGAAGACAGCTGAACCATAATGACAACGTAGCCTAACATACGCCTCTGTTAGCTTGTCTTTGCTTTCATGATGCTAAAATGAGGAAACACAAAAGGACACGAGTGGATTCATCCCTACAGCAGAACCTCCACTGGGACCTTGTAAAATCATGGGGGGCTCAGTGTTGAGCCACATGTCATTGACTGCAGCCGAGCTGGCTAACACCATGTCACACACAACATGGAGTAATCGTGTTTGTGGTGTGTTTGCTGCTCTCAGCAGCGACTTCAGAGTCTTAGCTCAAAGCTCAGAGCACTGCTTACTTAGACTTTCCCATCATCCCCTCATGCCGCTCCCTCTGACACATCTGCTCCCGTCCTGTCCGTGTTCATTGATACACTGACACTTGACACGTCTGTGTCACACACGCACACGCACGCATGTCTGCCACCCCTCCAGTCATTTATTTGTGTGTTCCTGCAGATACTTTGTCTCACTGAAGAAACATTCCTCTGAGCTGGGATGTGCCTGCTCTCAGATGACTGTTGCACATTTTCTGCCAAATGTAATTTGCCCTCTTTTTTTCTTTGTCTCCTCCATCACGATCACTGTCTGCTGTGCCATCTCTGTTTCCTGCGCTCCTCCTCCCCCTCCTCCTCCTTGTGTGTGTGTGTGAGATAAAAACAGCAGCAGCTCTAAAACTCAGAGACCGTCACGGTGGGATCTTGTTGAGCGTTTTACAATCCTTTTGGGTGTCTGTCAAATCAGATGTCCAGAGCGGCTGTGTAACACTGCGAAGCTTCACTCGTCTGCAGTCTTATCTTCTAAAAGTGTTATGCATTTTTAATCATCCCAGCCATGTTGTCCCAAGATTTTGGTCCTCCTTTGCAGAGCATCTGTCTTCAGAGGGATGTTGAGCTGTGACTGAAAAGCGGATCAGTCAGAATCTCTTTTCGCTCGCTCCTGACGAGGAGGAGCAGTGCAGGTACCCGACTGAGGAATGTGTTGCCGCCGTGAAGACTGGCTCACATTCGTCAGCCTGTGTGCGACTCTGGCCACAGTCTGAGCTCTTAATAGGGATATTTTCAATTAGTCATGCCTGCAGGAGCGAGGCGTGCTCTCGCTGTATTTACAATCTGACCCCCCATTGTGTACCTCGCTGCCTCATGGCCAACAGATTAGAAAGCTCTATAGATCTCAGTGACCATGTTTAACTGCTTTCCCTGACTCCACATACACCAGTGTTCTACCTCCACCTATCTTTCTCTCCACCCTCGCCTTCCCCCCAATTGTCTTCCCTGAATTACCGGGAACATTGGGTGAAAATGGGTTTCTTATATCACTGTAACAGCCCTGACCCTGGCCAGCTCATCTGTCCCTCTGCTGTTGATTCATTTCACGAGCCTCTCAGCTTGCCTCGCTCTCAGCTCAACCATCCCTGCTTTGACAAACACGAATGGATGCTGTGGGTTGAACAGGATGTTTTTTAAAGCTCGCCGTTTCATGAACAGGCCCCGGGTTTGTGGAGAGCCGTGTGAACAGCGGCGTATTGTTTCACTCAGGGTTGTCTCAGCGTCCGATTTTTTTCATTTCAAACTTTTCTTTTTCTGTTTATTTAGATGTGTTTTGAAAATGCTGCACATCAGTTATTTTCATGGTATTGATATTTTGCATCGCTCAAAAGATCTTTATTAGCTTTAAAGGTGGGGAAGGCAGGAATCTGTTAAAGAAGCATCTTTTTTGTGGTGTACACACAAAAAGGCTTTTAATATCAGTCAATAGCTCTTCGGGCCAGGAGAAAAAATTGATTCTCATAAGTATTGCGATTTTTTGTTTTATAATTTTTAAATCTATTTTCATGTTCAAAAATCTTTTTTTTTTTTGTGTGTGTGTGTGTGTGTATGTGTGTTTTCTGGGGATATATGGTTCCTGGAATAGTCAGTAGACAATTCTAATCATTCAACTTTTTCACTGGTGTTTAAAATGCAGACTAAAAATTGAGAAAATCGACAATATCGTAGAATCGCAACTTAAATTGAATCAGCATCCAAAAAATTGTAGAAGAATCGAATCGGGAGAAAAGCGTATCGATCCAACCCTAATAGCTTTTAGTTATTGATGACATTTGAGAATATCATGATATCGCTGCGTTCTCTTATGTCTGTGTAGTCAACATTTTAAAAAATTTTTGAGTGTCACACTCATTCTGACTGTAAACAAAGCCGTTCTCCACCTCCCCGATCTGATTGGTTGAGAGGCTGGCTACAAGGCAACAAAGTTGCATGCACAACTGGACCAAAAACAATCTTCTGACAATGGCGGACAGTGGAAAGAAGCTGGAGAAGCAAGAGAAAAAGCCGTCTCTTCTTTTGGCCACGACTGCCCACACTCCAAAGAAAAAGATCAAAATATTGAGGACTTTAGCCAAAAAGCAGACACTTAAGAAGAAGAGAGACCAGGCAAGAAATAGGGCCAGAGTAAACATCGGTGTAACCTTTGAACGATGGTGGACCAGACGCGATTTAAGAAATTTTAGAGAAGGTGCGAGCTGTGATTTAAAGTCTTCTTATCCCAGTATAAGACCTGCTTCAGCGCTTCAGATGTCTGTTGATAAACCGCCGGTAAATTGGAGCGATGTGAGCGAGGGCTGTTTGTGGGCGGGGCTTGCTGAAGCAGAGGGGGAAAGGAGAGGAGGAGCTGAGGGGAAAACCAGGAGGCTAGGGGTGGTGTTTACATTTAAGATTTCCCCCAAAAACTGGTTTCTATTCAGATCCTGCCGACCCCACCTTTATCAACAACGATTAAATAAAAAAAACTCGTTTCTGAGTCGGTGAAGTTTGTTCACTCACCTCAGCAGCTTCTTCAGCTTGAACGCTGAACTCCAGCCCAGAAGTTTTCTTCAGTGCACAAACAGCATATAAAGCTTTAAAATTAGAGTGAGGCCGTTTCTAAGGAAGTCGTTTACCAAGGTGGAAAAGGTGACGGCTGTCGCAGGCACATAAATCCTTGTTAGCTATGACCGGATGTCAAACGATTACCGTCTCTCTTTCTTCACGTAGGTATGACAAAGAGGGCCACGCCATGGAGGGACAGTCTGTGTCAGAGGCCAGAGGTGGCGGCGGAGGAGGAAACACCAACTGGAAGACTATATCTGAAACCAAGACCGAGCAACTTGGACACGGAGACAAGGTAAGGCGTGATAGGCGTGATCCGGTTAGCTTTGACGCATCCACACATTTAAGATATGGAAACCTCTGATGTATGAGGACTATTCAAGTGGGATTCTTTGAGGGGGGGGCTCAAGGACGAACTCAAAGGCTGGCATTGAATCCCAAACAACAAATATAAAAGCGCCCACAGTAAAGCTGGATCCAGGTCTATATATCCTCCGTACGGGGTAACCTTGTCGCTCGTAGCGCCGCGTTGCAAAAGTGCTTTTTAGCGGAGAGTCAGCGTGATGAATCTTCATAATCACTGACTCATAAAATCCCTGCACCACTAAGTATCTGCACTAAGGTCCCCGGTCTGCCTCAGCTCATTAATCCCGTGTGTTGTGGGTGTCCTCTCACAGTCTGGGTGTATCTTAGTGATGAAAATCACATTTATCCCCGGTATTGATCACTCGGATTATATAGACTCTGCTCTCTGCCCTCTGTGATTAAATTACTTCCCTCAGATAAGTAAAATAATGTGTTCCTCATATTCCTGAGTTTTATTTTTACACTTGAGGGGAAAAAAGTATTCCCGGGTTTCTTTAAAAGCCTGCAGTAGATGATGGGAAATATGTGCAGAGATCTTAACTTGTCTAATTTAGCATGCTCTGGCTGTTAGCAATCATCACAGTTTGACAGAAACACCCCACTAGGACAATTAACAGATGGATGGGATTATGAAAGGGCACAACGATTTCTGCTCTCGCTGTAAAAGACAAAAAACTCCGAGCTCTAAAATCCTCAGGAAATAGAGAAGAAGATTAAACAGGAGCAGCAGCTACAAGAAGTAATATTCTGTAGTAAAAGTAGAATCAAAATCAAATGAAAAGTATGTTTTGAAGAGCGAGTGTATATTTTTTTCTTATGTGAATGCAGTTCTGCTGCCAAAAGATTGGAGCAACCATGTCCTACTTCTGGCTGCCTCATAACTCTCTCTTTTCTGGTCTGAACTGCAGGATTCCCGGTCACAGATACTAAATGGCTTATTGCTCCTCCTTATGCCTCTTTTAGTGACGCCACTTCAGCCGTTCTATCATCTGGAGCTTTACAATACAGCTCAAGCGGCCCCTATCTATTTTTTCTCCATGAAATTCCACATCCACAAATCCTGTCTGGGACCATTAGGCTCCTGTCAGGTGGAGGTGCTTTTCCCGGCGTAAGCTCCCCCGCTGTTCAGGGAGGAAAGGTTTGACCCTAGGCTATACGCAGGCTCTCACACCTCCTCAGCATGGCGTGTGATGAGGCCTCGGTACTGACAAAGGGCCCGCGCTAAAGCTGTCCTCAGTCCCTCCGAGACATCCCTCACACAGGGGCACGAGGGTCAGGCCTCTCCAGACCCCCTCTAAACAAAGTGTGGCGCGATTAATTGCGGCTGTCACAAAGTCTTTGTGTCACAATCCTCAGTTTCCACGATGCTCCCGTTGGCCTCTCTGACAGTAGGTGCTCACCCTTCCTCTTGTTGGCTTGACACCGCGTTTGTAAAAGCCGACGACAGAGGCGAGAAACACATTTTTCTGTTGGCTCCCCCGCTGCGGCGGCCCCGCTCAGTCACGTGACATTTGAAGAGGTGTTTTTTGATTAATTGGGCCTCCTTTTGGAGAAGCAGCAGAGGTTGATGACAGGGTTGCGGTTGGTAAATCAAAACGGTAATTAGACGAGAGTAGCCAGCGGCTCCTATTGTTTTGGAGCAGGAGGATTTTCTCTTAAACTGTCGCTGTCACCTACCGCTCTCTTAAAGGAGTGTTTATTTATTCAAAGTGATGCGAAATATCATTCGTCCTGTTGCGGAGTTAATTGGGGTCGTAAACTGCCCCAGCGGTCGGCACTTGAAGAGAGGTGAAAGAGTTGACTCAAAGTTTTGGGACATTTCACCGCTGAATAAATTTGACGACATCAGTGAAAGCTTGGAGTAGGTTAGGAAGCGTCTCTTAACTTGTGCGAAAAACATGATTAAAACCGGTAGGGTGTATTTTTCTCTTTAAATACCTTTCTTATCCCTTTGAACAAGGGTGTCGAAATCAACCACAGTAAGGGTCATAATCTGGATTTAGGTTTAATCTAAGGGGCCAAACAGGGTCAACATTTAACCAAAACTGTCAACCTCCTTTTCAAAAGATATATAAAAAAAAAAACAGCAATGATTATGAAACATTTGGAAATTCAAAAAAAGAAGTTTGAAGGCAATCTGAGAGGAAAAATACAATTTATTAGTTCAAAAGATCAGAACATATTAAAAATAGAAAAATAATGCTTTTCAAGAGCAAATGTATGAGGAGAAAGTTGGAATCAGGTTTAAGAGGTCAAAATATGACTTAAAATTTAAAATTGGAATGTTAAGTATAAAAATGAAAAGTCTAAATACTGAAATGAAAAAAAAATCAAAGCATGAAATAAAAAAAAATCCGATCATGTTTGACTCGTAATCTTAAAAATGCAAAATTGAAAATGTGAAATAAAACAGATTTTTTTTTTTCCCCACATTTTTGACTATTTATAAAATCTTTCTCACCCTTTACATTTTACCAGATTTTCGTGGCTTCTTCAGGATATTTCAAATAATGGTGCTGAAGTTTACATGATTATACTGGAGGGCCAATAATAATACAAATATGATATGATCTCGTGGGCCAGATATAGTTGTTCCATGGGCCACATTTGGCCCCCGGACCTTGAGTTTGACACCTGTGCCTGAGAAAAAGTCCAACTCCGCCATGCCTCAGTGTTTCCTCAATCAAAAATTACAGACTGACATTGGTGCCTGTTTGATTGCTCAGATGTTACTGCTTCAAGGTTACAGCTGCTGCTCCGCTCCCTGACTCCGAACGAGCTCGCTTAGCCTTTATCAAAGCGTGCGGGGCCCCTGCGTCCCCTCTGTTGTCAGAGCCAATACTGATGTTTGTAGGAGGGGGGGAGCTCTGTCCAAAACAATCAGCTCTTACTCCCGACAACTATCTGTCTTGTGCATTAGGGCCTGCCCTTCCTGAGTGAACCCCTCTAGAGGAGGAGACATGACGTGCCTCATCTGCAAACATGTCAAAAATTTTTTGTTCGCGCTCATCTGTTCTCACCCTATGGGAAGTTCACGTCACTTACTGAGGTGTTTTCCACGCCGACTTGGAATGCTCCCCCGAAGGCGGTTTGTGTGCGGCAGGTTTCCAAAGTTAACTTCCGTCTGTAACAAAGCAGAAGCTCCAGCGCGTAGTTTACATCTGTGACAGAGACATTTGAATTCAGGTTAGGTATGTAGATCGTGTCGAGCAGCTTCACGACAGTTCATACTCTCCTGGAAATGTCATGTTCATGCTAATTCCTGCCGTCCCGCTCCCAGTATTCCAGTCGACATGCCTAACACACGAAACACAAAGGTTGGGAAACAGACAGAAGACATTCGCTCAGATGTTGCTTTGTTTATCTTCTCTTTTTAGGCCGACTACTTCACCTGCGTCGCTACCGTAGTGTACCTGCGCAAGGAATACTGCCTCTACCAAGCCTGTCCCAGCCAAGACTGCAACAAAAAGGTGGTGGATCAACATAATGGCACGTACCGCTGTGAAAAGTGCGACAAAGAGTTCCCCAACTTCAAGTACCGAATCATCCTCTCTGTGAGTAACTCGGCTTTTGGTTTCCGAAAACTTTCGAGTCTTTTTCCGGTGTGCCCCTCACGCGCACACACACACACATATGCTAATGCACATATCTGATATTCCTGCTTTGTCCCGTGCATTTGCCTCTGCTGAGGCTACGGATACCATCATTTCTGTCCCCATTTCTTCCTTTTTCTCCTGACTTACTTTTCTAATTCATCTCTTTTGCCTCCCAAGACTTGAGCGGCACTCTCCGCTAATGGCTCGCTCCCTGTGGTTCCACAATGGCCCCGATCTGCTCTTTGCAGTTAAATTTAGACCCCCTTTTCCTTTATAAAGCACACGTCTGTTCTCGTGCTGGAATAAGAACCACTGCGAGTTAATTTCAGCAGCTTAGTTGGTATTTTACAGAAAGTGCAGGAATGGACGTCATGAAGGCCGTTTTGCACACGGGTATTTTCTTTTTTAGTGAACAACAACAACATTGAAATCAAAAACTCTCTCAGTCAGCAACAGAGAAATTGCCAGGCACCTGAAATAAGCAGCTTTTGTATTGTGCCTCTCAACAGTCAACATATTGTTTCCCCCCCCACAAGCTGTAGAAGCATAAGCTGTGATTTTGCTTGCTCTGTATATAACTCGTGCCCACAGTGACTCTGCATGTTTTGCCAGCAGGATATGCTTTAATTACAGGGAATAATGAGTCCTTAAGAACAGAGATCTGTTAAGCTGACGTGCCAACCACACACTGATCCTTACTCATGTATGGATCCAATCAATGTATTTTCTCTTACCTTTTCGTCGTCTCCATTTCACCGCAGGCCAACATCGCAGATTACGGGGACAACCAGTGGGTGACATGCTTCCAGGAAAGTGCAGAGGCCATCCTGGGCCAGAATACAGCTTACCTGGGGCAGCTCAAGGACTCGGTGAGATCTCCTTCCAGAGAATAATACCCGCCTCAGGAAATAGCCGGAGCGAGGGCAAAACCTCGGGCTTTTGTTTCGGCCAAACAAGCGTGCACACAAAAGGCACACGTGCACGCTCCTGCGCTGACAGACTTTTTTTGTTTAGACGCCCACTGAGCTTTGTTTCCTTCAGGCATCATAAGAAGCCTTTCTCATTGTTCATTTATTAGACACTTGATTTACTTTGCACTCGAGACCATGATGAAACTAGCCTGTGATTAAAAGAATACGTGTTCCTCTTGGAATTGGACCAATCAGATCTTGTCAATTTTTCAGAACGAAGCCGCCTATGACGAGATCTTCCAGCAAGCCAACTTCAACAAGTTTATCTTCCGCAACAGAGTGAAGCTGGAAACATACAACGTAAGTAAAAGCAGGAATGTTAATTAGTCAAATAAAAGGCCTGCGGGTTTGTTGTCATCTCAGCATGCTTTGTAGGCGGACCATATTGCTGCATAAAATAGAAAATATGCTCTCGTTAAAAGCTGCGAGGGAAAAAAAAAAGGATGCATCTCCAGCCCATGAAACCGCCGTCATTGCTTCGCGAGCTGAAAATGCACAGCACACAAACAGCTTCTTTATGCCTTTACCTGTTTGTGCGGTCCTCTCTGATCGTTTCCCATGCATGAACAAAACCGGTCCGCTTTCATTTTGACTGACAGAACCGTCTTAGGAAGAAAAGAAGAAGAAGAAAAAAACAAAACAAAACGGAGTGTTTGTCCAAGACTGCCGCTCATTTTCAGCGGCTTTGTGAGAGGGTGCACACACAGATTAGCCGCGGTCACTATTTCCTGTAGGCCGCACAGATAGAGGTTTGTTTTTTAGGGAAGCACATAAAAGAATTGATTGGGCTGGGACTCTGAGCAGGAAGTCTGGAGCCGGGCCAGAGGCTGCATCCGCCTTGAACACACAGAAGAGGCCACTGTGTCTGTCGCATTCAGCTCAGCCTCCTCCCTGCCAATGGCACCGCTACAACCATGTATTGGCTGCTGCCTCCAAGCCCCATATTCCTTCAACAGAGACACCTGCAGCCTCCCTTTCAGTTTGTTTTCTCCTTCTCTATGCGACAAGCCAGCCATTGTGCCCCGCTGTCACATGTTGTCATGTGCACAATGTCGAACATGCTTGATGTGGGACTTAACAGATCCTGCGCAGTTAATGACACACATCCATCGTGTTGCATCATAGTGGGAATTGCGCTTTGATAGAAGGCGCTAACAAGATTTATGGATGCAGCGGAGGAAATTAGACTCATTTGTAATTCAAACAAGAAGCTGTAAGAGTCACACGAGGAGTGTGATGAAATTATCCTCTTTAATTACATTAAAATACACATTTAAAGGTCACCCTAGGTAGATCTAACGTGGGAGCGGTATGCGGGAGATTATTAGCTGTATACATGCAATATGAAAGCCGATTATTCCATTAGCGATCAAAGAAGTAAGTTAAATTGAATTTTTGAATATAAATGAACAAAAAAGAGGCTTCAAAGTGAGACTGTCTCGTCTTGTCTTTTATTGAACTATTTAAAGACATCAAAACATCACAGTTTGCTTCCGTATTGAAATCTAAATCATTAGCAGAAGGTTTTAAGGTGTAGCGCTGTACAGTAAGAGACACACAAGGCCCAGCTGAGACCGTTTTACAACAACTATTGTGACTGTCAAAGAAGAGCCGGGGTGTTTGTGACATTTGTGGTAAAGCTTCAGCTCTGAGCTGCTTTCTTGACACGCGACAAAGCATAAAGTTTCTAATTAGCAAAACCAAGTCAGTGTTGAAAAAAAAGCCGCCGTGGCATTAAGGATAAAGTGGAAACCACATTCAGGTCTGCTCAGCCATGATTAATCTCATTCTGGCAAAAAGAAAAACAAACAGAGAGCTTGTTCATGGATGAATGTGCAGTCGTTGACATCCACTAGACTTGAGGCCGTAACATCCAAACACACACGATTTATTACAGTATAATCGCCCCAACAACTGCGATTGGCTCATGCGCATGATGTGATTATTTCCACACAAATCAATATCATAGATCCTGCTGCACATTCACCTCATTTATATCCGCTTCATTTCAAGTGCAGGTGACAGTTTCTCTTCTCACATCTGTCGTTACCCTCAAAACAAAATCTTGCACTATTGTTATCTCGTTCTTGACTGTGACAGTCGTAGATTTTAACTTTCCCGACATCAGGAGCAGCTGTTAGAGGCTTTAATATTCAGGCTGTTGTGCTGTTGATAAGAGTCCCTGCCCCTGTAGTCTGCCGTGACGTTTTAAGTAACATAAGTGCCCCAAATAGATGAAAATGTCATAAATAATAAAGAAAATGAAAGGATTTTTATCGCAGCAATAGCCTATTCTCAAACAGCAGTGAGGTTGATTAATATCATTTCTGATCCCTCTGTTTTTGCTGTAACACTCCTGCAGATCCTCCAAATTATGATTACCATGAGGAGGCGGTGGCACTACATGAGCTTGACTACCCTCGCTCACTCTTGGCCTGACTGACTAGCATGCTAGAGCGGAGCGTGCATTCGAGGGCTGTGGGATGATGAATCGAATTTCACTTTCAGTTAGAAATTTTGGCGACCCACGACCACGAAAAACCAAGTAATCAAGATGAAACGATTAGTGCGCCGCCTGCCATGCTGTGCTTGTTTGGTCTTGTGTGGTGAAAAGAGCCCCGAACAGGTGTTACTTCAACCTGGACGGGCAATCAGGCGTGCTGAGCGTTAACTCGACGGGCTTTAAAACATATTCTTTAAAAACAAAAAATAGTCTGTCAAGTGGAGGCAGTGGCCCACTTGTATGAGTACCTGGTCCAGCTCTAGTCCTCTTCCTCAGTCATGCACAAAGTGAACATGATCAAGAGGAGAATGCAGGGACGGCTGTATCTCAATAGGGCGCTCATGCCCCATTGGGGATACTGTATCCCCATTGGGCGCAGATAAAATTATCTACTCGCTTTATTCGCACGAATCTAGAGGTGTGAATGAAAAGTACTTACTCGGGTAATTTCAACGGTAATCCCTGCCAATTCAACCGGCGGCATCAAGTAATAGACAAAGGTTTTTTACCAATTTACCCCATAATCTGAACTCCTCACATACCTGCCTCCTGGCAAGCTCCTCCTTATTCAGGTTTTGGTAATTGAAAGAAAAGGTATCATATAATTCAGGGTTTCCACACACAGACACAATCAGTTTGTCATCCATTTTAGATACCAGTTAACAACCATCTGTTTTTATACGCCACCTGGCAACCTTCATGCTGATTAGTTTTAAGAGCACGGATATCTGCTCAAGTTGAGACATTTTCAGCTCATGTCAGTCATTCGCGCCGCCAGAGTAGTAGGAGCGCCTAATCGCGTATTTGCATTGACATAACATGGAATTCATGTTAACATGTCTTAGCTACAGCAGTTTTAACTATCCTACAGCCACAGGAGGAGCATGTGTGTGTTAGTAAAGCAGAGGGACAGAGAGAGCACAAGGAGAGAGAGGCTAAAGAGTGAGCGACTCTGGTGCATACATGTCCGGTTAGGCTAAAACCTCTAAGTCCACTGACTGGATCTGAAGATAATCCTGTCTCTGGTTGTCCTGTGAACAGTTTGTTTCATCAGGCAAAGATCTGCTCACTTTAACCAGGCTGTACTGTATGCAGAACATCAGATACATGCAGGGTATGCATAGGTTAAGCATTCAAAGTGGAGATTTGAGTGATGTTTTTATTCTAAGCTTTTCATCAGATGCAGGTGATGGCGCGTCAGTGCCAATTTGCAGTCGACCCTTCATTCCTGCACCGCTCTCGTCGTAAAGGCTTTGTAGGAGATAAAAATGTCTTGTTTTGCCTGTAAGAAATGGTTAGTTTCTTTAGCTGTGAGCGCTCCTGGCAAGTTAAAATCTGTAAGAAAAAGGTCACAGCAGAACAAATTTGTGTGAGTGTGTGTGTATGAGCTGCTCCTCTTGTACTTATGTACATACACACACACTTCATGGCTGGAGAGGGACTGGCACAAGTTGTTCGAGTGTGGATCAACACCTCACTTGGCTGCGCATGGATTCTCACACACACACCTTACTCTCCCACTCATCAGCTGTAAGCACAGTCAACATCACTGTCAGAGTGGCTGCTGGGCGCAGAATAAAACACAGTTTGAACGCTCTGATAAATCAGGATTGAGTCTGAAAGCCAATTTAGACGCTCTTCTTCATTGAATTACATCGGATGTTTCTACAGAATTAGAAAAGAGGGAGTTTGTTTAAACAGATTTGTATGGCTGATGTATCTCAAAACAAAGAAATCAACTCCAGAGGATGCTCCTTTTATTATCTTTCACTCAATAAGATAAGTTGGTGTAAAAGAAGCCGACCACTCTTGGGTATGTAGGTCTGAACCGAGGCTTCGCCATTTAAAGTAATTACATTTGGGAGCCCTGTATCGATAATTACATTCCAGTCACAGAGCTTAGCAACACTTTCCCTGAAAGTTAAACGGCGACCTTTAAAAAAAACCCAGGTGCTTTCTTTAACAGCACTTAAAGGTGCCCTGTGGAGTTACCTTGTAAACAAAGTTTTTTTGTTTATATTCAGGGGTACTTTACAAAACGCTTTGTGTTTATACTCGGGGCCTGACTAAATTGCTGAATGCTTTTTAATCCTTTAACATTTGCAAAGCTAATGACTCCAAATTTTCAAATCATGCAGCGTTGATAACCTTGTGCGCTACCCCTCCATCCTCCTCTTGTCTGTTCGGTGTTTCCTAGGCTCCGTCAGCGGCAGTAACGCGTATTGTGTCGCTCTTGTGGTGAAAATGTTTCCTGAGTCCTAACAGATGGCTCTGTCCATCTGATTCCCACGATGCTCCAGTTTCCTGTCTCATGCCAAGACAGTAGTGAATGATCTGTTTATGCATTGAGGAGTTTTCATATCCGGTTCATTTGTCTCCGATATTGATGTATACCAGGGTGACTCATTTTGTTCTTGTTTATTCGACTACAAGCCAACCTCTGATGATGAATTTCACTGTTATTCCATATTTTTGTTTCTCAAATGACCATTTTTCTTCTCGCATTTTACAAGACGAGCGCAGAGACTTGTGTCAGTCTTTTTATGAAAGTGTGTGGGCACCAATCCAAAGGAAGATAATTTACATTTCACCTGCTCGAGCTGCCGGCGATTAATGGAAACAAAATGAGTGTAACCTCTGTTTAAATGCAGAGAATAATGGCCCTGCTAAGAATGACCTTCCTCTGTCTAGACAGCTGTGGAGGTGGTTACTGCTTTAAAAGCTGCCTCCTTTTTTTTTTTTTTTGAGAAACATTCATTTGAATGCCAACACGATTCACACACCCGGTCCCAACAGTTCACATTAACCTACTTTGTCACAGGAGAGGGGAAAGAAAGAGGAAGTGTATAGAACATATTTGATACACCTCGGGGGGGCCTCGGCTGTTCCACCGCAGCGAGATAGGGACCAGAAATCCAAACTCAAGTACAGTATTTTTCGCACTATAAGGCACACCATCGATGAACACATCTATTTTCATACATAAAGCGCACCGGATTATAAAGCGCATTAAGCCAAACAAAACAGTCAGATAAGTCAAACTTTATTTAACTCATTCAATAACTCGGCGAGGCTACGGTAGCTGCAGTGCTCCGACAAGCCAAAAGGATTTCAAGTGCGCCTTATAGTGCGAAAAATACAATACAAATACATTTTCAGCAGGAAATACAGTCATTTTAACACTCTGACATTGAACCCAAGTTTAGACACATGACTTAAGCTTTGTTTTTATATTTTTATCTTACAGGACGAATCGAGGATTAAGGTCACGGTGATGGAGGTGAAGCCTATTGATCACAAGGACTACTGCAAGAGACTAATCATGAACATAAGAAGTCTAGCCTCTAAGTAGGCGTATGTGCCTCGTGTTAAGAAAACTGTTATGTTTTGTTTTTGTGTTTCTGTACAGCCAACTTCCAGCTCTACACATGATAAAGTTAGCTTACAAAGCTGTTGTGTTGATTTGTTTTGTGCGTTTTGTTTCCCAAGAGTGAGAAATCCTCCAAATTCTTGACTGTAGACCCCCGCTTTGTGAAATAATGTCTGGTGACCTGTTTCTGAAAACGCTCTTTTCTTTTTTTTTTCTATTGTTGTGAACATAACAGTCGTTGATTTTTTTTTTCCATTTTCCCCTTTTTTTTATTATTTGGGGGAAGCAGAGCAGAGAGTGGGTCAGTCAGCCACAAAAGAAATCATCAGCGTGTCTTAGGTCTGCCGGTTGTTCCTGTATGCACTGTGCTCATGAAGGAGGGGGGAGGAGGAATAGGAGGAGGAGAGGAGAAGAGAACAGTAGCTAGCACTCTTTTCACTCTGACGCTCACAGTCAGAAGGGTTCTGTTGGACCTGCACAATCCTGATAAGACCGTTTACTCCCCCTCCCTCTCTCATACTTGCAAACATAAGCACATATACACAGTGCAGACCTAATAGGGAAATGTACTGCAGCCTGTTTAAATAGATACAAGATATGCGTCTGAGTCTTTTCGGTGTATTACGAATGTTCTGTAGTTCTGTTTTTGTGGTAATTACCTGATAATAAATAATAACTTGTTATCTATCCATGTGTCAGAAGTCTGTTTGCACATAGCAGCGGTGTCAAAATCTCTTTAGCTGACTCCACTCCCTTTCAGCACCTGATCCAAACCTATTAAAAGCAAAACATGCAGAGAGTTTATTCAAGGGCTGGTACACAATGCCCTCTATCTCCTCAGGTTTGGCTCAGATGTGCAACAGATTCCCCTGCAAACTTGACTTTCATGTTGTATTAAAGCAAAACACCAGTGAGGCTGCACCTCCCCATTTTTCATGCGATAACATCTTGTTTCTGCTGTGCGGCAGGTGTTGCCTGCAGTGTGCAGAGATGGATTAAACCTGTCTTTAAATGGTGAGGAGGTAAGTTTGACTTGTTTATGCTCGGAGATATTGATTGGAAGATTTGCCCTCCTACACTGTTAGGTTATTCGAGCTATTAGTGTGCTTCCTTATAAAGCTCTTGCGATATACATCCTCGTCCGTTATTGCAGAAGTCAAGGTCGAAGGTCAGCTGTGAGGCATCGCCCTCAAACGCAGTCACTGAGCAGCAGCAGCAGGAAGGGCCTGGATTTCTCTTTTGGGAGCCTCTTTAGACACGTGAACAGAAACATTTTATTCAGTGATGCACACAGCACCGCAGAAAGAGGAAAATCAGGCTGTACTCCTGCCAGGGTAAATCTAGCAGTTTCCCCTGGGACTCGGGGCTGGAGAGTTATTTCTGCCCTCATTTACATCTGGCATCCCATCAGCTTCTATTTGAAGCAGGGAAACTGGAACTGTTGTTGAAGCCTCAAGTGAAGTCTCCTGATGATTCAATTCTCACACCTGTTTTGTGATTTTGATTAAGCTGATTACACGGCTCCAGTTAAGTAAAAATTAGATTGTGACGCATTTCTAATTGATCTTCTTGCTCTTGTTAGAATGGGATCGGCTGACTAACGGGACCGAATCACGTTTCGGAGCTCGGGAATGGTTTCCTCTCGCTGTATTTATTAGCAGCCAATGAGAGCGGCTGAGCAGGATCGTCACACACGACACGATGAGAATTTCAAATATGATCACACTGTGTGGGTTGGCGTTCTGCTGGGGTTTTTTTGGTGAAGAGTTCATCCCACCGCCTGCTGCATACTGAAAATAAAAACTTCTGAGGTCGAGTCAAGTTATTTCTGATGAAAGAGTTAACCAACTATTATGATAATTTTTGACTGCTTTGGCAGAGGTCAAATTCATTGCAATCAAAATGAAAGTTTCTTTGAAATGTTAAAATATTAAAGCAGCAGTGAGGAGTTTTTTGGCATCAATGAACTAAACTGAAAATTCAAAATGAAGCCTTTTAATGATATACAAAAGCAAACTAGATGATATATTTTACTGTGAAAAGGCAGCAGGAGAAGTTTTTGTAGAGGACAAGATGATGACTGTTTTGTCCACATGGGGGCGCCAAATGACACTAACTGAAAGTTTGTCACAGGAGCTTTAAAACACCCTCCGATTATTGTTTATCTCTTAAACTGTTTTCATTATTTACTTCAAAATAAAAGCATAGTTTTAAATGCAGAATCAAGCATCTTGAATGCAAGACAGAAAAAAACATCAAAACAAACAATCGTTTTATTGTGGTTGGTTTTCTCCAGACAAGTTTCAGTCCTATTGCTAGTGATGTGCTTGAATCAAAGTTTGAGCATGATTAGAAATTGATGATATAATATGAGTTAATTGTATTTTTGTACAGTGAATAGTTCATGAAACAATGTACTGCTCCATGCTTGTTTTTCCTTTATTAAAGCTCCTATCAGAAACTTTTTCTTTGTCATTTTTTGTGCCCTGATATAAACTGTCTAAGATTATTTTGTCCTTTACATGCTTAATTAGTAACTCTGCAAAAATCTCAGTCAAATTTGTCAATAATAGGGAATCTTTAATGAGTTAGAAATGTAAAATCAGGGCTGTTTCTCCATCTCAGGAAAGCCTGATATCATAGCAGCCCCATCTTTGACTTTTCCTGTCGCACCCTGGAAGAATATCTTAAAATTTCCACGTCTGTCTTCAGAATTTGTCATTTCGACTCAGACTGTTAAAGCCTCAAGTCTGAGCACCTTGTTACACAAACTATGTTTGTCGTTCATTCCTCTGTGTTGTGTTAATCTGAAGCTTTGGCAGCTTCTCTCGTCATTTTAATGTTGGGTACTTATTGCTGTATCCGCTGTGGGTGTTCAAAAGTACATAAAACAGGTGTGTTGATGGTTTGATTATAGATTCATCACCAGGAGAGGGCTGAGCTATATGAGAGTGAAACATCTGGTTGCTTAATAACAGCATTAAGGCCAGTTTGGAGGGTATAGATAAAACACTTTTACTGCATGCAAATGCTTAATTAACATGAGGAACATTATGCAACTTAAACTGTTTCCATTTCAGCTTAATCCGAGGGATTAGGGATCGGTTATACTCAGTGTTTCCACTGTAGGCACCAGTGTAATTTTGTTCTTGGAAAGCGTCTGCTTCAGTGACAGAACATAACAAATTTATTGGGTGTTTGGGACGAGACATGCAGCACTAAACACTTGAAAAAATGACCCCTGTGTCAAAAGTAGAGAGGGTTTTTTTTTTTAAAGTTAGAGTTGAGTAACATCTGAAAAAGAAAAGCTTTCCACTCATCGCCTAACTTTAATAGATTCAAGCTCTTGATGGTAACTCTCATAAGAATGAATGAGCCACTAAGTCTCTTTAAGAAATAAAGAAAGTGAAAGTCTCTGCACTTTCGAAGGAAACTCACCTTCAGGAAAGCCACTTTGTTCTCCTCTCGAGCACCTGAATCTGCTGTAAATTGTCAAGAACTGCTGTTTTACACAAGTGCCAGTATTATCTCCAGTGTTGCCTGCAAGGTCCATAAAATTCTCCCTTTCTGGAAGGTTTTCCTCTTTATTACTTTAAACACATCACCAATAAAGCAGTAAATCTTGTGCAAACTCAATTACATACATTATTGGAAACTTTAATAGAGCCATTAGAGAAATGGAATGTGGTAAGATAGTCTATATAGCAGCTACCTGACGGAGTAACTTTCACCGTTCTTGGTCTTTTATGTTACTGACATCTTAATCTTCACTGTAACTCATAGCGCGGCTTGTCAAGCTATAATTGGTGGCTGGCATGGTAGCTTCCTATGTGATAACACAGCCAATTCCTTTTTTTTCAAATGTGCTACTTCAACATATATTACTGCAAAAACCCCATCATTTGAATTATATGGTGGCTGAAAACCGCCACTGCTGCAAATAAAAAAAGAATGCCACAACAGAAGTTACCAATGCAAAACAAGAAGAAACCAAAGCCCGCTGCAAAATTTTAAAAAAGGAAACGTGCAGATAAAAAAAAGAAAAAGAAAAGCCACAATAAAAGTTAACGACGCAAAAAAGTGGCAATGCAAAAAAAAAAATACAAATAAAAAAAGTTACTTACTTCGAAAATAAAAGGATGCTAATGAAAAAAAAGCCACAACAAAAGTGAGCTGACGGGGACCAATAATGATGATGCACCAGTGTTTTACGATCTAGCCACAGAAGACGACATTGAGAAGACAAACAAAGAAGTTATTGGAAAGATTATTGTTTAATTTCGCTTTGTGTGCTTTTCAATGTGTCATTCAGTTAGACCATGTAGCATCTGAGTTGATATGAAGCTGAACTGGAGGATGCTGGCGTAGTGTTAGCTTCGGCTAACACAGGACACCTACTACGCTCCGAAAGACCACCCATGAGAGGAGAATCAAGTGCGGTAGCTGTATGGTTTCATTGCTTTACTCGTAGAAATAAGTTTGAAATAAGCTGTTTTTCATTATTGGTCCCCGGCAGCTCACTTCTGTTGTGGCTTTTTTTATTTGCATCCTTTTATTTTCGCAGTAAATATTATTATTATTATTTTATTTTTTTTTGCATCGCCACTTTTTTTTGTGACATGAACTTCTGTCTTGCCTTTTTAAGAAAAAAATAGTTGCACAGTTTCTTTTTTTTATTTGCAGCTGGCTTTGGTTGTGGCTTTTTTTTTCTCCAACCTTTTTTATTTGCAGCAGTGGCGGTTCTCGGCCACCGTACATTAGACTTCACCCAAATAATGAAGGTGAAAGGAAGTGATTTAAGTCGTAATGGTGCCTCCTAAGGGGGGCATTGTCAAACCTGGCAACCAGGCCTGAGTGCAGTGTGGCACAACGCTTGACCGAAGCGCACGTTCGCAGGCAGGCTATGTTAGCACCGCTAGCTAGCGTGAAGCACAAAACGGACCTTTTTTAGGGACAGAAATGAGCTCAAAGTGGATGAGGAGGATGAGTTTGAGGAAGCAGCAAACAAAAATCATCAGGAAGACACCAGAGAGGGGACGAGCAGGCAAACGCCAAGTGTAACATTACCCAGTAAGAAACGAAAAATACAAAGCATACACGATGGGCACAGAAAGTTTCAACACAAGTGGACAGACGAATTCTTATTTATTCTGCGCGCCATGAACCCTCTTTCCTTAAACTGCAAACAAACCCGTGCCGGTTCCAAAGGAAGCGACTTTAGCGCCATTTTCAAAACGGCGCATCCAAAATTCAGTGAAAGTTTCCCGCCTGGTAGAGAACTAAGAAAGACGAAAAATCAGCAAAATCTTATCACCGGACAACCTCCACCGAAGAGCGTTTAACAGAGGATTGGATTTTGGCGCGGGCTAAACAAACTTTCTCAGACTCAGAAATGGTGAGAGACTGTTTTATGGCTTCAGCAGAAATACTGTTCACAGACTTTGACAACAAGGACGCCATCATTAAACAAATATAAGGGTTACAGCTGTCTGAATCAACAATAATGAAGCGGATGGAAGACGTTGGAAAGGATGTATGTGAGCAGTTGTTGGCTGATCTGCGCGCTGAGCCAACATGGAGGAAAGCACAGACATCACTGACCTTGCTCAGCTGTGCACTTGGTTGAGGCTTTTCAAAAGGAAATATGCCACTACCACTCCATGGCCAAACAGGAGGTGAGGATATTCT